ACAACGGAGGTTGCCACAACTCAACCTGCTGTCTCGCGGATCGTCTCTTTCGTGAACCTTGAATCCGACTGGTCGGCTTGCAGTGCGTCTTGTGGCGGTGGCACCCAGACGAATGAGGCCAGGTGCATGGAATACACTTACTTCTCGGCGAACGGCACGTACACGGCCGGTGCACGCGTACCCGACGCAGAGTGCATCAGTGAAGGTCTCGAGAAGCCGCCTCCTTCGCAGAGACTGTGCATCGAAGCAGCCTGCCCACGGCCACGGCTGCTTTTCGGGCCCTTTGGCGAGTGCAACGCCCAGTGCGGCGGCGGCGTGCGCTTCAGGACGGCCACCTGCGTGGACGAGGTCTCTCGGGCTCCGCTGCCCGCGTCGAGCTGCGGGTTCTCCCTCTCCCGGAACCTGTCTCTAGTGACCGAGGCCTGCAACACACAAGCCTGCGCTGACTTTGTCCTCGAGTACCCGGACACGTGGACAGCATGCCCGACGGGGTGCTGGGATCGTGCTGCAGGAGCGCCCATCCCCACGCAGACTCGATCTGCAATCTGCACCGACGGCAACAGCAACGAGCCTGTCGACATGGCCAGCTGCGTGGCCTTCGGACTCGAGCTCAACGCCGCGTTGCTGGAGCGGCCCTGCAAAGTGCAGCCGTGCGTCACTTACGAGTGGTCAACGGACAAATGGAGCGGCTGCGTGGACAGCGGCGGGCAGCTGGCGACGTGCGACGCCGGCAGCGGCGAACCGTACACGCAGACCCGCGCCGTGGTGTGCACGGGCAGCGACGGAAGCGTCGTGTCCGGCTCTGCCGCGACGGAAACGTGCGGGCCTTCACCGCCCACGTCGCGGCCGTGCACCAATTCTGCACCAGCCGCGAGCACACAGCACCTACCGCTGTGTCCGGGCATCGACGGGTGCAGCTCTCAGCCCTGCGCGTACTCCGCGGAGAGCGTACCGCTCGAGATGCGCAACAGATGCGTTCCGAACGGGGCGTCGTTCACGTGCGAGTGTGCCAGCGACAGTGCCGGCAACCCCCTGTACACCGGCACGCGGTGCGAGTCGGTCGTGCGGCCAGAGTGTCCCGCGCCGGGCAAGATGGTCGTGGTCGACGGCGCGGACACCTGCTGCGAGTCCGGAGTGTACACGTCGACCCTGGAGTGCTGTCCGTTCTCCGACATGGTCGAGGACGCCAACGGAGCCTGCTGCTTCCGGGACGCGCAGACCGCTGCGGGCCGCGGGCCTGCCCTGGACGGATGCAACGTCTGCGGGGGCCGCGGGCTGGCACGGATCGGCGGCGAGTGCTGCGAGGGCTACGCCGACAAGCATGGCAAGTGCTGTCCGCCGATCAACCCGTTCACGGGGCTGGCGCAGGAGGTCGACGACTGCGGGAATTGCGGCGGCAACAACGCCGAGTGCGGCTACGATGCAACCATCACCTTTGACGTCCCGCTGGCCAGCCGCGGCCACCCAGAACTCAACAGCAGCATTGAGACGTGGGCGGCACAGTCTACTGGCGTTGGAGCGCACAGAGCTCACTTGCGCAGGCGCGACAGCGGCGCATCGGGCGGCCTGGACGTCACGGTGTCCTTGAAGGGTGTCGAGCGCGACGGGGACAGGGTGCTGACTCAGGGGCAGATTGCCAGCGACATCGCAAGCGCTATCGCCAGCGGCAAGGAGTTGCGGACACCAGGGAACGGACGCAAGGCGCGGGCGTCGCGCCGCCTCCTGCAGGCCCTCCTGGGAACAGGCAGTGGGTTTGAATCTGTGGGTACAAGCTCCGAGTGCGGGAACGGCGTGTGCGAAAGTGCATCGGAGACGGTAGTGATAGGACCTGATGGGCCTCAGTCGGGCTGCACGACGGTGGGCCCCACGGGCGCGACGGACTGCGACAGCGCGATGTACTCGTGCAAGGCGCCCGACTGGCTTCCGACGCTTGCGTGCGGTGGCGTTGGCGCGTGCGTCGCGGATGATGCTGGCGCGCCGCTGCTACAGCAGGTGGCCATTTGCCAGTGCGACACGGGGTACGCAGGCGAGGCGTGTCAGCAGTGCGCGGCGGACTACGCCGAAGTCGAGGGCAGCCGTGCAGCGGGGGCACTGCAGTGCCTGCGAGTGACCGTCAGCGCCGCGCGCGCCATCCCTACTGACACCCCTGCGCCCACACCGACAGCTGCATCAGGCACTTCACCGGCCCCCGCTTCAACGGACGCACCAGCAGCGTCCCCTGTCGTGACCGACGCACCTGCTGCAACCGCTGCCCCTGCGGCGACGCAGGCTCCTGCGGTCGCTCCTGTGCAAACACAAGCCGCTGCACAGGCGACGCCCTCGCCACCCAACCCGACCGCATCGCCGACCACCGCGCCCCCTGCCATCGTGACGACATTTGTTGATGTCGACGCGGATGCTCTCACCCTTACCGACCTCGACATCATCGCGGCGACGTTCTTCGAGGAGCTCTCCGCGACGATGCCGGGGCTGCAGCAGTCGGACGTGACGGCCCGCGTCGTGGGCACGGTGCGGCGGCGGCTGCTGGCGGTGCGCGTGGAGGTGGTGGTGCGCGTGGCGGCGGGCGAGGCGGCGGCGCAGGAGGCGGCGTCGAGCATCGAGACGAAGCGGGCGAGCGGGCAGCTGCAGGAGGCGGTGGTAGCGAAGGGGCTGGCGGCTCCCGTGACGATCAGCCCACCAACGGTGACGATGACGGAGAACGTGACCGCCGAAGCTGTCGAGGCTTCCGGCACGGACGACTCTTCCAGCGTCCCGATCGCGCCCATCGCAGCGGGCGCGGGCGGCGGTGGGATCGCTATCGCTGTGGGCGTGGTCGCGGTATTGGTGATTCGCAAACGGCGTCGCGCACGCGTCGCCGCTTCTGACGAGGGGGCTTCCGACGGCACTGAGGCCCGGCCGAAGTCTGCGTCGCCTGTAGAGTCCCCGACGCCCCAATCGGCATTGTCCGACGAGTGATTTGTTGGGCAGTCATCATGTGGGAGTGCCCTGGGTGGAGTCCCACGTGACATCTGCATGTCATCAGGACATACAACATATGACGTACGTGCGCATGATACACATTATTCTCACGACATGGGCAGTACAGGCATGCAAAGCTGAGTACACTGCACTGTAAACACCGTCGCGAGTGCGGGGCCCGGTGTGTGCCGGGATGATTGCAGCCAGACTCACGGGGTATCACTTGTTGTGTCATGAGGTGAGGTGGTACATTCTTCGCGTCGTCAGCCATAAGGCTTTGGGACCTGAAGAGATCATTCGACTAGGTGGCGAGTGATGCCAGCCCCCCACCGTTATGGCAGCGACAGGTTCGGCAGCTGAGACAGCGTCAGCTTGTAGCAGATCCTCGATGCCACGAGCGAAGATCTCCATGCCTCATGTGGGGTGTCCTGCTCGTGCATCACAAGTCTGCGCGGCCCCACGAGCACTCAGGCGAGCTGCCCTCGCGACAGCCACGGCCGCGGCCAGCTCTGCAAGCGACCTGCCGCGCCGACAGCATACAAGAACGCTGCCCAGCAGCCGTACCAGGTCGCTTCTCACTGACGACGGGCATGTGGAGAGCCTGAGTCAGGCTGACGCGCCGGGGCATGGTCACCATTGCCAATGATTGGTGTTGCGACCCGACAAGGTCCTCATTGCCCACAAGGCTCGCGAGGTGCTCGCACACCAGTGGCGTGCGCCCGCTGAGCGTGAAGCGACACACACAGCATTGGAAGCAGCTGCCAGAGGCACCTGGACACGCGATGCGACCCGCATCGCGTGGGGCCCGCAATGTCGGCATACAGGCCTGGGCTCGAGAGTATGCGCCGGCGCGTCTCGAGGCAGGCGCACGGGGTGCGCTGCCGGGTCTCCCTTTGCACGCGTCGTTGGGAGCGCGGATGTCCAGGGAGGACGCGCCCTCCCCGCGCAGCAGGGACCCGAACAAGCTGCAGCGCTCGGGCGAGCGCGAGAAGATCAAGGAGCTGCTCGTGGTGCGTCCCCGGCGACCGACGACGCCCGCGGGAGCTGTTGCAGCCGCGCTGGCGCAGCAGGGGCGGGCGGGGTGGATGTTTGGGATCGCGGTGGGCGCTATTGATAGACTGACGAGCAGGCGGCATCGCAATGCAGCGGCAGGCACGCGCCGGCGGGCGCGCAACGGCCACTTTGAGGTCCTGGGTGCACTCGTCGTCGCGCGTGAGCCATCTCACGCGTGCCCGCCGGTACTTGGCTCATGCAGGGGTGACTCGCTCGTCGCGACCACGGCCCGCCGCCTCCAGCAACACGCCCTGCGGCGATGGCAACACACCAGTGCGGTCGCGACAGCCAGCCTCGACCGCGACGGCTCCACGGTGCGGGGCGTCGACGCAGCCCATCGGTTGGGTCGGCAGTGCGTGGCGGGCACGGACGGGCGCCAGCTCACCGCGCACGTGCGCCCGGGCGCGCCGGCGGATGATGCGCCGCACATTGACACGACGGGCGACAAGGTGCTTGGGACGCTGGGGGCGCCGGGCGGAGCTCGTCGCGAGGGGGCTGGCGGCGCTGGTGATGCAGGCTGGCGTGACGGCGGCGTCGTACGTGCCCGCCGTGCGCGCAAGCGCGCGCGGGGTCGGCGGGTGCGGTGTTGCGTCCGGATAGGCGACTGGATGCCGTAGAGAGCGGCGCGGCGGGCGAACATGGTGCAAGCATGCAAGGCGGTGGCACCGGGGCGCTGAGGAAGCTCGGATCGCGCAGGATGCACTCGCGCGCCGGCGGCTTGAGATCCTCCTGAGTAGGGGTGGGGGATGGACCTCGAGAGACGCGCTGCGGCGGGTCGCAGCGGGGATCAACACGCGACGGGGCCGCGGACTAATGCTACTTGGCGTTCGGTCCGTCTCGGGGTGGGTCGAACTTCGAAGGCCCGCGGGGCGGCACCTTCCGACCGTGCTGAGCGTTCGGTCCTCCTCTAGCGCCGCGACCGGGGCGACTTCGTGCGCTTCACGCCAACGCCTCCGTCGGACATGGTTTCCATCATCCGGTCCGCCGCGATGCGGGCTGTGCGGGCGCTGCACCACGTCGGGGCGCTGGTCGTCTTTCTCGGCCTGCTGAGCGTCGTGGCCGCAGGTGTGTGCCTGGGTTCAAGAGCCCGCGTCGATCGCGGCGACGTGCAATCGTCGCAGACCGCGATGTTCCGCTCCGAGGCGACGCCGCCGGGCCGTCGATCGTGCGCACCCGCGAGGGAACCTCACACACTAGATGTCACGTTTCCCGGCCGATGCTGGCCGTTCCGGGACGAACCTCGCGTAGCTGGCTCGCGTCCGCTCGTGTACTGTCCACGCGTGTCTGCGCAGGTCGATCATCGGGGCTACACGGTCGAAAGCCGCTCGATCCGCGTAGTAGGCCCAGCACCACACGCTGCACATCTTTCTGCCCGCACGCCCTCAAATCCATCCAACGGACGCACCGCGCAGTCGCGATCCTTACAACCGTCTCGGATTGGGCCCTCGACGTCTTCTCGGGCTCACTCGACGCGTTCTCTGCGGTACTTCCGTGCAGGGTCCCCGGCTGCCACAAACGACGTGTTCGCGCGCCGCCGCGCCCTCGCGACGCGCGTCGCCGAGCAGCAGGCCGACCGTCTGCGCCGCCTCGGCTTTGCTGGCGAGGACGCCGTCACCCTCATGGCCGGCATGCACCCACACCTCAGCCCCACGCGCCGCTACGCTGGCGTGCTGGAGCCGGTGGGCGGCGACAGCGAGGCGGTGTACGACTTCCGGACGACGGTGGCGGCGACGGGCCGCACGGCGCACCTCAAGCGGACGTACCGCGCGCAGCCGGGCGCGCACATTCTGGAGGCGTGGCCGGAGGGGAGCGTGAGCGTGGTGCGGTGCTCGCTGTCGCCGGTGGAGGGCGGGGCGGGGACGCTGGCGCTGGCGATGGACGACCTGGGGCGCGCGGACGAGTGGGGCGTGGGCACTGGGCTGGTGTCCGTGAGGTGGGTGTTGACTACACATCATGTGGCTCGCTTTCTCCGCGTTCAGCGACGCTCATGGTCTGACCCCTCTCTCCTTGTCTACCGGCGTGCGCTGCAGTGGTCTGGGCTGCCCCGACGCCGAGGGCGACGACGAGCACCAGCCGGGCTTTGCACAGCGCATCACGTCGCTGCGCGTGTCGGGCGGCGTGCTGGAGGTCGCCACCGAGACCATGAACCCCGATGCGCTGATGGCTGGCGTGACGGAGAGCTTCGAGACGGCGCCCGGGGCGCCGGAGGTCGTGATGCGCGCGCACTATGCGGGCCCCGAGTACGGCGTGCTGGACGGCAGCAAGTGCGACATCGAGCCCGTCGGCACGGCCGCGATGGACGCCGACGCGGCGGTGACGCTGGAGGACGACCTGGCCGCTCGCGTGTACCTGTACGCGACGGAGATGGACCTGGACGCGCTAGAGGCTGCCATGGGTGGGCAGTACGGCATGGCGCTGGAGACGCGCGTGCACGGCGGCGCGCTGGAGCAGCACTCGCTGGCGTGTGCGGGCGTGGGCGGCGGCTCGCGCGTGTACCGTCAGATGCCGCTGGGCGACCTGCACGGCGCAGAGGCGAGCATGTGGGTGAACCTGGGGCGCGAGGGGGAGGAGTTTTTCTTCGAGGGCGTGGTGGCGCGGGCGATCGTGTCGGCGTCGCAGTTTGACGAGGCGGGCTTCTACACGCTGACGATGGGGAGCGAGCAGCACCCGGGGCTCGGCGAGGTGGTGCTGTACTGTCCGCAGTGCGGGGAGCTGGCGACGAGGACGCCGGTGCGGGGCAGGCGCGCGCAGACAAGCAGGATTGAGGACTGCGGTTCCTTCGATGCTGCCTGCATTGTCAGCGACCAGAACCTCGGCTCCGTGGAGTACCGCGACACGATCTACTTGCTGGGCAACGAGAACTCGGCGGCCGGCATCTCCCTGGACAACGTGCACGTGGGCATCAGCGACGTGGTGCTGCGCTACAAGCTCAACTACGACGTCCCGGCATTTGTCGAGGCCCTGGCGGAGGTGACAGGGTCGTACGAGTGGGGCTGGGGCATCAAGTACTGGGCTCGCAATGCGGGGGATTTCGAGCGCGAGAGGCCCGAAGAGGAGCGTATCGGCGACGTAGGCCTTCCCACGACGTTCGGGTTCTCCTCCTTCAGCAGCCCCGTCTTCATCGGCGTGAAGCTGTCGTACACCACCCTCTTCAACATGAACGTCGGCGGCGACAGCGTTCAGGGCGGTACCGGCACGGACTCGACGCAGCCGTTCTCGTACTTCGTCAAGTGGGACTCCGACACCGGATTCGCCTCCGCACGCGAGACCGGCAGCACCACGACTACGGACCGGGAGTACAGCGACAACAAGTACACCGGCACCACCACTATTGACGCGTCCTTCACGTTCCGGCCGATTGCGCGGGCTGGTATCTTCTTCAACGGCGCTCTCGGGGTCACCAGCGACTCGTGGGGCGCAGCGTACGTGGAGGCGTTCGTGGACGTGGTGTTCCGCGCCTTCATTACGCTCAACCCGGCCGGCCTGCCGGCCTCGGACACGCCGCCAGCAGGCATCCTCACGGGGCCTCCGGCGTTCACGCTCGGGAACTGCGGCGTCCCTCACCACATCGACGTGCAGGCGACGATCACGGTGTACGCGCTGCAGTGGTTCGTGTCCTACGACTTCGACTTCCCAATCCTTTCTAGGTTCGGGGAGCGTCTGCCTGCGGACGGATACAACGTGCAGTTCGCCAATGGCCAGGACGCCGAAGGCAGGGAAACGATGTTCGGCCCGTTCGACGTCCTGCGCGCCTGCCTGATCCCCGTGTCCCCCAGCAACCCGCCGCAGTTCTTCCCCGCTGTGGTCCTCGAGCTGGACATCTGGCAGGCGGACGCCGCAGGGTCAGGGTACGGCGACTGCCTCACCGCTGCCGCGATGGACGCGCTCACGGCCCAGATTGCCTCGGTGGCGAGTCTGAGTGCGGCGGACGTGGTGGTCTCGGCCAACATGTGTGCCGCGAGCAGGAGGTCTGCGGCGCGCAGGGGTCTCTTGCAGACGGGGGTCGTCGAGCAGCCGCCGGCGGAGAACAAGCAGACTGCCACGGTCGAGCTGTTGTACCGGACTGACGATGCCGCGGCTGCACAGCGCGACCCGGTTGTTTCAGGGATGTCGGCTCTCACGGACTCGCGGGCATTCCAGGACGGAGACTCGGGGCTGGTGATCGGTGGCACGACGAGCACGCAGGTGCTGGGGTCGACGCGCCCGGACGCAGCGTCTGGTGCGGCAACTACGAGCACGGGCGGCGCGTCTTCCGGCGGCTCATCGGGCGTGCCCATCATCGCGATCGCGGCGGGTGCGGGCGGCGGCGGGATCGCTATCGTCGCGGGCATCATCGCGGCGGTGGTGATTCGCAACCGGCGTCGCAGGGGCGTCGCTCCCTCGCCCGAGCGGGCGCCTCAAGGTGCCGAGGCGCAGGGCATTGAGGCGCGGCCCACGTCGCCAGTGTAGTCGCAGGCGGGAGGCGTCGCTCGACGTGACACTGGGCGGTCGTCACGGCGGCGGTGACCCGCGGGCGCCTCGCGTGACCTCGGCACGCTGACAGCACTCGGCGTCATGCGCAGCTATTGCTGCTGCGTGCCGGAATGTGAACGCAAGACGCCCGCGAGCCAGACGTCAGCCGTGCGAGTGCCGCGTTCCCGGACGTGCTTGCGGCCGCGAGCCTCATGGCACGTCTGCGCTGCCCAAAGAGCACGGAACGGGCTGATGCTGCTCCTCCGACACCCCTGACCAGCTCTGGCTGCGATCCTCCACGCCGGGAGTGCCCAGCGTCGCTGACCGCAGACCGGCGCCGGCGGCGTCCGCCGCACTGCGGCAGTGCGGAGTCAGGGGGGGGGAGTAAGACCTATTTGGGACCCATTGAATATGCATGACTGGGCGCCGCGGGGTGTCGCGAGCCGACGAGGTCCCCATGGCCCGCGGCCCGTGAGGCGCTCCCACAGTAGTGATGGCGTCCGCCGTGCACGGCCTCTGTGCGCTTCTGAGCGAGAGGTTGTTCCACAGGATTGCAACTAGCTGCCAGGGAGGCACCTGGACACACGACGCCACGCGACCTGCACGCCGAGGCCCTGCGTACTGACTTCATCGGCCTGAGCTCGAGAGGGCAGCTCCGCCCGCGGCGCGTCTCGAGGCAGGCGCGCGGGGGTCGCCCTGCTGCGTCCTCTTCTGCAAGCTCGCGGGAGCGCAGATGTCCAGGGAGGACGCGCCCGCCCCGCGCAACAGGGACCCGAACAAGCTGCAGCGCTCGGGCGAGCGCGAGAAGATCAAGGAGCTGCTCGTGGTGCGTCCCCGGGACCGACGAGGCCCGGGAGCTGTTGCAGCCGCGCTGGCGCAGCAGGGGCGGGCGCGGTGGATGTTTGCGAGCGCGCTGGACGCTAGTGGTGTACTCGGGAGCAGACCTCGCCGCAACGCAGCGGCAGGCACGCACCGGCGGGCGCGGGCCACTGGGAGGTGCCGGGTGCACTCGTTGCTGCACGTATGCGAGCCCACGCGTGGTGGCTGGTACCCCATCGATGCAGGAGCGACTGGCTGACTGCGGCTGGAAGGCGAGCGTAGAGAGGAAAGCCCGCGAGGCGCTGCGGCAGGAACATTCAGGCTCCCCGGTGACCATCGATGCGCTCGTCTCACAGGTGCGCCGAACCGCGGAAATTCCAGGCAGCTCCGCATGAACGATGCGAGGAGACGACCCCGTGGACGCCACGCGGCGTTAGCTCCCCGCCCACGACCGCAGCACCCGCCCACGATCCCGCACCCGCGACGGTCGCAGGTAGCCCCTAGCGCGCGCGCCGCGGTGCCCGACGACATCAAGGAGGACATCCTGCGTCTCCTCAAGGAGCACGCTCTCTCGGCATGAGCCACAACGCAGCCGGGCGGCCAGGCCCGCCCCAGCTGGTGGCCGCAGACCAGCCATGGCTCTTCGACACGCAGGGCGCCATGTCCGCGCACTGCGACGCCGGCGCGGGCCTCGTCGCGGTCATGGTCGGCGACCAGCTCGTCTGCTACCACGCCCCCGGCGAAGCCAACACCTGCCGCCGCCACATCCCGCCCCCGGTCGACCCACCGCGCGGGTTCCCCTTCGCCGGCGCGTCGTCCGCGGCCGCCGCGGGCGTCTCCGCGCACGAGCGCGGCATCATCGTGCCAGGCAACCTCAAGGCCTCCGGCACGCGCACCCGGGACCCCAACTCGGGACCTCCGAAGCCAACACCGCACGTCGCCTTCTCCATCTCTCTGCCGCTCGGCGAGGTGCACCAGGTGTCGGTGAGCCCGGACCACACCGCCGTCGCGGTCCTGCGCGGCCCGGAGCTCATCGCGCTGCTCGAGACGTCGTCTCCGGCGCCCACTGTCTCCCTCGAGCTCACGCCGCGCCTGCGGGGGGCACAGAATGGCGCGATCGCCGTGCACTGGGTGGACGCGCGGCACCTCCTGGTGTGCATGCGCGGAGGCGTCGCGCTGCACAAGGTCTCCCGGGGCGCGCGCGGGGAGCTGACCGCGGTCGGCGACGTGCCCGTTGATGCCGCGCGCCTTCCCGTGTCGTGGGTGCGGTGGTTCCCGCAGGCGCGCGCGGTGCTGGTGAGCTCCGGCGTGAAGGACTCGCTCGTCGCGTTCGTGGCGGACGCGGCGTCCGTGCCGGGGCAGCTCAAGCTGACGCGACTCCCCCCGGTGCGTCGCAGCAGCTCGTCGCACCCGCCCTCCGCGCCCGCGTCGCCGAGCCCGGGCAGCCGGCTCGACGTCCGCAGCGAGGCGCTGCCGGTCTCGACGCTGCCGCCACAGATCTCCGCGGGCGTCCTGCGGCGCGAGCATGCCGCGCAGCGCCGGTGGGAAACAACCCTCCCGTGCCACGCCATCGTCGCGCGGCTGTACGGCGGGCTCTGCTGCGTCCACGTCGACGTCGAGAGCGGCCGTCTCGCCCTGCACCGGCTGTTCCCGGACGGATGCGAGCCTGCATGGGAGACCACCGAGCCGTGGCTGCGCTGTCAATCGAACCCCGAGGCGGTCTCGCTGGGCTTCGTCGACAACCTCGTCGTCGTGTACGCGCGCGACGCGGGGCTGATGGCGATCGTCGACCCCGGACGCGCCGCCCCGGGGCCGGCGTGCGCGCCCGCGCCACCGCCGGCGGGGCTGGGGTCGGTCGGGGGGGAGTCGGGGGCGGTGTCCGGCGGCCTCGTGCTCGAGCAGCCGTGCACGTTGTTCGACTACGCAGGGGGCCGCGCGTGGCCGCTCGTGCCGGCGCTGGGCGCGATCGCCGAGACGATGGCGGCGGGGTCCGCAGCCGGGACGCCCGACGCCATCGGGCTGTTGCAGCGCCGCGCTGCGCGCGCGGGCAACCTGCTCGGCTTCGGCGTGGCGCAGGGGCCACCGGCGCAGCAGCTGACGCTGTCGCTCCTCGGGTCGGCGACGCTTGCACGGCAGCCGGCGTGGGCGGTCTCGCGGGCGTACCACGCGGCGCTGCGCGCGGGTGCGCTGGTGCACAGCAACGCGGGAAGGTCTACAGCGGCTCGGACGGCTCTGGGGGAGTCGTCTCCGGCGCCCACACCTACCGAGACGATCACTGTTGCCATCCAGGCGGCGCGCAGGCTGTGCCGCTCCGGACATGGCGACGACGCAGGTGAGCGCGTCTTCCCTTCCGGAGACTGATCCTTGTCTCGTTCTACCGCGGCGTCGAACCGTTCTGTGTGTCGTCAAGGTGCCTTGTGGTTCTTATGTTGCTTCCGCGTCGACGCGACGCAGTGCGGTACGCGGCCTGGGTGGTCGAGGAGGTCGCGCGGATCGCGGAGAGCGAGAGGACGGCGGTGCCGGACGAGCTGCACGCCGAGCGCGTGTCGTACTGCCTGCGTAGAGGCCCCTGGGGGAGTCTCGACGCCGAGCGCCTCGTGCGCTCGCAGCCGTCCATGCACTGCACGCTGGTGCGTTCCGAACGCGACGCACGACGCCTGTGTGCCCGGTCGATCCGCGCCCGCCGCAGCTGGTTCGATTTCCGCGCCAAAACCGATCTCGACATCCCCGGGGCCGTTATTTCGTCGTGTCGTGCAGCTTGGCGAGCGCCTGGAGCAGCTCGCGGTCCGGGGCCTGATGCCACAGGGGCAGGCGCTGGCGTGCGACGTGTACGCCTCGTGCGGGGCGCACGGGGAGTGCTGCGCGGCGCTCCTGCGCCAGGGGCGCGTGCGGGAGGCGGTGCAGCACGCCCGGCGGTGGCACGTGGACATGCCGCCGGAGGCGTTCCTGGACGCGGCGGAGAAGGTGACCGACGCGTGCGCGCGCGCGTCGCTCGCGCGGTTCTTCGAGACGCACGTGACGGGCGCGGCGCTGGCGGCGCGGGTGCGGGCCCTGACGCTCCCTCGCAGGGACGACGCGCGCGCGGCGTCGCCCGGCCGCCAGCGTCGGACGCCGTGATGATTCGCTAGGTCTTAGGTCTTTGGTGAGGTGTCTATCTATCTATGTGAGAGGCTCACAGCTGCTGTGCTTGATCTGGCGACACAGCACGAACGTGGAGGGTGGCCCGCACGTCCACGACACCGCCGCCGTGCCACGGAAGCGTCGGCGCCCCCCGGTGCGCTGGCTGGCCGCCCGTTCGGCGCCGAAGTTGACGTGGCGTCTCCTAGGGGGTGTGCAGCAGGCAGGGGCAGGCCGCCGGCACGGCACGCGCATCAGTGGCCGGCGTTCTCCTCGTCCGCCCCGCTGTGAATGTTATACTGCAGGAGCTTGTCGATGAGGTCGACGTGCGTCAACACCATTCTCCGACAGCAGTAGCGCTTCAGACCCAGCGAGTCCATCGCCTCCCTGCGGACGGAGTCGCGGTCAGGCGCGCGTAGTCGGAAACAGGATCGCACGAGAGGTTCGGACGCGCGGTTTGGCGCGCCAGGAGTGCAGCGGCGGCACCTGGGTGGCTAGCACAGCACACTAGGCGACGGGACGCACGGGTGAACGGCGCGGGAGCGGAAATACTGCGCGGAAAGATACGTCGTTGGTGCGTTGCATGCGGTGCGATGGCCAGGCGCGCGTGGTTCGGCCGGCCAGGCCGCCAGGGGACAGCCGGCGAGCAGTCGCGGGCGGGCGCAGCTCACTTCGGGGAGTAGTCGATCTTGAGCATGTCCAGATATGGTTGCCACTTGTCCGCTACCACCTGCACGCACCACCCGCGCCGCCTCCGCGGTGAAATCATCGGCGGACAGGCCCGCCACGGCAAGGTGTCCATGCACCGCAGCCGGGAGGGGCGCTCCAGCGTGTCCGCTCACCTTGCCACACGTGAAGCACCGCACGGGGATGATCATCCTGCACCTATGCGCACGTGCGGGGGCCCGGCGCCCCAGCAGCGGCCCCGTGAGACGACCCCACACGAGCGGTAGTTCTTGGCAGGGAGCGCGCGCTGTCTTTTGCCCGGACCGACGTTCAGCTTGGTCGCGACGCAGCCGGCGGGCGCTGTGACGAGTGCGCCGGGCGCGCGCGGGCTCCTGGCTTGCCGTGCTTCGAGCGGCCCTGTGAGTCGGTCGGGTGGTACAAGTAGTTGGATTCCGTGTTTTCGCGTCGATGAGGGATCGCGGTGGGCCGCAGGACGGTACAGATGCAAGTTTGGGACTCGAGGTAGCGGGCCGACAAACTCAATCGGTGCCAGCGGCGTTTGCGAAAGCGCACGGCCGAGACCATGCCACGCGCAGTCCCGTTCCGGCAGGAGCATCCGCTAGGTGAGCTTGCGGCCCCGTGACTCCGCTGGCGCTGCACTCGAATCATTCTCCCGACGCGCGTCGTTCTCGCAGACGGCACACGCGGCGCGTGGGAGCCGCTTTGCCCCCTGGATGCATCTTCCCGGAAAGCTCGTCCTGCGCTGACCGACCGCATCCGACGACCGCTTCGCAGAGAAACGGCGAGCTGAGGCCGAGCGGATCCGGGACAAGTACCCCGACCGCATCCCGGTACGCGGCCCGCGAGCCGGCCTATGCGACCTGTGGGCGCCCACCTTTGCGTCCCCGAGGACGCCGCTCGGGCCGCGCTCACGCCACGTCCGCGTCCGCGTCCGCCCCTGCAGGTCATCGTGGAGAAGGCGGAGCGTAGCGACATCCCAGACATCGACAAGAAGAAGTGCGCCCGCAGCCGAAGTCTGTTGCCCGCACACGCACAGCCCCGGCCGGATTCTCCGCCGCCGCGCGCGTACCGCGCACATCCTGCGCCGCGCCCGCCCCCAACGCTCCCATTCACGTCCACACGTCAGCCCCACGCGCCCCGTCCGCCCCCCTGCACGGCGAACGCGCCTCCCCACGCCTCACGAACAACCGAGGCAGTTGCTCCGCGCGCCATCAAAGGCACGCGTCCCCCACGACGACCCGCGCGCCGCGCCGTGACGCAGGTACCTCGTTCCGAGCGACCTCACCGTCGGCCAGTTCGTGTACGTCATCCGGAAGCGGATCCGGCTCAACCCACAGCAGGCCATCTTCATTTTCGTCAACAACGTGCTGCCGCCGACGGGTGCGTGCCCGACCGACGCCCGCGACGCCACCGACCGCCGAGCAGCTGCCCCCGCCGCCGCGTGCCCGCGCGAACGGCCCTGCAGCAGCCACGCGGCCCCAATGTGGCGCACTGCTGCGTCTCACCAGACACGGCGAGTGCCCCCGCGAAACGCAGCTGCGCTGATGGCGTCGATCTACGAGGACTACAAGGACCCGGACGGCTTCCTGTACGTCACGTACTCGTCGGAGAACACCTTCGGGTGACGTTGCAACACCCCCGCCTCTGCAACACACCCCCAGCGGCCCGCCCGGCGCGGGCCCGCACGCTGTGCCGCGCGCTGAACCAGGCGCGCATGTATATATACGCCTTGTGAGCCAGCAGCCCGCGTAGACTTGGATCGCAGCGACCGAGCCCTCACCTGCGCGTCGCAACAACACCTGACAGCGCCGCGCACTGGCCACGGACGCAGCGCATCCACTCCGAGCACCACGGTCACATCCGCGGCCCCCCATCCGCCTCAGGCGGGCGCGCAATACTCCCCCCAACTGCTCAACCCTCATCGCGGCGCACCTGCCATCTTGCCGCGCTTCGACGGCCGGCGCACCGCCTTCAGCGCCTCCTGCTCGCTGAACCTCTCGTCCTCGACCGTCAGGCCGCCCAGGAACGCCCCCAGGCTCGCCTGCAGGCCCGAACCCGCCGACCGTGCAGGCCCCTTGCCCCCCCTGCCCGCCTTCGCCCGCGCCTGCCCCTGCGGCCGCCCCCGCGCGCGCCCTGCTCCCCCGCGCCCCTCCTCGCTGGACTCGCTCGCCTCGGAGTCGCTCGCGAACCGCCCGAGGGCCTTCGCCGACGCGGCGCCCGCCTGCACCGCCGCGCGGTCGCCATCGTCCATAAAGTCCACCGCGCGCTCCTCCGACTCCGCCCGCGCGTGCTTCCGCGACCGCCGCCGCGCCGCGCCGCCCTCGGCCGTGCTGTGGTGCTCGGCGCCGCCGCTGCCCCGCCGCCCCGCCGACGCGCAGTCCGGCCCGGGCGTTCCGCGACGCGGCCCGGCGTGGTGGTGCTCCTCGCCGTCGTCGTCGCTGCGGAGCCCGCCCACGACCGACCCCCACATGCCCCCGTGCCCACTGTACAGGAGGCCGCGTGGCGACGACGAGTCGTGGCCCGTCGAGAACCCCGACAGCTCCCCGCTGCTAAGGCCGAAATCGAAGCCGTGGAACTGCGAGCGGTGCTCGAGCTTCGCGCGCGCCTGCGCGAGCTTGAGCTGGAACGTCGACTTGTGTTTGGCTCCCCCGCGCACCTCCCCGGGGGACTGCGCGGGGGAGTGCGGGGCGGCGCGCACGACCGCGTCGGCGCCCGCGCCGGCCTCGGCGTGGCTCGCGGGCACCGCTGCGAACGTCACGCGCTTCTGCGCGCCGCCGTGCCCGCTGTGCGAGAGCGAGTGCGCGCCGAGCACCGCCGCGGAGTGGGCCCGCATCGCCGTCGCCAGCGGGCGCGTCCCCGCGGACGGCGGCTCGTGCCGCACGGCCGCCGGCGCGCGCCCGTGCTCCCCGTCGTCGCTGTCGCTCGGATACGCGTGCGCCACCTGCGCGCCGTGCGCTGCCGCAGCGGCCCGCGCCGCCTCCGCCGCAGCGCCCGCCCGCGCCTCCGCCTCCGCCGCGACCGCCCAGCGGTGCTCGCGCAGAGCCTCCATCTCGTCCACGACGCCCTCGCCCGACCCGCGCGCCTCCCCGCTGCCCCCCTCCGCGCACACGTCGCCGTCCAGCATCGCGCGCGCGTCGCGCCCAGTCTCCTCCCGATACAGCTCCCCGTAGCTCGACACCTGCACGCCCGGCCGGATCGCCGCGCCGCTCCACCAGCGCCGCTGCGCGCCGACCCGGGGAGCGCGCGTGCGGCCCCCGTGCGCGCTGCGCGCGTGACCGCCGCCGCCGGGACCATCCGGGATCTCCACCTCGACGGTCTCCGGCCGGATGATCGCGCTCGGCTTGCCCTGGAGAACGACGTGGACCTTGGCGCGCAGCGGGGCGGCGGCTGGGCCGGCGGCGGCGTCGTCGCCGGGCCGGTCTTCGTCCTCGGAAGCCACGCCTAGCCAAGTGACTCCATATTTGTCCAAATAGCTGGGCTTCGCGGGCTCGACGCGCAGCGTGGCGCCCCGCCACTTGCTATTGTGGTAGAGGCTGATGCACTTCGCCAGCGACTTGTCATCTGCGCGCCGGGGGGCGCTCGCGGGGACGTGTGGGCCTCACCGCAGATGCTGGCCGCGATTGCGCCGCGAGTAGCGCGCGGTGCCCGACGTCAAACTCGGCCACAGGTGCATCTAATACGGAGCGATCTGCCGCGGGTGCGCGAGGGCGCAGTTGCCGCCCGGTCCGCGGGCGGCGGGCGCTCCTCTGACCTGCGGGCTCCAGCTCGACGTAGCCGAACCCCTTGCAGCGGCTGGTCGCTCGGCCGTCCTGGTCCGTCTGCGGCACAATCTCGATGTGACCGACGACGCCGAACGGCTTGAAGCGGCTCGCGAGCATCTCCGCGGTGACGTCTTCCCGAAGGCCGCCCACAAACAGGCGCACCATCGCGGGGCCGCCCTGCCCGACGCGCGGCGCAGCGCCGGCGTGTCCACGCTGAGTGGCGAGCAGCTACGCGGGCGTGCAGCCGTCCATGGCCGCCTGGCGGCGCTGCGGGCGACGCTTCCAACTGGCGACGCAACAGCACGTGTCGTATCGCAGCGGGCGAGGATTTTCAGAGGCCCGCTCCTATCTCACAGGACGGCGCTTGCACGCTTGTGTCCCGGGCGGCCGGCGTGGTAGCCGTTCGGAGTCTCGCGTGAACGTCGTGGGCCCCGGAGTTGTTCTATTTCACGTCCGCCAGCCTGGTCCGCGAGGGGGGGCGCGAGGGCGCGCTGCGGGCTGCTCGCGCGGCACATTGCCTTGCTTGAAATACGCAGCTGCGCGTGACGTGGTGTTCGAGCGTGGCGGTGCAAGGAGAACGGCGGCATGGCGCACGTTTGGCGGCCAGCCGCGCCGCTGGCAGGCTGTGCCGGCCGCACCGCGCCGTCTGGGGGGCGCAAAATGCGGCTGACGACGTCCGCACTCGCTTCCGGTAGCGCGAATAGGGACATCATGCAGCGACGGACGCCACTCTGGAGCGCCGATGAGGTGCGGGCCCTGCCACTGGATGACGCGTCGCGCGGCCGCGGCACGCGGCCCCGCGGCCCAAGTCTCCCTTCGCGACCTCGAGCAGTCCCTGCTCACCCCCACGGCGGCGCCGTCGTCGCGCCAGCGCCGCTCTGCGCGCGCACGAGCGGCCCAGCAGCGGCGCGGCGCTGCTTGTCGCGGTCCTGCGCCCGACGCGGCCGTTCCCGCGCGTTCGTCCCCCGCATTCCCGCAGGCGATAGAGCAGCTGCGGTTGGCGACGCACCCGAACGCGGACCGCAACTTCTACGCCTTTTACAGCAGCGAGGCCAAGGGCATCACCAAGGACCCGGTGGGCATGGTGGTGCCCATCGACGACCACATGGCGCACCGCGGCCACGCGGTCTTCGACACGGCGCTCATCACGCAGGGCTACCTCTACCAGCTCGACCGCCACCTCGACCGCCTCGTTGCCAGCGCCGCGGCCGCGTCCATCCCGCTGCCGCCGGACGGCCGGGAGGGCATGCGCACCGCCATCCTGCACACCGCCGCGGCCTCGTGCGTGGAGAACGGCTCCGTGCGGTACTGGCTCAGCGCCGGCCGCGGCGGGTTCGGTCTCTCGGGCAAGGAGTGCGTGCGCCCGTCGTTCTACTGCATCGTGTACGGTACGTCGCCCGCCGCCGCCGCGCCCGCGCCGCGCGCGCCGAGCGCCCGCGTCGCTCCGTGACGGCTCCGACGCCCGGCGCGACGCGTCCGGGCCCGCGCCGTTGCCGCTGCAGGGTCCACGCCGGCGGAGGCGGACCCGGAGGAGGAGCCGGCGCACCTGCGCGGGTGGAAGGTGATGACGTCGTCGGTGCCGATCAAGTCCGGGACGTTCGCGACGCTGAAGAGCAACAACTACCTCCCCAACGCGCTGTGCTTGATGGAGGCCGAGGCGGCGGGGTGCGACCAGGGGATCTTCGTGGACGACGAGGGCTTCGTCGCGGAGGGCCCGAACTGCAACGTGATGGCGCTGCTGCCCGACGGGGAGCTCGTCACGCCGCCGTTCGACAAGGCGCTGGCGGGGATCACCGCGCAGCGCGTGCTGGAGCTCGTGGGCGGGCTGCTCGAGTCGGGGGACATCGCGGACTTCCCGGAGCTCGGGGCGATCAAGAAGGTGCGCCCGGGACCGCCGCGCGCAGGACTGATGCGTGTGGCATCAGTCCTTGCATCCCTGGCCTGCTCTCAATCGAGAAATCCCGACTGCTGGTTGGCCCCAACTCCTGTGCTCGGCTGCTGGCTGTCCTGCGCGAGCGCTCGACGTCCACGGGCGGCGACGAGCCGGCCGGGCGGGGCTCTGCGAGGCGGCGAGCTGCGCCCGCGCGTCCACAACTCGTCCACGGCCGCGCTGCCAGCGCGCGACAGGCGCTGTGGCGGTGCGCGCGGCGCTGTGCAGGTCTCGCAGCGTCCGATCAAGGTGGATGAGATCAAGGGCGCGGAGGAGGTCATGATGCTGGGCAGCACCACCAAGGCCACGTCGGTGGTGCAGTGGGACGCCATCACGATCGGGTCGGGGGCGCCCGGCACCGTGACGCTGGCGCTGCGGCGCATGATCGAGAACGACATGGAGCCCCCGGGGCCGGAGCACGTCGAGGTGCCGTACGGGTACGTGACCGGCATGGAACTGTGACGGACGAGCGGCACGGCGCAGCGTGTCAACTGGAGGCCACGTTGGGCAAGGAAGGGGGGGGCGAGAGCAGCGACGCGGTGGAGAGCCCGCACGCAGGATGGGCAATGTGTGGGGGCGGGCGTTTGGGTGTGTGATGCGATGGCGTGGTGCGGGGCGCGCCGAGGGACCCCGCGCGACCTGCGCGCAGTCGAGGGCCGGCGTCGCCGCGCGCGTGCTCGCCGGACGCCGCGCCGCCCGCCGGGTGCGGACGGTGTGGTGCTGTTTTGCTCACCGCGCTCAGCCAGTAAGACTCGTGCGCCCTTGCGGGGAGGAAATCGCACCTCCGGGCGGCGCAACTTCGGGCTCACTCGCAGCCTGACGCCGCGCGGAAGAGCGCGGTGCGCGGCATTCCTCGCCGCGGCGCGACAGTTACTGCTCTCGGTGGGTGCTGCTGTCTGGGGCGCTCTGCGCATCTGTGCGGGTCGCGTGCGCAGGAGAACCGGCGGGCCCGCAGTGTCACGGCATGCGGCGCGTCTCGACGCGCTGTCGACGATCGCGCCCATAAAGCGCGGCGCGACTGACGCGGTCGCCTCCAGTAGAGGCCCGTGGCGCTTTCCCGGCGCGGCGTCGCGTCGCGGCGTCTTGGGGGGGCGGCGCCCGGCGGGATCGTCACAACGAGACGTTTCGAACGTTGCAACGTCCAGGCGCACGTACAGATAGTGTTCGCAACACGCCACAGCGCTGCGCACGCAGAGGAGCACCGGTGCAAGCGCAGCGACAACACAGGTGCGGCGTCGCGCCCGGCCGCGCGCACGTCCCTTCCCTTCCCTTGAACACCGCATTGGCGTCGTCGGCGCGCGATCGCGACGCCTCACCGCGGCGGGCGCGGCAACGGCTCGGCCTCGTGTTGAGCGCGCACTCGTGGGGCGCAGGACGCGTCCGTGCGCCCCTGCGCGCTCGCGTTCGCGCGATACCGTCTTCGTACCCCGCCAGGCGCCCCGCATTCGCGTCCGCGCGCCCCGCGCCCGCCGGTGCCCGGGCTGGGCCTCCCCGTTGCTTTTCGTGCCCGCGAGGGGCCGTGGGGTGGCGCCCTCCGCCGGCGTCGCGCCACGCGCTCGCTTCGGTGCAATCTGCGCTCGCCGCCGAACACGCCGCGGACCGCTGGCGACGGCCGTGCCTGTGCGTGCTCGCGGCCATGCGCGCTCGCCTCGCCCCGCGCGCTTCCGGCGCCGCGCACACGGCCGCGGGGGGCTCCCCAGACCGCCATTATCCGATGCGTCGCGCCGCGGGATCTCGCCACGTCCCGCCCGGCCAGCGCGAGCGCCTCCGTCGCGGGCGGATGCGCGCGCTCGCCGCTTGCCGGGGCCGCCCGGCCGCGCACGCGCGCTCCCCTCACTCTGCGCGAAGCTTTCGACGCGCTCCGCCCGCGAACCCGCCACCGCGCGCCCCGTCGCTGGTCAGCGCGCGCCCGTTTTCGGGCAACGGTGACTGCGTCGCACCGGCCCGATGGCGCGCTCACCGCCCGAACCTCCCCCGCGACCGCTCTCCAGGAATCATATGGCAGGCCCCGGGCCGTGAGTTGCCGTTTCGGCAGGATCTCGTGGCTTGGATGGCAGTTTGGAGCCCGTCGCTCGTCGAGGACACCCCTTGCGAGAAGCGCCGGGCGCTGCGCACAACATGATGGTCGACGTGAAGACCGAGCTGCAGGACCGCGCGGGGGTCCAGACAGCGGTGCGTGCGCCGAGCTGCGCCCTCTGCTGGACGCATCGAGCTCGCGCCCTCGCACGCCGCGGGCGCCCGAACGCGGGCCGCGCGCGCGGACAGCCCTCTCGCATCGTCGAAATCGACCCGATCGCGCACCGCACGCGCCGCAGAGCGCTCCCGCAGAAAGTCCGTTGCGCCCCCAGTGGCCAGGCGACCTCACCGCCCGTCCCCTCCCGCACCCCCGCAGGCGCACGAGGCGCGCGACGTGCCGGCCATGGAGGGCGCCGCGGCCATCGGCCAGGCCGCGCCGGTCGCGCTCGCGCACCCGTCCCCCGCGCCGCCCCCCGCGGACGCGCACGGCTCGGACACTGGCGAAGGCACCGCCGGCGCGAAGCGGTCGTACGGGACCGCGGACCTGCAAGTGCCGGACGACAACGGCAACGACGGGTCCACAGACGGCGGCGCCGCGACCAAGCGGCCCCGCACGGGCTCCAGCGGGGACGGGAGCAACCCTGATACCTTGCGCGTGGAGACGGTGCCCCCCGTCGTCAGCTGGCCGAAACCCGCGCGCCGCCGCACGCACCCGCGCCGACGGGCCTCCGACGGGCGCATCCGCAAGCTGAGGGCCACCGTCGACGCACTCGCGAAGCCCGCGGCCGCCGACGCGGGCGAGGAGGCCAACGACGTCGCCGCGCTGCTCCTCGGGCTCGCCGGGAACCCCGCGCAGGACGCCGCGCTGCCGGCGCGCGTCGCGCGGCTCGCGGCGGCGGCGCAGGAGCTCCCCGCGTCGCCGCCGACGCACCTGTGCACCGCGTGCGGCCGCGCGGTGGAGCTGCGCCACGGACGGCGCCCGTCCTTCCTGTGCCACAAGGCGCCCGGCGTGGCGGGCTGCGGGCGCCGCGCGGGCACCGCGCACGCCGTGCCGGCCACGGGCGGCCCGCCGCCGGGCGCCGGAGCGACGCCGATGGCGCCCTGGGGCGCCGCGTTCGCGCTGCTGCCTGTGGTGCACGCCGCCGACGTGGCCGGCCCGCCGAGCCCGACGCACGACAAGAGCGCGACGGCGACGCGCGACGCGTCCCCGGCGGCGCGCTCGCAGCGGCGCAGCGAGGCGGAGGACGCCGCGCACGAGCCCGCGGGGCGCTCGGGCGGGTGACGCCGCCGCGCCGCCACGCCGCCCCGGCGGCTCCCGCGGCGCGCGGCCGCGGCGGCCCTCCGCGGCGTCCGCGGCGACGACAACGACGACGACGCGCGCGACGCCGGCCGCGACGACGCCTCGGACAACACGCCGGCCCCCTCGGCCAGCGAGGCGTCGGGCGGGACCACGGCCACGGGCGCGACGGGCGCCGGCGCGGCCCCGGCCCGCCGCCACCGCGCCCCGGGCTACAAGTCCGAGCTCGTGCAGCTCTGCGAGCAGTTCCGCGACATGTACGGCACCCCCGACGCCCACGGGCAGCTGCGCGACATCTACCTGAACGAGGCCGCGCAGGCGCTCGGGACGGCGCGGCGGCGCCTGTACGACATCATCAACGTGCTCAGCGCCGTCGAGGTCGTCGCGCGCACGGGCAAGCTCACGTACGTCTGGCGCGGCACCGCGCACCTCCCGCAGCTGATGCAGAGCCTCGTGCACGAGGAGCTCCACGGCATGCCCGCCGTGCGCCCGACGAAGCAGGAGCCGTACGACCCGTACCTGCTCCTCCCGTCGCCCGCGGAGTCCAAGCACCCCTCCCCGTGCTCCCTCTGGACGCTCGCGCGCAAGTTCGTGCGCCTCCTCCTGGCGCGCGGCGCCCAGCAGCCGCTGCTCCTCAGCGAGGCCGCGGGGCTGCTCTCCGGCGACGGCGCGGTCGGGCGGCGCGCGGCCAAGTCGCAGCAGATCATCACGGTCGAGCGCCGGCTGTACGACGTGTGCTCGATCCTCTGTACCATGGGCCTCGTGGAGAAGGTTCAGCTGGGGCGCAGGCAGCCGGCCTACCGCTGGAGCTTCGTGCCGCAAGGCGGGGCGCAGCCGGCGCCCCGCGGGGCCGCGCCGAGCGGGGCCGTGCCGAGCGCGAACACGGGCAGCTGCCAGTTCACGGCGGACGGCGCGCGCGTGGGCGGCGGCGGCAACGGGGCGCAGCAGCAGGCCATGATGGCCACGCTGATGAGCGACCCGCTGCTGGCGTCGCTGAACCCCGCGGCGCTGCAGGCGATGGTGGACGTGATGATGAGCCACGGGAACAACGCGGGGACCAACAGCAACGGCACGAACACCCACAGCGGGCCCCCCGGTCACGCGCACGTGGCCGCGCCGCCGCGCCCCGCGCCGCCGGCGCCGCCGCTGCCGTCGGAGTTCCAGGCGGTCGAGACGCTCCTGCAGCAGGTCATCGGCCTCGTCCCGCCCGCCGGCCCCGCGCCGTCGGGCCTGTCGTCGGGCCCCAACGGAGCCCCCTCGTCAGCGCCCACGGGCAGCACCGGCGGGCTCCCGCAGGCGCCCGAGCTCCTGCAGCAGCTCATCGCGGTGCTCGAGGCGCTCGCCGCACCGCCGCGGTCCACGGGCCCGGACCCGAGCCTGGCGCTGGTGCAGGCGCTCATCGCCCTGGGGTCCTCCTCGGGAATACCCCCCCCCTCGTCGCCGGACGAGATGGCCGCGCTGTTCGGGACGCTCCCGGTCCTGCTCCAGACGCTCCAGTCGCTCGGGGACGGCAACAGCGCCGGGAACAACGGCGCCGCGACGCCGATGCCGGCGCAGTCGCAGCAACAGCAGAGCAGCGGCGGGCTGTCGCACAGCATGGGGCAGATGCCGCTCCCCGCCTGGGCGCAGCGCCCGCCGGCGTCGCTCCCGCCCCCGAGCTCCATCTCGAACCCCTCGGTCTCGGGCCAGAAGCGCAACTCGCAGAGCTACGGCGGCAGCGGCAACCCGCTGGCGTCGAGCCCGCCGGCGCCGCAGCCCGCGCAGCTCGCGCACTTCGCGCACCTCGCGCAGCAGGCGCAGCACCGGGGCGGACACCCCACGCAGCAGGCGCAGCACCACCCGCACGCGCATGCCTACCACCCGCACCCCCCGCAGCCGCCCAAGCCGCAGGGCGCGCACGGGGGCGCGAACGACTTCATGCAGGCCGCGGTGCAGCTCCTCGCGTCGCAGCTGCCGCCCGGGACGGACCCCGCCGCGCTCCTCGCGGCGATGGGCCTCCCCGGCATGACGTCGCCCGCCAGCAGCGCGCCCTCGGCGCACCGGTCGGGCCAGGCGACGCCCGCGATGGGCCCGCCCGCCAGCAGCGGCCCGCCGCCCGCGAGCGCGCCGCCGCCGCCCCCCGCGCACGCCCCCGCGCAGCACACACACGCGCACCGGCCCGAGGACGACGCAAACGTGACGGCCCTCATGCAGGCCATGCTGGGCGTGTTCGGCAGCTTCGCCCCGGCGCCCCGGCCGCAGTGACGAGCAACGCTCGCGGCCCGCCAACGCGACGTCCGGCAGCGCGCAGGCGGGCCGCGAGCCCCCGCTCAACACCCAACCCCCCCGCCTCGCGAAGCGACACCCCAACTAAGGCAGCAACCCCCTCCCTTTCTCCCCCCCCCCTCCCTCCACCGCGCTGAATTGCTGCCTCGACCGCATGCCGTTTCCGCTCGGATTACCGCCCACCCGTCAGAGAGTCTACCCCCCACAGACTCATCCAGTTTCTCCCGATCAGGCTGCACAGCCTTGATGCTCAGCGCCACCGACCTGCGCCCCCCGCGGTGGCCCCCCCTCCCTCGATCGTGCATAAGTCCTCCCGCCCACCGGTTCCCAACCCCACTCCGCGCTGCTCAGCCTTGCACGGAGAGGTGGCGCAGCCACGGTGAACCCGCCAGGGACTCACGACAGCCACCTGCGGACAATGCCCCCCTCCCCGCCCTTCGCGCCCACCTACCCCCTTGAAATATCAGACCAGGCAACATATCCGCGCACTCTGCTGCTGCGGACAGCAAACAGAACACCAGCACCCCCCCACGCACCCCCACCCGACCCCCGCCCCCCCCACGCTCACTTGCGACCCCTGATCGCAGCATGCAACCGCACCCCGCCCCGACCGCTCCACCCCTGCTAGGCGGCATCAGGCCATCCCCCCCGGCGCTCACCCCAGCCCCCTCTCCACAAGAGAGTGCTCCGACAGCCAGTGCCTCCCACCCTCAGCCCCTGTCACGCCCCCCCCCCGAACTCCTACCACCTCCCCTTCACACTCCGTTCCCGACCTCGCCGATTCGCCTCCCACCCCATCCCATGCGGGCCACCCGCGGCCTCTGGGCATTCGCACGACACGCACCAGCGGCTCTGCAACCAGCGTGCGGCCAGGGCGCGTCCCAACCCTCACCCAGCCACGGCGCAAGGCGTCAAACCCGTGGAAGGGGGTGCCAAGTGCACCGAGCACCCTGCCCCTCTGCGACCTCGGCCCCCACCCCCCACCACCTTTTCGGGCGACCCCGTCCTGTGCCTGACTGACGCCCCCCCCGCTAGCATTTCATTGCGGCCGCTCGCCCAGGGGCCGCCGACAGCCCCTCCCCCCAGCGCCACCTCGACCCTCTCGTCAGATCCGGCCCGCCGACATCAGCCGCCTTGCGAAGGGTCGTTTTCACAGCCCGCGCTCTTGACGCGAACATCTCGGCATCCCCCACGAGCTCGACAGCCCTCCCGCGTTGCTGGGGGCGCGCTGCTATTACCAGGAGCGCACCCCCAGCATTTCCCCGCTGCTCCAGGCCGGCGGCGTCACCCGACCCGCCCCCCACCCGGCTCCGTCGGAGGTCCCTGACGTCGGCTCGTCGTCAGGATCCCGCGCTCTCTCTCGATTTCGTTGCCCCTCTCAATCTCTCCTCTAGCGCCTCAGCGGCGCTCTGGCAGCTTCATTCACGAAACCTTCTCCCCCCCTGACCGGGCAGAGCACCCGCTGGCATTCCAGCTGAGAGCCCTGTTCCCCGCCCCAGTGTTCCACACTCTCTACGCAGCTGTTCTTGGGGCGCACGACACGTGGCCCCAGTCCCCGTCCTAACGCCCCCCTCCTCCGTCCGCGGAGCAGTGCACCTATGCATTTCCGTAGCCAACCCCCAGCGCATCTGGCGTCGGCTCTCCGAAACAAGGCGCCGTCGTTCGGTCGCAGGAAGAGATGCCGCGCCCGCCGCGCCCCGCGCTGGCCATCAGCGCCCGTGTAACCACCCACGCCGGACCCGAGACCCCCGGATGTCACGACAGCGAGCGAGCCCGTCTGCTGTGTGAGTCTCGCCTGCCGTTTCGGTCGCTCAAGCGTCCTCGCGGCGAGGGTGCTTGTAGGTCAGCAAAGTACTATCCCATACTCATCCCTGCGCTCTCAGGTGAGAGAGAGAGCAAAGGGTGGGCTGCAAGGTCCCCTCCGTGAGGCTGGAAGTTCGCCTATCGAGCCGAGCGGTTGGCACAGTACTAGCTCAGGCGTCCTCGCGATGAGGGTGCCTGAAGGTCAGCGAAGTACGAACCACGCTGAAAGCACGTCGCGTTGTTCCCCTGGCTTGCGTGGCGCCGGTAGGCCAGCGAGGGTGCTTGTACGTCAGCGAGTTACTAAAAATAAACAAATACGAACTACGAAAAGGCCAGCAGGGACTCGCGACGGATCCGCAGCGCAGCGCGGTGAGGCCACGCGGCGCGGTCGTGCTCGCGGTGTTACAATCGCGCGCCGGCCTCGTCATTTCGAGGGCGCGGACGGCAGCAGGCGGAAAATCTGGTTGCGGATGAGGCACCCATAGTAGCCCTGGTTGGGGTCCTTGTTCACGAACGACGTGTCGATGATGAACGTCTCCACGAACGTCGACTCCGCGCTCCTCCCCAGCGCACTCGCCTGCACGCACGTCCACACCACGCGCGGGCGGCGTCGTTGCCCTCCACCAGGTTCCACGGCAACCGGCAGACAGATTTCCGCAGCGTGGGCACACGGGCGGGGGCCGACGACCGTTCCCGGCACGCGGCGGCGGCGGGGCGGGCGGGTCTCACCGCTCCCAGCATGGTGACCTTCCCCTTGACGTAGACCAGGATCATGTTCTTCCCATGCAGTAGCCGCGACGAGTACAGGTCCTGGATCTCGTGGCGCGTGCCCCCGAACGCCGTGTTCTGCTCCGACAGCTCCTCCAGCTTCTTCTTAATGTCCGACGCGCCCACGCTCATCTCCGCCTCGTACGTAAAGTGCGCGTCCTCCCTGCACACACATCATGCACAACACCCACCACGTCTCGCCCCGGCACGGCCCCACGAAGCTGCGCGCACGCGCGCACGCATGCTGCGACAGCCCTGCACGTAGCGCGGGCGCGGCAGGCGGGGCCACGAACGCACGCGTAGAACTTGGCCAGGCGCGCCAGGGCGCCGCTCTTCCTCCCGGCGTCCTTGAACATGTACGACCGGTTGACCATGAGCATCGCGGTCTCCGAGAGCTTCTCGTCCACGGAGACGTGCTTGCTCACGAACCGCGCCAGGTCCTGCGACCGCCCGGCGTACTTTTGCACCCACGGGTGCTTCAGCAGCGTCTGCACGTGCGCGCGCTCGGCGGGGTCCTTCCGCATGCACAGCGACAGAAAGTCCCGGAACTCCGGCGACACCCCGCGCGCGTCCGTCGTCGTGTCGGGCGGCAGCGGGATCTCGTCCTCGCACACGTGGATCATGAGCTGCAGCGGCCCCGCCGACGCGTCGTACGGGTACCGGCCCATCGCGCACTCGAGCAGCGTGAGGCCGAGCGACCAGATGTCCGCGGCGAACGAGTACGGCTTCGAGTTGATGCGCTCCGGCGACATGTAGGTCACGGTGCCGGTGAAGGTGTGGCACACCGCCAGCGTGTTGTCCATGACCGACGCAATGCCGAAGTCCGCGATCTTGCTCGTGCCGAGCGTCGACACGAGGATGTTCGCGGGCTTGATGTCGCGGTGCACGAGGTGCCGCCGGTTGAGCTCCGCCATGCCCCGCAGGACGTCGGCGGTGATGATGCCCAGATACTGTTCGGGGACCTTCCCGACCTTCTTGACGAGGTCCGCGAGGCTCCCGCCGTCCATGTACTCGAGGACGACGGACAGCTGGCCCGTCTCCGAGCTCATGAAGGCGCCGAGGAACTGCACGACGCCCGGGAGCGTCTCGCGGCACAGCGCCTCCACGTCAATCATCATCTGCTTCATTTTGTCCGCCTCCTGCCAGTTGATGCGCTTGACGGCCACGAAGCGGTTCATCGAGGGGTAGAACGCCTTGTGGACCACGGAGCACGCGCCCGAGCCCAGGTTGCGCACCACCTGCAGTGTTTGGCAGGGGGCGGTGTGGCGGTCGCGGAACGAACGGCGGGGGGCTGCTTGCGGGAGGCGCAGGTCGCGTGTGGATGGGGCGTTGCGCAGCGGACGGAAGCGGGGCGGAAAGCTGCCCACTGGGCGCGCCACGCGCGGGAGCGCCCTCTCCGCGGGGTAGGGAGCGCCGTGCAGCGGCGGTGTCGCGGGGGTGCGAGGCGCGCAGGGAGCCGAGGAGTACGCACCTTCAGGTTCTTCTCCGTGACGGTATAGTGGACCGTGCTTGGCCGCGAACCGGCCGGGGGCACGGTGCCAGTGCCAACCGACGTGCTTGGCCGCGACGCCTGCGGGCCAGACCCCGCTGCCATGCCCGAGCCCGTTGGCTGCGCTGCACTGGAAGGCCTGCGAACCACGAAGAAGCACCAACGATGGCTGTGAGGCGGGGCGCCGGGCGAGCAGTGGTAGGTGCAACCTTCACGCCCGCGAGCGCAGCTGGCGGCGCTCCAAACGCGTTTGGGGCGACCCGGAGCACGGGCAGCATCTCTGCGTTCGTTTGAGCCGAGGTCAGACGCTGTTCGCCCTGCATTCGCGGCCGTCTGCACGTGAGAGCTGGCGGGGAACACCGCGCCGTGGCCCCGCGCGGAGAAGGGCCGGCGCGCGTCCCTTCAGATCGCGGCGAAGAACGGCCATGGTGGTGCTGCAACGCAACTGCAAGTCTGCCGCTGCACTCGCGCGCCCACGTGTCGGTAGCTGCTAGGCTGTGCTGAACTGTTCAACGGCCCCGGGGCAGGGGCCGGCCACGCTACAGGCCGTTTCGGCCGCCGTTCCGGCAACACCATGCATGCACCCGTGCGCGCGACGCCGCTTTCCCCGCTGGAACGCCGTGCGCGCCACAGCGTTTTGCGCGAGCCTCGCGGGCACCCTGCGGGCCCACGAGCCCTACAGCGCGCCCCGCGCAGCGCAACTCCGCACCGCTGCGAGCCACCGACTCCGCCGCGCGCACCCTCGCCCGCGCGACGCATCGCCCCGCCCCTGCGCGCGCGCGCGCCCCCCAGCCCAGGCAGACCTACTGGTGGCCCGCGGGCGCCCCGGGGTCGCACCTGTCCGTGACCACGAGGCCTCGGTCCGAGAACATGAACTGTCCGTTCGGGCGATCGATCCGCAGCGTCCCCGCGTCCGACATGTTGTAGTTCATTCCCTTGCTGTCTCCGCGCCCCTGCTCCTCCGCCGCGTCGCCGCCGGGCGCGCCGCTCCCCGGGGCCGCTACATTCAGCGTCGGCTTCTTGAAGCGCGGCGGCATGGTGCACGCCGCGCTGCACCCCCCTCGCCGCGCCGCCCTGCCCTGCCGCCACTACCAGAGATTAAAAGCAGCCAGCAGTTGGGATTCTCCCTTCTGCACGCCCAGCTGTAGACACTAGCCCGCCGTCGCTCAATCGATGACTACCGAACGCCGCGCTGCATCGGGTCGCCCCAGGGCGTTCTCATGCACTGTTCCGCGCGCGCGCCTGGCGCGGCCATGAGCGGCGGCCGGACCGTGAGCGTGGTCCGTCGTGGAAGGCCCCCACCCCCACAGTCAGCCCGCGGCGGCCGAGTTCGCGCTTGCTTGCCGCCGCGGCCGCTGACGGCAGCAGTCGAGCGTGCTTTGCGCGGAGAAGGTCTTGGATTCGCGACATTCGTGGGGCGCAGTGCAGCTCAAGAGGTGCGTGCAGCGCACAGGCTTCGAGGCGACGATGGCAGAGGCGGGCGAGGAAGCGGAGCTGGATCGTCTACTCGACGAGACGCTCGGGGGGTTCGATCTCCCGGACGTTCGTGTCGCGAGCGCGCGGGGCGCGGAGCCGGACGTAGGCGGGCAGCGCACAGAGGCCGAGGGGGGCGCGGACACGGCTCCGGCGGAGCGTGTGGGGCGCGGGAAGGGGCCCTCACTTCCAGACCGAAAGAAGAAGGCAGCCGGCGCGGCGCGTGAGAGCGGACAGGGCGGTTCGCGAGCGGCAGATCCCGCTAGCACAGGGAGCGGGAACGCGGGAAAGGCCGGGCCAGGCGCCGGATGGGACCCGCTTGGCAAGGGCAGCCGCGCTCCGAGGGCAAGGAAGGCGGCAGCCGATGCCGCGGCGGGCGCCGCAGAGGGCCGCAAGGGCGGGCTGCAGACTCATGCGTCCAGTGCCTCCGGGGGCGCGGGGGCCGGTGATGGGCTCGAAGCAACCATCGAAGCGATGATGAAGCTGTTCCCCGAGCAAGGCGCGGGGGAGCGGAAGGCCCCGGAGCCGACAGAGGAGCAGGTGCGCAGCTCCTTGCGTCAAAACGCAACCGCCCCGCCGTCAAGCGCCGCGCACGGCGCCCCCAACGCCCGTCTTGTCCAGGCGCACTACCCCTGCTGCCACCACGTTCGCGCGATCGGCGCACGACTGCCCCGCGACCCCGTGTCATCCCTCGGCCTGCTGCTTGGTTCGCGCTGTGCAGGTCGACGACACCGCCGACGGCCTGATGGGCGACATCCTCTCGAAGCTCGCCGGCGGCGAGGGCAAGCCCGTCGACGAGTCGCAGGGCCAGGTACGCCCCGCGCCCGGCCTGTCGCCCCCGAACGCGCTGCTGCTTGCGAGTGCTCGCGTGACGTTGCCCGCTGTCGTGGCTGCAGGCGATCGTGGACGGCATCATGCGGCAGCTTCTGTCCCGCGACGTGCTCCTGGAGCCGCTGCGCGAGATCGGGGCCAAGTATCCGCGGTGGCTGGCCACGAACGCCGAGAAAGTCCCCCGGGGGGAGTTGGACCGGTACCGCCGTCAGCACAAGCTGATCCAGGACATCTGCGCGCTGTACGAGGAGCAGGAGCGCGCCGAGCAGCGCCGCCGCGGGGCCGCGGGGGGGTCTATTGGCGACGAGGAGGAGGACTATTTCCCGCGGCTGATGGAGCTCTTTCAGGACATGCAGGACTGCGGGCAGCCACCCGCGGAGATCGCGAAGGACCTGGGGGAGCTAGACGGGGAGGATCCCGGCGGCGGAGCGCCCGGCGGATGCCCGATGCAGTAGAGGGGCGTCGTAGCAGACCCTGCCAGGGGGGGGGAATCGCAGGGGTGATGGCGTGGGCTGGGTCGGCTCAGTCGCGGCTGCGCGATGGCCACGGGCTTGTAAGTGCGTGAGCAGGCGAGCGACGCGAACGTCTACACAGCGGCGCCGGGAGCAGGATCTGTGTTGCAATCTGTCACTCTGCCAAGCACGATGGATCGTCGACCGCCTTCACAGTGTACGGGCCTAGCCCTGTCTGCGGAGGGAGGGGGGGATCACCCGCGGTGATCACACGGTGCGTTCTGTCATGCCGCGTCCGCCGAGACTCCCCCCCTGCATCTGCTGCACCCGCGACGTGTCCTCCTCGCGCGCCTCCTTCCGTGCCGTCGCGAAGTACCCCGTCCTCTGCTCTCCGGGGAAGTGGCCCTCGCCCTCGGCCCCCCCCGCCCCGTACCCGCCTCCCCCCGGGGTGTGGATCGTCAACACATCCCCCCCCTTCACCTGCACCGACGCCTTCCCGCCGACGTTGCACGTGCGCCCGCCGCGCTGCGACAGCACGTTCAGCCCCGGCGCGCCCGGCCCCCCGCCGAGCAGCCCGAACGGCCGGTGCGCGCGCCGCTCGCTGAGGATCGATGCCGTCATGGGTCGCAGAAACTCCACCTCGCGCACCGCGCCGTCGCCGCCGCGGTGCAGCCCGCGGCCCCCGGACCCCTTCCGGATCTCGAACCGCTTCAGCACGACCGGGTACCTGCGCTCCAGGATCTCCGGGTCCGTGATCCGCGTGTTGGTCATGTGTGTCTGGACCGCGCTCTTCCCGTGCCACGTGGGGCCCGCGCCCGCGCCGCCCGCGATCGTCTCGTAGTACCCCATGCGCTCGTCTCCGAAAGTAAAGTTATTCATGCACCCCTGCGACGCCGCGCACGCCTTGAACGCCTTCAGGACGACGTCCGTGACGCGCTGCGACGTCAGGACGTTGCCGCCGACGACGGCCGCGCCCGGCGACGGGCTCAGGATCGTGCCCTCCGGAATCACGATCTCGATCGGCGCGAGGCAGCCCTGGTTGAGCGGAATGTCGCGCGTCACCAGGCACCGCATCGAGTAGATCACCGCCGAGTACGTGACCGCCGGCGGCGCGTTGGTGTTCCCGAGGACCTCCGGCGACGTCCCCGTGAAGTCGAGCACCGCGGATCCGTCGCGGCGGTCGACCGTCACGCGCAGCTTGATCACGCTGCCGTCGTCCATGACATCCTCCGCCTCGACGCTGCCCACCTCCGGGAGCTGCATCTCCGCGCTGAACTCGCGCAGCATCTCGCGCACCGCGGCCTCCGCGTTCGCCTGAATGTGGCCCATGTACGCCTGCACGACGCCGAGCCCGTGCTCCCTGACCAGGCCCTGCGTGAGCGTGATGCCGCGCGCGTTCGCTGCGACCTGCGCGCGCAGGTCCGACAGGTTGTCCTCCATGCAGCGCGTGCCGGTGAGCAGCTCGCGGATGCCCTCTTCCTGGAACTGCCCGCCGCGCACGAGCTTGAATGTTGTGATCGCTGCGCCCTCCTGGTCGAGGCTGGTGCTGTGTGGGGGCATGGAGCCGGGGCTGATGCCGCCGACGTCCACGTGGTGCCCGCGCGACGCAACGAAGAACACGATCTCGCGGCGGCCCGGCGCGACCTCCTCGAAGACGGGCGTGATCACGGTGATGTCGGGCAGGTGAGAGCCCCCCGCCAGCTGCGGGTGGTTGGCGACGAGAACGTCGCCCTCCGCGATGCCGCCCGGCGAGCCGTCCGGGCCCGGCTGCGCGCCCGGGCCCTCGGTGTAGTACTTCAGCTGGAAGCGGACGGCCTCGGACATGGCCCCGAGGTGCACGGGGAGGTGCGGGGCGTTGGCCACCAGCGCGCCGTCCGGCCCGAACAGCGCGCAGGAGAAGTCGAGCCGCTCCTTGATCGTGACGGACACCGACGTCCGCTGCAGCGTGCGGCCCATCTGCTCCGCGATGCCCATGAAGCGGTGGCTGAAGACCGCCAGCATGATGGGATCCGGCTCGCCGACGGCGGCCGCGGCGTGGTCCTTCTCCGACTCCGTCGCGCTTCGCGTCGGGAGGACGTCGATGCGCAGGCTGCCGTCGTTCGTCACGACGGCGTTGCAGCGCGGCTCGACCACGATGGTCGTCGTGTTGTCGATGACGATGGCCGGACCCGCGAAGGCGTGCCCGGGGAGCATGTCCTGGAGGACGTACACGTCGACGTCGGCGCGGCCGGTCTCCTCGAAGTAGGCACTCGTGCGCGAGTGCACCGGCGCCGGCGTCACCGCCTCAGCAGCACCGCCGGCCCCGTCCGCCCCAACGTCCAGGTCGACGCCCTGGCCGCAAGCCCGCGCGCGGAGGTCGTCGACGATGACGCTGCGGCTCTCCAGCGTGAACCCGAACTCGCGACGGTACTGCGCCTCGAACGCGTCGAGGAACGACCCGTTTTCGGGCTCCTGGACCATCACGGCAACGTCGGTGCCATCGTACCGAAGATTCAAGTACTTTTCCACCCGGATCTTCTCGTCTGGGAACCCGATCTCCCTCAGCTGCCCGCACGCGCGCCCGGCGAGCTCCTCAAGCCGCGCAGAGAGCCCCCCGAGTGCGGATTCCGTCAGCACCGTCGCCGCGGGTTCCTGTGCCTCCTTCACGACGTCCGCCAGGCCGATCCCGACCGCGGAGAGGATGCCCGAGTACTTGTGGACGAAGACAGTGCGCATGCCCAGGGCCCTGGCGATGGCACAGGCGTGTTGCCCGCCCGCACCCCCGAAGCACGCCAGGACATGTTTCTCCACCTCGTACCCCTTCATTTGCGTCAGGGCGCGGATGGGCCGGCACATGGCCTCGTTGGCGACGCGCAGGAAGCCCGCGGCCACCTCGTCGACGGACTTGGCGGGGAGGCCCGTCTCGCGCGCGTGCGCGTTGACGCGATCGGCCATGTCGGCAAAGGCGCGCCGGGCGCCGTCGGCGTCGAGGGGCTCGTCCTCGTTCGGGCCGAAGATCGCGGGGAAGTGGTCCGGGAGGAGGCGGCCGAGGACGAGGTTGGCGTCGGTGACCGCGAGGTCGCCGCCCTTGCGGTAGCACACGGGCCCGGGGTGGGCGCCCACTGAGTCAGGTCCGACGGCGAACGCGCCGGCGTTGAGCTTCAGGCGCGAGCCGCCCCCGGCGGCAACGGTGTTGATGTCGAGCTGCGGCGCCTGGATGGTCACGCCGGCCGTCGTCGACTCGAACACGTGCTCGTACGTCCCTGCACAACAACACAAGAAACACCACCAGATCGCAACGTTCCAAGGGGCGCGCAACCTCACGCTCCTGCGGCGCGGATCCACATCGTGCGTGACCAGCGGATCGACCAACCGCGCCGTCTGTCCGCGCGCTGGAGCAGGGGCGACGCGCACCTGCGTAGCGCGACACGTCCGTTGAGGTGCCACCCATGTCAAACCCGATGACCTGCATGCCGTCGACGTCCGCGCCCTCCCACTTCGTCGTTACCGCGTACCCGACGTACCCGCCCGCGGGGCCCGACAGCACGGCCTTGTGGCCCGAGAACGCCCCCAGGGGCGCTAATCCTCCGTCAGACTGCATGAAGCTGAGGTTCACGTCGTGGAGCCCGTCGTCGAAGCCCGCCTGGAACGTCTCCAAGTACCGGTCGATGTGCGGCGTCAGGTACGCGTCGGCCGTCGCGGTGAACCCGCGCGGGACCATCTTCACCATCTGCATGACTTGCGACGACAGCGACACCTGCGAGAACCCCATCTCCTCCGCGACGCGCCCCACGGCGAGCTCGTGCTCCGGGTACAGCGCGCTGTGCTTGAACACCACCGCCAGCGAGTCGATGCCGCGCGAACGGACCTCCTCGAGCTGTGCACGCACCGCGGCGAGGTCGATCGGCCGCCGGACGCACACCGTCTCGCCCGTGACGCCTGCGGAGCGACGAGGATACAGCGCTAGCGGTGAGCAGCTCGGCGCGGCGGAAGCGGTGTTGCATTGAGGGGTGTATGCGCTGCCTTGTGCGTTGCGTGCCGGAAACGACGGCGCGGCGGCCCCGTCTCGAACGAAGGCGAGCGATGACGATGCCCTGGTGAAGCTGACTGACCTTCCACTTGAGTCCCCTCGGGGGTGTAGTGTGCCTGGTCAGCAACAGGGTCCCGCCCCGCGCGCCCGCTGGGCTCGGCGCCGAGCGGGATGATGACCTCCTCGTCCACCTCGACTACCTCCTCGTACAGGAGGTCCGGAGTCGCGATCTCAAGGTCGAAAATGCGCGGACGAGCCTGGTTCCCAATCTCCAGCAACCCCGACAGCCCCTTGGTGACCAGTAGCGCCACGCGCTCGCCCTTCCGCTCCAGCAGCGCGTTCGTAGCGACCTGCGAGCGCGAGCTCGGCGTCAGTCCGGTCGCTTCTCGCGGCCACACGCGCAGCAGGCGCACACGCGACGTGACGTGAAGTGACGGTGGCGGCCAACCGCCTGTCTGTGTCGTTCGAGCCTCCGCAGGCCGTCGGGGCGGCGCGCGCGCACGATGCGGTGGGCTGGGGTCACTCGGGGCGCACCGTGGTTCCCATGCGGATGGAGCGGATGCGGGAGGTGTCGAGCGGCTTGTCGCGGGGGTGTTTCACGCCCGTGACCGACTCCAGCACGCGCCGGATGCCCTCGCGCGGCGCGTCCGGGTAGTTCGCGGGGTCCTCGCTCAGCAGCTTGAGCGCGATCGCGCGCCTCCCGCCGTGGCCGTCCGGCACCTGCGCCCACTTGACACGGCGGCACTCCTGGTGGTGGAGCTTCTGCGTCGGTGTGCGATACTACGGGATCCGGAGGCAACAAGCGTCCCGCCATGAGATAATATATTGCTGTGATCACCGGTTCCGATGAGAATATCCGGGAGAAACGCGCTATCGACGTGGTGCGGGGGGCTGAGGAGAGGGCGAAGGTGGGGGGTGGGTGCCTGTGGACGCGGCACGTGCGGGGTTTGGCGACCGCGCGGGCGTACCTCGGCGTAGACGTCGGTGAAGGTGCCGCCGCGGTCGATGGAGAAGGAGAAGTCGCGCGTGCCGGGCGCGGGCGAGGCTTGTGCCGCCACCATGTTGCTCCGTGTCTGCCGCGCGCGCGAGGGGCGCGCGAGGGAGGTCGACCCCGACGGCCGAGGGGCTTTGCGGCTGGTGTGGCCGCGAACGGAAATGGGCGTGGCAGCGAGGCCTCTCACGCTGGGAACGCACCGCGCACGAACATGGGATGCTAGGCAGCGGTTTCCAGGGGCGAGGGGCTGCGTTTTCATCACAAAAGCGGCGACCTGGGCACTCGTAAGGCGGCGGCGAGGCCAGGCTGGCCCGTGTGCCGGCAGTCGATGCTGACGCGGCGGACTGTGGATGCGCTGAACACAAAGGGGCGCCGTAGGGGCCTGCTGAGGAGATGTCTGCGAGGCCGCGCTGCGTAGCTCGCCTCAGTGGTCAGGCAGGAGGACGTGCCGCGGGTATGACGGCCTCGCGCGCCGTCGGTCGCGAGTGGGCACTCTCCAAGTCAGGCTGACAGCTGCCACGCCCGTCGCCGGGAAGCGCGTCGCGCGTCACTGCACGCACGCGCCGTCTGCTTCGTCCTCTTCGGCACAGGACCCACAGGGTGCGTCGACCCCGGACCTGCGCTTCGCGCTCGTGTTCGCGTGCCGCTCGCAAGGCGCTGCCGAGCTCGTTGCGCCGGCGCTGGTCGCCGCGCGCGGCCCAGCGACGCCGCGTCTTGTTTGCTCCTCTAGCCGGGACGCCGCCATTCGTGCGGCGCGCGTGCCGCCTCTCAGGCTCCGCCTGAGGCTGCGCCTGTTTGTCTCGGTTCGGGCGAGCTCGAACCGCCCGGCAGAGCGCGCCTGCGGGCACCACGAATCTCAGCCATATCACCGGTCGCGCACGAAGCGCGCTGCGAGGCGCTCGTGAGCGGCAAACTGCCCGCGAACGCTCATCGACCCCCTCCTCGCCTTCTTTCTCGCAGCTTGGGACAGGGGACAAGATGCCGGCTGGCCACGGTTACCGTTCGCGTACGCGCGACCTGTTCCAGCGCGGGTACCGCCAGAATGGCGTCATCCCGCTCTCCACGTACCTGCGCACCTACAAGGTCGGCGACTACGTGGACGTGAAGGCCAACGCCGCCGTCCAGAAGGGTATGCCGCACAAGTTCTACCACGGAAAGACCGGTGTCGTCTGGAACGTGACCAAGCGGGCCGTCGGCGTCGAGGTACGACCCTCGAGCAGCCTCGTCCCCGCCAGCCCCGCCACTCCGGCCCCCCACACCCACCATCCGCCCCGCCAACGCCACCTCGCCCACCACACGCCCCCCCAGCGCCACAGCCCACGCGCCCAGACCCCCTCGCCACGCCGCGCAAGCCCCTTCGCCCCTCGCGCGGGCCGCCACCCCCACGCCCTCCGCCCCCGGCCCCCCAAGGCCGCTCCCGCCCCCACGCCCGCGCCCCTCGCCCCCTACGCCACCCCCGCCCCGCCCCCGCCCACCGCCCCCGCCCCCACGCCCCGCGCAGATCAACAAGACGGTCGGGAACCGCATCCTGCGCAAGCGCATCCACGTGCGCGTCGAGCACGTGAAGCCGTCGCGCTGCCGCGAGGGGTTCCTCATCCGGCGCGCGGAGAACGACAAGAAGAAGCAGGAGGCCAAGGCCGCGGGCAAGACGGTGGACATGAAGTCGCTGCGCCGCAAGCCCGCGGAGCCCAAGGGCGCGTTCTCCGTGTCGAACGTGTCGCTCCAGACGGTCACGCCCGTGCCGTACGACATCCTCAAGGAGGGCCTCGCCGCGTAAGCGGCCATACCGGCACGCATGTGACGCAGCGCCGCACGGAACGATGCAGTCACGGGGGACGCGCAGGGGCGCGCGCGCGGGGGCGCAGCAGCGTGCCGGTGGGGGTTCGCGCGTGCTGAGGGACCGCCCTCGCGGTCGCGGCGGCCCGCCAGCACTCGAGCAACGACGCGGCAGCACCGACGCAGCAACGCGGCTGCGTGCGCTCCGTACGAGGTGCGAGGCGAGCGCACGGCGACGCTCCGAGTCACACCCGCGCGCGCGGCGCCTGGCTCGCACGTGCAGCTCGCCGGCCGCGCCCTCCCGGTGCCACGGGCCGTCCATTCACTCCCCCCCCTCTTCGCTGTCCGAGTCCTCCGCGAGGTAGTCGTCGAGCATTTCGTCCTCGTCGACGTCGTAGTCCCCCTCGGAGCCCTCCTCCTCGCCCTCCCCGCCCTCGCCCTCCCCCTCCTTGTTGTGCACTGTCTCAAAGTACTTGCGCCCAGTCAGACGCCGCGCCTTCTCCGCCGCGGCCTTCGTGTCCATCAGCTTCGCGCGCTCCAGCGCCTTCTCCGCGTCGTACGCCTCCTTCCACTTCGCGAACGTCTCCGCCGTCACCGGAGTCCCTGCACGCACCCGCGCCCGCGTCGCTCGCAAGAATGTCTGCACGCGGGGCGATCACGCCGCCGCACCGCGCGCCCGGCGACGCATCCCGCATACGCGACGCGCGCGCGCTCCAGCCCGCGCGGCGCGCCGCCGCCCGCGGACCAGGGAGCAACCAGCGCGACGCGCGCGCACCGTGTCGCCGAACTTCCTCCCTCCGCTTCTGCTCCTCCTCCTCCTCGCGCGCCTTCCGCTGCTCCTCGCTCTCCTCCACCTCGTCCGCGCCCGTCGCCGCCACCAGCCAGTCCTTGCACGCCGTGATCACCTCGTAGATCATCGCCATGCCTAGCGACCGCCCCACAACCTCCTCCGCCACCGCCGTGGCCTCCCGGATCTTCGCGTCCGAAAGCGACTTCGCGGACATCAGCCGCAGCAGCGGCGCCTCCTCCGGGTACCTCTCAGTGTACGCAAACACGATCTGAAGCAGGGCTGGAAGACAACGAGAAGGGGGGTGGTATTGCGGGGTGAGGGGGCGCGGGCGGTACGTGCGTGCGGGGGCGCATGAGGGTGCGCGCGGACGGGGTGAAAAGGCGCGGGGCGGCGTGGGAGCCGCGTCGACGGAGGCGGTGGCGCGTGTGGTGGCAGGTGTGGCGGGGAGTGTTGGGCCGCCGATTGAGGCTCTGGTTCAGGTTTCGTGGCGCCGCCGGCCGCCCTGCCCGTTCAACGCGAGGCTTACTAGGGTTGCCGCGGGCGTGCCGGCGGCGCCCTCCCCGGCCTCACCCATAGCTGACCCGCTGCTTCTGCCCCGAGCTGACGGGAGCCCCCATCATGACACCGCGTGGGTGCTAAGGGCCTCTGCTTTTGTCGGGGGCGCGACCGAACCACGCGCAAGGTGCGGGAAACAGCGAGCGCCGAAACCTGGCGACGTGCGGGCGCGACCGCGAGCAACTTCGGCGCGGTGCGCTGCTCGTGGACGCAACGCGGCGCGCCAGCGGTGCGTGCGGCGCGCGGGCTCACCGGGCGCCTCGTCACGATCCCGCCCGTCCTCCAGCGGCGTGACGACCGTCGTCCACATCTGCGCCTCCTCCGGCCAGCCGTCCGGTCTGCGGCCGTCGTACTCTGCACGCGCGAGGTCTGGGTCGCGGCGCCGTTTCGATCGGCCGGCGACGCGGCCGGGGCGCATCGCCACAGCAGTGCGGCGGCTTGACAGGAGGCCCGCCGCGGGCGCTGTCGCGGGGCTCGCCTGACAGGTCGTCCATCAAGATGGCCTGGAGGGCCTCTATTTCCATCGCCTGCTCCTCCGCGTGATCCATCGTCCCCGCGCGCCCACCAGTTGTCTACAGACCAGCTCCTGCCCCCCTCGCCCTCCAGCTCCGCCCGTTTCACGCAACTATGGCCGCAATCCCGCGGACGGAGCGTGAGACGTTCTTGGGATGTTCGGAATGGAGCACCGTTCGTCCTCCAGCTACGCTACGCAGCGCTCTCAGCGATCAGCCCACCCCTGCAGGAGCGCGCCGTCCAACGTGGACGCTTCGCACTCACACGAACAGCAACGCACGAAGTGACATCTCAGGGCCCGGGCAGGACCCAACGGCGAGCCGTTCCGCCCTGACTCAAGCAGCAAGTCCACCCGGAGCACACGCAACAGCGCCGCCAGACGGACTCGCGCCGTGCGTCCGTCAGGCCACCGCGCGCCGCTTCACTGCGCCCGGGCGACGCCTGCGATCGCGACTGACCCGTTTCCGGCGGCACACACTGCTGCGGGCCGCCGACGTCGCTTCCCGCGCAGGAGAGGTCGAGAGCTGGCAGTGCAGACAACGCCGGGGTGCACAGGAGCCATGGCGCGCACTCGTGGCCGGCGCACGCCGCGAGGGGCCGCAGAGGCCATGGAGGTCGACGAAGGGTGCGCGCCCGCGCCGTGTCGCGCCTCGCACGCGCGACAGCGACCACGCGAGAGCATGCCTCGTTCGTGTACGTGCTCGTTCGCGCCCCTGACGCTCCGCAACGCAACATCGCCGCCCGTTTCCATCGCTCTCTGGCCTTGCGCGCTCTGTGCGTGGGAGGTGTGTCGCGCGCGCGTTCATTGTCGGCCCTGCGCGACAGGACGCGGCGGTGCTGATGCGCTGCAGGGGGGCGGCGGACGCAGAGCCCGGGACGTCCCCGGAGCCCAGTCCTGAGGACGACGTCGACTTCGCTGCCCCGAGGGGCGGGAAGCGCCGCAAGGTTCGCCTCCACGCCCACCCACGTTGCGCCACGCGCGCCCCCCAGCCTGTGGCGCTTTCCACCATGCTTTGCGAACCCGCTAGCAACGCGGACGGCCGGGACCTCCGCGCAGACGCAGACGCCGGGGCGCGGCGACGGGACGCCGGCAGCGAAGAAGGCGAAGGGTCGGAGCAGACGCGCTGCGGCGAAACCAGGACTGTCTTTGTTTGAGGTGCGTATGTGTGGAGACGTGCGCAGTTCGCGCGTCGCGAGGGAGCGCGGCGCCGCCGAGCGCGCGGGGACGCGGGGCGGGCCCTTGCGACGCCGGCTCATGGCGCGGCCGGTGCGTTGCGCGCCCGTGCGCGGCGGAGACGGGCTCGGAATGACGTCTGGAAGGGAAAGCGCGGTGCAGGTGGCAAAGTCGCACGGGAAGGCCGCGCGGGCCGCCGTCAAGGAATGGGCCGCGAAACTCAAGGACGAAAATAGCCTCGCGGAAGCCGCGGCGGATCTGGTGACGCTCCTGGTCAAGGCGAGCGCCCGAGTCTGCTTGAAAAGCAGAGCCGAACGACAGGGACCCGCCGCAGCGCCTGCAGCGCGAATCCGCGGCGCCGGCATCCCACACCTGCATTTTTCCCTCCACGCGACGAAACCGCACGCCGCCGCAACACCCTCCCGCGCCCTCCCTCGCAGGCTGGAGGCTCGGACGTCGAGGCGGACCCGGCCGACCCCGACCCGCGCGCGGCCATCCAGGCCGCCACGACGGACGTGCTCGACAACGGCGGCGAGGACCACTTCCGCGGCCGCGCCGGCGCCGCGTTCCACGACGCGCTGCTGTCCACCGTCGCCGCGTGCGTCGAGCAGCTGCACCAGCGCGGGCACCTGGCGGGGGACGCGGACGGCGTGGACGTCGCGGGGACGTTCCTGTCGGCGGTGGTGACGATGAGCGGGTCGCGGCTGCGTGCGTTCCGGCAGGTGGGGACGGAGGTGGCCGGGCGCGTGGTGCTGGCAGTGAGCGAGGTGCGCGCGGGGGCGGCGGACGCGCGGTCGCTGGCGGCGCGGCAGGCGGCCGCGGAGAAGAAGAAGAAGGCTGCTGGCGCGGCGGGGAAGGAGAGGTGCGCGGAGGGGGGCGCTGTCGGAAGATATATGTTGCGAGGAGGGAAATGGAGTTGGAAAAACTCGATTGCCGGGTATGCTTTGTGTCTGCAGGCTCGCGGCGACGCAGCGGGCGCTCGAGGAGAGCACGCAGCGGTGCGCGGCGCTCGACAAGACGGTCTCGCGGCTCGTGGAGGGGGTGTTTGCCAACCGCATGTCTGACATCGACCCGGAAGTGCGCCGGTCCGTCGTGCGCGCGGTGGGGGAGTGGATGGGGGCGTTTCCGGCCGACTTCCTCAACGACCGGTACCTCAAGTACGTCGCGAACGCGCTGTGCGACCCGGACGCCGCTGTCAGGCTGGGGGGCCTCTCGGCGCTGTCAGCGCTGTACGGCAGTCCCGATCACGTGTCCGCGCTGCAAGACTTCGCGGCGCGGTTCGGCGCGCGGCTCGTCGAGATGTGGAACGACGTCGACGACGCCGTCGCCGCGGCCGCTCTGCGCCTCGCCGCGCACATGGTCGCTGCCAACCACCTCGAGTCGGGGGGGGTGTCGGGGGTGTACCGGCTGCTGAGCGACGACTCCGAGGACGTCCGCGTCGGCGCCGCGAAGCTCGTCTGCGAGACGCTCGAGGCGCAGGGCCGCGACGCTGTCTCCGCGTGGGCGGCCCGGCCGGCCACCGCCGCGCAACGCGGCGCTCCTGGTAAGCGCCGTCGCGCGGCGGCGGGTGCGGCGGTCGCCGCACCTGACCCCGACGAGCTCCCAGCGGACAGTCTGCGGCTCGAGGGCCTCCTCGCGGTTCTCTCGAAGCTCGCGGACGGCGCGGAGGGGGGGAGTGAAGATGAGTCGGGTGCGCTGGACTCGAAAGCCGTCGGGCGGGTGGTGTCGGCGCTGCAGGGCGAGGTACCGGTGCTGACGGACTGGGACGTGCTGGTGGACGCGCTGCTGGACGAGGGGCTGTGCGCGCACCGGGGCGCGGGCGCGACCGCGACGCTGGCGGCGGTGGTGCTGCACGCTGTCAGCAGGGCGTGCGTGGGACGGGCGCACGGGGAGGGCGCGGGGGGCGCGGAGGGCGCGAAGGGCTTTGCGAAGAAGAAGGTGCGCGACGAGATGGCGCGGCAGCAGCAGGGCGTGAGCAACGCACTCGTCGGCAACCTACACAGGTAAACTGCATCAACACAACCCTGCATCCTTGTTTGTTCATCCCACGCTGTTTGTGTTCTGGGCCAGGACTGCTAGCTGCCTGATCTGGGGCGCTACTTCGCGGGACGACCCGTGTCCGCAGCGCCGAACAGTCCGTCATGCCTCGTAATACCCCCCCTCCACATCGCCAGTGCGCGCAGGCTTCTCCAGCGGTACGAGGGCGACCAGGCCGCGTGCGCGTCGCTCGTTCCGCTGCTCGGCTACGTGCAGCTCGACGCGTTCCAGCTCCGCGACCGCGCGGCCGAGTTCGCCTCCGTCGTCGAGCGCATCACCGCCGTCTTCCTGAAACACGGCCGCGCCGACGTGCAGGCCGCGTGCACCGCCGCGCTGAGCCACTGCTGCGCCACGGGCACCGCGTCGCAGCGCGAGGCCGCGCTCGCCGCCGCGCGGGAGCTCCTCGAACGCACGGACCGCGGTCTGTCCGACTGCCTGCGTCGCTTCAAGGAGTTGCACCGAGACTCCCCCCCCGGGCGCGACGCCGCCTCGGCGGACGATGACCGCGTCGCGAGCGACCTCGCAGGCGCGCTCTCGCGGCTCCACCACCTCCTCGCGTTCGGCGAGGTCCTGAACGCGGCGCGCCGGCCTTCGCTTCACGCGTCGGCGCTGGCGCTCCTGCGCGACATCGCGGCGGGGGCGCCGCTGCGCGAGGACGTCGCGAAGGTCGCGGTGACGACGAGCCTGGCGATCGTGAACTCCGCCGCGCTCGCGCTGAGCCGCGCCAGCGACGTCGCGGCTGCGCCAGACCTGCAGCCGCTGGCGGAGGGGTACCGTTCGGTCGTGGAGCAGGTCGGGGAGATCGCCGGGCAGGCCGACCTGGCCGACGAGGTGCGCGCGACGGCGGCGCGGGCGATCTGCGACGCGCTGCTCGTTCTGCGGTGCGCGGCCTTCCAGGGCACCGTCCTGGCGGACGCAGGCGCTGACCTGTGTGCGCGGCTCGCGCCGTCGCTGTGGGGGGTGTTCGAGGAGTGCGTGATGAGCGTGGACACCGCGGAGGCGGAGCAGGCGGAGGAGGAGAGCGACGACGACAGCGGCGCGGCGCGCGGCGATGCGGCAAAGACGCGCGCGGCGGCGGTGCTCGCGAAGGTGACGGCGATCGCCGCGCTCTGCCGGCTGGCGCGGGCGTACGAGTCGCAGCTGGGCGCGGGGTGGATGGTGCCGTCGATCGTGTCGCACTACGTCACGCACGGCCCGGAGGTGGAGGCGATTGTGCGCGCCATCATTGGCGAGCAGGAGGTCGCGGCGCTGCCGGACCACTTCGCCGCGGCGCTCAAGATCGCGGCGATTCGCGCCGCGCAGTTCGAATGGAACGAAGGTGCGGGCGACGCGGCACCGTCGCGCTGTTGTCCCGAACAGTGTCGCTTGGATGTGTCGCGCTTTCTGCTTCACCGAGCCGATGATTCGTCGACTGTGCCGTGCGTGTGTGCAGACGGTACCGAGGCACTGGACGCGCTCGCGGACCGCCTGGCGCGCGTCCTCGCCGGCCACCGCGTCCCGCCTGACTCAGCACTTCGTATCTGCGAGGTCTGCGTCCGACACGTGGTGGCGGTCCTGGACGGCCGCGACAAGGACCTCGGCGCCCTCAAGCTCCTCACCGCCGGCCTCGGGCACTTCACCGGCAAGCTCGCGCCGGACGCCGCTGCCCACCTGCACGACCGCGTCGACCAGCAGCTCCTGCGGTTCCGGCCGGACGAGCAGGCAGAGGAGTGGCGGCCGTACTTCGAGTTCCTCGAGGCGCTCAAGGCGCGCGGGAACGGCGGCAGCGCGGCCAAGCGGGCGCGCGTGCGGAGCAGCAGCAAGGCACGCCGTGTGCGGGCGGACGACAGCGACGCTGACGACGGCGAGGGCAGCCCGCCGACGCCGGTACGCGCCGTGCGGACGAAGCGCGCGGCTCCTGCGCGCGAGGGCGGCGCGGGGCGCAGGGGGGGGAGTGAGAGGTATGAGAAGGACAACGTCGAGGATCCTGACTCATTGGTGGCGTCGGAGGCGACGGAGGGGGGCGGCGAGGGAACGGAGGAGGACGCGGAGGAGGTGGACTCCGAGGAGGGCGGCGCGGACAGCGCGCCGGGTCCGGACGACGACAGCGAGGTGGAGCCCCCTGCGCGACGTGGGCGGGCGAGGGCGCGACGGTGACGCGACGGAACGGCGGGAACCGTGATGCAGATGGGAGGGCTCAGCGCGGCGGTGGCGGTTCGACTTCAGATGAACGAATAAGGCGGAACACGCACAGAGATATACGAGATACAAATGTAGTGTCCGCGTGCAGCGAGGGGATGGGCAAGGGCGATCCGTGTGACCGCAGAGCGCCGCGCGAGCGTCTCACAGTGCTAGTGCAGCTCGAGCACGGCCTCCGTGGTCGCCGCCAGCGTCGCCCCGGGCTCAAACTCCCCCCCCGCCTCCCGATTCAGGTCCTCGAGCAACGCAAGCTCGTGCGCGGTCTGCCGGAGCGACGCCGCGTCCAGGAAGAGCGCGCCGCACTGCGCGGCGGGCACCGCGAGGTCGTCGCGGATCGCCGCCTTCGCGCCGCCGCGGCAGCGCATCAGGAAATCAGATAGCAGAAGATCGCAGTACTTCGGGCGCTGCACGTGCGGGTTCTCCACGGACGTTCCGCCGCCCCACTCCTCGAGCCACGGCGGCCGCGGCACGAGCGCGCCGACGCCCTCGCGCAGCGCGAACCGCACGGGCGCGATGCTGCCTCCGTCGCGGCGCACCAGGACGGTCACGCGCTGACCGGGGCTCACCCGTACCGCTGCGTCGAGGTGCTGCAGGCCCTGTCCGGCGCACGTGCCGTGCGGATGCTCGTCGGCGGCATCCGAGGCAGCGTAGCCGCCTGCTCGCTCCGCGTCGGGTGGCGTGCGCAGCGCGACCTGCGTGTCGCGTCGCGACGCCTCGAGGTAGTATCCGATGCCCTCGTCGCCGCATCCGAAGAAGTATCCGTCGCGGGGACCCTCGAACGTCCCGCTCTGCGCGCGCAGGAACCCCGGCTGGCCGCCACACCCCCCCCCTGAGTCAGCGTGGGTGTCTTCGTCGAGTTTGCCCCCCAGCCCGACGCCCCGCGGCGCGGTGGTGACCGCCTCGTCGTCATCCAGCTGCAGGTCGTGCCACACCAGCACCGCATTCAGCACCCCGGGGCGTATCACCTCGAGCTTGATCACGCTGTCGTGCCCGACCCCAGACACCCCCCCTTGGAAGTCCACCTCCACCACCCGCTGCGGCCGCGTCAGCCTGCGGTGCCGCAGCCGGTCCGCGCGCACCGCGACGGTCGTCGGCGAGAATCGGTACCGATCCAGCGCGGAGACATCAAACCCGTCAACGGCACTTGCCAACACCTCCACCCCCATGCACCACAGCGTGCCGCGCGCCGGAACGACCCTGGCGCCCGGCGCGAGGACCTTGGAGCGCAGCGCTGCCGCCAGCCACGCGGCCCCGCTGCCCACCAGGCCCGGATCGAACACATCCAGTATCAGCAAATTGTACCCCCTGTTGCGCGCGTCGCCGCCGCGTTCGAGGAGCGCGGCGTCGCGGTGCAGGACGGTGACGCGGTCCGATACGCCGTTGACGGCCGCGACGGACCGCGCGAGGCCCGCGAGGGACTTGCAAACGTCCGTGGCCAGGACGGAGGTCGCGCCACACCTGCGGGGGACAGCGGCACAGAGCGCGTCCGCGATCGGAATACGGCGGCACGACTTCGATCGCCACAAGCTAGGCCAGCGTCGTACAAACAACTCCAGACCAGCAGCGGAGGGCTCGCAGGGGCAACAAGGTGGTGGGAACGTGCGGCGAACGATTCGTGGGGCTAGTCTGGTCTGGCATCCTGAGGGTGTGACGTACCGGGCTGCGAACGTCGACAGGAGTCCGCTCCCGCAGCCGGCGTCGAGCACGTGCGTCTCGGCCGCCCTCGAGCCGCTCGGCGCTGCGGTGGCGACGTCGTTCATAGCGCGCTGGATGGCGCGGCAAAAGGCCGAGAGGCGCGGCACGTCGGCGACTGCCGAGAAGAGGCTGAGTGGGAAGGCTGCGTCGGGGGGGGACTTGAACAGGCGCAGATACTCCCCGTGGGGGACTCCGAAGGTCATCGCGGTGGTGTTGTGCGCGCACTGGAAGGTCAGCGTGTCGCCGGGGGCGACGCCTGCGATGGATCCCGCGGTGAGGTCGCCTGGGAGGTAGTGCAGTACAGGGCCCCTGCTGGTCAGACCCTGCAGAGAGGTGAGGAACATCGCACAGGGCTTGGAAGCAGCGTGGCCCGGGTTCTGGATCCCAGCGGAAGTCAAGGGCTAAATGTTGTTGATCCGCTTGCTCGCTGAGGCGGAGGGGACACGAAAACAAGCATGTTGGGAGGGAGTTGGCTTGACGACATGCAAGCAACATGCCACTGCGGCACGAAGCGACGCGTTGACGGCGGCCGGACAGGCACAGATTTGCGCGTAACGTTCGAACGGTCCAGCTGTTTTCGAGGGGGCATGGAATCGCTGACAGCGCGCCACGTCTTGTCGGTGCCGGCACAACGTAGCCCGCTGTCAGCAACGCCATGCCCTCGAAAACAGCTGGACCATTCGCCGCGACATGTGGCGCATGCCAGACTGTACGTGCAGATGCAGACACGTTGTCCGCGCCGAAGAGGTGGGGGAAGGGTGTTGGGGGTCTATGATGCCCTCAAGGTCGGAGACACGCACCGCAGCGACCGCCTCGGGCCCCGTGCTCAGCCACACGTCCGCATAGAGCCGCAGATCATACCAGACCAGCATCGCGTTCGGCGCCCCGGCTTTCGTGAACGTGAAATCCACGTCGCAGACCTCCGTCTCGGTCGGCGGCGCCGCGAAGTCGATGTGGAAGATCTCTCGCGGCTCCGCGAGCGCGATGTACGCCGACGGACACACGGGCGCGCCGGAGACGGGCAGCCCGAGGGGGCAGCCGCGGTGGCGGTCGAGCGGGGACGTGTCGACGCCCATGATCGACGGGCTGCGGACCTGCACGGGCACCGCGAGGACGGTCGCCGAGGCCGGCAGCACCACAGCGCCCTCAACCATGATGCGGCTCTCGATCGCGTGCCGCAGCGCGGGCACGGCGCCGGACGTGAGCAGCCCGCTGTCAGGCATCCCGCACACCAGCAAGTTGCACGCGCCCACGTCCCTCCCGAGCTGCACGTCCGTCGGCACCTTGTGCACCACGTCGTACTCCTCGTCGCCAAACCCGTTCGCACGCAGCGCTTCCTGCGCCGCAGACGCGTTGTACAGCCAGCGCTCCACGCAGGTCGCGTGCTTCGCGCCGGCCCGCAGCGCCGCCATCGCGAACAGCGCGCCGGGCCCTGCATCCAGCGCCAGCACGCGACAGTCCAAATCTCTCGCATCCTCGACCTCGCGCACCGCCGCACGCACCGCCCGCAGCCACCGGGACGTCCAGTACGCGTCGGCGGCCTCCACGGCGCGCCGCGCCGGCACCGCGAGGTCCGCTTTGATCGTCAGGTAGTTGAATGTGTCTTTTACGCGCTCGCTGTTCTGCGCCTGGAAGGGCGTGAGCAGCTGCGCGGGCAGCGCGTCGCGCGGGGCGTAGCGCGCCAGGCTCCCTGCGTCTGCAGCGCCAGGGGAGCGCGACGCCGCGGTGGGCCGGGGACCGCGCGTGCCGCGTTCTGTGCACGACAGGGGGCGGGGGTGTAGAGGTCGGACCTGCGTGCGGGGACGCCGTGATCGCCAGGTGGCGTTCCGGCGCCGCGAGCCGGCGCGTGGTGCGCGCGCGCCCCTCGAGCGCGTCCAGCAGCGCGGCCTGCGCGGCGACGTCGAGCGTCGCCCGTAGCTCGGTGCTTGCTGGATCGAACGCCAGGCCCTCCTGAAGCGCGCTTGCCGCCTGCGCGCATCGCGAGTCGCTCTCGATAATTGAGATGCACGGCGAGCGGTGTCTGTTTCCAGGTCTGGATGTCTCGCCGTCGTCTGGAGGGCCGTGGATGAAGTCGCACCTCTTCATTTCGCCCGCAGGCCATCAGTGCGCTCGCCTTGCGCACCGTTGCCTTCACCACCGTGCGCTGAGCCGCCTGGAGCGTCGCTGCGCCGCCGATCCCGCCGCCTCGGGCCAGCGAGTCGCGGGCGAGGCACAGGCTGCGGTGGGCGTGTGGCAGTCCGCGGCCCGGGAGGCCTAGCGCGAGGAACGCGGCGGCGCGGTTGCTCTCGGCCACGAACAGCGTGGGATGAGTGAGGTTGAGGGCGGCCAGCTTGCGGTCGAGCTTGCTGTATCCCGCGAGGCACCCAACAAAGTCGCCCTGCTTATATAACGCGACTGCCTCGTTCGAGAGCTCCGAGACGGACCGCTTCATGAAGTCCGGGTCAGACGCGAGCTCGTCCTGCACGCGCTGCGCGATCCGCGCCTCGACCTCGGCCGCCGCGTGCGCCGCATCGTTAGCCTTCAGATCGCTGCGTGCGATCTGTTCCGAGTGCTTCGGCATCCCGCCCGGCTGCTCCGCGGCGGTCGACATCGTTCCGCTCCCTCCTATCTGCATCACGACGGCGCGAGCCGGGCAATCTGAGTCCGTGGAGCCCGGGCCAGAGCGACCTCGGAGTTTGCAAAACCCCCCTGGGTCGTAATTACGGCCTCTCGCGGGTCGGACGCCGGCGAGCCTGCCCGCTACGATGCACTGGCTATGCAGGGCACTGCGGACTCACCCGTCGCTGGCCTTGGCGTCCTCGAGCGCGGCCTCGGCAGCCATCATTGCGCGACGCAGCCCACACAGGGCGATGAGGAGCGCGTCGCCGCGGCCGTGGTGCTTGGCGGCCGACAGGTGCCCCTCGAGGCCCGGGAACGCCTGCCTCGCGACCTCCACGCTCGCCGACTTGCCCCGCCCGCTGCCGGACAGACCGACCTGCGCCTTCCAGCTGTTCGGGGTCACCGGGACCACCTTCGCGCCCAACGCCTCCATCACGCCGGTCCAGAACCCGTAATAAAATCCTGCAGAGCACCTCGCCGCACCGGACGCGTGATTCCTCCGACACCACGGCCCCGCGAAGACAAACGCCATGTCAGTCATCGACCGACGATACCGCGCGGGGCCGTGCCTGACGTGTGCAGCATGATGCCGCCCTGTCGCCCGGGAATGATCTGCGGGCGCTCGAGGAACACAACCACGTCGCGCGACGCGCCTGCGCCCCCCGCCGCGTCCGTCTCGGTGTGCTGCAGCATCATCACCTGCCGGCACATCTCGAGCACGCGCGGCTGGTCCAGCCGCGCCCGCCGCTTGCCGTTCACGAGGGCCACTGCGCGCGGGGTGTCGAGGCACGTCACGCCCACAGACACCCCCAGGAGCGTCTCTTGCGACTCCATCGCACCCCCCCCCTCAACCGCCGCGGGCACGATCAGCCCGCACGACGCTGCGAGAACCGACGAGGGTCGCGGGAGATGTCGTGCCGGCGTGGCGCGGCGCGGGCTGGCGGCGTGTGCGGGGAGGGGGGGGTGTATTGTTCTCGTTTGTTCTTGTACCTGCGACGAGCCTCGAGGCGAGCTGCGCCTTCCTCCCGCTCACGGGCAGCCCGGCCGCCTTGCACTGCTCCTTGAGCTGCGCCGCCGACGCGTCGCACAGCTCCGCGTGCCGCTGCGCCATGTCTGACGCGTCCACACCCCCCCCGTCGGCTTCCGGAGCGCCCCCTCCCTCGCGCATGCGCGCCACCTCCGCCGCAATCTGCGCCGGCGACATATCGTCGAAGGTGCGCGCGTCCGGCGTCGGCAGCGCGACCCGGTCCACGTGCAGCCCTGCGTCAGCCTCGTCAGTGCCCCCCGGGGCAGTATAACTCGCGAGCAGCGCCTCCAGCTCCCGCGGCCCCTCGTCCGCCTCGCTGTCGCTGCTCTCCCACGGCAGCCGCCCGCTCGCCTCGCCGTCGCTGTACGCCGCGTCGCCTCCCATCGCGCCGAGCGGCGCCCCCCCCAGCTCCAGCGACGCCAGCTCTCGCGGCACGAGCACCGCCACGGCGCCCCAGACGTCCGGATCGATCCCCACGATCAAAGGGAGCAGCGCGCGGCCGCTGCCGTCGAACCGTACGCTGTCCATGATCCCCGCCAGGCTGCTCATTTGCCTGCGTTGCGCTTGCGTGGCGTGGCAGGGGCCGGGGCCGCGTCGCTGGAGGGCCTTCGCGGGCCGAAGGCCGCCGGAGAGGTGCACGTGAGGCAGTGCATTCGTTGCGGCCGCCGAGGACGGCCTGCGGAGCCCGGGGCAGCGCGCGAGGCCGCAGTGTGGAGCCAGCGCACTCCAGTCCCTGCGCAGCGTGCGCGTACAGCTCGCGGGCCGCGCGCGAACCGCCGCGAGGCGCCTCATCTGGCGCACTATGTTCATGTCGACCCCGGGAAATCAGGCCCCGCGGCGTTCAGCGCTCACGCGGACCGCGCAAGGCACCACCTCCTTTGTACGTCACCTAGTGGCGGGACCCGGGCCAGGACGGGCGAGCCCGCACGGACGAACACGACGCTGCCCCTCCGCGTGCTCTGCTGGGTCGCTGGGGGCCGGAGGCTGCGTGCGGCGCCGGTGCGGACCGCGACACACAGCGTGAAGCTATGCAGGAGTGGCGCAGAGGGGGAACGCAGCGCAGCGCCCGGCGCCGCTTTCGTGCCGATTCCGACCGCGGCGGGCTGCGGCGCGGAGTGCGCGGCGGCCGTGCCAGCGCGGGGCCATCATGCGCGGTCCGTCGCGGCGCGTGTCGGGCAGCCCTTGACAGCAGTGGGCGCGCTGGCTCCCCCCCGCCATGTTCCGCGCGCACGCGGCGCGTCGCGGCAAGTTTCGCGGCCGTGTGGCTCGGATCACCCATAGACGTGCCGCGCAGCCGCACCGTAGAGAGCTCGGGGCCAGGTCCGGCGGGATCGGGGACCGCTTTGAGCGCCACGAGCGCTCGTGTGTGTCTAGAGCCCGGTGTACTTGTTCAGACGGCGTTGCGCGGCACATATCGCGATGGCTTCGCACGTGCTAGGCAGCCCGTGCCCGCTGGCGGCGGGCAGGGCTGCGGGGCGCGCCCCCCCGCGCGTGCGTGAGGGGATGGCTCCCGTTGGGGGCAAGAGGCGGGCTGTGCGGGCAGCTGCGGCGCGGGGAGGCAACATGCGCGACCAGGTGCGCGTCCCAGCGACCGTGGCCGCCTTCCCCCGGCCGCCCGCGTCCGCGCGCGCGTCGCCCGCTGCGTTCGCGCCCCACGTAGTAGCCCGTGGCGTGAGAGTGCTCATGGCTGCAGGGGCCGCGGCGGTCGTACTCGACGCGTCCCGGCGTGGCGAGCGGGTCCGCGGTGGGGAATGTGGCGCCTTCCGAGGCCGCGGTGGACGGCAAGGTGGGCGTGCTGCTGCTCAACTTGGGTGGGCCAGACACCCTGGACGATGTCCAGCCGTTTCTGTACAACCTCTTCAAGGACCCCGAAATCATCCGGCTCCCCCAGGTAACTCGCGAATCAACACAGCCCCCGCGCCGCGCGATGCCCCCGCTGCCGCGCTCTACAGCCGCGAGGCGCGTCGTAGCGCTCGACCGATCGGCCCAGCAGCGCGCACGACAGCGTGTTTGTCGCCCCGCGGCCCCCGCACGGACCAACGAACTCCACGCGGCGACCGCGGCCGCGCAATGCCCCGCTTCACGCCCCGCACGCGCCCCTCAGCGCCCCTCTCCTGCTCGTGCTCCCTCGTATTGCAGGAGCTGCAGTTCCTCCAGGAGCCGCTCGCGGGGTTCATTTCGCGGAGCCGGGCCCCGAAAAGCCGCGAGGGCTACGAGGCGATCGGCGGCGGGTCCCCCCTGCGCCAAATCACCGAGGACCAGGCCCGGGCGCTCGAGGTGCGTGCCCGCCCTCTCCCGCCCTCCCACGTCGACCCCGCGCCCGCTCCGCGCCTCTTTCCGCCCCGGAACGACGCTCACCGTCTCCCGCCAGCCCCTGCGCCCGCAGACGGCCCTGAGGGACCGCGGCTTCGACGCCAACTGCTATGTTGCCATGAGATACTGGAACCCCTATACCGAGGAGGCTATCGAGGCGATCAAGAAGGACGGCGTGCAGCGGCTGGTCGTGCTGCCGCTCTACCCTCAGGTGCGCCGGCGCTACACGCCGCGCCTGCCCTGACCGCCGCGGGGCCCCGCCTGGCCTCAGCCAGCAGCGCGAGCGTCGCTTTTCGCCGCGTGTGCGGCGCGGGGGCGGCCCCGGGGCCGCGCGCCGCGCGGACTGGCCGTGTCCGCGGGGGATCTCTGCGCGTCCGCGGGGCGCCGCGGCTGCGGGCGCGCGGGCGCGGCTATCCGCGCGCGTGCGCTGGCAGCCAATAGCTTTGAGTGCGCATTCCTCGCCGCGCGGTGCAGTTCTCGATCAGCACGTCGGGCTCCTCGCTGCGTCTGCTCGAGAAGCTCTTCGCGGAGGACGTCCTGCTCCGGAATCTCAAGCACACCGTCATCCCATCGTGGTACCAGCGCCCAGGCTACCTCCGGGCCATGGCCGACCTCATCGAGGCCGAGCTGGCCAAGTTCAGCGACCCCGCGAGCGCTGAGATCTTCTTCTCCGCCCACGGCGTCCCCAAGAGCTACGTCGAGGAGGGAGACCCCTACAAAGAGGAGATGGAAGAGTGCGTGGCCCTCATCATCCAGGAACTCCGGGTACGCGCCCGCCCCCCGCGCGCCCAGCGCCCCGCATCCTCGTCACGCCCCACCGCAGCCTGCGCGACCGCTGCGCCGCTGTTCGCGGCACGCGCGCCGCCGGTGGCCCGCAGCTGCACGCCCTCACACGCCCCGCCGCCTCGTGCCCGCAGCGGCGCGGCGTCTCGAACAGCTTCACGCTCGCGTACCAGTCCCGCGTCGGCCCCGTCGAGTGGCTCACGCCCTACACGGACGACGCGATCAACCGTCTGGGCGAAGAGGGCTGCAAGGCTATGTGCGCGGTGCCGATCAGCTTCGTTTCGGAGCACATCGAGACGCTCGAGGAAATCGACATGGAGTACCGCGAGGTCGCCGAGGAGGCCGGGATCAAGGAGTGGCAGCGCGTCCCGGCCCTGAACGTCAACGACACGTGGATCCAGGACCTGGCCGAGGCCGTCGTCGAGGCGCTGCCATACACGGGGTCCGTCGCGGCCAAGTCGCGCGGTCTCGTGCCGATCGCGGGGATCGACACGCTGATGGAGGTGTATGACCGGGAAGGTCTGCCGCTGCCCGTGCCGGACCGGCTGTTCGAGCCCGGGTGGAACAAGAACGCCGAGGTGTGGAACGGGCGCATCGCGATGATGGCGTGGGTGGTCGTGATTCTGTTCAGCGGGATCCAGATGGTGACGGGCTCGCAGTGAGGCGGCGCGGCTGTCGTCGTCGCGCACGCGGGACACCCCGGCGGCGCGACGAGGGCGGCGTGTAGATGTGGCGGACTAGGTGCCGCGCGTGTGAACGTACGATGCCGTGCGGGGCCTCGGGCGCGCGGCGGGCCGCGTGGATGGGTCACGGGGGCGCGCTGGGCTCCCATGCGACGACGCGAGGTGCTGCGTGTTGTTCCTGCGGGGCGCCGCGCGTCGGCCTGCGGACCGTGCGCTGTGGGCGGGAGCGCGACGTGCTGGGCGATGGCAGAAAAGCGCGTTCGGCAGCGGGGGCTGTGCGGCGCCCCGGACACAGCATGTTGTGCGTCTGGTGCCCCAGGCAACGCATGAGGCACCCGCCGATCCGAAAAACCCGTGCGTTCGCATGCGTTTAGAGCTGAGATCGCGGGGGCCTCGGAGCGCGCATCGCGGCGAGTCCCCCCCCTGACGTAACGGCAGATCCCTCCCGGTGCGCACAGAGGCGACCCCCCCCTGTGTTGCGCGCTGGAGCCGCGCCGAAGCGGCGACGAACCGGGCCACGACGGCACTGTGAGGTCAGCGCATGCGCGTCGCAGCTGTTTCGACGCCACAGACGATCGCACGCGCGCCGCACGGCCTTCCCGCCAACTGCACGACTGGCCAGAGCGCCGATGGCGAGCGTCGGCTCCTCGCCCTGGCTCGGCCCGGAGCCGGACGGCTTCGACAGTCGGTTGCTCAGCGTGGGCGCGGAAGTCGAGATCCACGGCGTTCAGAGCCGGCCAATCCTCAATGGGCGCCGCGGCCGCGTGCTCTTCGTGCCTGAGGAAGCAGGGGGGCGCGTGGGCGTGTACGTCGTTCCGGACCCCGAGGTCTGGGCGAAGGCGGGCTTCAATACTCCCCCCGAGGCGATTGCGCTGCGGCCCCAGAACATCAAGCCGTGGTGCTGGCCCAGCGGAAAGGGGCCCCGCGCGCCCGCCGCGGTGGCCGGAGGGTGCTTCGCGGACGAGGCGGACGCGCGGATGTTCTCTGAGATCCTCGACCTGGCCAGGCTCTTCGTCCACGAGCTCCAGGGACGCTCTGACGTCACGAAAGAGGTGTGCGCTCCGCCCGGGCTACCTACCAACGGCGCTGCGGTCGAGACTGACGCGAAGAGCGGCCCCGACGCGCCTGTGTCATCGGAGCGCACTCTCGCCGCTATCTGTTCGGCCCAGCAACTCATACGTTCGTGCACCGCAATGTGCCCATCCCGTCATGCTGTTGTTTGTTGCCCGCTGCAGGGCGGGGGCATCCACTCCCTGCGGTCGTCCCCGGAGGGTCTCATGACCATCGCCGACCTCACCGACGACGCGCTGCTGTACTGGGACCTCATGCCGGTGTCCCCGGGGGTGTTCGGCAGCATGTCTGCCAGCCTCGCGGCGCAGCTGCAGGAACAGCGGAGCGGCGCCGGGAGCAGCGCGGAGCCGCCCCTGCGCGCGCTCGTCGAGGAGGTGACGTCGGGGCCGGACGTGTGGCGGTGGGGCCTCCCCGCCTGCCGTCTCGAGGGGGAGTTTATCCTTGTGGAAGACTCAGACGAGGGGGCGGTGCTGGTGCTCGACGGGGGCGACACGGGGCACAGCGGGGTGTACCTGGCGCTCGGGATCGCGGAGCCCATCGTGCCCAAGATCCTGCAGTCGGGCGCGCAGCTGCCAATCAAGGTGCGCTGGTGGATTTGCAGTCCTCATTTCATGGTTCTCCGTGAACGCAACTGCCTCGCCGACCGCGCGACGAGCCGGCTCGCCACAGCCGACCGCCCGCTGCCCCCCGCCCACACTCCCCCCCACCCCGCAACACCCCCCCGCAGCTCCGCATGCGACTCCTCCCCTTCCGCGGGCGCCTGGTCTACGACGGTACCATGATGGGCACGGGCCCCATGGGCAGCCTCGCGCCGACGCCGCCGCGCGTCGCCGCGCGCGCAGCGGAGCGCGTCGCCCTCGCGAGGGCCGCCGGCACCGTCATCACAGGCCTGCACTCCACCGCCGGCCCGCCGGCGGCCCTGACGGACGACGAAGGCTCCGACAACGTGAGCGCGGACGCGGGGGGCAGCCCGCCCGAAGGCATCACGTCCGAGGTCCGCGAGGCGTGGCTGGCGCTGCAGGCGGCACAGAAGATGGAGGGCCCGCCGTGGACGATGCGTAGAATGGCCTACTCGGAGAATCTGAACCGCAACCACCTGTACGCGTGGGTGGCAGGTACGTGCCGCGCCGTGCGAGATCGCGCCCGAATCGTGGACGATGCTGCGTTTGTTTGTTGCTGCTGCGAACGACTGTTGCCCGCGCTGAGCGGCGCTGTGTTTGCCCGGAGCTCTGCAGCGCCGAGGATGGTCGGGGGCGGCGCGACGCGCGCGCTGAACCCCACGCCCGAGGAGGTGCTGCTGGGGCTCGTCGAGTGCGTCACCAGGTCCGGCGGGCGGGCGCCGAAGGCCATCAATGTTGACAGCAAGGTGGCGATTCGGGGCACGCGGGCGCTCCTGCGCGGTACCGGCGTGGTCGTTGGGTACTACCCGCCTGGACACGCGTAGGGGAGCGCTGGTTCGGCGGGACCATGGCTGGGCGGGGTCGACAACCCTGGATCCAGGACTGCTGTCTGTCGGCAGGTGGAGGTGGCTTCTCACGGCCTCGACGGGCGTTGAGAGCCGCGAACGAGCATGGTTTCGGGCAGTGTTTGTGTTACACGCGACGGGAGCTGCAAGAAACCATCGTGGGTCGCCGCAGGCTGGCCGCAGCGGGCCTCAGAACCTCCGCTGGGTCTTCTGAGGCATCGCGCCCGCCGCGGACCTCTCAGGGACCGAAACGGTCGTGCCCGGCGCTGGAGTGGACAGCATGGACTGCCCGATCTGCACCGATCCCTACAACGCCGGAGCCCGGCGCCCGATGTCGCTGCACCCGTGCCACCACGCCATGTGCGAGCTGTGCTGCCGTAAATTACTCCTGAATCTTCAGGGACGCCCCGCGAAGTGCCCGCATTGCCGGGTCCTCCTCCGAAGCGCCAGAGACGGCGGGGACGTCCGCGGCGTGCAGGACCTGCTGCCGAACTACGCCCTGTGCGACTACCTCGAGCAAGCTGGCAACGCAGCGGAGGGCCGCGCGGATCAAGATGGACAAGAGGCCGCGCCTGCCGATGTTCATGCCGTGGACGTGCCATCGGAGGCACAGGGCGCACCCGTTGCGTCCCCGGCCTTCCGGGCGCCGACGTTGGAGTGTCTGGTGAGTCCACGCGCCACCCTGTGCGCAGACAGCTGCACAGAAACCTTCCACATTGGATTTGGGCTCGAAACGTTGCCAAGTGCGCGGCTGTGGTGATTCGTGCACGATCGCGTCGTGCAGCGTCTTCGTCTCGGCCTCCCACCCGCGCTCTTTGATGTGCTCGGTTTCGCAGGGTTGCCACGCGGTACTCGGTGCCGACGGTCGCGCAGCGCGCGCTCACATCAAGACATGCATCTACAGCGGCGGGTCGAACCTGACCATCGCACCGGAGCGCCCGTCAAGCCGGGACACCTTGCTGATCCACGTGGAGGTGCGACAGGCTGCGCTGAGCGCCCCGTCGCCTGCGCAACGCATTCATGCCCGGAGCGAACATGTTTGCCAGCGCAGCAAGTCGCCCTTGCTGGCTGCGCGCAGCCGGCCGCGGCATGGCGAGCCGCTCTTTCAGACGCGCTCATTGCAAACCTGTTTTGCTGCGCTTCGCCCCGCCCGCTCCGGAGACACCCCATGACTCAGTAGACAGGCGAGGGCCGTGGCGACCCCTGCAGGACTCGGTTCGTGGAGCGATGCAGCTCATGATAGCATGCAAGCGAGACGCAACCCTCGCTCAGCTGGATCAACTCCTCCGCACGGTCTGGATGGCGCCCTGCTGGTGAGAGCCGCCGCGCGAGCTCGCACTCGATGTCCGGGGCGAGGAACTTCACGGCCCGCCCCTGCGTCGTCGGCGCGTGCCCCTGCGGGTCGGTTGCGCAATCATTTCGCGTCCAGTGCTGATTCGAGCTCCGCGCACCGCCCCCTTGACGCGCAGCGACGTTCAGCACACGTCTCGCTTCGTCGTTCGTTCGGGGCATGTCGACGGTGCTTCGCAGCAGCGCATCATCGACAATGCGTGGTCGACGCCAACTGCCGCGCGGGAGCTGCTGCAGTACGTCTTCTCAAGGGACGAGCGCGCAACGAATTGCACCGTCGCTATCTTCAGGGCACCGCGGCTGTCGGAGGCTGTCGCCGCCAAGCTGCAGGACTCGCCATGCAGCATGCTTGTTGTCACGAGAAATCGCCCCCCGGCCCCGCAGTGCCACCGCTGCAGCACGGTGCAAGCCGGCGCCCGCACGCAGGCCCGGACGGCGGACCTCCTCGTCGCGGCCGAGTCGCAGCCGGACGCGCTGTGCCGTGCGGATCGCGACAGTTTCGTTTGCACTCTTTGTTCGTCGAACTCGGAGAGGTGCTTCCACCTGGACCTGAACAGCCCCCGCATCGGCACGCACGAGTACGGGCTGCGGGGCTCGGCACACGCCAATGCGAACGAGGGGGTCGCCGCGGTGCAGCTCTCGCCCCTGCAGGGCGGCGCTGCTGCCGCGCAAAATGCGGAGGCGCCTGAGGCTCTCCTGTCCAGAAACCTCGGCTTCGACGAGTCGGTGCGCGCGCTCCCATGGCTCCCACGCGCCGCGCGCCGCGATACCGTGGCGCGTCACTTCGCCATGATCACAGCATGGTGATTCTTTTCGAAAATCGCCGCCCAACGCCCCTTATGCGCCCGGCCTTGCAGGACCTCGCGCTCGAGACGTTTGCTCCGTACCGGCCGCGCCGTGTGGCGCTCGGGCGCATGCATCCCGACCTCGTCGTCGAGTCGTCCACCATGGCGTCCGTAATGCCGCCGCTGGCCCCGATGCAGCACCGGCTGCACATCATGCGCGAGGCGGCGCCGGACAGCCTGTCGGATCTGCAGCTCGAGGCCATCGTGTACGCCATGCAGCGGCACAAGTCGACGTTTGACGGCCCCGACGGGCAGCGCGAGCGCTGTGGGTTCGTACTTGCGGACGGCGCCGGCGTCGGCAAGGGACGGACGATCGCGGGTCTCATCTATGAGAACTGGCTCAGGGGTCGCAAGCGCCACGTGTGGATCTCCGTCAGTCCCGACCTGATGCGCGACGCAGGTAATTCCTTCTATCACCATTATCCCCCCCTCCCCCAACTACGCTGTCCTGGTGACGGACTCGCAGGATCCTCTAGGCTCTGCGGCCATCGCCACGAGGCTTGCGGCCACCGCCCTCACGCCGCCGCTCGATTCCCCGCCCGATCTGCAGAGCGCGATCTCCGCCACATCGGCGCTGGCCGGATCCCCGTTCACCTGCTCAACGCCGGTTCGCGTTATGCCACGGAAGGCGTCTTATTCATGTCGTACGCCACGCTGCGTAGTAATGGACGTGTGGACGAGGTGGTTGAGTGGTGCAAGAGGGGTGGAGAGACCTTTTCTGGAGTCGTCGCATTCGATGAGGCTCACAAGGCGAAAAATCTGCGACCAGAGCATCAGGACGCGTCTGCGTCCGCTCTGGTCGTGGATGCCCTGCAACAGCGTCTGCCGATGGCACGTGTCGTGTACTCCAGTGCGACCGGCGCGTGCGAGCCCCGCCACATGCTCTACATGCGCCGCCTGGGCCTCTGGGGCCCTGGGGCGCCGCTGGGGCGCGACGACGCCGCGTTCCTCAGTCAATTCTACGCCAAGAACAATCGGCTGATGGTAAGCCAGGAGCTGCTGTCAATCGACTTGAAGGCGCGTGGAGTGCTCCTGGCGCGGTCTCTGTCTTATGAAGGGGCAGACTTCTACATCGACCGAGCGGAACTCACGCCCGACATGCTCGAGATGTACAACAACTGCGCAGAGCTTTGGCAGCACCTACACGACGTGGTGTTTGAACAATATGTTTCTACTCTGGTCATGCTCTGCCGTGCGGGGGAGCAGCAAAGTGCGGAGCAGGGTTCGGCGCGGGGCCGAAGCACCGTCGATAAGGCATCGATCGGCCGGCAGTTCTGGGCCGCGCAGCTAAGGTTCTTCGAGGGGCTGTGTTTCGCCGCGAAGGTTGAGACGACCGTGCAGGTCGTTCAGGACGCCCTGCGCGCCGGGAAGTGTGCCATCATTGGTCTCCAGCGGACTGGTGAGGCTGCGCTGGAGGGAGTCGGTGCTGGTCCGCATCCGCGCATCATCTCAGCCCTGCGGCAGCAGCTTGGTGGGTACTTGCAGACGTTGCAGGACGGCCTGACGCTGGCTGCGGAGCGTGCTTCGATGACCACGGACGACGAAGTCCGGGAGATGATGGCGGTTCTGACGGGGCTCCAGGAACGCGCGGCGTCGATGGATTTGCCGCCCAACCCTCTCGACGATCTCTGCGACCGTCTGGGCGGAGTGACGGCCGTCGCGGAAGTGACGGGAAGGCAGAAGCGCATGGTCAGAACTGCGGATGGTCTGCATTTCGAGATCGCGACGCGAATTTCAGACAAAGCAGCCGAGCGCGAAGCGTTCCAGCGTGGTGACAAGCTCGTCGCAATCGTCTCTTCGGCTGGGTCGACCGGGATATCGCTGCAGGCGGACCACCGGGAGCGCAACCAGCGTCGTCGCGTGCACATCACGGTCCAGCTGCCCTGGGCCGCTGATGAAGCAGTTCAGCAGCTCGGTCGCTCACACCGCGCTTCGCAGGTCAGCACACCCCCGACGCTGCGACCCCTCCGTCGTCTGCCCCCATCCGCACGCTCTCAGCTTCACCAACGCTCCCCTCGCTCCGCCTTCGCCACCCGACGCACGGAAACGCCGTTCCGCGTCCCGGTTCTCACCAACCAAATGCATGGCATCTCTTCCCGCAGGTGTCGGCCCCAGAATACCACCTCATCGTGTCGAGCATCGGCGGGGAGAGGAGGTTTGCGAGCTCGGTCGCGAGGCGCATACAGTCGCTGGGCGCGCTCATGCACGGCGACCGTCGGGCTGCCGACGCGCAGTCCCTCGGCGCCCTCAACTGCGAGACGCCACTGGGCCTGCAAGCCGTACGGGACATCCTGTACGCCGTGCGGTACGGCACGTTCGCTGGCGGGCGAGCCTCCGGGAGACAATCCCAAGTTGCCGCGGCGCTCGTGCAGCCCCGGGAGTGCCAGCCGGATTTCCCGCACCGTCTGAACGACGCCGATTTCTTGGCCGAGTGCCGCACCCTCTTGATCAAGATGCGCATCATGGAGGCGAGCGGCGGTGCGGTGGAGAACGGTCGCTCTGCGCGTGGCTGGCCGGCGTACTTCGGCCTTGCCGTTACAAGTGACAAAGTCAAGAATCGGGCGGATCTCGTCACGACCTTCCTGAACCGCCTGCTCGCCGTCGACGTCGAGGGGCAGGACATGCTCGCCAGGCTCTTCTTCGACCAGCTCGACGAGCGCACCAGGATCGAGCAGTCGGCTGGCGGCGGCGACTACGTAGCGCAGGAACTCCGCGGAGAGAGCATCCGTCTCGCAGCGCCGCCGCAGGAGCTGCACCGGGACGCTCTATCGGCGGCATCGACGACCCTGTACCGCGTCGAGGTCGACCGGGGCGTCCCTTTCGAGCGCGCTGCCGAGTTTGTGGAGTTCTGCGGGGAAGACGAGCAGCAGGCGCATGGCGACCCTGCGCGTGGGACCGAGGTGAGAGCCTTGCTGTCGTGCTCGTGCCGGGCGAACTGCCGCGACAGCCCCGATATGCGCTGCCGACGCATTTCCTAGGCTCAGCCTGAGGCAGGAAGAGTGCGTAGGATCTACATCGCTTTCTGTGGTGCTGGCGGTGCCGTGCTTGCGTATGCGCTGCAACGACAGAGCCGAACAGCGTGGTGTTGATGCTATCCGTGCTGACGAAGAATGATCCGCTCCTGAATTGCTGCAGGATTCCTCGTCAGACGCGGTCGGGGACACCCCTCCCAACCCCCAACTGCTGTCAGGGTTCTACCGTCGCAAGCGCGCGACCAGCGCGACGGCGACGCTGGACAGCAGCAAGCCGGTGCGGGGTCCGGGGATCGACAGGTCCCCCGGGGCGCTCGTGGCAGCCGGGTACAAAGCAAGAATTCCTAGTATGGCTTTGAGGGCGGGTTTCGAGATCGTGCAGCCGGGAAACTGCGTCGTCAACAGGTACCTGCACGCGGAGTTCCTCGCTTTGTACGAGAGGGCCGAGGACGACCACGTGAGGGGGGAGTGGGAGCGACAGTGGGCCAACGCTGAGCTGCAACGCACACAGCGGTTTGCGTACGTGTGCGGGGCGCTCGTGCCGATCTGGCGCGCCATGCAGTCCGAGCATATCAGGATGAAGCTGACACGATTCTCCATCACGGATCGATCCCAGCACGTGGGCTCCACAACCCTCCCTGACTCACTGATTGGGGTTGAGGTGCCGGACGACAAAGTTCGCCCTTTGATCGATGCAGTCCGGCGGCTTGGGGACTCCTCGCAGGTGTGTGCCGCGCTGACAGTGCACCGACCATCGTCAGCACACATGTCAATCGCCTGCGGCTCAAGTCTGTTTCCGGCGTGTTGCACACAGGGGGCGACCGAGCAGGCCGGGTACGAGCACGTGGCTGCGCGCACGGCCAGCGACGCGGGCGACAGCGTCGCGGACGCGGACGACGGGGGCGGCGCAGTCGCGCTCGCGGACGACGACATGAACAACACCATGGTTGGGACGCCCCTTGACGACAGCGCTCTGTTGGACGAGGTCCCGCCGCAGGGCGACGCCACGGCGGCGAGCTGCGGAGACGAGCAGCCGCGCGCAGGGCCTGCGGGCGGGCTCGCTGCGCAGGAGGAGAGCGAGGTGGCGGCGCTGAAACGTCAAGTTGCTCAGCAACGGCGCCAACTTGCTGAGCAACAGCGCCGGATGGACGACATGGAGCGCAAGATTGACGACATGCAGCGCAGGGTGGGGCAGATGCAGATCAACGGTCGTCCTGCCAAGAACGATGGCGGGGCAGGCCCGAGCGGTCTCTGATGGGGTTTGCCCCTGCAACGCGCGCGCGCGGTGATCCGGAGTCGGGGGCGGGGTGTGCGGGCAGCGTGTGAGACGGCGGCCGCCTCTTCGATTCAACCGCAGGGCGATCGCGACACGGGGCGAATGGAAGCCCAGGCAGCCGCCTGCGGCAACGGGCATGTATCGAAGCCCGTTCTCGTAGCTCGGGCGACCACATCGAGCTCTGCTGAAGCAGCTCGCGCCGAGGCCGTTCATGGTTCGCCAACGCGCTGCCTTGCGGTCGTGTATTCACATTCCCCCCCCCACTGTGTGTCGGGGCACATCCTGACACCACACAGGCGGCCTTGCACGGCCCACCGAGCGTTCGAGGGGCGGCCCGCGGCGAGAGCCATTCGACTTGAGAGTGCTCGCCGTCCGATGTCGCAGGACGACCAAGGCGAGCGCGGGAAGCGCGCATTGGGCGCGGCGTCGCCTCGAGACGGACGGCGGGTGCGCCCCCGCGGCGAAACGGCGCACACATGTTCGGGATCGGGCGCGGCGGAGCAACAGGTTCGCGACCGCGCACGCCAATCACGTAAATACGGGCCAGTGTCGCTCGTGCTGCTGCTCCTTTGTGCTTCTCTGCGACGCGGTGTTGTTTCCAAGCGCTGGCGGCCTGTTGCGGCCTCGCGCTTGCCCCTGGACGCGGATCGAGAGCGCAGTGATTGTATGCAACGATCGCGGCAGCGGAAAAGCCAGCCCCGTCGTCAACAATGCTTGCTTCGACGCAACGGTGCAGGCAATTGACGAAGCGCAGCACGATGGCGAAGGAGCGTTCGAAACGGTGCGTGGCGCGACATACAACCGGATCGGACGCGGCGCTGAAAAATTGTGCGTCGCTCGCAGCATGGCCTGCGCGCGAGCTGACTCTCGCATGCCAGAATCGCGTACCTGTGCAGGACCTGGTGACATTCACGCCGTACAAACCCAGCCGCGTCGACGTCGGGCTGCCGCACCCGGACTGCGTGGTGGAATCGACCGCGCTGGCGTCGATCGTGCCGCCGGATGCTCCGTTTCAGCATCAGCTGGAGATTCTGGAGTTTGCGAAGACCGGCAGCATTTCCCAGTTGCAATTTGAGGCGGTGGTATACGCCTTTCAAAGCAACGAACACACCTTCGTGGGTGATAAAGGGACCCGGCAGCGCTACGCGTTTCTGCTCGCCGACGGGACCGGCGTCGGCAAGGGGCGGACCATCGCGGCGATCATCTGGGAAAACTGGCTGCGTGGCAGGAGGCGCCACGTGTGGCTGTCGGCCAAGAAGGACCTCAAAGCAGACGCGGGTGAGCCCTCGGTCCTCTGCATGCCGTGCTGTATCAGGTTGGAACCTGTCAGGTTGTGTTTGTGCTTTGTTCCCAGCGTGCTATGACTTTCATTTCTCGACCTCCGTTGACGCAGAGCGCGACTTTCGCGAGATCGGCGCCACGGATCTCGCGGACAGGGTCGTCACGCTGCAGGATGTCGAGCGCAGCGCGCACGCGGGAGCCGACGGCATCCTTTTCGTTCCGTACACGATGCTACGCGAGCCGAAGAGGTTCCGTCAGGTCTGCGACTGGTGCGACCACAGCGGACGAGGCGCCTTCTCGGGCAACATCGTGTTCGACGAATCCCACAAGGGCAAGAACCTCCAGCCCGCCGGACACGCCGAGCCGACGGCAACGGCAGTGGCGATGGAAAACCTGCAGGACGCATTCCCCGACGCTCGGGTCGTCTACTCAAGCGCAACCGGAGCCTCGGAGCCCAGGAACATGGCCTACATGGGTAGGCTCAACCTCTGGGGCCCACATTCTCAAATGGATCTGGAGGACTTTCCGGCGTTTTCCGCCCTCTTTCCAACCAAGGATCGCAACCTGGGCAGTGCTGAGCTGCTCAGCACGAGCTTGAAGGCGACGGGTCGGCTGGTGTGTCGGACGCTCTCGTTCGAGGGCGCCGACTTCTACCAGCATCGCATCGAGGCTGCGGGCGACTTCCGCGTTATGTATGACTGCAGCACTCAACTGTGGCGGGCGCTTCACGGCGTCGTTCTCAGCCAGTACGCCGACGTGTGCTTCCGCCTGAGCGGAGCCAGCTCGGGGGGAAAGAAAACGGAGAAAGCGCAGTTCAAGGGGCGGATCACTATGGACTACTACGGCACGCAGCAGAAGTTCTTCAAGAGCCTCTGCTACGCGAGCAAGCTCGAGAAGGCTGCCGAGCTGGTGCAGGCCGCTCGAGACGCAGACATGTGTCCTGTGGTCGGGTTGTTCGAGACTGGTGAGGCCGCAATCACGCAGCTGAACAACAGCGTCACCAGAGACATCCCATCCATGGCCCGCCACGAGCTGACCTCGTACATCGCGCGTCTGATCACCCAGCTTGAGACGTACGTGGAGTGCCATCGTCATCGCTGTCGTCGTCCGTTCAGGCTGCGTGAGACGGTCTCCGAGGGGGACTGCACCAACAACAGCGCGAGTGATGACGACCTCTCTGGCGTGGACTTCGAGGTGGAGGACGAGCCGGACAAGGACGAGGAGAGAGATGCCGGTGACGCACAGCTACCTGACGTCAGTTACGAGTTCTCGGACTACACAAACGACAGCGCCAGTGATGACTCCTCCGACTTGGACTTCAAGGTGGAAGACGAGCCGGACGAGGACGAGGAGGACGCCGAGGAGCGAGGTGCCGGTGACGCACAGATTCTTGACGTCAGCGGAGTCGCGGAAGTGCGCCACCGCCTGGAGGATCTCCTCAGCCTAGCGACGGCACTGCCGCTGCCCGTGAACGCTCTCGACACGCTCTGGAACCGCCTCGGGGGCTCGGAGCAGCGAGTGGCTGACCTGACTGGACGACAGCACTACATGGTCAAGGTCGGCAACGGCTACGAGGTGCGGAAGCGCAGACTCGACGAAAACCGCGAGCGCAAGGCGTTTCAGGATGGCGAGAAGGACGTGGCCATCGTGTCGGCGGCTGGCTCGATCGGCATCTCGCTGCAAGCTGACGGAAACGCCCAGAATCACCGCAGGAGGGCGGTCATATCTTTGGAGTTCCCGTGGGCGGCGGATGCCGCGGTGCAGCAGTGGGGACGGGCCCATCGCTCGGGGCAGGTCTCCTGCCCCGAGTTTCACCTCGTGGTCGCGGGAGTCGGCGGCGAGCTGCGGTTCGCCAGTGCGGTGGCGAAGCGCATCGAGAGCCTCGGCGCCCTTATGCACGGCGATCGTCGTGCAGCTGACAGCCAGTCGCTGTCTGACTTCAACTGCGACATCCCCCACGGCCAGGCCGCTGTCCGGGACATCCTGTGCGCCGTCGAGGGCGACACGTTCGAGGGCGGTGCTGGGGCTGGGCGCGCCGGCAAGCAGGTGGCCCTGGTGGAGCCCCGCCACTGTTTCGAAGGGTTCCCCGACGCACTGCAGCCTCCCGAACGCGAAAAGCACTTTCTCGCGGAGATCCGCCACATGCTGATCCTGATGGGCTTCGTGACGCCGCTGGATCCAACGCAGCAGACGGACGTCTCGGCGCGCGACCGGCCCGCATTCTTTGGGAAGGTGGTATTGCAGCAGAACGTCGTCAAGCAGACCGATCAGATCAGGGTCTTTCTGAACCGCGTGCTCGCGGTGGACATCGCGGGCCAGGACATTCTCACAACTCTGCTATTCGACCAGCTCCACATGCGGTCGTGGATCGACCCGCCCAAGGATTGCGTCGCACAGGAGCTCCCGCGGGGGTGTGTCCGCCGAACGGAGCCCCCGGTCGAGCTCTGCCGCGACGACCTGAGCGGCGCGACGACGATGCTCCACCGCGTCGAGGTGGACCGCGGGCTGCCCGCAGAACGCGCGGTGAAGTTCTGCGAGCGGAGCGTCGCGCACGAGTGCGACGTGCGCGTGTGTCTCGCGGAGGTGCGCACGGCCGAAACCACCCTCGCTGTAGCTGATTGCCGGTGCATCGCGCGCCGAGCTGGACGCGTGTTCGCATGTGCAGCATGTGCATGTCACCACCGAAACGCGGCCTGACCGTCGCTCCCGTTCGAGCTGCCGCCTGTGCAGGGCCAGGCGGCATCCACGATAGTGTCAGGCTTCTACCGGCGGAGGGTTTCGCCCGCGTCGTACCACGACATCCACCTGCAACCGAGCTGGAGGGGTCCAGCGCTGGCGCTGACGCCCCGCTCGCTCGTCGTAGCAGCGTACAAGCCCCACATGCTCGAGCTCGGTTCAGCGGAGGGCATCGAGTTCATGTCCCCGGCCAACTGCATGGTCAACAGGTGCCAGATGAAGGACTTTCTCAACATGTACTCCCTGGTCCATGACAGCGCCACAGTGAGGCGGGACTGGGACTCCCAGTATGACGGCGCTCTGAGGAAAACTTCGGAACGCAACCGCAAGGAAGACATCACCTTCGTATCCGGAAACCTCCTTCCGATATGGAAGGAGATGAGGAACCTTAACGTCATCATGACGATGACGCGGTTCTCGGTGCCCGACCCTACTCAGGAAGCGGGAGGCAGCGAGGGCAACAGGCTGCTGTCTATCATCGGAGTCCAGCTGACGGCGAGTCAAGCCTGGAAGATAAAGGACCGTGTCGAGAATCCCGGCGCTGCACCGTGCACGCAGGTGCGGGTTCTGATTCCAGCATGTGTGCTGCACGCGCGCGCTGCACGCGCGCGCGCGCTGCTGGCAATCGCAACTGCCGCCGGGCAGTCAGACGCGTAGAGCCCGCCTCCGCGTCAACAATTCATCCCGCTGCCCTCATTTGCCACTGCAGGGCGCGACTGTGGGGGGAAACAAGCGTCCGGCGCGCGCCCCCGAACACGCGTCGAAAGTGCTCGCTGTGGCCGGGCCTCCTGAGAATCGAGCCGGCGCGGTCACCAACGCTGGCGAGCGGCCCGACCTGTCGTTGGACCCGATATCGATGCTGGTGGACAGCGACAGCGAGCGCTCGCACCATCACATGGTGGTCGAGTTCGAGTCGTCGTCGGAAGAGGACGCTGCGGCGGAGCAAGCACATGCAGCACAGAGCGATGCGGAGCTCGATGCGGCTGGGTCTGACCGCGCGACGTCGACGGCGGGTGAGAACATCACACAGGATCTCTGGAGGCAGGTGTACGACAACGACGACCGCATTCAAGCACTCGAGAAGCTCCTGCAGAGCATCAGCCGGCAGCCTCTCGCCAACGTGCAGCACAGCGCCCGCGGGCCGGCTGCGGGCAGCGAGGCGCGCCCCATTTCTGGCACGGAGACGCTGACTCAGGCCAGGCTGCAGCTGAAGCAGGTCCGGAAGGCGCAGAGCGATCTGAAGGCGCAAGCCTTGCGGCGGGGACGGCGCCCGCAAGACGACGGGGCCGGACCGAGCGGCCTCTGAGCTTGTGCGGCTTGCGGCCACTACCATTGCATGAGACACAACGCAACGGCGCGCGGGAGGGCCAGGGAGGAGAGCGGGGAAGGGATGTGAGCGCTCGTTCCAGCTGCGTCTGCCGCCGCTCTCACTGTGTCAGGTCTCGGCGCAAACAAAACATGACCCATCATGTCACTGAATGTCGTGTCGCGTGGCACCCTGGACGCACAGACCCGCGCGTCCGTGGCTCTGGGAGCCGTTGGACCGGCGTGAGCACCGCTGGCGGGGCCCGAGTGGGCCGACAAAACGGCCGACCACCCCTGCATTGGCTGATGTGCGTCAGCTTTGAAAACAATACGTCATGTTTCTGTCGCGCGAAAGAGGGCGCGTGAGTTCGCCAACCGCTCGTGCGCGCCCCTATGTCGCTGCTCGCGATCCGGGAGCGAAGGGCGCGATGCCTCGACGTGCGTCCACGCGCGCGCGAGCTTGACGGCAGATTGCCGCAACAGAGGTCGTGTCAGGGGGCGGGCCCGGCGGGAACAGGCACGTAAACGCGCCGGGACGGGTAGGGCTGGCCGAGGTCGGCCGGCGGGTCCGCGCACGGCGATGCCCCGGGCGGCGGCAGGCTGCTGCGCGTGTGGGGGGATGTCTCATGTGGCAGCCTGCGTGCGACCCCCAGGGCGCCTGTGAAGGGCCCGTGGCGCCGCGAGCACGTGCATTAGGATCGGGCTAGTCGATAGAGGGCAGCTTTGGTCAGCAATAGTCACGCTGGAGGCGCGGTGCGGCGGCTGGACAGGCGGTGAGCGTTGGCAGAGGTTTCCGCGCGGCGTGCGGCGTTGAAGATCTCTTTTAGACGCGCCCGGGAAGGGAGAGCCAGTCTTTGAGCAGCGATGGATCCGAACGAGGGAGAGATTGAGGGTTCGGTGCGGGAACAGGACCGCTACCTGCCCATTGCCAACATCAGTCGGATCATGAAAAAGGCGCTCCCGAACAACGCGAAGATCGCCAAGGACGCGAAGGAGACGGTGCAGGAGTGCGTCTCGGAGTTCATCAGCTTCATCACGAGCGAGTGCGTGCCCGTGCGACGCCGCGACCGCCCTCCGCCCGCCCGCTGCTCCCTCGCGCGCGTCGCGGGGCGCCTCACGGCGGTGATACGGGCCCGCTGCGGTGCAGAGCGTCGGACAAGTGCCAGAGGGAGAAGCGGAAAACGATCAACGGGGACGACCTGCTCTGGGCGATGAGCACTCTTGGTTTTGACGACTACTCTGAACCTCTCAAGCGATATCTCCACAAGTATCGCGAAGCGGAGAAGGCCTCGCAGGTGCGGCCGAGGGCCCCCCTCTCCGCCGTCCCAGGAAGCCACACACGCGCCGTTCACGTCGCCAGTCCCCCCATTCGGCAGGATTTCCAGCAGCTATGGAAGATACTCAGCGCCGGCCCGCACGCCCGCCACGTCGCTTCCTGGCCCCCGCGGCGCGCTCGCCAGCCCCCCGCCGCTCGGCAGCGCCCAGTTCGAGCCCTCGACGCCGTCCGCGCGCGCCTGACGCCACACTGCGCCGCGCACGAGCCGTGGCAGGATTCTCTCGTCCACCCCGCGGGCTGTGCTCCGTGAAATGGCCGTCCCATGCCACCGCCGCACGCTCTGCGACCTCTGTGCCGCAGGCGAAGCAGGGAGGAAAGTGATTCGGTACGGCTGCGAGGCAGTATGCCACGAAGCTCTGCACTCCATGCTTAGCCCGCGAGCGCCTCCCGCGCGCGCGCGACGCGGACGCAGCGCGCCGCGAAATTTTGACCACCTAGAGACAGCAGCTTGCACAGTACAATCCGGACTCCGCGGCCATGTGAGCGCGCCACCACGCACCGTGCCACGCACCGCGCGTCTCCTCACGCCGCGCCGCTCCGGCGCCGGCTCGCCCCGTCAGCACGCACACACCCACATGCCCGCGACACACACGAGTGAGACAACGCGCTCGATACCGCCACGGAAGAACCCGCGCTGTCCTCTGCGCACCCGCCGCGGCGTGCGGTGCCTCTCACGCCCGCACCGACCCTTCGCTCGCACGTAGCTATCGGTATCGTCACAGCTCGACGCGAACGCGACGCTGCCACCCTAGCGACGACGGCCCGCCGCAACTTCCTGTTCGATTCCAGTTTGAAACGTGCGCTCTCTGTCTCGCGCGGCAAGCAGGTCCGAGACGCTGGGGTTCTCGTGCTTGAGCAGCGCGGCCCGCTCCACGTCGCGCTCCTCCGCGGCCGCCATCTCCACGTCGCCGGCCCCGCCCCCCGCCGCCTGCGCCGCCTGCTCCCTCGACTTGCTGCGAACGTAGACCCCGAGGCCGCCGAAGATGAACAGGACGCCGAGGAGGTCCGTCCAGCGGATGCGCTGCCCGAGGAAGACCGCGGCCATGCCCGTGGAGAGCACGGGCTGGAAGGTGGTGTAGAGCGCCGGTGTCATGGGGGGGGTGTGGTTGACGACCCAGGCCTGACCGGCGTGCGCGACGCACGACACCGCGACGCCGGCGTACAGGACCGACATCCACGCCGACACCCGCACCCCGCGCCAGTCCGTGTCGCCGAGCCCATCCACCGCAGCCGCTGCACCAACACACAAACAATGGAACAAATAAACAGATATGATTTCATATCGAGACATCAACACGCGACGCGCACAGCGCGACGGGCCGAACGGACGCAGCTCGTGCTGCGCCCGACGGCCCAGCACGTCAAGCCAGGCGCCAGCGCTCAGCAGCACGACCCCAAACCAACATCGCTCTGTTGTTGTTCCATCGGCGCACACAGCTGCGTTGCTGCGCGTGCGTTTCCGGCAGACAGCTGGGCGCCGCACCTCCCCACACGAGCACCGTTCCGACGAGCACGGCGCAGAAGAAGGCGGAGAAGGGCACGCGCTTGCGCGCCAGCCAGCGCGACAGCACGACCAGGAACGCCGCGTACGAGAACGACTGCACGACCATCACCAGCGTCCCCAGCGTCACCTCGTCGCCCAGCCCGTCCCCGCCGCCCCCCGCGTGCGCCGCGACCACCTCCCACACCCGCAGGAGCACCAGCGCGCCGCCCACGCACAGCGCGATGCCCGCGGCCTTCCCGCGCGTGACCGCCTCGAGCCCCAGCGCCGCACCGAGCGTGCCCGTCCACACGGGGATCGACGGCTGCAGGATCGCCGTGATTGCAGGCCCCGCCATCTTGTTGCCGACGAAGATGAGCGACTGCGTCAGTCCGACGCCGAAGAAGCCCATGGTGAGGAGGTGCGGGGCGTCCGCGAGCTCGACGCGCCGCAGCCCGCCCTCGGCGAGCGCCATCGCGAGCAGGAAGGGCAGCGCGACGGAGAGGCGCAGTGCGGCGTAGACGAAGGGGGGGATGTCGGAGAGCCCGTCGGACGACCAGACGTGCATGGAGCTGAAGAGGAACTGGTTGACGAAGAGGACGAGGTGGCAGAGTGCCGGCGGCGGCGACGTGACCGCAGCGTGCAGCACGCGCCAGGCCTTGCGTGCGACCGAGGGGGCGGGCGGGTCGGCGTCGGCGGTGGAGGGGTGCTTCGGGGCGTGCTCGCGCATGCTGGAGCCGGGCGGGCGCGTGGCCTCTGCGCTCGCGCGGCGGTGGAGCCCCGACGCCGCGCTGGGGTCGTGGGGCATCGGGGGGTGCGCGAGCGCGGGACGCGTCGGCGCGATCACCGCATCTTCTCCTCGGTGAAGACGACGTGCCGGTTGACCTTGGGGTCGTACTTGACCAGCTGCGCGGGCACACGGTCACGGCGCGCGTGTGTTTGCACAACGGGTCGGCTCGCGCTGTGCGCGCTCCCGCGAGGCGCGCGCGGCCGCGGGCTGCCGTATCCGTGCAGATGTCGTGCTCGTGGACGGCAGCGATGGGGCTGTCCGCGTCGAGGCGGCCCGCGCTGGCGTGCGGTGCCCTGGGCCATGCAGTCTGTGCGGGCCGCCGCGTGCCTGCATCTTAGAAGGCGTCCTCTTCGGGTTCTTAGACGCGACGTAGAACGTCCCCGTGCCAACGGTGCTGACTAGCTTCACGAGCACGCGCCCCAGCTTCTTCTTCCCGGCCATCCCGCTTGTGGCGCTTCTAGACGGCCCCGCCGCCAGCTCAGGGAACGAACTGCCAGGCGCGCGCGTCGCTGGGCGGCAGACTATCGGGGGTACTCCGGCGCCGGCGTACAAGCGCCCTCACGGTCCCTCCCGACCGCAGCGCGCGCGAGAGTTCTTGCTGGAAGGATTCGCCGTGTCGCGCACGAGTTAGGGCCGTTTCAGGTTGGTTTGCGGCCCAGATGTCGCTTGCTGGGCAGCCCGCGTGTCGCGCGGGCCCTTTCGCCCGCCGTGGCGATCGAGGGGGCGCGAGCGGGCCGACAGGCAAGGCGCAGTGCGTCGACCCAAGGTATGAGGCCCGGAAAACGCGGCTCTCCGGGCTTTTCCGGGGCCACTCGCGCGTGTCGTCGCCACTCCGTCGCCTGTAGTGGAGGCCTGGGATACTGGGCTCGGTGGCCGTGGCCTGTCGACGTCGCCAGGGCACCCTTGGCCTCGGGGCCCGGTTGCCTGTGGCCGCAGGGGCCCGTCCTCCGCGGCATTGTATCCCCAATCGGTGGGAACCAATAAACATAGCGACATCGCACGAGAGACTCATCCGGTCGGCGACACCCGGCGGCGCACGGGCTCCTCGAGCCAGGCTAGCACTGCTGGGCGCTCGCCCGGGCCAGCGCAGCCATGTCGCGCCCGGGAACGGCCAACGAGGACAAGTCCGTCCGGTTCGTCGCCGACTTCCAGCTTGACGGCACCGATGAGGTCCGCCACCGCCGCCACGCGCCACTTTCCCCCCTCCTGCCCACCAGCACCACCTCCGCTCGCACGACGCGCACCCGCACTTCCAGCGCCAACGATGCCCCCGTCCTGCATCTCTCTACCACGGTGCACGCACCACGTGCCACGATATGGTCGTTTCGGCCCGATTCGGCCTCGTTTCGCCGGCTGGCATGTGGTTCCGCCGTGCGCCTGCGACCCGCTGCGTGCCGGCCCGCGCAGCGGCGGATTCACGGCCTGGCCGCCCGCGGCGTGCTCGCGCGGCTCCGTACGCGCCGCCGCGCACGCAATTGGGCGCCCCGCGTGGACGGGGTTGCCGCGGAGAGAGGCCCGAGCAGGACCTGCCGCGGCGCCTGGCAGCTCGCCCGAGCGCGCGCCGTGGCAGATGCGCGGGGTCCTGGTTCCCGCGGGCCGCCCGGCAGGCTAGCTCTGGCACCGGTCTTCTCCGGAAACGGCTTGGTCCGTCGATTTGGTGTTGTACGGCGCGCGTTTCGCGCCCCCGCGTGTGCGACGCGCAATGCTCGTGCGCTGCCGGGCCGTCACGGCTTCCCTCGGCCCGTTCGTTGCCCGCGCAGATCCTGCAACTGCCCATCGTGCGCTCGGGCAAGTACAAGAAGCTCTGGAAGGGCGCGGTGAACAAGGTCGGGCTCATCTCTGGCCATGTCTCGCAATCCGATGACAACCTCACGGACTACCTCAAGAAGGTCGGCAAGTACTTCGGCCGCGACCCCGACGTCTGGATGCCCGAGGGCGAGCCGCGCAACGAGGTCATCGAGGAAGCCGGCAAGCGGTGCGCCCCCGCGCGCCGCCGCACCCCCCCGCCCGCGCAGCGCCGCCCGCCCGCGCCGCCCGGGCGCCCACGCCGCCCCCGCGCCCTCCCGCGTCCGCCCGCAGAGTCGTCAAGCGCACGGCGCGGTTCGCGGGGTGGTCGCTCTCGCTCGTGCAGCGGCTCCCCTTTTACGACGCCCGCCTGAACCCGATCGACGGGCGCGCGGACCTGGACTTCTCCGTCGAGCAGATCACGGTCAGCGACAACGCGGCGTGGCGGAACATCATCATGGACCAGCCCTGGTCGCCCTCGGAGACGCGGCACCGCGTGGCGCTGCTCATGGAGGCCAAGATTCTCTCGTCGTCCGAGGAGTTGCAGCTGGAGGGTCTCCACGGGATGTGGGAGCTCCTGGTCAACAAGGACCACCACGCCGACATCACCGAGGGCCAGCTCAAGCTCGTCCTCGAGGCCGTCACGCACCAGAACCCGCAGTGCGCCGCCGTCGCCACCGCCGCGGTCTGGACGATGACGCCCGTCCTCGACTCGCGCCACCAGCTCCTCGCCATGGATGCCGTGGGCATCCTGACCAAGGCGCTCAAGCGCTGCCTCGAGCAGGAGTCGTCCGGCGGAGCGCCGACGTCGGGAATGCAGTACAAGAGCCTCAAGGGGATCTCGCGGATGCAGTCCCTGGCGGTCGGGGTGCTCGACGACGAGGACTCGGGCTCAATGGCGTCGGGGGAGCACTCCGGGAGCGAGGGCGACGCGCGCGAGGAGGAGAGGGAGGACGCGCGGTCCGTGGCGGGCCGCTCGGAGCGCATGCCGGGCGACACGGACGACGAGAACGAGGAGGACGGCGACCACGTGTGGTGGGACTACCAGGAGGCGCTGCTGGGGGCGCTGGGGGTGCTCTTCGTGGACCGCCTGGCGCGCATGAGCTACCTCAAGGTCGAGCCCTCACTCGACACGCTCCTCCGGTTCTGCGAGAACGAGAGCGGCCCGAACCCCGCGTGGATCGCGGAACGCCGGTCCCTCGCCGCGCGCTGCGTGTGCATGATGGTGCACCGCGACCCGGACGTCCGCGCGACGATGGCGCGCGGCCAGGGCGTCCTCGAGCGCGTGCTCGCGCTGATCGAGGTCGACGCCGCGGGCCCCGGCGCCGCCCACGTCAAGCTCTGCTTCGTGACTGTCCTGGCCATCATGGTGCTGGACGACGTCGTCATGGAGTACATCCGCGTCCACGGCCTCGCGCACCGCCTCTTCTCCGCGTGCCTCACGACGCTGGACCAGATGGTGAAGATCATGACGCCGGGCGACGAGATATACCGCCTGATGCCGGACCCGCGCGCCGTGCTGGCGATGGCCGAGGGCCTCTCGCAGGCGATGTGGGGCGCGTCGTACGAGTGCTGCCTGCCCAAGGGCGGCGGGCTCACGGAGGCCGAGCTCATGCAGCTCGCGGACGTCGGCTTCCGCCTCATGGACAACCGCGAGTTCCGCGTCGACCGCGTCCTGCGCTGCATCGCCACCGCGCTCGCGAACGCCGCGTCGAGCGAGCCGCTCGCGGAGATCATGATGCGCCCGGAGCCCCGCGAGTCCGAGCCGCTGCCGAGCGACATCTCTGACTCGGAGGAGGAGGAGTACTACGACACTCCGTGGCAGCGGGAAGAGCGGGAGAAGAAGCTCGCCGAGAAGCGCCGGCGGCTCGAGGCGCTCCGCGCGCAGCAGCTCGAGGAGGAGGCGCGCCGGAAGGCCGAGGAGCTCCCGCACCCGCGCGGCCCCGCGATGTTCCTGATGGCGCTGTTTGACCGGCTGCCGGAGTTCGACCCGGAGCAGGAGCCGCACTGCCGGATCTCGCTGTGCGCGGCGTTCGCGCTGCTCGCGGGGCACCCGTTCGACGCGTCGGGCGAGGAGGCGATGCACGGCCCGCACCGCGCGCCGCTGCTGCGGATGGGGATGTTCCCGCGGCTCCTCGAGGCGATCGCGTCGGCGACGAACGACCCGTTCTCGAAGCAGTTCTGCGAGATCACGGGGTCGTTCGCGTGCATGCAGCTCTGCACGGAGGCCGGCGGGCTCCCCGCGGCGCTCCTCGCGCGCTACGTGACGATCATGCGCAATTGCAAGGACAACGTGGAATTGGTCGAGTACATGATGGCCGGGCTGTGGATTCTGCTCCGGAGGGACGACAACCGGCAGCACATCATGGGCCACATGGCCGGCGTTGGCCAGATCGCGGGCGCGATCGACGGCGACGCTCTGCAGGAGGTCGGCGAAGCGTTGCTGGACCAGGTGGCGCCCGAGGACGAGGTGACGCCGCCGGCGGTGGGCGAGGAGGACGGCGAGGAGGACGGCGGCGGGGGCGACGTCGAGGACCACTTCGAGGGCATGGCGGAGTTCGTGGCGAGCCAGGGCCCCGGCGACGGCGAGGCGATCCCCACCAAGGAGAGCTCGCCCGAGTTCAACGCGCAGGCGTCGGTGGAGGACGTCGACAAGCAGATCGAGGTCGGCGTCGTGGTCAACGAGAACGAGGCCGTCGCGGAGATGGCGCGCGAGATGGAGCGCAAGGCTGCGGAGCTCGCCGCCGCCAAGGAGGAGGGCAAGGTGCCGGAGATGGGCGTGGAGGGGCTGGGGCTGGAGGTCATCCTGGACGTCGGCTTCTCGTGGCTGGACCGGCTGCTCGGGATGCGGAACGAGGAGGACGAGGACGCGCCGCTGGTGAAGCTGTTTGAGTTTCTGGTGTCGGGGCTGTGCCTGCTGGTGACCGACGCGGAGCCGCAGCCGCGGCAGTACGAGCAGCTGCTGTTCGAGCAGGACGCGGCGCAGGGGTCGGACAAGAAGGTCTGGTGGGGGGTGTCGGTGACTCCCCCCGAAGAGGACGCGGACATTGGCAGCAAGTACAACGACGCGCTGGCGCTGATGTGCAAGCTGCTGCACCTGACGCAGCCCGTCGCGGCCAAGATCCTGCAGCTCACGATCAACGCGCTGTGGACCATCACGCTCAGCCACCAGGGCGCCGAGCGCTTCATCCTCGAGGCCGGCGCGACGGAGCAGCTGCTGCGCATCGCCATGTCGCACAGCCTCCCGCCGCGCGTCCGCGACGCCGCGATCGGCCTCATCGCCGACCTCTTCGAGTACTACCCCAACGTCGAGCACATGGGCGGCGCGGGCCCGCTCGTGAAGGCGACGGTCGACCTGCTGTCGACGCGCACGCCGCTGCTGGAGCACCGCGCCGCGCTGGTGCTCGGCCGCATCGCGTCGGTCGCGCCGCACTCGTGCCCGGACGCTGCGCAGCACTTGCACACCACGAAGCGCACGATCGCGAAGAAGGGCGCGGTGAAGGCGCTCGTCACGCTCGTGCGCCACACGCACCAGCGGTACATCGCGTTCATGGAGCAGGCGCCGCACAGCCGCGGGAAGGCGTACGCGGGGTCGCGCGGGGGCGTGCGCGACGCCAAGGGCGGGCTCACGGCGATGGGCCGCGCGACGGCGGCGTACAAGCGCATGGGCAACATGGTCCTCGCGGCGCGGGGCAAGGGGCACGAGCACGGGGCGGAGGACCTCGACGCGCGCGAGATGACGATGCTCAAGGCCATGTACATCAAGCGCGCGGCCAAGGGCGGCGCGACGGACGCGTGGAACGACTTTGAGGAGGACATGAACAACTATCCGATGGTGGTCTCCCTGCAGAGTCTGGCGCTCAAGGCGCTGCTCAACGTAAGCACCATCGCGGACAACCAGACCAAGGTCTGCCGGAAGGGCCTGTTCACGATCCTCGGAATCAACAGCTACTTCTCGCAGATGGTGTCCTTCCTGGGAACCGACAGCGAGATCGGCCCGGAGCACGAGCTCCTGGAACTGTCCTCCAAGATCCTCCAGAACATGGCGCTGCACCCCGAGAACCGCACGCGCATGTTCCGCGCCGAGCTCCGCGGGGCCACGCGGCTGCTCGAGGGCATCGCGGAGGACCGCCTCATCCGCAACGGCACCATCGAGGCGCCGCGCGTCGACCTCCAGAAGGAGCAGAAGCGCCTCCTGCCGCCGCTGAAGCGGCAGACCGAGCTCGCGGGGGAGCCCAGCACCTTCTCGCCGTCGCGCCGGAGCGTCAAGCTGGCCAAGGGGCGTCCCACGGGCCGCGCGCCGTCGGACTCGATCCGGCCGTCGGAGCTGCAGCGGCCGAAGGTCATGTTCCCGCCGCTGATCACGGGTGGCGGGAAGAACCAGGGCGGCACGCACGACCTGATGTTTTCGGACCGGGTGGCGCTGTCGACGCCGCAGGAGGCGGCCGGCGCCGGGACGGAGCGCATCCGGCTGTCGGCGCAGGGCCCGCGCGGCGCGGCGGAGGGCGGCGGCGGCGAGGCGCAGGCAACGGTCAACGCGGCGGGCAGCTCGGTCGAGCCGGAGCGGTCCCGCGGGACGGTCGCGCGTGGCAAGTTCCACGAGTGGCAGTCGCAGGTGTTCCCGCCCGCGCAGGCCGGCGGCGTCGGCGGCGTGGTCGACCCGATCGATTCCGAGAGCTCGGACGACGGGATGTCGCCGATGGAGTACGAGCGCTCGCACCGCATCCAGATGCCGTCGCTGGCGCAGTCGCTGCGGAAGCCGATGGCGCACTTGTGGCAGGAGGCGCGCGACTGGGCGGTGCGGCACGGACACAACCGTTGGAACCCGAAAGTCAGCGAGTACCACATGTCTAAGAAGCCGATGACGCTCCAGGCCGCGGCGCGCGGGCTCCTGTCGACGCGGGACCCCCCGATGGCCACGCGGCACCTCACGAGCGCCAGCCTCGACCTCGCGAACACCGGCAAGCTGTACAACCTGAACGACGCCGTGACGACGAAGCGGCCGGCGACGCCGGACCGCGACTTCGGGAAGAAGCCGCTCACGATGATGGTGCTCGAGTCGGACCGCCCGACGATGCGGCAGCTCAGCGCGATGCGGCTCCCGGTCGACTCCCCCGGGAAGGGCCCCGGGGGGGGTGTGTCGGCGACGCAGTTCCTCGGCAGCACCGGCGGCGGGCAGCAGAAGGAGCAGCTCGGACAGTCCCTCCTCGTCGCGCTCAACCCCACCTCGGCGCGCTCCGTCGTGTCGTTCGAGGACAAGCTCCGCGACCACGCGCCGGGGCGGGACGGCTACCGCGTCCGGCTGTCGATGTTTGGCCACGTCCCGGGCGCGCGCGTCTACGACGAGGCCGGCATTCCCAAGTACGAGCTCCCCAACGGGAAGGAGGCCTTCATGTACCTCAACGGCGGCCTCATCAACGACGTCATCGAGGTGGCGCCGGGGGTGCGCCCCGCGCGGCCGAGCACCTTCCCCTCGGCGCTGCAGCGCCACCTGCCGCTCGCGGGGATCCTCGACGCCATCGCGAAGCCCCCGGGCTCGGGCCTGGACATCATGCTCCTCAAGCCGATTCCGAAGCTCGCGCGGCTGCCGTCGATCCACACGCTGCCCGTGCGCAACCCTGAGGTGCTCGAGGGGTGGGCGTTCGGGGACCTGGAGGAGATCAACCTGCGGTTCCTGCTCGTCACGAAGCGCGTGAACAAGGAGGAGACGTCGACGATGGTGCAGGACGTGGAGGCGCCGCGCCCGCGGACGCCGTGGCGGCTGCCGGACTCGATCTTCAAGCCGCGCGTCAAGGAGTCGGACGCGCGCGGGTTCTTCGACACGCACCAGGTCGAGGACAAGTCGTTCGAGCGGTGCTGGCGGCGGCTCACCAGCAAGGACAAGTTCATGGGGATGTTGTCGCGCGAGAACAAGGCCGACAAGGACAAGGACGAGAAGGTCATGGTCCGGGACCTCCAGGCGGTGCTCCGGAAGCACTGGGCGCTCATCCAGGCGGTGTTCATGTACTTCAGCACGTCGGGCAGCGGGAGCGTGTTCACGCTCGAGCTCAACGACTTCACGTCCTTCCTCGACACGTGCGAGATCCCGGACAACGACTCCGAGTACGTGAAGAAGTCGGACTGCGACACGGTGTTCATCGTGTCGAACTACATCGCCGACCGCAACGACCCCGAGGCCAAGCTGCGCTCCGAGCACAACATGATGCGCGTGCAGTTCATGGAGGCGCTCGTGCGGCTCTCGCTGTCCAAGTTCGGCAAGGGGCAGGCCACGAACAGCATCTCCGACGCCGTCGACATGCTCTTCGAGGAGCTCGTCATCCCCAAGGTCCCCGAGTACGCCAAGGTCGAGACCAACTGGTTCCGCCGCGAGCGCCTCTACTTTGAGGAAGTCGACGTCGTGCTCAAGGCGAACAAGGCCGCGCTGCTCGCGCTCTACTCGCGGTACCGCCTCCCGCCCAAGTCCGGCGGCCTGCGGCCCAAGGTCTGGAAGCTGTACTGCTGGGAGGCGTTTATTCAGGACGCCAAGTTGCTGGACGAGGACTTCTCTCTGCAGCAGTCGAGCCTGTGCTACGTGTGGTCGCGCATGACGACGGTGGACGAGATCGGCAAGTTCGCGAAGTTCGAGAGCCTGACGTTCATCGACTTCCTGGAGGGCCTCGGCCGCATCGCCGACATCAAGAGTTTGCCTTCTCTGGAAAGCGTCAAGGAGATGGGGCTGAACAACATGCTGGACTGGAAGCTCGCGGTCGACAGCGGCTCGATCGCGCGCGAGCGCCGCCCGTCGATGGGCATCGAGGCGGCGAAGACGCGGCCGCTGAGCGTCAAGGTGGAGAGCTTGCTGGATCTGACCTTCCGACAGCTCATGTACATCCCCGGGGAGCAGAACGACTTCACGATCGACAAGTTCACCCGGAAGATGAAGCGCGACGACCACGCGCTCGGGTCGTAGGCCCGCGGCGAACAACAACAGGCGCCTGTGACACACTTCGAGGGTTGTCGTTCCCCGCATGATAGCACACCCGCATTTCGTTTCGTGCGCGGGTGGTCAATTACTACTCTGCATGAGTGCTCCTGATGCACGACGCGCTGCTCAGGCCGTTGGGGATGTTTGGAAATCGCTTGTGCCGCGGGCGTGGGTGCGGATTCGCGGTTGTGTCGCTGTGTGCGTCAGATATGGTGTGGTATAATGGTTCCACCGCGCAGACGTGTGTGAGTTACAAGGCGTGCGTGCCTTGCCCCCCTTGCGTCGTGCTTCGACAGTGCTGGCGATCCCGGGCTCGTTGGCGGCACCAGGAATGCGAGGGGGGTGTCATTTGCCTTGTTGGGGGGGTGTGCCTCGTGTCTCCGTTGCGGAGCGCGACACGTCGGGTCCGCATCGGGGACGCCCAGGCCAATCACGAGTCTTGTGGGCCTGGACCAGTGGGACCTTCCTGCGCACCTGGGGGTGACGAAGGGCTTTTTGGCACTACATAGAGATAGGAATCCTGGTCTGTTGTTTACCTCGCTTCTGCCCCAGGGTCATTGAGCGCAAGCCTGAGTAGCGACTGGTAGATTGCGTCGTGCACGTACATACCTAGCCGGGTCAGACCTTCAGATGAGCGGCAATTGAGCGGAGAGGGGGCGCGTGCACAGCTGCCATGGCCGATACGGCGGCATGCGCGCCCGTGGCTGCTCGACAAGAGCCGGCCTACCACTTCGCTGTCGACTCTGACGACAAGAGCCAGCGGCGCTCCCGGGAATGGGCGTTAGGAGTCTGTTTCGTGGGTCTCACTGCGCTGGTCTGGGTGCTCTCGAGCTACCTCGTCAAGGTCATCGTAGGGGGCGGCGTTCCGCCGCTGGTGCTGACGTGGATCGCGAACTCCGTCTTCATCGTCCTCCTGCCCGTCTGGTGGCTCGACAAGGCCACGCGTCAGGCAGTGAACGGCTCCAGCGCAACCGGCGCGTCCGGGCCCCCCGAGCTCGAGGACGACGTCACGCCGCCGCACTCCCAGCGCACAGAAGCGCGACAGTCGGCAGAGCGCGACGACGACGCCGTCGCCCTGCTCGCGCGGACGCACGCGGCGCGGCGCGAGGCCGCGAGCGCCGAGCCCTACGCGGTCGCCGCGCACCTGCGCGCGAGCGCGGTCGTCTGTCCCGTCTGGTTCCTTGCCCAGCTGACCTACAACAACTCCCTCGCCAGGACCACGGTCACCAGCAACTCGATTTTGAGCTCCACGGCGTCGCTCTTCACGTTCCTCTTCGCCGTAGCCGTCGGGCGCGACCGCTTCTCGCCGCGCAAGCTCGCCTTCATCCTGCTCGCCATGGCCGGTGCGCGCCCTGCCCTGCCACCCCTGCCCGCAGCCCGCTCGAGCCAGCCACCGCGCTACAACAGCACTTGCGTCCACGCGCACGTCTCTGTGCGCAGGCACCGCGATGCTGACGCTGGCCGACCGCCGCAACGCGCGGCACGACGGCGACAAGGAGCGGCACCGCGCGCACGACGCCGTCATCGGGGACGCCCTCGTCCTTGCGTCGTCCCTCTGTTACGCGTGCTACTCCCTCATGATGGGCGTGCTGCTGCCGGAGGACCGCCGGACGTCCGTCCCGCTCTTCCTCGGCGCGATGGGAGCCTTCACGCTCGTCGGGGGCGCGCCGATCATCGCCGCCGTCGCGCTGGCCAACCGGGGCTGGGCTGCCGCGTTCACGGCGGCCGCGGTCGGCGCCTGCGTCTTCAAGGGCCTGGTCGCGAACGTGGTGAGCAAACGCGCCCCCGATGCCCCGGTGCCGCGTGACTGTCTGACGGCCCACCGCGTGGGAGCGACGTTCGTTCCGGCACCCACGCGCACGCTCCCTAACTGACTCGGTGGCAGGTGTCGGACTATTTCTGGGCGCGCTCGGTGCTGCTGGTCGGGCCCGTCGTGGCGACGGTGGGGCTGGCGGTGCAGGTGCCGCTGTCGGCCGCTGCGGATCTGGTGCTGGGCCTGATGCCGATTGACGGCGTCAAGGGGGCGATGATGATGGCGGCGGGAGGCACCGCGGTCATGGTGGGGTTCTTCGGGATCGCGGGCGCGAGCAAGCCGCATGTGGCCGCGGGGGCTGCTGTCGAGGGGGGGGGGTCGGAGGGGGAGGGGGGGGGTGTGCGGAGCCTTGGAGAGGTCGAAGGGGTGTCGCGGGGCGAGCAGGAGCTCTGAGGTTCCGCGTGCCGCGAGACGTGGTGATATTTGTTGAGATTTTTGTGAGCGCGGAGCCGGAGGAACGAAGCCGAAGCGTCGAGGCGGCTCGGACCGTTTGAGAAATCGAGGGACGAAGAATGGCGCAAGAAGGCTACCTGGAGCGCCTGCGGCGCGCGGCGCTGGTGTCCACGTCGCAGGTCGGAGGCCAGACGGTCCGCGTCTTCGACTTCCGGAGCTGCGCCCCCCCGGACGATCAGGTAACGACCAGGACGGCACTCCGCGCGGAGACTTCGACGCTGTTCGCTGTCGGTAGGGAGCCGCTGCGCTTCAGCACGTGTCCCTCGATTGATATTCCACTCGCGAACGCTGACTGCAGGAGGCGGCCGAGCTCCAAGCCGAGCTCCGCATGTTGCAGGCACGAACCAGCTCCGTGTCCGACAAACGCTCCGCCGGAGCAGGGCCCAAGGCCGTACCCACCGTCGAGCTTTCGTCCGGATACACCATGCCGCTGGTCGGATACGGCACGTGGGCCAAGGAGGACGGCGACAGGCAGCACGGCGTCACCGCCGGCGCTGTCCTGAGCGCGCTCAAGGCGGGATACCGGCACATCGACTGCGCTTCGTACTACAAGAACGAGGACGAGGTCGGGGAGGCGCTCGACGCGGCGTACAGGGAGGGCGTGGTGACGCGCAGGGACCTGTTCTTGACGTCGAAAGTGTGGAACGATGATCACTCTGCCGCGCGTGTGCGCGAGGGGTGCATGAAGACGCTGAGCGACCTGAGGACCTCGTACCTCGACTTGTACCTGGTGCGTCCCCGTCGCGCCGCGGGATGCGCGCGGCTCGCACCCGCCAGCTCTGACGTTGCGACAAGACAACATCAAGTCAGTCATGACGGTGCCCTGTGCCGTGCCGCTCGCAGATTCACTGGCCCGTCACGGGCAGCTCTGGACCGACGGTGACGCCGCCGCTCATGTACGCACGCCCCTCGAACAACAACCCGCGCGCTTGACAACCACGCGCCAATTCAAATTGCTCTCATTGTTGCATCCAAATTCACAGACGTCGCGCCTTTCACCCGCTCGCGCAGCGAGACGTGGCGGGCCATGGAGCAGCTCGTCCGGGACGGCCTCGTGCGCTCCATCGGGGTGTCGAACTGGTCCGCCCAGAAGCTCAAACACCTCCTCGCTGACTCAGTCATACCCCCCGCCGTCAACCAGGTCGAGGCGCACCCGTACTGGAAAAACGACACGCTCCTGCGCTTCTGCGCCTCCGTCGGCGTGCACGTCACCGCGTACGCCCCGCTCGGCTCCCGCGACAGCGCCGCGTTCCTCGGGCGACGCGATGCCGCATCCTTGCTGGACGACCCCGACGTCGTGAGGGTCGCGGACAGGCTCGGCGCGACGCCCGGACAGGTGGTGCTAGCGTGGGGCATCGCGCGGGGGACGTCGATTCTGCCCAAGTCCACGAGCCCTGCACGAATGAGGGAGAACCTGGCGTGTGTGGAAGCAGTGTCGTTGCTGCGGGAGGACGACGTGCTGCTGCTGTCGGCGCTCATGCCGCAGCGGCGCATGGTGGACGGGAGGTTCGCGCTGAACCCGCGCGGGCCATACAGGTGCGGTACGACGACGGTGACGGGAAGCGCACATGCTGTTGAATGATGCCGCGATGCGGTGAAGTCTGGCTGCGCGTGATCGTGCGCGATCTGTCAGAGCGACGCAGAGGAGCGAGGCTGCGCGGTGCTGCCGAGGCCGCTTCGTTGGTTTTTTTCTACCAGTCAGGTAGACCGACCAGCACCGACCAGCGTGTTTTCCGCTTCCCCCGCGACATCATGGCCGCTGCGGTTCTTCCCAGCGCCGCAAACCCCTGATCGCTAGCTCGTTAGTGTCCGGAGTGGATCGTATCGGTCGCAACGGCCGCCCCCATACCGCCACGCGCGCTCGCTTGTCTCGAGCAACAGAGGTGCCGGTCTCCGCGGCGGCTGCGACGCGATCCGCGCAGCGCATGAAGTCCACACGCGCCGAAATCTCATCCGAAGCTTCCCCGACGTCGCTTCCTTCGCAGGACGATGGAGCAGCTCTGGGACGAGGCAGCTCCCACGGACCCCGCGCCACCGCTTCTCGAGCCCTCCGCGGCGCTGGCTTCCGGCACCAGGATCCCGCTCGTCGGATTCGGGACCTGGAAGAGCAAGCCCGGCGAGGTCGAGGCCGCCGTCCGTCACGCGATCCGCTGCGGAGTCCGCACCATCGACTGCGCAAGGTGAGCCTCAACCTCCACGACCCTCTCAGTTCCAGTATTCCGAGACACCAACTGCGCCAGCGCAGCGAGACGCAGTCCGCGCGAACGGCGCGTCGCAGCTCGTGCAAGCCCGCGCCGCCGGCCCACATCGACCAGCCCTGCTTGTTGACGTTGCGGCGCGCAGCGTCTACGGGAACCAACACGAGGTGGGTACCGCGATCAAGGAGTGCATCGACGCGGGCTGGGTGGCGCGCGAGGAGCTCTTCGTCGTCTCGAAGCTGTGGAACACCGACCACTCTGACGTGGCGGGGGCGTGCCGCAAGACCCTGACTCAGCTGCAGCTGTCGTACCTGGACGCGTATCTGATCCACTGGCCGCTGACGTGGGGGCTGCCGCTGCCCAGCGAGGGCCCGCTCGTGGTCGACCCGCCGCTCCGGGACACGTGGCGGGGCATGCAGGCCCTGGTGGGTGCGGGGCTGGTGCGCGCGGTGGGGGTGTCGAACTTCGGGCCGCACAAGATGAAGGAGCTGCTGGAGGTGCCGGGGCCGCCGCTGAGCATCAACCAGGTGCGGGGCTACCTCGTGCGACGCGCTGATGGCAACGGTGTCTGCAGCTTGCCTTGTTTTTCGAATGAAAGACCAAACGACCTGGTTTCTTGATTCCGGGCGGAGTCAACAGATGATCGACGTCGCCGCGGAGTGGCCGGATCTTTCGTGGCTTGCAGGTCGAGGCGCACTGTTTTTGGCGCAACGACGAGGTCCTGGAGTTCTGCAAACAGCACGGGATCCACATGATGGCTTACTCCCCCCTCGGGTCCCCAGACAGCGCCTCAATACTCCCCCGCGCGGACAACCGATCCCTCTTTGAGGTCCGCAGCGAGCCGCGCCCCCTCGTCCGACGCCCTGGGCGCTTCTACCGCTTCCGGCTCTCACATTTTACATTCGTCGCCTGACGTGATGCGCTTCTGTCTGACGTCGCGCTCGCAGGACCCAACGGTCGTCGCGGTGGCCCGCAAGCACGACGTCACGCCGGGCCAGGTCGTCCTCGCCTGGGGGCTCGCGCGCGGCACCACCGTCGTGCCCAAGTCGGTGTCCCCCGCCCGCATCGCGCTCAACGCCGCGTCAGCGAAGGTCCCCCTGGACAGCGACGACGTCGCGGCGCTGTCGGCGCTGGCGCCGCAGGTGCGGCGCCTCGACGGGGAGTTCTGGCTGTCGGGAGACGCGCGAGGCACGTACGGGAGCGCTGCGGACCTGTGGAGGTAGGTGCGGCGAGGAGGCGGGGCGACGACGCGTGTGTTGTCGTTCGCGCTCCGTGGCGCCGAAGTGGGCTGCGGGGGACAGGTCGGTGGGGGTTGGTGTGTTGAAGTGTGTGTGTTGTGAGTCTTTGTTTCCTAATTGAGGGATGACGCGTTGTCCGTCGCTGCCGGAAGCGGTGCGCGGTCGGACAAGGGTGTGGCGGAGACGTCGTGCGTCGCGGCGTGACCTGCGCGGCCTGACTCATGTGGTGGGGGTCTTGCCGGGCGGCCCGCCTGCCGTTGCCGTCTGTCAGCCATTGTGGCGGCTTCTGGGGGGTCCGGGTCACTCGCTGGTGGTCGACCTCTATCGGTTGCGTGTGTGGTGTGCTGGGCACGGTCCAAACGGCGCGTCTCGTCCCGGATTTTGCGCTCGCAGCAGGAAGCAACGATAGCAGCTCCCATCGATCGTAGCGGCACTCGCGCGGCTACAGAACAGAAGGCGTAGGAGGCCGTGGTCCAGACAGACCTTCCGGGCGGACGTGGTCGATCGCGGCGGCAAAAGCGCCCCAGGCGCACCTCCAGCTAGCATAAGTCCAGTCGCCGTCAACGGCCCGCTGCGCGGGCACAGAGCTCCGATGGCGACAGGTGCGGACCGACCGTTGAAGTAGCGAGCACGTGCTTGCTCTGTCAGATCTGGCATTCGACGCACCAAGAAGACGCTGAGTCAGTGCGTGTGGTCCAAGTGCACTGGATCGCCCGGACACGGCCCGCAGAGTCGCGGAACAGCCACTCTGCACGATCCTCCGTGGTCCTGACTTCCCGCTTTTCCTTGTGCGCCCTCGCAGCCGCGCCCAGGCACTAGCCGCGAGCCCAGCCTGTCGCCATGGCACCGCGGCCCAGGTCAAGCGCGGGCGACTCGCCGCGACAGAGCGCGCAGAGCGCGCTCAACGTAGAGCACGACGCGCACCGCGACAGCAGCGAGCGCGGCGCGCTGCTGCCGCGCGACCGCCGCGCCGCGCCCGTCCCCGTCGGAGTCGCCCCAAACGACGATGAGGTCGAGGCCGTCGTGCGGAAGCTCAACCGCAGGATCCTCCCGATCCACTTCGCGCTGGCGCTCATCTGCTACCTCGACCGCGCCAACCTCGCGTTCGCGGCCCTCCAAATGAACCACGACCTGGTGAGACACGAAACATCAATTGTCAAACGCTCGACCGCCCAAGTGTCGCCGCACCGCCAGCCTCGCTTCAGGGCCGGACCCCAGCACCACGGGCCCCGCCCGCGCGATCGGCGAGCCTCAGAGACCGACTCCGTTCGGAGCGGCGGCCCGGTTCCTGCGCCTGCTGAAACAACACGCGCCCCGCGGCAGAAACGCCTGCGTTGGCGCTGTGGCGCGTCGATGACGTGGACACGCCCGCTCTCGCGTCGCGCGCGTCTCGCAGGGTCTGTCCAAGGCGGACTACGGCCTCGGCAGCGGTCTGTTCTTCGTGGGCTACGCAGCCTTCCAGCTCCCCAGCAACATCGCCCTCTCGCGCGTCGGCGCGCCCGCCTGGCTCGCGACCATCATGTGCGTCTGGGGCGTCCTCGCAACGGCCATGGCCGGCATCCGCGGCATCGGGTCCTTCCTCGCGCTCCGGCTCCTCCTCGGCGCCGCAGAAGCCGGGACGTTCCCGGGAATCTGGTTCCACCTGTCCTGCTGCTTTCCGCCGGAACACGTAGGCGAAGCGTACACCAAGGTCGCGACCGTGACGGCGGTGTCGGCGATCGTCGGGGGGCCCGTCGCAGCGGCGCTGATGCAGCTCGACGGCGCGTGGGGGCTCCGCGGCTGGCAGTGGCTGTTCCTGCTCGAGGGCCTCCCTTGCATCGTGATGGCGGGGGTGGTGTTTCTCGGACTCCCCCACAGCCTCGGGCGGACGGGGTTCCTCTCGGACGGCGAGCGGAGGCTGCTCGAAGGCCTTATCGCCGCCCGCGCGGCCCGGAACAGCGGCAGGGAGGACGAGGGCGCGAAGCGCGAGGGGCTGCGCGCGCAGCTGGCGCGGGTGGGCGCGAACGCAGCGGTGTGGCACCTAGGGACGGTGTGGGGCCTGGCCGAGTGCACCCTGTACGGCGTCATCTTCTGGATGCCGCTCATCATCGGCGACGCGCTCGGACGCGATGCGGCCGCGGACGGCGGCGGCGGCAACGGTGAGAGAGACACGCACGCTCGCACGCAAGCACGCACGAGTCTGTTGGAACGCAGCGGGCCGCATGCTGTCCATCGAGCGGCAAGCGAGCCGCCGCACGATTGTTTATCGTACGCTCCTCTCTGTGGCTGCTTTTGCGCTGCAGCGCCGACGCACCATGGAGTGGCGGGGACGGGAATGGTGGCGGTGCTGTCGTCGATTCCGTTCGCGGCGGCGAGCATATCGATGCTGTACGTCGCGCGGCGGTCCGTGGTGAAGGACGAGCGCCACCGGCACACCTCGTACCCGCTGTGGGCCGCCGCGGCGTGCCTCATCATATTTGTACCCCTGGGGGGTGTGTTGGGGTGGGGGCTGCTGTCGTTCGTGGCGCTGACGATCGCCGCGGGCGGCGTCTGGGCCATCCACGGCCCGTTCATGAGCTGGCCTGGTGCGCGACCCCCCTCGCTCGCCCACGACCCATCACGGCAACACGACGCAAGTTGTGCTGTTCGCGAACTCACAATATGTTGACCGGACCCGTGGCTGAGCCGCAGGGATGGTGCTGCACGGGTCGGACAAGGCGCTGGGCATAGCCGTGATCAACAGCGTCGGGGCGATCGGCGGGTTCGTGGGACCGTATCTGATTGGGGTCCTTGCACATGGGCGGGGGGACTATTCATTGGCGTTCGCGGTTCTGGGCGTTCTGCTGATAGCGAGCGGGGCGCTCGCGTGGGCGTTCAAGGAGCCGCCGCTGCTCCTGGACGAGGGCGCGTCAGGGGCGGGGGGGAGTCCTGCAGAGAGCCCCCACCGGCTGCACCCGCAGATGTCGGCCGGAGGGATCGACCCGTAGACTCGCGGGGCGCAGGCGCGAACCGATCGAGGATGTGGCCCTTGGCTTGCGGAGCAAGCGGTGTGATGCCGCCCGGTCCTATTTTGTCAATTAATCCTTTGCGTGTTGCGTTGCCGCTGGTGCCGACCGTTTTGCGCGAAGGAGTTTCGGTCGGTTGGGTCGTGCAGGGAGGCGACTGGCCAGTGGCCCGGAGGGTCCGTGCCGCGGAGCCAGTTGCGTGAGCGGAGGAGCCGGCCAGTTGTGACTCGCCACTAGTGACCAGCTGTGTCCTGACCTGAAGAAGCATGATTAAGCCATGTGAGGCGCTTCACAGGAGCAGTTGATGTGAAGAAATCCGTCTTGTGGAACGACTCTGGCCCCCGTGAACCCCCCGGGCTTCGCGAGCGACGATGAGCTAGCGCTGCGCGGCGCACACGCAGCGCCCGTGAAGGACGCGCCCTGGTGGCCGTCTCACGGTCGTGCACGTGAGCGCATGCCTCTAACATGCTGGTTCTCTCCGCATCATCAAACGCGGAGCTCATACCCCAGGGGCGCTGTACGACCTGGTCCCTCATCAGGCCCCCAACCGGCCGATTCCGAGCCCGGAAAGATGCGGGCGGCCGATCGGCGCGCATCGGCAGAACCGAGCACGACATCATGGGGTGGTTTCCATTCCCTTGGCGAAGCGGGTCCGGGCAGGCGCCCCCGGCCCAACCTCCTGCAGGCAAGGTTTTGCCCACGGCCGCTGGAGCGATTGCTTGAGGCATGCCAGCGATTCCGCTCTCTGGGCGCCCGTTCTGTGCAGCGTCGTGCTAGGAATTGACGCGCACTGACGAGGGTTGCCCCCTCACGGCCCAACCGGTGTACGAGCACAGAGCAAGCTCCAACCGCTCCCCGTTGGCGACGCACTGAGTGATTGCGCACTGCCTTTCGTTCTGACATGCTGAGTATTTGAAACGCCGGCTCAAGCGGCAACGACCGCCGACGTGGGCTCTGTTGGCTGCTTTCGGGCGGGGAGCCCCTGGCCCTAGCCTTTCGCTCCTAGGGCGCAAGTGGGCCATGCTCCGAACAACTCCGTGATTTTCGTTGCAAAGTGTGTGCTCACCATGGCCAATCACGCCGCGAAATCGTGCAACGGCCACGAACTCGGGACGCCTGCGCGCAGGACTTGAGGGCATTGACCTTCTCCTGTTCTTTATCGATCGCGACTTGAGTGAATCGGACAACGCGAGGCTGCGCGCGCGGAGGAGGTGAGCGCACGCGCCCGTCCCGCCCAACCGCGCGCAGCGCCAGCTCGCGTTCGATTCGGCCCCGTTCAACGGAAGACCTCTCTTTGGCTCTATTCGCAGTTTGCAGCACCTCTGGTCCGAGCTCGAGATCAGCAGGGCCGCGCTCGAGGACGAGAATGCGCCCAACGCCGCCGAGAGCGCTCGAGAGAGCCTGCGGCGCGCCGTGATCGCTGCGGAGGAGCGCATCCGGGAGTGGGCGGCACACTGGGAAGACCCCGAGTCAACGGAGGCCGGCCTGACGCTCATTCGCAGCCGCGCAGGGAGGAGGGGAGAGCTCGAGCGGGGCGCAGCGAGGCTTACGATGCTCCTGAGCGAGCGCCGCGATCAGATGCGGGAATCGGCGCAGGTCCCAGCAGCAGATCGCGCGCCTTCCGAGGGCGCGCAGGGTGCGGCAGGCGCCGTCGACGGCGCGGCGGGTGGCGACACAGAGCCGGCTGAGGCGCCGGGAGCCGGTGCGGCTGGTCAGGACGACGGAGCCGGCCCGTCAGGTGGGTTCGGTGGTTGAAGATTCCATGTCGCACAATCGCAACTATTCAGTGCAGTGTTGCCGCCTGTCTCGCGCGACCCGATGCGGCGACGAGCTCTGCGAGGTTCCTGACGGATGGCACGGCTGGCGTGCGCGTTGCAGGTCCCCCCGCGCCGCCACTGAGCGAGTTGCTGCGGGGCGCTCCGCTGCCTGTGTCGGAGCGCACCTTCGTCGAGCGCCTGGACGCGCCTTCCTGCAGGGCGATCCTGATCGCGCTGAAGGAGCACTTCAGGCAGAACCGCAACGACCCGAGGCTGCGGAACATCGCCCTGACTCACACGGACGCCGTTGACGTTCTGCGCTTGCGCATCCTGGATGCGTACGCCAGGGAGGGCGTGTTCGAGCTCGCGCTGCAGAGCCTGCTCGCGAGCAACTTCAATGCATACGTGCACGTCGTCACGAGGGCCGCGACGAACTTGACTGGCCACCACAAGCGGTACGGAACCACCCCTGCCTGGCGCGTGGCCGCTCTGCCTGGGGCTCGCGACTGTCGATCTTTGTGTCACGCAGACCACGACAGGGCCCTGCGGTGCACACTCCGCTCGCAGGTTTAACGAAATGCGCGCGCAGTTCGCGCAGGCGCTCCGCCGCGACGACGAGGACGGGCGGCTGGTCATCGACTCGTTCGTCCAGCAAATCAGGTCAAATCAGCCGGCAGGTATGGAGGATACGAGACATATCCGACTGCACGTCGCGCATGATTGCTTACCGAGGAGCGGCCGTCTGCGATGCTTGACAGCTGTTGATGTCAGGACGGGCCTGACGTGATAGCGCTCACGGCACGGCGAAGCGATCCCCGGCTCCGGCACCTCCGCAGGTGGCGCGAGCGACCCTGCTATGGACAGGTTCAGGGAGTTCCTGCGGGACGCCTCGCTGCCGAACTCGAGGGAGGAGTTTGTCGAGCGTCTCACGAAGCCGGACTGCATCCATCTCCTGGGCATTCTCAAGGAGCTGCAGAAGGAGAAGAAGCAGCTCGGGAAGCTGACGCGAGCGGACCAGGAATTCGTCCACCTCGACCTCAAACGCTCAGACGCAAATGTGGAGCAGCTCCGGAGCAAGCTCGTGAAGGCGTTCAACGACAGCCCCGACATGTTTCAGGCGGCGATGCGTCGCCTTCGCGACCAGCAGACAGAGGCGTTCGTCGAGCTGGTCTTCCGCGTCGCGGGCAGACACCAGCGCATCGCTGACGGGTGAGCTCCGCATGTCGTTCGCTGTCTCGCATCTCCGAGAGCGCCGGACCGGACCGCCCGGTCACACGCCGCGACTGCTGATTTCGCCCGCCATGCGCAGGTTGAGGCAACAGCTCAACGACTTGAGGGAGGCCCTCAGTGACCCGGACAATTTTGTCATCATCCTCAACCGATTCCTGAACCAGTTCGCAGCCATGGACGACTGAGACCAGTCAGGGGAGCCGGAAGTCCCCGAAGGTGCGCGGAAACGTGCCGACCTCATCTCCAGGTATCGAGGAGGCCAGGAGTCGAATCACCCATTTGGTCCTTCGAGGATGGTTGTGGGTCCCATTCACGGAGGGCGCGCTTCGTTGCCGCGCCCCTCCGCGCGGCCCCACAACCGAGCTGCCCACGGCCGCAATCCCTCGAAAGCAAAATGTGAAGAACTTTCAGTTCGACGACATCACGTCAGGATTCCAGACAACAACGAAAGGACCCCACTTGCTTCGTCCAGCAATGCTACTCCGACCCGCACACACAACACGCAACACTCGACTCGGAAGCCGCTGCCAACGCTGCAGTGCGTTATCTTCTGAACCTGCCGAATCAGCGAGGCATGGCGATCTTTGCTCGTGGCATCGAGGATCTGCTCCAGGCTGACTCTGTCACAGCTGCCGAACCTGTTGCTACCATAACGGTGGGGGGTTAGCATGACTCGCCACCTAGTCGAATGATCTTTTCAGGTCCCAAAGCCTTATGGCTGACGACGCGAAGAACTCACCTCAGCGCTCGTCCATATCGCTCTCACAATCTCCCGCCCCGGAACTCCCCTTACGTCAGCACGGGCCGCTGCTCCAGGAACGTCGGGTACGACCCCTGCTGCAGCTTCTCCAGCTCGCGCCGCAGCGCCGCGAGCTGCTCCTTCTGCTGCGCCGCCACGTCCCGCAGCCGCGCCCGCGACACCAGGCTCCGCATCCGCCGATTCACGCCCGCCCCGGCCCCCTCCTGGCTCACCGTCGCGCTCCCCAGCACGTTCGCCTCGCGCCCGAGCTCGCCCTCGAGGTCCGCCACGCGCTCCTGCAGCGCCAGGTTCTCCTTCTCGCGCTCCCGCGCCTGCCGCTGCAGCCGCGCCAGCGCCGCCCGGCGGTCCTCGAGCCTCTTCTGCGACAGCGTCTGGTTGTGTCGAATAAGAGCCTCGAGGTTCTGGTCGCTCGACTCGAGCCCCTCGATGCTCCCGGCCTTCACGACCGCCTGCACCTCCTTCGTCACGCGCATCAGCTGGAACTCCCGCGTGCGCTCGACCGTGTCCGCGGCCTCCATGTCGCACCGCTGGTTCTCCCACTGCAGCAAGTATATGCCGCGCTTGAAGTCCTTGATGCCACGGAGGATGTCGAGCTTGCTCGCGCCCTGGTCGCGGATCTCCTTGTTCACGCGCTCGATCGTTCCGCGCGGCACGAGAACCGCGTCCACGTTCTCGCTCGACAGCCCCTGCGGCTCGACCTCGCACAGGCCCTGCTTCATGCGCAGCGTGACGTGCAGGTCGAACATGACGCGGTCGCGGCCCTCGCGGAAGGCGGCGAGCGCGGCGAGCGCGTCGTTCTGCGCGGCCTGCGCGATCGCGTCTTCGCCCTCCAACACCGACAGCTGCTCCCGCATCACCGACAGCACGCGCTGCGCCTGCTTCAGCGCGGCCTCGCTCGCGATCTTCGCCTGCCGCGACTCCGTCAGCAGCGTCCACCACTGCGGATCCAGCCCCTCCGGCATGTCAACCCTCGGATCGAGATTCTCGACGTATTCCGCCGGAACGTCCTCCTTGCCCATGTTCGGGTATGGGTCGCCCTCGCCGAGCGTCGGCGCGGGCTCGCCCGCGAGGCTGCGCCCGAGCCAGCGGTCGAGCATCCCGTGCTGCGGGCCCGCCGGGATCAGCGCCTGCGTCCCCTTGGCCGCCGTATCCACGCCGCCGCCGGCCCGGAACGACTGCACGCGCGACATGACGCCGAGGCGCGAGCTCGAGCGGCTCGGCGCGCGGCGCGGCACGGACCCGGAGCCCTCGCGGCCCGTGAGGCTCACGCCGGACGGCGCGCGCTGCAGCTGCGTGTTGCCGCCGCCGCCGCCGCCGTCGCCAAAGTGCGCGTTCCAGCGCTTGGAGCCCACGTGCATGGGCGGCGGCGGGCGCTGCGTGACATACGTGCGCCGGCGGAACAGCGCGAGCAGCGCCTGCGCGTGCTCTGCGTCGCTCACGTCCCTCCGGAAGAGTTTCTCGAGGCCCCGGTCCTCGTGATGCAGCCTGTCCACGTCCTCCTGCCGCGCCTCGACCTGCTTGCGGAACTCGATCAGCGCCGCGGCCGCGCGCGAGCGCCGCACGGACGCCGCGTCCACGCGCTCCGAGAGCCGCTCCTCCTCCGCGTCGCTGTAGCGGTCGAGCGCGTGCACCGAGTGCGCCAGCAGCACGACCGAGTGCTCCATCGCGAGCGCGCACGACTCCGCGCGCACGCGCTCCTTCGCGAGGTCCACGAGCGTCGTGTCGAACTGCTCGCGCATCTCCGCCACCGCGTTCCCCAGCGCGCGCAGCTCCGTCTCCAGCGTCATAATGCGCTTCTCGCGGTCCTCGAGCACGGCCTTCTCCTTGACGGCCCAGTCCGCGGCGATGCGCTTCTGCTCCTCCGTCCACGTGCTCTTGTCGTTCGCCATGAAGGCCGGCCGCGTCAGGTCCTCCTCGTCGTCGTCGTGCTCCACGCGCTCCAGCGTGCCGCCCATCATCGCCTTGAGGGCCCGCTCCGGCGCGTTGTCCTGCGCCATCCGCGCCGCGTGCGCCGCGCGCGCCGCCTCCTCCTTCTCCTTCTCGGCCCGCTGCGCCGCCGTCAGGAAACGCTCAACCTTGACCTCGTCGTCACTCACCGTCAGGACCTTCTCCGGCTGCTCGCCGTCGTGCGGGTCCGGCACGAAGAGCTGGCCCAGGTCGCGCTCGATCGCCGCGAACCGCGTGTCCGGCTGCCCCGTGAGCGTCGCGTTCGCCTGGAGCAGCTTGCGTACCGAGTTGAGCGTCTCTTTGATGCGCGTGTTCACGTCGCGGATGCGCTCGACCTCGCCCTGCTTGTGCTGCAGCGCCTTGTCGAATGACGCGTTGAACGACGCGCGGACCTCGCGCGCCCGCAGCAGCAGGAGGTACACCTGCGTGATGCGCCGCGCCCGCGACACGAGCTCCGACTCCGCGTACGTGATCTCGCCGTCGTCGCCCGCGTCGTCCAGGTCGAGATCGAATCCCGCCGTCGTCGCCGTCTCCAGCCGCGGCAGCGTCGACCGCGGCCGCGTGGCCGCCTCGGCGCGCTCCGCGCGGCGCAGCAATGCGAGCTTCGAGCCGATCGCCAGCGCGTCGCCGTCCTTCGGCAGCGCGAAGTTCGCGACGATCAGCGTGCTCTGGTCCTTCAGGCCCGACACCGACGCCGCGTGCACCTCCATCGCGTCCCAGCACTCTTGCTTCAGCCGCCGCCGCATGACGTCGTGCCCCTCGTTCTTCCGCTCGATCTCCGCGACGACCTGCGCCTTCTGCTCCTCGCCCTGCCGCGCAATCTGCTCCGCGAGCTTCACGTCGACGACCAGGTCGGACTCCGGCAGCTGCTCGAGCTCCGGAGCGTTGGCGTTGTCGGCGATGCAGCGCTCCAGCTCCGCCTTGATGTCCGCGATCGCGGCGCGCGTGGCGTCGTGCTTGCTCTTCGCGCGCTCCTGCGCCTCCGCGGCCTGCTCGCGCAGGTACGTGTCGACGACGAACTCGAGCGCGGGCGCGGTGGCGGCGGCGGCGGGGTCCGCGCCGGAGAGCTCGAGCGAGAGCGGCGGCGCGGCGGACGGCGCGGCGGAGAGCGCGACGCCCGCCGGGAGCGCGTCCGTGGGCGTCCGGAGGATCGCGAGCGTGCCGTCCGCGCCGCCGACGGCGACAAACGCCCCCGCGGCAGTCAAAGACACCGCCGACACCCCCCCCAGGGACATGTCGTGCGTCACGCGGTGGTACTGCGGCGCCTGCGGGCTCGAGAGCCCGAGGAAGGTGTGCTGCAGCACGACGCTGCCGTCCGGCGACCCCGACATGATGGCCAGCGCCGCCGTCGCGCGCTCGCCGCCCGAGTCCACCGACGACACCGCGCCGACCGCCAACGACGTCGCCGGGACGCCGTGCGGACACCCGTCCCCGCTGCGCGACTCGTCCGGCGCCAGCGGCCGCATCGCACTCCCGCCCCACGCCTGTTTCGCCGCAGGGATCGGGAGCAGGCTCAGCCCGCGGTCGGGGCCGGTGCACAGAATCGAGCCCTGCGTGGTCTTCCAGTCCTCGGAGGGGCCCGTCGCCGCGAGCGTGCCGCGCCGGAACAGCGTCGGGCACTGCAGCGGCGCCGCGAAGCGCACGCGCCGCGCAGGCGTGTCCCGCTGCGCGAACGCCATCTTGCCGTCGGGCTTCGCGGAGGCCTCGGGGCTCTGGAGCCACACGGCCTCCTGCTTCGCGGACGCGAGGACGAGGTAGTCCGGGTCCGCGGCCCAGAACATCCCCGTGACGTCCTCGACGGAGAGGGGTGTATTGGCGACCCCCCGACCCTTCCACGCGCCGCCGCGGAGCTCCAAAAAGCAGATCGAGCCCTCCGCGCCGCCCATCACCGCGATCTCCGTGCCGCGCGGGTGGATCGCGGCGTACCGGATCGGCCCGCGGTGCGTGAGCAGCGACCCGACGTTGACGCACTGCGCCGAGCCGGGGCTGTGCTCGAGGATGTGCACGGCGCCCTCCGCGGTGCCGAGGACGACGAACGCGCGCCCGCGGGACTCGTGCTGCGTGTACGGGTCCCACAGCTGCGAGCTCGCGAACGCGGTCACGGGGGCCCCCATCGTGCCGCTAAACAGAGCGCGGCACGCCACCGCGGGGGCGCCGTCCGGGCCCGCGGCCTCCGCGACCGTCCACGCGCGGATCGCGCCGTCGCGCGACGCCGTGATGAGGTCGTTGCGCCCGAAAACCGAGGCGATGCCCACGATGGCTGCGGCATGCGCCGCGGTCACGACCTCCGTCGAGGGCCCGCCGGCCGGCGCGACCTCGATCGAGCCGTCCTCGGACGCGAAGAAGAGGTCCTTCAGGGCGGCGCCGCCGAACGCGAGCGGCTTCGGCATCGGCCGGTGCGGCGGCGCGGGTGCGACGTGCGCAGCTGCGGCGTCCCCCGGCGCGGACGCGGACGCCGCCGGCGCGGCGTGCTCCGGCGGGCCCGCGCGCGCGATGGTGCGCACGAGCTTGTACGCGACGGCCTCGGTGGTCGTCCGGCGCCGCAGCACGTGCACCGGCCCGGCCGCCCCCGTCACCGCCAGTGCCGCCTTGTTCACCGCCAGGCGCCTCAGCGGCGGCGTTCCCTCGCGTTTCCGCGCCGAGGACTCCAGCGTGATGGTCTCCTGGTCCGGGGCGTCGCCCGTCTCGGTCGCGGGGTCCCCTGGGTGCGCGGACTTGGGTGCGAGGTCGAACGCGGTGGTCGCCGTTAGGGTGGGGGGGTGCCAGTGGGGCCCCGGGGGGAGTGTGATGGCCTCGATGGCCCCGCAGGCGAAGCAGGCGACGATGTGGCCGGCGGTGGGGCCGAGCCACTCGGCGTCCGTCGCGACCTCGCCGCACGCGCCCTTGAGAGGTGTGGCGTGAAAGGTGACGGGGGCGAAGGTGCCTGCCATGGAGTAGCCTAGAAGGTTCGTTTCCCAGGTGAGGAGGTCGACGCTGTCTTCGTACTTGACGAGGATCGTCCGGGAGTTGTACGGGTCGAAGGAGAGGCTCCGGACGGGCCCCTGCGCGGAGAGGAGCGGTGCGGGATGTGAGCGGGCGATTGCGGCGCTCTGGGTGCACGCGGGGGATCTTGGGGCGTGCAGGCGTCGCGACAGGGTGGAGGGGCGGCGTGGCTGGAGAGGACGCGCGGCCGGGCGCGCCGGGCGCACGCGGGGCGGGCTGCATGCACTCGACGGCGACGTCACGCGCGAACAGCGGGCGCGAACGGCGCGAACGCGTCCTGCTCGCGCACGCGGGGGTCGTATATGAACGGAGCGGTACAGTGGCGGCGAGCGGCGAGGCACGGGTTGCTGGTTCGTGCCTAGAGGCGGCAGAAGGCTACCGAGACAAGCCCCGCGCGCCCCACACGCCTGAATCGCGGTCCAGACGACAGCGTCGCTGCCGCGCTGGCCCCAGCACAGGAGCGGCCGCGCAGCCAGGCCGCCGTGCGCGCGCGCGAGGGCCCGGGGCCGCAGCAGGGGACCGGGCCATTTCTGCGCCCCTCACCTTTAGGTCCGCCGTGGCGCGCACAGCCATGCTGGGCTCCCCGCGCTCGTCCTCGAAGAGCATCAGATCGAGCTTGTTGTCCGGGCGCCCGCTCGCGCACGCGAGGACGCTCCCCTCTGCGGAAAACGCCAGCGCGGTCACGTCGAGCAGCCTGCCCGGGTTCGTCGACGCCACGGGCGCGAGCGTCGCGCACGAATGGACGTGCACGCGCGGCTCGTAGCCCTCGCTCTTCTCCGCGAACGCCACGAGGTCGTACTTCCGGTTCACCGCCACGCACGCGACGCCGCGCGCCGGCCCAGGGAGCAGACGCTGCCGCCCGGCCTTCACGTCATGGAACACGACCGTGTTCCCGGAGACGTACACGATCTCGTCCTCGTTCCGGACCTCGATCTCCCCGCGCGTCGCGCCGTTCGCCCAGTCGGGCTTGAGCTGCGGCACGACCATCGTAGCTATGCTATTTCCGCGCCACCCCTGCCCACGACTAGCCCGCTAGCGCTCTACGCGGCTCTGCGCATCGCCTGCGCGCGCGTCCTCGAGGCGGGCTCTCGCTGGTCGCGGCGCGCTCGCAATTTGGCCGCGCGCGGCGCCCGCGGCGCCCTAGGACCGGGGGAGCCGGGCAGCCGGGGTGGGGGCGAGGAACGTAGGAAAAGACCCCGGCGTGCGCCGCGACGGGCGCGAGGTGGAGGGCGCCGCGCGCGCGGCGTGCTTGGCATATTTTTTACCGGGCCGTGCGCTGTCGTTCGCGGCCGCGTCGCACCGGACAGCGCCGCGAGCTAGCCTGCCTGCACTCCCAGCCAAGGCGCGGAAACCGCGCCCTCGGACGCGCATATTCCGAGATTACCGAATCCACGTGACCAGGTGCGGAGGAACACGCGCCAGTGCGAACGAAACGGTGCGCCGTCGCCCGGTCGAGACGCCAGCGCGCAGTCTCTCTTTGGCGCTGCCTGGATGTGGAATGTGGGCCTGCCGCGCTAGTCGGTCGCGAACGACCGACGCGGCGCCACCCACGCGGGCCCTCATGACACTGAGAACGCCGCAAGCGCGCGTTCGCTCCTGTTGAGCCGCTGTCGAGCCCTTGCGAGCAGGTTCTTTTCCAGTGCCAAGACCACGCCTGGCCCCCTGCGTCGTGGCTGCAGGCGCGGCGTGCATTGCAGACATAGGGCCGGACGACGTCTCCGAGCGTCCGGTGCGCGGACACGCCTGCACCATCGCGGGTGCCTCGGTATCGCGCCGGGTGCTAGGGAGCTACGCTGTGGGTCGCCTCGCGGGCAGGGCTGGTCGTGCGTGCCGCTGAACAGGGCCGTGGTGGACAATGCCGTCGATAAACCACCCATAGAGCCTCAAAGACTCCGTAGCAGGACAACCGGGCGCCGCACGGGCGCTCTCTAGTCCCATCACGGAGGAGCGCAGGACGCACGCAACGCCCGCACGGGTCGACTGACGCGCCGACAAGATGGACGGGTCCGAGGACGGCCCGCCGCTGGAGTCCGCGCGCTCCGTCGTGCGCCCCGTGCCCCCCACGGGCCGCTGGCAGGTGAGCTGCTCGCACCAGGGCGCGGAGTCGCGCCCAAACACGCGCCAATCCCGCTCCTTTCTCAGCGCACGCGCAGCTCCCGCCCCGGAACAAGCCTCCGCCGCGCACGGGCGACGCCGACCCTCACGCCGGGGCACGCCGCGGCCGCTCACAGCACCTCCGCGCGCCCCTGCGAGCACCACCGCCGCGCAGGAGAACGACCCGTTCCGCGAGGAGGTGCTCGACAAGCTCGCCCAGGTCAACAAGCGCCTCCACGGCATGGACAGGAACGCGGCGCTGCGCGAGCGAGCCGTGATGCGACGCGAAACCGCACTACGAGAGGCCTGGGAGTACCAGGAGCGCCTCCAATGGGACCAATCGCTGCCCAAGCCCTCGAAGGATCCCTTCCGGGGCGTCACGCCCCAGCTCCCGCCCGCGTCGCCGCCCGGCCGCAGGTACCGCGCCCGTGGCACCACCTCCGACCGCGGCGGTCGCCGCCTGCAACCCCCCGCGCGCCGGCCCTCCGCCGGAGCGCTCCGCTCCGCCGCACGCCGGTCCCGAACAGCGCAGCCCCGAACAAACACACACATTTGCGCACGGCGGCGGTGACGCGCAGGACCGGGGAGCAACCGCGCACAGCCTTCGCGGTGCGCTCCGCGATGCGCACCGCGCCGGACCTGAGCTCCACCGCGCCCCCGGGCGGCGCGAGCTTCGCGCTGCCGAACGTGCGGCGCACGGCGGGGTTTGCGGAGCACCTAAGGGAGGAGTTTCCCCACAGCCCCCCGACGACGGTTCGGAGCTACATGTTCGGCACGACGACGTCCCCGAAGGACGAGCGCCGCGCGCGCACCGCGGTGCCCCCGCGCGACGTGCTGATTAAGAAGGCTGAGATGAATCGGCTGATCAACCTGGAGATGAAACGGAACGCGAAGCGCATCGTGGCGTCGCGCGCGGGCGCGCTCCGGGACTCCCTGATGGACCACGGGTGCCGCGTCTACGCCCGGCAGGTCACCCCGTGGTCGCGCATGAAGTTTCCGGGCCCCATGTCGCACAAGATCAAGCGCTCGGTCGAGGCGCAGGTGCTCCGGCGGATCACCGCGGAGATCGACCGCATGCGCCTCGAGCGCTGGGGCGTCGACCAGCTGCGCGACGAGGCTCTCGAGAGCGTCCACCAGGAGCTCGAGCGCCTCCGCCTCGCGGCCGAGGACGGCGAGGACGACGATCACAGCGACGTCGGGAGCCGGGACCTCCAGCACCAGTCCCCGCCGCCGTCGCGGCCGGCGGCGCGCGGGGCGCGCAGCGTGCGGATGGCGGTGGACGACAAGGAGGACGGCGGGGCGGCCGGTAGGACCGCGACGCGGCGGACGCTGCCGAGCGTCGCGAGCGGGTCGCGGAAGATGCTGGAGCACGCGGTGGCGTCCGTGAAGGGCGGGCTCGGGCTGGCGCGGGCGCCGGGGCCCGCGCGGAGCGTGCGGAACTCGTCCGTCGGGCCCGGGCTGACGCGGCGCGAACGGATGAAAACCAACGTGTCTGCGGTCACGATGGGCGGCGACGAGGCGGAGGGCGACAGGGCGCCGCACTTCCGCCTGGGGCGGAGCGTGCGCGTGCGGCCGGACGACGACGTCGGCGGCCGCAGCACGCCGGACGACCTGTCGTTTGAGGACGTGGACGCGGGGGGGGAAGCGGGGGACTTCGGCGCGATACAGGGGGAGTTCGCGGCGGAGCTGGTGCCGGAGCGGGTGCAGCTGGTGGTCGGGGAGCTCGCGCAGGACGAGCGCTTCCTGGCGGTGCGGCTGGTGCCGGCGGGCGTGAACCCGGAGAGCGCTGCGACTGTCGACAGCCCACGTGAGCACCCCGCGGCAGTGCGCTGGCTCGCTCGTGCGCTGGGAGCGCGCCTGTGCGGTGGCTGTGGTGTGTTGCTTGCGCTGGTGCGCTGACTTCGGGCGGCGTGCGTGTTTGTGGCGTGCAGGGCCGGGGCCGGGGCGGAACTTCGAGGAGGCTATTTTGGGCACGGACAGGGCCGGGCACTACTTCCTGCGCGCGGACTGGCAGAGCGCGAGCCAGGAGAGGTCCATGGGCGGGACCGGCAACTTCGGGCCGCGCCGCAGCATGATGGTGCGTCGCCGACGCCGCAAGCGCACTGCAACGCGCTCGCGCTGCGTGCCTGCGCTTCCTCTACGCCCGAGCACGCGTGCGTGCCGTCGCAGCGCTCGGCGCACCGCCGACGACGGCGCACCGCAGCCAAAAACGATGATCGGCAACTGTGGGGGTCTCTCGCGCGCGTGCGCCCGCGGCTGCACGCGCCCACCGAGCCACGCACGCACGCTTCCGTCCACTACGCGCATCCCCGCGCGCTCCGCGCCGCCTCCGACGCAAACACCCCCCCCATTTGCAGGCGTCGATGCCGGGGATCCTTACAGACGACATAACGCGGACGTACATCAAGCCGTACATCAAAGGCGCCGTCCTGCGCCTGGACCCCTCCGTCCCGCACTCCGCCGTCTCCCTCGACCTCTCCGGCATCGACCTCGACATGCTTCTCGCGCGCGACCAACGGGTCATTCAACGGTTCGAGATCTGCCTCCAGATGGCGCACAACGCCCGCATGGTCTCGCTCGCCGGCAACAGCCTCATGGCCAAGCCGCTCTCGGCGCTCCTCCACGCCGTGCATGCCCGCGGCACCGCGCCGCTGCTGCAAGTGCTGGACCTGTCCGACAACCACATTGGGGACCAGGAGGAGTTCGGGGTGTTTGACCGCGACGAGGAGACGGAGCGCCGCGAGGCCGAGGTGCCGCGGCGCGGCAAGGGGACGCGTGCGGTCATCGGCAATCAGGACATGCGGGACGCGTTGCACAGTGCGGGGCTCCTGCTCGGACGCGGGCCGGACACGGACTGGCGCGCGGGGCGCCTCGGGCACCGCACGCTGCAGGGTCTCACGGGGAAGAACCGCCCGCTCGGTACCGCGGGGCTGGGGGACTTTGCGTGGCTGGAGGGGCTGGAGCTGTCAGGGGGGGGTGTTGGCGGCGGCGGGGTCGGGATGGGGCGCGCCGTGTCGCCCGCGCGGCGGTTCGCGCGTCTGGATCCCGCGCCGGCGATGGTCGTGCTTTGCGACTTCCTTGCCGCGGAAGCAGAGCTCTACGAAGCAAAGGCGTACAGCGACGACGAGAGCGTGGCCTGGGAGGGCGTCGACCGCGAGAAGCTGCGCGCGCGGAAGCAGTCGATCGCGTGGAAGAACGCGCTGATCGCCAGCAAGTTCCGCGGCGCCCTCAAGGCGCTGAAATCGCTCAAGCGCGCCAACGAGGGGCGTGCGGGCGGCGGCACGTGGCTCTCCGACTCCGCGGATGAGTCGGACTCCGAGCCGGAGTTCGACGCGCTGCTGTCGAAGGGCCCGCCGGCGGAGGAGACCCCCGGGGACAGCGGCCGCGCGCCGTCGGTGCCGGACGACGGCTCGGACGACGTCTACGCCACGCGCGCGACCGTGTCGGTCCCCGCGGGGCGCATCTCGCAGCTCATTCTGCGCGGGAACCGCATATCCGATGCCGCGACGGTCTCGCTGCTGTGCCGCACGGTCGTGCAGTGCCGCATGCTGCGTGAGGTCGATTTGTCGCGCAACGCAATCGCAGACTCCAGCATGGAGGCCCTGGCCGGGATGGTGCGGTCCTGCCCGCACATCGTGGCGCTCAACCTCGCGTCGAACGACATCGGGTCGCGCGGCGCGTCGCTGCTCGCGGCGGCGGCCATGGACTCGCGCACTCTGAGCGCTGTGGACCTCTCGAACAACAGGATCGGGAACGCCGGCGCCGCGGCGTGGGCCGAGGTCCTCTCGACGTCGCTGTCGCTCGAGGAGCTCCACGTGGCGTCGTGCGGCATCGGCGACGACGGGTGCATGGAGCTTGGGGCTGCGCTGCACCCTGAAGTGGGGTCCGTTGCGTCTGTGCTCAACATGAGCGGCCAGACGTTCGGGGTACGGGGGATCGAGCTGCTGCGGGAGGTCGTGCGGGACCGGGAGCTGGCGGGGGAGCCGCCGGCTGCTATTGTTGCGCGCGGGCTGGACGTTGAGAATCTCCTATCTGCGGTGCGCCGGGCCGAGATGGTGAGGAACACGTCGTCGATGTCGCGCGGGCCGGAGCGCGCGCAGAGCCGGAAGGTGTCGTCGCAGCTCGGGCGGCTCGCGAGCAGGCTCTCGGGGGCGGGCGTGGACGCACGGCGAGGGAACCGCCCCAGCCTGCTGACGGGCACGGGCACGGGGTGGTGATGCTGCGACGTGGACGGTATGTGGAGTTGTGACGAAGAATCCGCGTGACGAACGTGCCAGCTGACGGCGGTCGCGTCGACCACGCGTAGGCCAGCGAGGTACAACCTATCGCTCCGGCGCCGCTGAGAGGTATGACTAATGACGCCCATGGAGCGCCGCGCCCCGCAACCATCAGCGGAGCACAGGTGAGGGCGTTGGCTCGCGGGACGAGCAGCGGGGTCGCGTTGCGCGACGGAGCCCGGCGGGCCTGTGCAATCGTAGTTGCACTGCACCTGACTCAGCAGCTCGTCGCTCGACGGCCCGCTGTCCCGCCCGATCGCGCGATCGCATTCCGGGTCCTCAGGCGGCCCTTGCAAGTCTCCCCGTACCTGGCGTGGCGCGCTTGCGCGTATGACGCGCTGCGCAGCCATCGTCGACTGTCGCGACGGTGGAGGGGTGGCGATGAAATACTCACTGCGGGGTGCCTGAGTCGTGAGAGCTGCGATCCGATGGGCGTTTACAGCGCTCGGCCGCGCACATGAGCGGCAACCCACGCTGTGCGCAACGCACCCTAGTAGCTGTGCAATTCGAGGCCCGCCGGCCTAGGCGCCTTCGTGGTCTAGGACGTCGTGACGAAGAATAAGCTTCAGGCAGCGTCAGAAACAGGAAGAACGGGCAGAGTGACTATGTCCGACTCAAGTCGACACCCCCCCCCTCCAGGGGACTGTGGCCCTACTTGGTGCTTCCCGCGCCGTTGCCGAGCTGACCGCTTTGCAGCAGCTCCGCCGTTTCGAGTTCCTCGAGCGACGGACCCGCATTCCCGCGCTGCCCGGCCCCATGTTGCTGCTGCTGTTGTTGCAAGTGGTGGAGCAGGTGCATCGCTTGGTCTATCTGCGCCTGCCCCGCCATCGACGCGGTCCCCTGCCCGACGCTCTGCTGCTGCGGGAAGTGCCCCGCGGCCGCCGCGGCGATCGCAGCAGCGATGGCGTTCTGCGCATCGCCGCCGCCCGGGGAAGGCTTCGCCGCATCTGTCCCGTACATCATCGGGAGCGCGAGCCCGCGGGACGCATCGACGCTCTGCATTCCGTGCGACAGCATCAGCGACACCGCGTTCGGATGCAGTGCCGGAGGGCCAGGCTGTCCCTGCGACCCGGGCGATGTGGCTCCGAACGGCGCGTGCTGATCGAGCAGGCCTGACGCGCGCAGCGCGTCCCAGTCGACGCCCGCCTGCCCCGCGCGCGCCCAGGCCGCGACCGCCGCCGACGTCGCCGGCTGCCCCCCTGACGCAGCACCGGCATGCTGCGGCCCGCTGCGGGCGAGGTGCGCGGCCGCGGACGCCGCGAACGCGTCGATTTGGTTCGAGGGCTGCGCGGACGAGTCCGGCGGGACCCAGTCCCGCGCTCCGAGCCCGCCTTCGCCGCCGTTCGCGCCCCCTCCGTCGCGCGCTGCGCCCGCGCCGCCCCTCGCAGCCCACGAGGGGAGGCCGTCCGCACCCGCGCGGTTGCCCGCGGGCGCGTTCGCGCCCCTGCAGCGCAGCGCGGTGGCCGGCGCGGTCGGATCGCGCGTGCCGGAGTGCCGCGAGGCCCTCGCAGCAGCCTGGCTGTCACTGGTCACGTTTAGAAGGTCGGCGCAGACACGCGCGGGGCGAGGAAAACGTGAGATAGGACGGTTGGCCCACAGCTGTGCGTGGCGCATCGCGGCCGCGCCCGCGCGTGTCTCCCGCCCCGCCTGCCAGTTTCGGCGCCGCTGCGTCGCCTGGGCCGCGACGCGGCCGCAACAACGCAGCGGCAGCGCCCGCGGGCGCGTGCTCACCGGCAGACCGCCAGCCCCCGTCGCGCCGCAGGGCACGCGCGTGCGCGGCATCGCGGGCACGTCGCGGCGCGAGAATAGCCCGGCGAGGGCGGGCGCGGAGCGCAGCGCCGCGGGGCGCGCCGTGCGCGCGGTGCGGGGGCCGGAAGAAGCCTGGGCGACTTGCCTGGAGTGTGTGCGAGGTGAGGCGCTCGCGCGGGCCTCCGCGGCCTCGAGCTCGGCGAGGCGCGGCGTGATTCGTCGGAGGAGGTCGATGGTGTCCTTGAGGACGTGGCTCTTGGGCCGCTTGTCGACGACGTCGACGCCAGGGAGGGAGCCCGTCGGAGGGACGAGCTCGCGCAGGTCCTCGATTAGGCCATTGAGACGGTCCCTGCGGAGGGGTAGGGGGTCGAAGAGGTCGGTGCATTCGGGGTCGGAGGTGTTTCGGGGCGGGGTGACTCGCGGCGGGGCCGGCACGGGTCCCCTCGAAGCGACGCAACGTGCCTCGTGTTGTGCCGCGCGGCGGCGCGCGGCGTGGATGGAGCGCGCGATGCGCGGCGCCGGGGGCTCGAGTGGAACGATATCCGCGAGGGAAGCGCGAATGGGCGCCGCGATAGCCACGCGCAGGGTGGTATTCCACGCTGCCAAAACCGTGGTCGCGCAAGCGGGCTCCAGGCGGCGCGTGGGGGCGCGCGCGGCCGCGCACCGCAACGAGAAGGGCTGAGAGAACGCCGGGGGCAGGAGCAACGGCGCGGCGATTGGCCAGGCTGGCCGCTTCGCCCAGCACGTGTGCTTGGCAGGCACCGACCTTCGCTCCTTCTCGATAGCGGCATGACTAGGCCGGGCCTTCTTGAGCGGCGCAGCTAGGGACAGGCTGTGGCCGTCCATGCCCGCGTGCGATGACTCACGCGCGCTCCTTCCCAGGCTCATGGCCTCATCTCGGACGTGACTCGCCTCTCCGGCGTGAAGCGCGCGACCAGCCGCAAAATTGGCCCGCCCAGCGCGTCTCTCAGTCGAATCCCACGCAGGCAGCGGCGTTTCGCCTCAACACCGCGCCACCGGCGGACCGCAGCGGCCTATGTCCAGGCCGCGATCACCGGCGCAGCTCCGCTCGTTCGTCGCCCCGCCGCCCACGCGCTCCCCAGCCCGGCACCTAAACAGAAGCCCCCGGGCACGCCAATATCTGCCACCGGCAGGCGCCGCAGAGCGCCATTGGGGAGGCCCGGTGACGTGGAGGCCTTTCCACACGTGACGAGTGCCGCCGCAGCGCGCCCGGCGGGCGATCCGCCACGCAGGCGCCCCGCACGCCCCGCAACGACCAGCACCTCCTCGCCGCGCCCTCTCAGAGACGCTCACGCGGCCACTGTGCCGCACATCACATCAGGCCGCAACCACCTCAGCTCCACGGCGGCTCGCGACCCGAGAGGGGTGTTCGTTTGCGTTGCTCAGCGCTCATCGCCGGCGCATCGACGAGACGAAGCCCGGGCATACCCGGCGCGGCGTGCCCGCACCGTGGGCTCGTCCGCCGCGCTTCCCCCGTGACGCTGACTACGACACGCACGAGTGGGACGTCGGCGATGCGCGAGGCCGGGGCGGGCAGCTCCTCGCTCGCGCGCGGCCTGGATCGACCGCCGCGTGCCGATACGCCGACGCGCGTGCGTGCGCCCGGAGCCGCCGTGGGTGCCTGGCGGGGCTGCGTAGCGCACCGCGGCAGCGCGAGAGAGCACACGTCCCGTGCGGGCGGTCACAGTCTCGCGTCGTCGGTGGACGACATGCTGCTGCTCTCAGCGATCCTCAGCCCGCGGCTGTACGCGCCGCGGCGGTCCCGGCTCCGGCAGTACTCCCGCCACACGCGTGCGGCGCGCGCCGCCGTCGACGCGAGCTCCTTCGCCGCGCGCGGCGTCGGCGCCGCGCCGCGCTCCGCCGCCTGCAGATAGATGATGCACGCAACGCGCAAGACCTCGGAAACGCGCACGCAGGCATCGCATCATAATTATCATCGCATCATCCTAGCAGCTCGCGCCACGTGGCGTCGCGCGCGGCCGCGACCACGACGCGCGCCCCGCACGCCCCGACCATCACGCGCAGCAACCGTGGCGCGCCCGCACCTCCTCCGCGCGCTCCGCGGACCGGAACGTGTTCACGCCCACCGCCGCCTCCCAGCGCGCGCGCGCGCGCCCCCCGACGTCCCGCTCCGCGCGCTCGCGCGCCGCGGCGGCCCTGCGCTCCCAGTGGTAGCTGGCGAGCCGGAAGACGTCCGCGCCGGACTTGCGGCCCGCCCCGCGCATCAGCAGCATGACGCCAATGCGGTCCATCTGGCGCATCTGGTCTTCGAGGAGGACGAGCATCGGCGCGGAAACCCAGTGGATACAGTTCACGGGGCACGTGTCCATGGCCTCCTGCGGTTTCGGGGGTGGGGGGGGTGTTTCGTTGTGATGCGTGGTGCAGGGCGGGTCGTGTGCGGCGCTGGCGAGATGCTGCCTCTGCATGGGCGCGGGTTGCGTTGTCGCGCAGCACACCGGTCGATCTGTGGGCGGGTCGAACATGGATGCGGAGTGCGGGGTGAAGAAGGGGGGGGGTATTGAGGGGAGTTCGCGGGCACCTGCACGACGTCTTCGGGGTCGTTGTTCTGCGCGGCGACGCGCGCGCGGCCCCACTCCTCCTCCATCGCGAAGGTCGACGGACACACCCCCGCGCACGCGCGGCACCCAATGCACGTCTGCTCGTCGACGAAGACCTGGTCGAGCTCGTACGACGAGTCATGGAACGGATTGACCGAGTGGCTGTTGTACCCCATCATCAGATCGTACCTGCGCGGCGGCGGCGGCGGCGGCGAGTACATGTGGCCATAGTGATGCTGTGGCACAGCTCATAGGAATTCATGGTTGTTGTTTTGTTCCTGCGTGGCATGGTATGGTTGCGCGGGGCGCGGGACGCACATGGCGCGCTTGTGGTCGTCCATGAGCGTCGCGTAGATCTCGTTCAGGAGCGCCGCGAGGCCGTTGAAGTCGCTCTCGTCCGCGAAGGCGTCGTCGCCATCCGAGGACAGCGACGAGAGGGACGCCAGCGAGGACGCCGTGCGGTCCGGGTGGCACTGCTTCATCGCCCTGTAGTACGCGCGCCTGATTTGCACGCTCGTCGCCGTCGGGGAGACCTGCGTCGTGAGTTGCGTGCGGGCACGCAGGCGTGACGGCCGAGGCTGGGACCCGGGCGGCGACCCCGGCGGCAGTGACTGCCGGATCTGGTCGCTTCGGGACGCCCGTGCGCGCCGGGATGGAGCTGGGCCGCCCGGCTGACGCCAGGCGCGGCAGGCGTGGGGTCAATGCGACGTTTACGCCGAGCGGACGGCGTTGCCGATTGGTTCGCGCGAGCGCGCACCTCGAGGATGGAGTAGAAGTCGTCGCCGTCGCCCTCGTCGTCGTCGACCGCCGCACCGGCCGCACGGCTGCGAAAGGCACGCGGAGATTCCAGGCTCTCAGGTCCGTGGCAATGGAGTGACCAAACGCGCTCGAAACGGAACCAAACACGTCGCACGCGTGCGAACTGTGCAGCGGGCATCGAATGCGGGCGCCTGCGCGATGCGCGACCTGACGTCAGGCCAGCTTCTGCGCGGCAACTGAAAGCAGTTGGCCTGCGGGCGAGTGCGAGCCCGCGCGGGCGCGTCGGGCGCTTGTTCGTGCTTGGCGGACCTGCTTGGGAGGCTCTCTTCGAAGGCGCGCGCGCGGTGACCGCGCTGGCGCGGCTGTGCGGTGCGTCGGGGCGCCGTCCTGGACGTCAGGCACGTTGCTTTCGCACGCCGCAGCGCGCTCGCCCTCTGGCTAAGCGGCGACGAGGACACCACGGCCATGCTCATCGGTGGCGATTCACGTCGCGTCCGAGAAATGAGGCAGAAGTCCGGTTCTTGAGACGCGAACACGGAGCCCTGAAATCTGCTGGGACGCAAGTGGCGAACAAACGGAACGTCGACCGACCTTTCCCGAATGAACGCCTAGTGTACGCGCCATGCGTCCTCGCGGAGCAGCGACGTAGCCGCGCGAGCCCCCCAGGCGGCCTGGCGAGCCAGTGAGTCAGGCCGCGAGGGGAGGTGCGCGTTTGGCCACCACAGGCGCGTTCGCGCGCCGGGGCGAAGCGCGCGCGAGCTGCCGTGGCGCGAGCAGGAGCTGGGCCGCCGCATTGCCGTGCGGTCCTGGACCGGAGGTGAATGGGCACGGTGCTGAATGGAGGAGGACACAGCGGTGCAGGGGAAGGGTCGCCCGGGGGTGGCGTCGCGGGCGCTCCGCGGGGCGCTCGGTCTGCTGGTCGCCCAGGTCCTCTGCCGCCTGGTCTCGTTCGGGCTGAACCTCGTCGCGGCGCGACGGCTCGGTCCTGGCGCGTTTGGGGTCGGCGCTGTTCAGTTCCACCTCCTGACGACCACGATTCTATTCTTGAGCAGGTCAGACACGCAACTCCTCACTGCTGCACCGAACATGCCGACGTGACCGCCGCGGACGTTGCGCCGTGATACTGCGCGCGTTCGGGGCGCTTTGTATCCCCCACTTGTCCCGCGGCCCGCCCGCGCGGAGAACTGGCCTGACAGGCGCACCGCGCGGCATGTGGGACCTGAGTTGTGCAGAGAGGGCTTTCGGAGAGGATGCACGCGCCTTGGCGACCCGCAGTGGGAGAAACACTACCCAGGAAGTGGCGTGCCAGGGCGCGTGCTCGGCACCTCGTGGCCTGTCGTTCCCATCGGGCTACTCGTCTCCACGACCTTCGCCGCAGGTGCGCCGCGCGACCGCACGCCGCCTCGAGCAACAAAAACACCAGCACTCGGTATTTCACGACTCGCTTTCGCACGCAGCCACGCCGTCTGCCCCGGCGCCGCGCGTCTCTCGCGACCGACCCCCCCGCTCCGCTCACATGGCGTGCAGGCACGCTGGCGTGGACCCGGGCCTCCCTGTCGTCCCCGTTCGGTTGCGCGGTGGTCGTGCACGCGGTTGCTGCCGTAGTGGAGCTGCTCTCCGAGCCGCTGTACATCCTAGCGCAGGCCGAGGCGCGCTTCGCGCCCCGCGCGGCCGCCGACGTCGCTGCGCAGCTCCTGCGGGGCCTCGTGCTCCTGTGGCAGCTCCAGCGCGGGGCGGCGCCAGAGACCGCGTTTGCGGCCTCCCAGGCGGCGGCGGCGGGCACGATCCTGGTGATTCTGCTGTTGGCGACGTGGAGGGAGCTGGGGAGCCTCGTGGCGGGGCGCGGCGGGCGTGCGGGTGCGGGGGCGGCCGGGGGGCGGCGGGTGTCGCTGGTGGCAGTCCCGGAAGCGAGGTCGCTGGCGTGGGCGTTCTCGCTGCAGGCGGCGGGGAAGCACGTGCTGGCGGAGGGGGAGAAGATTGTGCTGGTGACGCTGACGACGGCGCAGCAGCAGGGGGAGTATGGGCTTGCGTCAGGCCTGGGCGCGCTGGCGGTGCGCACGCTGCTGCAGCCGCTGGAGGAGGCGGCGTTCGCGACGTTCTCGTCGGGCGGGGGAGGGAGTGGGGATGGCGGGAAGGACGCGGGCGGCGGGGGCGAAGGGGAGGAGAGCGGGGGGGAGTTGGCTGAGTCGGCGGCAACCCTGGCAGGGTTGATGCGGGCGGCGATCGCGCTGGGGCTGCTCGCGGTGGTGTTCGGCCCGCCGTACGCGGACGTCGTGGTCCGGCTGCTTTACGCGGACAAGTGGGCTGATTCAGGCAAGAGAAGACCTGCACAGTCGTCTCTGCACACACAGGTGTTGTTTCTTCGCAGCCCTGCCAGAACGAGACAAGCGCTGCGCTCCCGCATCGTGCGTGCAGGCGTGGCGAGTGTGCTGTCCGTGTACTGCCTCTACGTCCTCGCGCTCGCCCTCAACGGGACCACGGAGGCCTTTCTGCATGCGCGTGCTCCGGTCGACATCTTGCGGCACTCGAACAAGTTTCTGCTCGCCGTGTCCGTGTGCCACCTCGGGGCCGCCGCGGCGCTGGCCTGGACGCAGGGTCCCGTCGGGGTCGTCGTGGCAGGCGCGCTCAGCATGGCGGTGCGCACGACGTATTCGTGTGCCTTCATCCGGAGCCATTTCCGCGGGAGGAAAGGCGTGCTGGCGTCGATGGTGCCCAGGTGGGGCACGCTCGCGGCGTTCGCGGCGGCCGCCGCCGCGACGCGGGTGTCGGCGGCGGCGCTGCGCCGGGGGGGACTGATGCAGGTGGTGGCAATTGTACCCCCCTGGGCCAGGGGCATCGCGGAGGTCGCGCTGGGCCGCGTGACGCCGGTGTCGCTCGAGCTCTTCGAGAAGTGGCTGCCGCGCCTCGCTGCGAACTACTGGGCGGGGGATCCGAGGGAGGTGCCAGCTGTGGCTGCGCACCTGTGCGTGGGCGCGGCGTGCGGGTTGCTCGTGGGCGCCGTCGTCGCTGTTCACGAGGGGAGAGGGGTGATCTCGGCGGCGCGGCGGCGACGGTAGCGCTTGTGATTCCGGGGCGCCACGTCATGGCGTGAGTTGAATCATGTCGCTATACTGGCCAACCTGCTGACAGGGCGTGCCCGGCGCCCTGCAACTCGACGCCCTCATACATGATCCCGGCGCTGCGGAGCTGGCTCGGAACTATCCAGCCGTGCCCGCACACATGACGCACTCTGTTACCCCCCCGATGTTGACATGTTGGCCATGCGCGTATTCCGTGGCCGCTAGACCGAGGTATGATCCCTTTTCGCATGACAGGCCACGCGCGGGGACGGCGATGACGAGGAGAGCTGAGTAGCCGTCGGCGCGTCGCCACACAACGCGGACAATGCCGCAGACTCAGTCACCGCTGTCACCCAGCCGGCTGCCGACACCCCCTGGTACAAGCAGCCTAGGACGTGGACCAGCACTTCGGCGCGTCGGCTGGCGGGCGTCGTCCAGTACTCGCGCGGCTCGCCGCGTTGTTGCTGACGACGCCCGCCACTCACTCTAACTGATTGCAGGTCAGAGCCTTACCTTGGCACATGATGGCACGCTCACATGGCATTTCGCGCGAGTACTCCTAGCACGCTGCCGCCTTGATCAGGACGATGGCACACCCGCATTTCGTTTCGTGCGCGGGTGGTCAATTAATACTCTATGTCGCTGACTGACCTGACAGGAGGTGCAACGAACACGCAAAGGGAAAGGTATGCTGGTGGGCCGCGCGTTCGCGTCGCGAGGAGTTGCTGTCGTGAGTGCGCGGGTGCTTGCGTTTGTGTGTTTCGACGCGTGTTCACGTGCAGCGAGAGAGGTTTAATTGGTTGCTGGCTGGCCTACAAGCCCATCCCCGCCTCGTGGGGCTCGAGCGACCGGAAACGAAGGGCAAATGAGGCTCGCACAGCAGACAGGGTATACGACGTAGCAGCCAGGCATGGCGCACACAGGTGAGACGTCTGCTGCTGCCACGCACAAGCCAAGCGAGATGACGATGAGTCGCGTCGTTTCGTGTTGCTGGGTGGCTCTTACAGAATGCGACACCTCACCCGCGCCTCAATCGAGAGTCGCGCCGTCAAGTCGGAGTAAGGCGCAGAAAGCAAGAAGGACAAACAACCAGAGATGCTTCTGGCAAGGGCCCACGGGGTGGACTGCAGGCAAGCGCAGAGCGATCAACGGTGTCCACCAGCATGCGTTGAGTGCGGTGAGTGCGAGCACGAGCGCGGATTCGGCTCAAGCGCTCGCCCACGGGGGGCTAGCACCTGGCATGGCAGCCGTCGCAAACGGCATTGAATGCATCTATAGCGGATCAAGGATCGCGGCCGGAGGCTCTCAGGGCTCCAGCGCGATGTGAGACTGAGGGAAGGGGGTGGGAATCGAAGGGGAGGGCGGGACGCGGGAACAGTCGTGTTCGCAGCGAAACAGAGCATCGCTGAGCACACGTTTGATATGTCGCATGCGCTAGTATCAGGGGAAGCAAAAGAGTGACGCAGGGGAAATAGAATGCGGCGCACAGGCCAGTAGAGTGAGCGGAGAGGGCGGGACGGCGTGGGGGGGGGGTGTGGTTGCAGGGGGTGTGGTTTCCGTTTCCCTCTCCTTCCGCGGAGGGAGAGCGCGGAGTTGGCGCAAGCATGCCTGGTTATATTGAAGCTCGACTCGAAGAGGGTGGGGGGGGGGGTTTCCAAGCTTCAGCTCGGCTGCATGGGCCATGCAGGATCAGGAGGGTGCTGTTGCAAGCGGCCCATCAGGGCGACGGGGGCCGCGGCTCGTCGTCCGCGCCGCCGCACGCGTCCGGCTGCGGCGCGTCGCGCGCCTTTGAGAAGCGCGTGCGGCCTTTCGGCGTCGGCGCCGCGATCGCCGCCGCGTTGTAGCTCTCGCCCTCGGCCACCGTGTTCGCCGCCGCCTCGAGGTTCCACGGCAGCGCGGTGATCAGCGCCACGCGGCCCGTCCCGGGCGTCACGAGCGTCGCCTTCTTCGTCGACGCGTTCGCGATTGGCACCGCGGTCGTTTCGTGTCCCGCCGCCCACACCGCGCAGGGGTCCGCGACACCCTTGAGGCGGTACACGCCGATGTCGTGGACCTGCACGCCGCGCAGAGTGCCCTGCGCGGCGCCCGTGCGCTTCGCCACCGCGCGGTTCACGCACTCTGCCAGAGCCTCGATGCGGATGGTTCCCATGCGACCGATGGTGTGCAGGAGGCGGCAGAGCGCGGCCTCCGGCGGGCCGCTGAGGTGCTTGTTCGTCGTGGAGTGCACGAGGAGGTTCGGCCGGCCGCCGCGCGAGTGCTGCGGGAACGGGAACGGGCGTTGGAGTGGTGATGGTCCTGCAGTAATAATAATCGATCTTGCAAAAGCAGGCTCGCGAAGGAGGACTGTCAGATGTCCTTTGCGTCGATCGATCAAGCCTCTCTGGGCACGAGCGGCATGCTGCACGCCCGCATCGCGACTGATCACTGGGCCAAAGCCAGCGGTGCATGTGGTGTTGTGGTCAGGGACAGAGCGCAGAATCCGCTGGGCCGTGGCCGCAACACCAACCATTGGCAACGTCAGCCTCTCCGTAACGCAGCCCCCGCAGCTGGCGCGCGCACCATCAGGCCTCCCACATGCACGCACAATCAGCGGGGTTGATCTCGGGCAACGCACCATCGTGGCCTTGTCGTTCCCGTTCGTGTCGGCGCCCGGCGCGCCCTTCGAGGCCGTCTGGGCGCGCCGCCGCCACTCCGCCGCGACCGACTCCATGACGTTCTTCGGGGCAAGAACCTGCCCGTCGACGGCGACCGAGTGGCACAGCCGCGCGGACCGGTTCACGAGCGGGCCGAAGTAGTCCGCCGTGCCGTCCTTCGGGTGCGGCATCACGTTCGCTGGCACGCCCACCCAGCAGCCAGCCTTGAGCGACAGGACATTCTTGACCTGGGTCTTCGGCACGTGTACGCTGCTCGTCCTGGCCTGCCGCGCCGGCGCCGGCGCGAACCGCGCGCTCTGCACCTTGCGGAAGTCCTTCTTGACCGCAGCGGCGAGGTCATTCTGCCGCGGCGAGTTGGACGCGCCCGTGTCGCCTGGCGTCGCGTCCTCTGCAAATCGCACCCCTTTGGCCTCGGAACCAGACGGCCGGTTGCTGCCCGCGTGGCCCTGCTTGTTCATGAAGCCGGCGGCGGCCCCCGCGGCGGAGAGCTGGGCGATCAGCGGCGCGTGCTGCGTGGACGTGCTTCCGTGGGTCTTCCCCGGGACAACAGGCAGCGGCTGACCGTCGTTGCCCATGACGACGGGGTAGCACCCCGTGGGCCAGTGCGCGTTCCGGATGATGTCCTGCGCGGGTCAGCGAAGCGGTATGATCCTCGTCGGGTGCGCAGGAGAGACGGCAGAGCTTTCGCATGCAGAGACGTGCAGCGACATGCACGCGGGCGGCGCGCGCCCGCACCTGCATGAACAGCGCCCATTCGATCGCGTCGAGGGGCGTCCAGAACGACAGCATTAGCACCCCGCTGTCCTCCTGAGTCAGGTACCCCCCGAACGCCGGCAGCGTCCCCCGCGTGAGTTGCAAAAACAGCTTCGCCGCAACGCGGCGGTGGTCCGCGTCGCGGACCTCCGGGAGCCCGCCGAGCCGCGCGAACATCACCGCGACGGGCCCCGGCGGCGGCAGCTCGATGCCCAGCGCGGCCGTCGCGCGCCCGAGTCGCGTGGTGGCTGTCGACGCCACCGCCCCCGGCGCTTCGAAGAATCCGGGCTCCACGCGCTCGTCCTTGATGCCCTCGAAGTAGAGCATGCGCGCAGCGAGGTGCGGCGGCAGGACCTGGATCACGCGCACGGGCTCGTGCCACCCCGGGAGCGACCAGCTCCCCAGCGAGATGAAGAGCGCCTCCCAGGACGCGGCGCTCTCGTCGGCGGCGTTCGCTCGCCGGAACGCCGTGGAAACGCCGGGCTTGACCTTGCCCATGTCGCTCTCGCGCTTGCTCCGCGCCTCGCCGTTGCGGTTCTCGTCGTCCGAGTCGCCGTCCGTGCGCGCCGCTGCCGACGACCCGCCCTTGGAGATTTTCCCCGACACAACGGTCGGGAGAGCCGCCGGCGGGCCGTCCTCGCCCGCGATCGAGGAGCGCATGCCGGCGTCCAGAATCTTCGGGACGTCCATTCGCCGCGACGACGCCGCGCCGCGCAGCGACACGCGTCCCGCTGCCTCGGCATCCGCGTCCTTCGCCGCCTGCTCCGCCTGCCTTTCGTTGTACGAGGCCGTCGGCAGAACGACACGCGGAATCGAGGAGGACTGTTGGTCGGATAAGTTTGCGGACAGCGCTCCGGAGGACACGGGGGCCTTGAGGGACCCTGGGGAGGGGACTCCCACGACTCCCCCCAGATCCGCGACCGACACCTCGTCGTCGTCCCAGGGCGTGCGGCCGCGCTGCGAGCCGCTGCCCGCCCCTGGCGTGGCCTTCGACGTCATCGCGCCGAACGTCCCCAGCGCGGGCTGCATCTGCACTGGCGCGGGTCGCATGGTAGTCTTCCGTCGCCGCAGGCTCGCGTTGCCGTCCGCGGACTTCCCGTGCATCGACCGGGCGTGCACGGCCTCGACGAACGCGCCGAGGCTCGACTCGGCCTCAGCGACCTCGTCGAACGCGCTCCCGTCGATCAAAACCTGGCCACCTGCACACGACATCATCATGCACCGCACAAGCAACGGTCAGCCCGGACGCGAGCCAGCGGGGCGAGCATCCGCGGGAGCGTCGTCGCGGGGCGCACCGTCCGCGAGCTCCTGCATCTCGGTCGCGCGCTGCAGAGCTTCGCCGACATACTTTTCGTGCCCCGCCGTCTCCGCGCCGGCCTCGTCGGACTGGGGCGCCTGGGAGCCGGACTGCTTCCAGAGCGGCCCCCAGGCCACGCCCATGCGCACGCGCGGGCCGCAGAAGATGCATTCGCTCGTGTCGTCGCCCTGGATCTCGTGGATGGTGGCCATGGCGTCCAAAAAGTCGAGGTCCTCCGCGGGCCACTCTTGCGCGAGGAGCTCGAGCTGGACGGCCATGGCGAACTCCAGCGCGAAGTAGACCGACTGGAACGCGAGGACGAAGGAGTCGCCCTCGGTGCGCAGCTCCAGCGCGTGGAACCTTGCGGCGTACTGGCGCATCACGCGGTCGTGCGTGCGGATGACGCTCATCGCAAGCTCCTCGTCCATCTCCCAGAGGTCCGTGCTGCCCATGATGTCGGAAACGAGCACGGCGGCCATGCCCTGCTGCGCCAGCCAGTCTTTCCGCAGCTTGGACGTCACCTGCCGGTACGCACGCGTCTTGCTGACGTACAGCGCGAGCGCGACGACGAAGCACACCGCGAAGACGATCGTCATCGCCAGGAGCGCCGTGCCGTTCGCGTGGTCGAGGACCCCGGAGTGGCCGCAGTCGGTACTCTGCGTTGCGCGCCGCGACGGCTCCACTTGCGGCGCACCTGCGGGCCGCGCGGCGGGAGGACGGCGTTACGAGATCGCTCGATCGCAAAGATGCCGCAGCGCAGGCGGGGGCGTGGCGGAACTGCGCGCACCGGTGTCGCTGTGGGGGAGGCGCAGCGTCCAGCCATCGAAGACGAGGCGGCGGATGTCTGGGCCGGGGGCGACGCAGGTGGTGACGTGATCGAGGTCACCATGCTCGCAGCAGCTCACGCCCGGCCAGCAGCAGTGCGCGGGGAGCTCCGCGACGCCGTTCCCCGCATCAAGGAGGCACTGCAGTGGCAATGGTAGAGACACCCGAGTCATGGCCGCGCACCGGAGAGCGCGGCGCGGCGCATCGAAGCGAGGACGTGCCGCATACGGTGCGATGACGGCGCGGAAGGGGCCGTGCAGAGGTCGCGTGGGTCGCAAGCGCGCGGAGAAGCCCTGTGGCTCCTCCTCGGCGAGAATGCGGGGTGCTCGAGGGGCCGTTCGGGCGGAATCGTTGCGACGAGGCCGCTTCGCGCGGACTATGACACGTACCGCGCCGTCCTGGCCGTCCAAGACCCCGGGAAGGCTCGCTGCCGCCCACCCAAGCTGCTGTCCAATCTCCCCCGAAAGGGAGCGGCCCGGCGCATCGAGGCCTGCGCCGGCGCCGGCCGCCTGCGTGACAGTACACAGCGTCGAAAGGAGGACCGCGGCCGCCGCCCAGGCGCCTCCTGCGGCCAGGCGCTGTCCACTCCTCCTAGGAAGCAGCATCATCATATACCATTGGGTATCTCCCGCAGCACGTCCCAGGCGGGCCACGAACAGGCGCGGGCGCGAGAGGATGCGGCCAACGACCTGCCCGCCGCGCCCATCAGCGGCGCGGGCCGTTCCAGACAGACTGGGGGCGAGGCGTGTGTGGTATCCATCGGTGTGGGAGCAACTGGCTCCGACACCCCTCGGCGGAGGGGGGATGTACATTGGATCTTTGGCCGTGGCGGGTCGCACGATGCGGAGGATCTGCAGGGCGCGCGCACCGACTCGTCTGGCCGGGCCGCGCGGACGGAGGCGCCGTGGCTAGGCGCGTGGCGGGTCGCACAACGTGAGGGGCGCGACGTGCTGTAGCGCGCGTCATGAGGCAGGAAACGCGGGAAACAGGACTATATTCGCGTGATTTCTCGAACAGACAGCGTGAATGGACCGCATTCTTACGGTATAATGAGATATCTGGGTGCGCCAGGTGAAATTCGTTCTTGCATCTGACGGGAGACGCGCGCGTGTGATCCGGGATTCCTCGCCAAAGCAGCTCGTATCGATCACTGAGAGCCACCGGGGCGTGCGACCGCGTCGTTCGAACGCGACACAGGCCGCGCATGAAGCGTCGCTCTGCCATGGGGAGGGACCTGTCCTGGGCACAGGCTCAGAGGCCGTGGCGCGGCGCCATTGGTGGCGCGCTGCGCAGGGCGCCGCGACTGTCGAGCAGGATAGCTCGCAACTTCACAGAAGCCTGTGTTCCCGGCGCTGACGGCAGCTGCACCAGCGCAAGGCTCAGGTGAGCGCCCCCGCCGGCAGTGCGCCGAGAAATGGGGCGGTCTGACTGTGCGCGCGAATATCTCAAGCCACGAAAGCATCGGTGACGTGGTTGGATCCCGAGCTGAGGGCCCCAGCGTAGCGCGTCACGGCTCTGTCTGTCCTGGTCTGTGTGGGACGCTCCGCGGCGAAAGCGCCGTCTCCCCGAGCGTGCTGGTGGCTCTCAGCGGCCTTGTAGGGTCTGAGGGTGCGGTTCCAGAGCATCCCGGGCGCCAAACTTCCCCCGGAACCCCCTCACTCCGGCACGCTGCAGCCCTCTGGAAGCCTCGCGGGCAGGTTGGCGGAGCAGGGGCGCAAGCGCGATGTCCGGCGACGTCAAGGCCCTCGCGACCGTCGAGGAACTGCGCGAGACCATGCAGCAGGCCACGGCCCAGAACCAGCTCGTCGCTATCAAGGTAGGTACCCTTGTGCCTTCCCCACCACGGCGCCCCGGCGGGGCTCGCTCGCGCGGGCTCGCCGCAACGCCACCGGTGTGCCTCGCAGTACCGAACACCAGCGATCTTCCGCGTTGCACGCCCCGCTGAGCTCTGGCAGGGGTGCCTGCTGCGAAGCTGACCGCAGTGTTTCACGCCGTGCGCGCCGCGCAGTTCTCGGCGGAGTGGTGCGGTCCCTGCCGCCAGCTGGCTCCGCTGTGGGACCGCTGGGCCCCGGAGTTCGCGGGCCGGGTGCAGTTTTGCGCTGTCGATGTGGACGCGGCACGCGGCGTCGTGGCCGAGTGCCCCCCGCGCGTCACGTCGCTGCCCACGATCCAGCTCTGGAAGGCCGGGCGGCTCGTCTGGAGCCAGGCCGGGGCCCGGAACCTCCTAGCTGCGCTGCGCGCAGCAGTCGACGAGCACTCGGGCGAAGGGCGGTGCCCGATCCCGATTCCGGACCCAGAAGGTGCGCAGCAGGCTCGCCACTTGCATCATATGCCTAGCTGCGCAGCCAGCAGCGGCTGATTCGGCCGCGACCGCCCCGGTCGTTCGCACAGGTGTGTTGTTCAAAGCGGACGCGAGGCAGGCCGTCGCCAACGCGACGAAAAGCAAGCGCCCGCTCGTCGTGTTCCTGGTCGGATCCGGCACGGACTCGACCAGCATGATCGCGCAGGTCCTCGCGCGGCGCTCCCCCTGCATCGAACCGCTGCGCCAGTGCGTCACCATCGCGCTCCCCGATGACCTCAACGGCTCCGTGGTGCGCTCCCGACCCTCGCGCCACCTTTCGCGACTCCCTGCGGCCGCGAACGGACGTCCAGCTCGCGGACGAGGCGGCCGCCGACGGCGGCCACATGCAGCTGCACGAGACGTAGCTGCGCTGCACCCGCGTGCGTCGCAGCCGGAGCACGAGGCACGGTGGTTCCAGGAGGCCAAGTTCTTCCGGCAGCTCTTCCCCACGGACACCCTGCCCTCGATGGCCATCGTGTCGCCGCACACAGGGCAGCCGGTGGTGTACCAGCGGGGCTTTGCGACGGCGGCGCGCACGAGCGAGCTGCTGGCCGAGGGCATCGCGGCGTGCGGCGGAGCTTCGCCGAGCAGCGGAGAGCAGGCGCAGCCGGGCGCGGACGTCGGCGCTGGGTCAACAGCGCCGCAGGGTGCGGCGACGACGGAGACGACGACGGCGAAGGAGAAGACCCATCTGCTGCAGTTCAAGCTCACGGACGGCAAGCTGCTCACGCACTCCTTCGCGGCGTCCGCGACGGTCGGCGCGGTTCTCGAGTGGCTGCGCGGCGCGCGCACGGACGGCGACGCAACCGTGCAGGTGTGGCAGCAGCTGCCGAAACGCAACCTCTCGGACCCGGAACTGTCCGAGCGGACCCTCGCGGACCTCGAAATGAAGGCCATCGTCCCCGTGAAGCTCGTGGCGCCGGAGCCCGAGAAGCCGAGCCCCCCGCCGCCGGCTGCGCCGGTCGCGTCTGAACAACAGTCGGAGGGCGCGCCCTCCGCTGGCGCGCCGGAGCCGGACGCGAGCGAGGGCGCGGCGTCCGAGGGTGCGAGCGAGGGGCCGGCGGCGCAGCGCGACGCTGACGAGCCGATGTCGGAGCCTGCGCCGCCGCCGCCGCCGCCGCCGGCGGACGTGGCGATCCAGTTCCGCCTGACGGACGGCGGGTCGTTGCAGCACAAGTTCGCGGCGGGCACGAAGCTCGCGGAGGCCGTGGAGTGGGTCCGCGCCAACCGCACTGACGGCTCCAGCGCGTTCATCCTTGCACAGGTGCGCACACACACTGCGCGCTTCCGCCGCATCCACGCTTGTCGTCCCTCGAGGACGGCTTGGTTCACATGCTGAATCAGCAGGCGCGGACAGCTCAGACTCCCCCCTGCAAGGGCTGTGGAACACGAAATAGACCACCCTGAAGCCACGTGATGCCGCCGCGACATCCAGCAGCGTACCTCGCCACCTGGCCGCGTGCAGACGTTCCCGACGCGGGAGCTTGGCGACGCGGAAGCGGAGCGCACGCTCGAGGAGCTGGGGCTGGCGCCGCGGTCGACGCTTGTGCTGGCGACGCCGGGGGGCGCGGCGCGGCGGGGCCCGGCGGCAGCGCCAGCGCCGGCAGCGCCGGCCGAGGCTGCGTCGGGCGGCGGTGCGGGGTCGTGGGTGATGTCAGTCGCGTCAGGCGTCGCGTCGTTCTTCACGTCGCTGGTGACCCCGCCTGCGGTCGGCGCGGACGTCGGTGCGGCGCCCGCGCGCGGCGCGCCCGCGGGCGGGGCCGCGGCGCCGCGCAGGGGGGGCGTTGCAACCCTGAGCGACCTGCGCGGGGGGGCGTCCGGCTCCGGCGGCGGCAACGAATACTGGAACGGGAACAGCACGTCCTTTGGCGGTGGTGGCGGCGGCGGGGGGGGTATTACCGCGGTGTCGGGCGCGCGCGATTGGGAACGTGTGTTGCGCGGCGCGAACAACAAGCCGGTGATCGTGGACTTCGCGGCGACGTGGTGCGGGCCGTGCAAGATGATCGCGCCCAAGTTCGAGGCCCTGGCGCGCGAGCACGGCGGCGCGGCCGTGTTCTGCAAGGTAGGAGCCCCAGTCCCTCTCTCTCCCTCTGCCTCTCTCTCTTTCTCAATATACAGGCACAGATACAAAATGTGCGTTTTCTTTAATTTAATTTGTTTCAACACGACCGTAACTTGCTTTGCCGCTGCGTGTTGCCTTCTCGGCCCGCTGCGCCGCTGCGCAGCCATGAGCTGACTCGTGGGATGCACACAGTGGCGTCGTGATGCTATACGTGCCAGCGGTGTCGTGGGTCGTCGTGCAGGTTGACGTTGATGAGGCGTCGGACGTCGCGTCGGCGTGCGGGGTGTCCGCGATGCCGACGTTTCAGGTGTGGATCAAGGGGGAGAAGGTCGACGAGGTGCGCGGCGCGAACGAAGGCGCGCTGCGGGTGATGGTCGCTCGGGCCCTCGGCCGGTGACGCGAGTGGTCTCTTGACGAGCAGGGGGGGAGAGTATTAGTTCTGCGAAAGGGCTGTGACAATTCAGACGCGGCGGACGTGAGCGGGCGAGGCGAAGAGTTGTGTTCTGGACTCACAATCGTGGGTGGCTGGGGAATTGAGATTCTATGACTAAATACGGCGCGGTAATGCTCGGGTAGGAGCCTCGCCCGTGTCGTGCGGGCTCCAGGACCCGGCCCCCCGCACGGAGCCGCGATGTGAGTGGAGGTCTTTCGGCCTGTTAAATGATTCTAGGAGAAGAAAAACAGTGTCGTTCTCCCTGTGCTGCTTCTTGCGTCCCCTGCTGCTGCTGCCAGCCCAACGACACCCACCAGCAGCCAAGGGTCCAACAGAGTCGGCCCGTGCACACCACCACCGCGCCCAGCGGCGCACACGCGCCCCGCCGCGTGCCGCACACCCCCGGGGGAGTGCGCCGCGTCACGCAACCATCGGCGCGGACGGCGCCCGCCGGTGCACGCTCGTGGCGCGCCCGGGCCCGCACCCTCAGGCGCCCGGCACCAGCGGCCGCAGCTGCGACGCGACGCCGCCCGCGAAGCCCTCGACGTAGGTGCGCGCCGTCGTGGGCATGTAGCGGTTGTACGCCGGCGTGACGACGCGGCTGGCCTGCTGCGCGGGCCACGAGCCCGCGATCCAGCCCGCGAGCGCGCACGCCGCGGTGTGCGCCTGCGCGTAGTACGCGTTCGACACGACAGCGTCGTGCGCTACGCTGTACATGCCGCGCGCGCGGACAACGTGCGGCTCGGCCTGCGCGGCGGTGCGGAGGGGACGAAGCGTAGTCAGAACGCGGTGAGGCGGGGGCGTTTCCGGGCCAGCGGCGAGGGCGGGGGTGTTGCGCGCGTGGTTGTGTGGATGGAAGGGGGGGGGGAGTCTCAGGTGAAGGCGTCACGAGAGGCGTTTGGGCGGGGACTGCACGGGGCGCTGCGCATGGGGTGTTCTCGGTGCGCGATCCGCCGTGGGGGGGGCTCAAAAGTAAAGTAAAGTGTTGCGGACCAACTGACAAGGGCAGTGCCGCGAGCGCAGAGGTCCAGTGCAGACTCCCGCTGCTCCAGGCTTGAGCGGACCGAGCAGCGGCCGTCTGAACCGAACCTCCCCGCTCGCGGCACTGGCCGTGTCAGCCCGACTGGCACGCAACACCCCCCCTACACCTAGTCTCGCGTCCGTGACGCGCTGTGCGGGGGCAGGAGCGTCCGCGGGGGCTTGCCTGCATCGCGACGGCGTGGACGACGGGGATGCGGAGGAACGTCGTCCACGACTCGTGCACCTTGCCGACTACGTTAAAGTCCGTAATCCTGCCGCGCGCGTCGGCGATCGCGGCGTGCACGCGGTCGGCCGCGGCGGTGGCGGACGCGCCGACGTCGGCGGGGAACGCGGCGCGGACGCGGCCGAGGGCTAGCTCGACGTTGGTGAGGTAGGCCTCGCGGGCAGTCTGCACGGGGGGGCGCGGGGGGTGTGTTGTGCGCGTGCGCGGCGGCGTGCGCGGCGTGTGTGATGTGGGGGTGGTGGTGACGGGCGTCGCTGGGGCGGGGACGCCCGGGAAGTGCCGCGGCGGGGGCGAGAAGGGCGCACCTGGAGCTGCGCGAGGGCCTGGTCCGAGTAGGGAGCGACCTTCGCGGTCACGAAGGCCTTCTGCGTCTCGTAGGCGTCGAAGGCTCGCGTGATGTACATGTCGATCTGCGGGGCGCGGAGAGGGGGCGCGGGGCGAGCAGTGTTTGGTGCAGTGGCAGAGGCGAGAGAATTGGCCCGCACGGAGGGGTGAGCGCGGGGCCCGGGCAGGCGGCACTGTCGCTGAAAAGTACGCAATGTGAGACAGCGGTTCGCGCGGTGCATGGCGCGCGAGGACGTCCACGGCATCGTTTGCCCGCGGAGGGGCTTCGTCGAATGCCGAGGGGCCGCGCTGCGCCTCCGGCCGGAGTAACCCGGAACGGAATTTCGCAACCAAGGGCCCGAGCTGGCGGCGTTCCGGGAGGCTCCTCCCGCGCAGCAACGAGGGCGGAGCGCGCGCATCGAGGGTCGTCTCAACCAACCTTCTGGTCCGCGGTCGCCATGATCTTCGGCGCGGCCTCCTGCGCCTGCGTCGCGTACGACGTGCTCATCGTCTTGCCCACGAGCCCCTCAATGGGCTCGATCACCGTCCCCATCACCACCTGAGGCAGCTTCCCCTGCACAAACAGCGCCCGCGGCGCGGTCACGCGACGACGTCGCGGCAGGTCCGCGCGCAGGGCTCGCACGCTACGCACTGGTGCCGCGAGGGGCGGCCGAGGGTCGAAGAATCGCCCGCACGGCGTCTTAGGTGATGCTCTGCTGTGGCGCTGCGTCCAGCGCACCTTCGCGTTCGCATACGCGGCCGAGGTGTTCTCGTATAAGGCCTTGGCGGCCTTGTCCACGAACTCGAGCCGCTTGAGGTCGGGCGACGCGGCGGCCTCGACCGCCTCGGCCGCCTCCGCGGCCTTCTGCGCCACCTTCTTCTGTGCTGCCTTGCCAGCCATATTCAGTCTCTTTCCCTCGACTACGATTCAATCGAGACGACACGACGAGATGTCGCTACTGCCGCGGCCCGCCGCCGCGTAGGGCACATCACGGGCGCCCAACTATGCGCGAACCGCCGCGGACCCCACGCCCCACCGCCTGACGCACGCGCGACGCCCCTGACACCAATCATGCATGCACAGTGCTGAGGTGGTCACCTGGGTCAATGGGGGCGACCGCGGGCGCCTGGATGGCCCTCGCGCGGCCCCGCGCGCGGCAGAAACGGAGCCCACAGCGAGCACGTACCGGCGCGAACGTCAACGTCGAGTATCCACGGAATTATCGCAGCGGAAAGGACACGGGAGCGGCGGCACCGCACGGCATGAAGGCGGCGAGCGGCGCGGGCGCGCGCGTGGCGGGGCCGGCCTCGCTGCGCCCTGGCCGGCCTCTCCGAAGCTCTGCGCGCGCCCCGGATGCCTGTGCGCGCCGCGCGGTGCGCGCGGCGCCTCGGTTGCGGCGCCCGGACCTGGGCTGCAAGTCGTCGTCCGACCGCGCAGCGGAGCGGGCGAACGGGATCGCCGAGCCGCGTTCCGGGTTCTCTGCGCTATGGAAGAAGTACGAGGAGGTGCGTGCGCTCACTGCGCGCGCCTGGGCGCGCGGAACGCCCTGAAGTGGCAGCGCGCGTGTGCCACTCGCACGCCGCGCACCGCGCCTCGCGCGCCCCGTCGCCCAGCGCGCCCGAATGCTCTCTCCCAGTTCCACCCACCACGCCGCGTAGCGCGAACCCTTCCCCCCCGCTCCCCGCCGCCGCCCACGGCCTCTCCCACCGTGGCACGAGCGGCCCAAACCAGCCCGGGGCGCCGGCGTCCGACCCGCGGCCCGCCCGCGCGATGCGGCCCGCAGGTCCTCGAGGCGTACCCCATCCGAACGAAGGCCGTCACGACGACGGTTGGCATGGGTCTCGGCGACCTTATCGCGCAAATCCCACTAGGCGTGTTCGACCCTCTGCGATTCCTGCGCCAGGCGCTCTTCGGGCTGGTCCTGAGCGGCCCCATCGGACACTTCTGGTACCTCTGGCTCGGTGAGCCCCGGGCCCGCCCCGCGCCACGCACGCTCGTGTTCGCGGGAGCCCCGCGTGATGGCGGGACGGCGAACCTGCTAGCTTCGCCCTCCCGCGTGGCGTCGTTCCGGCCTGAGGAGCGTGTATTTCGCCCGGAACGCGTTGTCTAGTTGGCGCGCATGGCGTGCGCTGCGCAGCGCGGCCGGAAGAGGGCGCACACGCGCACGCAGGCAAGATCACCAACGGAGGCAACTTCTCACATGACATATTTCGGTGGGTTGTGCCCGCAGATAAGACGGTGATGCCCGAGCGGCCGCAGGAGGGCCCCGTCGTGGCCCTGAAGGTCGCCCTGGACCAGTTCCTGTGGAGCCCGGCCTTCACGTGCGTTTTCTACTCTTGGTTTTGTATCTTCACTGGACAGGCGGACCAGATCGTCCCCACCATCCAAAGCAAGCTCCTCCCGACCATGCTCGCGAACTGGACGCTCTGGCCCATCGCGCACGTCATCAACTTCAAGTTCGTGCCGTCGAACCAGAGGCGCGTCGACCCCGCAACCGCCCCACGCTGTCCTCCTGCCACCAGCACCCGCGCGGACCCGCGCGGAGCAAGACACATGCACGCACGCATACACACAGCACACTCTTCGTTTCCGCGCCGCGCAGGATGCTGTACGTCAACGTCGTGAACGTGCTTTGGAACGTGTACCTGTCGACGGTGGCCAACTCTCCGGACCTCGGCGACGTCGCGCACAAGGTCTGCGTCACCGTCACGCACAACCACTGCCCCTTCTGAGCGCCGCACGGCTCGGTCCACTCGAGCGGACGGCACTCGAGATTGGAAGAGTTCCGTTGCGCACGTGCTACATATGTGTTTGAGCTGTCCACGCGGCGTGGACCGGGCTTGGCCGGAGCAGGGCTCCGGACGCGGCCGCGTCTGGCGGAGGCCCGCGCGCCGCTCGAGGTCGCTCCTGACGCGTCCGCGGCCTCCCTGGGCCGGAGGGAAGCCAAGCGCTCCATTCGCTGCAGTTTTGTCGTGGGTCCGCTGCGCCCGCCCGGGCCGCGGCGCCCGTCCTGCCCCGCCTGCATTCACAATCATTGTTCGCGGTGACGAAGATAGAGAGCTCGAGACGCGAAGCCATGCGTCGTTGCCGCGCATGACGTAACACTGTTGGTCGCGCATCAGCGGGCGACGCGCGCGACGCGGAGCCTTGCGTGACAGAGGCGCACATGTGAAAGACCCTGCGCAGCGGATGTTCGAGGGTCGCTCGACCGCTGGCTGGCTCCGCGGCCGCCGCAGGTTGTCCACTTCAACACCCAGAGCCTTGCACTAGAGTGAGGCTCGAAAGCCTTGTTCGTACTTCGCTGACCTACTTGTGCTGGAAGCAGGACAGTCATCGTTCGAGTGTCCCGCCGCGGCGATCGCGTCAGACTTCGCACCGCTTTCAGTGCCCTGACCGGCAACAGCGACAGCAAGGCACCAATGCCATCCGTCAATCACTCCTCGCGCGACTGGCTGCATGGTACATCACAAAGCGAGGCCTCACTCCTGCGGCTCAGGCCCCTCGGGCCGCTCAGGCGCCACCGCCCCCTGCACCTCCGCGCCGCCCGCGCCGTCGCCGTCCTGCTGCACCCGCTCGGGCTCTCTACTGGAGCCGCCAGGCTCGACGGCGCCCTCAGGATGCGGTGCCGGGTCGCGCTCCGGCGCCGCGCGCTGCGCGTCTGCGCTCTTTGACTCCGCCGCGCCCTGCGCCTCCCCGCCGCTCTCGGCCCGCCTTGCCTGCTCTGGGGCCAGCTCGGGCCCACCTGCCGCAACCCCTCCCTCCCCCGCACCAACACTCCCCCCCTCGCCGGCGGCCCCCGCAGCGACTTCGCCTTTGGCGTCCTCGACCATGTCGTCGGCTCCGCCCCTCTGCTCGTCGCCGCCTGCCGCGTTGTGCACCGCCGCCTCCATCGCGTCCGCAGGCGCAACATCGCCCCCCTCCGCGGGAGGATGATCATGGGCAGCGGCTTCGGCCCCGCCCTGCTGCGCGATCCCGTCGCCGGCGTCCTGCTCGGCGGCCGCTGCGACGTCACCGACCTCCTCGCTCTTCGACACCCCCGCTCCGGCGACCCCACCCCCGTCGCCCGCCATCTCCACGTCCGCGCAGCCCTCCGCGGTCCCCGCCCCCGCGTCCGCTTCCCGCGCCTTCCCCTCATCGACACCCCCCCCCGCACCATCTTGAACTCCCCCCCCCTCGCAGGGCTCTGCACCCCCCTGGACCGCGTCCGGCTCCTCCATGACAGCATCGACCGGCGCGCGCTCGCCCTCCGCATCTCCGCCAGCCTCCTCTCGTGCCGGCACGCCCGCGTCCGCCCCGTCCCCCGCGACGGGCAACGCGCCAGCGCTTGCGTGCGCCGCAACGGCGTCGCCGCCCGCCTCGGCCTCGCGCTCCGCCGCGGCCTCGACGCGCTCTACGACGCCCGGGTCCAGCGCCGCCGCCTCGTCCACCTCCGGCAGCGGCGTACCCCTGGCCTTCTCGTTCGCTCGCGGCGTCGCTCCGGCGCGCGACCCCGCGCCGCGGCGGCGCTTCGCGATCAGCTCGGGCGACAGCACGTCCGCGATGACGTCGCTCGCGAGCGCGCCGTCAGGGCCGCGCTGCGCCCGCGTGCGCCGCGACCCACCCGAGTTGAGCTCCTGGTGCAGCAACATGGCTAGCGCTTCGTCCGACAGCGCGTGCTCGGGCCGCTGCTCCTCGGACGACTCCTCCTGCGAGGGGCTCGGCGGCTGGATCGGCTTCGGCGCCGGCCGGGACCGCGCCTTGGCGGCCGCGGCCGCCTGCGGGCCCGCCGGCACACCAGCGTCGCGGGCGGCGTTCTCCGCCGGCGCGGCTCGGGGCTTCGCTGCGCCCGCGGCCTTCGCTGGGGGCGCGGACGCCGTGTCGGTGCGGGCGGTGAGCTTCCGTTTCTTCGCCCGAGACGCGGTGGTGCTGCGCGCCGTGGCGGGGGCAGAGGCCGGGCGCTTCTCGGCGCCGCGGCCCCGCGCGCCCTTCGCGGCGCCTCTGCCGGCCTGGCCCTTGGGGGCAGAGTCCTTGGCCGGCGGCTCGTCGTCGTCGTCGTCGTACGGCAGGCGCGGGGGGGCGCGGCGGCGGGAAGACCCTCCCGTGCCGCGTGGCCGCGGGGCGTGCTCCGCGCAGTAGATCGGGATGCCGCTGCGCGCGTGGGAGGTGGGAGGAGAGGGAGTGTGAGCTCGCCGTGACGGACGGTCTCGTGCGGGGAGGAAATGCGCTTTGAAGGGGGGGGTGGGGGAGTTTTGATGGTCTGACGCACCTCGGGTGCTGTTCGATGCCGATGAGGGCGGCGAAGCACGCCGTGTGCACGCGCAGGCTGCACCCGGCCTGTCCGCAGAAGTCCCACTCCCCCGGGGGCTCCGCATCAGTCCCCCCCTCACTCCCCTCCGCGTCGACGCACTCCCGCCCGCACACCCCGCAGTCCACCACCACCTCCTCCTCGACGTCCTCCGCCGGCGGCGGCGCCGGCGCTGCCGCGGCCGCGGCGCGGCCCCTGGCAGCGGGGGGGGGTCTCTCCGACCCCCCCTGCTTGCGCCCGGCAGCCGTCGCGCCGCCCGCGCCGCGGGCGCTCGCGGCCTTGCCTCCGCCCTGCCTGCCTCGCCCTGCAACCGCACGACGGCCACCGTTCCGTCAAAATTGCCTCGGCAACCAGCCGCGCACACGTGGTGCCCCTGCGACGGCGCCCGCCGGGCCCGCGCCGTCGGTCGCTCCCGGCACACGTCAGCTCATCCTGACGCGCGAGCAGGGAGCCAGTTCGCGGGCCATTCGCCCCCGCGTGCGAGCCAGCGCTCCGGTTCTGCCATTCAGTTGCAACAACAGCGTTGCGCACCTGCACCTCTCGACGCGGGCTTGGGCGGCGCGCTCAGGAGCGCGGGGGCCTCCTGCACGCCTGCGTCCGGCAGAGCGGCGGCGTCCAGCGGCCCCTGCGCGGCGGGCGGACCCGAGGGTGCCGCGCCCGCGTGTGCTGGCAGCAGTGCCGGGGCCGCGTGCAGCGCGGGACCGAGGCCGGCGTCCGGCGCCTGGGCGGCCTGCGCGTCCTTCTTCTTGCCGCGCCTCTTTTTCGGGGCCTCCGTCCCGGCCTGCGCGGCGTGGGCGCGTTCGAAGTGGGCGGTAGCGGGGCGCGGACATGGAGGTGCAGGCGGTAGAAACAGCGTGTCGTACCTGCTCCGGCGCACCCTGCGCTCCTTTCTCGATCGTCTTCGGCCCGTGGAACTCCTCCATGGCGTACTGCCGGACGGAGCGAGGGCAGAGAGGCCCCTTGGCTCTGCGGCCCCTGCCGCCTCGTCCGCGGGGGGCGCGTGCGCCCATGTGCGTGTATCCGAAGCCTACGAATCCTCTGCAGCGGCCGGGGGCGCGGACGCGCGTCGTGAGGCGGGGAGGCGACGCAACGGAGCGTGCTCGTCTCCGTGGGAGCTCGCAGGCCGCGTGATGCGCTCCAGCGGGCGTATTTTCTAGCTCCGACGCCCGAGGCGCGATGGAGAGCGCGTTGGCGGGTCGTTCAGGTGGGAAGACGAAAGCATCGAGCCCTCGCCCGCAAGCCTGCTGGTCTGCGGTGTGCACGCGCCCTCCGCCGCGCGCAGGTGCGGTCCGCATCCACGCGACCGACGACCGACGCAAGGCTGGCCCGCGATCGGTGCAATTGGCGCCGTCCCGCGGGCGCACCTCCGCGTCATTCGCGTCCCCTCGGTGTCGTCCTGAAGCTTCTGCCTTTTCTCGCCCAGCAGCTTCGGCGCGAGGCCGCAACTCTGCCACAACTGCGCCGTCACGGACCGTGGCGCCCCCGAGAGCGCCTCGCGCAGCTCCCTCGCGGTCCCCGAGCGCTCAGCGGCGCGGGCCTCGGCCACAACCGTCAGCCGCTCCTTCAGCGTCAGCGCGTCCATCTTCGGGAGGTGGCGCAGCGACAGCGGCGGGAGCTTGCACTCCGCACTCTGCACCTCGCACAGAGACAGACGATCAACCGCTCGGCGCCGCGCGCGACTGCCTGCAGCCCTGCACCAACACACTCCGCGAGCAGCACATCGCGCCACGCGAGCTCACCTGCTGCATGCCGTGCCCCGACATCCTCCAGCGATGCCCCCGCGACGGGCCGAACGGCCAACGCGAGCGCTGCTCCGGGCGCCGACCAGCACGCAATCCAGAGTGGTGCCTCGCACCGGCCTTTGCCACGTGTGCGCGCGACCAGGACGCGTCGCGGCTCAATGCGGCGCCCCAGCTCCTCCGCTCGAGCGGCACTGCCCGCCCGCACCGCCGCCGCCCGCCCTAGGCCCGCACGAAGCGCTCAAACCCCCATGTGTGCCAGACTCCTGCACGTGGCCTCTGCGGGCATGTTCGCCCTTATAGGAGCTCCGTTTGCGTCCGCGAGCGCCCGCGCAGCCTCCGCACGTGCCCGGGGGAGGCGACCGCGCGCGCAGCGAGGCGCGAGAGTGCACGCACGTGCGGTGGCGGCGTCAGCTCGTAAGGTGGCCAATGGACCGGGGCGCGGGGGCGTTGATCGGGCCGCCCGGCGCGCTGATCGTGCCAGATGGGCTTGAACGTCGACAAAGAAGGCTCGATAGTGCTTCGTTCGAGGCCTCCGGCGCGTGGGCCGGAGCGCGCGTTTCCACTGGACCAGGCCAGCAGCTTTCGGTCCTCCCCCCGAGGCTCCGGCAGCGCAGCGGCGTGCGGCTTCAACGGGCGGCGCTGGCGCGTTTGTCGGCACACCAAATCGAGTCGACGGTCCACGATCACGACCGCGCACATCCCATCGAGTAATCGACGCCAGCGAAGCGCGGCTGCCGAAAGGAGGAAACGAGCCAGGGGCCATCTCCGGCGCGGAACCAGCGGAGACCGGGCACGGTCAGACGTATTCGGGTGAAGGCACCGAGCGGAGCGGAACACGGCGTGCGCAAGGAGCCGAACGACGCCATGCCGGGCAAGGTGCGCAGGGGGCGAACAGTGCGATCGGTCCTGCGTCCTCCATGGAGAAACAAACGCTCCGCCGTCTCTAAACGACACAACTGATATAGAAGACGCCGCCTTGCGCCCCACGCAGCCGACATTCCCCGTCCATGCGCGGCGCGCGGACGTGTACCTGTCTTTGGGAACCCGTATTGCTCACGGGGGCCAGCAGGCTCGTGCGGTGTCGCGCACCTGCGGCCCACACCGCGCCCATACACGTCACGACCACGCGTGGCGCGCATGGCCCCCCGTTGCGCGCCGTTGTCCCCCAACGTGCCTCCTGGCCCACCACTACCCGCAGGCCAAGTGAAGGCTCGCCGCTGCGCCGTCCGCGGCCACCCGCGCCCCGCATGGAGTCGTCCGGAATGTTCTCCGAGGGCACCCCCTCGCCCGCAGTGTGGGCGCGCAGCTCTGACGCGGTGTCGCACTTCGTCACCCACCTACTGCCGGACGTGCAGCGCTCCGCGGCGCTGCGCGACTTCAGCGACGCCGTCCTCCCCTCCCTGGGCATCCCCCTCGCGACCCCCGCGCCGCAGCCCGCGCTCCCCGCGAACCCGATCCACTCGCCCGCATGGGCGCCCGGCCTCGCGCCCGTGCCGTGGCCCGCGGCACCGGTGGAGCTTCAGCCCCTGCCGCCGGCCCTCGGGCCCGCGCGGCCGCCCGGACGCATCGACGCGCCAGGGGCCGCCAGCACCGGCCGGGACGCGTGCGGCGACCTCCCCGACGGTCAAATGATTGCGCGGGAGCTCGCGAGACGCATGCGTAGCAACCCGGTCGCAGGCACGGGCGTCCCGTGGGCCGAGTGGCGCGCGAGCCAGTCCTCTTCGCTGGTACGCACCCTGCGCCGCAGCCGCACGGTTCCGCGCGACAGCGCAGCGCGTCTGACATGGCATTCATCCTCACTCCCCCCCCTGCACGTGTCCGCAGCCGCTGCGGTTCGACACCGCGAGCACGCTCAAGCAGGTCGGTCCCGGGCAGCCGCAGTCGGTGACGTACGTCATGCCCGCCGCGGCGTCGCTCGAGCCTGGCGGGGTGCAGCTGCCGGCGCCCGCGCTGTCGGCGATCAGCGCGGCGGCCGCGGCGTCGCTCCCGGCGGCCCTGGTCGCGGACCACGCGGCCTGGGCGCGCACGGACGCGCTCCGCGTCGGCCTGCCGGCCCCGACGTCGCTCCCGGCGACCGCGTCCACGTCCCCGCACAGCTTCGCCGCGTCGAGTGTGGCTCCGACGGTGCCGGTGGCGCCGGGGAGCGCCGGGGCGGCGGCGGCGCGGCCGTCGCACTACAAGACGGAGCTGTGCCGCGCGTGGGAGGAGACGGGGGTGTGCTATTTCGGGAACCGCTGTCGGTTCGCGCATGGCGAGAGCGAGCGGCAGCCGACGACGCGCCACGCCAAGTACCGCACGAAGGACTGCCACAATTTTTCCACTCACGGCATCTGCCTCTACGGCTCGCGCTGCCAGTTCATCCACAAGATGATGAGTAAGCACCCAAAAACACCCCCAACTCCCCCCCCCCACCGTCATCTTGCAACACAAGCCCCATGACACGAACCTCACCGCGGAAACCCCCCCGCCCCCCGCAGAGCCCGAGGAGGCGATGGAGGTGCTCCTGTCAGTCAGCCCGAGACTCCCCGCGTTTCCGCGGCTGGTCCGCTCGGAGTCCCCCTCGCCGCACCCGCGCGCGGCCTTGCCCTCCAAGCTGCGCAAGCTGACCAACGGCGCCGGGGCCGGGCCCAGCCCCGCCACCAGCACGAACGGCTCCTCTGCGCTGCCGGCAGACAACGAGCTGTCAACGGCGCGGTCCCTCCCGTGACCAGCGTCACGCGTTGCGCATCCACGGTTCTACCGTGGAAACCCCCACCCCCCCCCCCCCTCACCCCCCCCCAACTCCCTGTCAGTCCTCGCCGCGGCGGAAGCAGACGCCCGGCGGGGGCGCGCGCGCTTAGGAGACGACGGACCGTCGTCGTCGTTTTGTATCTGCACCTGCACGACCACGTGCGGACACGTGTCGGCTGCGCGTCAGGCGGGGAGCTCCCGCCCCCGAGCACCGACGCGCAGGCCCCTGCATATAAAAAATCCTGCCCTGTGCATCCGAGGTGCGCCGCGCGTGTGCCTGGTCCCACCGGCGAACCCCGTGGCCTGATGCAGTCCGTGCGGAGGCACGGGCTCGGGCTGCCACGGGGTTCGCGGCCGTGTCCGGCGCTCGCACGGCCCTCTCAAGGAGGCAGCCAACGATGACCTGCTTTCTCCCCAACCCGCCTTGAAATCTCCGCGGCTCGAATTCCGCTTCGTTTCACTGCCCGTGCCCCTCCGCGCACCGCGGCGTCCGTCTCGCGCAAGCACACGACCCCTCTGGACGTGCGGCGCGCAGCGCGCGCTCCCACCCCTGCGCGGCGTCGTCCTCCGCGGCGCCCGTGCCGATATTTGTCCAGAACTCCTCGCCCCGCTTCGACCGGCCGTTCCAGCGCGGCGCCGGGGCCCGCCCGGCGCTCCGCCGCGGTCGAAGCCGCCAGGATCCCCTCCCACCCACCAACTCCCGGCACGGGCCCGACGCGCCGCCAGGGCTCCGCAGAGCCGCGCCACGTTTTGCACCGGGCTCCCTGCCGCACGTCCTCGCTCTGGTAGAACGACAATCATCCTAACCACCGAGCCAAGATCTGCCGATGCGCGCATGCCGGCCCGTCGTCATCACCATCACCACGCACGCTCGGCATCGATCCCGCCGTGCCTTATCTGAAGCCATCGTACGAGTGAAGCTCCCGCTCTGTTCCACCCGATGTCCATGTTCGCCGTTGTGTCCCGCCCCTGCGCTCCTGCGCCAAATGGCAACCAACCTTCCTCCCCCCTCCCCCCCTTCGCCCCTGGCTCCCGGCCTCGCTTCTTACCCTTCGCTGTCCCCGGACACGCGTGCGCCTGCTCGACAGATGCACCGCGCCCGGCAAAACCCCCCCAAACCTTGTAGACGTGAACCCCCCTTCAAAGCTCTTCAAACCCCACCTGCCCCTCGCGTCTCACCACCACGCCCCGTCTCGAGCGGATGCACGTTTGCCATGATTGCCCCTGCGGCGAGGCCGAGACGTTGTCATTTAAAACCAGGCATCTATCTTTCTGACATGATTGCAGCGATTGGCGCGTACCCGCTCCGCGAACCACGATACGCAGTGGAAGGGCGCGTGCTCCTTCTTGTCCTGCCCCCCCCGCCCCCCGTCCAACCACCAACCGGCAACAAAACCCCCCCTTCGCCCCCCCCCCCCCTCTTGACCCTCCCGGCTCGTGTCGACGCACTGAACGCCAACTCGGGAGGCCGGCGAAGCGCCGGCCGTCGACGTGCGCGTCCCGTCGCGACGGGCGCGCTCGCCCTCACGATATGATAGCAGTTTGCGCCTCCGCATCCTGCACCTCGACTGATCATCGACTAGACACCTCCCGCACCCTCGTTCCGCTACTACTACTCCTGCGCCGCACAGGCGACAAGGGCGCCGCTGTGCGTGCAGACCTTGTTCGAACTAGAAACTAGAACGCTACTTCCGTCACTCTACGAAGTCTAATATGGACCACTACAGAGCGCAACATGCGCCAGCCGCGATCGAGCTCGCTGCCCCCTGCCGGCGGACCAGACGCGGTGTCGGTCCGGCCGCAAGTGTTGTGCTGCAACGCACTGGGTCTTGTGCTGTGAGCCCTGCTCTGGCGCCTCGGTCGCTGCTTGTACGTGCGCGTCTCGATTCTTTTTTGCGTGCCGTGCGCAGGAACTTGCACTGCCGAACCTGTTCCCTCATTCACTCTGGGCGGCATCGTTTCGCCAGTTCGTCCGGTCGGCACCTCCCTCACGGGTCACCTGCGGACGCCAGCTTTCGCGTCCTCTCCGGTGCGGCCTCTGCTGTTCCGATCCTCGCACTTCGGAGCGGCTCGCGGTTCAGCTCGCGCAACAAGGCCCTGGGTCGGCGTGCAGCTTGGTACTACTTCGCTGACCTACAAGCACCCTCGCCGCGAGCTGCACGAGGGACGCGTGGCTCCGTCGAAAGCAGTTACATGGCTCGAAGAGCATCTCGCAGCGTCGCAGGTCACGTATGCACAGCTCTCTGTGTCGCGTTCGCATCCTCGATGGCATGAATCTCGCAGTGGCACCTCGCCTCGCGTCGTGTCGCGCCGCCGCCGCGCTGTCCGCGCAGCGCGGGCATCGCGGGGGTCGCGGCGGACGCACGGAGGAGCGAGAGAAAGCGCGAACGGCAGGGTGGGAAAATCGCTCTCTGGGTCTGTCTCTCTCGGAGACTCTGAGAAGATCCACGTGTGTGGAAATGTAATCGAATTAGGGTTTCTAGGATCTCGGGAACGCAAGCGGCGCGCCGCCACGACCAAGCGGCGTCGCGTCGGCGCGCGCAGCGCCAGCCGCGCCCGTCAGCTGGACCCGCCCCGCCGGCGGTAGAACACTGAGCGCAGCGCCCGCGTGTAGCTGTCGGGCGCGTGGTACCGGCTGATGGTCCCGTCGCCGCCGTACGCCGGCCCCGCGAGGATCCGCAGCGGGTGCGGGAAGTCCATCAGGCACATGATCGCCTCCCACGTGCTCCCGGGGTCGTACCGGTTGGCAACAGCGCGCTCGAGCCCTGCGTACTCCGTGGCGTCGGCCTCGACCTCCGCCTCCGCCTCCGCCTCCGCCTCCGCCTCCGCCGCAGCCGTCGCGTCCTCCTCGGACATCACGGCCGACGTCAGCACGATGCGCCCCGGCGGCGAGAACCCGGGCGGCGCGAGCGCCGCGGCCGCCGCGGCCCGCGCCTTGCTGACGGCCCGCTTGGCGGCCTCGCGGACCGTCCACAGGCCCGGCGTGGGCGGGAGGAGCTCGTGGTAGCCGTCGCCGTTCACGAACGAGAGCCGGCGGCACGGCTGCAGGATCAGGACGCGCCCAGGGAAGTTGTAGAGCACCACCTTCCCGGACCGTTTGCTGGGGCGGCCGAGGCAGGCGTGCGAGCGCCAGCGCTCGCCCCACGCGTGGATCACGCGCTGCACGACGCGGTAGTTGCACGCGAACGCCCGCGGCACGATGTCGCGGTGCATGACGACGTTGCGCACCATTCCCTCCTGCAGCCCGAACCGCTGCAGGATCGCGCACGTGCTCGCGGCGCCGTCCGCGGGCCGCAGCATGTCGCAGAACGCCGCGGCGCCGCCGAACGTCACGACCGGCCGCAGCGCCTCGGCGGGCACGGCGCGGCGGTGCACCAGCATGAGCATCATCGCCGTGGCCACCGCGCCGCCGAGGCTGTGCCCGCAGAAGCACACCGTCGCGCGCGGGCCGCCGGTCTTGAGGTGCTCCTCGATCAGCGGGAGCACGCGCGCGTAGAGCGTGCGCGCGACCGAGTACACCCCGTCGTGCACGCGCACGTCCAGCTCGGGGTCCTCGAAGGTCTCCGGCCGGAACGTGAGGTTCGTCATCCAGCTGTCGGCGCCCGCGGAGCCCTGGATGACCACGTAGCGGATGCCGCGGTCGTTGTCGTCGCACAGGAACCACTCCACGGGGACGCGGTGGGACGCCTCGTGCGCGACCGAGGACGGGAGGTAGCTGCTGAGGCCGAGGTGGCCCGCGCCGACGGCCTCCGGCGCCGGCGCGAGCGGCACGCCGGCGTCGGCGGGGGGGGTGGCCACCGCCGACGGCGGCGGCCTGTCGCCGAGCTCGCCCGCGAGCACGCCGTCGCCGCCGGGCATCCGCAGCGCGGCCGCGACCACGGGCGGCACGTCCAGCCCGCCGAGCCACGTCGCCGTGCCGGACAGCGACTCCATCCCGCGCCGCAGCGCGCCGTCCACCGCGGCGCCCACCGCCGCCAGGAACGCCTCGCGCGACGTCGGCGCCGCGCTCACTCCGCGCCGGACCATCTCCCCGACGCCCGCGACGGCGCCGGCGAGCGCCGCGGCCGCGTCCCGCCGCACCCGCGGCGGCGACGCGCCCCTCCCGCCCGCGTCGCGTGCCGCAATCGCCGAAATCGCGGCCGTCGCAGCCTCGAACGCCACGGCGCCGCGCTCCGCGGCGCGGCTCCGCGCAGGGGACCTCCGCAGCGGCTTGGTCTCGGCGCCCGGCAGCGAGCACGCCCGTGAGGACGAGATGAGCTCCAGGTTGTACAGGCGCCGCAAGTAGGCCGGCGTGAGGCGGTCCATCCGGTAGGGCAGCGTGCAGAGGACGCCCATGAAGCGCAGGTACGAGAGCTCGCGCTCGTCGACGGCCGCGAGGTAGCCGGAGATGTCCGGCAGCGGCGCCGCGCTGTCGCTTGGCGCAGCGGCATCGGGCGCCAACGAGCGGGGGTCGTCCGTGGGGCTCTGCGGGGGGCGGCGGGGCGCGGGGCGGTGCGTGGGCGTTGCTCGCGGTGCGCGCGAGGCGCAGCGGGCGGAATAGGCGTGTGAACACGCGCGTATAACGCCCGGAGCGCACTCTTTGGAGGAGCTGGGTGGTGGTGATGTTTAGGGCAGGGGGAAGGGGGCGGTGCGCGCGGAGCGTCGCGGCGCGTCGGCTGTGTTCGTGCGCGGCGCGGTGGGGCGTGGCCCGGGCAGGCTCGCGCGGGGCGTTTCGGGGCACCGGGGCGCGGGGGGCGGCCGGGCGGGGCGCGTGCGTGGTGCGTGGTGCAGAGGGGGTGGGTGCGGGGGCGCGAGGGGGGGGCGGGAGGTGTACCTGGGCGGGCGAGGGAGTTGTAGAGGTGGAGTGGAGCTTGGAGGGTGCGGCGGGAGGGGTTGTGTCGGCCGGGCGGGAGCGTGCGGGGCGTGCACGGGTGTGGGTGGCCGAGCTCGAAGGGAGGGCGTCGCTGCTGAGGTCGCGGGCTCTGTCGGCGCGCGACTCGAGCCGGCTGCGGTCGTTATATGTCTGCAAGCCGAGGGGGCGCGCGCGGAGCGGTGGGTGGCGCCGTGGGGTGCCTGGAGTGGGAAAGCGAGAGGCGCAAAGGCAGAGGGTGCGCTGCTGGCGTCGTGGCCCCGTGACACGGGACGAAAACGCGCTCCTTTGGAGACGAGTTGATAACCCAATCGGGTGCGCGGCATCGTTCGGCACGAAACCGCGCACAACCGCGGAGATCCGGGGGCCATCAGGTGAGCCGCGCAGCGAGCCGCGTGCGGCGCGCAGGCGCCTGTATTCGCGCATGCGAGCGTCGCACAGCAATGCCCGCGATACGCTGCAGGCATCCCGCGCCGCATCAGGGCGCGTCCGCTCCTCTGAAGCCCCGCAGCGGGCTAGCAGCAAAGGCACAAAGGACCTAGCCGGCCGCGCACACGCGGGGTGACGAGCGGCGGCCGACGCGCGCAGTCGCTCACCTTGCACGAGACCGTCCGCACCGCGGCGCGCCGGCGCTCGGAGCCGCCCTCCGCGCCCCGCGCGCCCATTTGTGCCGTGCCTCCGACAGTTGTGGTCGCGGGGCTGCGGGAGCGGCCACGCGGGGTCGAGAAACGCGCCTCGACGCCCATGCGGTCCTTCACGGCCATGATCGCGCTCAGGGCGCCCGCGGGCGCCGCCATGCCGAACATCCCGCCGCCTGCGAAGCCAAACGCTGCTGCACAGCCAGCAACGTTGCGCGACGCGCGCCCTCGTCCCAGGCTCCCTGACGTGCAGGCCGTCGTTCGCGACGCTCGGACTGCCGCGGGGCGCGCGGGGCGCGCCGCATCAGCTCCTGCGAGGGGGGGGCGGTCAAAGCTGCAGCGGACGCTGCTGACGCAGCGCCACGGTTTTTTCCCCCGGAAAACCGCGGGAATCCCGCACGTGGGGCCGCGGGGGGCGCAGCTCGGCATAGTTCGGTCTTCGGGCAACGCGTTCGGCGCCGGGGTTGCGCGAAATGGCGCACAGCGCCGCGGAGCGCGATGGCAGCGCAGGGGGCGACGGTGGGGTGGATGCGGGGTCGCAAGGTGGCGGGTCGTTGAGTGGGATTCTCGGGCCGCGCGAGCTCCGGGCGGCGTCGCGGACGCACGACGCGACGGCGCTGACGTTCCTGTCGGTGTCCGGGCGCGAATTGACGGACGTGGAGGCGCTGCGGCCGTGCGAGAGGCTGCGGCGACTGGACCTGAGCAGCAACAAGCTCGCGGCGCCGCCGACGTTCCTCGTCAACCTGGTGCAGCTTGACTGCAGCTTCAACGCGATCGAAACGGCGGGCCTCCGGGCCGTCGGACAGCTCAAAGGCGCGACACTGCACACGCGTCCCAGCCTGCGAGCGCGCACGTCGTCCCGCCGCTCCAATCCCACCCATCGACCATCTCGAATCCCTTCCTCTGCAGCCCTCGAAGATCTCAACCTCGCCGGCAACCGCCTCACGGACACGGAACGCTGCTCTGGCTACATCGCCCTCCTTCCGCAGCTCAAAACGCTGCGTCTGCGGGAAGAAATCGGCCCGGACGCCGACCCGGCCCTCGAGAACCCTCTCTGCTTCGAAGACTCCTACCCAATGGCCCTGCTGGATGCGCTCCCGGGCCTGCACACGCTGGATGGGTTGCCAGCGCAGGCGCCCGGGACAGTGGTCGCCCTGCGCGGCGTCAGGCGCGACGGCCGGCCCGGCGGCGCCGCTGTCACGCCCGACGCGATCCTGCGGCGCGCGCTCGTCAGCCTCGAGCGGGACCCCCCCGAGCCAGTACTGGCGTCGGTGGGTGCGGGGGGGTCACCCGAGTGGCTGACGGGGCTGGGACGCAACTTCGACCCCGCGGCGGACCGGCTCGAGCGCGGCGTCAAGCATCTCGAGCGACTCGGGGCCGCGCTGGCGCGGGACGTGGCGGACGTGTCGAAGGCGGTGGGGGGGGTTGTTCCGACAGGGGGGGGGCTTGCGGGAGGGGGTGTGGGCGAGGGGTGACCGTGGGTGGAAGCGGAGCTCGTGAACTGTCCCCTGCATGTGTACTATTCATATTCATTTTCTTATTCATTTACATATTGTGATTGTAAAACTCAAATGCAAGTAGTGTTTGCGTCGACCCTCGACCTTCAAAGTGGCCGTCCACAGGCAGGAGGTCGTCCTGCGCCGTCAAGGCGTGCTCTGCGTCACGCTGAGCAGCTGCGTGGCGGGCTGCCAAGCGTCCAAGAGCTGTTCGAGGGCGGTGCGAGTGTCGGGTGGTGCGACAGCGAGTGAGTCGGGTGGCAACGACGAGTCTTGCGACGAGCGTCGGGTGGTTCGACTGTTCGCGAGGGCGCCCACAGACACCCTCGCGGCGAGGAACCCTGCTTCAGCGACCGAAACGGTGCGGCAGGTGAGACTCATACCACAGACAGACACACAGCATAGACAATGAGACAACGTCAGGTTCTACGTCAGTTCGTACTTCGCTGACCTACACGTCGTGCGGCTTCTCGCGGGACGAGCCTCTGGCTCACGTGGCGCCCTCGCCGTCCGTGCGTCACAGTAGCACCTCACGACAGTGGCTGCTCGCCGCGCCACGTGCGACGGTGCGCATCGACAGTCCGCAGCGCCCCCTCCAGCGCCGCGAACGTCGTCGTGCCGTCGCGCTCCGGCAAAAACGGCGTGCACATCAGCAGGACCAGCCGCGCCCCGCGCGCCGTCCCGCGTGCCCACACGCCCACGGTGCTGGCGCCCACGGCCGCGCAGAGCGTTTGCGCGGACATCACCGCCGCGCGCACGCCCGCCTCGCCGCATCCGACCCCGAGCGTGACCATCTCGTGCATACCCTGGCACGCCAGGCACCCGACCTCCACCGCCGCCCACGGCTGAACGTTGCTGCGTTGCCACCGCATGTTGTCGCCGCGGCCCTGGTCCCCGCCGCCCGCCGCGCCCGCGGGCGGGCCGCCCGCGGCCACCGCGACCTCCCCGGGGGCCTCGCGCAGCGAGTCCGACTCGACATCGACCCTGACGTCAGCCAGCTTGCACGCCTCAGCGAGCCCGCGAATCACGTCGTCCGCGGCCTCGCGCGAGCCCGCGTCGGCGTCCGCGAGCCACACGCAGCTCTCCGCGCAGCCCGGAATCCCCCACGCGGCGCCGCGGGCCGTCCAGCTCGGCCGAGCTTCCCCGGCAGCGCTCGCCGCCGGCGCCTGCCCACCGCCGACGATGCTGGCGGTCCCGCGCATCGCGCGCCGCAGGACGCGGAGCGCCCGCCGGCCGTGCGCGAAGTGCCCGCTGCGGAGCCGCTCCTGGCCCGCGTGCGTCGACCCACAGCACGCGTTATACCACCCCCCCGCGCAGCACTCGACCCAGGGGAAGGTCAGAGGGCAGCACGGGCGCTGGATCGCCGTGCCGTGCGGGCCGAGGACGGGCCCGAGGAGCTGCTTCGGCTGCGCGGGCCGCCGGGGGGGTTCTGCGCGCAGGGGGGTCTGCGCCGAGTCGCTCCCTGAGTCAGCCGTGAGCGCGTCATGCGAGCGCGCGTCAGGACGCCCCTGCGCGCGCCCGTCGGTCCGCTGGAGCTTCCGCGGCGGCGCGCTGCGCTCCTCGCCGCTGCACGCCGGCGCCGCGCGCTTCCCCGTGGCCTCCGAGGGCGCGGGAGTGACGTCAGGTGCCGTCAGACACATGAAATATTTCTGGGTTGTACCCCCGTGCGGGAGCTCCGCGAACGCGCCGCCGCGCATGCCGTGGCGCGCCGCGCCGGCCTCGAGCGCGCGGAGGTCCGCGGAGGACCCCGGATACACCTGCAGCACCGCGGGCGCGCCCGGACGGAGGCAGCGTGCAGCGCTACGGAAGAATGTGTCGATGGCGGCGTTCGGGGGGGTGGCGGGCGGGGCCGCGGGGTCGTCCTTGTTGGGCTGGGGGAAGCAGAGCCACTGGACCGCGGAGATCGAGATCGCGGCGTCGAGGACGTGGTTCCGGAGGGGGAGAGGGTGCGCCAGGTTGGCTTGGACGGTGGCGCCGCGCGCAGGGCCGCCGGACTGCTGCGCGATTTGGAGCATGTTTTCGCTGATGTCCGCGCCTGCACGTGGGGCGGGCGCGCGGGCGTGAGGCCCGCGTGGGAGAGAGGGAGACGGCGGGGGGTCGCGGGAACAGAGCGGAGCGGCGCCGCGCGTGGGTGGGTCCTCCGGGGGTCTATGCCGTCCGAGGGGGAGCACGTGAGGGAGGAGCGGCGGAGCAGGCGTCGAAAACGGCGCGAAACCTCCGGAACGAGCAGCGCAGCGGGGGAAGGGAAGACGAAGAGCAACAGGCGCACACCAATCCAATTGAGGCCGCGCTCGTGCAGAACGGCGCCGCTGAGGCCAGACCCGCATCCAAGATCGCCGACTAGGTGCGCCTCGTCGGCGTTCGCGAGCGCGGGAGCCGCCGCTGACGCCAAGTCGAGGGCAACGCTTGTGAGTTCAGTCTGGATGCGTTCCGTGACGCTGTTCTTCGAGTACCGCGCAGCCTCCCCTGCACACGCATCGCTGACGTCGTTCGCGTCACTCTAGGCCGCTCAAACCGCACCTCGCGCACCTGTGCGCCACGCAAGGTCGGCGCAAAGGAACCAGGAACTCCGGGGCGCGCCGCGCAGCACAAAGCGTTCCCAGGCACGACGGCGAGCTCGCGGCGAGGTGAGGCCGTGTGGGCCACGTACCAGTCGTGTACCAGTCCTCTGGGCGCGCAGCCTCCTCCGGACGCACACCCTCTTTCCACCTGCCTCCACCACGCGCTTTCGACCCCATGTTCGCGATTGGTCGCACCACCGACGTTCTCTCGACTCTTTGGGTTATCCTCGAGGACGCTACGGGGCTGCCGTGCCCTGCAACTGACGCAGCTCTCCCCACGGGCGACCCCAAGGCGCCATGGTGTCCTCCGAGGTCTGGCAGACCCTGTCTACTGGACTGGAGCCCCAACTGTTCCTCGGCGCGAAAGCCGCGCGCGCAGGACCCGCCGCCCGGCCGCGCACACGTCGGCGACGGCGTCCTGTCGTGGCCGGACCACTATCCAGTACAGTCCGCGCGGCTTTCAGTCGCGAACGCGGGTCTCATTGCGACACGCTTGAGAGCTGTGCTGTGCTGCGCTCGCCGCAGCCCGACTCCGCGCACTCTGCCACGCGCAACGGGCAGGCGCATTCGGTGCGGCGGAGGACGCGCGGGGGCGTGGGAGACGGCGGCTCTGGGAGTGCCTGCGTGTTTTCCAAGACATATGTTGTTTCGCATCTCAAACCACAAACGTCGTGAAAACAGACGTGCGGGCCCGTCCGTCGTGGCGTACACGGAGCGCTGTCTCCCCTGCGCCCGCCGCGCGCGTCTTCGCGCGCTGGAGCCAGACTGAGGCGTTGGGGGGAGTGAAGAGGTCTTGTATGACAACAGGGGGGTATTTCGACCAGGCAGACGAAATGATGCGCGTCTGCGGAGGTCCCGGCCCGCGCACGCCCGCATCCGACACACCGGGGCCGTCAGCGCGGCGTCCAGCGCGCTCTGGCCGCCACACACTACCAGCACCAATTCGTACTTAGCTGACCTACAGGCACCCTCACCGCGAGAGTTCTTTGCTGACCTACGAGCACCCTCACCGCGAGGATAGTACTTCGCTGACCTACAAGCACCCTCGCCGCGAGGACGCTTGAGCGACCGAATGAGCCTCCACACCGCGCGACGACCACGGCGCAACCCTCGACACTGCTTCGCATCGCAAGTCTGCACATCAAAATCACATTATCGTGCACGTCGGGCATCCCCCCTGACCCAACACACCTCCAACCCCCGCCTCACAGACGCTCACGGTCATTCCGCCCCGCGTCCGCCTCGTCCGTGAACGTCGCCGCCTGCAGCCCCTCCGTCTCCATCTCCGCGCGCTTCAGCTTGCTGGCCAGCGCCGTAAACTTGTCCCGGAACGTGCCCATCTTGACCAGCTTCTTCTCCTGCTTCGCCTCCACCTTGGCGATCGCCTTGGCCATCCGCCGCGCCTCCCGCGCCTCCTTCCTGTGCACGCCGTGCCGCCGCTTCAGGTAGTCCTTCAGCTCCGCCATCGTCATCCCAAGCGCCGCCGCGCGCTTGCGCATGACCTTGTGCCGCAGGACCTTGCGCTCGGCCGCCGTGAGCGGGCTGAGCCGCGGCCAGCCCTGCAGGGGCTCGTCGAACACGTAGCACAGCCACCGGTTGGCGTACTTCTTCATCAGCACCTCCTCCCGGATTTCCCTCGTCACGTCATCGACGACGTCGTCGAGGCGCGCGCGGTCGAGGCACGGGCAGCACAGCGGCTTGATGAGCCCGTCCCAGGTGTCGCAGGCGACGGTGTAGATCTCGAGGAGCATGCAGATGATGTAGCTCCCCCAGGCGATGGCCATGAAGATCAGCACCGCGAAGCCGCACTTCTCGGCGTAGTCGAGGCGCTCCTTCGGGTCGCTGCGGACCTCCACGCCGAGCACGAGCGCCGCGGTGGACACGTAGAGACCCATCTCGCTGGCGCCGCCAATCCAGTCCGAGATCCGGTCGATGTCCGCCGCGTAGGGGTCGAGCGCGACGAGGTAGACGATGTTGACGAGGCCGAGGATGGCGAGGAGGACGGCCTGGACGACGGGCGTGAGGCCGCGGAAGTTCGCCACGAAGGCAAAGAGGCCGACCACGGCGGTGCGCGTGACGTTGGTCGACGCGCGCACGTACATCATCGCGGTCATGCGCGCGCGCGCGCGCAGGTCCTCCTCGTCCTCGATCGTCGTGAACCCCGTCGACTCGGTGTCCCCCGGCGTGGCGCTGAAGTTGCCCAGGGAACGCACCGCTGCGTCGTCCATGCTCTGCTGCGAGGCCGCGTCCGCGTCGTCGTAAGCGAGCTGGTTCGTGTAGTACTTGAGGTCCTCCTGGCCCTCGCCGAACCCGCCGGGGCCGTCGGGCTGCCGGCTCCCGATGCCGCGGCGCGGGCCGCGCGCTGGCGGGTTGCTCGGGCCCGCGCCCGCGTCATTGCGCCCGTGCTCAACGTCCATGAACGTCTGCGGCTCCGGCCCGCGCGTCCGCGCCGCGGGCCGCCGCGTCCCGGCCCCGTCCGCCGCCCCTCCGAGGTATAACTCCCCCCCCGCGTCAACCTCCGGGTCTGACATGTCGTCAAGGTCGTCCGGGCCCCTGCGCTCGCCGAACTCCCCGCCGTACCGCATGCCGCGCTTCCCCGGCGTCGCAACGCCGATGTCGCCGGCGTCGACGTCCGACGTCGCTCCGTACGCGTCGCGCGCCGGCATCGCGCCGCCCTCGGAGGCCGTGAAGGACGACGTGCGCCCGCCGTCGCCGCTCCGCGTGCCCTTCTCCGACCCCTCGAACGCCTCCTCGTCCTCGTGCGCGATCGGCTTCGGCTTGTACGTCCGCCAGTTCCACGGCAGGAAACGCACCGGGGGGGGTCTGTAGTGCTCCAAGTACCCCCGGTCGAACTTGTGGATGTCCGGGTCCAGGTCGAACGTCGCGCCGCGGCGCACGACGATCGGCCCGGAGAACTCCTCGATCAGCGGGCCCCACGTGCCCAGCAAAACCTCCCCCCGGGGACCGGCGTACACCCACTCCCCCTCGGGGTGCCGCCGCGCGATGCCGATGAACCGCAGGATCGTCGTGAACCACGAGTCCCCGTACTGGAGCTTGAAGTCGAACCGCTTGGCGTCGATCTCCGACACCTGGTAGTACACGAGCCGCTCGAACGAGTCGCGGCGGACCTGCGTGGCCAGGACGATCCAGATGGAGCAGAGGACGACGGTGCCGGGGATGAGCACGATGGCCACGATGCCGATGAAGACCTCGCCGCCGTTGCCGCCGTCGATCAGCCGCGCGGCGGTGTCGACCACCACCGGCGCCAGGAACACAAACAGGTGCAGTTGCGGGCGCGGGAATCGGAGGATCTTGACCATGCGCCGCCCGAACGCGTGAAGCGCGAGCTGGAGCGATATCTGCAGCACCGTCAGCGCGACCAGGATGATCAGCAGCCAGAAACCGCGTCGAATGACCATGTCCCACGGCGAGGGCAGAATCGGGAACGCCGCCTCGTTGGCCTCGAGGACGGCGTCGGTCGTGGCTTCGGGGGGGCTGGTGGCGGCCGGCGGGGTCGTCGCGGTGGCGTTGCCGGCCTGGAGGACGCGCGCGTCGACCACGGCGAAGCCCTGCGCGCCGCGGCCGCGCGCACGGAGGGCGCGGAACGGCATGCGGCGGCGCTCGGGGCCGCCGGCGCCGCGGCGGAGCGCGGCGGGCGCGTCGAGGACGCTCGAGAGCCGCCGGCCGACCGTCGCCTCGAACGTCTCGTTCGTCGACGAGCTGCCACTCCCCCCCAAGGACAGCGGACCCTCCCAGGGGCCCGCCACGTTGAGCGTCGAGAAGCCCGTCGACGACGTCATCGCCTTGGAGCTCCCGAGGGAGTCGTCGACCTGCACGTTGTTCAGGTAGTCCTGCCGCTGCAGGAACATGCCGAACGTCATCACCCCTCCCGCGCCCGCCGCCCCGGACGGCGCGGCGCCCGCGGGCGCGCTGGCGGCCGACGCCGCCGCGCCGACGACGGCGCCGGCCATCGCGCCGCCGACGAGGCCCGCGGCGACCGTCGTGGCCGTCGTCGTGATCGTGCCCTCCGCGATCGCCTGCGGCGAGTACCGAATCGTCTTCACCACCTCCTGACAGGTGTTGTTGAACAGGTCCGTCGTGCCGCCGAAGCCCGTGATCGTGATGTCGCCGGCCTCGACCGGCCGGATCTCCACGCTGACTACGCCGTCCTCGGGCAGGTACCCCACGTTCACCGGCAGCGCGTTCGTCAGGCTAAAGAGCTCCAGCAGCTTCGTGCCGATCGCGGCGATGGGCTCGCCGTAGTCGAGCAGGAAGGTGTACGTGTCCGCGGAGAAGATCGAGAACCCTGGCAGCACGATGTCCAGCACGGGGTTGACCGTGTCCTTGCTGAGCGTCAGCGTGTTGGACATGCGCGTGGCACCCGTGCGCACAGGGACCTTTCCGGGTGTGACTTCGATCGTCACGTCGCCCTCCCACGCAGTGCCGGTGAAGAGGTCGATCTCGTACGCGAGCTGCGGCTCGACCGTGCGGATCGAGCTCGTCGTGACGCCGAGCTCGGAAAAGTCCCCCCCGCCGGGGCCGCGCACGACGACGTTGGTCGCGCCGATGTCGACGGGCAGGACCGTCGCGGAGGTGACGCGGATCGTGCAGTTCGCGCGCAGCGGGAGCACCTTGCTCCGGCACGCCGGCGCGAACCCTTGGGAGAACGTCACGGATCCGACATCGAAATTCAGAGTCCAACAGCGGACTGGCTCTATGAAGAACTGAGCGTCCTCCCACAGCTCGGGCCGGCTGCACAGCGGGCGCGTGACCCACACGCCCGGGCGGCGCTGCTCCTGCGACAGCGGCGCGCCCGTCGTCGTCGGCCCCGGCGTCGTCGTCGGCGGCGGCGCGGGCGTGGTGGGCGGCGCCGCCGTCACGGCGGGCGCGGGCGTCGCGGCCGGCGGGTTCGTGGGAGGCGGCGGAACGAACTGCGCCGTCGCCGGCGGCAGCGAGGGGTTCGCCGCGACCTTGACGAACTGCGCGGTCCCCACGGAGCCCGAGCGCGACGACCAGAACGAGTCCGACACCGACAGCGGTGCCGCGGAGTCCCCCACGAGAGCGCGGTCTGTCGCGCCCTGGAGCGACACGGGGATCTTGACCTCCGTGAAGAATGCCGGGAACGTGTGCGCGAGGTCGATCGTCGCGGACGGCACGTGCGTCAGCGCGGCGGTGTTCGCCGTGCGCACGAAGAAGTTGATCTGCCCGGCGGCCGTCGCCGCCGCCGCCGCCGTCGCCGCGGGCGTCGTCGCCTGCGCGAGCTTCCGCGAGCTCGCCGCGCTGCTGCTGCTCCGCCGCGCCGTCTTCACGCGCTCCGCATAGCTCAGCACCGCAACGTGGCTCTGGAACACCGCGACCGCCGCGCCGAACACGCCGTACTGCCGCCCGTCCGCCGTCGGGTTCCCCGCCACCGTCGTGTGCGGCTTCACGGTCCCGGTCTGCAGCTCCGGGTACAGCAGCAGGTGGATCTTGCCGGCGTTGGCCGCGGCAACGAACTCGCGCTTTCCGGGCTCACCGATCACCATCTGGGAGGCGTCGATCGCGACGGAGGCGCCGAAGTACCCCGCGTTGCGCGGATCCGGCGGGTTCACGGTCGCGGTGAGCTCCAGCAGGATCCCGCCGAGGACCTTCTTGACGTTGTACACGTACGCCACGCCGTGCCGAAGGAAGGGCGAGATGTTGCTCGAGTACGGCGCGCCGACGACGATCCAGTTGTCGTCGCCGCCGCGGCGCCACACCGCCATCGACGTCCCGAACCCGTCGATCGACACCGGGCTTTGCTGCGTCCACAGGTTCTCGTACCTCCCGCTGGCGCTGTTGTAAAAGTACAGGTAGAGGCGGCCGTAGAGCTCGGCGCACGTCGTGGCCGCCTGCTGCAGCCCGCGGCGCAGGCCGACGGTGCTCGACTCGACGCACGGGCGCGACACCGTCGCCACGAGGTCGTCGCTGACGCACGCGACGTTGTCGCCGTACGTGTCGCTGAGCTTCGTGTAGCCGAGGTCGACGTTGCGGCCGCCGGCGTCCGCGGTCGTCGACACCCACGTGCCCGTCGCGCCGCGGCGGTACACGATCATCTTGCGGCCCGTGAACCCGCCTTGGGCCGTCGAGCGGCACGACAGCGTCAACGCCAGGGTGTTCGTCGCGATGCACGCGCGCAGGAACGAGCACCCGACCTCGTCGACGTGCTCGACCGTCTCCATGTACGCCCAGCCCGAGGCCGCGGCGCGCGCCGCGGCCGTGTCGTTGCGGTACACGTCGAACGCCAGGAAGCGCAGCCCGGAGGCATCCGCGACGTACTGCCGCGAGACGATCGCGCGCGCGACGCCGACGTACACCGCGGCGCCGAGCTGCGAGTCGACGCTCGACGTCGTCACCGCGGTCGGCTGCAGCGCGACCCCGCCCGTCACCGTCCGCGCCGGCGCCGCACTCGACACCGGCCACGTCAGGACCTGCGGGACGTACCGGAACACGTGCACGCGGCCGCCGCCGAGCGCAGTCGTCGAGGTCGACGCGTTCGCGGCGCCCACGGCCAGCAGCTGCCCGTTGGTGTCGTACGCGATGCCCGAGCCAAACCACGCAAAGCGATTCGGCGAGGGCTCGGCCTGGCGGCCCGATTCGAACCGCAGGGGCACGCCGTTGCCGGCGATCTTGTACGCGCCGACGGTGCCGGCCTGGATGCGGTTCGCGTACGTCTCGAGCGCCTCGGACCAGAACACGTCGTCGCCGCTAATGAGCGACGCACCGTACAGGCTCGTGCGGAGGCGGTTCTCGCCGGTGATGAGCGCGTTCGCGGTCTGGAGCACGGGGAGGTCGGCGCCCTTCCAGCGGCTCGAGCAGCGCGCCGCGAGCGCGGTCGAGGGCCGCCAGACGTGCAGGCGCGGCTGCGCGGACGTCACCGATGGCGTGGATGAGAAGCCGAGGCGCGTGCACGTGCGCGCGGCGACGGTGAAGGCGGCGCCGGCGCCGTCGACGCTGACGCCGCAGCCCACGGTGGTCGTGCAGGACCCGTGGTGCAGCGCCGTCGTCAGGTTGTACACCCCGTTTTGCAGCTCATACAACATCACTCCCCCCCGGGGGTTGGTCGAGAGGTCCACGGGGGAGCAGAGGTGCCGGCAGGGGAGGATGATCTCCGGGAACTGCGCGGGGCTCAGCCCGGCGTACGGCATGCCCGGTACGCCCACCGCGAGCTTGTTCCCATCCGTCGCCAACCCCACCCACGTGCCGCGCATGCGCGCAGGGTTGGGGAACTCCAGCGGCGCTCCGAACTCGCTCCACGTCCCCGTCGCGCTCCGCTGGTACACGTACACGAGGTGCTTCGCCTGCGTCTGCGCGTCCACGCCCACCGCGAGCTTGTCCACCGCCAGGTGCACATCCGAACCGAAAGTGGACGTCGTCGACAGCGCGGCGGGGCGCGTGATCTCGACGGGCGAGCTCCACGTGCGGCCGTCCGAGCTGCCGTCCACCACGAACACCGCGCCCTGGCAGTTCTGCCCCGCCGAGTTGCACTGCGTCGACGGGCACGTCACGGCCATGCGCTGCCCGCCCGTGGCCGTGGTGATGAGCGCGAGCACGGCGCCGCAGCGCGAGGTGCCCGTGCGGAACGTGATCGTCGCGTCCGGCGACGTGCGGTACGGCGTCGCGGCGGCGGTCGCGAGCCGCCGGTAAATGTACACGGCGCCGCGACGGCCGTTGTTGTTCGGGTCGGCGATCGCGAGCACGACGCCGGTGGACACGACGGCCTCGCCGAACGCCTCGCCGCTCGCGGCGCTCGGCGGCACGATCGTCTGCAGCGCCGTCATCGTCCCGTTGCCGGTCAGAGTGCTGACGCGGGTCGTGGCAGACGGAGTCAGGAGCGACAGGTAGTTCCGCGCGCCAACGACGATGCCGTTCGCGGCCGGCGCGGGCTGCAGCGCGCGCCCCACCGCGCCGAGCGGCTCCGGCTTGACCGTCGTCACGAGCTCGCGCGGCGCGCAGGAGACCCCCGGGGACGTCCCGCTCGCCGTCAGACCGACCACGACGACCTCGCCCGCCTGCGGGAACTCCGGCGACGTCAGCTGGTTGTCCTCGGGGCACCCGAGGTACGCCGTGCGGCTCCCGGGGACGTACAGCGTCCGGCAGCGCGTGATCGTGGTGGTGGCCTTCTTCCCCACGGAGCACCAGTTTTCAGGCGCGACGAGGCCGGCCGAGGGCGCGGCGTCCCAGCGCGCGGCGGACGTTCCATCGCTGATCTCCCACAGCACCAGCTGCGTGAACGTCCCGAGCCCGTTGTTGCCCGCGGGGCTCGACGTGTCGCACGTCGCGCCGCTGTTGCACCCGCACGACGACCACACGCGGATCTTCCCGGCGCCGCCGAGCGTCGCGTCCTTGCTGTCGTCGTAGCTGAACAGCAGCCCGCCCTCCGCGAGCGTCGGACAGTTGTACTGCAGCGACCGCGTCACCGTCTGCGACGGCGCCGCGGTGGCGTTCACCGCGTACACGCGAATCGTGTCCTTGTCGCCGATCAGCAGCCACTTCGAGCTCATGTGCAGCGAGTGCCCGTACGCCGACGCCGTGCCGATCTTCGGCGACCCCGCCGCGTGGTCCCACTGCCCGCCGCCGCCCTTCGCCAGCAGCACCACGCGCCCGACGTTGCGCGTGTGGCCCGGGATGCCGAGCACGACGCGCACGTTCGAGCCGTCCGCCGCGGCGTACACCTGCAGCCCCTGCAGCGGCCGCGACGCATCGCAGTACGTGTCCGCCACGTCCAGCTTGTGTCCCGTCAGACCCTCCACGCTGTTTGACCCCACGCCCCCGTGCGCCAGCGACCACGAGCCGCCCGGCTGCTTCTCGTAGATGTACAGCGCGAGGACGCCCGGGTCCGTCCCGCAGCTCGGGCGGTGGTAGACCACGAGGGTGTTGTTGCGCACGGCCACCTGCGTGCGAGTGGGCAGGCCCGGGCGGCGCACGTGGCGGTCGAACGCGGGCAGGACCAGCTGCGGACTCTCCAGGCGCTGCGTGGCCGAGTTGTACGAGTACAGCATCACGGCGCCCTCGATCATGTCGTTCGTGCCGCCAACCACCGGAATCTGCGCGGCGAGGGGGGGGGGTATTGCGCGAGGTGCGTTTTGGGGCGCAGCTAGGGCGCGGGAGGTACGGCGCGCGCCGAGGCATGCAAGCTGCGCGGGTGCGGGGGCCGGGAGACGCACCCTCGCGAGGCGGGTGGCCAGGTAGCACGTCACCGACACTGCGACCGTGCCGTTGACGGGGTCGACGCTGATGCTGTCCATTTGCGCGCCGTACGGGTGGTTGCTCGCGAACGTGAAGCACGCGATGTTGTCGTAGCCCGGCCTCTGCGGCGACAGCGGGCGCAGGTGCACGGTGTGAGAGTGTGCTGAGCTGCGCGTGGCGACACCGCCGTGTCGCGCATGGCGCCGGGGGCGTGCGGGAGATCGATGTTGGGGCGCGGGAAGGCGCGCAGGGCGCTTGCGGCGCGGTGCACGCGCGTGTGGTGCAGCAAAAGCGGAGATCCGGCGCGCTCCGGGGCGCTGCGTACGTTGTGGTTGATCGGCGGCCGGTACGACGACGCGTCCCAGTTGAACGGAGTGTTCGAGAACCCGAACGCGGCCTGGTCGTCGCTGTTCGTGATGGGAAAGCTCGCAAGCTGGTAGTTCGAGAGCGGAGAGTCCGCGTCCGTGACCTCCACGGTCTCGTCCAGGTGATCCAGCTGCCTCCGCGAGGGCTCCTCGGCGCCACCGACGGCCTCCGCCCCGCCCGCGTGCGAGCCGGGCACGGACGCGGCGCTGCACCGCGCGCCTTGGCTCAACCAACCCAGCATCCCAGCCACGGCGAGTACGGCCACGGCGGCCAGCGCGAGCGCCCGCCGCACGCCCATGGCAGCGTTCTGCAGCGCGTCGGGGGCAATACGCGCCGTGAGGGCGCCTGTGCGCGGCGGGGCGGGCGTCTAGGTCTGCCGGAGCTCCCAGTTGGGGCGCCCCTGCGACGACGCAGGGGGCGACGTGAGCGCAGCGTCGCGCACGCGGTCGTGCGTTGCGCGCTACGCGGCCCGCGTGCGCGCGAGGACGCCCAGCGGCGGCCACCGGGGAGCGAACGCGGGAGGAGGTGCCCCTGGGGGCACTGCGCGCACTGCGGCGCGGGGGTGGCCCCAGGGGGGATCTTTGGGGCTCAGGCGCGGGGGGAACGGAGTGGAGGAGCGCTGGGGGCGGGAAACAAGCGTGTTTGCGCCGCGGCGCGCGCGGAGCTCACCTTGGGAGGCGCCATGACGCGTCTGTTCTATGTGCGCCGGCAAGCTCGCATGATCGACGGCACGGCAACTCGTCGAACGTATTAAAGCGCCGGGCTCGCATGCCCGCACCGGCCGCGCCGCGCCGCCCGTGAGCGCCCACCGGCGACCGACCCACCGGACCCTCCTCGTGGATCCCCACGGCTCCCTTGCGCTCGACAGCGCGCGGTTCGCGCCGCCTGGGGGACTCCTCGACGCGCCCAGCGTCGTATTCGCCACGCAGCCGGCCGGAAAAGCGCGCCCGGCCGTCGCGCGAGCCACTAGAGACGTGCAGGAGCACCCTCGTGCGGGACAGGCCGTCCCTGGACCTGTGCGCGGCCATTCGACTGCGAAAGCGTCCCACACTGCCCGAAGCTTCCTGCGCGAGAGCCATGCGCCGCCGGTGACCGCTCGTTGCCTTCGACTGCGCCGCGCCGAGCTGGGCTTTGTGTACGCTCTGTCGTTGCGTCTGGAGCGGCTGTCGAGGGGCACGGGATGGCTCCGGGCCGCGGCCGCGGCCGCGGTCGAGGGAGCGGCTCGCAAGGGGGCCGGAGCGCGGGAGCGGGCGCTGCGAGCGGGCAGGGCGGGCGCAGCAGTGCGCAGCGCGGCGCCAGCTCGCAGCACGACCCCGCGGCGTCGTCGCAGCGGCCCGTGGCGTGGAACTACTTCTTCCAGCCCGAGCACTGGGACCCAGAGGGCCGCGTCGCGCTCCTCGTCGGCCAGCTGAGCCGCGCGTTTCTCTCAGAGCAGGGCGCGAGGGTGCTGTCCGCGGGCGTGCAGCGCTGCGACGAGCGCTACGTGCTCCACGTCGACTACGCTGCCCTCGTCGCTGCGGCCACGGACGTCCTCGGACCGGAAAGCGACCTCCCGACGGCGCTCGAGCTCCAGCCTTCAGAAGCCCTGGCCTCCATCGCGATCGCAGGTGCGCACGAGCCCGCGCAACGACGCCCCCGCCTCCGCGACGGAAGCCTCCTGCCGCCACCAGCTTGCTCACGCACCCCCAGCTCCAGAGCGCGCCGCAACGGCCCGCGCGCCCCGACCCGCCACTGCAAATACGAATCTCGGTCCTCCGGCGCCGCCCGCGCGGCGCCGTCCCCGCGCACGACCCCCCGCGCCCCCTCCCCTCGTCCTCCGCAGCCTCGGAGCTCCTGTTCCGGCCCCCGCACAGCCTCGCAGCGTCCCTCCTCGGCCCCGGGCACCACCTCGGGAAACTTCACGTCCGCCTCGTCAACCACCGCGCGTCGCAGTGCGCGATCCGCGGCCTGCGCTCGTCCCTCGTCAACCGCCTCGTGACCGTCCGCGGCATGGTCGTCCGCGCGGGGCCGGTCGTCGTCCAGGTCTCAGGGATGGAGTTCACCTGCACCAAGTGCGGCGCCGCGAGGTGGCAGCGGTTCGAGGACATGGTCTACACGCAGCCGACGGCGTGCGCTGCGAGCGGGTGCCGCGGCCGGACCTTCGTGGGCAACCGCCAGCGCGCGCTGTGCGTCGACTGGCAGCGCGTAAAGCTGCAGGAGACAACGACAGACGCCGAGACGCACGGGCAGATCCCGCGGTCCGTCGAGGTGGAGCTGATGGACGACCTCGCGGGGAGCTGCCGCGCGGGGGACTTCGTGACGCTGGTGGGGGTGTTGCGTGTGGGGGCCTCTGCGCAGGCGGGGGGGGGTGTGGCGTGGAAAGTGCGGGACCGCGCGGCGCCGACGGCGGCGGCGCTGCACCAGTTCTACGTGCAGGGGGTGTCCGTGACGCTGTCGAAGCGCGCGCACCGGGGCGACGCCGGGACGGTGGAGGCGGCGGGGGCGGGTGCGGGCGCGACTGCCGAAGCGCTCGCGGCGCTGGCGCTGCACGGGGGGCGCGCGCCGGCGCGCATCGGGGACCTGCTGTTCTCGCTGACGGACCTGAAGTTCGTGCTCGCGATGCGGCGGCAGTGCGGCGGCGGCGACGCGGTGCGGCAGCTCGTGCGGTCGTTCTGCCCGCAGATATGCGGGAGCGAGTTCGTGAAGATGGGGATTCTGCTTTGTTTGTTCGGCGGAGTGACCAAGACGCTCGCGGGCGGCGAGAGCGACGCCGGCGCGCCGAGCACCGCCGGGCGCGAAGAAGGGACCAACCTGCGCGGCAACATCCACTGTTTACTGGTTGGCGACCCCGGCCTCGGCAAGTCTCAGATGCTGCGCTTCGCCTGCCAGGTGGCCCCGCGCGGCCTGTACGTGTGCGGGAACACGTGCACCTCCGCGGGCCTCACGGTCAGCGTCACGCGGGAGGGGTCCTCGGGGGAGTTCACCTTCGAGGCCGGCGCCGCCGTGCTCGGCGACAGGTATGATGCGCACGGCGGGGGTGTTTTGCCACGTTTCTCCGCCTCGCCCGTCGAAACACGGCGCGGGACGGCCGCGCCTAGTCGCAACATGCGCCGCTCGCGCAACCGTGCTGCTGGTTCCGTCGCTGCCTTGCCGCACTACACCGTGGTTCTGTTTTGATGTGTCATACTCCCCTGGGGGTGTTTCGAGGTCCGTAACGGCTGCCCGCGCCCGCCGCCGCGTCCGCCGCAGGGGCCTCGTGTGCGTGGACGAGTTCGACAAGATGCGCGACGAGCACGCGGCTCTCCTCGAGGTCATGGAGCAGCAGGAAGTCTCCGTGGCGAAAGCGGGCCTCGTGGCGTCTCTCCCGGCGCGCACGTCCGTGCTGGCCGCGAGCAACCCCGTGCAGGGCGCGTACGACCGCGGGCGCTCCGTCGCGAAGAACGTCGGCATCAGCGGACCCATGCTCTCGCGCTTCGACCTGGTGTTTGTTATGATGGACTGTCCTGATCACAGCAAGGACCGCAAACTGGTCGCGCAGCTCATGGCGATGCACGGGGACGCGGGCGCGGCCGAGGCCGGGTGCGGGCTCGACGCGGCCGCGGAGGCGGCGCTCGACGGGGCGTTCGCGTCCCCCGGCGGGCGGGGGGAGTCGGGGGCGCACGTGGGCGGGGGTTTGGCGCGGCGGCGGCCGCTGGCGGAGCGGCTGCGCGCGCAGCCGGGCGAGGAGGACGAGGCGGTGGTTCCGCCGGCGCTGCTGCGGAAGTACATCGCGTACGCGCGGCAGATGGTGCGGCCGAAGCTGACGGAAGCAGCGGCGGCGCGGCTGCAGAGCTTTTGGCTGGAAATGCGGGCCAAGGTCGGAGGGGGGATGTCGGAGGAGTCGGTGTCGGTGACGACGCGGCAGCTCGACGGGCTGGTGCGGCTCGCGGAGGCGCGGGCGCGGATGGAGCTCCGGAGTCAGGTTTTGGAGTCTGACGCGAGCGACGTGGTAGAACTTATGATGGAGAGTCTCCTGGGGGCGCAGACGGCGGGGGGGTCGCTGTTCGGGGGCGAGGCGAACGCGAAGAAGCGCCGGCGCGGGACGCGGGTCGCGGAGGCGGAGCGGTTCTTGGAGGCGCTGTGTGCTCGCGCGCAGCAGAGGGGGGGGAGTAAAGGGGGGGAGTTTACGGTGGCGGAGCTGTACGAGGTGGGCGACGCGATCGACGTGCAGTGCACGAGCATGGCGGACTTTGTCGAGCGGCTGAACGACGCGGGGGAGTTACTGAAGAAAGGGGGGGGGTCTACGAGGTCCCTGCGGCGACGAAGGCGCTCCGCCGGCGGGTGCAGTGACGGGGCTGGTGCGGAGGACGCGTGCGGAGCAGATGGGTGTACATGGTGGGACGCGGCGCCTCAGGGAGCAATGCATCATGTGAGACAGCTACATACTTTTTCGGTCGCTGTCCATCAGTCAGCCGGAGACGAAGTGCGAACACTCGGCGTGACGACGCAGGCAGCGTCAGGGGCCATCCGTTGCTGTGCGTGGATCGCTGCTTTCCGGAAACAGGCCTTGCTGACGCAGGGGGAGTCTGTCAGCGCGTGGGGGGGTCTTGGTGGCTGCGAGGACGGCTGCGATGAGACAGAACTGCGCACGCAGCACAAATGCACAGTCTCACACGTCTACCCTCTGCATCCTCGGAGCGTCGCGGCCGTCACGTATGTACCAAAGCGTCGCCGTCCCGCTGCCCGTAACCGTCTCCGTCCTGTGCGTTCTGCGTCGAAAATACACTCCAAATTCACTCAAGAAAACACCCCCTCCCTCACACCGTCGCGCTGCCCGCCATATCGATCCCCATCCGGCGCTCGATCTCCGCGAGCGCGAGGTCGATGCACCCGTCGGGCTCGCCGTCGCCCGCGGGGTGGTCCCCGCACATGATGTCCGGCACCAGCCCGCCAGTTTTGGCAATGTCCTGCCCGCCGGGGGTGACGTACTTGCCCATCGTCACCTTCACGCCGCTGCCGTCGCCGCCGACGTTGAAGAAGTACTGGATCAGGCCCTTCCCGAACGTCTTCTCGCCGATCAGCGCGGCGCGCCCGTTGTCGCGCAGCGCGCCGGAGAGGATTTCCGCCGCCGACGCGCTGGTGCGGTTGACGAGCATGACGACGGGGGTCGTGGGGGCGACCAGCGCGCCGCGCGAGGCGCGGACGCGCGGGGGCAGCTGTCCCGCGCGCCACTCCTGCACGTCGCCCTCGCCGCCGCAGTTCTCGAACTCCGTTCGCGTGATCAGAGCGCCACCGTCGTCGTCGCGGTCAGGCAAGAAGTACGACGCCATGGCCAAGACCTCCTCGAACTCCCCGCCCGGGTTGTTCCGGACGTCGATCACGTACCCGGCCGCCCCGGCCGCCTCGCCTTCGCGCAGCATCCACTCGAGCTCGTTCGTGGCGTCGCTGGTGACGTAATCGAGGCGGATGTACGCCACGCGCTCGCCGGAGGGCCCGTCGAGCCACTTGGCCTGCACGGGCGCCTGGCGCTGCTGCTTGCGCTCGAGCTCGATCTCGTCGACGGCGCGGGACGGCCCGTCGGCGTGGAACACAGCGACGTTGACCGTCGAGCCCTCGGCGCCGCGGAGGAGCCGGAAGGCCCCCGCGCGGGACTTGACGGGCGTGCCGTCGACGGTGATGAGGCGGTCGCCGCGCTTCAGGCCCGCGGCCTCGGCGGAGGACTCCGGTAGGACGCCCAACACCTCCACGCCGCCGTCAGGGTGCGCGTTGCCGACCGACAGCCCGGGACCGACCGAGACCTGGTTGAGGTACGCGCGCTCCGCCGCGGTGTACACCCCGCTCCTCGTCTCCCTGCAAGCGCGAACGACCCGCCGGGCAGAGAGTGGGGGACCCTCTCCGCAGCAAACTGGGGGTGTTTTGGCAAGGGGGCGTGTGCGCGGGGCGGCGCGGGGCGGGCGACGTACGCTCGGAACTCGTGCGGGCGCAGGAACACAGTGTAGGGGTCTCCGAGGCTCTCCAGCATCTTTTCGCCCGCCCTGTACAAGTCCTCTTTTGTCTTGAGCGTCCAGCCGTAGGAGTCCATGGTCTGCCAGAGCTTGTCCGCCCAGGAGCCGAACGTGAAGTTGCCGTTCGGGTCGTAGAAGTCCATCGCGATCGTCTGCCAGGCCTGCTCGAGCTGGGTGCGGTTCTGTCGACACAGCTCGCAGCCCGGCGCGGCCTCGAGCTTGGAGACCTCCGGGCCCGCGACGTGCAGCTCGTACTTGGCGAGCAGCCGGGCTTCCTGCGGGGCGGAGCGCAGACAGGCGCGGCGCGGGTGGGGAGAGACACGCCACATGACGAGGTGGTTACCAATACAAGGCGGAACGGGCTCTTTCGGGGTTTCAAGCTCGAACATCTTCCACTCGTCGCACGGGAAGACAATGCGTGCGCGTCACCGCGCAGCCGCCGGGGGATCTCCGCGCCGGAACGCCCCACACCGCGGCGGCGAGGGCGCAGTGCACGCGAGCACGCCGCGCCAGCTGGCCGACGGCCGCATCGGAGCGCGCTGCGGGCAAGTTCCGAGCAAGGAGAACCGAGCTAGGTCCGCACCGCGAGCGCCTTCTCGTCGAAAAGGAACATGTTGTTCTCGTTGTCGTCGTCCTTCGCCATCACGCCCCCAAAGCGGCCAGCGTTCGCCTTCGCCTCGCGCGCCAGGTCGTCGTACGACGCCGCGGAGATCGCCGGAGCCGCGGCGCGCGCCGCGTCCGCCGACACGGCCAGCGGAGCGCACGCCACGCCCGCTGCCAGCAGGGCCGCAGCGCACGCGCCCAGCACTCCCTGCTCGCGCGCGCGGTCCGCGGCGCACGCCACGTCCCTCCGAGCGGGTCGATGGGCGGGCGCGGAGGTCCCGCGCGCCACGCGGGCCCGCATGGGCGGCGGGCAGCCGGCACCTGCTCGGCGCGGCCCCATGCCTGGCGCTTGCACTGCTAGTTGGTCAGGTATCAGGAGATTCCGCGCCATTCGGGCTTTCCAGGTCTCTTTTCCGTCGCTCGTTCGCGAGATATCAGTGTGGGGTAGGTTTTAGAGGGCGGAAACCCGGGTTTGGGGGCCGCAGGGTGCGTGCGTGGTCGAGAAGAGAGGCTCCAATAAGAGGGTCCGTGCTTTCGAGCAGCGGTGGAACGCCGACGGGCACTGGGACGTTGATCTCGCCCCGCGTGGGGACGTTATTAGATTAGAGGACCAGTTCAGTCCGATCGCGGGCCGCTGCCAGCGCCTCTACCGTCGCGGAAACGCGCCTGAGCTGTCACCACCGACAAAAAAGTCGTAATTCGCGCGAACCGCGGTCGTAGACGATTCACCCCGTCGCGCGCAACTCGCACAAGTGCCCCTGCCGCGATCCCCGCCGCGCACTTCCGCACTCCGCCCACCAACGCGCCAGCGATACCCCCCCAAACCATCTCTGCTCCCCCCCCCGCAGGCCGCCCCCTCATCCCCACCGCCCCGCGCCGCCCCGCGCACACTCCCCCGCGCCCCACCTCGCTCCCAGACCCGCCTCCGCACCGCTCCACCTCGCCGGAGCGCCACCCGCACACACCCACCCTCCAGCTGCAGCGCCCACCGCTCGGCCGTCGCGGCGGGCCGAGATGAGCCGCGCGGAGCACTCCCGCGAGCCGTGCCCGCACCGCATCCTCGACGACATCGGCGGGGCGTACGGCATGGGCGCGGTGGGCGGCGGCCTCGTGCACCTCACGAAGGGCGTGTGGAGCGGGCCGCGTGGCGGCAAGGTCTCGCACGGGTTCCAGGCCGCGCGAATGAACTCGCTGCGGCTGGGCGGGTCGTTCGCGGTCTGGGGCGGGCTGTTTTCGGCGATTGACTGCTCGCTGGTCGGGATTCGGAAGAAGGAGGACCCGCTGAACGCGGTGATGGCGGGGGCGGCGACGGGCGGGATCCTGCAGCTGCGAATGGGGATGAAGAGCGCGATGCGGTCCGCGGCGTTCGGCGGCGTGCTGCTGGCTATGATCGAGGGGCTCGGGATCGTGATCTCGCGGATGGCGTCGCCGCCGCCGCAGGGCGGACCGCCCGCGATGATCCAGGTGGGTCGTGCTTGGGGGCCCTGGGCGGTTTCGTCGCGCGCGCGCTGGTGTTTCGTGGCGGGGGAGTTCCGTGCGACGCGGGGCGGGCGGTGCTGCGTCGCGAGGGGGTCCCGGGGCGCCGCGTGCGGGAACCCTGCCTGGGAAGCGTGCAGGGCCGGGCAGGGCCAGCGGCGCGGCTGCGCGGGGCGCTGTGCGTCCGAGATCGGTCGGGAGGACGCCGACGCGCGGAACCGCGGAGTATTTTCGCGCGCGGCCGCGCGTGGGCGCGCAGGCGCGCGGGGGCGCCTGGAGGGTGCAGGAGCTCGCGCGTCGTGCGGCGCGCCGACGGCGAATTCCCGACGATGTGTGCCCCCGCGGTCCTACGCTCTGCAGGAACAGTTCCAGCAGCAGCAGCAGCTGGCCGTGGAGGGCCCGCAGGAGCCGCAGCCGGAGGGTGTTTGGAGTAAAGTCACAGGTTCGAGCCCTCCCGCACGACACAGCCCTTCCCACCGCCCCCACAGAGCCGCAGCGTCTCATCAGTGCCGTATTCTCGCTGCCCCAGCCGCGCACCGTGCACTTCGGCCCCCGCACGCGCGTCAAGGCGCCACACAAGTTCACAAGTGGTGCGTACAGGGTGGCTCGGCGGGGGCGAGGACGACGAGAAGCCCGCGCCGCCGACGGCGCCGAAGGACCTGTCCAACGACAAGTACGCCGCGCCCGCGATGCCGGACTTCACAAGCGGGAAGTGACGACCCGGCCTCGGCTGCACACGTACGGCGCGCACGGCCTGTGACAGCGGCACCGGACCGCCGCGGCGCGCCGCACGACTCACTGTGCGGCCAGCCCCGCACACGCGCCGCGAATCCACGCCGCCAACCGTAGCCTGCGCGCCCGGAGTAACCTCAAGGTAGTCACAGACATACAACACGTGCATTGAGGCTCTTTGGGTCCGACCCGCAGCCCGCCACTGCCGTGCCGTAGCGGCCCTCGCGCGCTAGGGCGCCCCGCACCGTTTCGCACGCCCGTCCAGCGGCCGAGCGTCACGCCGGCGCTTGCGGGGGGGTGACGTAGCTGTTGCTTGCACTCCTGTTGCGCCGGATCCGCGCGGGCGCCGTGATGCCCTGCGCGGACGAGCCAGCGCCTGTTCGCGGCGGGCCACGCCGCCTGCCCCTCCGTCAGACCCAGCGCCTGACTCACGCAGGGGGTGGTGTTCGAACTTGGGGGGGGGGGGGTTGGTTGTTCGGGAGAGGGACGTTGCCGCGCCGGCCGGGCTGCGTGGGCAGAGCTGGCAGAGCTGTTCGCGTGGCGCCGCTGCATGTGTGCGGAGCGCTGAGACGGCCGGCGTCGCTCGACACAGGCAGCGCTGGTGTGGCAGCTGCTGCGTCGCGTTCGTGGGTAGACGGAATTGGAATGGGTAGTTTGCTTGAGTGTGTAGCGTTTGAGGGGCGGTAGCAGCGATGACGCCCTCCGTTGCGGCGGGGCGGAGTGCCAGAGAGTTGGGCTGCGAAGTGGCGCTCCTGACGGACCGCGCCGAGGACCGGTACTTCCCGGGCGAGGTCGTCGCGGTGCGGATTCGTGCGAGGAATGTCAGCTCGACCAGCGCGATTCGCATCACAGGTGCGCCGCGCTCCCGTCGCTGCGCTCCCCCAGCACCGTTGCCGAGCGTTTCGGGGCGAAACACCGGCGCGTCCCGACCGCAGGGCTGCGCTTCGAAGCCAGGGGAATCGAGCGCGTCGACACCGCGTTCGTGAACGCCAAGGCCTACGCGCCGGACGTCGAACCCGTCTCCACGGCAGGACGCAAGGCACGTTCCCGCCCTGTACGCCCTCTCCACGCCCTCTGCGATCCACACGCTCCCCGCGACACCTCACCCACAGCTCAAACAAAACTCACAGGGCACGAAAGAAGCCGTCAGCCCCCCCCGAGACACCCCCAAATGACACTGCGTGTTGTCCGCAGATAGACCGCCTCGTGCTGCGTTCGCACCAGAAGCTCCTCGTCAAGGACGGCATCCTCGAGCCCGGCCAGCAGACCATCTTCGCAGCCACGTTCCGGCTCCCCGCCGCCCTGCCCCCGACCTACCGCGGCACTGCTGTCAAGTACCTGTACTTCACGCAGGTCAAGGGGGATGTGGTGGAAGTCCCCCCCCGCCACACCGCGACCAGCGACGCCGCGACCGGCCGCGAGTCCGGCGCCTCCGAAGAGGGGGCGCCTCTCCGCGGGACCCCCTCCGTCGACTCCCCCCGGAGCGTTGCGTCGTCGGGCGACGCCCACGCGCCGTCGTCGTCCGCTGCGAGCGATCTCGCGCCGGACCGCGCGCTCGCGGCCGCGCCGCTGGCGGGCCACGGCTCCGCCCCGCACTCCCCCACGCAAGCAACCGGCCTGGCAACCAACACCAAAGCAGGCAGCAACATCTACCAAAACCACATCTCCCAGCAACACGACGGCAACGGCAGCCGCTCCACCGGGCTCTTCGGGTCCATCCTCGGCATGCTCGGCATGGCCGGCGACGGCGCCCCCCCGGGCCACCCCGCGACCGCAGTACAACGCACGCACAGCTTTGAGGGCCCCACCGGCAGCCGCGGCATCGTCCTGGTGCGGCGCGCGCTCGAAGTGCTCGTGCGCGACCCCGTCGCGCACCTGCGCACGGGCCTCGACATCGGCCCGTGGGGGGAGCCCCACACCACGCATGTTCTACTGCGGAGTCGGGAAGACGGGACGGGACACCCCCCCGCGAACGCGACGGTGTCGGCGCTCGAGTGCACCGCGGCGGGGATGCAGCAGGCGCCGGGGGAGGCCGGGTCGTCCGCGTCGGTCGCGGGAGCGTACCAGGCCCTCGGGGCGGTGCCGCACGTCGTGCCGCACAGCAAAACGCCGTCGGAGGCGTCCTCGTTCGACGTGTCGTCGCAGGCGACGTTCATCGAGCACTTCCGCGACGAGCACGGGTGGGGCGCGGGCGACATGCGCGGGCACGGCGCGCTCGTGCAGCAGATCTGGGATTTGATGGAGCTGGAGGTGCGCGGCGGCGGCGTGGGTGTTTGCGCGCACGGAGAGTCGGGTTTCGAAGACTGCCGCGCCGTCGCGCTGCCTGCTCCGCTCGCCAGGAGCGCGGGCCGACGGCTCACGACTTCTCGGCTCTTGATTGTCTGTGGCATATATATATTTGTATCTACCTACGTGAGTGCTGCTTGTGTTCAACCTCGATCGTTCACTGACAGCCGGCCAGGGCCGTTGCGTGTCTCCGCGCGCAGGAGGACGACGAATCTCTGCGCGGCGGCGCCGCGGCGCCGCGGCCGTACTCGCACGTGCACGAGCTGCTGTCAGGCGCACACCCCCTCACGGCGTTCCACCGCACCTTCAACCTCCGCCACCACGGCCTCCCCGCGGTATCGCTGTCGTTGCACCCGCCGCGCGGCGGCGTCCTCGTGCCCGGATCCTGCTTCACGGGCGTCCTCGACCTGTCCGCGGGGCACCCCGGGGCCTGCAGCGCACTCGCCGCGCCGCCGCCGCCGCCGACGCCTGGAACCCCGACGACCGCCAGGTGCGCTGCGCAGCGCGCCGCCAGCTGTTCCTGGCTATAAACGCACCGGACGAGAGTTCGCTCGCGTGGAGTGGGAGCGGCGTGGGGCCGAATATAGACTTTCCTTGTTCCTTCTTGCATCTCTGATCGTGTTCGCGACAAAGCCGTGCCGCCCTGGTCCCACCCGGCAGCGCGCCGCCAACCACCGTCCGCAGCGCGTCCGGCCGCGTCGTGCGCTTCGCGACCCCGTCCTCGGCGGCGGAAGCGCGCGGCCCGAGCGGGAGCGTCCGCAGCACCCCGTCGCGGCAGAACTCCGCGGCGGTCGACACGTGGCAGGTCCCGAGCGGCGCGGGGGGCGGGACGCTGCAGTGCGTGCGCTGCGAGAGCGTCACGGCGTCGATCGAGCTGGAGGAGGGCGTGAATGTGCTGTATAGCGCGTTGGTGAAGGATCCGCGCAGCCACGCGGGGGGGGGGGGGTCCGGGCTCGGGTCGGACTCGAAGCCCGGCGTGCGCATCATGTCCACGGTCGAACGGTGCGCAAACCACGAACGGCGCCTTCGAATTGCAACCTTTCAAGAAAACATATGTACGAAGTTGCTCGTTCCCGTCGATTGGCGGGCCGCGCTCCCGGCGCTGGCCCGCAACCGCTGAACAATAGCAGAACGGGCGCTGTTTCGTGCGCTGGACCGCCGCAGGGGCTCCGGGGCGGTCGCACAACAGATAGCAGAGTGGCGCTCGTACACCAGTCACATGCTTTCGGAATCGTTCACGCTGACGCTGCCGCCGCGGGCGCCGGCGTCGTTCTCCACGCCGCTCGTGTCCGTGCGGTGGCTCCTGCGCCTGCAGCTCTCGCTGCGGGTGATGCGGGAGGTGCCGGCGGTGGGCGAGGGCGCGGCAACGTGGGAGGCTGGGCCGCTGGAGAACGCCGAGTGGACGCTGCCGCTGATCGTGTGCGCCGCGGATGCGGTTTGAGCGGCTGGAGGACGCACAGCCGCATGGACATGGCGCGAGCGCGTCTCTTGCATGACAAATAGGCATAGGTACTTCATCACATCAACATATATAGTAGACTACTAAGTATCAGTTGTTGCGTGCAGCAGACGTGTGCTGCTGTTGTTACTCGGCTCGGCTGCCGGTTCCGCTGGCTCGCGCACCCCACCACGTGGCGTGCGGCGCATGAGACTCCTGTGCTCATGCTCTCACGTGTTGTGCTGGGGCGGAGCGCTCAGCACGCTGGGTGTGTGAGGCGGCTGTGCGGCATGGTTCCGTGTTCCGATGGAGGAGCGTTTAGAAACGCCGGGGGGCAAGCGAAGGGGACTGGCATGCCGTGGCGCGACGTGGTAGGGTGGTCTGTCCAGTGCACACTGGATCGCAGAAAAGCACCGAGAGCACCGAGCTCCGACGTACACCGAAACACACAGACGACCTGCACATACCTGCTCCGCGACGCCCGCCCCCCGCCGTCCCGAAGGGCGCGACAGGGCAGGGGGGGGGAGGCGGGGGGGAGTTGCCGAAGAGGCCTCACCTGCAAAACGTGACTCCGTCTCTCCTCGTTCCTCCTTGCTTGGTTCGGACGCGTGCGTCCGAGGGGGTCCTCGCGTCGCCTGGGACGCGCCCCGCATCGCAGACCTGCAGTCATGTGGGGGCAACGCCGGGCAGCAACAGAAAGCGCGAGCACGGCTGGAGCGCGCGGCTCCAGCACCTACCTGGCGGCTCTCCGCCATCCGGGAGCACCTCAGCGCGTCCGCCGCGCCCCGTGCGTACACGCGGGCGGACCGGCGGCGCGTCGCCTCTGAGCGCTCACCGGATGTTGCGCGAGCGCAGCGCCGAGTGGCGCGGCGCCGCGGAGGCCTTCTTCGACCCCGCGGGCTCGCCGAACACGCGCCAGAAGCGCAGCGTCTCGTCCGCGGCGGCCGACACGACGGCGGTGCCGTCGGGCGACTGCGCCATGTGCAGGACGCGCGCCGAGTGGCCCGTGAGCTCCGCGACCTTGGACATGGTCGGGTACTTCCACAGGCAGAGCTCGTTCCTCGAGTAGCCGTGGCTGCTGAGGATCTCCTTCTCGTGGCGGTTCCACTGCAGCGCGCACACCTGGCTGCCGGTGTCGATCGTGTTGAGGAGCGCGCCGGTCGTGGTGTTCCAGAAGCGGATGCACCGGTCCGACGACCCCCCGCCCGACGCGAGGAGGTTCGACTGGAACGGGCACCATGCCAGGGCCTTGACGGCGGCGCGGTGCGCGGTCAGCGTGTGCAGCGCACTGGCGTCGCGGCCGCCGAACCCGGACGCGGCGTCCCACACGTTCAGCAGGTTGTCGTTCCCGCCGGACGCGAGCTGGTTGCCCGACGGCGACCACGCGAGCCCGCACACCTCCTGCTCGTGCCCGCGCAGCGTGGTGATGACGTGGTCCCGCACGCGCACGTCGTGGTTCAAGATGAGCGAGTCGCGCCCGCCGGACGACAGCGTGTGGCCGTTCCACGCCAGCGCCGACACCCGCGCGGTGTGGCCGCGCAGGGATCGGATCTGCTTGGCGCGGTTGCAGTCCCACAGCTGCACCTCCGCGTTCGCCGTGCCGATCGAGAGGTGCTTGCCGTCCGCGGCCCACTTCACGGCCGTCACGTAGTTCTCCTCCTGCTGGCACGTCATGAGCTCGGTGATCCCGCCCGACGACGCGTCCCACAGGTAGACCGTGTTCGCGAGCGCGATGGCCACCTGGTTCGTCGAGGACCAGTCGAGGAGGTTGAGGTAGTAGTCGTCGACGAGGTCCGGGGCGTCGAGGATGCGCTCCGGCGCGGTGTTGACCTGGCGGAACTTCTTCGCCGCCGGACGCGCGCCAGTGCCCGAGGCGGCGTACAGCCCCGGGTCCGCGCCGTCGTGGGCCGCGGGGGCGGCCGGGGCCTTGGACTTGAACGCGAGGATGCGCGAGGCGCAGTTGGAGTCGCCCGCGACCAGGCCTTCGGCGAGGCGGCGGCGGTACTCCTCCTTGGAGGGAGAGACGACCTCCGCGGCGACGTTGGCCTCCGTCTGGCGGAAGTCCTCGGCGTTGAGCGTGAAGTTGGCGATGTCGGCGTCCATGGCGCCGCGGTTGGGGATGAAGCGGTCCAGCTGCGGGCGGACGGGGGCGCGCGGGCGAGTCGGCATGTCTGGGGGGAACGAGCGCGCATGCGGCGCCGAGGGGGCTTTTTCGGGAGCGTGCGCGATCGGAATCGGGTGCTCGTGAATGGTGGAGCTTGCGTCGCGCAAGAAATGGTCGGGAGCGGTCGCGTGCGGGCGTACCTGGGCACCCGAACGGCTGCGGGTGTGGGCCGAGGGGCTGCGGCACGGCGTCGCCATTGTTGCGATCGGGGATCCTGCGCGAAAAATAGAGAGGTAAGCAAACGAGGCCTGCGGGGAATCGACGCACGAGGCGCGGGGGGGACGGGGCGCGGCCGGAAATAGACCGGCTGCTGGTGAGAGGCTTGGCGCAGGTCGCAGGGCGACGTGCGCGTGGCTCGGCGTGACCGGGCCTTCGCGGGGTGCTCGTGAGAGCGAGAACGATCGAGAACGTCGGGGTATTCGGAGTTTGGAAGCTCGGAATGTGCCCTGCGCGACCCAGCTGTCGCCCCAATGGCTTCGTATTCGCGGCGCGGAAACATCCCCCAATCTCTGACTCAGTCCGCCTGGCATGCGAGCACACCCCCGCGCGCCCCGCGCGCCCTCAAGGACCCCGGCAGCGCGCGGCACGCGGCATCTGGACCAGCGCGTCGGAAGGGAGCGAAGCATACTAGTTCGTTGACGTCCGTTGTCGGTGTTGCAAGTACATTGCTCACACACAATGATCAAGGTCGGCGACAAGATGCCCGAGGGCGTGTTCCAGTACTTCACGGACGCCGGGGAGAAGTCCGAGATGACGGTCGAGCAGCTCACGAAGGGCAAGAAGGTGCGACGTCGGGCGTGTTGCCCTACTACGCTAGACATTAGCTTAGCTGCCCGCTGACGGCTCCGAAGAGCCGCGTTTCCTCGATGTTCTGTGCCAGTCTGGCCGTCCAGTCTATGAGCTTGCGGGGCGCGCGCGGTGCAACGCTCGCGGGGACGCAACGGCGCACGCGCGGCCGCAGTGGAGCCTGGCCTAGGGCCCGCCCGGGCGCGATGCGGGGTGCGTATGCCCTAGCTTCGCGGCATTTCGCCTCCCGGGATGCAACTCGCCGGGGTTTCCGTCGGGTTCACCCCGCAGGTCGTTCTCGTGGGCATCCCGGGCGCCTTCACGCCTACCTGCCAGAACAAGCACATCAACGCCTTCATTGACCGCGAGGCGGACATCAAGGCCAAGGGCGTGGACACCATCGCGTGCATGGCCGTCAACGACGCCTTCGTGATGAACGAGTTCAGCAAGGCCACCGGGGTGCGTCCCCTGCTGCGCTCTGCGCTCGCACCCACTCCTCCGGCGCTGCCACGCCGTTCCCGCACCGACCACGCGACGAACGCCACGTCCCAGTTTCCTCACACCCTCCACACGACATCGCGCCGCCGCCGTGCGCGAGTCCCGCGCGACCGAAGCCGCACGGTGCCTCTCAGCAATCCTGCGCGCGGGCGGTTGTATGCAGGCCACGGGCAAGGTGCTGATGCTCGCGGACGGCGCCGCGACGTACGCGAAGAAGATGGGGACCGAGGTGGACCTGAGCGACTTCGGCATGGGCGTGCGCACCCGCCGGTTCGTCATGGTGATCGAGGACGGGGAGGTCAAGGGTATGAACATTGAGACGGGCGGGGAGCTGACCTGCACGACCAAGGACGACGCCATGGCCCTGCTCTAACTGCACACGACCGCTGCGGACGGCCCCGCCCCGCGGCTGCTCCGCCCGGGCGGCTGCTGCGTTGTTGCAGCAGCGCAGGGCGCGGCGCCGCGTTGTGACGTCGCTCCGGCAGAATGGTGGCGGAAAATGCGAGCGCGGGCGAGAGCGGGAGTCTCGAAGCCCTGTCGCCCGGGTCAGCACTCGACAAGGAGTAGGTGTGCGCTCGTCACCCGTTGTGGCCTCGACGCGACGCTTGTCCGGCGCCTAGGCGGCGCGCATGGCTGGGGCATCGCTTGGGGGCCGCGGACGCGCGCGCCAGGGCGTCGCAAGACGCGGCGCTCGCAATCACCTTGGTTGAGTCGAATCACAGCAGTTGGATCGCGCTCCCAGTAGTCTCCGCAATTCCTCTCGCTCGTTTCCGCGAGGAGACGCGGCCAATATAGATTCTCGGCACGACACACGCCCGGCCCGAGCGTCTGCGTGGACGGACGGCCGAGAGCGCTGTCGCAACAGTACGAGACCGGAGCAGGCCAACACCGCATCAAGTACGCATGGCACTGTGCCTGAAGCATGCAAGCAGACGGGGCCGCCGCGCGCATGCGGCCAGCTAGTCGCCGCCCCCGGCGATCAGCGCCACCAGCGCCGACCACCCTGTGAACGGATGCGTTCCCAGACCCTGTGCAGTATCATCCCTGTAGTGCTCCCAAATATACCCCGAGATCTCGAACCCCCCGGCCACCGTGCGCACCAGCCCGGCGCGGAGCCGCCGCGCCAGGTCCGCGGCCACCGTCCGCACGCCCGCCTCGACGTCTGGGTGCTCTGAATAGTATTCAAGAGCAGACCACACAAGGTAATTGATGTTGATCCAAATCGGGCCTCGCCAGTACGGCGCGTCGTGCTCAGTGTTGCGCTGGTCGTACAGCGACGCCGACTTCCCGAGCGAGCGCAGCCCGTGCTCCGTCCAGCACCGCCGCCAGTCCGCCAGCAGCGTCAGCTGCCGCGACAGCTCCGCAGAGTCCCCCGGGGGAATCAGCCGCAGCGCCAGCGGGAACATCGACACGAACCCGTACTGCGGCACGAACCCCTCGCGCGGAGGCGTGCCCTCCGCGCGCAGCAGCTCCATCTGCATCGCGCCCCCCTGTGCGCTGTTGATCACGGGCTGAAAGCTCAGCGCGACGTCCTCAGTATGACGCCCGTAGTCGTAAAACTCCCCCTCCGCCCCCCCGGCGTGCAGCTTGCGCAGGTGCCGCATGTCGCCCCACGCCGACGCGAACCCCGCGTACCTCCGCGCGCCCCGCGCGTCCCCGGCGAGGCCCGCCATCTCAGATAGCACTTTGGCGCCCACCGCCATCCAGCAAAGGAGGTCTAGATGGCGCTCCTCCGGCCCTGGGTGCGACGCGCGGGGGTAGTCGTCGAGCCCGGACGCGAGTGTCTTCGGGTTGAGTTCCCGTCGTGCGTTCGGGTTGCGGCCCCGCCAACGGAACGACCCTTTGACACTCCCCCCCTGACTCCGCCGCAGCCACTCGAACCACGCGCGCACGCGCGGGTACGCGGCGGCGAGGAAGGTGCGCGTCGTGGCCTGCTGCTCCGCGGTCCACGCGGGCGAGGAGAGTCCCCCGCTGGCGCCGCGGAGTAGAAGCTGGAACGTCAGGAAGAAGGAGGGGGGGTTAGCGTTGTCGGGGTGCTGCGCGAGGAACTCCTGCGGCACGCGGCGGATGGCTTCCTCGCCTAGGATCTGCTCGCGGGCGATCCAGCCGTCCACGTTCATGAGGTCGAGCCAGTGGGCCAGTACTTCCCGCGCTAGGCCCGGATCCCACCTGCGTGCATCAGACAGACGGAACGCATGAACGCAGGTGAGGAAGTGAGCGCAAGAACATCGCGGCGGCTTTCAAGAAGCACGCGAGCGGCGACGATAGTGCGTAGGCAGGCGTACGAGCGCAACGTAGTGTTGCGCATAGCGTCTGCGTGCGGTTGTGTGGCCGGGCGCACGGACCGGCTGAGGAGGAGGAGGTGGAAGCCTTCGTCCCAGAGGAAGCCGCGCGGGAAGAAGGAGCGCGACGGCACGCCGGTGTACAGCGGCGCGTCGTCAGACCGGGCGTAGAACACATCCCCCCTCTTCTTCCCGCGGTTCCAGCCGACGGCGGCGACCTCCGCGGGCGGAATCTGGACGAAGGACGACCCGTAGAAGTACCCGATGGATCCCACGAGGTTCGCCACGGCTGCCTGAGTCGCACGCTGCGCGCCGACGCATGCGGAAGCAGCGCCAGGCTTCAGAGCGCGCTTGGCGAGGAGGCGCAGGACACGCAGGAACATCTCCCGTGCGGCGAGATCAGGCTCGAAGTGCACGCATGCGCAAGAGGCAGCGCGAACAAGAGCAAGGCATGCAAGTCGCACGCAGCGTCTATTTCGCACGCGACGAAGCAGGTGCGACGGCGTGCGCACCTCGACGACCTGGTCGCTGACGCCAGGCACCGGCAGCCCCGCCGGGAACGTCTCCCGAATGCGGCGCTCGAACTCCCCCCTTTCCGCCTGACAGCGCTTTGTCAGCTCGGCCCGCGACAGCGCCACGACGCGGTCGGTGAGCGGCACGGGCCTCTTGCCGTCGTGCCCGCGCCACGCCATCGCTGCGACCGACTCCTCGTCCGGCCGGGCCGAGCCCGTTGCATTCGAAAGGAACAAAATGTCGACGCTCCCTGGCACTGCAACCGACACGTGCCAGGCCGCGACGTTGATGTGCGGCGCTGCCCTGTCCTCTGACTCAATGCGCTGGTTCGGCAGCCGCGGGCCGCGGATCTTGGGGTCGCTGGGTTGAATCATGGGCTGCACTGCGCCCGACAGGGAGGCCTGGAGAACCTCGTAGGCAAACGTGACGTCGTTGGCCTTGAGCGCGGCCCACGTGGCGCGCTGCCACGCCTTGCGGCCGCCGGCGGTGCCTGCGCGGGATCGAGGCGGACGGGGGCACGGAAGACGGTGAAGCAGGTCTGGATTTCCCTCGAAACGAACGAGCGCTGCGGATCCCCGGCCCGCGCGTCACGCGCCGCGTGTTCCCGCACGCACGCGTTCGCTATCCCCACCGCACCGCCGCGCACCGCAGCGCACACGAGTAGAAACACCAATGCGACAACAACACCCGGACAGCGCAGCAGGGACTCTCACCCGACGCACGCAGCTCCCACTCCCCCGTCGCCGCCTCCGGCGAGCCCCCGACCGCGAGCAGGTAGTCCGCGTAGCCCCCCGCGCCCCTCGCGCCCTTCGTCAGGTGCCTGCCGGTCGTGTTGACAGCGCGGTGCGCCTCGTCCACGATGTAGATCATGGTGCCGACGTTCCGTCTCGGCGCCGCCTCCTTCGCGCCCCGCTGCTCGCTCTCCGCCTCCTGTGCCGCTGCGGCATCCGAGTGGGCGAGCGCAGGGCCGGTGATGGGTGCGTCGCGACAGTGCACACCTCCCGGGGGGTGAGGCGGTTGCGTCGTGACTGGTCGTGGAAAGGGGGGCTGTGCGGTGGTGGGAGGTGGATGGCGCGCGGTGCGTGGCGTGAAATGGGAGATAGCAACCGGGGTCTGCTGTCGCACCTCTCCTGGCCTTTTCGTCGTCGGTGAAGTCAACCTCGAAGCGCACGGCCCAGTCGCCGCCGAACCCGCTGCCGGCGGGGAACTCCTTGACCATGTACGTCGTGATGTTGTACCGCCCGTCGATCGTCCTGTGCTCCCCGTACCTGCGGCCATCGTGCGCCACCCAACTGAACGACCGCAGGCGGTCCCCCTGCGCGCGGTAAAACCCAGATCTCTCTCGTTTATTCACGTCGATCTCGGTGAAAAACGAAACACCCGCGAGACTTTTGTTCTTGGTGCGAGGACACGTCGCGCAACACGCCTGAAGGCCACCAGCCTCTCCCCAAGCAGGCAGCGCCGCAGCGCGCTCAAAGTTCGCGCGCCGCGATCCGGACGGCGCTGACGACTTACGTGGTTCGCGTCGTGGCGAATCGACTGCGCCTGGCTCGCCGGGTCGGCCGAAGCGTCCCACCAAGCCAGCCCCAGCTGCAGTCCCGCCGCCTCCCGCGTCCTCATGCCCGTGTAGAGACCGGCGCGGTACGTGCCCCAGAAGAGCTCATCCCGCTGCCTGCCGCCGAACTCCGGGAGGTCCTGCGACCGTCAGGTCAGACACAATCGGCTCTGTGCCAACCCGCTTGTTCGAACCAGAGGGCCTGCCGCCGCTCTGATGGCGATCGGTGCGCAATCGCGCCACGAGCGGGTGGTAGAAGGCGTCGTTGGGCCCCGGACGAGTCGTGTCCGTGGGTTCGAGCGGCATACCTTGAGGAGTGGTGCCGGGAGGGGCTTTAGGCATCGTGGGGTGCGGTCGCGGTGCTGCTCGTACAGCAGCCCCGCGACAGCGACCGAGACGACAGCGACGGCGATGAGTACCAGGCGCCAGGGTGTGGTTCCGGAGCGCCTCGCAGCCGCCGCGGCCTGACCCCCCTTGGTCTCAGTGCTTTGCGGGGACGCCGCAGCCCTGCCACGCCTCCTCACGGCACTTCCCGCCGGTTTCGGCATGTTTCAGTCCGTATCAACGCGCTGCCCGCTTCATCAGCCCCCCCGAGCCCAGGCCTCACAACAAATGCGCGGCAAGCACCTGCCTCCAGCAATGTGCGATCCTCGTGCTGTGTCAGGGTCCAGCCGAACCGACGTGACGGCCCTGCGAGCAACTAGCGCTCCCACGCGACGCCAGCGCGCCATCTCGGCACCGCCTCTCCCCGCGGCGGGCGCTCGCCGTGGTATGAGGAGCGCGTCTTACCAGCGGGCCGTGTGCGCTCCTGGCCGGCTCCACGAGGGCGTGCAGCGGCCTGCGAGGGCACTGTGTGTGACAATCCGCGTGGAGCGCAGGCGCTCGCGGTGAGCGCTCGCTGGCAGGCTTCCGCGGCCCAGGAAGAGCGCACGCTGGTTGAAAGGAGCGACCTGGTGCTGGCGTGACACAGGCTCCGCTAGGGCGAACTGCGCGCCTCGCGCGTGGACGAGGTGGGAGTGTCGCGATGTCGGCGGCTGGAAGCACGATCCCGGGCAGCGAGACCACGGAGCCGACGCCCGCAAGTGCCGCAGGGCAGCCCAGAGGTACGAGTCCGCGTTGTGCTGGACCGGAAAGCGCGCCTCGACGTGGCAGTACCTCGTCCGTATCGCAAGCTTCCGTGGTGTGCCGCCAAGCGGCGCGGAAGGGCTGCGAGCGCGCCGGCGCTGCGTGCGGAGTGCCCACGGCACTGCGCAGGGCCGCGTCCTGCCACGCGGGGCCCATTCCGGGGCCGCGGTGTCAGGCTCTCGACCCCGGTTGAATACACATGTTATACTCTGTCGCGGGCGATGAAACCGACCTCTGCGGCGCCCTGTTCGCTGCGAAACCGACGCGTTCCGTGCCTGCGCCTTTGCAGTGGCGAACACGCGCGATGCCATCGTGGTGTGCGCGCGGTTCCGCCCGGAAAACCCGCTGGAGAGGCGGCAGAAGGGCCGGAACGTGGTGAGCTTCCACGACGGCAAGGCAGTGACTGTTGACGTCGGCGCGACGGACTACCGCGGGGACGGGCGGGAGGGCTACACGTTCACGTTCGACCGGGCGTTCGCGCCGGACTCGACGCAGGAGGAGGTGTACAACGCCACGGCGCGTCCAATCGTGCAGGACGTGATCGACGGGTACTATGCTACGGTGAGTGCCGTTCCCTTGCTGCCGCCTCGACTGAACCATGCACGCGCGGCGACTGCAGCTTCGCACCCCCACGGCGCAGCTTGCCCTGCCACGCCCAGCTGCGGCGTCTCTGCGCGCGAACCGCGCCGCTGCCGCCCGAAAAATGGCTTTCGAAGTCAACGCAGCGACCACCTCCCCAACGTCCCGCCCCGCTCCGTACGGCCTCGAACGCCGCCCCCGCAGGTGTTCGCGTACGGCCAGACGGGCAGCGGGAAGACCTTCACGATGGAGGGGCCGCACGATGGGCGCGACGACACGTCGGAGGGGGTCATCCCGCGCGCGGTGAAGCAGCTGTTCGACCACGTGGAGCAGATGCGCGAGCCCAACATCGAGGTGACGATCTCCGCGTCGTACGTGGAGATCTACATGGAGCGCGTGCGCGACCTGCTCGACAAGACCGGGAAGAAGACGAACCTCGAAGTGAGGGTCGACCTCAGCCGCGGCGTGTACGTCGACGGCGCGACCGAGGTCCAGGTCAACTCGGACGGTGAGTTTTCCCCTCTGCGCAACGCGTGCCGGCACGTCGCCCCGATCACGGGGGGAAGGGAGCCTTTTACGGTTCGAACAATGAGAGACTGCCGCGTCACGCGCTGGCCTTCGACGCGGCGATTCCGTTCGTGGGTTCGTTCGATTCCTGGAGAGCGCGCGTTCCGCGCGCCCACGTCGCGCCGCCCGTGCCCCGCGCCCGCAGGCGAGCTGCTCGGGCTGCTGTCCAAGGGCTCGCACCGCCGGCACGTGTCCGCGACGGGCATGAACGAGGAGTCGTCGCGTTCGCACGCGATCTTCATGATCAACGTCGTGCGCAAGGACACGGCCGACCTCACGGCGCGCACGGGCAAGCTCTTCCTGGTCGACCTCGCTGGCTCGGAAATGGTCAGCAAAACCGGCGCCTCGGGGCAGCAGCTCGAGGAAGCCAAGCTCATCAACAAATCGCTGTCCAGCCTGGGCCTCGTCATCAAGGCGCTCACCGAGCGCAACGTCTCGTTCGTCCCGTACCGCGACTCGAAGCTCACACGCATCCTCCAGGACTCCCTGGGGGGCTCCGCGCGCGCGTGCCTCATCATCGCGTGCTCTCCGAGCAGCTACAACGTCAGCGAGACGATCTCCACGCTCCGCTTCGGCACCCGCGCGAAGTTCATTCGCAACAAGCCCCGCGTCCACGTGGGCTACGGCGGCACGAAGCTCGACGAGCTGCTCCAGAAGAAGGAGCGCCTCATCGAGGACATGCGCGAGGAGATCGCGGTCCTCCAGTCCGAGCGCGCCCAGCTCCTCACCGCGAACAAGCTCTACCACGACCGCTTCGGCGACATCGCTCCCACGGGCGAGGGCGCGCCGCCGGCGCTGACCGAGGTGGTCGAGTCGTACCAGCAGCACGTCGTGCGCATGCGGCACGAGCTCCAGGCGATCGAGCGCGAGGCGAAGCTCACCCGGAGCGCCACGGCGGAGGTGCAGCAGCACTTGCGCGAGGAGCGCGTCGTGTTTGGGAAGGTGGGCGCGGCGATCGCGGGGCTCGTGGAGCGGTTCGGGGACACGATCGACGGGCTGCGGGAGGACGGGCGGGCGATCGGGGACATGTTGCATTTGGGGCGGTGGCGGTGCGAGGAGGTGCTGCGGAAGATGGCGCCGCTTGCGCGCGCCGCGGGCGCGGTGCTGACGGCGGCGACGCGGCTGCGTGGGGAGGCGGAGGAGGTGGCGGCGGGGGGTGGGAGGAAGGAGGGGGGTGCGGGGGCTGCGCGGGCGAAGGCGAAGGTTGCGGCAAAAGCAGGGGGGGTGTCGGCAGGGAAGGGGGGGGAGTTGCCTGCGCCGGAGACGGGGTTCGGGCGGAAGGCGCTGGTGTCGGACCCGGGGATCAAGGCCGGGCAGTGAGTGTGACGTTGCGGACGTGGAGGGGTCTGCAGTTCTGCAGTGACGTGGCGAGGCGCCCCGGGGGGGGGTGTTGACGTGGCGGTGCCACGGGGCGCGCGGCCCGGCGTTTGATACGCGGACGCGACCGCTCTCTTGCAACACCGCGATACCAAGAAGGGGCAAGCCTGCTGAACACAGACGCAAGCAAATTAACCAATAGAACATCTTGTTTCTTGTTCCTCAATCAAGGGTGGTACGGGCTTGGTCGCCCCCGCAGCAGGAATCCCACTCATGCGCGCGGGGCCTCTCACGGTCTGTCGTCGCTCGTGCGCCGGGGCAGCCCTTCTCGTCGCCCTCGTCGCCTCCGCGGCCCCTCTTTCGACCGCGCAGGGCTCCGCTGTCAGCGGGCCTGACCCAGGTGTCCACCGGGGCACCGAGCCGGCAGTGCTGGCCGGAAGCGTCGCGTGGTCCGCCCGCGACACGCAGCGGGGGTATGCCGCGGCGTACGACATGCAGACTGCCGGCGCGATGGACGCTGCGGGGCCGCTCGGAATCGTGCGCGTGCCCGTCATGGTGGGGGACTCCCAACTGACAGCCGTCCGGGGAGGTGCGCAACGATGCTCTCCTTGTCGCGGCGCTCCGCTGGTGACAGTGGCTAAGCACAGCGTAGCGAGGCGCCCCGAGCATTGCGATAGATCACCGAAATGCAGTGCTTGATCCGATCATCGCGTGAAACGTCCTACGGCGTGTGATCTGTAACGCAGGTGCTCCTCGCGGTTTTTTACGCCGCCCGGCCCCCGCAGAGGACCTCCCGCGGCCCATCCTCCCCGCCATCAGCGTACGCACGCGGTGGGAAGTGTTTCCAGAGCGCCAACGCACCGTCGCGGCCTGCTTCGACGCCACCGCGAACGCCACCATCACGTTCGACTCAGAGACGGGCCAGATCCTGCCGCGGACGGGCGGGACGGCCTGGGCCGCGCCAAGCCAGCCCAGCGGGGGTGACAAGGAGGGGGAGTTCGAGACCGCGTTGCCGTCGTGCGACGACGTCCTGCGTGGGCCGCTCTCCGACTCCGCGGACGACTCCGCCGCCGGAGGCGGCGCAGCGACGACGGCTGAGACGAGTGCGGTGGTGCATGGCGGGCCGCGTGCGTCGGCGTCCGCGTCGCCGCCGGCCGCGCAGGGCGCCGCTGCTGCGGTGGCGGCGCTCTGGGGACCGTCGCTGCGCGAATACGCGGCCGCGGTGTCGCGCTCGGAGGCAACGGTCGACGCCGAGGGCCTGGCAATCAGTGACGCAGCAACCGGGCCCGCCGCGGTGTTTCTGAGGCCGCGTTGAGAGCCCCCGTTCCCCCGTCCTGCCTGCTCCAGCCAGGGAGATACGCACACGTAGCGCCTGCCGCGCCCGCGATGAGCGATTGATTCACCAATCGTGTGAGCAACTGCATGCATCGCATATATTACGTCCCTCAGAGCGCCTTGTACGACACCTCCAGCACCTGCTCTCCCCGCCCCACCCCAAGCGGGACGGATACCCACCAGCGGCGCGACGGGCGGCGAGGTAGAAGAAGCCGCCAGCAAGTCAGGGGCAGGCTCGCGGCGCGCCGCTCCCCGGCGATAAGCAGGGTTCGAGCGCGGTGCGGTGGTCCACATGAACTGCTGATAGCGAGTCACGTTCCGTCCTACCTGTTCACTAGCCGCACCGTGCGGATCTGATGCACGCGTAGTGCATAGCATCTGCACAGGCCGCGGCGGGGCCGGGCAGGGCGCTTTTCCCACTGCGCCGCGTACTCGGTCGAAGATCTGCCTCACACGAAACAGGTGAGGCCCGCGACAGGCAGGTGTCGGCTTGCCCGCGCCAGGGTGCGGCTAGGATGTGTGGCTTGGCTCCCCGACGTTCGCCCCGGCAGCCCGCGGTGCTTCGACTGCCCGGATGGCCCGTACCATTGACTCGGAGGGCAAGGTCATCCGTTCCATTTGACGCGAAGTCGCATCGCCCGGGCGAGCCGCTGATACCGGGGATCCAACTGTTGAGTCAATGGCTGCTTTCCCGCCCTCCTCACCCGCCCCTCCGGGCGCACCGGCACAGGGTAGGGCTCCGCGATCGCACAGACCAAAGCCGAGCCGAACGGGCGGGGTGGGCGACGCGCCTCCCCACCCGCCGTGGTTGCCGGGGGCGGTTGCTGGGCCCTGCCCTTGGAGCGCAGGCGGTTCCGGCCGCCGCGATGCGTCCGTCCCGCGGGTTGCTGTTCGCGACATGGGTTCCCCCTCGCTGTTTCGTCGCTCTACGCAGGTGCCACCAACGGGAAACATGGTCACTCAGCGCCGCCTGTGGAGCGCCGTCCTGGCGAGCCTCCTCCTCCTGCACTGCACGGTCTCGTTCGCCGCGCCGGACGCGCCTCGCGACTCGCCGGGGGGCGGCGAACCCGACAGCCCAGTCGACGACGAGCCCATCTGGACCATCGACGCCGCGGAGTCCAACTCCAGCGCGCCGCTTACGGCCGCAGAGGCTCTGGCGCGACGACAAACGGTGCGTTCCCGCCCCGCGGTGACACGACTTGCGCCCCGACTCACCCGCATCCGGTCAGCCGCGGCGAGCGGCCTCCGCGCGCTCTGGTACTCACCGATGTTCCGCCCCCCCTGCGCCGCAGCTGGCCACGAGGGCCCCCACCGCGCCCATGTGCAGGGTCCACTGGACCGTGTCCACAACCCTCATCGGGGGGGTCGTTTCAACTTTGGGCGGCCAGGTGTTCGGCCCGGACGGCAGGCTGTACTATGCGGACAGCACCCAGCACAACATCTACCGCACCACCTCGAGCAACAGCACCACCAGGAGAGACGGCACCTGGGTGAAGGTTGCGGGGCAGGGGCCAAGTGTTTCTGGTTACCTTGAAGGTTCCGCCACCGGGACGGCGCGACTCCACTACCCTCGGAGCATGGCCTTCGCCCGCAACGGCGCGCTGTACTTCGTCCAGCAGAATCACTTGAGACATATGCCCCCTGACCTCGCCTACGTGTACATCAGGGTCGGCCCTGTGGATTCCACTATTACTGGCAACGGGCTGAACCCGCCGCGGAGCTCCGACGGTTCGGGTCGCCTTTATGGCCCGTCCGGCTTGTGCATCGATCGCGACGAGCGGCTCTACATCGGTGACAAGGGCAACCGCCGCATCCTGCGGTATCTGCCGGACGAGCAGAGGCTCGAGGTCGTCGCAGGCACGACGGGCAGTCATGGGTTCAAGGACGGCCCGCTCGGCGTCAACCGGATGTACAACGTCATGTCGCTGGCGTGCGACAAGGCCACGGACCTCGTCTACGTGTCCGAGTACCAGTACGATGGTCCTATCCAGCTCAATTTGATACGCGTGCTGTACCGGGACGGCTACCTGAAGACCATCGCTGGGGCGGCTTCATCTTTAAAGGGCATCGCGACGCCGAACGCTGTGTACGGGCCGCTGCTCGAGTACCACTCCTCCAGCGAGATCTCGATCCACGGCAAGTACCTGTACTTTGCCGCCAACTACAACTCAGCGAGAGACCAGAACTATGTCTACATGATGAAGCTCCTCGGGCACGGCCCGGCGGGGGGCGTGGTGGCGACCCTCGCCGGCTCCAACCTGGACATGGTGAACGTCGACGGCAACGCGTCTCTCCCGACAACGTCGCTGGCCTACCCCGCGAGCCCCACGGTCGACCCGGCCACTGGGGAGGTCTACGTTCGCGTCGCCTCGTACCCGGCGGCAGGTTCGCCGAGGTTCCGCGTGCTGACTCCGGATGCGGGGGCCGAGTCGTGCGTCGAGAGCGTCTTTCCGTCGCGCGCGCCGGGGTGCCCGGCGTCGTCGTCGGAGGTGGTCGACCGGGGCATCGCGCACCGCTGGACGGGCGGCCGCGTGAGCAGCTTCTGCCGCCACGGCGGATGGGGACCGGAAGGGGACAATTTGAAATGGCATGGATACAGGTCCACGATCTCCCAGGCGCCGTACTTGCTGCACCCCGTCACGCTGGCCCAGGTCAGCAGGGACACGACGGGCCCTGTCGCGATACCGCTTCCGTGGATGTTCCAACCCTCGGACACCATCTATGCGCCGGAGGACAGATTCATGGGCTTCAACGACGCCAGCAGTTATTGGTTCAAGTTCTTCACATCGTCGCACTCGACTTTGTCGACCACGACCCGCACCAACGAGGACCTGGGCGGCACCGTGACGTACCAACGGTTTACCGCCACCGCGGCCAACCACTACTACTTCCTGACGCGCACGCGGTTCGAGGTTCCGCCCGGCGGCGTGCCCGCGTCCCTGCGGATGGCGTTCGTGTGCGAGGACCGCTGCACGGTCTACGTCAACGGCGAGCTCGCCGCCTCGAAGTGGGAGACGGACGGCCCGGACCCGCTCAGCAACCCGTACGCGCGACGGCGCAAGGACCTGTGGATCGACCTGGGCACGGACCACGCCGGCGAGGAGGACGCGCTGATGGGGCCGACGTGGGGCTGGGCTGACGGCGGGTTCTACCGAAAGAACGTGCCGCTGCGCGTTGGGATCAACACCATCGCCTTCATGCGTCAATCTATGGACGGGTCGCGGAACAGGCTCGACTTCGCGTTCCATCCGCCCGCCGCGGCGAGCGCGTTCCTGAGCAGCATTCGCGCGTGCGAGGAACCGAGCGCCGCGGCTGAGGAGCCCCTCGACCAGGCGGCGCCCGTCATGGTGTGGGACGGCGACACGCTGTTCGTCGGCGAGCAGACCGACGGCGAGCAGGGCGCGAACGCCGGCAAGGTGTCGGTCGTGAAGTACAACGTGACGTCGGGGGCCTGGGAGGTCACGGCGAACCTCACGTCCCCCAACGCGGAGGCGGGGACGCGCATGGGGGCATCGATCGCCGCGGGCGCGGGCTGGGTCGCGGCGGGCGCGCCCGGACACAACAGTGGGCAGGGTATCGTGTTTCTCTTCCGCGCCAGCTCGTACAGCCAGGTCGGCTTCCTAGTCCGCAGTGCTTCGGCCACCAACGACATGGGCTTCGGAAGCGCCGTGGCGATGAGCTCGGACGCGGAGACGCTGGTGGTGAGCGCGCCGACACCGGGCGCGCTGTACTTCTTCGCGCGGACCGCCGCAGACCCCACGTTCGCGCTGGGCAGCCGCGTGCTGGCCGCCGGCGAGAGCGGCCAGATGAGCGCCGCCAACGGTGGCCACGTTGTTCGCGGGGTCTTCGCCTCTGTGCACGGATCCCTCACGCTGGACGCGGAGTATGGCTATGCGGCGGCCGGGACCTTCGAAAAGGCAGCATACGATTACGAGCACATTCTGCTCTTCCGCTACAACGACGGGGCGCACCCCTACACGTGGTCGCTCTCGTACACGTGGGACTTGTGGCGCACGTTTAGTACGTCCGTTCGCGGGTGCTGGAAGAGACTTCAAATGACCGCGAGGTATCTTGTCATGAGCTGCAGCGGCGGCACATCGCGACCAGGCGGATTCAACGGGTACTGGAACGACGTCGGAAGGATCATCACGGTGAAGGCGAAGCCTGCGCCCGAGACTGGCCTGGAGAGCTGGAGACACGAGTGGGAGAACCCGAACTCGGGCCAGATGCAACTCGACGTCTACTCCCCGAGCCACATCGACACCTTACGCTCGAGGGGGGACATGTACGGGGCTGCGGTCGCGCTCGCGGACGGCGGAGCGACGATGTACGTTCTGTCGCCCAAGGTCGGCTTGCAGGTATTCTCGATCTCGAAGCACAAGGTGACAACACCAGTGCGCCTCGCGTGGGAGCTGAAGACGACGGTGCCTGCGGAAGCCCTGGGGGGCCTCGATGTCGACTACTCCCCGAGGGCCTTGGCCGTGGGATCGGGCGGTCAGGTCGCGGTGGCCACCGCAGACGGCGTCCGCGCGCTGCGGTTCGTCTGCCACGAGGCGGGCCGCGCGTGCTCTGAGGCACTCCGCAAGCAGTGCCCCGCCGGCACGGCGCGGTGCGTCACGACGGACACCGCCGCGCATTGCGTGCCCGGCGACGACAGGGCATCGTGCGCCGACGCGCACCTGGTCGAGACCGTGGCGCAGAGCATCGCCGCGTCCTCGATGGTCGTGCACGGGGGGCAGCTCTACGTGACGTCGGCCCTGGACCAGCGCATCTACCGCGTCCTGGACCGCGACACCGGCGAGCTCGAGACCTTCGCCTGGAAGCTCAGCAGCCCGAGCGGGATCGAGGTCGTGGGGAACACGGCTTACGTCGCCATGAGCAGTGACCACACCATCCGCACCTTCGACCTCAGTCAGTCGGTCACTTCCCGCCCCGACAAAGGGCCTCTCAAGCTCGGGTACGATAGCACGGTCGTCGTCGGCGCAGGGTCGGTTCCTGGCGACGCAGTCGGCTCCGCATCGGCGACGCGCTTGCGGTCGCCTGAGGGCCTGGCGCTGGAGGGCACCGACAACGTGCTGATCGCCGACACGGGGAATCGACGCATCCTGAGGTACACGATGTCCACGTCGACGGTCACGCTCGTCGCGGGCATTAGCGGCGTGGTCGGCCTCGTCGACGGGTCGGTTTCGCACGCCAGGTTCTATTCACCCGTCGCAGTGGCGTGGGACGCGAGCACGGGCGCGATCTACGTTGCGGATCAGGGCAACCAGCGGATCCGCAAGATTCTCGGCGGGCAGGTCTCGACCTACGCCGGAAGCAGCAAGGGGGAGAGGGACGGCTTCCGCACGTGTGCGCAGTTCTTCTCCTTGGGGGAAATCAAAGTCGACAGCGCCGGCAACCTGTACGTCGCCGACGGCAGCCGAGGCGTGCGGTTCGTCAGTGCAGCGACGGGCAACGTGTCGACCATCGCGAGCGGCGCTGGGCAGGAGGCGGGGCACGTCGACGGCCCGGCGGCAGGCGCGCGCTTCGCCGACACTTCCTGGCCGAGACCCGGGCTCCTCCTGGAAGAGACCTCGGGCAACGTCACCAGCGTGTACGTGGCAGAGACGACAGGCGCGGCGCACTCGGGTTACGTGCGCCGCGTGTTCGCCTACACCGGGGCGGACGCTCCGCGCGCCAGCTACGTCGCGCAGCACCCCGCGTGTGCCTCCCCTCTGGAGGGGGCGGCTTCGTGCCCGTTCTCGCAGCAGTCGTGCAGCGATGTCGGGGGCTGTCCTGGCGCGCAGACGTGCCGCGACCATCAGTCGGGCCATTCGTGTGGCGCCCCCCTGGACGTGATGGCGTGCGCGGCGAGCTACTCCGTGTCGGCGGTCGCCGGCGGCGACGAAGGGCCGCACCCGGCGCTTGGTGATCGCCCGCGGCTGGACGGAAGCGGTCGGGAGGCGTCGTTCTGGCACCCCACGTCGGTGCACTTTGCCCGCGACGGAAGCGGTGTGGCGTACGTGACCGAGTGCCGGGGCCAAGCGGTGCGGCGGCTCAGCGGGCCGGGGCTTGCGACGGTGGAGACGCTCGTGACGGAGTCGGACCAGAGCATCGTGAACTGTCCGTGGGCGTCTGCCGTGGTGGGCAACGACCTGTATGTGGGCTCCTTCTACAGCACAGGCACCTTCGGCTCGAAGACGTTCGCGCGGTATTCCTTCGCAGATATCTCGAACATCGCGAGTAGCAGGACGGCCGCAGTGATCGGCAGCGCCTCCGGCACGCCTGGCATGGTGGGCCATCACGCGCTCATCCAATTCGAAAGCGTTCGCGGGATCGACTCTGACGCCTCCGGGCGGATCCTGTTCGTCGAGGGCTCGGGCCATCGCGTCCGCGTCTACGATCCTTCCTCGGGCATGATCACCACCCTCGCGGGCACCGGGTGGCCGGGCCGGCGCGACGGCCCTGCGAGCCTGGCGTCCTTCGCCGACCCGTCGAGCATCGCGCACGACCACGCGACCGGGATGTCCTACGTCACCGACTCCAAGGCCGTCAGGCAGGTTGCCCCCGACGGTTTCGTCCGCACCGTCGCCTCCTCTGACCCCGCGGGGGTGTTCGCCGGGGGGGGAGTCGGGTCGTGCGCGCGCGGAATCGGCAAGCCGCTCACTGTGGCGGCCCACAGCGGCGAGGTCTTCTTCGCCAGCCGGCTCCCGGACTCGGGGGAGAATCGGGTCTTCCGCGTCGAGGGGGTGAACATCACTGCGGTCGCGGGCGCGCTCCGGTCCTCCCTCGGCTACGAGGCGTCCCGCTCGGGCCCGTACACCGGCCCCGGCGACCTCGTAGCCATCGGCGATATCCACGGGATGGCGATCGAGCCCAGCAGCGGCAAGGTCCTGTGGATCGACGCAGTGCCATCGGGCGTGTACGCGCTGGAACGCACGGGCCCGCCGTGCGCCGCGCCCGCTCGCACGCCCTCGACGGGATCGCTGTGCGGGTGGAAGCACAGCCGAGCTGCTTGTTCGAGCGCGTCCTGCCCGGCCGGGACGACCTGCGAGGAAGCGGACGTCGGGCATCACTGCCGGCCCGCGAACGCCAGCGCCGCTGCGTGCGACGAGCTGTGGAGCGTCAGCACGTACGCGGGGTCGGGCTACGTGGCTGATTCGGGGAGGTCCGACAACGACGGGAACCGCCTGAAGACGGCAATTCTTGATGCCCGGGGCGTCGCGATGCGCTCGAACGGCGACGTGTTCTTCACGTCGCCGGTGCGCAAACAGATCCGGCGCGTCGACGCGGCGACAGGGGACGTGTCGACCTACGCCGGCGGCCCGGGGGTGACGGGCCTGCTCCGCGACGACGCAGACCCGCTGCAAACCCCCTTCCGCACCGTCACGGCAATCGCGGCGGCGCCGGACGACACGCTGTACGTGGTGGAGTGGGACCACAACCTCGTCAGGACCATCGCTCCCAACGGAGCCGTCACCACGGCGCCATTCACGGGCATCCCTTCGGGCTCCTACAGCTCGGACCCCGACGGCTTTGGCAGCGGCGAGACCGATCGCAGGCAGCTGGCGCGCCCGACCGACATCGCTGTCGTCCCTGGCGCACCGGGCGACCTGGTCGTCTCGGAGGGCGAGGGCAACAAGATCGTGCGCTACGTGGCGGGGAGGGGGGTCTTCATCCTCGCCGGCAACGGCGCGCCCGGCTTCCGCGACGGACCGGGGACGCAGGCCATGTTCAACAACCCGACGAGCGTGGCGGTCGACGCGTCGGGCAACGTCTACGTCGCAGATCAGGGCAACTTCCGCGTGCGCCTTATCGACCCCAACGGCGTGGTTTCGACGCTGATCGGCTCTGGGTCCTACGACGGCGGGTTCAAGCTCGGCGCGGGGTCGTGCGCGCAGATCCAGCCCGTGTCCGTCGCGGCGTCCTTCTCCGGCGCCGACGTCTACGTCACCGACGCAACCGTTGGACGCGTGTTCCAGGTCCGCGGCAACCAGCTGATCCCCGTTGCGGGAACCGACGAACCAGGTCACTTCGACGGAGTCGGGCGGCTCGCGCGGGTACAGCCTGGCGCTATCCTAGCGCCCGGTCGCGACGATCAAACCATGCTGGTCCTCGAGGCCGATTATTATGAGAGCTCTATCAAGCTCTTGCAGCGCGCAGCCACGCCGTGCTCGGCGCCCGCGCCCGCGAACGCGAGCTGCGCCGTCCACGTGTGGCCGGCGACGGCCCCCGCGCCTCCGGAGCCCTGCCGCGACCTGAACCGCTGTGCAGCGGGACTGACCTGCCTGAACGTGCCGGCGGCGGCGGGCGGCCACGTGTGCGCGAACGTCACGCACCCCTGCGCCGGCGCGTGGGCGTCGTCGCGGGTGGCCCCGACCGTGGATCTGGCGGCGCAGCCCCCCTCTCTGAGCCCTCCCGAGAAGGTCAAGTCGCTCGTGGCTGATCCGGCGGACGACAGCAGGTCCATCAACGTCCACACGGGGGTCATCGCGTGGGTCCAGGGCCGCCCCTTGGGCACGTCGGGCGTTTTCGACGGAGACGCTGCGACGTCGTGGAGCGCCAGCTCTGCTGTCAGCCTGGTATACGAGATGCCGGCGGCCGTCGTGGCGACGGCCTACCACGTCCACCATAGCGGCACCACCATCAACCACATCCTGCAGGGCTCGAACGACCATGCAATCTGGGAGGACCTGGATGGCGTTTCGGGGTCCTCCCCGGGAGACAAAGACTGGAGTCTTACCCACCCATACGCATCGCACGAGAGGGCGTTCAAGTGGTTCCGGCTTGCCATCACGCCTTCCTCCGGAATTGTTGGAATAGTCGACTTCAGCATCACCGTCAGGCGCTTCGTCGACGGGGGGGTGGCAAACGCACCGCCGCCGCTGTCGCAGCCGCGCGACGTGGCGAATGTGGCCGGGGACGTCCTCGTCGCGGACGCCGCGGGTCACCAGGTGCGGATGCTCAAGCCAACGGGGCAGTACCTGATCTCCGAGCCCGTCGCTGGCGTCCAGGGGCAGGCAGGGGCGCTGGTGACGGGCGACGTACGCGGCGCGGCGCGCCTGGACAGCCCCGCGGGGATCGTCAGGACCGCGGGCGGCGCGATCTACATCGCGGACGCTGGGGCGAACGTCGTCGTGAAGATCGATGGAACAGCGATGTCGGTGGTGGTTGGCGCACTGAATGGGGCTGCGGGCTCCGACGTGGGGGCGCCGACGCACGCGACGGTCGGGCGTCTGAACGGCCCCGAGGGCCTCGCGCTCGACCGCGACGGCACGGGGCTGTTCATCGCCGACACGGGCAACCACCGCGTGTTGCACTTCACTGGTTCGACGCTGGTGGTCCTGGCGGGCTCGGCGGGGAGCCCGGGGCTGCTGGACGCCGTCGGTGGCGCCGCACGCTTCAACGCGCCGACGGGCGTGGCGTTCGATCCGTCTTCGAACCGCACGTACGTGGCGGACAAGGGCAACAACGCTGTGCGCGTGATTTACAACGGCACGTACGTCGGGACGTTCGCGGGCTCGGTCCAGGGCGCCGCCGGGTACGCAGACGGCTTCCGCGGGTGTGCGCGCTTCGACGGCCCGCACGGGGTCATCCTCGCGGACGGCGCGCTGATCGTGACGGAGGAGCGCGGGCGGCGCGTCAGGCAGGTCAACCTGGGCGGCACCGTCTCGACCATCGCGACCCCCGAGCAGCTCGGCCTCGTGCACCCGCCCGCGAACGCGACGCTGAACCCCGCGCACTCGGGTCCCATGGGGCTGGACCGCGCGGGCCCGGGCGACGTGTTTGTTGCCGTCGGGTCGCTGCCGGAGGTGCGGCGCCTCGCGCTGGGCGGCTCGGCGCCGGCCAACTGTACCACGGAGGCGCCGAAGTGGAACTGCTCCATTGGATGGGAGAACGAGTGCGCGGAGGGCAGCAGCGGCTGCGACGCGACGACCCTTTGCTACGACCCGCCGGGGAGCAAGTACAAGTGCAGCTGCCCCTCCGGGTACACGGTTGACGGCACGCCGGCAGGGGCCACGGACGACATCGGGCCTTTCGTGCCGTGCAGCGACGTCGACGAGTGCGCGCACGGCACGCACACCTGCGCAGAGACGCAACGGTGCAGCAACGTCGCGGGGAGCTACTACTGCACGACCTTCTGCGACGCGATCGCTGGCGTTCCGAGCTCGTTCTGCGTCGCTGGCCAGTGAGCCGGCGGTCTCGTCGAAGGCGCCCGGTGCGGTTGTGTTGCTGAACGACACGATGGGCAAAACAAAACAAGATGCAGCGTCTGGGAAGGGAGGACTGTCGGAGACGGTCTTGCACGAGATGAGACGCTTTTCTACCTATTTTATTCTACGTTGACACTATTCTTTCCTCTATATTATACTATTATACGATTATACTATTATTATTATTATCTCATTATGATGATTCTAGTCTTTTCTATTCTCTACCTACTAGCCAGCCCGTGTCTGCGACCCAGCATCGGCGCTGGCGGGCACGGGCAACTCGAACTCACGGACCCGCCAATGGCGCCTTTGGGTGGCCGCGGGTGCGATCCTGACTCAGGTCGGACCCACACTGACTGACGGGGTGGACCCCTCCCAATCGGTCGAAGACGCCGTGCGTGTGCGGAGCGCCCAGGACGACGCAGTCCACCGGTGCGCCCCCTCGCTCACTGCGCGTGCGGTCGTCGCGTGGTGTGCGCCGTCGAGGCCCCGGCTTTCTCGGAACGGCGTTGGACCCTGAAGGGTGTGTGCCCGATGCGTTGCGCGAGGGCTGTGTCGCGCAGCGACCCCCGAGGCCGCTGTTTCGCGCGTGCGATGTCGTCGCGAGCTCCACACTGTTGCTGCCTCGCCCGTGACTCGGGTGACGTGCAGCGCAGCCTCGCCTGACATTGGCCACGACGCCGCATCTTCGCGTGTCTGCGGCCAGGCAAGCCCACGGATCCAGCTTCGCATGGTCCCCTTTCGCGCAGGGCGCAATCTCAGCGGGCAGCCCTGTCGCAAGAGCGATGTGCGGGGCGGCTACTACTTTCCGCCCTCGCACGGCAAAAGAAGCCGAAGAAGACATAGAAGAAGATCAAGAGGCCGAAGATACCTAAGGTCAAGGAGTACAGCGGCCACATCCCGTAGCCGAAGTACTCTGGACCTGTGCCCAATGCCCAAACAATGATGTGAACACTTCGGCCGAGGACGACGACGGCTGGGGCGCGTGATCCCGGCTGCATGTTTGCAAAGTCATATATTACGTCCCTCAGAGCGCCTTGTACGACACCTCCAGCACCTGCTCTCCCCGCCCCACCCCAACCTTGCCCCGGGCACGCTGCGCCGCATCCCGCTCCGCCAGCCCCCGCCCGACCAGCTCCGCACACCCGCGCGACGCCGCCCGCGCCATCTCCTCCGGGCTCCGGTCTGCCAGCCCCGGCCACCGCAGCGCCTGCCCCGCCGCTCCTGCGTGCGGGGCGTCCGTCCCTGCTGGCGCCGGGTCCGGCGCAGGTCCCGGCGCGCTGCGCACGTGCGCCTCGCCCCACGCCACCATCGCCGCCTGCGCCACGGCGCGCACGACGCCGTCCGGCGTGCGGCCTTCGGCGCACACCGCCGACTGCAGCGCGCTCTTTCTGTCCAAAAACTGAAAGTGACCGGCGTCGCGCACGAGCAGCTGCCAGGCCGGCCCCGTGCACGCGTCGTAAAAGCGCGTGTAGTTCGCGTCACGCGGCGCGCAGTCCCCGCCGCGCCCGGCGCCGACGACGACCATCGGCAGCGGCTGCGTGCGCGCCATTGCACGTGCACCAAGACACAGCCCCGGGATCCGACACTCCGCGTTTGTGGGCAGGTCCTTCCGCGCGGGCTCCGCGGCGCGGCTCGCGGCGCGGCTCGCGGCGGCGTCGACGTCCTTGAGCTCTTCGTAGATCGCGCCGCCGCCTGCGCGGACGAAGCTTGTGCCGGCGGCTGCAGAGGGTTTGGGGGGGGTCTGGCCCGGGGCGGCGCGCTGGAGCTGGCGGGCCCAGTCCGACATCGCTTGCGTGGCGCTCGGGTACCCAGGGCCCTGCGCGCGGAGAGAGCAGGTTGAGATATATTCTTATGTGATTGTTTCTGTGCAGCTGCATAAGCGTTGTGTGTTTCTCCTAGACGCCAGCCGCGCGGACCGCGAGCACAGTCGCACGGCCTTCTCGCATCCTACTCTCCTCGGCCGTGGATGATGGGGGAGGACTAACCACGGGGGCGTAAACGGTGCTGTCGACGGGGTCGATGGCGCACATGGCGCGCACGCGGTCGTCCGTGAGCGCCGCGAGCGCGGACAGCTTGCCGCCGCGGGAGTGTCCGACCAGGTACACCCGGGAGGCGTCGCAGATTTTCGACAGGGAGCGGTCGGTGGCGGCCCAATCAATGATTTCCGATATGAAACGCGCCGAAACCTCGTCGTTCAGCGGGTCGTTGACCGTCTCGACCTTGTCGTACGTGATCGCGGTGTAGCCCCACGTCGCCAGCCGCTGCGACGCACACAAGCACACGCGGCAGCGCAAAGTGAACAGCGTCATCAAAAGCGCACAACCACTCAACGATACGTCCGTGCGCGGCGCGTTCGAGCATTCGCGAAAGGACGCGCGACGCGCAGCGTGCGTGGCCGCGAGGCTGCCCCCTCGCAGCGAGTTGTGTGGAGATGCCGCGCTCAGCACGCTCTCACCTCCGCGTACGACTGATACGCTTCAGCGCCGACGAGGAAGCCACCGGTGATGATCGCCAGGGGATACGGCGGGCCCACTCCGTACACGACCCCGCCCTGCAGTCCGAAGCGAGCGTTTGCGTGTGTGCTGAGCCCACTGGGTGTGAATTGATGCGTCTGGTGGCGGGATCCATCGCTGTCTTCCGGCTCAGAGGTTTCCCAGAGAAGGTATCATACTAGATGAGCGGGCGTGGAGCTCACCTTGGGGTATGTGACGTCAGCGCGCAGGATGCACTGTGCGCCGATGCAGTCAGGGAAGCACGAGCTCGCGGTGTGCTCGAGGCGCGGCAACCGGATGGCCTCAAGCGGTCCCTCTCGAGTGTAGTCAGGCTGCACCGGTGCGTCCGCGACCTCTTCCGCGAAGTCCACGATGCTCGGAAGCTCCATAGGCTGTGCCGCTTGCGCAGGCGCTCCCACGCACCCCACCGACGCCGCCAGCACCGTTCCGAGGCACAGCGCGTTCCTTCGCGTCAGTTCATGCGAAGGAGCTGCCAGCACCGGCTCTTCCTCGCCGGAACCCCGCGCACTCCGCGCCCGGCGCGCTTTGGCCTTGACAGGACGTTTTCGCGCCTGCGGCACGGACAGACACCCCGGCCCAGCCGCAGCCCGCAACCCCGTGGTGCCCACCATTGCCCCGGACAACGTCCGCCCTCCAAAAGCCCCTGTTCCGCGACGTGCGCGGCGATTCGCGCGCTCTTTGGAGGATCTCTGACTCCAGGGAAACGTCCCGCGCGAGGCGCACGCTCCCTGCCCCGCGGTTCCTTGCTGCTGGAGCAGCTGTAGATGGCGAACGCGGACCGCAGACGGCACGGGGGCCGCCGGACCATCGAGCTCCGTGCGCTGCAGGTCATACTAGGTAGCACTTGTTGTCCTGACTCAGCAGGCGGTTTCGACGCTGGGAGGGGCAACAAGCGCGAAGGAGAGCGCTCCTCCGATCAGTGCGAAGCCCCCGCTGCGCACCTCGACGGCCCGCACGAGCCACCGAACATCCTCTCTTCATTCGAGATTCAAGGACTCGACATCCCGCTTGCAAATAGGCAGACGGCCACTGGCTCACGCACACACCGACCCCACAACGACCTCCTCGGGGCACTCACACACGGCGCGCCGCGCAGCTAGCCGAAACGCACGCGCGCCAGCCAGCCCCTTGCCAGCGCCATCACTGCCGCAAACCCACCATGTAGTGCGAGTACTTCCCAAGCGTCCCATCGGGCCCCCGCAGGTCCACCGGGGTGTGCACGCAGTGCCCCGCGACGTGCCCCACGCCCTCAACTGGCTCCAGTTGCTGCGGGAACGCGACGCTCATCCACCCCGCGTCTGTTGCCACGCGAACAGGTCGAGGAAGTCGCGTCGGCGCGACGGCGCGACGGCGCGCACGGCGTCCATGTGCCGCGAAGGCGCAAGGCTGGCGCGCGGTAGCGCGCGCGCACACGCGTGCGTGGCCGTGCGGCGTGCGCGGCGGCGGCGGCGGCGGCGCACCTGGTCCACCATGGTGTGTGTGTTCTCGAACCAGAACGTTCCCTGGAAGCACTTGCCGCGCAGGAAGTATGGGTACCAGAACTCGTCGTCCGCCCACATCTTCGAGTAGTCAAGGTCCTCCTCCCGCACCCACATCGGGCGCATCTCGTCTGTCTCCGCAGGCTCGCCCCTGCGCAGCGCGGTGCGTCACGAGCTGCGTGGTGGCCGCACGAGCACACGCGCACGCCCCCTGCAGCACGCACGGCGCGCCGCAGCGCCCGGCAAAAGGCCTGCGACGTGTTTCTTCGTTTGTGAAACGGTGACTGATTTCAAGTCAATGACTGCAGCGGGCGCGTGTGCGGGCTCGGGGCCGCGAGGCGGCCGCAACGGGCGCGGTGTCCGTGGGCACGATCGAGCTCCGCGGGGCGTGCGCGGCGCCGGCGGTCTGACCTGACTCCGCTGGCGTAGAAGACGTGGGTCTCCCACGGCGCGTGGCCGTCGTCGAAGACGAACGTCAGGACCCCGCGGCGCTCGAGCTGCGACGCCGGGGCCACGCCGGCCTCCTCGTGGCGCTCCCGCTCCGCCGCGGCTAGGATCGTCTCCCCGTGCTCGACCTTGCCTCCGAAGCCGTTCATGTACCCGGCACCGAACCCCCGCTTTTTGAGCCCCAGGAGCAGCGACCGGGCGCCGCCCTCGGCCTGGCCCTGGACTAGCACGAGCTGCGGCGAGGCGGCGGGCCCGGGGGCGTGAGCGCGGACGTGCCGGAAGGCGGGACGGTGATAGCGCGGTGCGTGTGGGGCGGTAACGGTTGTGCGGGTGTGGTACGGGCGATGTGTTACCGTGAGAATCTTCCGCGGTCCCGCGGGGAGCGCTGTGGGCGCGAGCGGGCTGCAAACGGCGCACGTTCTGACCATCTTTTTTCTCCTCGTGGTGCGTATCCGCGGCCCGAAATGGACCTCTCAGTGCCTATTCTCAGTTCGCTTACTTATTTCACCAGTGCTGTATGTGATTTTGTACAAATCGAAGGCATATGGGGCCCTAACTGAACTCTTTAGGTCTGCCGCGCTGCGTTGTGACACGAGAAGCTGTCCGTCGTCTGTTGACGAGGTGCGGGACGCCCGAGCGGGCTGCGACTGGCCGGGGGAAGTGGTGTACGCGCGCTGTCCTGCCCCCTTGACCCCGCGGAGGCCTCGCCTGACACCACTGTGTACCAACCCGACGTGAGCACTCCACAGCAGTGCAGGCTGCCGTTGCGTGTCCGGGGCGCCTCCACGGCCCACACTCGCTGTCTCTTCCACTCTCTCGCGTCAGCAGCTCCGTAGCCGCACAGAGACGAGGCGCGCGAACACCGGCGGTGCCCTTGCGTCGAGCCTGGCCCCGCTGGCGGGCGGTGCGGGGTCGCGGCGATGTCGTGGACGCTTGCGATCGCAAAGGACCAGCCGGAGTACCCGAAGGCGGACGGCGACAGGTTCCACTTCAAGCTCGGCGATGACGTGAGCTCCCGCGCGTGGTCCCTAGCTGGCGAAACACCCCTCTCGCGCACATATACATGCTCCTTTCGCGACCCGCACACTTGAAGTCATGTCCTGGTGCCACGGCGCGCGGAATCCGGAGAGTCTGACATCACCTCGAGCTTGGTTCACATCCATGTGTTGGTAACTGCTTTGCGCACCTCCTCGTCCGACTGCCCAGCGACCAGCCCCCCTCCTCGCCAGCCCTGCCACCACACGATCTCACACGTCCTCTCACCGCCGCTCAACCTCCCAGACCCCCCTCTTTCGCTCGGAACCCCCCCCCAACCACCCTCGCGCGCACCCTGTCCGTGTCCCCGCCCCGCACGACCCCGCACCGACCCGCGCCCGCCCTCGCAGCAACGGTACGTATCGCTCATCCGCCACGCCGGCAAGCTCCACTGCATCGACAGCATATGCTTCCACGCCGGCGGCCCATTAGCCATCGGCGACATCGAAGACGTCGAAGGACACACCTGCATCACGTGCCCGTGGCACTTCTACAAGGTAACGGCGCGCCCATCTCGCCGCCGACGCGCCCGCGGCACCAGCGCCCGTCGCCACCGCGGCACGCCGTGTCGCCGATTCCGTCGTCTTCGCGGCGCGTCATGCTGCCCCCGGCCGTTTCGCTGCGTGGCGCCGCACATCGAGACCCGCGGCTCTGGGAGCCCGCGGGGATCTCGTGCGACGTGCGTTCGTGGCGGTGGCTGCGGGGGCGGCCGCTGCCCGGCGTGTGTTGAAGTTGCGAGTGCCGCGAGTGCGGGCCGCGTGCAGATCGGCGTGGAGGACGGGTGCAAGTATTACCAGCCGCTGGTGAAGAACGAGGAGGGCAAGATGGTACCGGGCGCGTGGAAGACGATCGGGAAGCGGCAGCGCGTGCACAGTGTCGAGGAGCGCCACGACGGAGCGTATGTCAGACCGGACCCTGACGCGGAGTGCCACTCGGACCACTACGCGCACAACCACGAGGCTGGCGAGCGGATCATCCACACCGGGCTCGCGCAGAACCAGCCCCACGGCACGGTGGCGGAGGACAGGTGCGTGCCGCCGGTGCACTGCGCGCTGTTCCATGGGCGAGGCAGCAGACGCGCGCGTGTTCCGCTTGCACGCGTGTCTGTTCACGTCGGTCGCGCGTGGTTCTGGGTCCCTGAGCGACCTATGGGGCTGACGATTCCGCGATGCTGGTGTCGTGTGTCCTGGTTTGCGTTTCGTTCGTGATTGGGCGCTCAAATCGCGAACGCTCGGTCGCCGCTGAGCAGCCAGGCCACCAGTGCACGAGCTACGACGACGTCAGTGGGTCGTCGCGCGCCGCCGCAGAACACCCCCCCCTCTCTGACTGGGTGCGTGCAGGTTGCCTGGGCCGCCCGTTGCCGCCAAGCAGGGAGCGGGGACGGCGCCGTGGGCGCGGGGCGCGCACGTACAGGGCGAGCGGCCACCTGGGTCCGCCCCGCTGGGAATCCCGCACGCCCCGTCAAGAGGACCTCCGCCAATGTGAGAAGATTTATAAATTCGTGGTTCTTCGTTCCACCGTCGCCCTGGGTGCCGCCCCGCGTGCGCAACGTGGTCGCGGAGCACGTGCGTCGCTTGCATGACGATCCCGGTCCGCCAGCGATAGGAGTTGCGGAGCAACGAGAGCGTGTCAGCAGCGGAAGGGGCCTAGCTGCGGACCCGCGGCGATGGCGGCGTTGCGCGACATGCGACGGCTGTCCGGACAGTTGCCGTGGTTGTGCGGCCCCGCGGCGGCGGCCGCGCGCGCGGGCGGCATGGTGTGTTGACAGCCAGGGGCGGCATGCGCTGGCAGTCGAGGAAAACCCGACTGACGTGGACGCGAAGACCTCTCAGTGGTTGCTCGGCCTTGAGCGCCGTCGAGGGCCGTCGCCTGCCCCGCATCAACCCAGAACTCGTTGCTCACGATTTCATTTTCCGCATCGACGCGCCCCGCACCGCCTCCCGCGCCCCGCTCGACCCGCACACCGCACCGTAGCTCCACCCAGGTCGTCGCCGCGATGCCGGGCCCGCTCGAGGAGCTCAAGGCCAAGGTGGACGAGGCGCTCGCGAAGAACTTCCGCGTGACACACCGCTGCAGGTAACCCCGCGCCCGTCCTCCCCGCAACCACGCCGCGCGCGCCGCCCAAAGCCCCTGCTCGCACATCCACCAAGGGAAGCCTTCCCACTGCACCTCCGCTTTCGTACCACCTTTTTCGCGCTTTTCTGTACCGCTGCTGCAAGCTGGCGCCCGGTGTAACATCGTCCGATCGAATTTGAGCCCTGAGGTGCCCCGAGGGACCGCAGTGAGCCCGGCTGGAGGGCTCGCTGAAGGTCAAGGGCTGATCGCCGCGCCCTCCCGCCTCGCTTTGGCCTCGCAGGAAGGACGGGACGCACACGATGCGTGCCAGGGCGGTCGGCGACGCCGCGCAGCTCCCTAGCCGCGTCGTCAACCTGCGTCAGCTCGGGTTCGCCGGTACGTGCCCCGTGGTTGCATCCTGAACCTCCGCCGCCGCGATTCCCGCCGCACGCCCGCATCGGTCGCCGCGTTCGACGCATCACATCCCGAAGCGCGTCCCGCGCCGCCTTTCGCGCCGTCATCGAGCAGCTACACGTCCCGAGCGCCTGTTGCTCACAGCGAGCCACCCGGTCGCTCCCCGCAGCGGTGATCCCGGGCGACACGGTCGTGGAGGCGGTGACCACGCAGGGCATCAACTCGTTCCTCCAGCTGTACAACGGCGCGCTCATCATGCGCCTCGTCCTCACCTGGTTCCCGAACCCTCCCGCGGCGCTCATCTCGCCCCTCGCCACCGTCTGCGACCCCTACCTCAACCTCTTCCGGTACGCCCCCTCCCCACGCACCCGCGCGCGCTCCTTCGGCCAGCCCCAACGTCAACGAACGAGAACTTGGAGCACGTCCAGCAAAAGCAATGCGCTGATGTCCCTCCTCTCACCCCGAATACCTCGCAGGGGCCTGATCCCGCCGCTCGGGGGCTCGATCGACCTGTCGCCGATCCTGGCGTTCATCGTCCTCGATGTCTTCACCTCCTCGGCCGCGGCCCTCCCCGCCGAGATGCCTAAGGGCGGCGCCGAGGCCCAGGAGGCAAAGCCGCGCCGGGGACCGCTCCGCAGGCTGTTCGGCCGCCGCGCCGCCGAGGAGCAGCAGTAGGCTGCCGCTCGAGAGCCCGCGTAAGGCCGCTGGGTGTGACACGCAGCTGGCGCACTCGTAGCGCCGCCACGCCGCGTCGCCGGGTCGTCGCGACCGCGGGCGCGGTGCCAAAGCGAGAGGCGCGCCGCAGCGGCTTGCCGGCAACGCCGGAGCGGCCGTGCGGCCGTGGGTGGTGCGTGTGCGGGACAGGGGGGGTGTTAGACCTGACTGAGCGTCGTTAGCATCGCAACAATCCGCTGCGCGCGCGCTCCGCGGGCGAAGGGGGGCGGCGCCGGCGCGCGCAGGGCATTCAGTGCACGGGCGCGCCTGCAGCACTTCCGTTCCGCGATTCCTCTCCGTGCGTTGCGCACATCTTGTTGCTCGACAGTGACGGTTTCGCCGTTCAGCACGAGCGGTGATCGAACGCCGCCTTTTCCGGCACCAGCGCCGATCTCGCGAGCTATCGAGCGCGATCCTGTGCCACGTCGCGTCGGGTCGCGGTCGGGACGGCTGCGCGGGAGCTTCGTAGCACCTGTGGCTTCAGCGAGGGGCCGCGATGACCGCGGCGACGGAGCAGCCGGCCGTGCGGCGCTCGGCTTCGCTCCGGACGTCGAAGGAGGAAGCGGGTCTGTCGCTCGTCGCCATCTCGGAGCGCCCTGACGAGGCCGTCGAGGAGTACCTCCTGCGCCTAAATGAGCACCGCAGGCACGCAGCACCGCCGCGGACGTTCCGGTCCGACTCGCCGCACCGCGACGCCCCGTCGCTACCAGCGTCCGAATTTCCACGAACTGTCCCGGAAAGCACGCACTTGTGGCGCCGGAGGGCACCCCAAAGTGCTGCCCCGAGTGCTTGCGCAGCGAGCAGCCCGCACGCCGCGCGTGGTCGCACCTCCCCGATGCTCCACGCGCCACGCTGACCACCGTGGTCCAGTTCGTTGCCGAACAGCCGCGCTGGCGTTCGGGACGGCCCAGGCTCGCCCGGCCTCTGCACGACGCTGCCCACGCGCCGACCCGCGCGCGCCCCGCGGCCCCCACCGCGTCGCAGGAGGTGCGAGGAGGCCGGCAGGTACAACGAGGCGTCCGCGACGGCCGAGCGCATGCGGCAAGTGCGCGAGGAGGAGGCCGACAGGAGACGCAGCGCGCTGGAGGACAAACACATGCGGGAGCGTCTCATGATCGAGGAAGCCTTCCGAAACGAGGTCCGTGCCCCTCCGCGCCTTCCTCCCGCCCTGTGCCACGCCGCCAGCCGCTTCCCCGGCCGGAACCCGCCGCGCAGCCGCCAGCGTCGCCGCTCGAAGGCTCTCTGTGTGAGCAGCGGCCCGCGGGGCGCGGAGCGTTCGCGCGATGTTCCCGCGCGTCTGCCTTGTTCGTGACGTGTGAAAGCGAGGTCGCGCCGCAGGTCGAGCGCTTCGAGACGGAGTGGAACAAGGCGGACGAGGAGCTGAGCGCGCGCCTGCACGAGATGGAGGAGGGGGTGCGGGCGCGCCAGCTGCAGGAGCAGGTGCTGCTGCGGCGCCAGCAGGAGTCCAGGAGCATCAGGTTCAAGTCGAGCGCGGAGCTGCTGTCGCTGCGCGAGAAGGAGGCGCGGCTGGTGCGGCAGAAGAACTACGCCGAGGCCGAGACGGTGCGGCAGGCCGCGGACGAGACGGAGGCGCGGGAGCGCGCGATGCAGGAGAAGCACTTCTTCGAGCGGCAGGAGATGGAGACGCAGCGGATGCACGCGCGGCAGGAGAAGGAGCTGGAGGCGCTCGCGGGGCGCCTGGAGCGCATGGAGTCGGAGCTGCAGGTGCGCCGAGGGGGCGCCCGGATCGCGCCGTTCGCCGCGCAGCTAAGCATTTCTGAGCACGCGCGAGGGCGGTGCGCCGTAGCTGCGGCCGCCGGACGCGTGCGTGCAACCAACCGTTCTCCAACGGCGTTGTCGATGTTCTTGTTATATCGCAGGTGAAAAAGGAGGCCGCGTCGAAGCAGCTGGTCCACCGGTACGACGTGGCGCGGCAGGCGCTCGAGAAGCAGCAGCGGCTCGAGACGCGCGACCTCGGCCGCGCCCTGCGCGAGGGCCTGGTCGGCAAGGACGTCAACATGCAGCGGCCCGTGGAGCGCCAGGAGCCCGCGTTCTCCGCGGGGAACCTGCAGCTCAACCGCCCGGTCTCCGCGTGCCTCAAGCCGACGATCGCGGAGGTCGCAGCCGGCGAACAGGCGCGCTCGGCCAAGGGCACGCTGCGCGCGCCGCCGCCGGCGTCCGTCGCGTCGCGGCGCAAGAACGTCACGAAGCCGCTGCCGCCGATGAGAGAGGGGTCCGGAATGCAGGACCCCGTGCGCGCTGCGGCCGCCAAGCAGCCTCGTATGGCGGACCGGCTACACAAACTAGTGGTGTATGGTCAGGACAGCAACGCGACGCAGGGGCGGCGCACGCGGCCCAGCTCCGCCGCAGCGAAGAAGGACGCGAACCCTCCGCCGTCGCCGTACGCGAAGAAGCGGTCGAGCGCGGCGGGGAACGGGAACGGCGGAACGGCGGCGGCGCGGCTCCCGCCGCGCAGCGGGAGCAGCCCGTCCCGTCCGCGTGCGGCGGGCGCGTCGCCGGGGAAGCCGGCGCGGGCGGCCCAGCCGGGCGGGGGGCGCCGGCCTGGGTCCGGACGGACGGCGTCGGGGCGGCCGTTGTCGGCGGGGCAGCAGGAGGGCGACGCGGAGGGGTGGAGTTTATTGACGGCGCTGAGGGACGAGCAGGGCGGCGGCGCGGAGGGCGGCGGCGCGGAGGGCGGCGGCGCGGACGGGCGGGCGTCGGGGTCGTCGTCGGCGCGGCGGAACCGGCCGGCGAGCGCGCGGCGGAGCGGGGGGGCCATTGGGGGGAGTGTAGCGGAAGAGCAGGTAGCGGAGGTGGACGAGGGCCCCGGGGAGAGCTGACGGGCGCCATGCGCTGCCCGTTGCCGCGATGTGAGGCGGCAGTTGGCGGAACTGCGATTCCGCACCGGCGTGCCTTGCGTGGCCGGTGCTGCACTGGGACGAGTTGCGTCAGCGCACGCTTGCGCGCTCGCGCGTGCGGTCCGCCAGCTGCAGATGCACATGCGTGCCTTGGATCCGTGGCAGAAGGGCGGCCCCAGGCGCCGCCAGGCCGGTCAAGCTACCTGGTGTTGCGCATGGCCCTTGGGGTGGCGCTGGGAGTCGAGGCACCGGCGCTGGCCCGAACGCGGGGTGTGCGGCCAGCAGCGGCGAGGAGGGTCGGTACGCGGGCGTGAGTGCGACCGTGGCTGACGGCAACCGTCCCTCGACACCATTCACTATCAATCACGTTTCAATATTAATCTATCGACATCTTCAAACAAGCCGTGCGGCGTCATCCGAAGTAGTCGTGGAAGGGCTGCGGCTTCTCCGCCCACCCGAGCTCGTACTTGCGGCCCAGCACCGTCACGCGCAGGTTTCCGTTGCCCGCCAGCACCTGCGCCAACTCGTCCACGTGGTTCAGCCCCCACCACGCAAACAGCGCGCACCCGACGGCCACGATCCACGTCAGCGCCTCCCACAGCACCCGCAGCAGCGTCCACTCCCGTTCCGGCGATGGTTCGATGGCATCCATCGCATCATCGATCAGCTGCTGGAACTCACGCTCGACCACGGCTTCCACCTGCAGCGCGAGGTAGTGCCGCGGGTGAGCGGACGCGGGGCGTGGCGGTGGGAAGGCGCCGGACGGGGCGCCGCGGGCGCTGGTGAGGCGTGTTGCGCAGGGTAGGGTGCGTGAAGTGCCGTGATTCTCGCCTCTTCGTCGCTCGCGTCCTTCCCGAGATCCTTTCTGATGTTGCTCTCGAGGTCTTTGCGCTTGGGAGCCAGCGCCCGCTCCAGGTTGGCCCGCTGCTGCTTGCGCTGTTCTTTCCGGTCCACCTTGCCGCGCGATGCGATCTTAATCTCGTCCGCCGACACCATGTCCACACGACTCACGAAGTGGGGAATGCTTCCCTGAGGTTGTACTAGGTACTTAACAAGAGAGGCGACCACGAACGGCGTGACCTTCTTGTGGCCTCTCAGGTCAGTATTTGCGCTCTCGCGCGCCTCTCCGTGCCGTGGAGTTCGCTATTCACTCTATATGGGCAGTCACCGACGAGGCCAAGCTAGCACTGCACTCCCAAGCAGCCGCAAAAGCACACTCGCTACTGTGTGTAGGGCAAGGCCTGGAAGAGCCGAATGAGCCCGGACCGTCGCGTCTCGACCGCTGCTGCAGATGTACATGAGGCCCGCACCTGCAGCGGGAGCTGTAGTACTCCGCGCGGCCTGTCACTGGCGCGCGAGGGGTGTGGGCACTCCCAGACACGCCCCCCCTTGTACCGGTCCCTGCGAGCTCCCCGCCAGCAATGCGACACCCTGGTGCGTGCGTCCGACATCACATTGACGCGCGCGCTGACTTCATCGCACAACTCCTTGGTTGGCGCGTCACATTCGGCCTTTCTTCATCGAACAATGACGTGCGCCTCCACGCCCATCAGACGGAACGCCAGCGCCATGTTTTGCACGTCGCGGCCTCCTCAAGCTCGGTGTAACCCCTCAAGCCGCGTTACATCGCGACAACCCGCACTTCCGCGGCGTTGTGGTCGCCTCATCCGCCGGGCAGCAGTGGCACAAGACAGCGCCGGCGAAGACGAGCGCGCACGGGCCGCGTTCAGCGCCCGCTCCTTCACGTACGCCCATACAACACCCTGATGCACCGCACGGAGCCGAACGGACCCATTTCACGCCGCTTATCGCGCGGTGTGCGCACCAGAGAGTGCACAGAGCCTCAGACCGACCCCGCCGACCGCTGGAGGGCCTCCGCCCCTCCTCGGGCTGTCGGCGTCCTTCCTTGAGTGCTCCGCGGCATCCTTGAGCTTTTTCTCGGTCTTGTACTCTTTGGTCGGTACTGGTGCTTGTACTTGGGGTCCTCCGGGGAGTATAAGACCGACAAGAAGCTCGAGGATGGCGCCGACAGCCCGCGGAGGGTGGAGAGCATCCATCCTTCGGGGTGGTCCACCCGGTGGCCTCCACTGGAGGCCCTCAGCGGTCGGCGGGGCTGTTGACGACGCTTGAGCTGCCGGTGTTGCGCGGGTGGAGGTGGTGCGGGGCGAGGGCGTCGTCGCGGCGCGAACAAACCGAGACGTCGCTACACGCATGTCACCCTCCGTTTCCTCCGTCGTCGCTACCATGCGCGAGCAGGGTGGTCAACACAGGAAGCTGCTGGAACAGTACGAACCCCCGCCGCGCGCTGCCTGCAGGTGCACTGAGTGCGGCAAGTGCTGCACGGGCGCGGGCGAGGTCTGGATCGACTCCGCCGAGGCCGCCGCGATGGCGCAGAGGCTCGAGCTGGACACCCCCACCTTTCTCGAAAAATACACCAAGGATTATACCAGGCGTCAGGGGTGGTACTTCCTCAAGACGCGGCCGGGCGACGTGGACGGCGCGTGCATCTTCCTCGAGCCGGACTCGAACCTCTGTCGCGTGCACGACGTCAGGCCGCTGATGTGCAAGACGTATCCGTGGTGGCCAGCGCTGGTCGACGAGGACACGTGGCAGCAGGAGAAGCGCGAGACGTGCGAGGGCTTCGACCACGAGGACGCGCCGCCGCAGGACGTCGACCACGCGCTGCGCATGCTGCAGGAGAGCCGTGCGTACGTCGCGCGGCGCGAACGCGCCCCGCTGGCGAAAAAGGTGAAGAAACGCGCCGCCGCCGCGTCCAAGGGCTTCGGGGGACGATGACGGCGCTGTGCGTGGCGGACTTCGCGGGGACGCCCGGCTGGACGGTGTGAGAGCGCGGTGCTCAAGCGCGCTGCTTGCGCGACGTGTCTGAGTAAAGTGTTCAACGTTGACGGGGCGGGGTAGTGCCGGGGGGGGCGTACGTCGCGTGGGAGCGTGGGCGGCCGTGCGGTCCGGCGGCGCTGCGTTTGAGGCGTGCTCCCGCCGTCGTCTGGGGGTGTTTTGCGACCTGAGTCATCAAAGGAAAAGGAGAGCAGTGCTCAGCACTGGCTGACTGTGTGAGCGGCTTCGGGCGCGTGCCGCGGCGTGGGCGGCTCAGTCGTGATCTGTAGGATCTCGGAGAGACGGAAGTAGTGAATAACGCTTGTGTGCGGCCCGGAAAGCGAGCTGGCGCCTGAACTGCCCCGGCAAAGCCCGAGGATGGCCAGCGCGGCCGCGACGGCGGCCTGCGCGCCCCTCACGTCCCGGCATGGGCCGCCTTGTTCGAGGAATACGAGCGGGGCGCACCACGCCGGGTTCGCTCCGCACCGGCGAGCGGTGCGCAGGGGCCGCTGCTCCTGGCGCAGCAGGGATGGCGCGCCTGCTGCGCCCGTGCATCATGTGTGCCGGGCAGGCCGACGAGGTCCGTTCCGGCCCATGAGCGCGCCTCAGCGCAGGCATCACCTCTCCCGCCGCATTATACCAGCCTCAGTCGCCAGATACAGATGCTCACAAACGATTCGAGGCCTTTTTCTCGGCCGATGCACGACCAGCGCGACGCCGTGCATCGCAAGCTCAGTCCCCACCTCGGCGCCTCGGACCACTTTCGGAGGAATTCGCACCACACCACCTCGAGGCGCCGCGCGCGCCGCCCACAAGCCCTGCCCTCTCTGCTCACTCACCGCACCTGTGTTCCGCGCCGCAGGGACCCCCGCAGCGGTCCCCGCGGTACACTCGGAGCTCCCGGACTCCGACCTGCCCTGCCTTGCCTGGCCGCCTGAAGACACCATCACACCTGGCTACCGCAAGACCATCCACCTGTACGAAAAGCGCTTCATCGACCTCCTCGAGCAAGTTCTAGACTCCGAGCACCGCTTCATGGGCCACATCGTCGTGGACGGCGGTGTCGGGCCGATGTCGAGGTCCCCGGGCGCCCTGGTCGTGCGCACTCCCGACGAGGAGATGACCATGGCGTGGGCGGGGGTGTGCCGCGTGGAGGGCATCCAGAAGCTGGACGTCGGCGCCCTCGTCACCCTCCAGGTCCGTCCGCCAGTCTCCACGAAGCCCCGCTTGATGCTCCCGACGAATGCTTTTCATGGACCCACTTGATGGCGCGAACCACGTCGAAATGGTCGGTTGAAGCGCCAGCACCGATCCCCGCTCCGCCGCCGCAGTGCGAGGGTCGCGTCGCGCTGCAGCAGCTGACCCAGGGGCGGCCGTACCTGCGCGCGCGCGTGGCGCTGATGCGTGACGAGCCGGTGAGGGGCACCGCGGAGGAGCGGCGCGCGGAGGAGGAGGCGCGCGAGGTGCTCGAGCTGCTGCGGACCGCGCGGGAGCTGGCGCAGAAGATCTACGGCGAGGGCGAGGCGGTCGACCTGATGGCGACCGTCGAAGACTGGTGCGTCGCCCGCGCCCGCCGCGCGGTGTTGGCGGCCTGGGAGGGGGGCCGTAGCCAGTGCCGCGCCCCGTTGGCGCGCAGTTGTCGTGGAGGTTGCGGCGCCTCCTTCTGCGCGTCCACCGGTCGCAGGCACGGCTTTATGTTGAAGAAAACCATTCCGTGTCATGGAACAGCCCCGGGACACAATCCTTGCCGCTGTTCCGTGGCACGGCATGGAGCTCTGGAGAAAAATACCGTGCGCGCGACTGGTGGGCGCGCAGAAGGAGGCGCCCGCGCTCGGCCCAACAACAAGTCCACGGAACGCGCCACCAGCTGCAACGCCGCTCGTCCCCACGGCGAGTCTTTCCGCCCATCCTGCGCAGCGCCAACACACTCCCACCATCCATCCGCGCTCGCAGGGCCCTCACCGACCGCCCGCTCCTGGAAACAGGCCCCCCCGGCCAGCAGCACCTTGCGTGGGCGTCACGCATCTCCTACTCCGCGCTGGTCGAAGTTCCCGGCATGAGCAGCGCGGAGGCGCTGCAGATGCACAAGCTGCGGCAGGAGGCCATGTCGCGCACGGACCTCCGCGAGCGCCTGGGCCTCGCGAAGGCGCACCTGAGCACCGTGTGCGGATCTCTGGGGGCGAAGGCCAGTCTGACGAACCTGGGACTCGCCGCGGAGGGCGGGGACAACCCGCCGACGAGTGAGAAGTGATGCGTTTGCGTCGCGAGAGCGACGTGGATGCCGCTCCGCTGCCTGGAACCTGCTGAAAAGACGCCGCACGCAAATAGCGAGGAGAGGCTGGAGTTGGCACGTATGGGCAAAGTGCTGATATGTGGCACCTCGTCTGGCTGCGCTGCCGACCTGCGCACGCGTCGTGACGGGGTGGAGACGCTGGCGACGAAGCACACCGGAAGACTTGCACGCAGGTCTGACTGCGACCTGCAAATGGCATGAGATGGCCCTGGCACCGCGACGGCACGCATGTGACTCCCTCCCACGTCGATCATAGTCTACGTCACGCAGCACTGGTCGAAAAAGCGAACGAGCAGTACAGCTAGGTCGTCAGAGCGCACGACTAGCATCGGTGGTGGCGGAAATGCCCGGCGGTCCCCGCCGCAGGCGCTTTCGAGCCGGCGAAGGCCTGCTCATCGTTGCCCCAGCGATGCGACGAGACTACAGAGAGCTTCTCAGAGACGGAGGATTACTGGACAGCGCCACGTGGTGTGTATGTTCACTGCGAGGGCCCTGTGCCCCACTTGTACTTGCCGGATGGATCTGCCGCTCCCGAGATCCGCGCAGCGACCTCCTTCGCGCGCGCTAGCGCCGCCGCGACCTCCGGATCCTGCGCCGCAGACCCCCCCCCTGCACCTCCCCCTCCCGGTGCATTCGACCCCCACTGCACCGGAGCTGGCGCGGCCGGCAGCGCGGCGCCGCCAGCCGCCTGCCGCGCCGCCCCTCCGCCGTCCATGTGCTGCGTGTACTGACTCAGTCCGACTGACTGCTTGCCCTGCCAGTACTGCTGGGTTCGCGCCGCCAGCCACGACGCCTGCTGCGGTCGCGGCGCGGCTCCGGGCGTCTGCCACGCAGGCCGCGCCGCCGTCACGCCTCCGCCCGCGTCCGTGCGGTTCGCGGCGGGCTTTTTCGGCGGCACGATGACCACCGCTGCCGGCGCGCCGCCGCCGACGACTTGCGATGATCGGAACTTGCTGCGGAGCTGCTCGCCGGACCGCTCGCGGTACTCGTCGCGCAGGAGCTGCCGCGCCGAGGCCGTCGTGCCGTCGTCGACGACCGGCGCCGCGGCGGCTGGCGCTGGTTGCGGTTTTGAAGCAGCGCTCGCAGGCAGCGGCGAGGCCCTAGTCGGCGGCGTCGGAAGGCCGGTTGGCGGCGGAGGCAGCCCCGCTGGAGGCGGAGGCAGCCCCGCCGGAGGCGGTGGCAGGCCGGTTGGCGGCGGGGGCAGGCCGACCGGGGGAGGGGGGAGTCCGACAGGTGGGGGGGGGAGTCCTGCCACCTTTGCAGTGATGCCCTGGGCGGCTTTCCGGGCGCGCTCCAGCGCGTCCTCCAGGGCAGCATCCTTGCCTGCAGCCCCGCCTGACGCAGCCCCTTCGTGGGCCTGCTGCGCAGCTCCGGCCGCCTGCTTTGCACCTGCTGCGGCCGCCGCAGCTCTCTTCGCCCGCTCGACGGCCTCCTGTATCGCCTGCGGTCCCGGCGCCACACTCGCCAGAGCCGGATTCTCCGCCTCGTACGACGCCGCGGCTCGCGTGAACTGCCCACCACCGCCCCCCGGCGGCACCTCCGCTTTACCCCCTCCCTGACTCCCCTCCTGGAACCCCAACCCCGCCCCGCCGGGCCCACGCCGCCCCCGCACAACCTTCTTCTCGCAACCACGGAACGGCCCCGCGGCGCGCCGCCCGCGCGCGAACTTCGGATCCTTCATCGCTAGCTGACGCAGCTCGTTGTCGACGTTCTGTCCGACTGCCAGCAGCTGCCCGACCAGGCGCGCCGCGAACCGCGCCTGCGTCGGCAACAGCAGCGTCACCGCGCGGCCCGTCTTGTCCCCCGCGCGCCCCGTCCGTCCCACGCGATGCACGTGCGTATCCACATCCCGCGCAATCTCGTAGCTAACGACGGTGCCCACGCTCGGAACGTCGATTCCTCGCGCTGCGAGGTCCGTCGCAACAAGCACGTGCGCCTCGCCGGACCGCAGCCGCCGGAGCGCCTCCATGCGCTCCGCAGGCACCATCTCGCCATGCAGCGTTGCGACGCGATGCCCCGCGGCGCGGACCTTCGCGGCGAGCTCGTCCACGGCCGCGATGCGCGAGACGAAGACGATCGTCTGCCCGTGGTCGATCATCTCGGGGAGGTTGTCGCGGAGCCAGGGCCACCGGGCGGCGTCGCTGGCCAGCACGACGGCGCGTTGTGCCACGTCCTCGTTCGCGGCGCCGATGTTGCCGACGGTGATGCGGACGGGGTCGTCGAGGGCCTCGGCGGCGAGGTGGCTGATCTTCTCGGGCATCGTCGCGGAGAAGAGGAGCGTCTGGCGGTCCGGGCGCACGCGGTTGCACAGCGAGCGCACCTGCGGCTCAAAGCCCATGTCGAACATCCTGCGCGCCGGCAATCGAGGAACTAGGTCTGAGAATCCAACCACAGCGAACCCAAAGCTCCTCGCACGCGTCGAGATCGCCATCCATCAGTCTCATCCTTCTGGCATTCGTCGCGATTCGGCATTGATGGTTGTTGGGCTGCACGTCTCTGTTCGGGGCCACACCTGTCCGCCTCGTCGAGGACGAGCATCGTCGTCCGCAGCAGCGTCGTCGCCTTGTCGCGCACCAGGTCCACCATCCTCCCGGGCGTGCACACCGCCACGTCACACCCCCCCTTTAACTCCACCACCTGCTTCCCCTTGTCGATGCCGCCGAACGCCGCACACACGCTCAGCCGGCCCCCGCTGCCGTCCCACATCACCTTCCGCGCCTCCCGGTGTACCTGCTCGGCCAGCTCCCGCGTCGGCGTCACCACGAGGCCGATGGGGGACTCTCGCTTTCCAGGGGGGGACTGCAGGGCCACGTGCGCGGCCATCGGGAGCAGGTACGCGAGGGTCTTGCCGGAGCCGGTCTTCGCGAGGGCGAGCACGTCGCGGCCCGCCAGGGCCGCAGGGAGCGCCTGGCGCTGGATCGGCGTGGGCTCCTTATACCCTGCGCGGCACCCACACTCAAGGAAACAGGTCTGCCTGGCCCCTGGTGCCGTAGCTCTGTTCACCACGGCAGGCGGGCGCCGCCGATCGGGCCTCGTCCTGACGAACTTCGAGCGGCATTGCGCTTCGATGCGTTCGGGTCATGACGCAGCAGACAGTGTCACTGTGCAGGGTCGCAAAACGGTGGTGCGCTTGGGCGGGGCAGCGCACCGGCACGTTCAATCGCCGCCATGATGTCCCGCGTGAAGCCGCACTGCGAGAACCGCGCCACGGGCCGCGGCACCTCCTCCCCCGCCACGCGCATCTCCATGCGCCGCCGCAGCGCCCCGACGTCGCCGTCCGTCATGGCGGCGACTTCGGGGTGCTCCGTGTAGCCGCCGCCGCGCTCGAAGTCCGGGTACTGCACACACAAACGAACGAACAAAGCGCAGCATGGTCGTTGTCACCATCGATACATTCCCTCTTGATCTGTGTGCTTCTCCGATCGTACCCATCCCAGGTGTCGAATCCTCAATGTTGGATGCGCAAGCCGCGCGCTGGGTCGCGGCTGGGGCCTACCTCGATCTGCGTGTGGTCGACGGGCGCCAGCGGCTCGACGTCTCTCTTGCGCGCAACCACGTTGCCACTGGCGTCGTACTCCACCCCTGAGTCAGCTGCTGGCTCCTGCGGGGGCTTCCCGAGCGCCTGCCGCGTAGCTGCCTTCCCTGCGCAACGTGCACCGCGCAGAACGGCACCGACTTCGGCAGAGAAGAGCGCATTCGAAAACGAAACAAAAGAGAAGGGAATTGCTTGATATGACCGAGTGTGCAGAACAAGGGCGACCGCGGCGTGCGGCCGGGCCTCACCGATCGCGCTCGTCAGCTTGCCCTTCTCCCTGGCGTCGAGGAAGTCCCCCAGCCCGTCGTCCTCGTCCACGCCTAAAGCGCTCTTGTCGCCGCCAGCTCTCTGGTTCAGTCCCGCAGCGGCCTTGTCGCGCGTAGCGGCCTGCTTGATCTCCGCCATGAACGCGTCGAGGTCCTCGCCGTTGTCCTCGTCCTCCGCCGCCGCCGTCCCGGGCGCAGGGGCCGCAGCGGGGCCCGACTCGTACTCGCACCGCACCGCCCGCCGCATCAGGAGGTCGTGCCGGTCCACACAGTCGTCGTAGTCGTAGCCCCTCCGGTCCAGGAACTCGCGCAGCTGGCCAGTGCTCCACGCGGAGAAGTCCGTGCCGCGAAACGACTCTGCACACACAGAAGCGGCGGACGAACGTCACTTCTCCTTCGCTGTGCCTCCACGTCCCGTTTGTCACGTCCACATAACGCGTCCGCGAGATTCGAAGTCGGGTGAAGGCACAGGAGCAAGGGGGAAGCGTGACGCACCCGGGACATCGTCCTGGGCCTTCGCGACGCCCGGGAGAGGGGGCCGCTGGCGCTTTCGCCCAAAAACGCCATCGTCGTCGTCTATGGCCCCTCCGAACGCTCGTTTCATCGCGACCACCTATCTAGTAGCCCAAGGGCTATGCGAGCTTCGGTGCTGGATGCCTCATCTGCCGGCAGGACCCTCAACGGCGGATAACTTCATTCACTCATTCATCTCGACGGAACATCCTGGCTCCCTGGATGGTGTTGCACGGCCCGACAGCGGTGGTCCGCAGCGCCGACGCGTCTCTGCCTGTGAGCGGAGAGTTTGCGGCCGCTCTGGCCGGCGCGGCCCCTCCAGCGCTGCGCGTGGTCCCCCTGACACAACACACCCCCTTTCTACTTCAATTGTACCCTGAAGGTAAATCAGCGGGGCAGCGGCGGTGCCGTCCCACGTGTCCACACCAGGCCACGGACGCAGCATTCAAGGCTCAGGGCGACAGGAAAGCCCTCACGTCCAGCAGACGACGCGAACCCGATGAGAACGACGCAATGCTGCTCTCGACACACCGCAGCGGCGCATCGACGAAATCGCGCGAGTCTCGTTCCTCACAGAAGCCTGCGCGCCGCCGCGTCACGGCCAGCCGGCCTCGGCCTTCCCCAGGATCCATTCCGCGATGTCGCGCACCTCGCCGTCCGTCAGCTTGGGGCCGAACGTGCACTGCCCCTTGGGGGCGCAGTTCTCCCCGAACCCAGGCATCTTGCCCTTGCCCTTGTACGTGATCTCGTAGATCGCGTCCACCGTGTCGCGGCCGTTGCGCTGCGCAGCACCAACAGGGACAAGTGCGCCATCTGTGCGCGGCGCCACAGCGGCCACGTGCGCCCGCTGCGAGTGACCGCTGTGCGCAGCGGCGCGATGGCTGTCTGGAAGTGATTGCAAGCGCACGGCGAAGCGGTCTGACCTGCAGGTCCGGCAGTTGGAGGGTGGCGTTGCGCGCGACGATGTTGCCTCCGTTGGCGTGGCACCCGACGCACTTGTTCGCGAACTGCTCCTCGGGGCTCGCCAGGGCCGGCATGGCCACGACGACCGTCGCGGCGACCGCGCCCGCCACCGCGCGGCGGCACCGCAGCAGCGGCGCGGCCGCGGGTGATGGCACCGGTTGCCGCGCGGACGCGCGGGACTCCACGGACGCCGACGCCGCGACGCGGACCTGAGGGATTGCGAAGGGGAGCGGCTGGGCGTCGGGAGCGCCGGACGCGTCGCGAAACGCTGATGCGCAGTGGTGGTGAGGGGGCTGGTGTGGGGCAGCGCTGCGCGTGCGGACGGAATGAACGCCGATGGTGATCGGGAGCGGCGACTCAAATGACGTATGGCCCCAATGCGCCGGCGCTGGTCCGTCGTCGAAGATGCCGGTCGAGGAAACTCGTGGTGGACGACTCCTGGCCAACTTGCATCCTCACCTGGCAGCTCATCTTGCGGGGAGCGGCGCGCTTCTCGTGCGGGATTGAACTGTCTCGGGCGTCCGCTGTGCCGGCTGCGCAACGGGGTGCGCCGGCAACCAAGCCGGGCCGGAGGCGCGAGCCATGGTGCGTACGGGACAGGCCCCACAGCCCGTGGGGAGTGGAGCACGCAGAGTCACGACCCTGCGCGGGCACTTCGGCATCCAGCCAGGTGCCTGCTGAGATATACGCGCCAGCGAATCGGCTGCCAGTCATCTCCAGAGAGACACCAACGCGTCCCTCCTCCTGAGTTCAGTCTCAGGCCGGCAGAGAGGAAGGTAGCACCGGTAACAGAGCGCATCGCCGAAAGGACGGCAGCCTGTAGACCGTGGGATCACCCGACAGCGAGAACCCGACTTGAACGTCGCTGTGCGCGCGGTGGCCGGGCCTGAAGCCTGCGCCCGGCGACACAGGCTGCTGCCGTGCAGCTCGCGCGTGGGATGACAGACACTGCCCCGACGCGGAGCCTTTGAGCGGATAGATAGCAGAGGGATCCAAGCGCACCGCAATGTCGACGACGGAGCTCATAACGGAGCCTGAGCCGACCAAGTTCAGCGGAAGCCGGTCCAAGGCTCGCTCGCGCCCGAACGGCGCTGTCCTGTCCCCAGAGGAGGTGCGCGCTGCCTGCTCACCCGCACTGTGCCCCCGCAGACGCCCCCCGCCGGCTCGCGCCGGCCTTCAGCGCCGGTCGCTCGCAGGAGTCTCACTGCTCGGCGCACGCACGCCGTCGCACGGCCTCCTCAGCGCCTTTCCGGCCGCCGTCCACTGCAGGCGCGCGTTAGAGCCATCGCGGAGATCGTCTCCGAGCTCGTAGCGGGCGTCACGAGCGGGCGCGATGTGGACCTGAATGCCCTGAAGGGCCAAGCGGCCCGCCGGCACCGCCTCTCGCGGTCCCCGAAGCTCGTCGAGATCATCGCCGCCGTCCCCGAAGAGCACCGCGCCGCCCTGCTCCCCCAGCTGCGCGCCAAGCCCATCCGCACCGCCTCGGGCATCGCCGTCGTCGCCGTCATGTCCAAGCCGCACCGCTGCCCGCACATCGCGACGACAGGCAACATCTGCGTCTACTGCCCGGGCGGCCCGGACTCGGACTTCGAGTACTCCACCCAGAGCTACACCGGATACGAGCCCACGTCGATGCGCGCCATCCGCGCGCGCTACAACCCTCACGTGCAGGCGCGGTCGCGCGTGGACCAGCTCCGGCGGCTGGGGCACTCCGTCGACAAGGTCGAGTTCATTCTCATGGGCGGGACCTTCATGTCGCTCCCGGGGGACTATAGGTCGTACTTCATCCGGTCGTTGCACGACGCGCTGTCAGGGCACACGTCGGCGAGCGTGGCGGAGGCGGTGCGGTTCAGCGAGCAGTCGCGGACGAAGTGCATCGGGCTGACGATCGAGACGCGGCCGGACTACTGCCTGTCGCCGCACCTGGCGCAGATGTTGTCCTATGGGTGCACGCGGCTCGAGGTGGGCATTCAAAGCGTGTACGAGGACGTGGCGCGCGACACGAACCGCGGACACACGGTCGCTGCCGTCATGGACTGCTTCCGGCTCTCGAAGGACGCGGGCTTCAAGGTACGCGGCCCCGGGGGGGTGTGTTTGCTGGAGGCAAAGGGGGGGTGTTATGGGTCCTGCGCGCCGCTGATTGGTGTTTGGGGATCCCCTGCGGCCTACATCACGCGGGCTCGCGCACCCGCTCTCGGTCGCAGCGCGTGTGCGCTGCCGTGCACGGCGACAACACCCCTCCCACACTCCCCCCCCTCTTCGCAGGTGGTGGCGCACATGATGCCGAACCTCCCGAACGTCGACATCGAGCGCGACATCGAGTCGTTCCGCGAGTTCTTCGAGAACCCTGCGTTCCGCGCCGACGGCCTGAAGATCTACCCAACCCTCGTGATCCGCGGCACGGGGTTGTACGAGCTGTGGAAGTCCGGCTTGTACCGCAACTACCCCCCGCACGTCCTCGTCGACCTCGTCGCGCGCGTCCAGGCGCTCGTGCCCCCCTGGGTCAGGATCTACCGCGTCCAGCGAGACATCCCCATGCCCCTGGTGACGTCAGGGGTAGAAAAAGGCAACCTGCGGGAACTGTCGCTGGCGCGGATGGCCGAGCTCGGCCTGCGCTGCCGCGACGTCCGCACGCGCGAGGTGGGGATCCAGGAGCTGCACCATCGAGTGCGGCCCGGGGACGTGGAACTGGTACGACGAGACTATGCTGCTAACGGCGGCTGGGAGACGTTCTTGGCGTACGAGGATCCGCGGCAGGACATTCTCGTGGGGCTGCTGCGGCTGCGGAAGGGCAGCAGCACGTTCAACGGCGGGCGCGGGTGGGCGGGCGGTCCGGCGGGCGCGTCACACACTGTGCTGTCCGCAACGGCCACGGCGCCGCAGCCGGAGCTCCGCGGGCGCGTGTCGATCGTGCGCGAGCTGCACGTGTACGGGACGGCGGTGGCGGTGCACGCGCGGGACCGCGAGGGCGGCCCCGGCGGAGAGCAGCGGCAGCAGCACCGTGGGTACGGGGCGCTGCTGATGGCGGAGGCGGAGCGCATCGCCCGGGAGGAGCACGGATCGGAGCGGCTCGCGGTTATCTCCGGCGTGGGCACGCGGCACTACTACCGCAAGCTCGGGTACGAGCTGGAAGGCCCGTACATGGTCAAGTGGCTGGGGGATGTCGCGGGGGGGAGTAAAGCGGGCGCGGGCTCGCTCGGGAGCGGCCGCCGCGGGCGCCGGCGGCTGGAGCTCGCGAACGCGGCGGCGTGATGCGCGGTTCGTGCCGGGGTGCAGTGCGAAGGCCATGTTACATGGATGATGATTTCCTCGACAGTGTGACGTCATCGCAGTTCCTTGGAAGCCGCAGCGGCGAGCTCCTCGTTCTCCATCTCGTACGCCGAGAGACGCCGCGGCATGGGCACCAGCACCGCTGGCTGACTCATGTCGCGGTACGTCTTCTTGCACATCTCAACCCCCTCCGGAAGCTGCAGTACGCCGAAAGGGGGCACGCACGGGTGAGGGGATCGCACGCTTGTCGGCCGCGTGCCGGGGGGGGTGTGATTTCGGGCCGCGGCGCACCTGGGCCTGCACGTCAGCGAGGCGAATGGGCTGCCCGATGTTGCGGCCCTGGAGGCTGACGGTGACGTTCTTGGGGATCTTGTCGCCGTGGCACCAGCAGACGACGCGCCAGAGGACCTGGACGGCCGCGTCGAAGCCCTCGGACGCGATCGCGGGGCACGCGTCGTGCCCGGTGACGTACAGGGGCACTTGCACGCGGACCCGGGTGCCGTCCCGGGGCGCGAAACGGAAGTTGACGTTCTCGATGTAAGCCCTCTGGTAACTGCGGACGTTGATCTCGTCCACCACGGCCCGGGGCGCGAACGGCGGGGCGTCGTCCTGTTGCCCCGAGGAAGGCAGGCGCCAATTCTCGAAAACGAGGTGGATGGGCACCGCGCGGACGCCGTCGCGGTCGAAGCTGGCGGCGAGACGCTGCCACTTGGAGAGCTCGAAGTCGAGGTGGACCTGCACGGGCGCGGACGGGCCAGAAAGAACCTGGTGAGCCTAAACAGCCGCATTGCCGCGACGATATCGTGTGATTCGCGCTGCAACGCAGTCAGATGGCATGAAAGGTACGCAAACGTGCTGGATGACTCGCCATCGCTGCGTTGCATGGAGATGCGGGGCCGCCCTGGCCGGTGGTGCCTGGGTGGTCAGCGGCAGCGTGCTTGGGCGCACCGTTCGCGTCTGCGTTTCCCCGGGCGCAGGCGGCAGGCACTGCAGCGCGCCGGTAACGCGGCCAGCTTTCCGCAGGCGCTCCGCACGGCGCTTCCCGACGTCCTCAGGCGGGCGCAGGCGCACGGGCAGGAGGTAGGGCCCCTGGACCTCCTCCGCCTCCGACAGAAAGGGGTTCGGCACCGACGTGATGTTCTCGACCCCTCCTCCGACGCCTGCGCAGCAGCGTGAGCGAGCGGTGCGGAATCAGCCCCCATAGCGACGGAACGCGCACGCTCCTGCAGCGTGGCTGGCCTGCGCGCGCCGCACCTGAGTCGTCTGAGCGATCCTGCGCGACGGATGCGTTGCATCTGAGCGTGATCGCCTCCATGGGCGTGCGCAGCCGCGCTGAGGCCGCGGAAGCGGCCCGCCGCACCAACCCCTGGAGTGCCGCCATCAGGGCAGGTGAGCGACCGGGCGAAGAAGCGCAGCAGGTGGCTGCTGGGCGCGCGACCGAGTAGCTCTATGCGCGAGCCGGCACGGGCGCGGGGCCGTTGAAAGCGCCGCGCGCGTCTCCCGCAAACGTCAGCGCATGCGTCATACCGGGTCGCGAAAGGGGGGAGTGCGACGGCAAACAAGCGAAGACGTGCGCGAGGGGGCGCGTGAAACCGCGGCCGAGCAGCGCGGCAAATGTTGTTGTCAGTACCCGCACGTATGACAGTACCATGGAATCCAGATGTTCAAGAGTGATTGTCACGCCTTACCCGCGCAAAATACGAGAGATGCGGAAATGCACATTGTGCGTTGTCGTGCGCGAGCAGCATGGGGACGGCACCGTGCGAGAGGGAATCATGGCATTTACAGCACCGGCCGAGCAGCGCGCCGTGCGCAGTGCTGTGGGAGGTGGAGGTTCTTCGCGCCCCTAGGGTCGCGGATCCCCGCGGCGGATCCACTGCTCCCACTCGATCCGCTCCGTGGTCACGGGAGTAGTAGAAGTCCTGGGGCGCTAGTAGGGCCTGCCTGGGAGGCGGGTGTCGGGGTCTCGGCGCCAGTGCTGCCACTGGCGAGTGCTGAGTCATGTGTGCAGGGTTCGGATACGTGCACGGCGGTGATTGAACAACTTCCTGGAAGGGGGGGGGGGTTGGTGGTGAAGACTGGCTTCTACGTCGACTGTTTGCAATTCGCTGACCTACAAGCACCTCGCCGCGAGGATGCTTCAGCTGTCGTGGTAAAGCTAACCGTGAGCTGGCAGTGGTCTGACTGACGGCGCCTGGTCGCGAGCAACGAGGCTAAGGGGGTGTGAGGAGGGGGGTCAGCGACGGGATCGCTGGCCTCTAGACGCGCCGCTCAACGACGGTGATGGTTGCCACGAGGTCGGGCCGGCAGCGCGGTCTGTCCGCTGTGGAAAAATCTGGCGGGCAATAGCAGCAGGTGCGCTGCTCGGGAACGACGAGGGGGGGTGTAGTAACGCAGTCATGCGTGGTGCGACACGTGTGCCCGGCTGCCCACCGCCGAGCGCCGGTACCCGGCAGGCGTCAGCACGAAGCAACGGCGGCAGCGGCAGGTGCACTGACGGGCGCCCGGACGCACTCCGCAGGCGTCGCGCCAGCCACGATGGCCCCGGCGCCGCAACCGCGACGCCGTCGCCGAGCACATGAACGGTCGCGTACTGGCGCCGCCGCATCTGCCGCGCGCGCGCGCAGCTCGGGTCACCTCCCGCCGAGGAAGTCCACGAACGCGCGAATCTTGCGGCCCAGGATCGTGAACGGCCGTTTCTTGGCTCCGCGCACGTCGCGCGCATGTGCGTTAGGCGCTGCCGTGCGCAGGCGGTCCGCAGCGCGCGGCGCGGGCGGCGCGGTCGGCAACGGCACCGCCTCCGACGCGCTGCCGGGGGGCGCGGGCGCAGCTTGCGGGGCCTGGCCGTTCGCGGCACGTTTTGCTGCGGAGATGCAGGCGCAGTGCACTGCGGCGTCGTACGCGCCGGGACCCTGCACGAGACGTGGCGCGGGCCGGTCGCTGAGCCTCGAAGACGGCCGCGAGCGACCTGGGCGCCGCGCGCGGCCCCAGAGCCGGACGCACGGCGCCCAACTACTGCGGGCGACTCAGCCACGGTTCCCGCGCGGTGGCGCCGCATACGTGGCGTCACGCGGAGCGCGGATGAGGTACGAAGATGCAGGAGGCGGGGTCGGCGTGCGGGCGGGTGGGGCCCGGGCGCGCGCCTGGAGGGTGACCAAGGAGCCGGAGGAGGGTTCGTCGCAGGTGAAGGTGATGTTGAGCTCCGAGTCCGCGGGGAGGCTGAAGGCGGTGCGTATGCGTTCCGTGAAGCGCTTGTACCCGTCCTCGCCCGGCGCGACCTCGAAGGAGTAGGTCGAGCCGTTGAAGTTCACGTTCATGATGGCTGGGGCCACGCAGCCGCAGGTCGGCGTCAGAACCGTCCGCCAGTCCGGGAGCTGGGAGCCGCAGAACTCGCACTCCTTCTCCTTCCTGCGGGGGGCGGCGGGGCGCGGTCCAGGCGGGTTCGCGGGCGGCGCACAAGGCAGGGGGAATCCGCGCGCTGGGGCGCCGCGGAGGGCGTCTCGGACGGGGCCTGCGCGCTGCGGGCGCGCGGGGGGAAAGGTGCGCGCGAGCGGGGAGCGTGCGCCGCGCCGTGCGCCGCCGCACGGCCGGGCAAGGGCGAAAAGGACACCTAACGAAAACCGCGCGCAGCGGCACCGCGGCGACACCTCGAACCGAGCGTGGCCCGACGTGGCTGTGTCGAAAATGCACGCACGGAAGCGACGCCTCGCGTGCATTTTCTGCCCCGCATTCCGGGGGCAACGACCTGCTCGCCCTGAAATGCCCCAGGGCCGCGCAGCGCGCTGGCCGCGCGAATGCGCGGGGCACCGTGGCCACGAGGACGACCTCGGAGGGACGACCACGCGGTCCACGCGATGTTGCGGCGCGAGTACGCGGTGCAAGCGACGTTCCGGGCCGCTGCTCACCGTGTGCCTGCGGACTGCAGTTGCCAGCGCGCCAGGCACTGGTCGTGGATGAACCGCGGGCACTTGCACGGCCTGTGTAGCCCGCCCTTCGCCTCGGGATCCGCGCCGTCCAGGCAGATCCAGCACACCTGCGCAGGAGGGCGCCAACGACCCGTGAGCACTGCAGCGCCATTCGCATCGCCCCTGGGCGCCTCCGGAAAGCGCGAACCGGCGCGTCGGGCGAAAAATTAGCGGAACTCGCGGCGCGCGCGTCGGCCGGGCGACTCGCCTCGTCCTCGGCGTCGACCTCCGTCGTGTGCCCGGAATCACTCAGCTCCGCCCTCCGCGTCTCCCGCTTGTCCTCCATCACTTCTGCGGACGATGACATCTCTCTCGGTATGGAGCTGCGGCGTGCGCCACTATCGCGCCAGATTCGGCCCCGGGACCCAGCTGCGCGCCCAACCACTCCAAGCCACAACTGGCAGAAGAACTACAGCACACTGCGCGACACGCGACCCGTGGAGCGCCTCAGTGCGCGGATCGGGTCCGCTACGGTACGTACAACGTCGCTCCTGGTTCGAAGTGCCCGCCGATGCCGCTCCCGCCCAGCAACGTGTCTGAGGTCCCTCCAACAGTTCAATTGCACCTCGGACGTCCTCGGAACCACGTCTGCACGTCCCTCCAACCTTCTCGTCTCCCCGTCTCCGACACGCAGCCGCGCGGGAAGCGACCGGAACGTCGACGCACGCCCCACGGCGCCCCAGGCTGCCGGATCCACGCCGCAGAAACCACGCCACGGCCCCGAAACTGCGTCACGCGAGCACACGCTGCACGCGACGGGTGAAACCGCACACCGCGCACGCACTCCGCGACCCAACGAGCCCGACCGCGCCCTCCTCCGCCGCCCCGTCCTACGAGCTGCACGACAGACGCGTCCGCGCGGCCGCGAGCGAGCGAGGCGCCGCGACAAGGCGGGGACGCCACTTGCGTCAACGGCAACGGCAGCGCGGCTCTGGGGCCCATTTTCGTGGTTCGCTAGTTCTTCGCTGCCCTACAAGCGCCCTATCTGCTCGGCGCGGCGCGCGCTCGCGGCGCCGGCCGAGCGTCTAGGAGGCGCGCGGCCCCGTGCTAGGACATGAGACGTCTGTACGGCGCGCGGCCCCGTGCTAGGATTCACAGAAGAGGATGATGTGCGACACATGACGAGTCTGTTCGAGAGCCCCTGCAGCTGGCACCCGCGCCCAGCGTGCTCCGATGCAGTGGCGCGGCGGCCGGCCGGCGCGACGCGCTTCCGGGGCGCGACGGGCACTGAGACCCCCAGGGGGTGTCCGATCGGTGTCCGACGGATCAATGGGACCCCCCTTGATGGTGCTACGCGAGAGCCCAGCGCCCCGCGCCCCCCTACGGCCCCTCCGCGGTCAGTAGGACCCCTTGATGTACTCGGCCATCTGTTCCATCTCATCCTTCTTCTCCGCCAGGAGCGCCTCGGTGACGTCCCGGATCGACAGCATCCCGCGCATCTCCCCGTCGTCGATCTGCGGCGACACGCACGTCCGCAGGGGTGAAACGACGCCCCCGGGCGCTGACGGAGGGGCCGGTGTGCGTGTGTGCGTGGCGAGCTGCGGGGGAGGCGAGTGCGCGGCGGGGGCTGCGGAAGCGCGTGCGCGGCGAGGGGTCGGGGTACGGGGGGCGCACGATGGGCATGTGTCGAATGTTGTGCTTGCACATGATGTCCATTGCTTCGACGATCTTCTGCTTGGTGTTCACGGTCTTGATCTTGGACGCCGGCGTCATGATCTCCGTGACGTTCGTCGCCGCGGACGTCCGGCCCAGCACCGCGACCTTCGTCAGATAGTCTGCGACGCAGCCACGCGGCCAATGTACGACGCGTAACACGCGTGAAGCTCTCGCGCGGCCCGCGCGCTCGCGGATCGAGGTATCCGCACGCACGCGCCGCGACGAGGTCCGCATGTAAGCGGTTGAGCTCCGGCGAGGCGTTGCGGCGCCAACGGAGGCCGCGTCGACGCGCACCTCGCTCGGAAACGATTCCCACGATGTTGCCGCCCTTCGCTAGCCCGGCGTCGTGCACGTTGTCGAGGACCACCAGGCACCCGACCTTCGCCTCCGTCATCTGCGTGCGTGGCGGGCGCGCGGCGGCGCGAGCCGTTGAGGATCGAGCGCGGCGACGCCCAACGACTGCGCAGGGGCCCGTGCGACGGTGTGGGCGGCGTGCGCGCGGCGCGCCTTGCCGCGGGGCGCGAGCTGGTGGGCGCGAGCGGTGGATCTCGGGTGGCGGCGGCGCGGGGCGGGGCGCGGGGCGCGGGGCGTGGGCGGCGGCGCGGGAGGTGCTGAGGTGGAGGAGCGAATTGGGAGTCGAGGTTTCCCGGACCTTTTGGATCGCCTTGAACACCGACTCGTCCTTGCCGACCCAGAGCCACCGTCCCTTGTCGTGCTGCGGCGAGAGCGGGGGCGGAGACAGCGGGTCAGCGTCCAGCCACGACGCAGTCGGCAGAAGGGCCAGCTCGAGCTCGGCAACCGTCGACTGCCCTTCAGCACCTCACCTTGGTCGTGAGGATGTCTCCGATCGTGTGCGGGACCTTCTTGGCCTCGTCCGCGAATGCACGCGCCTGCACGAAGCGACGGAGCGGAGGAACGGGCGCGGTGAGCCCCTGCGGACGCGCGGGCGAGCGCTCGCACCCAGCAGGCGAGCAGGCCCGCGCGGAGCGCGACGAGTGGCTGCTGGGCGAAGCTGGACGGCGGAATCGCCGCGAGGTGAGCTAGAAATCGCGCTCCCGTCGCTGGAACGCGCAATGCGGCAGTGTGCGACGCGTGCCGAGGCGGGTGCGTGTTCTTGCCTGGCACGCAACCGGCCGGAACGCCGCTTCCGCGGTGCGCAGAGAGAACTGGCCTGCGAGCCTGCGTAGCATGGTTCCGACGGTTCCCGGGAAGCGATGAAAGTCCGCCACGGCCAGCCGTGACGCCCGTACTCGGCGCCCCACACAACCACCGCGCGCCGCCCGACTGCACGCGACCACACCTCCACCCCCGCCGCCCCGCCCGCGGCCTCGCTGCCAGGCGGCGCAGCTCCGCCCCCGCACTCCTCGGTCCGGCACGCGGATTCGGAGCGTCTGGCTTCGCTGCGGCCGCGCAATTCGTGTTGGCTTCATTCATTGTGTGTGAACGGGGGGGTGTTGCGCAGAGCCGGGGCGTCGCAGCGGCCGCGAGGTGCGGGCGGATCGTGGCGGCGGGATGGAGGCGCAGAAGGCGGCGCGGTACACGCTCGCCGCGGCGGCGGATGGGTTGGCGGCGAGTGAGGAGCTGTACAAGGCACTGCAGGGGGCCGGCTGCTTCCGCCTGCCCAGGAGCTCGGACGACGTGCAGGCGAACGTGCTCGTCAGGTTCGCCACGCCCGTCCGCGGACGTTTCCCCGAGGCTCGCGTCGTCCCGCGCGCTCTTTGTGCAAATGGCGATTCGTGCCGATTCCTCGACACGGACGCTTTTTTTCCGAGCTTCCACTGGCTGAACTCCGACTCTGATGAAAGTACATTCGAAATTTCATCGCAAATCGCGCCCTCAGGCACACACGGGCACGTCCCGGCCGCCGCTACTTGCCGCAACCGGCGCTTGGCCACGTTCGCGCAGGTTCACGACGGAGCTGGTCGATGCACTGCCCAAGGAGAACCGCCAGAGTCTAGGCGAGCAGATGGACACGAAGGTCGATCGGTACCAGCGCCTCATGCACTGCGTGCACCCCTTCGCCTCCCAGCTCCCCAGGGCTGTGGCCGGCTGGCTGCTGCGGCTCGGCGAGCAGCTCTCGGCACTCCACGCTCTCCACAAGGCTCACGAGTCGATTCAGGAGTGCGGATACGTCAAGTCTGAGCGCGGTGCGGATCCCGAGGCAGGGCTCGCAACTTTAGCAATGCCAAACAAAGCTGCTGGCACATCGCGGGACTGCAACAGGCTGTCACAGGACCGCACAGGGTCGATGTCCGCTGTCAGTGGCTCGCATACCAGCAAGTACCTCGAACGCGCGTCGATTTGCGGCACGAAATCGAACCTTGAAAACGACGCGGCTCTCGACACCTCGCGCCTTGCTGCTCGTCGCAGACTCGGAGGACCGCGTGCTGCAGCAGGCCGTGGCCGAGCTGCGGCGATCGCAGGGGCAGGGCGGAGCCGAAGGGAGCGGGCTTGGGCGCGGGCTGCAGCTGCACGCACAGCTGGTGACTGCGTGCGGCAAGGCGGTGGGGGCCAAGCGCGGGTGGGTGTCGGGCGCGGAGCTGTCCGCGGACGCGCAGGCGTTCTCCATGGCGACGGACAGGTGCGGCAACGCGACCGCTGGCACGCATATTGTCATGGTGTTGACTGAGAGAGCCTCTGAGGTATTTCATTGATGCAATTGTCATGGAATTGAATGGTCATTTTAGCTTGCTCTGTTGAGCTCACCGTAGACCTGATAGCGTCGTGGAAGCACCGGGTGCGACCTGCCACGCGCGTGACGCCAGCACAACAGAGCAGACATCGCAACTTTCTGCTGACGTCAGCTCGCCCCCCCCCGTCCCCCTGCGCGTGCAGCGTCGAGTGCTGGCTGTCGTCCCTCGCCGCCATGCTCCGCGACGTCAAACTCCCCCAGGAACCCCCCTCGGCCTGCCTGCTCTCGGCACGCGCCCTCGGCGATTGCGTGAAGAGCGCCCTCAGCGCCGCGAACCTCTTCCACGGGTCCGCGCGCGGCTTCGTCGCCAACGACGTCGACGCCCACCACGCCCACAAGGCCGCGCACCACTGGTGCCACGACCGCGCCGTGCGCGACGCCGTCTCCGCCGCCGCAAAGGAAATCACCGCCGCGGCGCGGGGCCTGCGGATTTCCCTCGGGGCCGCCGCCGCGGAGTACCACTGCGCTCTCCTCGACTGTGCAGCGGACCTGGCGCACCTGCACCTCGACCTGATCTCCCTGCGTCAGGGCGCGCTCGCGCTGCGCGACGGACAGCGCGCCGGCGACCTCGCGTCGCTTCTGGGCCAGGATGGCGACGGGGACCTGCGCGCTGAGATGGACAGCGCGCAGCACTACGTGCTCGGCGGCGTCGTGCGGGAGTGGGGCGAGGCGTACGCTCTTGGGTTCTTCGCGCGCAACCAGGCGGGCAGCAAGCTGCTGCGCCGGCTTGAGCGCAGCGCGCTGTCGTTCGCGGCGTATGCGGAGCTCTTCGCGCTCTTCGAGGCCACCGGCGACGAGGACCGCCTCGCGCGCAACATCAACGGCATCACGCACCCGGGGGAGTGCTTCCGCTACGTGTTCGGACGCCTCCTCGCGGGGCCCGGGAAGTGGCGCGAGCTGCTCTTGCGGCTCCCGGGGCTCTGCAGGCGCGAGGCGCAGGACGGCGGCTGGGGCTGGGAGGGGGGGTCTCCGGAGGACTTGCTGCTGTCGTTGCTGGAGGGCGCCGCGGAAACGGGCCGCGCCGACGTCCTCGAGGCGCTCTGGCTGCACGCCGTGGCCGTCTCGGACGCCGCGGAGGCGCACGGGCACTTCGAGCACGCCGCGCAGCTCCGCCACCGCGCTGCGCGCACGCTGCAGGCCTTCGCATGCGCGGGCGGCCCGTCACACGCACAGCGCGTCGAAGCCGTGCAGATGTCGCGGATCGCGGCGCACGCGGCCTGCGACGTCCCCGCGGCGCTCTGGGACGCCGTCCCGCCCGCGGACCGCCCCGGCGCGTGCCTGCCGGAGGCGAATCGTCTCATGCAGCTGCTGGGAGCGCACGAGGCGATGCGGGCGGCGCTTGGCGCGGGGGGCGACGCGATGGAGGACGACGCGGGCGGGAGCGGCGAGCAGGGGCTGCTGGAGTCGGCGCGTGCGATGCTCGATCGCATGGCCGCGGGGGGGGGTAATGACCTGGGGGAGCAGGAACAGAAGCTGGTGGTGTGTGCGGCGCTGCGGGCGATGATGTTGGACAGGGGACTGGCGGAGGGGCGCACGGGTCTCGCGCGGGCGCTGTGGGAGGAGCTGGCGCGGTGGGACCGGGACGCGGCGGAGCGCGGCGACGGGGGGGTGTTGCTGGTGGAGGAGTGCGGGGGTGAGTGTTTCGGGGAGCCGGCGCGGACGTTGGAGAGCGCGGACGCCGGCGTGCAGCGCGACGCCGCGCTGCAGCTGGCGATGCAGGCCGTGGGCGGCGTGAGCGAGGCGGTGCAGCGCCGGCTGGAGCACGCAGCAAGGGTTGGGCGGTAGCGTTGGCAACGGCGTTCAGGTCCGACGCGAACGCCTGGCTTTGAACTCCCTCTCACAGCGAGAGCTCATTCGACGTCACCGTTGGCAACGCGGCCAAGCTGTACTGGCGCAACGTCGGCGTACTTTTCCGCGCCGACGGCGCAGGCCGGCGTTCTCGAGACGTTCCAGCGTGCGCCCGAACACGAGTGGGCGGACCGGATGCGAACGGCAACGCAAAGCCGTGGGTCGCGGAGCTCATTACGTTTGCGAAGGCGCGCGGGGCGCCTCACAGCGTCCACAGCTCCCAGACGCACGATGCGTAGTTGCCTACACCCACGCCGAACAAATCGAACTCGTTCAGAGGCCTCTTCGGACCGATGGCGGGCTCCCACTTGCAAGGCGCGTGCGCGGCCTCGATGCCCTGCCGGACGCTCGACCCCGGTGTGCAGAACGTGATCAGCGGAGCGCTGCTCGTCGTCACCGTGGGACCTGCGACGCTCTGAGCTGCGATGAAGCTGCCGCTGCCTTTGCGGTGCCGCCAGGCCCTGCACGTCAGGTCCCCCTTGACCATGACGCTCAGGAGCAGCAAGTCGCCCTCGCAGATCCAGGTCGGTAGGATGCGGGGGCCCGTGTAGACCAGGGCGGCAATTGAGTGCCCCTGGGGTGTCTCTGACCGTATCAAAAAGACGAAGGGCCCGCCGCTGGCGCAGTGGCCGGTCAGGCCGCCTTTCCTGCTCGTCGTCAGCAGCTTCGGGGGCGACGCGCCCCGCCAAAGCTTGAGTGCGCGCAGCATGTGGATGGTCGCGTTCCTGCAAGGGGTTCCTCTGCAGGGGTCGCTGTTCAGCACGGAGTGCCGCCCGTTCATGAACGCATCCTTGATGCCTTTCTTGATGGCGTTGGCCCTGCTCTGCACTCACAAGAAGCGGACAACAACGAAAATCGCATGTGTGGTTTTCAAGGGCTTCGCGGCAGAGGTTCGGTTGGGATGGTGCATGCGCGAGGGAGATCGCTTACCTTGACGTTCAAGAACGAGTCCTTCAGGCGAAGCAATTCGATATGCTTCTGGTCCAGAGCGCCAAAACACACTTGGCGGTGTTGCACATCGAGCCACAGGTCCTCGGCCAACAACGACTTCATGTCGCTGATCTCCTGCAATAGAGCTGCAGCCCTGCGCTCTAGCTCCAGGGTCAGGTCCGCCACCTGCACGCCCGCACGGCCCTCCGCGGCAATGATGAGTGTCTACAGCCTCAAAGACAGGCAAGACAAAAGCGGGCGCCGTACCTGGCTCAACACGCGCTGCACGTCCTGAACGGAGTCCGCGTCAGACAGCTCTCTGTCCGCAGTGTTACGCCGCAGATCCCAGTGGCTCATAAACTCACGTCCCACCCCAATGTCCTCCGTCAGCAGGCCCACGACGAACTGCTCGACCTCCTCCTCCTGCTCCGGCTGGTGCCACACGCACGACGTCAGGTGCAGCAGGTCCCACTTGCGTACCTCGGCTCTACCGTCCGTCGCCGCAGCCACGCGCATGAGGTACACCGCGTTCTTCCAGCGGCGGTCCGACACCTGCACGTGCAGCACGCCGAGAGACCACGAATCTCTTCGATGCTCCGAACGGCCTGCTGCGAGCGCGCCCGACGCGTGTTCCGACCCACCTGCCACTCGGTGCCACAGAAGCGGCTGCGCAATTGCAGAATCAGATCCTGGACATCTTCGGGAACGACCACGTTCCTCGCGCGGTCCTCGATGTCGCGGAGGTCGGATCCCGACAGCGCCTCCTGGGCCACGCTGGCCGCCGTCACTTCCCCCGCATCGCCCAGGACCATGTCCATAAACACCCCCCTGCAAACCAGTGCAATCCTCCCACGACGCACCGGGTGGGATGCAGCTCGCTTTCGACCGAAGACAGGGCGGTTGCAGAGTGTGTTCGATTGCGTGTTGAGTGACGAAGTACGAAATTCATCGTCATGCGTCACGTCATGTGGTTGTGCAAGGTAGTACCTGCCGTGTGTGTCGCGGCTCCTGAGGTATCCGACGCACATCCGCACCAGGAACCGGTCGTACAGCGCCTGCAGCTCCGCCTGCGTCTGCCCTGGCACCTCGTTCGACGCCCCGATCATGGAAATCAGCGGAACGGTGATGACGTTGGTGCCGTTGTGGAAGAGGCGCTCGTTGATGATGGTGAGGAGGGAGTTGAGGACCGCGCTGTTGGCCTGCAGGTGTCATTGGGGACGGGGCGGCGGGGGGGCATGAGGCGGGCTTCGCTCAGGAGCACGTGGGCTGCAACAGAATCCAGCCCACGAACATCGTCATCAATCCTCGCCTTGAATATCTCGTCCACGAACGCGATCTGGGCGGTCGGGAGGTAGCCCTCGATCTTGCGCTCGTACTGATCCGCCTGCAACGTTCGGGTGCGTCGCCTGCAGTGTGAAACCGAATCCTGACGCGACATGCAAGGCTCAGGAGGAGGTGTCTCGCAGCAGACCCCCAACTGCCTGCCCGGCTACATGGCGCGGCGAAGCATCGTCTGCACGGAAACTGCGGCTAGGCCCGAGCACGTCCCGCGCCTCTGGCCGGCCCGTGCTCCGCAGCTGGCATCTAGAGCCTTTCGAGCTCGAGAGCCCGCCTGAGGGCCCGCGAGGCCCACCGCGGTAGAATCGCGGCGCGCAACACAGCCTTTGAACTCGCAGGGGTCGAGGGTGCAGCGGGCTTGGCGGTGGGCGCGCAGGCCTGCGTGGTCTAGAAGCCCTTCAGCACCAAGAGCTGCGAGCATTTGGCGCTCTTGCGGGACGCACGCCGACGTTTTGACCGTTCCGCGGGCTTCAGAGCTAGGCAGGCTGCGTGCAGACCGGCCCAATCTGCAACGCGCCCGGGGCCGTCTTCGCGACGCGCTAGTAGTGGTAGTTGCAGGCAGCAGCCTCGCACCTGCAGCTTCTGGATCGACATCGGCCCGAACAGCTCCTCCGGCGTCGAGAACCTCGTCAGCAGCCTCTCGAAGTACGCTCCGTCGCCCCCCGCCCCCTCCCCGCCCGTGTGGTAGGCCAGGTGCAGCCGCCGCGCCAGGAGCGACTTCGCGGTGCCCGGCGGGCCCAGCAGCAGCACGTGCTCGCCGGCGATGCTCGCCAGCAGCGCGCGGCGGATCATGTGCTCGCGGTCCACGAGGCCCGCAGCCAGCTTGGACACCAATACGTCGATTTTATACTTGCTCCAAGAAGGGGCCCCTGGCGCGCAGAGCCGCCGCGGCGCGACTGACGTGGGCGATAGCTTGCCGTTGAGTGCCTCGACAAGCGCCTGCGGTAGAGCGGGTCGCGGCGGCGTGTGAGCCGCGCGCAGCGTACGTGCGAGCAGCTCGACGTGCGATTTCAACGGTGGTCAGCCGACCGCGCTTGACGACGTACGTTGAGCCGCCATCTCTTGGCCTGGAGCAGGAGGAGCTCCGCGGTGTCGCCTGTGGGCAGGGGCGGTCTCTCGCCGAGCGAGGAAGCCTCGAGATACCTACAGAGGAGCGGCGCACGAACCTCGCTGGTGGGGGGGGTATTCGTGGCGTGCATGACGCGTCGCATGTGCACCGGCAGGACCATTTGTCTTCGTGTTGCGCACCGGACGATCCAACGGAATACGTCGGGGTCGGCGGGCAGGTCCAGTGCCGCGCACGGTGTCCACAGCGAGGGCTGCTGGGCTGCGCCGCCGCGCTCGCAGGCGGCCGAGCACACGAACTCGGCGAGGAGCGACTCGGGGTCGGCCAGCGCGGTGCCGAGCGTGACGGTGAGCTGGCTGGCCTGCCCGAGGTGGAGCGCGACCAAGTGCTGCGGCGTCAACTGCGGGCGGTGAGGTGCGCGAAGTGCTTGGTTCCGGCGAGCACCGTGCGTGCATAAATGTGCTTGATCATCGTGGGAACTCTGCGGCACGGCAGACGGGCTGACGGCCCGGGAGGTGCCACAACGTTTTTTGGTGGTGCATCATCAGCCGCTGATTGCAGGTCAGGTGGCGCACGTTGTGCTTGTGCAGCCGCGCCGCCATCGACTCCGCCAGTCTGTCCCGCTCGCAGGCTGGCTTTGCGCGCTTCGCCGGGCCTTGGTCGTCCACGGCATCGCAACCGTTTGAGGCCAGCTCATCCACGCCCTGTTTACGCGGAGTCCGCGGTTGGATCGACGTCTGAGCACGACAGCCCGTCGCGCCGTGCTCGTGCGCGTCTTCTGCGTCCGTCCGCTGAGCCGGGGCCCCATCCGCTTGCTCCATGAGTGCTGGCTGTTTTGTCAGTGCAAGTCCAAGCTAGACGCGCACGATCGGCAGCAAGCGAATAGCACCGATGGGTGGCCCGCGCAGCAGGTGAGCTGAGCGGAGCGTCGAACGGGTTCGCCCGTTGGGATGGCGTTCGTCGCTGGCGCGGTACGTGTTCCAGTCAGGCTGACACTGCCGACCAGTCGCGATGTTTTATTCGCTGTCGGACGAAAGACCACGCGTGCCTGAGAGGGTCACGCACGGATTCTCGATGCAGTGCGTGGAGCGTTGGACATGACTCCGACGCTCGGGCTTCTCGTGCCATGATTTGATTGTTACAGCGCTAGCTGACCAGCTCACAGCTTCCACACCTCCCAAACAAAGGAAGTAGCATTGCTGAACAAGTCGGTCGCTTCAAGCGCCGCAGCGCCGGTCAGTGGGATCCAAGCTCCTGAACAGCAGTTGCAACCTTGTCCTCGACACACCCCCATCTGCTTGACGGCGGGCGGGGAGCCCGTGCACTGAATGCCCGAGACCATGCTGCCATACCGACACTCGACGCCAGCTGCCGGTCCATCCGTGTCGGCTTTCACCCCCCTGCCCCGTGCTGTGCTGCTTTGAACTACCTGCGCCATGCGCCACACTTGCTTCGTGAGCTTGGCCTGGCACTTCAGACTGAACACACACAGGTCCCCGTCCAGTCGCAGTTGCTGCGTGAGGCTGTTTCCGGAGTAAACGAAGCCCGCAATGGATGCACTGCCTCCCACCCGAGGTGCGCGCGCCAGGAAGAGGAACGGCCCCCCGCTGGCACACTTCGCAATCCAGCCACTGCCGTAATCGCTCGTTGCCAGGCGTGCGAGGCGAGCAGCGCCCTTCCAGTGGCCCGTGGTCTTCAGCACATCGACGAGCGCTTCCTGACAAGAAGCGTCGACCACAGTACTAGGCGAGAACGCCGTGAACATGGCTTGCCAGTCCTTGATCGCTCGCTCGGCGTCGCCCTGCGATTGCGCAAGATCGTACGTCAAGACAACACGCAAGTCAACCTCAGCTCCACCCTTCCAGTGGTCGCGCAAGACGTTGCAAAGGGCCGAAAGCACTCGACACTCACCCGTAGCGCCAGGAACGACCTGCTCATGTCCCTCAGCTTCGCGTGCTGCTCTGCGAGGACGCCGACGCATATCTTGCTGTGCTGCGAGTCCAGCCACAGGTCCTGTGCGATCAGGGCCTGCGTGGCTTCGATTTCCTTCTGCAGACCTTGCAGCTTGACGTCCAGCTCGTCGTGGAGCGCATTCAACTGCGGGGCACACGATGGTGCTTCCGTTGCGTTAACGTTTGCTGTAGCTGTCAAACATCACCCGACGCAGCAGACATGTGTGGTTCGCAGCAAAGGCCATGCAGCTAGCTGTGCAGCACACCTGCGCCAGCACTGTCTCGACCGCCTTCGCCGACTCCGCAGCGGAGACCTCCCGGACCAGCACGTCTTTGCGCTGAGTCAGGTACGTGATGACTGACCGCTCCAGGCCCGTCCCCTCAGCGAGCAGGCCCGCAATGTACCGCCTGGCCTCCTCCTCCTGCTCCGGCTGGTGCCACACGCACGACGTCAGGTGCAGCAGGTCCCACTTGCGCACCTCGGCCCTGCCATCTGTCGCCGCAGCTACGCGCAAAAGGTGCACGGCTTTCTTCCAGCGGCGGTCCGACACCTGCGAAGCAACGAAGGCGACTTGCGCTCAGCGGACAAGGTGGCTGCAGGCATCCAATCCACGGCCTGCTCGACGCAACGTCACGATAATGACAACCTCATGTCATCTCACCTGCCACTCTTGCCCCGAGAAGCGGTCCCGCAGCTTCTCGATCAGCGCCATGACATCGTCACCGATCTCGACCGTCTCTGCGCGGTCCCTGACGTCGCGCAGGTCCGCCGCGGACAGAGCTGCCCGCGCGATGTCTTGTGGTGCCTCCCCTGAGCTGCTCTTCAACATTTCCGCGAAAGGCTTCCTGCGCGCAGGAATCGTGCAGGTTGAGCATCTTGACTGATGGCGCGCATCACGACATGCCGGCAAATCCATGTGCGAACTTCGTCCGGGCGCCCAGGCCCGTGAAACAATCAACATGTACTAAAATGTGAGCTTAGAAAGCTCACCTTCCTGTGTCATCGCGGTTCTGGAGGTACCCCACGCACATCCGCACCAGGAACCGGTCGTACAGCGCCTGCAGCTCCGGCTGTGTCTGCGCCGGCACCTCGTTCGACGCCCCGATCATGGAAATCAGTGGAACGGTGATGACGTTGGTGCCGTTGTGGAAGAGGCGCTCGTTGATGATGGTGAGGAGGGAGTTGAGGACCGCGCTGTTGGCCTGCAGATGTCATGGGGGCCGGAGAGCGATGAGGCGGGCTTCGCTCAGGAGCACGGCTGCAACTGAAGTCAACCACGAACAGCGTCATGGCGTGATGAACGACAGCAGACTCACCTTGAATATCTCGTCCACGAACGCGATCTCCGCCGTCGGCAGGTAGCCCTGGATCTGCCGCTCGTACACGTCCGCCTGCAGCAACGTTCGTGCCCATGCCGTGTCATGACACTGATCAGTCTCGGCACTGTGCGCCACGAGGAAGTCGCGCTCCCACACAGCCCGCAGCACGCTCGCACCTGCAGCTTCTGGATCGACATCGGCCCGAACAGCTCCTCCGGCGTCGAGAACTTCGTCAGCAGCTTCTCGAAGTAGCCCCCCGCCCCGGCCTCGGCGCGAAAGGCCATGTGCAGCCGCCGCGCGAGGAGCGACTTCGCCGTGCCCGGCGGGCCCAGCAGCAGCACGTGCTCGCCGGCGATGCTCGCCAGCAGCGCGCGGCGCATCATGTGCTCCCGGTCCACGAGCCCCGTGGAGAGTTGGGAAACAAGCACTCGCAGCTGGTCCTTGGTCCAGGACGGGCTCTCGGACGCGGACGGACGGCGTACGATGCCCGCGTGAGTGGCATCAAGGACCTCAAGCAGCTCCTGCGTCTCACGACCGCACAGGAAGGCTCGGCGCAATGCCACGCAGTCAAGCGCCACGCTGCAGCTCCGAGCGAACGCGGTGATGACTTACCTGCAGTCCCCATTTCCTCGCCTGGAGCCTGACGAGCTCCGCGATGCTGCTCGGAGGCAGCGGCGCCTTCTCGCCCAGCGACAACGCAAATAAATAACTGCAATGTGTCTTCAAAAGGTGTTTGTTTGTGACCCGCAGTTGGCCAAGGACGCACGCGTGAGGAGCACCCACGTGCAGATGCAACAGAGGACAAGCGTCGACGCTGACGGTGCAGCATCGCAGAATCGCACCTCAGGATGATCCACTGAAATGCATCCGGGTGCGTGTCGGGCAGGTGCAGCTCAGCGCAGGGCGTCAAACGAGAGCCACGCGACGGCGCCCGGTCGCGCACGGCCTCCAGCACCAGGTCCGCCAGGTGCGAGTCCGGGTCGGCCAGGGCGACGCCGATCGTCACCGTGTGCTTGCGCTCTCCCGTATGCAGGGCAATGCAGTGCTCCGGCGTCAACTGCGAAACGACCTTAAGAGGCACGTGTTCTGGTCCGCATTTCATGCAGAGCACCACATGCGGGCGTAAGGGCGCGCGCGAGGCCATGTCGTGAGCGCGCGAGACCATGCACCACAAAGGGGGAGGAGGCGGGAGAGCGCCGCGCATGAGGCCCCGCAGCCACTCACCCCGTGCCGTTCGAGCTCCTTCTTGATCTCTTCTGCGCGTTGCTCGCGCTTCTGGTCTTGCTTCTTGCGTTTCGCCGCTCGTTTCTGCTCTTCCTCAAGTTGCGCTTGTGCGAATGCCTCCGCGCTCCGTTTCCGCTGTTCCTCGGCCTGCGAGATCACCTGCCGCAGCGACTCTAGCAGGTCCATGTCCGGCACGCCCGCACTCGGGCCCGACATCGTGCCCAACGTGCGCGCTGTGCTACCCCTTGCCTACCCCAGGAGATTCTGGCGCACCCTGCGCGAGGCGCGCGTCAACCGCCATTGACTGTTCAGATATGCAGTGTTCGCCGACCGCAGCGGGCGCGGCAATGTCGGCATGCGTGCGTCGGGGGTGTGGGGCACAGTGCCGCACCTCGCTCTCTGAGTAGCCCAGCATTTGTTGTACCGCACTGGGGCCGCGCGGCTCCTTGCACGGGCTGTCGGAGATGGATCTGGATCCGCTGTACGTCTGCGGGCATCCCCCGAACAGCGCTCAGCGCCGCTGGGTGCGGTAGAAACAAAATGACGTGTGAGAGTTGGACTAGGGCGGACCGAGCACCGCGTCGTCCTAGCCATGCAAGCGACGATCGCAGACCGCCCGACGCAACAAGAGCCCCACCTCGTGAACGAACATCCAACCTGTCCGACTCCATTGCGGAGACGTAGCACTTGCAACGAGGAGACGAGAAAACCTTGGACTTGATTGTTCCGCAGCGACGTCGCTCCAACCAGCGGGGTCACAGCTTCAGATCTCCCAGAAGTACAGCGCATCGCAGCCGATGCCGCAGGCGAACATTAACTGGAATTGACTCTCAGGACATGGTGAGAGCCACGTGCAAGCGTCTCACCCGGCTCACAGCTTCAACACCTCCCAAAGGCAAGGGGTAGCTTTGCCAATGCCGGCCCCGAACAAGTCGGTCTTTTCAAGCGCCGCAGCACCACCGGTCAGCGGGACCCAAGTTCCCGAACAGTGATCATCATCGTGACAATAATCGTTATCGTACTCGTCTTCCCCGTCGGACTCATAAAAGTATTGACGCGCCCCGATCTGCTCGATGCATGGCCCTGCAGCCCCAGAGCCAACGCACCGCACAATGGAGTACGAAGAGCCACACTGACACTCGACACGAGCTGCCGGTCCATCCGTGTTGGCGTACCAACCCCTGCGCCGTGCTCTGACTGGCTGGCCTCCCTTGCGCCACACTTGCTTCGTGAGCTTGCCCTTGCGCTCCAGACTGAACACACACAGGTCCCCGTCCATTCGCAAATCCTGCGTGAGGCTGTTTCCGGAGTAAACGAAGCCCGCAATGGATGCACTGCCTCCCACCCGAGGTGCGCGCGCCAGGACGAGGAACGGCCCCCCGCTGGCACACTTGGCAATCCAGCCACTGCCGTCTTCGCTTGTTGCCAGGCGTACGAGGCGACCAGCGCCCTTCCAGTGGCCCATGGTCTTCAGCACATCGACGAGCGCTTCCTGACGAGAAGAGCTGGTCATAATCCTCGGCGAGAGCGTCATGAATATGTTTTGCCAGTCCTTGAGCGCTCGCTCGGCGTCGCCCTGCGATTGCGCAAGATCGTACGTCAAGACAACACGCAAGTCCTCGACTCCACACTTGCAATGGTCGCGCAAGACGTTGCAAAGGGCCGAAAGCACTCGACACTCACCCGCAACGCCAGGAACGACCTGCTCAGGCCCTTCAGCTTCGCGTGCTGCTCTGCGAGGATGCTGATGCATATCTGACAGTGCTGCGCGTCCAGCCACAGGTCCTGTGTGATGAACACCTGCGTGGCTTCGATATACTTGTGCCGACATTGCAGCTTGACGTCCAGCTCGTCGTGGAGCGCATTCAACTGCGGGGCACAGATGATGCTCCGTTGCGTTTGCTGCAGGGGTCAAACATCACCCCCTGCCAGACGCGGCAGACATGTGTGGTTCGCGGTAAAAGCCACGCGACTGGCCGCGGAGCATACCTGCTCTAGCACTCTCTCGACGCCGTCGGCCGTGCTCGCCTCCGCCAGCTCCCGAACCAGCACATCTTTACGCTGAGTCAGGTGTGTTAAGACTGACCGCTCGAAGCCCGTCTCCTCAGCCAGCACGCTCGCAATATACTGCCTGGCCTCCTCCTCCTGCTCCGGCTGGTGCCACACGCACGACGTCAGGTGCAGCAGGTCCCACCTCCGCACCTCGGCCCTGCCGTCGGTCGCCGCAGCTACGCGCAAAAGGTGCACGGCTTTCTTCCAGCGGCGGTCCGACACCTGTGAAGCAACGAAGGCGACTCGCGCTCAGCGGACGATGGCTGCAGACACCGAACCCACAGCCGCGTCGTCATCGCGTCTCACCTGCCACTCCTGCCCCGAAAAGCGATCCCGCAGCTTCTCGATCAGCGCCATGACATGGACAGAGACGATGACCTTCTCTGCACGGTCCCGGATATCGCGCAGGTCCGCCGCAGACAGAGCCGCCTGCGCAGTGTCCTGCAAAACATCGCTCGAGCTCCTCATCACCATCTCCGCGAAAGGCTTCCTGCGCGCAGCGAGACCACCGCTCAGCATCATGGCTGGAAGTGCGTGGAGTGATATGGTGGGGAGACCCGTGCAAGAAATTAATTCGGGCGTCAGACAACCTTGCCGTAATTCACGCAAAATTTGAGCTCACCTTCCTCTGTCATCGTGGCTCTTGAGGTACCCCACGCACATCCGCACCAGGAACCGATCGTACAGCGCCTGCAGCTCCGCCTGCGACTGCCCCGGCACCTCGTTCGACGCCCCGATCATGGAAATAAGCGGAACGGTGATGACGTTGGTGCCGTTGTGGAAGAGGCGCTCGTTGATGATGGTGAGGAGGGAGTTGAGGACCGCGCTGTTGGCCTGCAGGTGTCATGGGGGACGGGGAGCGATGAAGGTGGCCTCGCTCAGGAGCACGGCTGCAACTGAATCCAGCCCGTTGCCACACCAGTGATGAACGACAGCAGACTCACCTTGAATATCTCGTCCACGAACGCGATCTCCGCCGTCGGCAGGTAGCCCTGGATATGGCGCTCGTACACGTCCGCCTGCAGCGTCGGGATTGTGTGCCCCTGACGCAGTGAGCATGGCACAAGGAGAGAGGTGTTGTGCAGCGCAGTCTGAGAGCCGATATTGAGCCCGCAAAAGAGCAGCATGGCCAACTCGAATAGGCCAACTCGCAGCAGCTGCAGGCTGTACATCCTGTGCGCCTAGTGCGCATTGCTGGCCTCACCAGCCCAAGGACATGTGAGCGGGCTGGTCCGCAGGGGCCTGTGGGACCGCTGCGGTGGCTCCGCCGTGTTGTGAGGAAACCTCTTCTGGAGAGGCATCTTCTCGCGCGAGGCAGCCACCACAGCGGGCCCGCAGGCCCCTGCGGGCTGTCCCGAGGGCGGGAAGTCCATAGCGGACGACCGAGCGCCGCGGTCCCGCAACAGCTGGCCGCGCGAAGTAGAACAAGTGCGTGAGAGTGAGCGCACGTAGCCTTCGCTTGCATCAATAGAGCGTCGCAACGCGGCAGGGCTCGGAGCCGCTCCACTTTCTTTTTCATCTAGCTGAGGACTCTGGGTGGAATTGATCAGCGTCAGGCGCAATTGACGCGAGCGCACCTGCAGCTTCTGGATCGAAATCGGCCCGAACAGCTCCTCCGGCGTCGAGAACTTCGTCAGCAGCTTCTCAAAGTACCCCCCCGCCCCGGCCTCGGCGCGGAAGGCCATGTGCAGCCGCCGCGCGAGGAGCGACTTCGCGGTGCCCGGCGGGCCCAGCAGCAGCACGTGCTCGCCGGCGATGCTCGCCAGCAGCGCCTTGCGCATCATGTGCTCGCGGTCCACGAGGCCCGTGGAGAGTTGGGAAACCAGCACTCGCAGCTGGTCCTTGGTCCAGGACGGGCTCTCGGACGCAGAGGTGCTCCTAGGTACGACGGCTGTTGGGCCCGGGGACGCAGCCGCGAGGGCCTCCAGCAGCGTCTGCGCGTGCGCAGCGGGCCGTGTGAGCCTGAGCACGGTATTGCGCGAGGTGAAACCAAACGCGGGGCTGACGGGGTGAAACGGACACTCACGCTGAGCCGCCACTTCTTCGCTTCGAGCATCAGGAGCTTCGCGTTCTGCCCAGAAGGCAGGGGCAGTTCCTCGCCCAGCGATGACGCGCGCAGGAATCTGCAGGTGGTGGCAGAGCATTTTCAATTAGGGAATGAAGGATGCGGATGCAGGCGATGACAGGGCGCGCCTGTTGCGTGTCAGCGACGCACCGCAGGACCCATTGGAAGGCCTCGGGGTCGGAGTCGGGCAAGTGCAGCTCCGCGCACACGTGGTGCGGTGCCTGTGCCGGGCGGTCGGCGCGGCTGCGCAGCGCCGTGCGGATCTTGTCCGCGAGGAGCGAGCTGGGGTCCCGGAGAGCGACGCCGAGCGACACGGTGAACTGCCGCTCGCAGACGCGGAGGGAGACGCAGTCCTCAGATGACAACTGCAGGCAGTTGCTTGGGTGAAGACTGGCACGGACCAAGGCGCACGCAGTGAACAAGAACCGAGGCAGGGTAGAGGCAAGACCACACTTGATCGTGAACGATCGTTCAGCGAGTGCGCCAGGTGCGCAGCCCATCACCATGTTCGTTGCACACAAGAGATGGCGCCCGCAACGAGGCCGGGACGCTCACGCCGTGGCGCTTCAGCTCCTGCTCCACCTCGGCGACCAGCTGTTCGCGCTCCTCATCGCGCCGTTGGCGCTTCTCCGTGCGCTGGCGCTCCTCCTCGCGCTGCTGTTGCGCAAACATTGCAGCGCAGCGTTTCTCCTGCATCTCGACCTGTTCGAGCATCTTCTGCAACGTGCCCTTGAGATCGAAATCATCTACGGCCTTGGCGTCCGCCATAGTGTCCGCGGAGCCCTCAGCGGCTGCCGTCGGCGTTGTTCGACCTCCACAAAGACCGTGGCGTTGGTTCCGGGGAGAGAGCTCGGCCTCGACCTGCTCCCCTCACGATCCGTCGGAGCCAAGCTATCAGGTACATGCGCGGCGGGCGGAGGCAATCATGGATCCGCACGTCGGCGCTGTACCCGCCCCGATGCCCCCGGGGGTGCAGGTGACTGCCACGTGGCCTGCAGCATGGTGCAGACGCCGCGGACTGTGTCTCTGGCGATGGACCGCGCGTGTCTGAGCGAGTCGCTCGAGTCTGAGCGGTGCTGGACAGCGGCATATATGGTAGTATTGATAAATTGCAAATTGACTCTCAAGACGTGGTATTGACAGGGCCGCTGCTCGCGGTGATAGCCACGTGCAAGCGTGTGCGGCAGCACCCGGCCCGGCTCACAGCTTCCACACCTCCCAGAAGCAAGGCGTGCTGGTTCCGTCCCCGCAGTTGAACAAGTCAAACGAGAACAAGTCGCAGCCAGCTCCACCGAACAACGGGCCGCGCAGGCACTGCCACCCGCCGCCGTCGCTCAACCGATATGATGTGACATGGACCGCTTCCTGAGTCGAGCATGTGCGCAACTTCGCCGACGAATAGACGCTCTGCACACAACGCCACACCGTGGGCCCGGCGGCATCGATGGTGATCGCCGGCGCGCCCCCTTTCAGCCGCCAGACCACCGTTTCGCACTCTGTCCGGGACGTGACTGCCACGCGGAACACCACGGCGTCCCCCTCGTCGCCGTTTCGGGACCGCGAGCGCAGCACACCCACAAAATACGCGACACCCCGCTTCCACCAGCCCTTGGACTCGCGTGCTTGAATCAGACATAGGCACGGGTCGCTATACTTGAGCTTCCCCGCGCGGCCTCGCTTCTCCGAGGTGCCGAGCAGCTCGGGGGCACCGCCCTCCCACCACATGCCGACACTGCTCAGCATCGCCTCGATGGCCGCCCGCCGACACTTCGCGTCGCTGATTATGGATGACTTGGTGAATGCAGAGCCAACGCACTGATCCACGACGTCCGCCTTGACCTGTGGCCGAGACCGGGACGCAGACGACATGACGCATGTCTCCTGACGCGGGCGAGGGGGAGTGTTGGAACGAAGGGTAGACCCCGCCCGCGCGCGGTGCAGGCAGAGCCAGTGTGCGCGCGCACCTTGAGCTTCGAGAAGGACTCGCACAGCGCCTTCATCTCCCTTTCCGCGTCCACGATCACGCGGATGTATCCTCTGTGTGTGTCGCCCAGCCACATATCCCTTCCCAAGTGCGCCTCGATGGTTCGAACCTCTCCGGAAAGTGACTCCATCTGCTTGTCCAGCTCGCTCTTGAGCGTCTTCATCTGCGGCGCACAGCGGCTCCATCGAGCGGCTCAGGTTTGTGTCCATTCTGAAAACCTCCTTCTTGGGTCTGCACGGTCTCCGTCCGACGTTCAATCGCCCGCGAGCGCGCACCTGCTCGAGCACTTTCTCGACGTCGCCGCCTGACTTGACCTGCGACAGTTCCCGCTCCAGCACGCCCTTGCGCTGAGTCAGGTGGGCCAGAACCTGGCGCTCCATCCCCGCCTCGTCGACCAGCAGGCGCAGAATGTGGGTCTCCGCAGCCTCCTCCTGCTCCGGCTGGTGCCACACGCACGACGCCACGTGCAGCAGGTCCCACCTGCGCACCTCGTTTCTGCCATCAGTCGCCGCTGCAACACGCATGAGGCGGACCGCTTTCTTCCAGCGGCGGTCCGACACCTGCAGATCGCGCCGGTCGCCCGAGTCCCGTCAGCGGTTATTCATGAATCATGCACCGGCGATCCGCGGGCGCAGTTTGCCGCCAGAACACCCACACACCTGCCACTCCGGCCCCGAGAATTGCTGCCGCAGCTTCAGAATCAGCTCCGCGACGCGTTTCCCGACGTGCACTTTGTCAGCGCGCTGGCAGATGTCGCGAACGTCCGCCACCGACAGCGCCACCTCAGCGACATCCGCTGCGGTCACATCGCTGTCGCTGTCCAGCACCATCTGCAGCAGCGGGCTCCTGCACATCAGCGCACGCGATGCGCCGCACCAATTCAAGCTCGCTCAAGACGCGTCGCATGAGCCCTTGGCCTGGCAAAGCATTATTCCGTGGTTCAGAAACCAAAAATCAAACATCGAAACGAACCTTCCGTCTTGGTCGCTGTCCCGCAGGTACCCCACGCACATCCGCACCAGGAACCGGTCGTACAGCGCCTGCAGCTCCGCCTGTGACTGCCCCGGCACCTCGTTCGACGCCCCGATCATGGAAATCAGCGGAACGGTGATGACGTTGGTGCCGTTGTGGAAGAGGCGCTCGTTGATGATGGTGAGGAGGGAGTTGAGGACCGCGCTGTTGGCCTGCGGACGTGCGGCGAAGCGCGAGATCTGGAAGTGGCAATGCTTGCACGCGTGCGTTGCATGCAGATGCGTTTTGTCGTTTCTGGCGCAGCACCTTGAATATCTCGTCCACGAACGCAATCTCAGCGGTCGGCAGATAGCCATCGATCTTGCGCTCGTACACGTCCGCCTGCAGCGTACCGTCAACTGCCAGAGTCATCCTGACGCGACGACAGCACAGGCACGCTCGCGGGGGACGCCCCGAGGCCCCTCGCTGCGAGGCGCGCTCTGACTCCCATCATTGGCCCCGCCACCAGCGCCTCGGGACAAGGCTCAGGGGTTTTCAGAAATGGGCCTAACGCGCGACCACCCACGCAAGGTTCCGGCAACCATCCCTCAGGCTTGCAGGTGCCAAAGAGCCGGCCCACAGGGGCCCGTGAGGCGCACCGTGGCGAGTCTGCCACGTTCCCGAGACATCTCACCCTTGAGAGGTCCCTGGGTGGGCGACAGCGCCACGGTGCGACCCTGGGGCGCACCGTGAACCGGCTCCTCAGCCCGCAAGGCTCGGGCGCTGGCCGGGTGGCGTGGCGCTGCAACTGGACGGGACGCGGGTCTCGCATCTCCGCCGTGCGCTTCGAAACATGCGCCGCGCGCCGTAGGGGAGCACGCAATGAGCACGCTGAGCGAGCAGCCGTCCTTCAGGGGCTGTTTCCGCGCGGTAGGATGGTTCTCGTTTTTTTTGTCGGCGCCATCAACGAGGGCGCACCTGCAGCTTCTGGATCGACATCGGCCCGAACAGCTCCTCCGGCGTCGAGAACTTCGTCAGCAGCTTCTCGAAGTACGCGCCTCTGTTGCCGTCGGCGCTGAACGCAACGTGCAGCCGCCGCGCGAGGAGCGACTTGGCCGTGCCTGGCGGGCCCAGCAGCAGCACGTGCTCGCCGGCGATGCCGGCCAGCAGCGCCTTGCGCATCATGTGCTCGCGGTCCACGAGACCCACTGACAGTCTGGCAACCAGCTGTTGCAGCTTCTCCTTGGTCCAGGACGGGCCGCTGGGGGCGTCCAGGCGAAGCTGGGCGGGCGGCGCACATGTGCCTGTGGGGCTGAGAGCCTCGACGAGGCCCTGCGCGTCGAATGGGCCCGGTGTGAGCCTGTGCACGTGGCAGGAACAAACACGTCGCTACAGCAGGTGCACGACGGGCAGGGCGACCTACCGCGAGGCCCCAGCGTCTGGCTTGGAGCAGCAGCAGCTGTGCAGTCTGGCCCGAGGGCAGGGGCGCGTCCATTCCGAGCACCAGTGCGTTGAGGTACCTGTTGGCCCAGAGTGGGAGGGGGGGTTTCGCTCGCAGTCAGACGCGAGCGCTGTCGCTTGGAGGCGCGCACATTCGCGGTGGATGCGCGCGCGCACCTGACGACCCACTCGAATACGTCCGGGTCCGCGTTCGTCAGGTGTACGCGAAGTGCGGGCTGCGGGATGGGTGTCGTGCTCCGCGGCGCGTCACGCAAAGCCGAGCGCACGGACTGGGCGAGCAGAGACTGAGGCTCCGCGAGGGCGACGCTGAGCGTGACGAGGAAGTCCCGATCTCGCACGCACAGGGCGACGCTGTGCTCTTGCGTCAACTGCAGGCACGGGCGCGGGGCAGGCTCGTTGGCGCCGACGGCGTCGTGATCGTGGTGTTCGCTGTACTAGCTGAATGCGGGGTGCTGCAGCCGGGTCACGCGAGCGGAACTTCGCAATGCTTGTCAGGCAGAGAATCTCTGCAGTGATTCTGAGCACTGTAGCGAGGTAGGTGGGTAGGTCGCTCACCCCGTGCTGCTGAAGCTCCTTCTCCATCTCGGCTGGCAGATAATCGCGCGAGGGAGGCCGGTTGGCGTGACGCGCCGCTGCCGCGCGATGCAGCGACGTCAACATTGCAGAGAGCCGTGCCGCCGCGCGCTCGTGTCGCTGCCGCAGCGTCTCCGCTCGATATTTACCTCAGTACCGGCCGGACGATGGAAACGCGTCGATGAGCTCGTCTGCGCCGCGAGTCGCCTGGTCGAGGGAAGGGCCTCGAAGATGCATGAGATGGAGCTCAACGCGGCCCCTTCATCGAAAGTCTCTGTCGTCAATAAGCAGCAAAGCCTTGCTTACGCATCCTGTGGCGCGCTGCGCGTCGGCGGGCATACCAGCCCCCTGAACGACCCGAGTGCAGCTACATGTCATGTCATGTGACATCATCAATTCTCGATTCTGATAGCGCACCTCAGTGAGGGCGGAACACGCATCGCGCCGTCCGGGTCGGGCAGATGGTGATTGTAGAAGTATCGGCGCAACGATTGCTTCGGTTCCCATCGCCAGGCGGCTATCTAGGGAACAAGGATCACAGTTTCCAGACCTCCCAGAAACATTCAACGGTGCTGTTGATGCCTGCACCGAACAAATCTGCCTCGTCGAGCACGCGCGCATCATCGGTGAGCGGGTACCATCTTGGCCCGTTGCAGGGCGCTTTCGTCCCGCCGCAGCCACAGGGGCCGCGCTGCTGGACACAGACTTGCTTGCTGGGTTGCGTGGGCTGGGGCGCCTGACCGAAACTGGACGGCTGACCGAAAGCACCACCACTGAAAGCTGGTGGGGTGCTCGGGAGCTTCGCAGGAGCACCAAACGTACCGAACCCACTACTGCCACCATAACCAGCAGATGAGAAGGTGCTGGTGGGTGCAGGACCTGGCGTGCTGGCTGGCTGACCGAAACCGCCGAAACTAGGAGGGGTTGGAGAAGCAGCGCCAAAACCACCGCCTTGAGGAGAGGGAGCAGTCTGCGTCTGAGTCAGGCAGCGGATGCCCGAGAAATGCTCCCAAGTGGCCGGGCAGTAGAAACCCACTTCTGGTCCATCCGAACTTGACTTCACGCCCCTGTGCGCGCCCTTTTCCATGCGCCACACCTGCTTCAAGTACTTGCCCGCATGCTTCATCCTGAAAACGAATATGTCTCCGTCAAACTTCGTTTCTGTCGTGATGTTTGATGCACTGCCGTATATGAAGCCAGAGATCGCTTCCGGGCCGCTGGAGGAGACGGGGACGCGTATGAGGAAGAGGAACGGGCCGCCGCCTGCGCACTTGGCGGTCCAGTCACCGCCATCGTTGCGCGTCGCCAAGCGTGTGGGAGCGGCGCCCTTTCGAACGCCCGTGATTTTCAGCACGTCCAACAGCGCGAGCTGATCGGCCGCGCTGATCGCGGCATTGGGTGCAGGAGCCGTGAATTCGGCGCCCTGCTTGGTTTTGAGTGTCTCCTCGGCTTTGACCTGCGATGGCAAATCGCGCGAAAAAACGTTCGCGCAACGCGTACGTGAGCCTCTCACGACGTGCACGCTTGCTGGGCCGATTGGATCTGGCACTCACCCTGAGCGACAAGAAAGACCTGATCAGTCCCTTCAGCTTGGTTTGCTGCTCCGAAAGGATGCTGATGCACATCTGACAGTGCTGCGCGTCCAGCCAGAGGTCCTCGGCGAACTGGGCTTGTGCAGCTTCGGCGTCCTTTTGCTGGTCCTGGAACCTCACGTCCAGCTCGTCGAGGAAGGTGTTAAGCTGCGGAGGAAGATGCGCGAGCGCCACGTTGTGGAATATGCACTGGCCGCAGCAAACATCTCCCGGGCAAATTTATGCCCCCGCACGCAAGACGCACCTGCTGCAGGATCTTCTCTACATCCTGGACCGACTTTGCCTCGGAGAGCTCCTGGTGCAGCACTTCCTTGCGCTGAGTCAGGAAAGTTGTCAGCACGGAGCATTCGAAGCCCGCGTCCTCGGCCAGCAGACCCGCGATGTGCGACCGAACCTCCTCCTCCTGCGCCGGCTGGTGCCACACGCATGACGCCAGGTGCAGCAGGTCCCACCTCCGCACCTCGTCCCTGCCGTCGGTCGCCGCTGCAACGCGCAGGAGACGCACTGCTTTCTTCCAGCGCCGGTCCGACACCTGCAAGCCCGCGCACAAATATGCACCGTCAGCGATCGTGCGGGCGCCAGGTCCTCGGCCTGCATGCCGTCGTCCCGAGACCTCTCAATCCATTCGTGACAACTTGGGGTCTCTCACCTGCCACTCCTGCCCCGAGAAGCGGTCCCGCAGCTTCTCGATCATCGCCATGACGTTTTCGTCGACCCTGACCCTCCCTGCGCGATCCCGGATGTCGCGCAGGTCCGCCGCGGACAGAGCCGTCTGTACGACGTCGTTCGCAACATCGGTCACGTCGCTCAACACCATCTCCGCGAAAGGCTTCCTGCACACATCCGGGGAGCATCCCTCGCACTTGGTGAAACAAGGGGAAGCAGGCCCCTGGTGCATGGAACGCCTCACGGGTGAGTCAGGGCGTTGCAATCAAGTGATGCAATGTGGTGGGCGTACCCTCCGTGTTCGTTGCGGTTCTGGAGGTACCCCACGCACATCCGCACCAGGAACCGGTCGTACAGCGCCTGCAGCTCCGCCTGCGACTGCCCCGGCACCTCGTTCGACGCCCCTATCACTGAAATAAGCGGCACCTTGATGGTTGTGTTGCCGTTGTGGAAGAGGCGCTCGTTGATGATGGTGAGGAGGGAGTTGAGGACCGCGCTGTTGGCCTGCGGTGGTCAGCAGACGCGGCTTGGAACGTGACGGGTCATGCGCGAGAAGCTATTGAGCACCGCAGCGTAGTGTGTCGATCGTGCCCGGCAGCGGCTCACCTTGAATATCTCGTCGATAAACGCGATCTCCGCCGTCGGCAGGTAGCCCTCGACCTGCCGCTCGTACACGTCCGCCTGCAGCAACGTTCGTGCCCATGCCGTGTCAGTGTCGGCAGTGCGGGTCATGCAGGAAGTCGCGCTCCCACACAGCCCGCAGCACGCTCGCACCTGCAGCTTCTGGATCGACATCGGCCCGAACAGCTCCTCCGGCGTCGAGAACTTCGTCAGCAGCTTCTCGAAGTAGCCCTTTCGCTCAGCGCCTGCATCCTTGCAAAAGGCCATGTGCAGCCGCCGCGCCAGGAGCGACTTGGCCGTGCCTGGCGGGCCCAGCAGCAGCACGTGCTCGCCGGCGATGCTCGCCAGCAGCGCCTTGCGCATCATGTGCTCGCGGTCCACGAGGCCCGTGGAGAGTTGGGAAACCAGCACTCGCAGCTGGTCCTTGGTCCAGGACGGGCTCTCGGACGCGGACGGACGGCGCACGATGCCCGCGTGAGTGGCATCAAGGACCTCAAGCAGCTCCTGCGTCTCACGACCGCACAGCGGAAGGCTCGGTGCAATGCCACGCTGTCAAGCGCCACGCTGCAGCTCCGAGCGAACGCGGCGACGACTCACCTGGAGGCCCCATTTCCTCGCCTGGAGCCTGACGAGCTCCGCGATGCTGCTCGGAGGCAGCGGCGCCTTCTCGCCCAGCGACAACGCAAATAAATAACTGCAGTGTGTCAAAAGGTGTGGCCCGCAGTTGGCCAAGGACGCGCGCGTGAGGAGCACCCACAGGCAGATGCCACAGAGGACAAGCGTCGACGCTGACGGTGCGGCACCGCGTCGCACCTCAGGATCCACTCAAATGCTCCATCCGGGTGCGCGTCGGGCAGGTGCAGCTCAGCGCAGGGCGCCAACCGAGAGGCGCGCGACGACGGCGCCCGCTCGCGCACGGCCTCCAGCACCAGGTCCGCCAGGCGCGAGTCCGGGTCGGCCAGGGCGACGCCGATCGTCACCGTGTGCTTGCGCTCTCCCGTATGCAGGGCAATGCAGTGCTCCGGCGTCAACTGCGAAACGACCTTAAGGGGCACGTTTTTCAATCCGTATTCCATGTACAGCACCACATGCGGGCGTAAGGGCGCGCGCGAGGCCATGTCGTGAGCGCGCGAGACCATGCAGCACCACGGAGGAGGAGGCGGGAGAGCGCCGCGCATGAGGCCCCGCAGCCACTCACCCCGTGCCGTTCGAGCTCCTTCTTGATCTCTTCTGCGCGTTGCTCGCGCTTCTGGTTTTCTTTCTTGCGTTCCGCCGCTCGTTTCTGCTCTTCCTCAAGTTGCCCTTGTGCGAATGCCTCCGCGCTCCGTTTCCGCTGTTCCTCGGCCTGCGTGAGCATCTGCCGCAGCGACTCCAGCAGGTCCATGTCCGGCACGCCCGCACTCGGGGCCGACATCGTGCCCAACGCGCGCGCTGTGCTACCCCTCGCCTACCCCAGGAGATTCTGGCGCACCCTGCGCGAGGCGCGCGTCATTCGCCACGTACCACCCTGAAATGCAGTGTGCGCCGACTGCAGCAGGCGGCAATGTCGGCGTTCGTCCGCTAGGGGCGTGTTGGCACTCACCTCCTCAGGCTGCTCCCTGAGTAGGCCAGCATTTGTTGTACCGCTTGGTGGCGCGCGGCTCCTTGCACGGGCTGTCGGGGATGGACTCGGATCCGCTGTATGTCTGCGGGCATCTTCCGAACAGCGCTGGATGCGGTAGAAACAAAATGGCGTGTGAGTTGAAACACCACATCTCTTGGCAAAACTCCGAGCCTCAACGAGGGCGGACCGAGCACCGCGTCGTCCTAGCCATGCAAGCGACAGTCGCAGACCGCCCGACGCAAGAAGATCTCCACCTCGTGAACGGCGACAACGGAGCTGTTTGACTCCATCGCGGAGACGTAGCACTTGCAACGAGGAGACGAGGAAACCTTGGACTTGATAGTTCCGCAGCGACGTCGCTCCGACCAGCAGGCTGCGGCTGCCTTGCGGGGTCAGCGTGCATGCAGCACGGGTTGCAAGGATTCTCTCGACCGAGCACGTGTGCGTCAGCCACCTCACCCGGCTCACAGCTTCCGCACCTCCCAAAGGCAGGGGGTGGCGTTGCCAATGCCGGACCCGAACAAGTCGAGCTTGTTGAACTTCGGAGCACCGTCGGTCAGGCGGGTCCAACCTCCTGCATTGCATTGGCGACCGCACTGACACCCCGCCATCTGCGTGATGGTTGACCCGGTGCACTGAACGCCCGCGACGACGTGGCCGGAGTAACCACACTGGGCACCAACTGCCCATCCATTCGAGCTGACTGTGGCTCCCCTTGCGTCATTTCCCTTGTTCATGCGCCATACGTGCTTCCTGAGCTTGCCACGGCGCTGTAGAGTGAAGAGATACAGGTCTCCGTCCAGTCGCAGTTGCGTTGCGAGGCTTTGTCCGGAGTACACGAAGCCCACAACAGACGCTGCAGACACATCTCCACTCTGTGTGCGCGCGAGGAAGAGGAACGGCCCCCCACTAGCACACTTCGCAATCAAGCCACCGCCATCCGAAGACGTAGCCACGCGCGCAGGGGGAGTGGTAGACGCGCCGTTCCAGTGGCCCGTAGTCCTCAGCACATCAACAAGCGCTTGCTGAACTCTTGCGTCGTCCACGACACAAGGCGAGGGCATCAGGAACAGATTCGACCCCGCCGATCCTTGCAGGTGTCCGTCCGCCTCCTGTTCGGCTCTGGCCTGCAAGCACACCAGATGGCGGGTCGAGCTCAGACGCAGCTGGCTACAGTCGCCGACCCCTCTCTGCATGGCCATGCAAGTGCTCGCTCACTGACTGAGACTATCCAGCACTCACCATCAGTGCCAGGAAGGACGTGTCCAGTCCCTTGAGCTTCTCATGCTGCTCCGCAAGGACGCTGACGCAGACCTGGCATTGCTGCGCGTCGAGCCACAGGTCGTCCGCGAGCAGGGCTTGCGTGGCTTCGACGTCCTGTTGTAAGCCTTTGAGCTTCACGTCCAGCTCGTCGTGGAGCGCGTGCAGCTGCGGAACGCGGAAGTCCTTCTGTTGCGTTTGCTGCAGATGTAGGACATCGCCCGTGTGCTCAACGTCATGCAACTGGCCGCGCAGCACACCTGCGCCAGCACGGTCTCGACCGCCTTCGCCGACTTCGCCTCCTTCAGTTCCCGACTCAGTGCGACCTTGCGCTGAGTCAGGTACTCGAGGACCGACCGCTCGAGGCCCGTCCCCTCAGCGATCAGATCCGCAACGCACCGCTGGGCCTCCTCCTCCTGCTCCGGCTGGTGCCACACGCACGACGTCAGGTGCAGCAGGTCCCACTTAAGCACCTCGGCCCTGCCGTTAATAGCAGCTGCAACCCGCAAAAGGCGGACCGCTTTCTTCCAGCGGCGGTCCGACACCTGCGGCGCGAGGTGTGACACTCGTCAGCGACCACCGCAGCTCGCGATGCCGCGGTGTACCTCTCTGGTGTGGCCGCCCTGCGGTCTGCGCACCACGGTCAACGTGCTTGCAAGAGGTGCGTGCATCTCACCTGCCACTCCTGCCCCGAGAAGCGGTTCCGCAGCTTCCGAATCAGACTCATGACGTCATCGCCGATGTGGACCTTGTCGGCGCTCGCAGCGATATCGCGGAGGTCAGCCTTCGACAGGGCAGCTCGCGCAACATCCTGCGCTGCAACATCTTCGTTGCAATAGTCCAGGACCATTTCCGCGAAAGGACTCCTGCGAGCATACGATGAGTGCCAGACACATTGTCCGCGCGCGGCATCATGATCTCGTCCGCACCGCAGGCCTCCGTCCAAGCGCACTCCGTCCAAGGCATCGATGAAGACTCACCTTCCGTCTTGGTCGCTGTCCCGCAGGTACCCCACGCACATCCGCACCAGGAACCGGTCGTACAGCGCCTGCAGCTCCGCCTGCGACTGCCCCGGCACCTCGTTCGACGCCCCTATCACTGAAATAAGCGGCACCTTGATGGTTGTGTTGCCGTTGTGGAAGAGGCGCTCGTTGATGATGGTGAGGAGGGAGTTGAGGACCGCGCTGTTGGCCTGCGGTGGTCAGCAGACGCGGCTTGGAACGTGACGGGTCATGCGCGAGAAGCTATTGAGCACCGCAGCGTAGTGTGTCGATCGTGCCCGGCAGCGGCTCACCTTGAATATCTCGTCGATAAACGCGATCTCCGCCGTCGGCAGGTAGCCCTCGACCTGCCGCTCGTACACGTCCGCCTGCAGCAACGTTCGTGCCCATGCCGTGTCAGTGTCGGCACTGTGCGCTGCGAGGAAGTCGCGCTCCCACACAGCCCGCAGCACGCTCGCACCTGCAGCTTCTGGATCGACATCGGCCCGAACAGCTCCTCCGGCGTCGAGAACCTCGTCAGCAGCTTCTCGAAGTAGCCCTTTCGCTCAGCGCCTGCATCCTTGCAAAAGGCCATGTGCAGCCGCCGCGCGAGGAGCGACTTGGCCGTGCCCGGCGGGCCCAGCAGCAGCACGTGCTCGCCGGCGATGCTCGCCAGCAGCGCCTTGCGCATCATGTGCTCCCGGTCCACGAGCCCCGTGGAGAGTTGGGAAACCAGCACTCGCAGCTGGTCCTTGGTCCAGGACGGGCTCTCGGACGCGGACGGACGGCGTACGATGCCCGCGTGAGTGGCATCAAGGACCTCAAGCAGCTCCTGCGTGTCACGACCGCACAGCGGAAGGCTCGTTGCAATGCCACGCAGTCCACCGCCACGCTGCAGCTCCGAGCGAACGCGGTGATGACTGACCTGGAGGCCCCATTTCCTCGCCTGGAGCCTGACGAGCTCCGCGATGCTGCTCGGAGGCAGCGGCGCCTTCTCGCCCAGCGACAACGCAAATAAATAACTGCAATGAGTCTTCAAAAGGTGTTTGTTTGTGGCCCGCAGTTGGCCAGGCAGATGCAACAGAGGACAAGCGTCGACGCTGACGGTGCGGCACCGCAGAATCGCACCTCAGGATGATCCACTGAAATGCATCCGGGTGCGTGTCGGGCAGGTGCAGCTCAGCGCAGGGCGCCAACCGAGAGGCGCGCGACGACGGCGCCCGCTTGCGCACGGCCTCCAGCACCAGGTCCGCCAGGTGCGAGTCCGGGTCGGCCAGGGCGACGCCGATCGTCACCGTGTGCTTGCGCTCCCCCGTATGCAGGGCAATGCAGTGCTCCGGCGTCAACTGCGAAACGACGGTGCGGGATACGTTTTTCGGTCCGCATTCCATAAACACCACAGGCGGGGGTAAGGGCGCGGGCGAGGCCATGTCGTGAGCGCGCGAGACCATGCAGCACCACGGAGGAGGAGGCGGGACAGCGCCGCGCATGAGGCCCCGCAGCCACTCACCCCGTGCCGTTCGAGCTCCTTCTTGACCTCTTCTGCGCGTTGCTCGCGCTTCTGGTCTTCTTTCTTGCGTTCCGCCGCTCGTTTCTGCTCTTCCTCAAGTTGCCCTTGTGCGAACGCATCCGCGCTCCGTTTCCGCTGTTCCTCGGCCTGCGTGAGCATCTGCCGCAGCGACTCCAGCAGGTCCATGTCCGGCACGCCCGCACTCGGGGCCGACATCGTGCCCAACGTGCGCACTGTGCTATCCCTCGCCTACCCCGGGAGATTCTGGCGCACCCTGCGCACGGCGCGCGTCATTCGCCACGTACCACCCTGAAATGCAGTGTGCGCCGACTGCAGCAGGCGGCAATGTCGGCGTTCGTCCGCTAGGGGCGTGTTGGCACTCACCTCCTCAGGCTGCTCCCTGAGTCGGCCAGCATTGTTGTACCGCTAGGGGGCCGCGCGGCTCCTTGCACGGGCCGTCGGGGATGGACCTGGATCCGCTGTACGTCTGCGGGCATCCCCCGAAAAACGCCGGGTGCTGTTGAAACAAAATGACGTGAGTTGAACACGCATTATCTCTTGGCAAAACTCCGAGCCTCAACGAGGGCGGACCGAGCACCGCGTCGTCCAAGCCATGCAAGCAGCGATCGCAGCACCGCCCGACGCAACCAGAGCTCCGTCTCGTGAACGGCGGCAACCAACCTGTCAGATGCACCATTGCAGAGACGTAGCACTGCGTGTGCCGCGACATCGAGCTGCCGCTCAAAAAACGGGGTCACAGCTCCCAGATCTCCCAGAAGCACAGCTCACTGGAGCCGATGCCGCAGCCGAACAAGTCAGTATCTTCGAGCTTGGCTGTGTCCTTGGTTATCGGGCTCCAATTCTCTTTGCAGCCTGAGTCGCCGCACCCACAATCCGAATATTGCCTGATACTGGTACCATCGGCGAAAAAGCTCAGCCCCGAGTAGCGTGAGTCGTAGTCGCAGGCACCGACACAGACACGGACACAAACTTCCGGTCCGAGCGAGCCTGCCTTGACGCCCCTGTCACTCGTTCCCGCATTCAGACGCCACACTTGCTTCGTGAGCTCGCCCTCGCGCTTCAGACTGAAGACAAAGAGGTCGCCGTCCAGTTTGAGTTCCGACGTGAAGCTGCGCCCGGTGTACACGAAGCCCGCAATCGATCCCGCAGGCTGCGACCCCTCCGAGACGTCAGGAACACGCGCCAGGAATAGAAACGGTCCGCCGCCGCCACACTTTCCGATCCAGCCGGTTCCGTCGTCACGCGTGGCCAGCCGCGTGGGGGAGTCAGCGCCCTTCCAGAGGCCTGTGGTCTCCAGCACGTCAACAAGCGCTTGCCGGCAGGCATCTTCGTCAACGACACAAGGCGAACGCGCGTGGAATGCCTTCTTCATGACCACGAGTGCGACTTCGGCTTTAGCCTGCAACGAATCATCATCGAGTGCTGCAACGTTTACGTCCGAGCACTATGTCTGAGAAGCGCGATGATGCAAGGGCATACGGCGGTCATTTCCGCGCTTACCCTCAGTGCCAGGAAGGACCGGATCAGTCCCTTCAGCTTCCCTTGCTGCTCTGCAAGGATGCTGATGCACATTTGGCTGTGCTGCGCGTCCAGCCAGAGGTCCTCGGCGAACTGGGCTTGTGCAGCTTCGACGTGTCCCTGGAGATCGTGTAATTTCCCGTCCAGCTCGTCGTGGAGGGCGTTCAGCTGCGGAGAACGATCCACGAGATTCATGCGATCATGCTCCGTTCAGCGCTGCAACATGCTCCGAGCCCGCTTGCCCAGGCAGGTCAGCGAGCGCACCTGGTGCAGCACTGTCTCGACGCCGTCGGCCGTGCTCGCCTCCGCCAGCTCCCGAACCAGCACGTCTTTTCGCTGAGTCAGGTACGTGATGACTGACCGCTCGAAGCCCGTCTCCTCAGCGAGCAGGCCCGCAACGTACCGCCTGGCCTCCTCCTCCTGCTCCGGCTGGTGCCACACGCACGACGTCAGGTGCAGCAGGTCCCACCTCCGCACCTCGTCCCTGCCGTTGGTCGCCGATGCAACTCGCAACAGGTGTACGGCTTTCTTCCAGCGCCGGTCCGACACCTGCGATGCGACGTACAGAGGTCGTTAGCGACAAGATCGCGAGCTGGCGGTGCGCTGACACGTTGTCTGCAAGCACGTGTGTGTTTGCGTCTCACCTGCCACTCCTGCCCCGAGAAGCGGTCCCGCAGCTTCTCGATCAGCGCCATGACATCATCGCCGACGATGACCTGGTCTGCTCGTTGCCTGATGTCGCGCAGGTCGGCCGCGGTCAGGTTCGCCCCTGCGACATCCTCAGCGCTCCCCCCTGCGCTCCGCACCATTTCCGCAAAAGGCCTCCTGCGCGCAAGGGATGGCAAGATCTGTTTCAGCAAGATCGATCTGCCTCGCTGGTCAAGGACAGCACGTGTCGTCGAGGTGTCGCGTCAGGACAGCGAGAGTGCGTTGCGACGTGGGCGCACCCTCCGTGTTCGTTGCGGTTTTGGAGGTACCCGACGCACATCCGCACCAGGAACCGGTCGTACAGCGCCTGCAGCTCCGCCTGTGACTGCCCCGGCACCTCGTTCGACGCCCCTATCACTGAAATAAGGGGCACCTGGATGGTCGTGGTGCCGTTGTGGAAGAGGCGCTCGTTGATGATGGTGAGGAGGGAGTTGAGGACCGCGCTGTTGGCCTGCGGATGTCATGGGGGACGGGGAGCGATGAGGCGGGCTCCGCTCAGGAGCACGGCTGCAACTGCATGCAACCGGTTGCGATGTCATGTCGTGATCAACGACAGCAGAGTCACCTTGAATATCTCGTCGATAAACGCGATCTCCGCCGTCGGCAGGTAGCCCTCGATCTGGCGCTCGTACACGTCCGCCTGCAGTAACCGGGCCCACACATCCCTTGTGTGCATCACGGAGATCATAGCAAGGCGAAATGATTCGAACATCGCATCTGGACGCGAGCGCACCTGCAGCTTCTGGATCGACATCGGCCCGAACAGCTCCTCCGGCGTCGAGAACTTCGTCAGCAGCTTCTCGAAGTAGCCCCCCGCCCCAGCCTCAGAGCGAAAGGCCATGTGCAGCCGCCGCGCTAGGAGCGACTTGGCCGTGCCCGGCGGGCCCAGCAGCAGCACGTGCTCGCCGGCGATGCTGGCCAGCAGCGCCTTGCGCATCATGTGCTCGCGGTCCACGAGACCCACTGACAGTCTGGCAACAACGAATTGCAGCTTCTCCTTGGTCCAGGACGGGCTCTCGGTCGCGGACGAGCGTGGCACGACGTCCGTGGGACGCGCTTCCGTGGCATGCAGCGCCTCAGCCAGTTTCTGCGGTCCGAATAATTCAAGAGACGTGCGCCTATCAGGGAAAAACGCACACCGTTTGACACTGAGCACGAATCGCAGCATCGCACGCACGCCGCGATGACTAACCTTGAGCCGCCACGTTCTCGCCTGCAGACCCACCAGCTCAGCGTCGCTACCGGCAGGCAGCGGCGCCTTCTCGCCCAGCGACGTCGCACGAAGGAACCTGCAGCGCAGGATAGAGCATGTTGTGGGCCAGGCAAGTCCGAGGGACGAACGCGCATGCGAGCAGCAGTCTCGGTGCGGCGAGCATCGACGCTGACGGTGCGGCATCGCAGAATCACCTGAGGATCCACTGAAATGCATCTGGGTCTGCGTCGGGTAGGTGCAGCTCAGCGCAGGGCGCCAACCGAGAGCCACGCGACGACGGCGCCCGCTCGCGCACGGCCTCCAGCACCAGGTCCGCCAGGTGCGAGTCCGGGTCGGCCAGGGCGACGCCGATCGTAACCGTGTGCTTGCGCTCTCCCGTATGCAGGGCAATGCAGTGCTCCGGCGTCAACTGCGAGAATCAGCAGTCGGCAGCGGCGACATCAGGGCAGGCGTGCTTGCAGTGTCGGTTGGCTTGGACCTGACGGCGTCGGCACGCCCCGCCGTGAAGTCTTGCAAGGCGAAGATGCAGCACTGCGCGGGGGCGCAATCTCACGTTTTGTCGCTTTAGCTCGTTCGAAATCATATCGCTGCGCTCCTGGGCGTCCGCCTCGCGCTTCTTGGCCGCTCTCTCTTGCTCCTCACGCTGCTTCTGGGCAAAGATCTCAGCATTCCTTCTGCGCTGCTGCTCCGCCATCTCCAGCATCCGCCGCAGCGACTCCACCAGGTCCACATCCGGCATGGCTTCAAGTTCCGCCATCGTGCCCTGCGCCCGGTGCGTTCTGTCGCCGCCCTACCGTGATATGCCCCGCTGCTAGAGGTTCTGGCGCACCCTGCGCGAGGCGCGCGTCAACCGCCATGGACCACCCTGGAGTGCAATGTACGTCGACTGCAGCAGGCGCGGCAATGCCGGCGTTCGTCCGCCAGGGGTGCGCGGGCACTCCACCCCGCCCTGAGTAGAAGGCCAGTTCGTTGTTCCACTTTGGGCTCGCGTAGCTCCTCGCGAAGGCAGTCAGGGCACGGTTGAGGAGGGCGGCGCAATCTGCCACATCTGTACTACATGCTGAGATGATCGTTCTAGTCAGCGAGTCGGAGCTGTGGACGCAGCGGGCCACTTCGTAGAGCAGCCCTCACCGGCCGCTTGTTGGCCCGCACGAGCCAGCAAGGCCTGAGATACGGGCACTGCGAGGTCGAAGCGCGCACGGACTATCTTGACCGCGAGTTCGAGCCGCTGGAAAACCCGCGAAAGCGTAGTGCTAGCAGGCTGTTGCGATCGCAGCCTCGTGCCGAGCCCAGCGGCCGCGCCGTTTTCGTTGCAAACGGCTCAGGACAAGCATAGCAAGCGTCTGGATAGAGAGCGTCATGGTCGCGACGAGATCCGAGGCGTCGCCCTACGACGTTCTTGGCCAGGACCTCCAGCACTCCAACGAGGACCCGCAGCGGCAGGACGTCGCCAACGAGATCCTGTACTGGACGCACAGGTTCCCCCGCGGCGTCTCGGGCACGCGCGAGGAGATGCAGATGCGCAACGACCGCGCTGCCTTCCTCGTGGGGCTGCGGCGCGTGCTCCTGGCGGGCGCTCCGCCGACCTCCGCGCCCGTCGCGTCTCCCGTCAAGTCCCCCGACCCCGTCTGCGCGAGGTCCGTGCTCAAGTGGCTTCAGGGCACGGGCCTGAACCTCTTCACGAAGGAGAACGAGGCGATGGTGGAGGCGGTGCTGCGGGACGTGATCGAGTTCCTCGTGGCGACGGAGCTCGCGCTGGACGGCGAGGACGCGCAAGCACGCATCGAGGAGCTGGCCAAGAAGCTGCTGGAAGGTGCGCGCTTGCCGCCGCGCGGTGTGGTCGTACCCAAACACTTGAACAACGAATTGAACAACGAATGAAGGCTTTTCACAGACAACGTTCGTGTTTGTTGCAGAGGAAGAAGAACGCGAGCGGCGGAAGAAGAAGAAGCGGCAGCCGCCCCCTCCGAGCTTCCCTGGCGGCGGTGCAGGCGGCGGAGGGTTCGGGGACGCGAGCGCTGCTGGCCAGGGCTTCGGAGACGGGGAGACTGGCGACGGCGAGGGCGATGGGGACGCGGAGGCTGGCGACGGCGATGCGGCATCTGGCGACGACGAGGGCGATGGCGACGACGGGGAGGGCGAGGCCCGTCGTCAGGCACGCAATGCGCGTGGTAGGGCGGGGGCACACACGTCAGGGGGGGGTTCGAACGTGGAGCTGTCCAAGGAGCAGGTCGAGGAGCTGTTTCAGCGGGCCAGGGCGAGCGCGAGGGCGACGGTGAAGCAGGAGGTGGCGGACAAGCTGCTGGAGGGCACGGCGGGGCCGTGGGAGGAGCGGACGAAGCTGTGGCGGGAGCTGAAGGACGTGTTCGACGACCTGACGAACTTCATGGACGTCGGGTGGGACCTGACCAGCTCCCTGCTGAGGTGCGTTCATTCTGAGTTGCAGTGAACCTGACTATCGTGGTTGATATTGTCTTGGAGTCAGGCTGCTTCCTTCCGCGTTCTCATTCGGCGAGTACGTGGCTGCGTGTGCGTGTGCTTGCAGGTCGCAGGGGTGGCGCGAGGTCAAGCGTCTGCACGAGACGGTGAAGCAGCTGCCCAAGTTGCGGGAGCTGCTCGAGGCGCTGGGGCGGATGGTGGAGGGGCGCGCGGGCGGGAAGGGCCAGATCGTGACGGTGCGCGCGACCTGCGTGCGGCCGACCTTCGCGCAGCGTCGCGGTCACCCGTGTGGCTGATGATGTGCGTGTGTTGCTTCTTTTATGTCTTTGTTGAGGCTCTGATCAGTCCTCGACGGTGCCGGCGTCGCAGGTGTACGAGGAGGTGCAGCGCAAGGTGGAGACGCGCGTCGAGAAGCTGGTGCCGGACGTGCCGGAGGAGATCTGCGGCATCACGCAGGGCGACGACATCTCGCGCATGTTGCCGTCGGAGGCGATGCTGCTGGCGACGGACGTGCCGGTGCTGCAGACGCTGTGGCACGTGAAGCGGCTGGAGCGCAGCATGCTGCAGTACCACATGCAGGGCGTGGACCTGGACACCGTCATGACGGACCAGAAGCAGATGGAGGGCAAGGAGGAGGAGAAGCCGGCCGGGATGGGCCCGATCATCGCGTGCCTGGACACGTCGGGGTCGATGAGCGGCTTCCCGGAGCAGGTGGCGAAGGCGCTGGTGCTGGAGGGCATCAAGACGGCGTCGCGGGAGAGCCGGAAGTTTTATTTGATCAACTTCAGCGGGCCGGAGAACACGCAGGCGCTGGAGATGTCGGCGGGGCCCGAGGGCATCCAGAACCTGATCGGGCTGCTGCTGGGGTCGTTTCACGGCGGCACGGACGTGCACGCGCCGCTGGTGGAGGCGATCAAGCAGCTGCGGGCGGAGGGGGGGGAGTGGGACCGCGCGGACGTGGTGGTGGTGAGCGACGGGGGCTTCTCGGTGCCGAGCGGGGTGCTGCCGCGGATGCAGGAGGCGCGGGAGGAGCACGGGGTGCGGTTCCACGGCGTGCTGATCGGCAACTACGACTCCCCCGCAATGACGGCGCTGTGCGACGAGGGGTGCTTGCACAAGTTCAGCAGCTGGAACAGCCTCGGGGGCGTGTGACGGCGCTGTGGTGCGCGGGGGGTCGTCTCGGCACGTGGACGCCACGTCTGGAGTCGATGGCCTCCCTGACAATTAAGTTTTGCACATGCACAGCTTGTGTCATCGGGTCATTGAACGCCGAACGGTGTGCATCTGAGAACGTCGGCCTCGTGAGTCACATGTCCTCGCTCTGGGACAGGGCAGTGAGCCTCACAGCTCCCACAGCTCCCAGAAGCACGTGGCCGAGGACGAGTCGTAGGCGGTGCCGAACAGGTTTGTGTCGTTCGTGTCCTCGGTGCCTTCGCACGGCTCCCAGTCCGTGGCCTGCAAGTCGTGCCACTGAGTGACACTGACACCCGAGCCTGCATCTGATTTGATGAACTTGATAATCTTGCAAGGAGCGGAGTACATAGAAGGTTGCCACAGTATGGGTCCTTCAGGACCCGCGGAGATTTCGACCGCCTGGTTTATGGCCCGCCAGGCCGATCTGACAGCGCGACCTTTCTTCTTGAGTCGGAAAACGATCAGGTCCCCTTCATTCCGTTCACGCGAATCGATGCACGGCCCAGAGTACAACACCCCGACCACGGTGTCCCCCGACGGCCCCGCAGAGGGCTCTGGCGTCCGTACCAGGAACAGGAACGGACCTCCGCTCACGCACTTCTCGGCCCAGCGTCCGTCCTGAGAGGTAGTAAGAAGCTTGGGTGTGTGGCCAGTCCACTTCTCAACACCTCGCAGCATCTCGATCAGCGCCTCTTGCGAGGATTCATCACCCACGACACTGTGAGACGGCGCCAGGAAGGCACGCATGGACTTGAGACGGTCTTCGGCTTTGACCTGCAATGACGCAATGCACACGCAATAATGCTTTCGCAAAGGTGTGTAAACGCTTAGTCTGACACGTCGCCAGGCCCTGCTCGTGATGTATCGACGCAGAGCAGCACATGATGTAGCTTACCACGAGGCCGGAGAATGATCTGCTCAGGGTCTTGAGCTTCTTCCCCTGTTCGCCCAAGATGTTCAAGCAAACACCTCGCTGGTGCGCATCAAGCCACAAATCCTGCGCGAAGAGCTCCGCGGCTTCGCTCGCGACCTCTGTCAGCGCTTGCATCTTCGCGTCCAGCTCGTCGTGCAGAGCATCCACCTGCAACGCGGCGACCAAACCATGCCAAACTTCCCTCGCTGCCATGCCTGTTGCGATCCCGGCAGCCGTGCTGCACGAGGCGTCCCTCGGAACACACCTGAGTCAGCACTCGGTCGAGCTGCTTGGGCGACTCCGCCTCAGAGAGCTCCCGGTCCAGCACGTCCTTGCGCTGAGTCAGGTGCGACAGAGTCTGACGCACATCGCCCGAGTCCTCGGCCAGCAGGCTCGCGATGAATAGCTCCGCCTCCTCCTGCTGCTCCGGCTGGTGCCACACGCACGACGTCAGGTGCAGCAGGTCCCACCTCCGCACCTCGTCCCTGCCGTCGGTCGCCGCTGCAACGCGCAGGAGACGCACTGCTTTCTTCCAGCGGCGATCTGATACCTGCAAGATCATCCAACAGGAAACGCGAAAGTGGGTATTGCGGTGCGCGGTCGCGCGCGGCGATCGCAGCGGTGACATTGTTTGCGTCGTACCTGCCACTCTTGCCCCGAGAAGCGGTTCCGTAGCTTCCGCACCAGCGCCATGACCTCCTCGCCAACGCGTACCTTGTCAGCGCTCGCAGCGATGTCGCGGAGGTCAGCCATCGACAGAGCCGCTTCTGCAACGTCCTGCTGCGCAACATCTTCGGTGCACTCCAGGACCATTTCCGCGAAAGGACTCCTGCGAAAATCTCGGCAAGAGCATACAGTCAAGCGCGAGATAGACGCGATGCATGCGCGCGATCTCAATAACTTCTGTGCGGCAGGGCGTTCGTGTTGTTCTCGCTGCGACTGACCTTCCGTCGTTGTCGCTGTCCCGCAGGTACCCCACACACATCCGCACCAGGAACCGATCGTACAGCGCCTGCAGCTCCGCCTGTGACTGCGCCGGCACCTCGTTCGACGCCCCGATCATGGAAATCAGCGGAACGGTGATGACGTTGGTGCCGTTGTGGAAGAGGCGCTCGTTGATGATGGTGAGGAGGGAGTTGAGGACCGCGCTGTTGGCCTGCGGAGGTGTGGGGAGGTGGATGGATGAGACTCGCGTGCGATGAGCACCCCGCGAGGTGCAACAGCAGATGCAACAGCGATGAGTAGCCTACAGTACCTTGAATATCTCGTCCACGAACGCAATCTCCGCGGTTGGCAGATACCCATCGATCTTGCGCTCGTACTCGTCCGCCTGCAACATGGCGATTCCCCGTCCGAGTGCCTGACGCGATGAGCGTAGTGCGGGCAGAGGTGTTTCGCAGCCGTCCGCTTTGTTCGGCCCGATATCGGGTCCGGCGGGACAGCATCCCGGCAACTACGCGGGGAGTTCTAGGTCATGGCTGCAGCAAGCTGTCCCCGTGCGGCCCGCGCGCAGCTGGTGCCAACAGCCTTGCAGCTTGCCAGGAAGCTGGACCGCAGGTGGCTGCGGGGCAGCTGTGGTAGCCTCGCCATGTCGGAGCGGACTCCGGCATGATGAGTCCGTCGTCGCGCGAGACCAGCATGATCCGCCGCGGGCCAGGTCCTCGGCAAGCTGCAAGGCTGCGCAAGTGCCTGCCACGGACGTAGGTCCAGCGGGGCGCAAGTGTTGCTGCCGCAGGTCGACAGAGACACTGCAAGGACTGAGTTCGTGCCGCTACCGGAGGGGATGCTTGTAGGGGCGCGAAGAGCGAGGGGACTGTAGGTGTCCTGATTGCTCAGGGCTCCTGAAGGGAAAAACGTGCGTCAGGCGCACTTGACGCGAGCGCACCTGCAGCTTCTGGATCGACATCGGCCCGAACAGCTCCTCCGGCGTCGAGAACTTGGTCAGCAGCTTCTCGAAGTAGCCCCCCGCCCCGGCCTCGGCGCGAAAGGCCAGGTGCAGCCGCCGCGCGAGGAGCGACTTCGCGGTGCCCGGCGGGCCCAGCAGCAGCACGTGCTCGCCGGCGATGCTGGCCAGCAGCGCCTTGCGCATCATGTGCTCGCGGTCCACGAGACCCGTGGAGAGCTTCAACGCAAGCAGTTGCAGCTTCTCCTTGGTCCAGGACGGGCTCTCGGTCGCGGAGGGAACTCGCGGGACGATTGCTGCGCCTTGTTTCGTCGTACGCAGGACCTCGACTAGCGCCTGCGTCTCGTGCCGGGCCGTGTGAGCCTGAGCAAGAGTACGTATGCGATTGAACCACGTTGCTGCCCGGACCTCACGCGAACTGACCTGGAACCGCCACCTCTTCGCTTCAAGCATGACGAGCTCCGCGGCGGGGCCCGAAGGCAGCGGGGCCGTCTCGGCGATCGACGCGGCACACAGGAAGCTGCACAGCGACACGTTGGTTGCGGCTTCGTGAGGCAAGCGAACAGGAGAGCGCGATCCAAGAGCGGCGCCCGGGGCATGTCATCCGTCGGGGAGCGTACTGGACGATCCACTGGAATGCGTCAGGGTCGGTGTCGGGTAGGTCGAGCTCGATGCACGGTTTGAGCTGCGACGCCGTACACGAGGCCTCTCGCTCGCGCACGGCCATCATCACCCGGTTGGCGAGGTGGGACTCCGGGTCTGCCAGGGCAGCGCCGAGCGTGATCGTGAACTTGCGTTCCCCCGCGCTGAGAGTTGCGAAGTGCTCCAGAGTCAACTGCAGGAGATCGCTCGAAGGCGGAGCGCTTCTGCCCGATGCATGAGAGACGCCCTTTCGAACGTGTGCAGGGGCGGCGGCTACGCTGTGCGGTGAACGCCATCGATTCGTGGAACAGGTGCGACATTGCACATGGCGCTGCAAACATGGCGCAAGCAGGCCGAAGAGACGCTCACGTTGTGGCGCTGCAGCTCCTCGCTCATGTCTGCAGCCCGCTTCGTGCGCGCTTCGACCCGCTGCTGCTCCGCTGCCTCTCGTTTCTGCCCGCCCTCACGTTGCTGCATTGCCGACATCGCGGTGCTCTGCTTCCTCCGCGCGTGCGTCTTGATAAGCGGGTTCTGTCCGCGCAGCAGTGCAGCGCGTGCGTGAGGCGGGCGGACGACGGCCGTGCGCCGCGCGCCTGCCGTCGTGCCAGCGACCCGCATCAACCTAGGTGAAGTCGACTGCCATGTGGATTGCACGAACATGATCGAAGATATCAATCCTCTGACCGCAGAATCTAGCGATCTACGCAGGCTTGTACGGCGAGACACTCGTGCTGCGCCCGGATATGCCGAGGGTCAGGGTGGGCACAACGGATTCGGCGACAGACAGTTCGAGGAAACATCCCAGGTATAATCCTCACACCATGACGAGCAGATATATCAGCGCTCCTCCAGTTCGATTCCTCAACTTGAGGCTCCATGATGATGGCCCCGTCGAGTCTGCCCTCCGTGCATTCACAGGCAGTGCGCTTGAGGTGCTAGCTTTGCCCCGATGCCCGCAGCCATCTTTTTTCAGGCAAACGCGCGTGCCAACAGTGATTCGTGCAACCTCGCTTCGATCGTCGCAGGCCGTTGAGATGGAGCAAGACGTACCACTGCTCGAAAGGGAGACTTCGCGGCGCGCGCTCCTCCCTCGGTTCAGTCGACCCTACACATGGAGCGTCACAAGCTCCAACCTGTCTGCGCTTCTCCCAGTTCCGATCTGCGCAGCCGCAGCGCCGTCGCTGCGCTGCGCGACTCTCTGGAGTGCCGGTGCACGGGCCTGATGGCGAGGAGCCTGAGATCATCGCGGTCATGGCTGACTCTGACGAGGTGTCACCGTTTGATGACCTTGACTCGCATCTTCAGCGCATCAACGATCCGGAAGAACGGACAGCGGTCCAAGAAATCTCTTACTGGATCAACAGGTATCCGCGCGGCGTTTCGGGCACCCACGAGGAGATGCAGATGCGCAACGACCGTGCTGCCTTCCTCATGGGGCTGCGGCGGGCGCTCCTTGCGGGCTCTCCGCCGTCCTCGTACGATGCTTCCGTGCGGTCGCCCGATCCAGCGTGCGCGCAGCTGGTCCTGGAGTGGGTCCGGGGCACAGGGTTGAACTTCTTCACCAAGGACAACGAGGCGATGGTCGACGCAGTGCTTCGGGACGTGATTGAGTTTCTGGTGGCTGCAGAGCTGGACCTCGACAGCGAGAGAGCAGAAGCCCGCATCGAAGAAATGGCCAAGAAGCTGCTCGAAGGTATGCGCGGCAACGGAAGGGGGACCTTTGCAGAGCCCGCCATGCCGCTTGACGGGCACGTGTATCACCGTTCCTGCACGTCACTGAACAATCCTGCTTGTGCATCGCAGAGGAGGCAGAACGCAAGCGACAGGAGCAGCAGGGAGGAGCTGCCTCTACGGGCGGCTCTGCAAGTGGCGAAGGTGACGGTCAGGGTTCCGCCAGCGGTCAAGAATCCAGTGCGCCCGGCGACGCCACCGGTCAAGGCGCGGGCGTGGGGGCCGACGAAGGGGACGACGCCGCGGGTTCTGAGGACGCGGACGATGAGGGTCGCGCCGGTCGGCGAGCACGTGGCGCGCGTGGTGGGTCGTCGGGACACGCATCAGGCGGGCCGCAAGTTCATCTGACCGAGGATCAAGTCGAGGAGATGTTCCAGCGGAGCAGGGCGAACGCGAGGGCGATGGTGAAGGAAGAGATTGCTAATGAGTTGTTCAAGGACGCGGTGGACCCGTGGGAGGAGCGGATGAAGCTGTGGCGGGAGCTGAAGGACGTGTTCGACGACCTGACGAACTTCATGGACGTCGGGTGGAACCTGGCCAACTCCCTGCTGAGGTAAACAACAACTATACAATGCAACGAGCTTAGAGAATCATCATTGCTCCTCGTGGATGATGGTATCGTTGGCGAAGCTCGAGGCAAGCTATGCGTTGCCTCAGTGATGTGCTTGCAGGTCGCAGGGGTGGCGCGAGGTCAAGCGTCTGCACGAGACGGTGAAGCAGCTGCCCAAGTTGCGGGAGCTGCTCGAGGCGCTGGGGCGGATGGTGGAGGGGCGCGCGGGCGGGAAGGGCCAGATCGTGACGGTGCGCGCGACCTGCGTGCGGCCGACCTTCGCGCAGCGTCGCGGTCACCCGTGTGGCTGATGATGTGCGTGTGTTGCTTCTTTTATGTCTTTGTTGAGGCTCTGATCAGTCCTCGACGGTGCCGGCGTCGCAGGTGTACGAGGAGGTGCAGCGCAAGGTCGAGACGCGCGTCGAGAAGCTGGTGCCGGACGTGCCGGAGGAGATCTGCGGCATCACGCAGGGCGACGACATCTCGCGCATGTTGCCGTCGGAGGCGATGCTGCTGGCGACGGACGTGCCGGTGCTGCAGACGCTGTGGCACGTGAAGCGGCTGGAGCGCAGCATGCTGCAGTACCACATGCAGGGCGTGGACCTGGACACCGTCATGACGGACCAGAAGCAGATGGAGGGCAAGGAGGAGGAGAAGCCGGCCGGGATGGGCCCGATCATCGCGTGCCTGGACACGTCGGGGTCGATGAGCGGCTTCCCGGAGCAGGTGGCGAAGGCGCTGGTGCTGGAGGGCATCAAGACGGCGTCGCGGGAGAGCCGGAAGTTTTATTTGATCAACTTCAGCGGGCCGGAGAACACGCAGGCGCTGGAGATGTCGGCGGGGCCCGAGGGCATCCAGAACCTGATCGGGCTGCTGCTGGGGTCGTTTCACGGCGGCACGGACGTGCACGCGCCGCTGGTGGAGGCGATCAAGCAGCTGCGGGCGGAGGGGGGGAGTGGGACCGCGCGGACGTGGTGGTGGTGAGCGACGGGGGCTTCTCGGTGCCGAGCGGGGTGCTGCCGCGGATGCAGGAGGCGCGGGAGGAGCACGGGGTGCGGTTCCACGGCGTGCTGATCGGCAACTACGACTCCCCCGCAATGACGGCGCTGTGCGACGAGGGGTGCTTGCACAAGTTTAGCAGCTGGAACAGCCTCGGGGGCGTGTGACGGCGCTGTGGTGTGCGGGAGGTCGTCTCGGCACGTGGGCGCCACGTCGGGGGGCGCTGCTCGTTTGTTCTTCAGGGGGGAACGCTGATGCGTGAACAAGGTCCTGGCCGGTTTGCTGCGCTTTCGGCTTCCGACTGGGCGGCCTAGCTGTCCAAAGGGTGTGTGTGAGGCCCCCAAGTGCGATGACTGAGGGGCCTGTTGTCAGGTATAACTGCTTGAGCTGACTCTGAAGCTTCAGATCTCGATAGTTCGCGACATGGACGCGGCGTTATGCGACCGGGTTGAGTTCGATCTCGCTGTGTCGTGGTGAAAGCAGCAGACACGGTGAGCATGCACGGCCTCCTCTGCGCTGAAGTTTGAGACTTGTGCAGTGCATGGCCTGTGCATCGTCATGCGGTGCATCGCTGACTGACACGCTGGCTGATTCCGAAAACCAACCTCGACACACTCACAAGCACTGCCGTCGCTGCGTGGTTCCCAACAAGGCCGGAACGCGCGAGACGTTTGTCTGCCTTCAAGAGTATGCTGCGACGCTGGCCGTACGAGCGTTGGATCTCGCCGCACTATCGATCAGAGGCTACCAGTGCACCTGACTTCTGGCGATTCGGAAGCAGCATGTCTGAACTTTTCGCAATCATGACGGGGGCGCCCTCTTCCTTCAAATAGCAACCTTGTTCCCCGCTCGGCCCTCCGCAGGACGCCATGCCGCCCAAGAAGCGCGCCAAGCGCACGCTCAAGCCCGCACCTGCACCCCCCACCCTCCTCGACGACTGCATCGCCGCGGTCCAGGCCGTGCCGGACGCAGACCTGCCCGCACTGCTGTCGCTCATCAAAGCCCGCGGCGAACCGAGCCCCCCGGAGCCGGCGTTCGACGCGCAGCTCGATCCAAGCGCCATCCGCGCCGCGCTGTACCCGCACGTGCACGTCTGCGTGCGCGAGAACAACGGCAACTGGCATGGATGCTGCGACGCCACCGGCGCAGAGTGCTCAAGTTTTTACCAGACGGGGCACGGGCTCCTGCAGCGGGTGTACGACACCGGCGTGCGCGACCTGCGCGCGTTCGGGCGGTGCCACGCCGCGCTGGTCGCGCTGGCGGACCTGACGCAGGAGCTGGAAGAGATCGACATGCGTCAGAAAGCGCAGGTGTCCTGGGAGGCCGAGCAGGCGGTCCTGCAGTCCGCGCGCGACTGTGGTACGCTGAGGCGCAGTAGCTTCCTGGACAGGATTCGTTTCGTGTGGCGCTGCCTGTTGCGTGCTGCTGTTGCTGCCGAGGGCGGCGTGGACGACCTGCCGCCGTACCTGTGCCGGTTCGAGGCGGGAGGCGACGCGGGGCCGCTGGATCAGATGGTCGCGGACGCCAGGGCTCACGGCGTCGACGTGCTGAACGAGGCACCGAGCAACCACCAATGGGAGGGGTGTTTCCCGCATCACAGGTGATCGACACTCAAACCAAGTGCTCTCCTGGAGCACACGCGTCGTGCCTCGCCCCTGAGTGCCCACGCGCCCCCCGCGATCAAACACACACATCGTGTCGGGGTCCCCGCAGTGAGCGGACCGCGAAGCTCTTGTTGCTTCTGTCGGAGCGGAGGACGAAGGCCGACGCCGCGGAGAGCGCGAACGCGGAGCGGCTGCGAAAGCTGCGCTTTCCGGTGCTGCGCGCGAAGGTCATAGGCGACATGAAGCCGTTCTCTGAGCCAGGTGCGCTTCCCCTGGTCGGGCACGCACCTTGCTTGTCAGCCAGCGCAAGAGCTGCGCGCTGCACGACAGCGCGTGAGCTGGCGGTCCGTGCGCCGTGCCTGCAGTGCCGCCCGACCTCATCCCTGACGAGGCGTTGCGCGTGGGCGCTTGCAAGCTGCCTGCTGTGGTGGACAGCGGCGCGTGGAAATCCGTGGCCGCGAACTACACGTGCTGGAAGAACTTCCACCCCGCGTGCGAGGCCGGGTTCGACAGCGACGCGCAGGCCGATACGGACTCGGAGCCGGAGAGCGGCACCGTGGCTCAGCGCCTGGAGTTCGGTCGCAACGGCAACGACGCGCGCGGCAAGCGCCAGGCCTCGCCAGACATATAGCTTAGTGCCGTCCGCGAGCGCACGCGGACGGGGTCCTTGGCGCATTCACGCGGCGCAGGGGGCGCGTTGCTGCTGGCCCGTGAACAGCTTCGTGCAGCTGCAGGGTGTGTGTGCGCCGGCGGATCGTGCGCGTCGCGCGATTCAAGACCGGAAAGAAGGCGCATGCTTGGGGCCGCGTAGGCGTGTGATGAGGAGCCGCAGGGGTGGCATGATGGCAAGCGAGCAAGAGCGTGCCCAAGGCGTCCGTGGGCCGCCTGCGCGCCTTCGAGCTCGCTCTGTCAACACGGCTATGAGGAATTGAACTTGTCGGGGGGTGCTGGGTGGCAAGGACGGCCGCGACAGCCACGGTCTGGTCAGACGGAGGCCTCCTGCTTTTTCCCGCCCGCGCTCAGTTGGTTGATTCTGAGACGCGCAGCTGCGGGCGCAGCGCCCCGCAGACGTTCATCGCCGATCTCTCACATCCTCCCCCAGCTCCAAGCAATGGATCCACTGTCGCCGCGTCGATCACGTGTGAGTGCTGGTGCTGAGGTGTGTGCGTTGCGCTTGGAGACACGGATGGTCGCGGTCGTGTCTGGCTTCCCCAACACCGCCGCGGATCGAGGTCAGGCTGATGACCGCGAGGAGGCTGGAAGCAAGGCAGCGCTGCGTGGCGTGCTCGTCGCGTCCACACGTGTGCCGCTGTCGCGTGCGGAGCATTGGTGTCGTTGTGGACCCCGTCGAGCGTGACTGGCGGAGGGAGGCCGCAGGTAGTGCCCGTGTGGGCGCGAGTGAGCATCGCTGCGGACGCCTGGTGTGTTTGTTGTGCGTCAGGTCGCGTCGGACCAGGTAGAAAACAACGCCAGCACTTGTGCGTGGATCTGGGACGACGACGCCGTCACTCCCGCGGTGTATTGCCATTCAGGCAGCTCTGGCCTCCCTCGACGTGTCCATCGATAAGGTGCGTGCTTCAGCCATCGCACTCCATGCGATTCGCTGTGTCGGACATTGGCTATAGCATGATCTACAGCATGCTGGGCAGCGTGAGATTCGTGTGGGCGGGCCTCCTGCGGGCCGCTGATCGTGCAGGCGGCGTGACCGACCTGCCCCCCCGCTCCTGGGGCATGACAGGCTGCTGCGACACCGCCGCTGGGCAGCTGAAAGAGATGATCGCCGTCGCTCGTTCGTGGAACGTTGTGCTGGCCGACGACGGAGACGACGAAGATAGCGGTAGTGACGGCAGCGCATGATGACGCATTCAAGAGGCGGGCGATCGATCAAATGTAAGCTTTGAGCCCCGGATCCAGGAATGCCCGGACGCGCTGCGCCACGTGCTGGTCTTGTGCTGTGGCCAGGGGCGGCGTAGTGTGGTCGGCAGCAGTGCGGATCGTCTGCTTTGCAGCGAATTGAGGTGTTGTCCCGGAACGATCGTGGTGTGGCCTCGGAGCGCGGATCAGCACAGAAACCCGCTGAGCGCACAGCTCGGACGATGCGCGGCACAGACCCGACGCGCGGACTTGCCTTGCCGCACGTTGGTTGTCAGCGAGTAAGCAATGCAACGTGCCGCGCTGCTGTCCGAGGGAACGTCCCCGTAACGTGCGTTTCGGACGGAGCACGCCTGCTGAGACACTTGCTCCGAGGCGAACCACGCTCCGTCGCATTGCCTCAGCCGTAATGCGCGTCCGCACGCTGCTTGCTGGAGCGTTCCCGCCCGACCGGCCAGTACTGAGGTGGTTGCCCGAGACGAGGCCTGGGCGCCGGCTCACGGGCATGATGCCGGCCAGGACGACAGCTCACGCGCACACGGGGTCCGCGCGTAGACGTGCGACATCCCCTCCCGGCCCGAACGCAGCAGGTGAGCGCCCTTCCCTAGATTCCATTGCTCGCACCCGTTCCCGTGCGGACGCGCGACCTCAAGGGAGAATGAATGCGCGATGAGCAGAGTTTGATGCGGTGTCTGGTTTGCCGCGATGTATTACAGGACGCGATGCCGCCCAAGCGTCAGCGCAGCAAGGGCCCTGCTCGCGCCGAGCTCGGAGGGCGCTCGCGCCGAGCTCGCCGAGCTGGTCAACTCCATGCCGGACGCAGACCTGCCGGCAGCTCTGCGGCACCTCAAGGATGGCAAGCACAAGGAGCCTCCTTTCGACGAGGACCTCGAGCCGGGAGTGATCCGGCATGAGCTGCACGGGCACATTCTCCGCTGTGCGCGCGAGACGAACGGGAACTGGCACGACTGCTACGAGGAGACCGACGAGGAGTGCAGCGAGTTTTACAAAACCGCCGTCGAGCTCGTGAACGAGGTCTACACCATCGGCGTCAAGGAGAGGCGCTGCGTGGGGCGGTGCCACGTGGCGCTCCTGACGATCGCGGATCTCACGGAGGAGCTGGAGTCGGTGCCCCTGCGCAAGCACCCAACTGAGTCCTGGGGGGAAATGTGGACGGACTTCCCGCTCCAGACGGGGGTCGCTGGACCTATCCACCACATTGATTTCATGGACCGGGTGCGCTTCGTGTGGCGGGACCTGCTGCGCGTGGCTGCGGGGCTGGAGGGCGGCGTGACGGATCTCTCGCTCTATTTCATCAGGAATCGAGCGGCGCCGCTCCGCCAGATGATCGCCGACGCGCTGGCGTACAAGTGCGACGTGCTGAACGAGCGCAACACGGGCCACGAGGAGGAGTGCAGCGAGGAGGGCGGAGGGTACGCTGGGGTCACTGACTCTGATCCACGGCGCCTGGTTGTCGGCTCTTGCCGTTGACGCGTGCAGAGACTTCTGATCGCATGCGGTGTGTGTGTGTGCAACAACAAGGGCTGCGAGGCGCGGACGACCGACCTGCGCGTCACACCCACGGTCAGTCGTGACCCGCACTATGCGCTTGCAGGACGGAGGCGCTGAGGAGCTTCTTGAAGCAGCGAAGGAAAGAATTTCGAGGGAAGAAGAAAGCAAAGAAGCAGGTCCCTGTGGCGTGGACCTTTCGCGAAGAGCCATCCGACGACAAGGAGCCGACGAAGCCACGTGCGCGGCCCGCATGCACTTGCCCGCCCCGGACGCTCGCCCCCCGCCGACCTTGCGCGCCAGCATCCCGCGTTGACGCCACCGCAGCTGACCGCCGCCACGTGCGCGTGCAGTTCCCGTCGAGCTGATTCCGGACCCGGAGCTGCGGGAGGGCGCGCGGAAGCTGGCGGAGGCGGTCGCCGGCACCCACTGGGAGGACGTGGACAACAACTACACGCACTGGGAGGGGCTCTACCCGCGCCATGACGGCAGGTTCGACTCTCCCTCGCACCACGACGACGACGACGAGGAGTACGAGGAGTACGAGATCTACGTGTGAGGCGCTCGATATGAGACGGGCCGGCGCCGGCGTACAGGGTTGCGGGATCTGTGTGCACGCAACGCGCCGCACGTCTGTCCGAGGAGGATGTAACCGCAAAGTGCATCGCGACCCACGACAGCTCACCTGGCCGCTCCGAGGCGAACCACGCTCCGTCGCATTGCCTGAGCCGTGATGCGCGTCCGTGCGCTGCTTGCTGGAGCGTTCCCGCCCGACCGGCCAGTACTGAGGTGGTTGCCCGAGACGAGGCCTGGGCGCTGGCTCGCGGGCATGATGCCGGCCAGGACGACAGCTTACGCGCACACGGGGTCCGCGCGTAGACGTGCGACATCCTCTCCCGGCCCGAACGCAGCAGGTGAGCGCCCTGCCCTGGAGTCTCATTGCTCACTAGCACCCGTTCCAGTGCGGACGCGCGACCTCACGGCGCGTCCCAATGCAAGACGGGCAGCACGCGACGTACCCCCTTCGTGACACGTTGGTCTGCAGCACGAGATGCCGCCCAAGCGCTCAAGGAGCAAGGGCCCTGCGGCGGAGGGCGGCCTTCGCGCCGAGATCGCCGAGCTGGTCAAGTCCATGCCGGACGCAGACCTGCCGGCGGTCCTCGAGCATCTCAAGAAAAACAAGTACAAGGACGATGAGTCCCCCCTCGATGAGGAGCTCGAGGCGGGCGCCATCCGGCAAGAGCTGCACGGGCACATCACCAGTTGCGCCCGCATGACCAACGGCGCCTGGCACGACTGCTACGAGGAGACCGACGAGGAGTGCAGCGCCTTCTACGACAGCGCCGCCAAGCTCGTGAACAAGATCTACGCCATCGGCGTCAAGGAGAGGCGCTGCGTGGGGCGGTGTCACGTGGCGCTCCTGACGATCGCGGATCTCACGGAGGAGCTGGAGTCGGTGCCCCTGCGCATGGAAGCGACCGAGTCGTGGTCAAACATCAATTTTGAGTTCCCGCTCCAGACGGGGGCTGCTGGACCTATCTACCACCCTGATTTCATGGACCGGGTGCGCTTTGTGTGGCGGGACCTGCTGCGCGTGGCTGCGGGGCTGGAGGGCGGCGTGACGGATCTCCCACGCCCCTTCATGACGGAGGGCGCGGCGCCGCTGGACCAGATGATTGCCGACGCGCTGGCGTACAAGTGCGACGTGCTGAACGAGCGCGACACGGGCCACGGGGAGGAGTGCGATCGCGACGCCGAAGGGTGCGTCGTCCCTGCTAGCACCGCGCGCAACGTGTCTAGAACGCGGTGGTGCTGACTCATGAACAACGCAGCGCTGGGCACGTACACACCGAGACGTAAGGTGCGAGGGCGGGCCGCGCATCACGTCCCCGTCCACCCGCGGTCGATGCCCATGTGCGCAGGATGGACGCCCTCAAGAGCTTCGTGAAAGAGCGTCGTCTCGAGTACGAGAAACAAGCAAAGGAGGGTGTCAATGGATCAAGGACGAAGAAGCCGAGGAAGCCACGTGCGCGACCCGCATATACTCGCCCCTGACGCTCGCTCTGCGTTGTGCTTGCGCTCCAGCGTCGTGCGCTGATGCCGTCGTCCGCCGCTGCCCGCTGACGTGTGCGCGTGCAGTGCCCGTCGAGCTGATCCCGGACCCGGAGCTGCGGGAGGGCGCGCGGAAGCTGGCGGAGGCGGTCGCCAGCAGGCGCTGGGAGGACGTGGCGGACAACCACAAGTCGTGGGATGGGCACTACGAGTGCCACGACGGCAGGTTCGACCACATGCCGGGTGAGTACGACGACGACGACGAGGACGAGGACGACTATCGGGACTCGGATGACGACGAGTGGTGAGGCGCTTGCTCGCTCCAAAGCGGGCCGGATGCACGGAACCGAATCAAGCAATGAATACATATATACCACTGCTGCGCCGTGCAGCAGGGAACAAGAACGCGTGTGAGCTCAGAATGACTGCTCGCGGCCGTCGTCTTTGATCCGCGGCCCGATCGGGGAGGCGCTCGCGTGCCGACTGGCGTGCTCCGTGGCCAGCTCCGCACCATGGTTCATCAATCAGATTCAGATGTTGGGCCTGGGATCTGATTCGGTCAGCACGCGGCGGTTCCAGCGCTTTCGGTGCCTCTCCGTGACGTGCGCGAGGCCGCCGAGCCAGCTGCCGGTCGCAGCGCCACCTGCGAACACCTCTCCGACTGCAACGGCGAGGTTGCATTGAGCGCCCGGTGGCGGCCTTTTGGCCGAGACATGCAGCCACCGGCCTGTCGCAGCGCGCACCCTTGATGCTGGCGACTGGTCAAGGGCGCGTGGGGCATCCAGCGTCCTGCCAGGGCCACCTGGACGGCTCCCGCGGTTTCCACTTCAGTCGGGCGGTTGAATGAGGCCCCGCGGGGGAGCGTGGAGGGGGCGTGCGGCCCGCGCGGCACGAGTGGCGGCCTCGCCAGTCGGACAGTGTCAGTCCCGGAGCGGAGGAAGCTGTTCCAGCGCGTCTGAGAGCCAGGTAGAGCGACCCGCGTGCAACCGCTTGCTGAAAAGCGTCCAGCCGCCGCCCGCCACGCATGGGACGTGGTTATGCGCATGCGATGACGCGCAGAGTGACTGGTACTGCACAATGCAGGTGGTGAAGGATCAAGATGGCGCCGAAGCAGCGCAAGACGCTCGGTCCGAAGCCCGCTGTGGCAAAGGGGAGCGCTCGCGCGACGAGCGTCAGCGCGGCGAAGAAGGGCAAGGCGACGGGGTCCGCGCTGCGCGAGAAGACGAACGTGAAGGCCGGCAGCTCGGGCGCGCCCCCGCCGTTCGACGAGACACTGGAGCCGCACGCCATCACCAGCGCGCTGGCTGAGCACATCGATTCGTGCGCCTGCGCGCTCGATGCCGACCGAATGAACGGCTGGTTCGAGGAGGAGGAGGAGGCTGACGCGGATGGCCAGAACTTTTACCACGACGCCTCGGAGCTCGTCAACCGGGTGGACTGGGTGGGCGTCAGTGGCAAACGCCACGTGGGGCAGTGCCACGTGGCGCTCCTGACGCTGGCGGAGGTGACGGACGAGATGGAGTCGGTGCGGCCTGGCGCTGAGCACGGGTACACGTACCCGTTTGTCGTTGGAAGGGCGTCGAGTGTCCTTTCTCGCATGGGGATCTCGAATCAGATCCGCCTCGTGTGGCGCGACCTGCTGCGCGTCGCCGCGGGCCTCGAGGGCGGCGTGACGGACCTCGACAGTGACTACATCCAAGAAGACGGGGTCGCGCCGCTGGACCAGATGATCGCCGACGCGCTGGCGTACAAGTGCGACGTGCTGAACGAGTTCGCCACCGGCCACGAGGCGGAGTGCGGGGGCGACGCGGAGAGGTGCGTTGCTGATGTGCGAGGGCGTTTCGGCGCTGCTTTCTGCGAACTGTCTGTATGTCTGACTTGTCGTGTGTGGCGCTGTTGCACTCGCAGCTGCAAGGCCGCGCGGGACTTCATGGCGGGGCGCAGGAAGAGGCTCCAGGAGAAGGCGACCGGGTCCGGGCGGTGGGAGGGATCGATGGACCCGAAGTACAGGGACCCACGTGCGTGCCCTACCACACCTGCGATGGTCGATGCTGTTGACTCACTGCTCAAACGCTGGCTCTGACGGGCGGTCTCGTGGATGCGTGAGTGACGCCGACCCTCGTCCCGCCTCTGCGTCGTGCGCGCAGTGCCCGTCGAGCTCATCCCGGATCCGAAGCTGCGCGTGGGTGCACGCAAGCTGGCCAAAGCGGTGGCGGGCGCGAAGGCGGTCCCGAGCAACTACGAGCCTTATGAGGGCTAGTTCCAGAGCCACGACGGCCGCTTCGACCGGGCCGCGGTGTGGGACGCCTGCTGACGCGACAGCGGCGCAATGAGTGATGCCAGCGGCGCGGAGGCGCAGCGGGGGCAGTTGCGTGGGGTTGGGCGGCGAGGCCGGACGCCGCCGCGCGCGCAGAGACGTGTGACTGCGCGGGCGACGACCGCGGTGCGTGCCCGGCTCGCAGACGGCGTGTTTCATGCCATGTTGAAGCGTGGGCAGGCAAGGCGTCATCGTCGGGGTGGCGCGGGGCGCGTGGGCAGGGCACGACGTCCCGGGCTCGGGCGTGGGGCTGTGGGCAGGGTGCTGCGTCGACCGGCAGCGCAGGGCCTGTCGCGTGGATGCGCGTGCGATGCGAGACACTGTGACTCAACTGGGATCTGATTCGGTCAGCACGCGGCGGTTCCAGCGCGTGCGGTGCCTCACCGTGATGTGCGCGAGGCCGCCGAGCCAGCTGCCGGTCGCAGCGCCACCTGCGAACACCTCTCCGACTACAACGGCGAGGCTGCATCGCCGCGGCAGGCAGTCGTGCAACGCCCGGCGGCGGCCTGGTGGCCGAGACATCCAGGTCTACGTCGATGTCAGCGCGCACCCTTGATGCTGGCGACTGGTCAAGGGCGCGTGGAGCATCCAGCGTCCTGCCAGGGCCACCTGGACGGCTCCCGCGGTTTCCACTTCAGTCGGGCGGTTGAATCATTCAGAATGAGGCCCCGCGGGGGAGCGTTGAGGGGGCGTGCGGCCCGCGCGGCACGAGTGGCGGCCTCGCCAGTCGGGCAGTGTCAGTCTCGGAGGAGACACAGCTGTCCCAGCGCGTCTGAGAGCCAGGTAGAGCGACCCGCGTGCAACTGCTTGCTGAAAAGCGTCCAGCAGCCGTCCGCCACGCATGGGACGTGGTTATGCGCATGCGATGACGCGCGGAGTGACCGGTACTACACAATGCAGGAGGCGAAGGATCAAGATGGCGCCGAAGCAGCGCAAGACGCTCGGTCCGAAGCCCGCTGTGGCAAAGGGGAGCGCTCGCGCGACGAGCGTCAGCGCGGCGAAGAAGAAGGGCAAGGCGACGGGGTCCGCGCTGCGCGAGAAGACGAACGTGAAGGCCGGCAGCTCGGGCGCGCTCCCGCCGTTCGACAAGAAGCTGGAGCCGGGAGCGATTGAGAAAGCGCTGCGGGCGTACATCAAAAGGGCCGCGAAAATGACCAACGGCAACTGGCACGACTGCTACGAGGAGACCGCCGAGCAGTGCGGCGGCTTTTTCGAGGACGCCGTGCAGCTCGTGAACAAGGTCTACGCCATCGGCGTCAAGGAGAAGCGCTGCGTGGGGCGGTGCCACGTGGCGCTGCTGACGATCGCGGACCTGACGGAGGAGCTGGAGTCGGTGCCCCTGCGCGTCGAGGCCAAGGAGTCGTGGACGGGCCCGATGCTGGGGAGCATGTTTCCGATCGAGATCGTCGGAAACGCCGGCAAGACGAAGTTTGACACGTGCCTCATGGATCAGATCCGCTTCGTGTGGCGCAACGTGCTACGCGTCGCCGCGGGGCTCGAGGGCGGCGTGACGGACCTGGCTGCCGGCTACATCCACGAGGAAGGGGTCGCGCCGTTGGACCAGATGATTGCCGACGCGCTGGCGCACAAGTGCGACGTGCTGAACGAGTTCGCCACCGGCCACGAGGCGGAGTGCGGGGAACGCGTGGAGAGGTGCGCCCGTGTGCGACACGGCCATGCTGCGCTGCGGCCGCGGCTGCTGGGGGTTGCTTTCTGTGCTGACTTTGTCGCGTGCGGCGCCGTTGCACGTGCAGCTGCAAGGACGTGCTGGACTTCATGGCGGGGCGCAGGAAGAGGCTCCAGGAGAAGGCGACCGGCCTCGAGCGGTTCGGGGGCTCCATGGACCCGAAGTACAGGGACCCACGTGCGCCGACCCCCCCGCCCCCCTTACTCACGTGGGCGTGTTTTCATCAGCCAATCGATCCCACGCTGGCTCTGATGGACGGTCTCGTGGATGCGTGAGTGACGCTGGCCCTCGCTCCGCCTCTACGTCGTGCGCGCAGTGCCCGTCGAGCTCATCCCGGACGCTGGGCTGCGTGAGGGTGCAAGGAAGCTGGCCGAAGCGGTGGCCGGCGCGAAGGCGGTCCCGAGCAACTACGAGACCCACGAGGGCCAGTACAAGTGCCGCGACGGCCGCTTCGACCGGCCGCGGGACTGGGACGCCTACTACTGACGCGAGCGCGGTGAAATCAACGCTGCGACGTGCACGTGGGGGTGCAGCGGGGGCAGTTGCGTGGGGCTGGACGGCGAGGTCGGACGCCGCGCGCAGAGACGTGTGACGCGCGGGCGACGACCGCGGTGCGTGCACGGCTCGGCGGGTGCCATGTTAGACTGGCGGAGAACACAGCGTCAAATGGGACCGTCGCTAGGCACGTGGGCACAGCGCAGTGTCAAGTACATTGTATCGCTGGGCGCGATGTGGACGACTGTCGCCTGCAGTCGTCTGACTCGTTGTTCAACAGCGGTTGCGCACCATCGCTGGTCGTGGTTGCTGATCGTCTCCGCAGCGCTCGTGCACCACAGACACGCGGCACAGCCTCACATGCGCAGCCCCGGGTCGCGGTGACGATCACCAGCGGCGGGCACGCGCGTCGGCTTGTGTCCGAAATGGAGGAAGCAAAATGGTCGAGGGGAGGGCAAGCGTCCAGGTCCGACCAGTTTTGGCTAGCACTGTGCGGCACGACGGATTCGTTGCGGGTCTCGCTCGCGGCCCAGGTCACTTCGCATGCCAGCGACGCAGTAGCTCTCTTTCGGGCACAGCGCAGGCGTTAGCTGCCCGAGCGCCTCCCTGGCAGCACTCTGTTGCCCTCGGCACTTCGATTCCATAGCCCGGGGACTCTCAGTCTGTCTTTCGCCTGAGCTTCGTGATGCCGAGGAATCGCAAACGGGGTAGACAGGCAGAGCGAGAGCCGGAGCGCTCTGCGCGCGGGCGCGAGGAGCCAACTGCCGCCGCTGCAGTTACCGCCACGAGCCGACGCGTTTCCCGCTCCAAACGCGAGGCTGCCGGGCCATCAGCCCCACCAGTCGATGGAGATCAGCCTGACGCGCACCAGGCCGACATAGCCGTACAAGACGTCACCTGGGCGGAGCTGGCCCCAGCGGCGATCAGCAAAAGGTTCTCCATTCACTTGCACGAGTGTGGCTTGCGTTTCTTCGACATCTCCGATTTGGCGGAAGGTGCGAAGTGCGTCAGGTTCTACCGGCGCGCCTCTCGCCTCGTCACGGCGATCTACGACCTCTGCGTCAGGCAGCTGCGCACCGACGTGCTGGGACGCTGCCACGCCGCCCTCATCGCGATCGCCGAGTGCCAGGAGCAGCACCGCGAGTTCGAGCCGTGGTGCTGGAAGAGCGTCAGGGGCGAGCTCGCGCTCCCGCTCGCGCGCGTCGGGGGCTCGATCACTCACCGCAAGTTCAAGTACCAGGTCCGCTTCGTGTGGCGGTGCCTCCTGCGCCTCGCCGCGGACGCCGAGGGCGGCGTGACGGACCTGCCGAGCGAGTTCCTGCCGGAAGAAGGCGAGGACGTACTGGACCAGATGATCGCCGACGCCATGAGGTACTTTGACGTGTCAAACGCCTACTCGAGCGACTACGAGGTCGAGGTCGGGGACGGCGTCACAGGGTGAGTGCCCGAATCTGCCGAGCGCGCGCGCTGCGACGCTGTTGGCCGAGCTGGCTGCGAACGTGCCCGTCTCGTTGCGCGTGCGGCGCAGGACGGAGCACCAGGCGTTCCTGAAGCGGCGTCGGGAGCACATGAACGGAAAGTGGCGCTGCGACGCGAGGTATTACATCATGTGGGCGGGCGCCGAAGAGAGGCTACACGCCGCCTGCTGGAACTACTGCGAGGCAGACAGGTCCTGGCCGACCGATGAAGATTATCAGCCGAAGCCTCTCCACGAGCTCCAGCGCGGGGATCACTGCCCGTGTCTGGGCATGCCACGTGAGTGCCCCACGCCGCCAGCGCGGCCACGTCCTCGACGCCGGCAGGCGGCTCTTGCGCCTGACGCAGCTTGCGCTGTTGTGGGTGGGCTGCGGTGCAGTGCCGAACGAGCTGATCCCGGACGAGGCGCTGCGGCCGGGGGCGCTGAAGCTCGCGGATGCGGTGGCGAGCGACCGCTGGTCGGACTTGCAGCCAAACAAGGTGAAGCTTCAATGGAGCATTGACGACATCACGGCATCGCAGGGCACCGAATGCGTCGAGCGAGACGATTCCCGGTGGGACATTACAAGCGAGCAGCGGGAGCAGGCGGAGCAGCGGCGCAAGGAGGCCGAGAAGGAAATGCTAGAGGAAATCAGCTCGGCGTTTGGGTGGGGGGGGAGGTATCCTCAGTCGTACGAGGACCAGGTGGACGCGTGGTGCGAGGGCCGGCCGCTGTATCCGGGGCACAGGTGGGACTGAGTGTCGAGGCGTTGCCGCGGCGCTGTGCGTGCGTAGGTGGCAGTTGCCGTGCGACTGTGATTTGTGATGCGACGCTGTCCGGCCTGCGGGGTCGAGCTGCGCTCGAGCAGCGCCAGCTTGCTTTGGTGGAGATGAGCGGGGTATTCGCGTGGCGCAGGCGTGCCATTGACGCGTCGCGGGCCGCTCCTAACCTGAGTCGGCGAGGGTGTGTTCCGTCCGGGACGGTCCCCACCCCACCCCGCGAGCTTTGCATGCTTTTGCGGCGCCACGGTGGCGGTAGTGTTCAAAGGCTGCAGTTGCAGCGCAGCAGGCGTCGATCCGCATGCGGACATCGACCCGTCAGTTGGAGATTCCACCACAGTGGCGCGATACGGACCCCTTGGTCTGATAGGCATTTAGGCACAATGGGCAAGAAGAACAAGAGCAAGTCCAAACAAAAATCGCGATCCGGGTCGAACGGGGGCGGCGCAGCGCGCCCCCCCCCAAGCCCGCAGTCCCTAGCAGCCTTGGCGCAACTACGAGCCATGCAAAACATCCCTGACCCCACGCGCATAGTAGACGAGTTCATCATGCAAGTCGAGGACGACGACAAGGCAATTTGGGCCGGGGAGCAGGACACGGGGCACTTCGAGGACCTGCTAGAGCCAGCAGCGATCATCGCGGCGCTGTACCCGCTGTCTGAGACCGGCAACGTCGTCGCGGAGTTCGTCGCAGAGTACGACAAGCACCTCATCAGGAGCGTCCGGGAGGGCACGAGCACAGACTTCTACCGGGCTGGCTCCATCCTGGTGGCGCGCGTGTACAACACAGCCGTGCGGCGACGGCGCTTGGAGCACCTGGGGCGCTGCCACGACGCCCTGCTCGCGCTCGCGCAGGCGGCGAGGGACCACGTCGACCGGCAGGGCGCCTGGGCGAAGCAGCGAGACACGCTGCCGATTCATCTCGAGAACGGTCTGGGCGCGCTCACGCACCGCACGTTCCTCGCTCAGGTCTGCTTCGTGTGGCGCTGCGTCCTCCGGCTGGCCGCCGGCGCGGGGGGCGTCGTTCCGGGCGTGACGGAGGCCGTTTATTTCACTGGGGGGAGTGAAGAAGTCCCCCCCCTCGACCAGATGATCGCGGACGCGCTGCAGTACTTCGACGTGCTGAACGTGGTGACGAGCGACGCGGAGGCGGAGGCGGTCCGCGCGATCAGGTGCGCCGCGCGTCGTGCGCATGTGTCGCATGTGCAACGCCCACTGCATGCAGCCCGACGCGGCGCCTACGTCTGCAACGCGCGCACGCGTGCTCGCGCGGTGCAGGTCGGGGACGCGCGACCTGGACGCGTTCATGGAACGGCGTCGGCGGGAGCTGGGGGGGCCTTTTGCTTGGTTCCCCCCGGGCACGGTCCACCTGGACGACAGGCTGGGGTTCGACTACGACGACAAAGACCTGGGCGCGAAAATGCCACGTGAGTGCGACGCTCCCCTGCGCGGGCCGGTTCGGCCATCCCTGCCGACTGTCACGACTTGAATCATATCACACATGTTTCACGTTGTTCTGTTGCTCCCTGCTTCGTCGTGCAGTGCCGCCCGAGCTCATCCCGGACGAGGCGATGCGGGACGGTGCTCGCAAGCTCGCGGAGGCGGTGGCGAGCCAGGGCTGGAAGCGAGCGGCCCCACGCAGCATAAAGGTGCCGCGGGCCGTTCCGCACTGCCTCGATTGGCCCGACGACGGACCGAACGTAGCCCTCTACCAGATGCTCCGTGGCGACAGCGCAGAGTACACGGGCCCCCAGTGCGATCCGGAAACGCTCGATGAAGAGTGCGCGTGCCCTTCGTGTGCACCGGGCCTGGCGTACGGCGGGTACGACGACGACGTGGGGTACATGTATTTTGACGAGGATGACGACGTCGGAGAACTGGTGCAAATGGAGCACTTGATGGCGGGCTTCGGCTTGGGCGGCCTCGTGCCACGGTAGGAGATAGGTCACTAGGGGGGTGTGTTGTTTTTTTTTTTCGCAGCACGACGCCTTACTCTCTCCTGGGCGCCGGCGTGATTGAGGCTGATACTGAGGCTCGCTGCGTTCAGCGAGTCGGTCCTGGGGGGCTGCTCGGGATGCAGTCGCGCGTGTATATGTCATTGTGTGATTCGTTTGTCAATGACGTCTCGGATTCTACGTTATGGAGGACCGTGGGCCCGAAGCTGCGCGAAGCGAAGTGCACTGGCTTCCTGCGAGGGATGCACGTCGCCGCTCGCCGCACGGGGGACGGCCACAAGCCGTGACAGGAGTTGCCACCGCAGCGAAGCCGGTTGGTGAGGCCGCGGACGGCCGCCGAATGCAGGACCGGAGCTGCGTCAACTTGCTGGCAGCTAGTGGAGGTCCGATGTCCTCGCTGATGCGTGCAGCACCTCCTTGGCATGTTTATGTGTGTCGCAACATCTGCCCGACAGCATGAATCAACGATGCGGCGCTTGCCGTGAGCTGCACGTCATCCGGCTGGAGTACGGCGGCTGCTGATCCACCGTTGCCCTCGTCGATCGCCCACACTGAGGACCTTGTGTCAGCCCTGCGGACCCCCGAGAGGTGTTCCAACCCCCTCGGTCATGGATGGGGCGCAAACGCGGATGATTGCGACACGAAAATGCAACTTCATGCAAGCAGGAGGCGCATGCGTCTCGATTCTTGGCATTATATTCCATCATTAGGTCGAGACAGCCGTGTTGCCCTATTGTTGAGGCAGGGATCCTGTGCCGGGATGGACAGCTGACCGATGCCCAGGGTGGCGTGTCACCAGGGTACCTGAGCCACAATGACCAAGAAGAAGCGCAACGTCGTGAAGAAGAAGCGCCATGCGCATTCTCGAAAGCGCGGCGGCATCGAGGCCAAGGCGGCCGCTCAGCCCGCGCGCCCAGCCAAGACAGACGCGCAAGCAGCTGACGCTGGCTCGCATCAGGGTCTCCGGAAAGTGCACGTCCTCAAACTGAAGGCCCGGGCGTCTCGCGCCGCCCAGAAGCCGCTGGTTCCCGACCCCGTCACCGGTGAACTCATCAAGGCTATCGCGAGCTTCGACATCAAGGCCGCCATGTCGGGCTCCGTGGAATTCGAGCGATGGCTCGAGCCCACCTACATCCTGGCGATGCTCCGCCCGCTCACAGAGTTGAGCGACGAGGAGCGCGAGAAAGCCGAGCTATGCAGGCATCACCCTGGGTTCCGGGAAAGGGACGTGCAGGCGACGTTTCCAATCAGTACGCGCTTCTACCACATGGCATCCATCATGGTGGACCGGGTCTACGACACCGCGGTGAGGCGCACGTGCCCTCCCGGCATGCTGGGGCGCTGTCACGACGCGCTGCTGACCCTGGCACAAGTGGCGGACTTCTTCGCCGACCCTTGCGGAGTTTTTTGGGACCGGCTGCGCGACCGGCTGCCGCTGCGTCTGGCGCGGGATCTCGGACACATCACTCACGAGTCGTTCTTCGCGCGAGTCTGCTTCGTGTGGCGCTGCGTGCTGCGGTTGGCCGCCGCGCACGCCAGGAGCGGCCTCGCGGGCCTCTCGGAGGACTGGTTCGTGCTGGGCGGCAGTACAGGAGCGTCGCCGCTCGACCAAATGATTGCAGACGCCGCGCCGCGATTCGATCTACTGAACGAGGTACCAAGCGACGTGGAGGCGGAGTGCGGCGACGACGCTGCTGGGTGCGTTCAGGGCCCCGAGCGACCGGGGGGAGTGCGCGCCGTGATCGTCGTCGTTGCTGGCCGCGGTGTTGTTCGTGGCGCGGCAGGGCGCACATATCCACACACGTCATTGATGTGCGTCGAGGAGCCTTTGTTTGAGAGGTGCACAGAATTGTTGCGCTGCAGGCCGGCGATCGATGCGCTGAGCAAGTTCATGAAGGACCGTCATCGGCGGTGGGGGACGTCGCGTGTGTCCTGGCACGACCACTGGAAACGCGTCAAAGGCGGCCTCAGCCCCGTGCTTGATTTCAACAGCGTCCACGATGTAGGGCAGCCAGGTGAGTGCCTCGCTCGAGGATTGCAAGCTGTTGTGTGCAAGCGGAGTGCTGAGAGTGCCGAGGGACTGCACGGCGTCTGGGTGCTCGCTTGCGGAACATTGATATCCCAGTTCGTTTCAATCTGCTGTGTTGCGCAGTGCCGCCCAAGCTGATCCCGGACGAGAAGCAGCAGGAGGGCGCTCGAAAGCTCGCAGCCGCGGTGGCGAGCAAGCGGTGGAAGAAGGCCACGCGGCGCGTCATGTTTCAGCCGCCGCGCCCTCTGGAATGGCACGTTCAGAAGCCCAGGCGCAACCCGCACGTGCTCGCGCTGGGCATACTCGAGCAGCAAAGGAACGATGCCACTGTTCGAGACTTCCCCTCCGACCGGATTCTCGAAGCCACCGAGAGCGCGGCGCACGAGTGGGGAGAGCTCGATGATTATACGTCGACGGTCGCGATGTCGTGCGCACTGGACGAGTTCGAATACATGGTCGATCAGCTCGAGGTACTGGCGGGCTCCTCCTTCGCGGTGCGCCTCTGCGACATTTACGACTACGCGGAGACCGTTCTGCGCACACATTGGCTGCGTGAGATTCGTGGGGGGCAGGGGACGCTCTACGTCGACGATGGCGTCCAGTTTGAACCCGCACAAGACACGAAGAGCGTCGTCGCGCGGTCGAACGAGGTCGCTCCCGCCGGGGCGTCGCGGCGGGATCGACGTGCGGCTCGCAGGACTGCGCAAAAGCAGCAGGAACGCGAGGCGCGACGGGCGAAGCAGCAGATCGAGAAACGGTCGCGGAACGGCGTCGCCGCGGAGCACGGAGCTCCACCTTGGGCGGGCGAGGGCTCGGTCGAGCGGGAGAGCACGCCGCCGGTCAAGCGCGAGGCTACGCTGCCGTTGGACATGTCCGCGAGCGACGAGGTAGCGGAGGCGATCAGGCAGTTCCTGGTGGCGACGTACGGGTTCCCCATGTGTCGATAGACGTACGGGGGGCAGGTGGAGGCGTGGTGCCACGGGCTGCCGCTGTATCATGGACACAAGTGCTGGGATGTGTAATTCAGACGTGTGTAACACGCGCCGCCTCGGCCCGACATACCCGCGGCACCACACCGTAGATGCGCGGCGTCCGGACCCCGAAGCAGCCCCGCTTTGCGTGGCAGTCGCGGCCACATCAGTCGTTTTTCTGTTCAGGTCCTTTGCGAGCGCTGCGTGCGCCAGCTCGCGGGCTCGCGACAGCGCGAGGTGATCGCTGTAGTCGTGACGTAGCCCGTGCAGCAGCCGCGCTGGCCTTTGCGCGGCAGTGCGGTCCGTCGCGCTGACGGCCGTGTGAAAATTTCAACCGCGACTCCTCTGGGGGGGCGCGCTGACGTTGTGGCGCCATGCCAGTGGGATACGTGAGGCGTGGGGCACGGTACGCGGCCACTGCCGGTCACCTTGAGTTCCGAAACGTCAGGTCGTGCCCCCGCGAGCCCTTGATCGAACGTTGCACGAGGCCTCAATTCACGAGCGATTCCAGCGTGTCGACGCCTCGAACCAGCACGCCCTTGCTCTGCCTGCAGGAATCGATCACGAAACATCCATTTCATGCCATTTCATGCGCTGCAGGGTCACGATGCCGGCGAAAAAGAAGCGCGCGGCCCTCGCCGAGTGCGCCAATTCCGCGGGAGGCCGCCCCTCGCGCCGGGCGAAGCGTGCCGCCGCGGACACGATCGCCGGTCTCCTCGACAGCGCCGTCGACAAGGACGCCGCGCCGGACGCCGCCTACGACCCCGCACAGAAGCGCCCTTCCAAAAAGAAGGCGCCCAAGCAGCCTGCGTTCGACAAGGACCTCACCGCGGCCGCCATCCGCAAGGACCTCCGCCCGCACACCAAGACCTGTGCTCATATGACGAACGGCAACTGGCACGACTGCTACGAGGTCACGGACCAGGAGATCTACGAGTTCTTCACCAAGGCACGTACCCTCGCTCCCTCCTTCGCCGCGACGCCTTGACCCTTCCGATTGTTGCAGCACTTCGTGCGCGCACCGTCACCTTCGTCCCAGTACCGCCCGCCAAGACACCGCACCAGCAGTTGCCGGAGCACTCGCCGTCCTCCACCGTCACCTGCGCCCACACGTGTTCCCGGAAATGGGTGTGCCTTTGCTCCCTCCTTCGCCATGATGCCGCTGAACTCCGTGTTCGCGTTGCACTCTGTGCCGCGCAGGCCGTTGGTTACCTGCAACGCATCCACGACATCGGCGTCAAGGAGCTACGGGCGTTCGGCCGCTGCCACGCCGCGATGCAGGCGCTCGCGGACCTGAACACCGAGCTCGAGGCCGTGCCGCTCCGCAGCGGCCCGCAGTCCGAGTGGCAGGGGATGCGGAGGGAGTTTGGCCTGGAGCTGGCTCGCGGCGGCGGGCGCGTGAGCGGGGAGCACTTCAACGAGTTCGGCGAGATGATCCTGTTCGCGTGGCGGTGCCTGCTGCGCGCCGCGGCGAGCCGCGACGGCGACGTGGAGGACCTCCCGAAGACGCTGCAGCACACGGGGGGGGTGAAAGGCGACCTGAGTCAGCTGGAGCAGATGGCCCTGGACGCGGAGAAGTACGGCTGCGACATCGCCAACTGCAACGCCTCCCTGCCCCACTCGAACGTGGAGTGCGGCGATGACGCCCCCGGGTGCGCTGTACATTGTGTTACCTTTCCTCTCATCATTGTGCTCATGCGCCACGCGCGACATCTGTCCAGTGCGTCACGTGGCCTTGATTTGCTGCAGGTGTGAGAAGCTGCGCAAGTACTTGAAGGACCGCGACGCGGTCTTCAAGAAGGTTCTCGCCGAGTTCGAGCAAGGGAAGCCGATCCGCCTGATCACGGGTGCGTCTTCTGACAGCGTGCCGGGATCGTCGCCAGCTGCCCGCAACGCCCCCGCTGCGCTGCTGACGCGGGTGTTGCTCGCTCCGACGCCCCCGCGCTGCAGTGCCGGACGAGATGCTCCCGGACGTGGAGCTCCGCGTGGGCGCTGCGAGGCTGCGCGAGCTCAGGAATGCTGGGCGTTACAGGAAGGGGCAGGCCAATTACAAAAAGTGGGAGGGCAAGTACAGGTGCCGCGACGGCCGCTTCTGAGCGAAGGGCGGCGGGAGGAGCGCCTGCTCGCGGGTGCTGGGGCCCACGGGCGGGCACGAATGATGGAAGGGTGGGGGGGGGACTAAATATGCGCACAAGAGCTGCGGCACCGCGGAGGCAAAGGACGGCGGGAAGTGATGGTGAGGGGTCCGTGATGCAGACACAGGTGGTATGAAGTGCCGCGCGGATAGAGAACGTAGAAGAATTAGGTCCATGCTCGCGCTAGGACGGACAGTGGATGTCGCGCAAGGTGATGACAGCTTGGACAGCGCGGCGCCGTGCCAGGAGACGTCGGGCGGAAGTGCCGTGTGAGCAGGACACCATGCGCCGGAGAACGCGTCTGACCTGCGGAAGAAAGGGCTACCAAACAAGCAAACACAATTCCATACAGAGTAGTAATTGACCACCCGCGCACGAAACGAAATGCGGGTGTGCTATCGTCCTGATCAAGGCGGCAGCGTGCTAGGAGTACTCGCGCGAAATGCCATGTGAGCGTGCCATCATGTGCCAAGGGAAGGCTCTGACCTGCAATCAGTTAGAGTGAGTGGCGGGCGTCGTCAGCAACAACGCGGCGAGCCGCGCGAGTACTGGACGACGCCCGCCAGCCGACGCGCCGAAGTGCTGGTCCACGTCCTAGGCTGCTTGTACCAGGGGGTGTCGGCAGCCGGCTGGGTGACAGCGGTGACTGAGTCTGCGGCATTGTCCGCGTTGTGTGGCGACGCGCCGACGGCTACTCAGCTCTCCTCGTCATCGCCGTCCCCGCGCGTGGCCTGTCATGCGAAAAGGGATCATACCTCGGTCTAGCGGCCACGGAATACGCGCATGGCCAACATGTCAACATCGGGGGGGTAACAGAGTGCGTCATGTGTGCGGGCATGGCTGGATAGTTCCGAGCCAGCTTCGCAGCGCCGGGATCATGTATGAGGGTGACGAGTTGCAGGGCGCCGGGCACGCCCTGTCAGCAGGTTGGCCAGTATGGTCTGCAAACTGCACGTGGCGACGCACGAGGTCAGCCAGGCCCGCCGGCGTGGCAGGGCCAAAATGCGGGCTCGGGTGCGTCCGGCAGGCGGCGCGGTGGATCGCCAGGACCTGTCGCATGCAGTAACCTCGATGCGTACGCATGTAGCGCATCATGGCCGACATCTTGGCTACGTAGCTGTCGCGGTCAGTCACCTCGCTGGACACGCGGATGTGTTCGGTGCGGACGATGTTGTAAAGGTGTCGTCGCAGCAGCGCACACGAAGCGTGGGGGTACTGTATGAGGTGAATGTTCTCAGGAAACAGACCGCGTTTGTCATAGTGCGAGATCAGGAGGAAGCCCTGATATTCGGGATGCGGACGCACGCGGAGGTCTAGGAAGGAGACACCGTCGAGCGGGTTCGCTGGGGCGTCAAATTCGACCTCAAGACAGGGGGGGTACATGTTATGTATACCAGAGATGAGATCTACGATCGACGACGGGGTTTCGGGGGGCGGGGTGGGGGGGCGGGGGTGGGTGTTGAAGTAGCGGTACAGTGCGTTCGCGAGAGAGAAATTGTCGTCGATGTAGCGCCTGGAATAACGGAAAGACCCCAAGACCTTCAGCCAAGCGACGTCGCCAGTGCTCAACCAGCGGTCGCGAAACTGGCAGAGGAACGCGAGCTCATGCCGGAACATGTAGCAGTTCGCGAGGTGGGGGGAGGCCGAGAGCCCCATGGGCACACCGCAGGTCTGGTGATATACGACGCCCCCGAACACCACGTAGGCGCGTTTGACGAGGATGTGCACGAGACCATGAAGTTGCTCGATGCTCGGTGCCCATTTCCCAACCATGCCGTCCGCGTCCGGCAGCTGCGCCACCCACCACCACGTCTCCCTCGCGTCAAACGCGGGTTGCAAGTCGATCAGGAGGTGTTGCCCTGGATGCAGTGCAAAAACAGCGTCGATGTGTTCGATGACGCAGTCGATGAGGCCGGTCCCGTGGTCCGCGCTCGTCTCGTGCCGGATGTGCGTGTAGAGCCGCTTGATGTCGGCGCCCAGCAGCAGAGGTGGTTGTTGAGCATGTATCGCTGAGCGTGGTGGGTTGTCATGTAGATACGCGGTCACCATGTCACGCATGCCGCGGCTGGAGTCCACCAAGAAGGGCGCGAAGCTGCTGCAGAGGTCCTCCGGGACGCCGTCGAAGATGGAGCTCCAGACCTCCACGAGGGTGGCGTGGCACATGAGCGCGCCGAGGGCCTTCGTCAGCAGCTGCGCTGCGGGGCGCGTGATGTCGCTCGAGCAGTCCGAGATGTACCGCACGTCCACCTTGGCCTTGTGAAGCTTCATCGTCCCGTAGTAGTGCGGTAGACCACCGCACTCGCGTTCGGTGCGTATTCCTGGTAGCTGCAGGTTGTCCAACATAGCCTCCGTCGTGTTAGCGACGTTCACCACGTGCCTGGCATGCGTGATGTTGGCATTTGCCGGCTCGTTGACAGCGAAAGCGTCGTTGCTGTGCAGGTCGTGCAGGAGGACCTCGATGTAGGCGCGCCGACACACGAAAACCAAATTCCCGGCGTTCTTGTCCATGGTCGTGATGGTGAGGCGTGTCGCGTCTCGCCGCAGAGCCACGCGATCGTCGGGCTGAATGTCCGCCAGCGGCGGGGGCCATGGAAGGCGGAACCCGGGTTGAAGAGCGGGTTGGAGTGCCGTTTGCGTAGCAGCAAGTATAGCATCAATGTACGGCATGCACGCTGCCGCGTCCATGTCGGCGGCCTTGCTGACGCGTTTCGTCCACCCGAGCAGCGGCTTCTGGTAGGCTTCAACGATGCTAGCTACGGTCGCGCTCGTGGCTTGGTGCAGCTCCGGGACGTGTCGGTGCTTGGCACCGCCGACGGCGAACAAACGGCGGTACGCGGTGCTCTGGATGCCCGCCGCAGCAGGGTCCAGCGTGCAGAGGTGCCGCACAGGCTCGCCGTCGATCTGCCAGTAGGGGTCCTCGAGCGTGAAGTGGCGTCGTAGGTCCGGTCCTTGGTGTTGCGCACAGTCGCACTGCGTCGCCATGATGTCGTACAGGCGACTGCGTGCAAACTTGGCAACTCCGCTGTGCGTGCACACCGAGCGCGACAGCGGTGGAAACCTGACCGAATAGCGCGGGGCCACCAGAAACAAGCCATCCATACCTTCGCGGATACGCTCAGGTAAGAGGTTGAGAAAGTCATCATTATTGACGAGGGTTTCGAGGGGGGCGAGGCTAGCCAGGGGGGTAGGGAAGTCGTGGATCATGAGGGTACGGCTCCCGAGGTCGATGTCTGCGACGGGAGGGTAGTGGTGGTTGATGGCGGCCTGCAAAACGGTGCGGGCACTGTCCAACATCTGCTGTGTGTAAAAGGGCTCGTCGAGACCCAGGTTAAGCGCATCGGGATGCATGTGCGACACGCAGTGATGGAGGGAGAAGAGGTATTTTCCGATGTTCGCTGCCGTGCAATGGTTCACCGCGCGTCTCCAATGATCGTGCTCTGTGTCGCCGGCGCGGCGGAACAAAACAACGTCAAGAAGGAGGCGAGTCTGGTAGATATACTCGCGTGTACCGAGGCGCGGAGACATGCCTGCGATAGCGGGGGGCAGGGACAACGCTGGTGCCGTAGTTGTGAGGCAGTTGTCAGCGTCGAGGTGGATGGTACGTTGATGCGTGGAGGAGATGGCAAACGTTGGCTGGAAGAGGGTCGCCAGCGCTGGGAGCCCACTCGGGCCGGGCGGGACGGGGAAGTCGTTGTGGGGGATCGCTACGGGGTGGGGGTCAGCGGCGATTTGGAACGCCAGGGGGGATAGAGGCCATGGGGCAGCATCAGAGTGGCCAGCTCCGTAGCCGAAATTCCACATGCCCTTGCAGTAATTGAGGCCGCCGGGGTATGTGGAGCCCAGACAGCGTATCATGGTCTGCTCCCAGGCCAGGGAGTAGGTGCGGAACTTGTGGAACCAGGCCTTCAAAGCGTCCGGGCTAGTCGCCGGCGGGATGGGCACCTGGCGTGCGAAATTGATGCGAAAGAGGGGCACGATGGTGAAGTCGCGCCACGGGACATGGCCGTTCGGCGACTGCGCCCACACTCGTCGCATAAACTCGTAAAGCGGGGTGTGCACGGCGTTCGGATGGTGCGTGAATGCTGCATCAAAGTGCTCCTGCAGTCGTTCGATCGCTGTGCGGTATGTCTCCCCGACATAGTAAAAGAAGGGGTATTTCCGGCACAAGAGGACATAGACAACCCCGCGCGCCGCAAGCGGGGGGTTTGCCGTGACCGATGGTAGCGCGGCGAGGTCCGAGAGCGCCGGCGGGGGCGGTGGGAAAGGAGCGCTCGGTGGGGGGCACGGGTGCGGGTATGCGGGCGCCCGTTCGTCGCGGGGCACGTAGTCCCAGTAGGGTCGAGGGGCTAGTGCGGAGGCGGGGTGGGAGGGTGTGTGGTGGGGGCTAGGAGGGGGCCAGGCACGGGGAGATGCCTGCGGAGCAATAGCGGCCGCGATGCGGCGTGCGTGCGTGATGCTGGGTCGAAAGTTCGGGTCGTGGTCATTTAGATTTGCGACATGGTGGAACAGGGTGCCATTCGAAAGGTGGCCACGCAGCGTGCGCGCCTCGGCGGTGCCGGCCTGGTCGCTGAGACGCAACGCTGCTTGGAGCCGTTTCCTCCGTCGGCGACCGATTGGAGTGCGCATGGTGAGAGGTTTTGGGGGTGAAAAGAGGGTGGTGTGCGGAACTAGACCGAGGATGCAGTAATCAAGCCACGACGGGAGGGCGACGATGACGGGGAGAGCTCTACCTAAGTTGCGCGTTCCTAGCACGCCGGGCGGTGAGCCACGGACGTGAGACGGCGGAGTCAGTTAGCCGGAGGCAGGCTCGTCTACGCCGACGGTTGAAGGCCGGAGTAGGGAGGTAGCTCTCAGCTGGCACTGCGCCAAAGCCCCATGTTCGAGGCCCGGCGCAGCACAACACGACACACAGAGTAGTAATTGACCACCCGCGCACGAAACGAAATGCGGGTGTGCTATCGTCCTGATCAAGGCGGCAGCGTGCTAGGAGTACTCGCGCGAAATGCCATGTGAGCGTGCCATCATGTGCCAAGGGAAGGCTCTGACCTGCAATCAGTTAGAGTGAGTGGCGGGCGTCGTCAGCAACAACGCGGCGAGCCGCGCGAGTACTGGACGACGCCCGCCAGCCGACGCGCCGAAGTGCTGGTCCACGTCCTAGGCTGCTTGTACCGGGGGGTGTCGGCAGCCGGCTGGGTGACAGCGGTGACTGAGTCTGCGGCATTGTCCGCGTTGTGTGGCGACGCGCCGACGGCTACTCAGCTCTCCTCGTCATCGCCGTCCCCCGCGCGTGGCCTGTCATGCGAAAAGGGATCATACCCGAAGAGCTTCAGTGTCCCGCCCGCTGACCGCCGAAGGTCGTGAGCCGTGGAGTCGGGGGTCGCGTGTCTCGATTCGCTTACACGCGCGCCGCCTAGCCGCGACCTCAACAGCGACGAGCACTCTGGGAGCCCCAGGGCGTCAGGAAGGACGGAGACGTGGGCCTCCTCCCCCGTGGCCGTAGCAGAGCGTTCGCTGCCGCGCGCCCTCGAACCCTGGACCGAGGAACGGGTGCCTCGATCGAGATCGCAGGTCGCGCCGCGGAGGTGGGGGGCTCGCAGGGTGGGAGATGCCAAGTCACACAGTGTCTGACGTGCAGCTCAGTTTCAGACGCGGGCGCCAAGATAGTGGGTAGGGCAGTCTGGCCGCCGCGGAAAGCCCGCGGGGACGGGGGAGGGGGAGGGAGAGGGTTTGTCTCAGGTTCTCAGGGGGAGGGGAGTGTTGGGGTAGATTCCTTGGGGCGCCCCCAACGCGAGACGCACGCCATCAGTCTCCGTGCTCGACCCTCCGCAAGCGTGGCTGGGGGGTCGGCGTCGTTCCGCGGGGTCGCGTTGATTTCCGTCGAGAGCGTGCGGGGTGCGTTGAGGTCTCGAAAGCACGCCTAGCTCGGGATCACCGCGGGGGCCGGGGTGCCGAGAGAGCAAGCTGCAGGACTGGCATGCTGCGAGAGTGTGCGATCCAGCGCGGGGGGACGCCTACGCCACGCGCGCAGCGGCACCAGGCCCCCGTTCAGGTTCTGCCACCCAGATCGACGGCTGCCGCCCGCCGGCACGGAAGTCGTCGACGATCAGCCCCGCGAGCACCACGACGACGACGACGGCCAGCACGGACAGCAGGTACGTCGCGGCGGACCGCCGCCACGACCGCGGCACGCGCGGGACGAGGAAGTCCAGGGCGCGCAGCGCCGCGGGGAGCGCCACGAGCGGCACGCGTTTCTGCTGCGCCGCCGCCGGCACGCTGGCGGGCACCGCGATGCCGTCGATGCTGGCCATGGACGCCGAGCTGCCCTTGGCCTTGCGTCGGTTGCGGCGCTTGCGCGCGGAGCTCGAGGCCGCCGTCGACGGGGCGCGCTCGAGCGCTGCGGGGACCTCCGTTTCCGCGCTCGAGTCCGGCGCGAGCGAGAGCTCGCGCTGCGGGCCCTCGCGCGGCACGACGACGCTCCCCGCCGCGCCCCACGGGCCCGCTGCGCCGGCGTCCGGGTCGCCCGGCGCGGCCGCGGCGCAGCACCGCGCGCGCAGGCCGAGCGACGACCCGGGCGACGCGCCGCTGACGTCCACGGACCCCTCCCCGTCCGGCCCGCACCTCACTACCCCCAAGACATCCCCCCTGGGCCCCAACACCTCCACCTCGTACCCCTCCACGTCAGGCGCCGGCGGGCCAGGCAGGCGGCACTGCACGACGACGCGCGTGCACCCGTCGACCTCCCCGCGCTCCGGCCGCGCCGTCACGCGCGGCACCGCCGTCACGGCCCGCGCCGTCGTCGCGCCCACCACCGGCGCGGAAAAGTCCGACGGACCCGACGCGTTCCACGCCCGCACCTTGAACGCGTACCGGTGCCCCGCGTCCAGCCCCTGGATCCGCCGCGTCGACGCCAGGCCCCAGTGCACGAGCTCGAACCCGGGGTCGTCCGCGTCCAGCTTGACCTCGTCGCCGTCCGGGCCCAAACGGAGCATGTACAGGTCGTAGCGCGTGACGACGGCGCCGTTGTCCGACGCCGGCTCGTCCCACTGCACCTTGAGCATGTTGCTGCTCGCGTGCGCGACCGTGGGCTTCCCGGGGGGGTCCGGGAGTGCCGAGTCGGTGCTGAGGATGACGGCCGCCGTGGGCTGGCCGGGGCCGACCGCGCTGACGGCCTGCACGCGGATCGCGACGGTGCCGCCGGGCGGGAGGCCGCTGAGCTTGCACTCGGCGCGCTCGCCCGAGTAGACCTGCACCCAGCGCCGCGCGCCGCCGCCGCGATCCTCGCCCTCGACGTGCCGCTCGACGACGTACCGCAGCACGGGCTGCGAGTACAGCCGCAGCGGCGGCTCCCACCGCACGACGAGCTCGTTCGCGCCGCGCGAGACGCAGTGCACGCCCACGGGCGGCGACGGCCCGACGGGCGCGGTGCGCACAGTGAGCTGCTGGCTCCACGCCGACCGCCCCAGCCGGTTCGCGGCGCACACGCGGAAGGTGTACTCGGCGTCCGGCTCGAGGCCCTGCGCCACGTACGCGTTGTGCGGGCCCCGGTACACCTGCGTCCACACCGGCGGCGGAGCGAGGACCTGCGCCGGGATCCGCGACGAGACCGACGAGAGGTTCTCGTACAGGTCGGCCTCCGACTCCTGGTCCAGCGGCACGGTGTCCGACTCCCCCGCGGCCACCGACGCGTCGCGCGACCGCGGCGACGTGGCCCCCGTCGCGCCCGACGCCAGCCGGTGGTGCTGGGGCCGCCCGGGCGCGCCGCCGCCCGCCGCGTGCGCGATCTCCGGCGGCAGCATCTCGAGCGTGTACCCGGTCACCGTCGCGCCGTTGTGCGCCGGCACCCCCCAGCTCAGCTCAAGTGCCGAGTGGCTGACCCCCCCCGCGCCGCTCGAGGCCACCGTCAGCCCCGGCGGCGGCGCGGGCGGCGCGCCGCGCGTCGGCACGAACACCGTCGGGCTCGCGGGCGACGCGCCCTCCGAGTTGAACGCCGTCGTTCGCAGGAAGTAGCGTCGTCCCGGTTGCAGGCCCTGCACGGTGCAGTGGCACGAGCTCCCCTGGTACACCGTCTCCCACCGCAGGTGCTCCTCGAAGTCCCCGAGCGCCGTGGTGACCGCGGCGTCGCTCGACGCCCGCTGCGAGGGCACGAGGCACTCGCCGCCCTCGGTCGCCGTGGCAGAGCGCACGCTGTGCTCCGACGAGTCCAGGGAGTCGACGGGGCAGCAGCCGCCGTCGGCGCACTCGACGCGGTACGACGTGAGCTGGCTGCCGCCGTCGTGCGCGGGCGCGTTCCACTCGGCCTGGATGCTGCTCGTGGTGACGAAGGACGCGCGCGGCGCGCCGGGGGCCGCGGGCGCGGCCGGCATGGTGCGGAAGGACACCGAGGCGCCCGGTGGGCCCGTGCCGGCGGCGTTCACCGCGGCGACGCGCGCCACGTAGGACGCGCCCGACAGCAGCCCGTGGACGGTCGCAGCCCGGGCCTCGCCGCGGTACTTGACCTCCCACTCGCGCGCGCCGTCGCGCTTGACGTGGAGCTCGTACATGTAGACGGGCGTCCCGCCGTCGGCCGAGACGCTCCGCCACGCCAGCGTGGCCGACTCGGCCGTGCGCCCCGAGACGGTGGGCGGGGGCGGCGCGGCGGGCGCCGACGGCGCGGGCCGCGCCTCGACGGCCGGCGACCACTCCGAGCGCCCCTCGTCGTTCTCCGCGCGCACGCGGAACCGGTACGTCCGCCCGGGCTCCAGCCCGAGCGCCTGGTGGGTGGTGTCCGGCCCGACATACACCACCAAATACCCCCCCCCGTCGTCGCGCTCGACCGTGTACGACGTGATCGGCGCGCCGTTCGCGGCCGGCGCGGCCCACGCGAGCCGCAGCGAGCTCGTCGTCTGCCCGGCCACGCGCGGCGCCGCGGGCGCGCTCGGCACAGACGCCGCCGTCGCCACCTGCACCGGCGCCGACTGCGGGCCCACGCCCGCCGCGCTCTCCGCCGACACCGCCACCCAGTACGCCACGCCCGGCTGCAGCCCCGACAGCACGGCCCTCCGCGCGCCGCCGTCGCCCCGCCACGCCTCCACCAGCGTCGGCTGCAGCGGCACCACCTTCCCCGCGCCGTCGTCGGGGTGCCCCGCGGGCGGCGGGTACAGGTACGCGCGGAACGCCGTCACCTCGTGCGGCTCCACGTTGCCGGGGGGGTCCCACTTCACCGTCAGGCTCGTGCGCTTGCGCTGCGTCAGCGCGAGGTGTTTCGGCGGGAGCGGGGGGGACTCCAGCGTGCTGGCGAGGAGGTGCCGGGACGGGTCCGCCTGGCGCGCGATGGCGCGGCCCGGGCGGCTCGTGGACGCGTGCGCCGACACGCGAACCGCGTACAGCCGCCCCGAGAGCAGCCCCGGCACCACCTGCACGTTGCACGTGCCCCGGTACACCTCGCGCCACGCGCCCTCCGCGACGTCGCCCCCGCGCTGCGCGTCCGCGAGCTGCACTTCTAACGAATATTCCAGGTCGATCTCCTCGGGCTCCAGGTCCTGCCCCGCCTTCATCTGAGGTGGGTCCCACCGCACGTGCACCGCCGAGGCGTCGCACCGTATCAATTTCGGCATGCTCGGCCGGTATATCGGACACGCTGCGGACACACAGAGCTCGGACGCGACGTGAGCTGCGCTGCGCGCCCGCATGTGTCATCAGCCGCCGCGCTTTCGTCGCACCGCCGCGCGAGCGCGGGCCGCGTTCGCGGCCGAGCTGCTCGCCGACGCACTGGCCAGGCGGAGGGCTGCTCGGGGCCCCGAGGGGGGGCGCAGCGGGCGCGGCGGGGGCGCGCGCGGGCGCGGTGCCCTCGAGCGTCGCACCTGGGTCGTCGTCGGGGTCCCTGGGCGCCGCGTCTCCGTCGCCCGCGTGCCGGCTGGCGCGTTCCTCGAGCGCGTTGCCGTCCGGGTGGGGCTGCGCGGGCGCGTGGTCGGCTTCGTGCGCCGCGTCCCCGGCGGGGCCATCCTGCGCCGCAGCCGGAGCCGTCGCCGGGGCCTCGTGCGCGGCAGGCAGGTCGGCACGGGCCACCCGCCCGGTCATCCTGCTGCGCGTGACCTCCTCTGGCCCGAAAGTATGTCCCTGCGGGCACGGCGGGCGGAGAACGGTGCGGCCATCAGCGAGTGGGCCAGTGGGGAGCTGCGTTTGAAGAAAGGTGCCGCGGCGGGCTGCCGGGGGGCGCAGGGTGCGGCGGGAGCGCCCGGTTGGGATGTCTGGGGCGAGATCGAGGACGTGGCGGCGCGGGAACGCGCGCGCGCGGGGTGTAGAGCCCGTGAGCGCGGCCGAAACACGTGTGCCAACGACCTGATGGGCACGGCCTCGTCCCGCGGCGCGGGGCGCGGCGCTGGGCGCCGGCGCGCGGGCGGAACGGGTGCCGGGGGGCGTGAGCGCGGAGGCGGCGCGGAAAACGCGGCACTTGGAGCGCCGGGCGTCGCGCGCGGGCGGGTTTTGCCGCCTGGGAGGAGGGCGCGCGACCGGGCGCGCGCGGCGCCTGCGTGCGCCCCAGGGGTCGCGGAGGGCGACGCGCGCGATGTGTGCGGCCGTGGGCTGCGCGAACGAGGGTCGGAACGCATCGGAACCGCGCGGGGGCTGCGAGCCCGCTCAAAGCTGTTTGGGCAGATGGCCACGCGCCCCCTGACTCAGGCTTGGCGGAACGCGCGCCACCCGCACCGGCGGGTAAGCGCCAGGGGCGCGGTGGCTGCGTTTTGCGCGCGAACGGCTGGCGGGAGCGCCAGGGGGGGCTCTCAAACGGCAAAAGTGGGCCAACGGCCAGTGCACGGCCGGTCGAGGGCCCGCGGGCGGGGCCGCGGGCGCCGGACGGCGCAGTGGGAGCTCTGCGAGCGCGGGCGCTGGACATCGCGCCGGGGGAAGGGGTGGGAGGCCGGCAAGTGACCTAGAAGGGCACCCCTGCATGTGGTGCGGTGCTGCGGCGACACAGCCCCGTGCGCGCGCGCGCTGGGGCCCCGTGGCGGACGAGCAGCTCCGGACTACGCTGCTCGCGCGGCGGGGGCGGAAACCCCGGAGCAGCGCGGCGGCTAGCGCCGTTTGCCTCGTGCAAGCAAGGTCCAGAAACGGGCGTCGCCGCGGTGGCGGTTCGCGCCCCCTTCGCGCGTGGCGGGCCGTGGTTGGCCGAAAATATGCAGACAGGCAATGCCGGCATCCGCCTCATCGCGTGCGGCTGCCACGCGCAAACTCGAGCGGGGGGGCGCAGCGCACCGTTGCGATCACTCCGCGTCCCCGCAGGGCGTCATGTCCGGCCCAATCTACGCGGGATGGTACAGGTCGGTCGCTCCGCTGCACGCGACGGCAGCTGTAGCGCAGGGTGCGCAAGCCACCTTCCGTGCCCGCACGACCCCTCGCGCGTCGGGGGTCCGCCGCAGCAGGCTCCGAACCTCGCGCGAAGCCTCTCAGACGTGCGGCCCTGAATTTCGCGGTTCTGCCCGCGCCCCCGCGCCAGCCGGGCGCAAGTCCCCGCCGCAGGGGAGCCCCGGAGCCCGTGAGAGATCGACCCCAGCTCAGTCGGGCGCAGCTCCCACGCGGCCCCCGCCGCCCACGCGGGCTCCTTGCCCCGCCCGCGCCCCCCCGCCGCCAACAGCACCGGCTGCGCCCGCCCCCGCCGGCCCAGCTCGCCGGACGCCCCCCGCAGCGCCATGCCGAGTGAGGGCGCACTCAACCGGGACCAGGTGTTCCGCAAACTGCGCGCGAAACCGGAAAACAAGGCGAGCTCCGCGCACCCCACGCGCCATGCACGCGCCCGGGCCGCGCAAGACCCGCCCGCTCGCCGCGAGCGCGCCACCCGCGGCGCGTACGTGCACTCCAAGTGGGGACGGTGCGGGGCCGGGTGGCTGCTCCGCGCGGCGCGAAACAATGAGAAATCGGTGTGTCCGTGGTGCAGGTGTGCCAGGACTGCACCGGGAAGAACCCCACGTGGGCAGCGGTGCCGTACGGCATCTTCATTTGTCTGTCGTGTGCAGGACACCACAGGGCGCTCGGAACGCACGTGTCCTTCGTCCGATCCACCACCCTAGATACGTGGACGGATGACCAGCTCCAGGTGCGTCCCGCGCGCCGCGCCAGCGCGCCGCCTGCTCCAGCGGCCGCTCTCTGGTGGCCTGGCCTCGCCTCTCCGCTCCTCGTGCCCCGCACCGCGTGGCCCGGGGCTCCCGGCGCGGTTCCGCGCGTGCTCCGGACGGTGCTCAGACGGAGGAAGGTGCTTGGAGCGGTTTAGGGAGGTTCGACGCGTCGTGGCGCCCGGGCCCCGCGCCCGAAGTGTGCCTCGGAAGAGGGGACGGGCGGAGCGGCCCGCTGAGGCCGCGGAGGGCCGTGATCTGCCGCGTGCGACGCAGAGGGGCGTTGATATGCTCCGTTGCGTGCCCGTGGGGGCCGCATTCCCTGCGTGGGGGGCGGCAGGGCGGGTTCCGCGGCCCTTGCTTCATCGTCCACTGCCCCGCCGTGTCCTGCGTCGCTGGCACACCGCGGCCGCGGTTCCGCGCGTCCGGGATGCAGGTGATGCTCGCGGGAGGGAATGCGCGGGCGCGGCAGTACTTCAAGGACCACGGGTGGGACGAGGTCGGCTCGGACAAGATCACCGCCAAGTACAACAGCCGGTGCGTCTCGCGGCCTTCGCGCATCGCATCCGCGTCTCCCAACGCCCGCTCGCGATAACTTATCGTCCTGGCCAGCACCTCGCGCGGGCGAGCGGCCAGATGAGGCGCTCAGGTCCCCGCGCCGGCGCTAAGGGCGCACGCGGGTGCGTTGTCGCGCAGGGCGGCGACGATGTACAAGGAGACGCTCTCGAAGGAGGCCTCCGCGACTGCTGGCCACAGCGTGGACATCCTGCACACGCCGGCGAAGGCCGCGGCCCCCAGCAACGCCGCGGCGTCGCCCAACAAGCCCGCAGGCTCCTCGCTCGCCGCGAAGCCGGTGGCGCCGCCGAAGCCTTCGGTCGTCCGCGCCGGGGACGGCTCCGGCGGCCCCGCGAAGACCTCGAAGATGGTCCTGGGCGCCCGGAAGGCCGGCGGGGCGCGCGCGGGCGGTCTGGGCGTGAAGCAAGTGAGCGGCGCTATTGACGACTCGCTGTTCGACCAGGCGCCGGAGGAGGCGCCGCCGCAGGACTCGGCGATCTCGCTCGGGATGCGCGACGGCTCGGGGCACGTCACGCTGTCCGGCGCGGCCGCGGCGCGGCAGGCGGCGGGCCCGACGAGCAGCGCGGCGGCGGCGCAGGCGGGGGACCGGTTCGGGGGCGCGAAGTCGATCTCCAGCGACATGTTCTTCGGCGAGGAGACGGGCCCGAGCATGCAGGAGCGGCAGGCGAAGGTGCAGCAGTTCGCGAACTCGGACGCGATCTCGTCGTCGGACTATTTTGGGGACCAGGAGGGGGAGGTGGACATGCCGCCGGGCGACCTGGCGGGGCAGCTGATGGGGCGGCTATCGGTGCAGGCGCGCCGCGACATCGACGCGATGAAGGACGTGGCGAAGCGGGCGACGGCGAAGGCGGCCGAGAGCTTCCTGACGTGGCTGAACCGGTGACATGCAGCGTGGCTGACGCGGCCCGCGACGCGACGTGTGCATGCGTGAACGGCTGGGTGCGTGGCCGGGACCAGTCGCGGCCGCCGCTGCGTCCGGGCGCGGAGCACGTGGGCGTGGAACATCACGTACTGATTTGATAGGCACGTGCGTGCGCTCGTCTGCGGCGGTGCGCGCGGACCCCGGCTGTGAAGAATATCATGAGTGTGGCTGATACACGCGCGCAACGAGGGTCGCACTGACCAAGAGAACAACGACGGGCGGCCCAGAACAAACAAACGGCGTCGGCGGAGTGAAGGCGCAGTGCGACGAGCGCGTCCACCAGTGCGTTCCGGAGAGGGCGCAGCTTTGTCTCACGTTCGCCGCTGCCGCTCGTCGTTCTACACGCAAACACCCCTCCTCCGTCAGGCAACAACACAAACGACGGCGTCGTTGCTGTCAAGGCAACGCGCCGCGCTTCCCCTCCCGCACTCGCGCCGCGCACGCCGTCGCAGCACTCACACCGCCACAACAACCCCCGTGCACACCACGCACGCCGCGACCCCCTACCCGAACCGCTTCGACAGCCGCCACGCATTGGGGTCCGCGCTCCACTTGTCGTAGAGCGGCTCGATCCGCTCGCGCTGCTTCCGGCGCGACATCTTCCCGTCCGTCTCGCTCGCGCCGCGGAAGAACCGCGGCGCGAGCTCCACGAGCCACCGCGGGTCGATGGCCATCACGCCGTGCATGTACTCCTTGGTCGTGAGCACGAGCTTATGGTAGATGCACCAGTCGGGCTGGCGGCCGAAGATCGCGCTGCTCGGGTGCACGTACACCGTCTGCTGCTCCACGACGGTCCGGTACCCCTCCTGGGGGTCTTTTCTCGCCGCGTGGAAAAAGTACCCCGACGTAATGGCCTTCTGGATGCGCGTGAAGTCCCCCCGCGCGGACACGACGTCGAGCTTGTAGCGGTCCATGATCGCGAGCAGCTGCTTGCGGACGTCCTGCGCGCGCTTCATGCTGCGCGCCTGAATGAAGTTCTCATAGCACCACTGACTGGAGAAGTTGCTGTTCTTCCACGACTCGTACACCGTGAGCAGCGTGAGGTGGTCCCCCTCGGGCTGCTGGAACTTGGCCTTCTTCCCGTCCGCCTGCTGCTGCTTGTCGCGCGGCCGGTGGAAGATGTTGTCCTCCTGAAGCATGGAGATGATGGTCATGACCTCGTCGGAACAGTTGAGGTCCACGCTCGCGATGAGCATCTTGCTCAGCGGGGGCTCGAGCGGGAACTCCGCCATGCGCCGCCCGAGCCGCGTCAGCAGCCCTTCGTCGTCGAGCGCGCCGAGGTTGTACAGCTGCTCCAGAGCCGAGATGAGCGTCTGCGCGGGGGGGGGGTCCATGAAGTCGAAGTTGAGGAGGTCGTTGATGCCCATGGCCTTGAGCGTGAGCACCGTCATCGCCATGTTCGTGCGCTGGATCTCCGGGACCGACGTCGGGAGCATCTCGTGCTTGAAGGCCGTCTCCGTGTACAGGCGGTAGCACTTGCCCGGGCCCGTGCGGCCCGCGCGGCCCGCGCGCTGCCGCGCGGACGCCTGCGAGATCGGCGACGTCACCAGGCTGTCCATGCCGAGCTTCGCGTTGTAAACCTTGACTTTCGAAAAGCCGGGGTCGACGACGAAGTAGATCCCGTCGATCGTGAGCGACGCCTCCGCGATGTTCGTGGCCACGACGCACTTGCGCTTCCCCGGCGGCGGCGCCTCGAAGATGCGCGTCTGCATCTCGGACGGCAGCGCGCTGTACACGGGCAGGACGATCAGCTCCGGCACGCTCGCGCCGAGCGCCTTGACCTGCTCGTACAGCGTCTCGCACGCCGTGTCGATCTCCTCCTGCCCCGTGAGGAACAGCAGAATGTCCCCCGGGGGCTGCGTCAGGTGGATCTCCATGACTGTCTTGAGCGCCGCCGACACGTAGTCCGACTCCGGGGCCGCGCTGTACAGGACCTCGACGGGATACGTCCGTCCGGGGATCGTGAAGATCGGGCAGTCCCAGAAGTACGTCGAGAACTTCTCCGCGTCCAGCGTCGCGGACGTCGCGATGAGCTTCAGGTCCTTGCGCCGCGTCAGCACGCCCTTGAGCAGCCCGAAGAGGACGTCGGTGTTGATCGTGCGCTCGTGCGCCTCGTCCAGGATGATCACGCTGTAGTTCGACAGCACGTCGTCCATCAGACACTCCCGGAGCAGCATCCCGTCCGTCATGTATTTGATCACTGTCGACGAACTCGTGCAGTCCTCGAACCGGACCGCGAACCCGACCTCCTCGCCCAGCCGGCACCCGAACTCCTCCGCCACGCGCTTCGCGATGCTCATCGCCGCCACGCGCCGCGGCTGCGTGCACCCGATCCGCCCGTACGCCGTGTACCCCGCCTCGGCCAGATACTGCGTCATCTGCGTCGTCTTCCCGGACCCCGTCTCGCCGATGACGACGAGCACCTGGTTGTCGTTGACCGCCTGGATCAGCTGCTGCTTGAGCTTGAAGATCGGCAGGCTCTCGCGCTGCTCCTTGATCGACCGCGTGTCCTGCCGCCCGTACGTCACCACCTTGGTGTCGTTCGCCGTCTTCCACGCCCCGCGCTCCTCGTGCTGCAGCCCCACGCCGCGCAGCTCCGCCGCGAAGAACCGCTCCCCCTGGTCCGCCATCGGGTCCTCCCACGGCTTGCTCAGGTCCTTTGGGATGGCGTCGGCCAGCGCGCGCTGCTGCTGCTCCTTGAGCTCGCGCCGCTCCTTCGCCAGCGCGCTCGCAGTCATCGCCGCGCGCTGCATCGTGCCGTCCGGGTTCTTCGTGATCCGGATCGGCGACAGCTCCACGCCCGTCCGCGCCGTGCAGCCCTTCAAAAACGCGGGCTCCGCGTCGTTCAAATCAATCTCGAACTCCTCGTCCTCCCCCTGGTTGTCCCCGAACAGCAGCCCGTGCTCCTCGTCGTAGTCCGGCCGCTCCTCCGCCGTCAGCACCCCCGACGCCACCAGCTGCTTGACCTCAAACAGCTCCTGCTCCGTGAACTTCTTGCCCGCCCGCCGCCCGCGCGCGCCGCTCCCGGCAGGCTCCTCCTTCAGCGTCACGCCGCTCAGGCCGCGCGCGGCCGGCGCCGGCGCGCCGGACGGACCCTCGGGGTTGTGCAGCCGCGCGCCGCCGCCCGGCGCGCGCCCGTTCGCGCCCGCCGCCGCGCCCTTGCCCGCGCCGCCGGCCGCCGGCGCGAGATCCTGCCCCGTCTTCTGGTCGACGTGCTTCATGTCCAGCGCGATGCGGAGGCGGCCGCTCGCGCCGGGCTCGCACTTGACCACGCGCGCAAACACGTCCTGCCCGCGGCGGAGCGCGTCCTTCGCCGACGCCACCACGCTCTGTGCCGAGATGTCCTTGCGGTGCACGAGGCCCTCCATGGGCCGCGTCAGGCCCTGACTCAGCTCGATGAAGGCGCCCATGTCGAGCACGCGCGTCACGGAGCCGCGGTACACCGCGCCGACGTCCGGAGCGTCCTTGGTCGGGCCGCGCGGGGGCGGGCCGGGGTACTTTTGACCCCCGCTGGTTCTACCGCGGACGTCAGGGCTGCCGCCTCGCCCGCGCCGCCCGTCGCCGCGCCGCGGACTGCGCGACCGCGACCGCCGCCGCCGGTCCCTGCCGCGGTCGCGGTCGTCCCTCCTCCGATCTCCGTTGCGGTCGTCGTCGTCGTCGCGGCGCCGCTCCCGCTCGCCGCGGCGCCGGTCGCGCTCGGCCTCCCTGTCCCCGCGGCCGCCGCGGTCCTCGCGCCGGTACCGCTCGCCGTCGTGGCCGTCGGGGCGCGGCGGCGGCGGGGGCAGCGCCGCTCCGTTGCCGTCGCCCGCCGTCGCCGTCGCGGGCGCGGCGTCGCCTTTCATCCGCGCCTTGAGCTCCTCCGTGAACTCGTGCGCGCGGTCGACGGTGTCCGGGATCGCGAGCGCGCCGTACTTGACTCCCGGGCGCGGCTTCAGGCCCGTGCCGGCCGCGGGGGCCCCAGCCGCAGGCCCGCCCAGCGACCGCCCCACCATGCCGAAGATGGTCTCGCAGAGGCCCGCATCGAGCTCCCCGCCCTCCTCCTTGAGCTTGCTCGCGAAGTCAGTGGCGTCCTTCGCTGCTTGCGCCTTCTCGATCACGAACTCGGCCAGGTCCTTGTCTGCGACACCCAGGTGGTTGTCCAGCTCTGCGAACAGAACGAACAACGAGCAACCATGGGCGTTTCTTGATAGCTCGTGACGCCTTCTCCGCCGGAGTGCCGCTGTGCGGCCCTTCGGGCCACCGAGGAGGCGGAAAAAGAGGAGGAGGGGCTGTGGCGGGCTCTGCAGTGTGGACTGCGCGCTGGGCGGTCGGCGCGACCTCGCAAGCCCCCCCCGCACAACGGGCGTACACGAATGCAGCACGTGCGCGCAGCGTTGCGCCGTGGTGTGGTTTGCCAGCGCGTTGGTTCGATCTCCCGCTGCTGGAGAGTGGCTGGCCGCGGCGTCCCGAGCGGCACGCGCCCGCGCCACGGCCGCGGCTCGAATGGTAGCGAGACACGGCGCGAGGGGGGCGCCCGAACCGCTGCCGTTAGCGCGGGACGTCGCCGACGCCGCCAGTTCCAAGGTGTGCTCAGGACTACCGAACGCCGGCGCACCTTTGGCCACCTTGGACACCAGCTGCAGCTTCTTGAGGTTCGCGAGCATCTTCGGCAGGCGCCGCGCCGCGTGGGGCCGCCGCAGCCGAGGAAGGCACGACCACACGAACTGAGACGGGCCGCAGCGAAACAGGGACGGGCCGCGCCGAGGTCTGCGAGCCGCGTTGCGATGCAGACGGGTGGTCAGCTGGTGCTCCGGCCGCCGAGCGTCTTGTCTGGGCGCCCCCCGCTGCGCGAGCGCCTCAGGAGCCCCCTGAAAACGCCGCGGGGGGACACAGCGCGCGTCTCACCAGACGCTTGCCGCCGCGAATGCGCGGCCGCTGCGCTGGCTCGCACAGTTCGGCGCCCCGTACGACAAGCCTAGACCACTGTCCGTGCTGGGACCGACTCAGAGAGGCTCCCCGTCGCGCTCGCACCCTTCGCGGAGGCTCTGGGACTGTCATCGCTGCACCCATCGCGCGGGCTCTCCGTTCCGGCCGCAACGCCGCGTTCGCCGCCAGTCTTTGAAGGGGACGGTAGCTCCCCTCGCGTCGCGCGGGATGGGCAACCTTCGCCTGCTCAAGGCCTCCGGCCCGGGCTCACGTACGCACTCCGCTGCTTTGCGCGCGACCAGCCTGATCGTCGCGAAGCATGCCCTCAAACCATCGCAGCCGCTAGCTCACACGGTAAACTCTCAGCGCAACCGCACGAGTGCTGCTGCGACGGCGTGCTCGCGACGAACGTGCCCGTGCAGTTGCGACGGACGCTAGCACAGGCGCAGACGACCTGCTCGCCGTGCACCAGATCCGCGCGGCGTACGACCGCGTCGTCCAGGAGGACGTCCCCGCCCTGCTGGGCTCGTGCACGCCCGCGGAGCCCCACACAGGGTTCGAGGGCGTGCGCGGGCGGCTGGACGTGCACGACGCGACGCACCTCCGCGATTGCGGGCTCAGGCCGGTCGCGCAGCGGCTGCGCGGCGGCGCGACGCCGGCGGACAGCATCCCCCCGCTCGACATCACGAGGATCGGCGAAGTGGTGCGCGCCCGGCGACGCAGCGGTAGATGCGGGGCTTGGCGAATGTCGCATCTGCTCGGGGCACCGCAAGCGCAGGAACGGCGGTCCGCTTGCGGCAGCGACGCAGCGACGCGTCGCTGCAGCGTGCGCGCCTCGCGTTCCGGTCCGCGTCGCGCGGGGCGTGGGAAAGCCACGCGGGAACGGCGGGACGACACTTATGATTGAAAGACTGCTGTTGCGTCGCTTGCGCAGGTCGCGAAGCTGTTCCCGGAGGGCACGGCCGCGGCGCCCGCGGCGCTGGACGACGCGGAGAAGGGTCCGCTGGTGTGCGCGCTGCAGGGCAAGCGCGTCAAGCGGCGCGAGGCGGACGGCACGCGCGCGTCGAAAAAGCGGCGACGGGCGAGCGGCGTGGAGGCGGCGGGGACGTCCGGGTGGTCGGGAGGCGGCACGGAGATGGACACGTCGATGCGGCCATCCGAGGGATGACGGGCGGGAGGGCGTCGGGCGCGGAACTGTGTTGTACCTGTGATGGCATGTGTGGGCATGTCAGGCGAATGGGGCAGTTTGGCGCGCGAGGCGGGGTCGAGGGCGGGCGCGGGGGCGGCGCGCGGGCAGATTGGCTCTGCCAGGATCGCGGGCGCGCGGTGTTCCGGCGAGAGCGGACAGCGCGTGGCGGCACGAGGCGGGGCGAGCTACGCAGGCGTGTGCGCAGGCGCTCGCCGGCTCCAGCGGGCGGTTCCGGCGGGTGACGCGCGGGCCGGGTAGTTCGCCGCGATGACGACGTCCGTGGAGGAAGTCGCGAAGGACCAGGTCCTGAACCTGCCGGTCCACGCAGAGCGCCTGTCGTTTGGCTGCAGCTGGCACTTCGCCGACGGCAAGGCCTGCGACTATGACCTCGCGGCGGTAATGCTCGGGGCGGACGGCTCCCTGATCGACGCGGTGTACCACGGCTGCCTGTCGGCGCGGGGCGCGTGCGTGCGGCACGCGGGCGACGACCGGACGGGCATCGGGGCCGACATCGAGGAAGACGAGGTCATCTCGGTTTACCCCGCGATGATTCCCGCCGCGGTCAAGTCCATTTTCTTCATCCTGACGTCGCCCGGGCCCCACGCCGAGCCCGCGAGCATCACCGACCCCGACGCGCTCAGGTATGTCTATTTTCTCTACGCGCCCCTCACGCCGCCCACGCGCCGCCCCACCGCCCGAACCGCGCCCCCGCGCAGCCTCCACATCGAGATGCACCAGCACAGCGGCGCCCGTCCGCCCTGAACCCGCGCAGCCCGCTGGCCAACGCCTAATGGTCCTGGCAGTCCACGCGGCATGCTCGGTCGCCCCGCACGGCCTCCCGCGGCCCCGCTCGCACCCCCTGACGCCCCCCGCGCGATCCCAGGACGCCGCACCACCCTCCCCGCGCACTGCGGCCGCGCGTATAGCCGCCGGCACCCCCCGGACGCGGTCCCGGCACATGCCGCGCACCTGTTGCGTCGCTCCCCGCGCCGGTTCCGACCCCGCAGCGCCCGCGCGTCCGCGCCGCCCGCAGGTTCTCGGTGTACTCGTTCGACCCGGCGCGCGCGGAGGAGGAGGGCGGCCCCCTGGAGGTCGTGCTGAAGATGGCAGACATCAAGCAGTTCCTGGACGAGTCGCCGAACGCCAACACGCTCGCGATCTGCGCCATGTCCCGCGTCTCCAACGGCTGGATCGCCAAGTTCATGGTCGAGGCCAACAAGTCCCCCACCTGGGCGGGCCTCCTCCCCACCCTCGTCGAACACATGAAGGCGCTCCCGGAAGTCGACCATTCGGCTCTCGTCGAGCACGCCGACGGCGAACCGCCCGAGGAGCTCCCGCTCAAGTTCGACGAGGGCGCGCTCGACAAGATCGTCGACATCCTGCACGGCGCCGGCCCCCCGGAGCTGCCCCCGCTCCCGAAGCCGCGCAAGCGCGGCGAGGACGGCGAGGAGGAGGAGGAGGAGGAGGAGGAGGAGGAGGGGGAGGAGGAGGAGGAGGGGGAGAAGCCGCCGGAGCTGCCGCACAAGGTGAAGAAGGTCCGGATCGACCTGGGCTGGAAGGGCTGGCCGTGGATCAAGCCGGAGAAGCCTCCGAAGCCGGAGCGGGCGGAGGGGGAGGAGGAGGAGGAGGAGGAGGAGGCAGAAGAAGAAGGGGAGGAGGAGGAGGCGCCGCCGCCGCCGGAGCTGGAGTTCCACGGGCTGGTGTTCAACGGCAAGGGCGAGCAGATCGCGGCGGTGGACTCCGGGAGCACGGAGGCGGACGGCGTGCGCGTGCTGGGCCCGGAGGACAAGAAGTACAGGGACCCGGAGCTGGGCGAGGGGCGCGACGCGACGGGGTTCCCCGTGCGCGCGTGCATCCTGGTCGACCTCGCCACGCTCCCGACGGAGGCGCTGAGCCTCGTGTTCGCGCTCAGCAACTTCGAGGCCGGGATGCCGGACGTGCAGGCGCTCTTCTGCCGCGTCGTCGACGTGACGGAGCCGGACCGGCGGCTGCACCGCGACCTGCTCGCGCACAAGATCGTGCTGGCGCCCAAGGGCGCGCACGGGAACAAGAAGATCGCGCTCCTGGCGCGCCTGTCGAAGAACTTCGACCACACGCCGTACTGGCACTGGCGCGCGGAGAACGACGGCTCGCGCTCGCCGGTGTCGCTCGTGGACGCGATGCGCGGCCGCGGGTCCACGATCGAGACGCTGCAGGAGTGTCTGGAGGCGGAGAACAAGCGCAAGGAGCAGGAGAAGGTCCCCGACGAGGACGCAGAGGAGGAGGACGCGGCGCCGAAGATCGTGGAGACGGACTGGAAGTGGCGCGCGCGGGTGATGCGCGGGGTGTTCTCGACGAAGGCGAGCCTCGAGGAGGCCGAGCGCGACCTGACGGACGCGGCGCTGTACGAGGGCGGGCGCGACGACAACGGGCTGCGCTGCGACCCCGCCGCGCGCATCTCGTACCCGAACGGGGACACGTACGTCGGCGGGTACAAGGACGACCTGCGCAACGGGATCGGGATCTACATCTTCGCGAACGGCGGCGCGTTCGCGGGGTCGTACCTGGACGGGCTGCGCCACGGGCAGGGCTTGATGGTGATGCCGGACAACAGCACGTACATCGGGGCGTTCGAGAAGGACCGCTTCTGCGGCGAGGGCGAGTACCGCTACCCGGACGGCAGCGTCTACCTCGGGCGGTGGAAGGACGGCCTGCGGCACGGCGACGGCGTGTTTTGGTACCCTGGCCACGAGGCCTGCCTGCGCGGCACGTGGGCGAACAACTTCATCAACGGGACCGGCGTGCACGAGACCGCGCAGTACCGCTCCGAGGCCACGTTCGCCGCGGGCATCCCCGGCGGCGACGCCAAGTACACGATCTCGCACGAGACGCGCGTGCAGGCGCTGGACGTGTTCTCGACGCGGCACGTGCTCTCCGACAACGGGCCGACGCTGACGATGCCCGGCGCGTACGTGCCGCCGCCGGCCGCGGAGGAGGAGGACGCCCCGCCGCCGGACGACGACGAGGCGCCGCCGCGCTACGACCCGGCGCCCAAGCTGAGCAAGGTGGCGTACGAGCACACGGTGGGCGACGTCGAGGAGTTTCACGACCTCGAGTTCCCCACGCGCGACGTCCCGCAGCCGCGCGACATCCCCGGGGATGTATTGATTGCCGCTGTCGACGCGCGCCGCCAGATCGAGCTCGTCCTGGGGCTCGAGGCCGACGCCGCGCTGGACCAGCAGGAGGACAGGCAGGTGCTCGCGGGGCTCGCGAAGCGGCTGGAGGCGTGGCTGACGGCGGCGGAGGGCAACGCTGCGCTGCTGCTGTCGAAGCTGGACGGCACCTGGGGCGTCGAGGCGGGCGAGGACGGCGCGAAGCCGGCGCCGACGCGCACGCACGTGGGGGTGCTGGAGTTCACGGAGGTCCTCAAGGGGCTGGGCGTGGAGGTCACGACGGACGACGAGTCGGTGATGATCAAGTATAGGGAGGTGCGGGAAGAGGGGATGCGCGAGGGGGAGGTGAACGGCGAGCTGTCGGTGGCGGGCGTGCAGAAGGCGCTCGCGGGGCTCGCTGCGGACGACTCGGGCGCGCCGCCGAAGCTCGGGCCGTTCGGGGAGTGGGACCGGTTCGGATGGCACATTTGAGACACGTCGAAAGGCGGGCGCCGCTTTGTGTGCGCGCGGAACGTTGCGGCGAGTGTGACAGCGTACAGCCGAGTCGTTGATCTCTTGACAGGACGCTGGGTTGCTACGCTGCGGGCGTGCCGACTAGGCCGGCCATGGTCTCGAGTTGTGTCCAGAGTCGATCGACGTCCGCTGAGGAGTAGGACGTGCGGGCGAGGGTGAGGTGCTTGGGCCAGGGCTTGCGGTCGAGGTAGAACCCGCCCTGCTCGAGCTTGTCCTCGTCCGCCAGCGCTAGCCACGTGATCGTGTCCGCCCCTTGCTCGAGGGTCCTACATCCAACCACAACAAGCGGCCGCCACGTCACGCAGGAATGGCAGAGGCGCCGCTTGCCCGCGTGAAAAGAACGCACGCGCGGCCCGCGTCCGGTCCGTCTGCTTGGTGCGTGCAGGTGAAGTCATGAAAATAGTCATACCTGAATTTGTCCCCCATTGACTTGTCGAAGTCCGGCATCGCGTTCTTGACCCCCTCCGTCCCCGTCCACCCCGGGTGCATCGTGTAGAACCGCACCGGCGCCGCCTCGTCCCGTCCGTACACCTCCGCCATCCTCTCGCACAGCGCCGACTGCTGGCGTTTGTTGCGGGCGTACTGCTTGGTCCCGTCGAACTTCGACATGCGCTTCCCTTCGAGGTCCTCGACCTCCAGCGGTTCCGTGAGCATCCCGCCCGACGTAACCGTGATGACGCGCGCCGGCGCCCCGCGGCGCAGCGCCGGCAGCATCCGGCGAGTGAGCGCAAAGGTGCCGAGGGTGTTGGTCGCGAAGTTGGTCTCGAAGCCGTCCGCGGAGGGCCGCGGCTCGTTGATCATGACGCCCGCGTTGTTCACGAGGATCGACACGGGCGCGCTCTGCGCCTCGAGCTCGTCGACGAACCTGCAAGCATCAAGGCAGGGCGTTCGCACACACGCGCGTGCTTGGCGGCGGCGGCCTGGCGCGGAGAAGCACGTGCGTGCCTCGATCGAAGAGACACGCGCATTCCGGGCGGATCGCGCTGCCTTTCCGCGTAGTGCGATGCATAAAAAAACCAACAGCGTACAAGCATGGGGGCAGTAACGCGCCTTTGGATGCTGTCGAGGCTGGAGACGTCGCACAGGTGCAAGTGGACGTCGTCGTTGCCGCTCGCCTCCTGCACCTTCTTCCGCGCCTCCTCGCCCCGCCCCTGGTTCCTGCACGTGATGCAACACACCCCCCCCCTCAGCGACGGAGACGTCGCGCAGCGACTGTGATTCCCTCGCACAGCAAGCCCGGCCGCTGCCGTCGCCGCTCGCGCCACGTGTCTGCCAGCAGGGGTGGGCTGTCTCGTTGCTATGAGTTGATGATTGACTCACCTGCACACCATAATCAATTTGCACCCGCGCCTCGCGAGGTCGACGGACGCCTGGAACCCTATGCCCTGGTTGGCGCCCGTGACCACCGCGGTGCGCCCTCGCAGGCTGCGCTGCATCACGTCGTCCGGCGCCTTCGCCCACTCCTTGGCGTGCTTCTCGTAGCCGCTCTTGGTGAAGTGTTTCATGCCCGTCATGACGAACTGGACCGTGCGCCACGCTTGCATCTTGATAGGAGGATCGGAGGCTGAGGGAGGAGGATCGGAGGCTGAGGGGTACTCGTTTGATGGGCTCGGTTCGACGTGAGCGGGCCTGGAGTGTGAGGTGAGGCCTAGGCAAAGCCCGCGCCCCAGCGCGCCCGTGTTGGATGAACGGACGCGGGACAGGCGCGAGTCTATCGAGCGAAGGTCTCTGCGCCTGACGCGCAGGAGGTGCGGAGGATGGAGGGAAAGCAACGAATGCGCCGCGGCCTCGCAGCGCGAGCGGACAAGTGCTGCGGAAACAGCGCCTGCAACCCGTGCTATCGCACAGAAAACGCACGATTCCGCCAGCTCGCAGCCATAAGCTCACGCTTGGTGCACGACGCCTCGATACGTCGTCCATATCGCGCCTCAGGCGGCACCGAGTCTGACTACGAGTGCCCAGTCGTCCCTGGCTCAGGGTACGAGTGCCGCGGCACGGCGCACGCAGGAACGAAGCGACGCCGCGACGGATGGCGCACGCACCGACCGCGTCCGACCCAGTCCGTCCACGGCCCTCCAACCCCATCCAAAGCGACAGTGCGTGGCAACAAACAAACGAACACCTTCCACGGTCACACGTGCCAAGCTGCCGCCTCCGCTCGCCGCGCGCGCTCAGCTCCCCTTCTGCTGCGTCAGCAGCGCGGCGTCCCCGCCGGGCGGCTTGTTCGTCTCCGTGATCGGCGCAAAGCGATCCCAACCCTCCTCCTGCGCACCGCGGCCGAAACAACCCTCCGCGCACGTGAACCCGATCCCCCTACAGTGACAGCACCGCGAGCCAGCCGGGCCTGGCCCGCCGACGCGAGGCACGAGTGTGTATGCGGCGGGGGGCGCGCACCTTGATGCGCTTGAGTCGCTGCTCCTCGCGGCGCTTCTTGACGATCGCGAGGCGGTCCATCTCCTCCTTGAGCTCCTTCTTCGAGCGCCCGTGGTCCGCCTCCTTCTGCGCCTCCTCGCGCGCGTTCTTCACGCTGCGCGGTTCCCGCCGCATCATCGCGTCCAGGTCCGCCAGGTCGTCCTCCGAGGACGACTCCTCGGGCTTCTGCGGGCCACGAATGACACGCCAGGCACGGTGGAGGGGCGAGGAGCGCGAAATCGGAGGCGGCAGGGCGATGCTTGCACGCAGGATGGCAGTCATGACATAATTTGTAATTATAGTTGCTTGAGCTTTTGACCGCGATTGGGACTCATCGTTCGTGGGCCTGGCCGCAGGGCAGGAGCTCGAGGCAGCGCGCGGCAGTTCGCCCACCTCCTGAGCCTTCTTCTGTGGCGGGGCGGCTTCCTCCTCCTCGTCCGAGTCGCTCGGGGGCATCATGGGCACGCGCCGCTGCTGCGGCACGACGGGCGCCTCCTCGTCGTCGGAGCTCTCGGCCTGCTGCGCAGCGCGCATCGTCGCAGCCACCTGTGGCGACAGTTGGAGACGCGCTCTCTCGACCTCTCGACATGTGGAAGATGGACGTATTTTTCGCGGCTGGCTTCCTACTCTGGACAAAGTGCACGACGTCGGGCGTAGGATGGACCTGTGCGCCGGGCTGCGTGGCGGAGAGGCGACCTCAGAGGACCAGCAGCAATCAGCGACAACAGCGGCGCATCGCGCTTTTCAAGGGAAGACGACATGCGATGTTGCGTGCTTGTAAGATGACGGGCCGCTGTGGACCCTCGGGTGGCGGCTGGAATGCTCGTGGGCGCCGGGGCGCGCCCTCATCGCCCTCGGTGACAGAAGGGCGCTCGTTCTCACCGCATCCGGGTCGGGATCCCAGACGTTTTCTTCCGCCATCTCCCCGCGGGCCATCTTGCCCTTCCTGTGGTCCGGCTTCCGTCCGCGCCCCATCCCGCCAGCGTCGCGGAGACCGCTCTAGCCACCAGCTCTGATAAAATCCCGAGTTGTGCCGCGTCCAGTGACGCTTTTGCGCGGACACCCGAACGACAGCGATGCTCAGCGACAGTGTCGCTCGGGGCAGGGAGCCGTGCGTGCCTTGTGCCCGCAACCGCCCAACCGACGCACGTTGCACTGCTCCGGGGACACACCGAAACACGTCCCGCGCTGAAACGGACGGCGTGGCCGCGCGGCCGCGCCACTCTCGGCGAGGCACGCCCCGTCCGATATATATCTTCCTACACGACCCAACAGCGCGCCAGCAAAGAGCGCTGCGTGCGCGACTGGTGGCCTCATCTTGCGCGGCCACTGCCGCGCAGAAACGGACGCGAGATGGCGCTCCTCGATCTGCCAAAGGACGTGCTCGAGCACATCTCCGCCCGCCTCGCGCCGGAGGATCATGCGAAGCTCGCATGCACCTGCAAGTGCGGCCTCAACAGACCTGTGTGCATCACCCCGCGAGTGCGCGAGGTGCCCGTTCCTCAGCTTCGTTCCCCGGCCACAAGCGCGAAAACGACGCATCGACGACACAGCCCACGTCCTGCGTCACTCCCCCCCCCCGCCACGCTGCGTTCGCAGGCAGCTGTGCACAATAGCCTTTGATCCCGTGCGGTGGCGCGCCGCGGCGGTCGAGCCGCGCCCCGCCGGCGCACACGCGGACCGTCCGGGACCCTGGCGATTCTGGTCGCCGCGCCTCCACCGCCTCGCGCGGCGCGGCAACTGGCTCGCGTTCTACGGCCTACGCGCGCAACGCCACGCACGTGCGCAGCGCGCCATCGCGGACCTGACGTGGCCGGCGACGGGCTCGGACGCGCGCTGGGCCCTGCGCGAGCTCGGCGAGGACGCACTCGACGCGCTGCTCGCCGAGGCCAGGCGCTGCGGCCCCGAAAACATCGGTCGTCGCCACCGCGCCACCGAAGCGCTCCAGTGCGTCGCGTGCGCGCTCTGCGTTCGCGAAGCCGCGCGGAGCGAGGACGGCAGCGACGACGAGGGCGAGGGCGGCGCGGACGCGCTGCCGGCGTGGTGGACGGGCCCAAAACCGGCGCCCGCACCGCCGTGTACGTATGTGCCGAACCTGCGCGTGGGCGCCGCTGAGTCGCGGGAGATCTCGCCGGAGGGGGCGGCGATGGTGCTTGCGCGTGTTCTGGACCCGCTCGCGGACCTCGTACAGCTACAGGGGCAGCTGGAGGATCTGGGAGAGGAGTTGAAGCAGCGATTGCACACCGCGGGGGCGCGGCCGGGGTCGCGGGCCGCGCTCGACGAGCTGATCGGGCTGCTGTTCGGCGCTCCAGATGCGGAGGGGCCGTGGGGGGCGCTCGCGGAGGTCGCGGACGCGTCGGCGAGGGTGGAGCACGGGGGGGAGTCTGCGACACACCCCTCGCGCCGGTACTCGCTCGAGGACGTCGGCGTGCCGCTGGACGCGGTCGACAGCCTCTCGCGGCGGTCCGGCTGGATGGCGACCATGCTGCGCGGGATTCCGCCGTTCGGCGGCGCCGACATCGCGTCTGACGGGGCGGCGCAACTTGACTCAGTTCTCACCCGACCCGTGCCGCCGTGGAAGGAGCATGGAATCGGGCTGCGCGCCGCCGGAGTGGATTACTACAGTCTGCGCAACAGCTTGCTTCACGAGGCGTTTGAGACGCAGAGGGGGATCCCGATCACTCTTGCAGTGGCGTTCCATGCAGTGGGCACACGCGCGGGGATGCCGGTGCGGTGCATCGGGATGCCGCGGCACTTTCTCGCGTCGTTCGTGTACGAGGACGGCGAGACGCTGTACGTCGACTGCTACAACGGGGGACAAATCATCTCGTCGGACGAAATGCCTCAGTGGGTGCGCGGTGCAACACACCCCCCACTTTCTCTCTGCGCAAACACGCCCGCCTACACCTCGAAATATCCAGCGCATGCTGCGGTCTCGAACGAACCTCGTCGCACGTGACAGCGACTTGCCGGCAGCCAAATATCAGTTTGATAGTGTTGCTCCCGCACACCCTTGTCTCGCGCCCGACCATGCTCTCCCGCGGCCCAACATCCTGCTCACAGCCTTCACATCCCGTCCGCTGCCTGTGCCCCCCGTCCCCCGCAGACGCAGCAATTCGCGGGCGCTGCCTTGCGCCCAGAGTTCCTGGCACCGGTTGGGGGTGGCGCGGTGCTGGAGCGGATGTGCAACAACGCGCGCGCGGCGCTCACGGCCATCGACGCGGCGTCCACGACCCCGACGCGCTGCCTGCTCGCGTCGCTGCTGTCCCTGGCGGAGGTCCAGATGCATGCAGTGGCCGCCATGGGTTGGGCGCCGCCCGGGCGCGACGCGGTCGCCAGCGTCATCTCGCGCGGCAGCGACATGCTCGTGGACGCCCGCAGAGTCCAGGTGCGGGCGGCGTTCCCCGTGATGCGGCCCCGTGCTCACAATCTCACTGTCGAGGATATCAGAACGTCGCTCGAATATTTCGTTCACTAATTTGCGCGTGCAGTACATTCTTCGCGGGTACACGGAAGCGTTGCGGCCGCGCGTGGACGCCCCGGGCCCTGGGGAGCCGGGCGGTGCCCCCGGCACGGGCGGCGCCTTCGCGGTCGGTGGCGGGCCGGGCATGGCTCCGAACCTCCCGCCGGAGGCCTTCCGGCAGACGCAGGAGCTGTTCGAGCTCGTGAGCGAGAGCGCGTTCACGCGGTCGCGGGGCTTCGAGAACGGCATGCGAAAGGCGCGGCGCGAGCGCAGCACGGAGGGCGCGCGGCAGGTGCGCTACCGGGTCGGCACGGTGATGCGGCACGCGCGGTACGGCTACCGCGGCGTCATCACGGGGTGGGACGAGCGCTGCGAGGCCTCGCGGGACTGGATTCGCGGCATGGGGGTTGGCCAGTTGCAGCGGGGGGAGTCCCAGCCGTTCTACCACGTGCTGGTGGACGTGAGGGACCGGCCCGGGCCGCAGTCGACGTACGTGGCGGAGGACAACGTCAGCGTCGCGCAGAGCTGGGCGCGGGTGCCGCTGGTGCTGCATCCTGACGTCGGGGCGTACTTTGAAGGGTTGGAGGAGGGCAGCGCGGCGTACGCGCCCGCGGAGGCGCTGCGATCCGAGTACCCGGACGACGTGGTGGAGTGACCGGGGGGAGTCTCGCCCAGGTGTGAACGCCGGGCAGCGATCGAGGTCTCCTGTTTATTTGTCGCATGTGTGCCTTTCTTGAAATGTCGAGGTTTCAAGGTCCGCGGCGGGCAGCTCGCTGTTTCCCGCAGACCGCTGCTATCGCTCGGTGGCCGTGCGAGACGGCGGAGGGCCGTGACTGGCCCGTCCGGGGGTCTGTTGTCCCTCAGTGCGACCAGCGGGGCTGTCTGACAGTAGTCGCGCTTTCGGGTCAGAAATTTGCGCGCACACGCCGCCTCGCACCACAACTCGTGAGGCGGCGAGCGACCACCGTGGCCGATCGCGACCCGCGGTGTTCCCCGGGGCAGCAGTCATGCGCCCGCTGCACCCAACCATCGGTGCCTCACCGGGCGTGCCAACGGACCAGGACGAGTGCAAGCCGGTCATCGTCGACGACATCAACGATCGGCGTGCGGGCACGGCGCTGACGAGCGGTCAGCGGTCCCCGCAGCATGGGTCTGGACCGAGCCCAACCGCCCCCGCCGGGGGAAGAAGGAGGAATTGGAAGCGAAAGCTCAATGAGGTGATTGCTCGACATACGCACATGCATCCGGGCGGCAGCACAGGCGCGTTGTGCGGGCGGGAATACGGTAGTTTTTATGCTGCAATGGTCACACGTTGCCAGCGCCGCGATGCCACGCAGTTAGGGCCATGACGCAGGATGACGTGTACGAATGTGCTTATGTCAACCCGTGGGCGTCACCATAGCCATGTCTGCAGGCGTCTGGAGGTAGAAAGGGAAGGATTCCAAGCAGATGTTGTCCGACATGTGGAGCCAGGAACTTTATCAGTGAAGTGGAGTGCACCAACTGCAAGCACGTGATCGTTAACAGCCCGCGGCGTCGAATCCGCATCGTCGGGAGTGATCAGCACAGCAGCATGGACCTGAGGAGTGGTCGGCGCATGCCGGGGCGCCTGTCCACGGCCGGAGCGCGGCATGGCCCAAACGAGCAGGACGAGCGAAAGCCGAGGAAGACGAAGGACGAGGAGAAGCCGATAGGAGTGGAGGTGAGCAGTCACGGACGGCGGGCTCGCGTGTAGGCACGAGCGCACGTCGCGCGCGCGAGGCAACTGATGGGTCCTGTCGTTCCGATCGCTGCACGGTCGTGGCAGCGCCGCGCGGCTGTTCCTGCTCCGACCGACAGGAAACAAGTATCAGACAGGCAATCAGAAGGATACGCATGATGCGTATCCTGCTCAGGGCACCCCTTTCACGTCCGGCGACCTGTTCGCAGGCAGCTGCACCGGCGCAGAAAAGCAAGCAACACTGCAAACCGTGTCCCGAGTGCGGAGCCAGCAACCCCAACCCACAGTTAAACTGCATCGAATGCAATTACGTGTTCTTGAAGTCAAGAAGGCGCCACGTCGCGGTGCCCCCCGAGGCCACGATACAAGCTGCGCTGAGGCGGATGATGAACGCACCGTTGCGGAAACAGGTTCACGGTCCCCCGTATCCGATAACGCAAAACACCAGGCAGGTGGCCAAGCCGATCTTCGTCGCCCGAGCCCTCATGAGGGCGGCACTTCAGGTCCACGACCGAGCCTCCTTCTCGCTGAGCGACGCCTGCCGCGTGATTGCCAGTCAGCCGGGGGACGCGGATGCGCACGTCTCCAGTGACCAGGCAGAGGTGAAGCGCTTCTTGGTGGCCCATGAGGCGACGGTGCGGGAGCTCTTTGGGAAGCACGCGGACGACGCAGTGCGGGAGTGCGCGCTGGTGCAGGCGCTCGAGACGCTGGCGAGCATGCGGGCGCGTGCTGACAGGCAGTGAAACGCACAGGACGGGCGGTACGGTCAAACGTTGTAAAAGCAGCGCAGGCGCGACCTGAGCGGGACTGCTTGTTCGCCTCGTTCGGAAGCTCATCTTGGAGCAGTGGAGTATGGTGTGTCAGGCAGGTCTGTGAATCACACGAGCGGGAATAGCGAGCGGGAACCTTGGCTGGTGTGACCTGGCAGCATTCGGGCTGTGTGCTGTCCGCCGTAGGGAGCTCGCTGCCTGCTGCGAACCGCCGCTGCCGCTCGTGGCCGTGCGAGACGGCGGGCGGCTTTCGCTGGGCTGATCCGGGGGTGTACTATCCCTCTGTCAGTACTACTGAGTGGTACCTGCTGCGACACGCCCACCAGTACGCGCGTCGACGCAGGCTCACGCCACATAGCGCCGCGGGGCAGTGGTCCGTTCGGCTGAATGTGACCAGCGACGCTGGTAGCAGTCATGCGCCCGCTGCGCCCAACCATCGGTGCTTCACCGGGCGTGCCGACGGACCAGGACGAGTGCAAGCCGAGCGTCGGCGATGGGAAAGGTGATCGACGTAGAGGGATGCTGCTGAGAAGCGGTCGGCGCACGCCAGGGCCACCATCCGGGGCTAGACTCCCAACCGCCGCCTTCCTCGCCACAGCCCCCTCCCGATACGACGCCCAGCAGCAGGACGAGCGCAAGCCGAGCGCGGTGAAAGACGAGGAGAAGCCGATTGGAGCGGAGGTGAGCAGTGACGGACACTTCGTCTCCCACGCCACAGCACAGGCGTGGAGGGGCGTCGTGCGGGCGGGAATGCGGGTGTGCCTGCACAGCGCTGCTGTTTCGATGAGCGACAATTACGTGATCACGAAGACGGAGGATGCTGTCAAAGGAGCGCGTGCAGTGCAATGAGCGATGCAGGGACGGGCAAAGCGTGCAGCTCCGTGCAGACTGTGTCCCGGGTGTGGAACCAGCTGCCTTATCGCCCAGCCTGAGTGCAAGGGATGCCGCCACGTGTTCTTCATCAAGGAGAGGCACCCAGGCCCCAGTCAAGCAGTGCAGCGCAAGGGTGCCACAGCAGCAGGACTTAAGAACATGCTAACATCATCGCTACGTGCACAGATTCACGGCAGTGAAGGGTTTTCACGGTCCTATCATCGCTTGGCGCCGTCCGTCAGGCAGGAGGCCAAGCCCATCTTCGTCGCGCGAGCCCTCATGCGGGCAATCATAAGCGCTGACGACCGAGCCGCCTTCTCGCTGAGCGACGCCTGCCGCGTGATCGCAAGTCAGCCCGCGGGCGCGGGAGCGCACGTATCGGGGGATCTGGTGGAGGTGAAGCGGTTTTTGGTGGCCCACGAGGCGGTTGTGCGGTTGCTCTTCGTCAAGCATGCTGACGAGGCGGTGCGGGAGTGTGCGCTGGTGCGGGAGCTGGAGACGCTGGAAAGCGCGCGGACGCGTGCGGACGCGACGGGAGACTCGCGGGACAGCGATGTGGGTCGGTGCTGAGCGGACGGCATCGTCGTCTAGTTTGCATTATCCTTTTTGGACACATTGCACATGATTGCTGGTGTCGAACGACAGGACGGCTCTGTAACAACAAGCTCGCTGCCTTCGGAAGAGCCTCTTTCTGCGGATGAGGGTCAAGTTGACAGAGCACCGATGCTCACCAAGCTCCGCGTGTGCCAAACCCTGGGAAACCCTGTCTCAGGGCATCCGGGTGACACTGCGCTCCGTAGTCGTGATTAGGTTGTCACAGTCTGCGTCCGCGTGGTCGCAGCTGGCTTTCGCTGATGATTGGTTCTCTTTCTTCTATGTAAATGTGCAAGGCCCGCCACCTCGTCCTACAGCCGAGAGCGCTGCGTTGCCAGCTCTGCTCGCCGCTGTCGGTCGCGCGCGAGATCGCCTCACTGGATCTCGATCTCCATGCCCTGCTCCTCCTTGGTCTCGACCTTGGGGATCGTGACCTGCAGCACGCCGTCCTTGTTCGAGGCCTGGATGCCGGTCACGTCCACGCCGCGCGGGAGGCGCACGGAGCGCGAGAAGGACCCGTACGCGCGCTCGTAGTACCCGTTCTCCTTGACCTCCCGGCTGCGCTTCCCGGAGATGGTCAGGGTGCGCTTGTCGGGCGACACGTTGACCTTGATGTCGCCCTTGTCGACGCCCGGGAGGTCGACGTGCAGCGCGATCTCCTTGTCGGTCTCAGAGAGGTCGAGCCGCGGCGCCCAGAAGCGCTGCTGGTGCTGTGTCGACAGCTGCTTGTTCTGCGGAGCGCGGGGAGGCAGGCGCGGCGGTTGAGGGGGCGCGCTCGCAGGGGCTTCCTTGTCGACGCGTATCGGGACGAAGCAACGCGCAGGGCCGTTCTAGCACGAGGCGGGGCAGGTCGGCGTGGAAGACGCGCGGCGGGACGCACCTCTTCGCCCGCAGTCTCGCGGCGGTCCTCCGCGTCGGGCTCCGGCAGCGCCCACATCGCGCGGACGTCCGGGACGAAGGACGACAGCTCCCGCTCCATGCGGTCGAGGTCGCTGAACATGCTGCCCAGCAGGGGGGAGCGGCCAAACATCGAGAACATCTCTGTGTTGGTTGAGTGTGTTGCGACTCCACGAAGAGTGCGGTGAGCTTTGGATGCTCGCTGAGGTGCGCTTGAGTGCTCGAGTGCTCGTTCGCCGATGAAAGTGTCCGAGCCCAGCGGCGCGCCGGCCTAATATAGCCGCGGAAGGGGGGGGGACTATTTCCCGAGACCTAGAAAAGACTCGACTCCGAGTCGAAGGCTTCGAGACCTGGTCTACAGTTTACTGGAAGCTTCGGTCCCGCCGGGGTGCGCAGAACGGGGGCGTCCGGGGCGTCGCTGCGCGGGCATGGAGAGCGCATGCCGCTGACGTGCCGCGCGCACGCGCAGCGCGGCCGTAAGCGCGGAAAGCGGCAGGTACGTACTTGCGTACATGGAATCTGCGCGCGTTGGGACCCACAGCGGCTCGCAGCCCCTCGCCGCGCGCGCACGAGCAGCCACGCATGAGCTCTACGCCGGTGCGCGGCCCTGTCCCGGTCCTGAGGCATTGCACCACCTCAGCGGCAGTAGATCCCATTGTTGTTTTACGCTATGGCGTCCCGGTCCCCGCGAGCCCCGCCTCTTGCCCCATCGGGTCCTTCCCCGCCTCGCTGCAGCTGTAGCCGAGCACAGCGACGTCGCAAACGCAGCAGACGAGTGCGTGGCGAACCTGAATCACAACGCGTGGCGGAGCTGCTGTTGTTCCCTGCCCCGCGTTTTCTACGCGAGTTCGTCATCCTCCTTGACCGTTCGGCGCCTCTCTGGATCGCCCGGGTCGCGGATGAGCAGCGCGAGCAGCGCGGCGGCGACGAGACACCCCCCTAGAAACACCATGGCTCTCGCAAAGTCCCCCCCGCCGGACAGCAGCCCCGTCACGAGCGGCCCCACGAGCCCGCCGACGTTGCTGAGCCCCTGCACCACCGCGATGCCCATCGCCTTCGCCCTCGCGCCCCGGAACATCGCGTGCGGCAGTGCGTAAAAAGGCCCCTGGTACGCCGCCACGCCCGCCGCCGCGGCCACCAGCGACACGTACCCTGTGATCGGATGCGGCTTGATCGACCACGGAACGACCGTCCCTGCAGCACCGCAGCCCGGAAACGCGCCTGAACCAGTCAAAGGCTGCACCAACAACCACAAGCGGCAAACCACGTGCACAACAGCGGATCTGAGCGCTCCGCGCATGCAAACGACGTTCGAGCGACGCACCGAGGAGCAGCCCGCCGATGGCCAGCGACACCGCCACGTGCAGCCGCCGCTCGTGCGTTTTCGCAGAACTCCGCGCCACCGCCAGCATGGCAATGTATTCCACCGCGAACGGAATCGCCGTCAGGATGCCGAGCGTCATCGGATTCATCTCCGCGTCCGGCACGTCCGGCGCGTCCGGCGGCGGCGCGTCGCCCCCGTCCGGCCCCCCCGGGTGCGCCCCCAGCACAGCCTGCGCAATCATCGGCGCCCACATGATGATGGCGAAGTCGCCGCACTCCGCGAGGAGCGCCACGAAGCCCAGATGCCACGCCCGCGGGTCGAGCAGCGCGGCCGAGCGCGACAGCTCCGCCTCGACCGCGGCCACGTCCACCGGCGCCGCCCGCGCCCCGCCCGGGTCCGCGCGCTCGCTCTCGCGCGGCGACTGCGCCTCGGTGTGCGCGAGGGACGGGCACGTCGCGCCCGCGGCGAGCAGGTCGTCGCACTCGCGCGGCGAGAGGAAGCGCGCCGTCGCTGCGTCGGCGGGGAGCGTGGCGGCGCACGCTATCGTGAGGGCCACGCCCGTGGCGGCCTGGCTCAGGAAGAGCCAGCGCCAGCCGGCGATACCGAGCGCGCCGTCGAGCTTCATGATGACGGCCGCGAGCGGCGCTCCGACGATGAGGGATATGTTGGTCATGCTTGCGACGTTGACGTACGCCTCTCCGAAGTCCGCGACCGGGTAGAAGCGGGAGAGGAGGAGCCACACGCCCGGCTGGAGGCCCGAGAGGCACGCGCCCATGCAGAGCCTGCGCGGAGCGGGCGCGGGCGGAGCGCCGTCGCGTGTTGACCATCAAGACGCTCGCGTCTCCTCGGTTCAACGGCGTAGCGCGCGGCGCACTTCGAGGGCGCGGCGTCGCACCTGGCGAGAAGGTACTGCGCTGGCGACGTGACGAGCGACTGGCCCGCTGCGACCGCGGCGTAGGCCAGCGAAATCACCGACAACCATGTCGGGGCTCCAAACTTCTCCTGTGCGAGGGTGTGCGGCACTTGGAGCAGCGCGTAGGGCAGGAAGAACAGCGCGCTGATACCGTATCCGCTATTCGACAGCCCCGTGTCGTGCATGACCTGCGAGCAGGCCAGGACCGCGCACAGCCGCGGAGTCTGAGTGGCCCATCTTGTGTGCGCGTGCAGGGCCGAGACTGCGGGAATCCGCGCCGAGGCGCGGTCCGTGGGGCCGTGCGACGATGCGCGCAGGGATTCGCGCCGGAGGTCGGCGCGACCGGAGCCGCGTGCGGCGCTGGGCGAGGGCGCGCCGGATGGTAACTGATGGCTGCTGAACGCAGCGGGCCGCGCACCTCCCGCGCTGCGAACGCGGCGTTCGCTTGGTCCAGGTATGTACAGAACGAGAGCGCCATGCAGACCGGCAGGAGGTGCGTGTTCAGCTTCCGGAGGACCGCGCGTTCCGCGTGGCCCGGGCTCGGGCCCGCCGGAGTGAGTACGGAGCCATCCTGGTCTCCCTCGGGCACGAGAAGGCGTTCCCTGACACTCGACTGCACCATGCCTATCTGAGCGTCCCGAGAAGCGCCTCGCGCCGCACCGGCCGCCCCGGGCCCGACCGAACGGCTGTGCTTGCTACTTGCTTCGTGTTGTCGGCTCTATGCGGGCGCGTGGAATGAATACGGGGGCGGTAACGTCAATCCGGGCACACCAGAATCCGTGAGGCGCGGCTGACGTGCGAGGTAGTGGAGCCCGCGGGCCGCCAGCGCGCAATCGGAAGGCGCAGGCGCCGTCTCACTGGCAGACGTGAATCCTCGAGTCCTCTTCGCAGGCTGCGGTCAATCCCGCGGGACGCAAGGCTGGCGCGGCGCGGGACGCGCGGCATTTCCCCGCTCGCGCTCGTGAGGGTGAGCGCGCAGCGCGCACGGTCGGGCCGTCGACCGCGCTTGACGTTTGCGCGTGTGGCCTCGCCAGGAGTGGGGATCCGCGGTAGTCGCCCTGAGGGGCGCGGGGGGGCAGCAGCTCCTGCAATCCCAGCACCCTGGAACCAGACGGAGCGATGGAGGTGCGTGGCGTGGTCTCGGAAGCAGAGAGAAGGGCGGAGTTGTCGTCCCGCTTCCATGCTTTCTGTATGAGGCCGCATTTCGTGAGTCTCCGTGCGAGACTCGCGGATATTGCGAGACATCCTCGCGACCGTGTGCTTCAGGCCACTGCTCCGACCACGGAACCTCCAGTCTGCGGCCCTATATCGCTACGGCGGTGCTCTGAACCTCCCAGTGCTTCCCAGCCGAGCCGTGCGCGAACGGCACGCGTTCCGCTCGACCTGCAGGGCCAGCCGCGGATCACGCTGTATAGGGAGCCGCTCACGGTGCTCTGGCACTTCTCTGCGGCCCTCGGGGAGGGCGTGGGCGCGGCTCTCCTCCAGGCCTGGCGCAGCAGGACCGCGCGCTTCGTTCTCGGGGTCCCGCTGATCATCTACGTGTCCGTCAAATCCATGGGAGGCGTGCCTGGAACCTCGCTAGACGACCACGTCGTCGCGCAGTGCGAGTACTGGGCCACATTCGCTATCTGGTGGTGCGGTGCGTCCCCACGCCCGCCCCCCCGTCGCTCGCGCACCCCGGAGACCGTGCCGTCGCGACACGCACCGCAGCGCACGTGCTGCGCTCAGCGACGCACGGTGCCGCACGACCACTCCGCGCAGTGCGTGTCTTGGAACCTTTTGTTGCCACGCTGTCAAACGATCGCCGCAGATGGCGTCGAACGCGTTGACTGACTCGCGCAACTAGCGCCCCCTGCGCGCCCCCCGCAGGGCTGGGCGTGCTGTCCTCGATCGGCATGGGCAGCGGCCTGCAGACGGGTCTGCTATTCTTGATTCCCCATATCCTAAAAGTGTGCATCACGGCAGAGCGGTGCGGCAACACCGGGTTCCCGAACACGCAAGACATGTGGTGGCGCGACGCCGGCTTCGAGTGCCGCGACCCCCTCCCCGATCCACACGTGAGTGTGTCTTCACCCCCCCCCTTTCCTCTCTCAACCTCGTGCATAGGCAGAAGACGTTGTGGCAGCGGCGTCACGCGCTTGGCGGGCGCGGGGCGTGGCGCGCGTGCTCGGTGATTGATCGGCCGTGCACGGAGGCAACAACAAACCTGGATCCTCGACTTGCGGTGCAGATCTCGATCTCTGAGATATGGCAGAAGGTCGTCGGGGCGTCGATGCTGTGGGGCCTCGGCACCGCCCTCGGCGAGGTCCCGCCCTACCTCCTCTGCTACTCCGCGCGCAAGGCCTCGCTCCTGTACGAGCAGCAGACCCAACCTGCCGCCCCTGTGCCTGGTGCCAATCAAAAGCCCGGACGCGACGGACCAGGGGACAAACGGCCGGCAGCGGGCGCGCCGACGCAGCCCCAGTCCCATGAGGAGCCGCGCGCGCGCAAGCCGCACGACGCCAGCGCGCCCGCGACCCCGTCAACGCCGCATGTGGGGGGCCCCCGGGCCACGACGCTAGATTTGATGACGCCGCTGCATGTGGCGCGCGCCGGCATCGGAACGGTGATGAAGGGCTTGCGGGAGGCGAGCGTGGTCTTCGTCGGGGGGCTGGGGGGGAGCTGGGGGGGTCAGAAGGGGCCGGAGGACCTAGCAGGCGACGCTGCCGCGTCGGGCGGGGGCGCGAGGAGCGCCGGACAGGACGTGACGCCGCTGTCTGCGGAATCGCTCCCGCGGCGGTCCCCGCGCGTCGCGGCGCGGCAGGACGGCTCGCGTGGCGAGGGAAGCAGCGTCAAGCGCAGCGCCGCAGAGGACACAGTTCGACGGCGGCTCAACACGACGAGCGCGAGCAGCGCGTTGCACAAATCCGCGCACGCGTCGCCCACGGGGGCCTCCCCGCCGCTCAGGGGGGGACTCTGGTCCCTCTTTGCACACTCCACACCCCCCCCCACCTCCGACCCGAGCGACCCCGGCCGCTCCTACCGCGGCGTCGCGGAGAGCGCGCACGCCGGCTCCGCGCAGGTCCTCCCGCTCAGCCCCGTCGAACCTCGGCGATCCCTTCACTCCCCCCGTCCGCCGCTCCCGGCCTCCATCTCCATTCCGCGCCTAGGGGACCAGATGCCGGAGAAACTGCGGCCGCTGTGCTCGCCCGCGATCCAGGGCGTCGAGCGGTCGCCGCTCGCCGAGCAGTTCGGCCACATCCAGCCGGGGACGCCCCCCCCGCCGTCGACGTCTCTGGTGTCGCGGATGTGGAGCGGTTTTTCGTCGCGAAATCGGAGCCCGATGCGCGGCGTGGACGTCCCGGGCACGACGCCGCCCGAGGGCGGCGGGCGCGTGGTGCGCATGGCGTCGCTTCCGCCGGGCGCCGCGGCGCCGGACCTGCACAGCGCCGACGCGGGGGTTTTCGTTCCCGGCGCTGGAGCAGGAGCGCGCCGGCGTGACGGCGCAGACGAGTGCGGACCGCGCGTGGACGACGCCGCCGGTCCGCGCCGCGAGCCCGTCCCCGCGCGGCCGCGCGTCCGCGCGATCAGCGACTCCCCCCCCCTCGCGCGGAGAACCCTCCCTGGCGCACAGCCCGCTCTCGATCGGCCGCGCGAGCATCACGGACGAGCTCCGCGGGCTCGACGCCGACAAGCTCTCCACCCTCGACGTCCTCCGGCGCGTCCCGGAGTACCTCTACAGCCGCGTGGCAGGGTTGATGATGGAGCTCATCCGGGTGTACGGGTTCTGGGGCGTTCTGCTGCTGTCCTCGGTGCCGAACGCGCTGTTCGACGTGTGCGGCGTGGTCTGCGGGCACTACCTGATGCCGTGGAAGGAGTTCGTTGCCGCGGTGGCGCTCGGAAAAGCCGTGGTGCGCGTCAACCTCACCACGCTGATGTACATTTCAATGTTCCGGCGGTCGTCGCGCGACTGGCTGCTGTCGGCGCTCGAGCGCGTCCTCCCCGCGCGCCTCCCCGGCTGGCTGCTCCCGGAGTGGCTGGAGACGGCGACGAGCGAGGGCGGCGGGGCGACGCTCATCGCGGTGCTGCACCAGGCGATCAACGCGAAGATTCGGGCGTTCGAGGACCGCGTGCTGGCGGCGGGCGCCGCGGTGGAGGCGGCCGCGAAGGGCGCGGAGGCGGCGGCGGCGGCGGCAGAGGGGGAGGGTTGGTGGGAGCGGTACGCGCAGCTGCCGTCCGCGTGGAGCTTGGTGATGTACGGGTCGATGGCGGCGTTCCTGGTGACGTCGCTGGAGGGCGTCGCGCAGCAGCGATTCGAGGCGCGGCGGCGGATGGAGGTGCAGTGCGGGTACGGCGCGGAGGGGGGGGAGTTGAGAGGAACTGAGGGGGGGGAGTGAGCCCGGCGATGAGGCGCGGCGCGGCGTTGCGTTGCAGAGCCTGTCAGACTCCTGTGAGAGCTCAGGAGCTCATCTTGGTGCATTGCTTTGTGCGCGCACCTGCTGCAACTGCACCCCTCGTGATGGTCGCTGAAGGAGTCACGTGACTTGACTGACCCTCGCGCCGCAAGTGCATGCGGGACATGCGGGCGTGCTGGCGTCCAGACACCGCTGCGTCCTGCTAGAGCACCCGCGTGGCATGCAACACACAATTGTCTATCTCTGGTCGTCACGCATGCGCTTCGCTGCAGCCACGCCGTCCCCAGCGGCACCGCCCCTCCTCCGCCGCCACAGCCCGCACTGTCCCAGCGCCGCGCCCACCAGGCTCCCGCTCCCCGCAGCGAATCACAACCACTCGCAGGCGCGCATCACCAGTCGGGCTTGGCGCGGCGCTCCTTCTTCTTCATGCCGTGCTTCTTCTTCCCGTCGAGCCGCTTCTGGTTGTACGCCTTCTTCAGCCCCTTGATCCGCTTCTTCTTCTCCTCCGTCGGCTCCTTCACGATGAGGCTCTCCGCCGCCTGACACACCATCTCGTTCACCTTCTCGATCGCCGTCGCGAGGTTCTGGTGCTGCGTCCGATGCTCCTGGCTCTGCACCACCAGCTCATCCTGCACAGCCCGCACACCCCCGCAAAACGAACAATCAGCAACCACGAATCCATATCTCTCCATCAACAAAAGAAAACATGCGGAGACCCGCGCGGGCCGCACCGCCAGCCGCGGCGCGCGCGCGCGCACTCACGTTGTTGTTCACGCGGTTCTTCTCGCGCGTCCGGATCGCGTCCTTGACCTCCTCGGTAAGGAACCACGCCGCGGCGAGGTTGAGCCGCACGTCCGCCTTGGTGTTGACCTTGTTCACGTTCTGCCCGCCCGCGCCGCTCGACCGCGCGAACTGCACCGTCAAGTCGTCCTTGTCGATCTCCTTGATCACGCCCGGAGGGAGCTCCTTCTGCTTGCTCGCGAAACACCGGGCCGAGGGGCGCGCCTGGGCCTCCGTGGACGCGCCCGCTGGCCCGAAGACGCACGGAGGCAGCCGGAGGGGCGTGGCAGGGAGCGCCGTGACCCTGCGCGGGGGAGAGCGGGACGGCAGGATAAGCGAGACACACGTAGGCTGGCTGTCGGGCCGCCGTGGGCGTGTCAGTTGCAATTCGAGCCCGCGATCTCGTCGGAGGGCTGCTGCGAGTCCGGTCGGGTCGGTTCGGCGCAGCGAGAGGGCGTGGTACGTCCGAGGTTGCCACGCAGGAGCGCACGAGCCTCTCACGCCTCGAATCCCTTCTCGAGACGTGCGGCGGCTGAATTCGGCGCGGAGTGCGATGGACACCTCGGTTCCGGGCTGTGGCATCCGTCTGTCAGGCATCGGCGGCGCCGCGGCTCCACGCGGCCCATCGTGCGGCCCGCGACGGGCGGTGTGTGTGTGCGTGGCACAAGAGCGGCGCCGGAGCATAGCTCGGCGATGGCGATGGCGGACTTGCCTGCACGACGCTGTCTGCCGGAGTGGTGCGCAGTCGACGGCGAGGGGCCGCACGATGCCGGCGACGGCCTGCGGGCGGCAGCGAGAGCCTTGCGCGACCACCAAAGACGACACGCCCGCCGTCACGCGCATTGCGACGCCGCAAGCGTTCATCCTCCGGGAAGCGGGGGTGATAAGCGGCCTGTACTGCCCGTGCTAGGCCGGGGGCGTTCGCAAGCGCGCTGCTGGCTGCCTGCTAGCAACACACTGCAAGGTTTGGCCGTAACGAGGTCGGGGAGAGGGACTGCGACGAGGAGCGTCGGTGCGCCGCGACGCGCTGAGGGGAATGCGTGCGTAGAGCGCGCAGCGGCGCGGCAACGAAGGCGGTTGTGAACGTGATGTCAGGCAGGAAGGGTCTGACACTGAGACTGACAGCAGGTGGCGGGCGAATGGCGGGACGAGTGTGCACGCGCGCGTGTGTGGGCGTTAGTTGGAACTGACCACGCGTAGCGGGCTGGTCGCCAAGGTCAGAAAGATAACCCGCAGGCACGACCGGAGGAGGTAAGTGCATGCCAGCCCCGCGCGAGCCCCACCGGGACTCCGGGCGCGTCGCCGCATCGTCGCACGGTCCCTTGATTTCCAACGCGACGCCTCGTCGTCTATTTCTGCGCCGCGCCGCCCTATCCACGCGACGCATCGAGCCCACAGCGTCGGGCCTGCGCAGCGGCCGCGCTGGCCGCGCACGGCATTATCTCGAGACGCGACCCCCTCCAGCCGCACCTCTTACATGTCAGCCGTCTCTGGGCGCCCACGTCCGCGTCGTATGACGTCGCACCGGGCGTTACGGGGCCTCAAAGGGCTCCCTGCGCACGCGCCCTGCGCCTCACGAGCGCCCAGGGCCGTCCTGCCACGAACCGACCGCACATCGGCCTCCCTGAAGAGGCGTTCTCCGTTCGCATCCGCCCGCGCAGGCACACGGCTCGGGCGCCCTTTATTAAGCCCGGTATTCTGCATTTGTTGCTCAAGGATCCTTGAATGCCCCGGCATTTGCGCCACGGGCGTCTCTGAGACCGGGCCGGGCAGCCGCAGCCGGCTCTCCCGCTGCCCGTCGCGGCGGGCGCCGAGCGCGTCTGCGCGGGGCACGCAGGACGCCTCAGCTACATTTGCCAGGGGGCGCTCGTAGCCTCTCCTCGTCCCCGCGGTGCGGTCCGGCCGCGAACCCCCGCCCACGATGATGCACCACGACCCCCCTCCGCCCCTGGACATGCCCGAGGGCTCGGAGGCCATCGTGCGGACGCGTTCCGAGGCCAGGAGGCGCATCAAGGCGGGTCGCAAGCGCCGGTTCGCTCCCCAGCCGGCTGACCTGGTGGTGCGGCCCGCTCGGATCAACCCGGACCTCTTCACGCCGGTTCTCCACGCGTACTCGCACGCGCAGCACCAGTACACCAACCCGCAGCGCGCCCTGTCGCCCCTGCACGGCTCCGTCGGCTCGCCCACGGGCAAGCTGCTTCGCATGGGGGGCTCCCGCGGCTCCCTCAAGGCCGCCCAGACGCCCGTCACCGTCGGAAAGGCCTACATCGACCGCTCCCTGTTCAAACCGAAGAGCTCCGAAGACAGGTGCGCGCCTACGCCTCGTGCGCCGCGCCGTGGCAGCTCCCAGAGGCCTTTCGCGGGCTCCTGCGCCCCGGCGACGGCCCCGCCGCCCCCACACGCGGCCCCCCGGGCTCGCCCACCGCAGGTACCGCAAGGTTCTCGCCGCGTCCGGCGAGCTGCCGCCCCCGCGGGTCCCGTCGGCCAAGCGCTCCAGGCACGGCGAACCGAACCCGCACGCGCCCGCGGAGGCCGCGCAGAAGATCCTCGCGGGGCTGCGCGGGCAGATCACGCAGGGCGCGGGCCTCGTGCAGCGCAACCCCGACGGCACGCCCTCGGTCACGCTCGGCCCGCAGCCCACGCGCACGAGCTCCGCGGGCAACGTGGGGCCGCTCGGCGCGGCGAGCCCGAGCGCGCGGTCCGTCCCGGGCCCGCGCTCGAGCAGCGCGAAGCTCCGGAGCATCGCGAACATGTACGCCGCGGGCCCCACGGCGTCCCCGAAGCCCGCCGCGCCCGCCGGAATGCGTCCGGGGTCCGCGCCGCGCACCGTGCGGCTCGCGCGCTCCATCGCGAAGCTCCGCGAGCTCATCAACAAGGGCGCGCCGCTCGGGACGCTCCGCTCCGAGCTCCAGGCCTTCCTCCTGGGCGACCTCCTCGCCGGCGGCGAGGTCGACGTCGTGCTCCTGGACGAGCTGCTCGGGTTGCTGCAGCACCAGCAGCCCGCGCTGCAGCTCACCGCCGCGGGGATCTTCCTCCAGCGCGGCCTGTACTTCTCGGCGATCCGCGCGGTGTTCACGGGGGAGTCGGTGATCGGCGCGGTGCTGGAGGAGGCGCGCGCAACGGTGGCGGCGCGGCACGAGGCGGACGACGACCTGGACCTGGCGTCCGAGGCGTGGAACTGGGACCACGCGGACCGGCAGCTGTTTTTGCGGCAGTTCGCGCAGCTCCGCATCGTGCAGAACTTCCGCAACTTGCGGGAGAAGCTGACGACGATGGGGCCGACGGGGGAGGCGGCGCTGGGGCGCGTGGAGCGGCAGATTATTCTCAAGGTCGTGAACGACTTCCTCGAGCAGCTCGGGCCGACGGGGCACGAGCAGGCGGACGTGGCGGCGCGGCTGCTGGCGGAGAGCAAGCCGCCCGCGACGGCGATGGAGGCGCAGCAGGCGTCGCGCGCGGCGCGCGAGGGCGCGGAGGAGCCCGCTGCGGACGCGAAGCAGCGGCAGGCGGAGGAGCGCCGGGCGCGGGTGCAGCAGCGCAAGATCGACGAGCAGCGCCAGAAGCAGGAGGCGAAGCGGCGCGCGGTGGCGGCGCGGCGCGCGGCGCAGGAGGCCAACCTGCGCGAGCGCTACGAGCAGGAGGTCGCGGACGCGCAGCGCCGCGGCGTCCGCGAGGCCGTCCACAAGAAACGCATAGGCGAAGCCAAGAAGGAGACGCGGCGTGCCAAGCAGGACCTGCGGGAGGCGCGCGGGCACCAGCGCACGGGGAAGCTCCCCGAGGAGTACCGCCCCGCGGTCGCGGGGTCCCCGCCGCACCGCGGCCCGCTCGGCGCGACTGGGCGCAGCGCAGAGGACGACGTCGCGGCGCGGGAGGAATACCTGGCATTCCTGCAGGAGGCGACGGCGGCGGCGGAGCAGCGCGCGGTCGCGCAGCACGCCGCGAAGGAGGAGCTCCGGCGGCAGCGCGAGGCCGAGGCGGCGGCGGCGCGCGAGGAGCGGCGGCGGCGGGAGGCGGAGGCGGAGGCGCGGGAGGCGGCGCGGCAGCAGGAGCTCGCGGCGGAGACCGCCGCGAAGGAGGAGGCCGCGGCGGCGCGGCGCGCGCAGCGCGAGCGCGAGCGGGCGCTCGAGCGGCAGGACTCGCACTCTGGGATGGAGCACGCCGTAGAGGACATGTCGAGTCCGGACGCGCTGGGGCCGTCGATGGTGGCGCCGGGGCTGGAGAGCGTGGCGGAGGCGCCCGCGGTGGAGGAGCTGCAGGAGGAGGAGGCGCAGATCGAGGACCAGAAGCTGCTGCGGGAGCTGAGTCAGCACGTGAGTCGGTCGTCGATGTCGCTGCGGGATATCGGCGGGCACGTGGCGGCGGGGGAGGTGGACGACGAGGTCGCGGAGGTGCTGCAGACGGCTGCGAGGGGCGCGCTTGAGCGGGAGGCGTTCGAGGAGGGGGGCAGGCGCGAGGTGGGTGCGGGTGCGGAGGAGGCGGCGACGAGTGAGGCGCAGCTGCCCGCCGCTGAGGCGTCTCAGGCGTCGCAGATGTCGGCGGGCGGCGCGGTGGAGCTGCTCCAGGGGCTCGGGCAGGCGGCGCTGATCCGGGAGGCGATACCGTCGTCCGAGGAGCCGTCGGCAGCCGACGTAGGAGCGCCACCGCAGAGCGTTGAGGCGCCGGCGGCCGCCGAAGCGGCCGCGGAGGGGAGCGACGACGAGGAGGACGATCCGTTCGTGGACCTGCTGCAGGCGCTGGCGCGGAGTGCGATCGACCGGGAGGACTTGAAGCCTGTGTCTGACAGCATGCCTGCTCCCGGGGACGCGATGTACGTGGCGGTGGCCGGGGAGGTGGCAGCGGAGGCCGCGAGCCGCGCGGAGGAGGCCGCGGCGACGCTGGCGCGCGCGGAGGAGCGCCTGGGCGAGCATCGCGCAAAGTCAGCGCGCGAGGCCAGTCAGGTGGAGGCGACTCCCGCCGCCGCCGAGTCGGACACCCGCGACGCCGACGTGCTCGTCCAGCAGCTGGCACGGGGCTTGCTCGACCGCGAGGCTATTGCGGAGTCTATTGCGGGTGCGCAGGCGGCCCTGGAGCAGCAGAGCAGAGCCAGCGACGCGCCTGCATCGGAAGCTGCGGTCCCGGAGCCGGAGGCCTCGATGTCAGGGGCGTCCGTCGCGGCCCCGGAGGAGCAGCGCAGCGGCAGCGACGTGTCTGCGCCTGCGGCGGCTGTGGCTGCGACGGCGACAGCGGCGGCCGTTGCGACGAGCGCTGAGGTGCTGGTCCAGCAGCTGTCGCGGAGCGCGCTCGACCGCGAGGCCATCGCGGAGTCCATCGCGGGCGCGCAGGCGGCCCCGGAGCAGCAGCGCAGCGCCAGCGACGTGGCTTCTGCGGCCCCGCTGCCGGCAGCCGCTGCGTCAGGAGCGTCCGAAGGGTCGCAGGTGGAGCGCGACGACGCGGCGGCCCTCACGGACGAGGAGGCGCAGGCAGAGGCCTTGCGAGCCGAGCTGGAGCGGGAGCGACAGGAGCTGCTGGCCAAGCTGGGCGAGGAGACCGGAGCGGAACTGCTGTCGCCTGGCGCCGAGGCCGCGAGCAGGGCTGTGCCGGCGGTCGCTGCGGACGGCGAGGCCGCCGCGGCGCCTGCGCACGACGACACGCCTGTTGCTGGCGAGCCTGTGCCGGCTGCTGAGGTCGCGGATGGGGCCTCTGCGGAGCCTGAGCTCGTGGAGGCGCGGGGCAGCGGGACCGTCGCGACGCCTGAGCGTCAGGCGTCTGCGGTGGGTGTCGGCGGTGCGCATGTTGCAGCTGCTGCCGGCGTCGCCGCAGCTACGGCAGCCGCGACAGATGCACAGGCGCCTGCCGCTGGTACGGAGGCGACGGTGGCGCCCCCCGCAGCCGCCGTTGCCGAGGTGCCGGCGCCGGAGCAGCCCGAAGAGGGCGTTGCGGCCTCTGCTGCTGAGGTCGCGCCCGCTGCCGGGGACGTGGCTGTCGAGCAGCCAGCTGCGGGCTCACCTGCAGCCAGCACGCAATCCGCCGGTGCGGAGCAGCATGAGGCACCGCGGAGCGACGGCGCGGCCAGTGAGGGCGCTGCGCCCGCAGCTGCTGCTGCGGAGGCCGCACCTGCCGTTGCGGAGGGCGCTTCTGACGTCGCTGCTCCCGCTGTCGACGCGGCGGCGAGCGTCGAGGCAACTGCCTCCGCAGAGCCGGCTGCGGCAGCCGCGGTGCCGCCTGCCCCTGTTGATACATCCGCTGGAGAGCCGGCGGCTGCGGAGACGGTGGCTGCCGCGCCGCCTGCGGAGGCCACAACGCCCGTGCCAGCCGCGGAGGAGACGACGCCTGCGCCTGCTGCCGCAGAGACGCCTGCTGCGCCCACCGGCGAAGCGGCTCCTGTGCCGGCCGAGGGCGGCGCCGCGGAAGCTCCGCAGGGCCTGTTCACGGCAGTGTCCACGTCGCGCGGCGGCTCGAGCCGCGTGTCGCGCTCGCAGTCCCGCCGCGCAGCGTCGTCCGCGCGCAGCCGCACCGCGGCCGAGGAGGCGCCCGCGGCGCCCGCCGACCCGGAGGCCGAGGCCGCTGCGCTCGAGCGGGAGCGCGACGAGCTGCTCGCGAAGCTGGCGGGCGGCGACGCGGCGCCGGCGCCCGACGGCGAGCAGGCCGAGGAGCTCCTGGACCAGCTCGCGAGCCTGAGCCACCACGAGCCGGCGGACCTGGATAGCGCGGTCGACGAGGTGGCCGCCGCGGCGGTCGGCGGCGCGGTCGCCGGCCTGACGCCTGTCCACACAGAGTCTACGGCGTCGCGGCGGAACATTCCTGCCGAGCCTGAGCGCGCAAGCGGCATGGAGGTGTCCGTGGAGGGGGGGCGCGTCGCGGAGGTGGCGCAGGAGCAGGACGGCGCGGCCCCTGCGGTGCGCGAATCCGCCGAGGAGGCGCCCGCGGTGCACGATGAGCCCGCGGCGGCTTCCGCCGCTGTCGAGGGCACGCCGGAGGCGCCTGCTGCGGCCGCCGAGCAGGCAGCGGCGGAGGCGCCGGAGACGGCCGCGGAAGCGGCGCCGGAGACGGCTGGGGAAGCTGCGCAGCCTGGCGCTGGCGCAGCCTCCGCGCAGGAGCCTGCAGCGGTCCAGGAGGAGCCGCGCGCCAGCGACGCAGCGGGGAAGCAGCCGGAGGCGGCGGCGGCGCCGCCCGACGACGGGCGCGGCGGCGACGTGCTGCAGCGCATTCTTGGGTATTCCGCGGAGAACGAGGCGACCGCGAAGCAGCGGATCGACGAAGCGTCCTCGCCGACGCGCGCCGGCCCGTCCGGCGAAGTCCGTGTCTCGGACACGGAGCAGGGGGAGTCGGCCCGGGAGGTCCCCGCCGCAGCGCTGCAGGCGCGGGACGATGCGCGCGCGGGCGGCGCCCCCGCGACGCCGGACGAGGGGCCGCGCGGCGCGGGCGTGGCGGCGACGCCCACGACGATGGCGTCGCAGCCTGCGCACGCGGCGGCGATCTGGACGGCGCGTCAGGAGGAGGATGACAGCAAGGGCGGTGCGGGAGGGATGGAGGAGTCGATCACGAGCCTGAAGCAGCGGCTGGCGGCGGAGCGGCAGAAGATGCTGGATCTGCTCGCGCAGAAGAAGGCGGACCTCGCGGAGAAGCGGCGGCAGCGGGAGGCGGAGGCGGCGGAGCGGCAGAAGTCGACGGCGGCGGCGCTGGCGGGGTCGGCGACGGAGCGCGCGTTCGACGGCGCGAGCCTCGGCGCGACGGGCAAGTCGGTCGCGGACAGCCTTGGTGCGACGGGCGGGTCGCGGGGCGCGTCGGCGCTGGACGCGCCGGACCCGGATGAGGCCATCCGGGAGATGCGCGCGGAGATGGACCGGAAGCGCAACGAGCAGATCGAGGCGCTGAAGAAGAAGCGCGCGGAGGCGGAGGCGCGGCTGCGCGAGGAGCGCGAGAAGCTGGAGAAGCAGGCTGCCGAGCGACGCGAGCAGCTGCAGGCGCTGCAGGCGCAGCAGACGGCCCGGCGGGAGGCGCTCGGCGCGGCGTCGACGCAGAAGGACGCGCCCCCGGCCGCGGCGGCGTCGCAGGGCTCGTCGACCCCGAGCGGCACGCCCGCAGCGGCGGCAACGCCAGCGGTGGCATCCACGCCTGCGGCAGCCACGCCCGCGCCCGCGGCGGCGGCGGCGACGCCGGCGGCGACGGAGCCGCCCGCGCAGACGTCTGCGATCCAGGCGGCGCTCGAGTCGTTCCAGCAGCAGCTGCAGCAGAGCCAGCAGCAGATGGCTATGATGATGCACCAAATGTCGACCATGACGGGACGCGGGGGCTCGCAGAACGAGCGCGCGCCGCAGGGCCTCGTCGGCGCGCCCGAGATCCAGGCGGTGCCGATGGCGGGCATGCAGCCCGCGCCGGTCGCGGCCAACTCAAGGGTCTTCGGCGGCGCCGCGACGTCGTACGCGTCGCAGGGCCGCGCCGGGCCGATGTCGCAGCCCCCGCAGGCGGAGATGGTGTACGGCGCGGCGCCGGCGCGCTCGGCGGACCCGTTCATGGTCGTGCAGGCGGCCTCGCAGTTCGCGGCCGGCCCGAATGCGGGCCCAGAGGCCGACGCGCCAACCCCAGAGGAAATCGCCGAGTACGCGGCGTACCTCGGAATGGACCCGGTGGCCGACGCGGACCTGCTGTACATCGCGGAGTGGGCGATCACGGCGCCGCTGCCGGACGGGTGGACGGAGCACTACGACGCGGAGGGTAATGAGTTTTACTACAATACTCTCACGGGGGTGTCGACGTACGAGCACCCGATGGACGAGCAGTTCCGGTCGTACTACCGCAACATCAAGGCGCAGCGGACGGGGCAGAGCCTGGAGGACTCGCTGCGGCAGCAGCTCGCGGAGAGCGCGGAGCGCGGGGTGCACGCGCAGTGACGCGGCTGGGGGCGCGTTGGTGGGCGGGTCGCTGATGCGACGATAGAAGTAGACGAGATTGCACCGTATGTGTTACACAGAGACGTCGAGGGTGGACACGTGGTTGCCGCGACGTGCTTTGGGCGTAGGGTGTTTGCATGGCAGCGACGCCCGTATTTCTTTCGTCGCGCGCAGCATCTCGCTGTCGACAGCGTTACGCGGCAGCAGGCAGTCCATCGGCGGGGCGCCCTCCTGCCACGTCAGGCCGTGAAACACCCCCTCTACAGGCCATACTTCCCGCTGAGCTTCACCAGGCGAGACTCCTTGTTGTACACGATCTTGAGCCCGCCGACGCAGCAGAGGATGCTGTACCGGATGTGGCTGTACAGCTCCACCCCGGGCAGCGAGGCCTGCGAGACGGAGATCTGCTTGGGCCCCACCTTTGCCTTTTGCATCAGCTCCGGCCCCATCAGCGCGCGGAACACGGGCTCCGTGATGCCGACGATCTCGAGCGACATCGCCTTGAGGCCGTGCTTCAGCGCCGGCGCCCACTTCATCTGCCCCGTCAGACCCTTGGTAATGGCCTTGCGATGTTTTTCTACCTCCTTCTCCAACTCCTCCCCGCTCAGCTGCCTGCCGGTCGCCGCGTTGATCGTGCCGTTGCGCAGGCCCGCGATCGTGCGGTCGCGCTCCTCGAGCAGCGCGCGCAGGGCGGCCGCGTCGGCGATGTGGTCGTACGCCCCAGGCTGCGGCCTGCTGGCTGCCTTCTTCTTCCGCGGAACAGGGTTCGGGCCGGGCCTGTTGGCGCCGCCCGCGCGCTTCTTCTTGGCGGGAACCTCCCAGTCAGAGTCGCTCCTGCGCGCAGGAAGGCCGCGTTGCGCCGTGAGCGCGGGCTGGCAACGAAGGGAATCGAACCGGTGTGGGCGGGGGGGGCGCGTGGGGCGGCTGAGGGGGCTGACCCGTCGTCTGCGGGGTCGAAGTCGCTGTCGCTGTCCGCGGGGCGCTTCGCGGGCTTTGCGGCGGGCTTCGAGGCGGACGGAGCGACGCGCGGAGCGGTCTTGGCCACGAGCGCAGTAGCCTGGACGTCCTCCGCGCTGCACGCGTCCAGGCAGAGCGGGGCGTCCGGAACCAGCTGCAGGGGCATCTTGCTCGCGACCTTCGCGGTGACCTTCGCTTTGAGGGCCGCTAGCTGCGCCTGCTTGTCCACGGGGCGGGACGTGGCCGGAGTGGCCATGATGGTGCGCGAGGACGTGTGCGCTGCTTCTCCGGGCTGTCTGGTGAACGCGAACGGTTCCTCACGGAGTTGGCCGATGTGTGTGGGCAGTCGCGGGCCGTGCGACGTTGTAGGGCGCGCGCTTCAGCGGTTCGACGTTGCTTGCCCCGGGAGAGTGGGACCCGCCAGACGGGCGCGACGCTGGGACAGGGAGACGCCGCAGATATGATTTGTGTGCACATCGATGACGTGAAGTATGGTCTGCGATGACGGAATCACGTTTCCAGGCAGCGGGCGACCTGCACGGAGCAAACTACCTGCCACTGGCACAGTTGGCACTGGCTGCGCCGCCGACGGCGTCTCCAGACAACAACGCAATGCGCGCCGGCGCACCCGCTCGCATCGCGCCCTCGTCGTGACTCGCGTGCCCCAGAGAGCGGAGACTCCACTGCGCGCGACATCGAATGTCTGTGCGCGTGCTGGCAGAGCGGTGCGAAGGGGCTCAAGGCACCCGCAGGGTTCCAGGTCTCACATCGCCCACATCGACGCCGATCGCGGCAGCTACAGTCCAGCGGCGAGCCGGAAACATGGTGCGTGCTCACACCCAGTACGGCCTGCTCGTCGTCGGCGGCGGTCAACGGGCGAAATCACTCTCCTCCCGCAGCGCGATGACGAGACGCTGCGCGCTGCGTCCCGTGTTCCTCCAGCGAGTTGCGGTGCTGGGTCATCGAAACAACCGCGCTCCGCATCGTATGCCAAGGCGCCTCTGCAGTGCGTTGTGCCAGCGGCGGTGCCCGAACGGTTCGCAGGCGTGAATGGAGGGCGCTACAGCCTACCGTGAGCCCGCCTGGCGCCGGACGTAGCTTCGGGAGCGGGCTCGCCACCAGCAACGCGAGGCCAGGGGGTGCGCAGGGACAGCAACGTGTTACCGTCGCGTGTGCGCCACACGCGGCACAATGGCCCGCGCCGGCAGCGACTGCGCACCGCGCTGCGACTCGCACAATGCCGTAACCTGCCTTGCGGTTCGAATCGGCCGCACGCCCAGCGCCCGACCACCGCGGGATGCACCTCGACGCACACGTCACCAGGCGACGCACAGGCGTCAAGAGGGCATCGCCGAGGAGGCTGCCTCGCCGCGCAGCTCGTGTGGCGCGCGCGTGCGCGGCGGCGTGCGGGGGCGGCTGATGTCGAGGGCGGGGGCACCACACGCTCGCATGCAAGTGCTTGCATTCAAGAGCGGCAGAACGTGCCGCTGAGGCGGCGACACGCGCAGAATCTGGCCGAGCGTCGCGCTTGCGGTGCTCTACGGGTCGCGGCGTGGAGTCTGCGTGCGGGCCGCGCGCAGAGGTCCCGGGCCGAGCAGTGTTGGGCGTGAGTCTGGAAGGCCTGCGCTCGGGGCGCGGCACGCGGCGGAAGACACGCGGAACGGTGCGTGCGAGGGAGTTGAGACGCCGTGCGTGCGGCGTGGCGAGCGAGCGAGGCCGGGCGGGGCGCGGTGCGTCGGGGTGAGACGGTGGCAGCCTAGGGAGGCAGCAGTTGGGCACTTGGGTGCGTTTCCGAGCGAGTGGTTTTTAATAAAAACCAGTTTTGTTGTGTGAATTGGCCACCCCCGTCCCCGTGGAGGCGTCCCCGTTGTGTGAAGCGATGTGAAGTTGTGCCGTCGGGCGCTTAGGCGCGCTCACCACGGATGCGGCGGGCCAGCTGGATGTCCTTGGGCATGATGGTCACGCGCTTGGCGTGGATGGCGCACAGGTTGGTGTCCTCGAAGAGACCCACGAGGTAGGCCTCGGCGGCCTCCTGCAGCGCCAGGACGGCCGACGACTGGAAGCGCAGGTCGGTCTTGAAGTCCTGGGCGATCTCGCGCACCAGACGCTGGAACGGCAGCTTGCGGATCAGCAGCTCCGTCGACTTCTGGTACTTGCGGATCTCACGCAGAGCCACGGTACCGGGCCTGTAGCGGTGCGGCTTCTTCACGCCGCCCGTGGCCGGGGCCGACTTGCGGGCCGCCTTGGTGGCCAGCTGCTTCCTGGGGGCCTTGCCACCCGTGGACTTGCGAGCAGTCTGCTTGGTACGAGCCATCTTGTCTTTCTGTCTCGAGCGAACCGAAAGTGAGCGGCCGGGGCCGCCGGCCGGCCCCTTGAGGCCTGGGGGCGCCAGCGGGCGCGAGCGTTTCGGCGCTGGGGGTCCCCCCCGCGCCCTCCGGCGCGGGCGGGCGCGCGGCCCCACAGCGCGGCGCGGACAATTACGTCCGCGATGGTCACATCGTACCGCGCCGCCCGCCGCGCCCCAACGAGCCCCGCACGCGTCGCCCCGGGACGTCGTCACCCCACCCCGGCAGCTCGTCGCCCCGCCACCCCCCTCCCGCCCACCGCTGCCTCCCGCGCGCCTCATGGGCGCCCCGGGCGCGCCCGCAGCGACACTCTTCGGGTCTCTCAGCAAGAAACGAAAGCAAGCAACAATGTCTGGACGTGGCAAGGGCGGCAAGGGCCTCGGGAAGGGCGGCGCGAAGCGCCACAGGAAGGTCCTTCGCGACAACATCCAGGGCATCACCAAGCCCGCCATCCGCCGTCTGGCTCGCCGTGGCGGTGTCAAGCGTATCTCCGGCCTGATCTACGAGGAGACGCGCGGCGTCCTCAAGGTGTTCCTGGAGAACGTCATCCGTGACGCGGTCACCTACACCGAGCACGCCCGCCGCAAGACGGTCACGGCCCTCGACGTCGTGTACGCGCTCAAGCGCCAGGGCCGCACCCTGTACGGCTTCGGTGGCTAAGCAGCCAACCTCGGACGGCAGCCCGCTCGCCGGGCGCGCCGTCCACGCGGCCCACGCGGCCAAAACCACAACAAAACTGGTGTTATTCAACACCACTTCATCGGAACACTCGAAACGAAACGAGTTCGCCCGCCGAGTCACTCCCTTCCTGCTTCATTCACCGCGGAGCGCAGCCGCCGCGCGCCCCCGCCGCCCGTGGTGCGCCCCTTGCGTGGGCCGAACAGCTGTCGCACGACATTCGAAGCCGGGGGCGTTCGGACTCGCTCGCGGCGACTCGTTCTCGCCTAGCCCAGCGCTGATTCCAGCTGCGGCGCTGTTCGCCACGCCCGAGGCGGTCGCGTCGCGAGCGGCAATGCCACTGGCAGGCCAGCGAGTGCTGTCACCTGCGCCACCCAGAGCACTGCGCGCGCTCGTCGCGCTGCGCACGAGCTCCTCCGACGACACGCACTCGCTGCAGCGTGCGTGCCGAGCCGTGCGGGCCAACCGCCAGCACCTCACATGCCACATGTGCGCGGGTCACGACACCTCGCGCCCTCCGCTGCGACGCGCGTGCAACGAACACGGCTCAAAGCGACATGCCGCGCCTCCTGCGCGACCTGGCCACACGCACGCGCCGCACGGCCCTCGCAGCCGGACACCAAGACCCCCCCTTTGTGTGCAACTCACACCTTGACAATGAGGTTCAGGCGGTCCATGTGGAGCCGCAGGTCCTGCCCGCCGAGCGCGAGCCGCCTGCCCGGCCCGTCCTGCGCGTACTGCGCCACCGGCAGCGGCAGCCGCACGTTCCCGCACGCCTCGAGCTGCACGTTCTGCGTGAGGTTGATCTTCTTGCGCACGTCGAACGAATTCCGCACCATCGTGAAGATGCCGTCCGCGAAGTCGAGCCCCACGGTGAGCGACGGGCGCAGCGGGGCGCCCTGGTCGAAGGCCGGGAGGTAGCTGCACCGACCGTGCACGTGCACCTCCATCGCGCTTTGCGGGATCGTGAAGCCCTTGTAGTACTCCACGGTCTGCGTCACGCGGTCCAGCGTCAGCCTGCCTCCGAGCACCTGGTCCTTGACCTGCACGGCGGCCAGGGACGCGGCGTCGGGCGGGAGATATGGTTTCTTGATTGAAAACGCGCGCGAGGAGACAGGCGGGGGGGCCGCGAGCCGGGCGCGTGCGGCCCGCAGCGGCGCACGGCGGCCGGCGCCGCGCGCCACCAGTCGTGGTCCGCCGAGGCAATTCCAGAAGGGAAACGGGGTCTGAGCGCGCACGCACCGTGAGGTGGAACCTGACGTCCTGGGCGCGCAGGTCCAGGTCGACGCCGAGCGACGCCCGGATCGGCCAGATGCGCAGGCGCTTGCGCAGCTTGATGCTGTCGGGGAACCGGAACGACGACGTGAATTTCACCGGGAAATGCTGGAACTGGAATCCGTGGGGGGGTGCCGCGCCGTTGCTCGCGCGCGCCGGGGCCGTGGCCGACATCTGGCTCGGGCGGATATTCGGCCTGCGCGCAGGGCGCGAGTGCCGTCCCGTGAGGCGGCGAGACAGGGCGGCGGTTCAGTGGCTTCGGCGCACGTAGGTGTGAGTGGGTGAGGCGGGCGCGTGGAGGGGGCTCGCCTGGTGTCTACTACGGGGTCCGGGCCTGGTCTATCGTGGCCTGCGGCGCGGAGGTGCAAGGGGGCGCGCTGTGCGGTGGGGTCCGCGAGGAGGTGGGCGGGGCCGCGTCATGCGGCCGGGGTCCTCGCGCGTCCATGCGCTCGACAGTTCGGTCGCGATGGGGATCGGTGACGATCGCGGTGACGCCGCGCAGGCGGTCCCTGAGCGAGGCGGGGCCGCGCAGGGCAAACGCAGCGTAGTCGCTGGGCGCGCGGAGATTCGCTGCGGGCTGAGAGCGAGGCTTGCGCGCGCGGGATCGCACTTGGCGGCCATGTGATGCCACTACCGTTGATTTCCATGGCCTCGTGTCCCTCGGCGGCGGCCCGGGAGGGCAACAGCCTGGGCAGTGCGCAGGGGCAGCCACCGCGCCGAGATCAGCCCAGAATGCCTCCGTGAATCTCCGGGCTAGTAGACACGTGGAGACCCGATTCAGCGAATGCCTGGCTCGGCAGCAGGGGCGTCTTGACGCAGTTGCTTCGACCGAACGAGTCAGTGCGCTTTGCACGTCGCTGCCCGCGTCGCTTCTGCGCTTCCGCAACCTGAACGCGGCAGACCGATCGCGTGTGGGTGCAGTGCGCATGCGGAGGCGCGCGGCGCCGGCAACAGATGCGTACGGGACGCTTGGGGGGACCTGGAACAACCCTGACGTACGACGTCGCCGCGCAGGGTGCCCGCGGGCGTTCAGGGCGCGCAGCGCGACATGTCGCGGTAACTTGGCCTCGGACGCACGTTGGCCAGCGCAGGTCGGCGGAAGGCCCAGGACGTAGGATTCCGACCGCAGCACGCAACCGCTGCATCCTTTTCTCGCCCCGGACGCCTGACACGGAGCGCGCGGGACCGCGACGATGAGGGGGCTGCGTAACCTTGCCGGGGCCCTGCGCGGGGCCGCCAGGCCCGCCGGGCAGCAGGTTCGGAATTACGAGGTTCGGGGCGCCAATGCCAAGCTGGAGCCCTGGACCGAGCCGTGGGACCGCGCGGCGCCCGACGTGCCGTGGCCCAAGTGAGTTCCGCGACGCCCGCAACACGAGCGACCACCGGAGCGCACGGCAGCTCCGCGGGGGCCGCCCGGCAGCGCTCACGCGAGCGGACAAGCCAGGCGGCTCCTTCGACACCGTCTCCGGGCAGCACCGCGCGGTTCCTCGCGCCGCCTGCCGCGGATCGCTTGGACAAGCCAGCGACCATGCGCGAGAGCGCATCCGTGCGGGCTCGCGCGGCCCTGCCTCGCCGCGACGCGCACCTAAGCACCCAACAACTCTTCCCGCGCATCCCGCGCGCTGACGTCGCCCCGCCCCTCGTTCCCCGCCCCGACGCAGGCGGGCGTACTTCTACGGCGCCGCCCTGGCCCTGTTCTACTACAAGCTCGGGGAGCACGTCTACGAGCTGGACACGTACAGGTAGCTCCCTCCAAACGCGCCCCCCCACGGCTCCCACGCGCACGCCAGACCCCCACCGCGCGCCCCCCGCCGTACCCTCGCCCCGAGCGTGCTCCGCGCGCGGGTCCGACCGCCTCGCGGGCCACGTCGTCGCCGCCCGGGACGTGCACGCTCTTGCTCAGCAACAGCGGGGCGCTGCGGCCCCCGCAACGCCGTCCCTGCGTCCGCTCACGCGCCGCCCGACCACGCGCTCCTTCCGCAGGCCCGGCCTCGGCATCTGGACGCCCCCGGAGTGCCGCCGCCCCAAGGAGTAGACGCATGCAGCTCTGCTCGGTCTGCGGCGTCCGCTGCGGGCCGGCTGCCGCAACGGAAAGCCGCAACGGCGCCTTGGCGCGAGACTCTGCCAGCGCTGGCCGCGGCACCCGCTCGCTGCGCCCTCGTGCCAGCCAGCGTTGCAGCGCAGTGACGCCGGTTCCGCGCCGTGTGAGGCCGCAGTGTCACAATTCCCGGACGTCACCGGTGGTGCTTGTAGCCCTCGTGGGAGCCCGAGTCCATCACGGCCACCAGCGCGTCGCTACACGACTCCTGGTACTCCTTCTGTTTCCTCTGCAGCGCCTGCCGCCCCATCTCCGCCCGCTGCTTGCCCTGCTGCTTCCGCGCCTCCTTCCCAGCGGCCTCGGCCTTGTCCATCATCTTCTGCGAACGCGGCGGCGGCGGAAGGCGACGTTGGGGGCGTGGCGGGGTTGGTGGTGCGGACGAAGACGCGCTGGCTGGGGGCGAGACGGGCGGGTGCGCACCACGACGAGGAAGTCGGCGTCCTCGCCCGCGTCGGGGAGCTTGCCCTTCCCGTCGAAGAGGCACACCGCGCCCCCCGTGTTCACCAGCACGTCCAAGATCGCTTCACGGCACGCTTCGCCGGTCGGATCGTTCCTGCGGGTCACAGACACGGACAGAAGCATGCGTTTCCGCGCGTGGAATCGCGCTGTGATGCGCGCACGGTGCGGCTGCGGCGCCCGCTTGCACCGGGCGGTTGGGGTACAGGTGGTGGGGGAGCTGTGGGGGGCTGGTGGGGGGTGCGGCACCTGTACGCGTCCGCTGCGAGATGAAGGGCCGTCTTCCCGTCGTCGTCCTGCGCGTTGACGTCCGCGCCCTTGTCCAGCAGCAGTTTCGCCACCTCCGGGCTCCCACACTCCCCACACACGATCAGCGGCGTCCTTCCCTGCGCGTTGCGAGAGAACAGGAGCGATACTATGACGCGCTGCCCGGAGACAGCCGGAAAACAGTGAGAAAGAGAGCCCGGGAGCGTGCAGGGTGCAGATGGCACGTTGACCGCCGCGACGGCCTGAGACGGCATGCTGCGATGCTGCGCTCCGGCTCGACGAGGCCTGAGATACGGCTCTGTGCGGAGATATGCGAAACATGGTCAGAAGAGCGCCGTGCGTCCGCCGCAGGGCGTGGGAACTACTGCGAGGGAGTGGGCGTGCCTTTTCGCCGGTTGCATTGACATCGGCGCCCGAGGCGACAAGCTGGGCTGCTTCGTCGGCCTTGTCGAACTTAGCGCACTGGAATAAGTCGGACATGCTGGTCTCTGCAGCTCAAGCCGGCTGAGCAAGGCCCGGTCGTTTGCGCGCACTCCCAGCGCGTCGCCGTCGCAAGAACGCGGCCCCAAATGCGGCGCTTTCGATCAGCGTGTCCGCTGGGAACCCGCGTCGCACGGCCATGTCGCGCAGGCCGTGAGGCAGGCGCCAGTCCGAGCGCTTCACTCCTCGCGGGGTCGTGCACCTTGCACGCCACCGCCGTGGTCAGACTGGGACTGCAGGCGCGCCACGGCGCGCGCCCGTTGCCCGTGAGCGCCCGCAGCGCCGCGTACAACCACCAGGGCGTGTGCGTCGCGCGAACGAGAGGGATTGCGCGCGCTGTTCGATCCAGGCTCTTTCCGACGTCGATCACGGCCCGCAAGCGCCGTTTCTGCGAGTCGTTGCACCTCGCTGCGCGGTGCCTTATTTGAACAACCAATAGCGACCGTCTAGGCACCCCTTTTCGGCGTCGCGACCCCGCTACCGTGCGCCGCGGCTGCCAGCTGCTCCAGCCCTCCTCCCCACAGTCACGGCCTCTCCGTCGCATCCGATGACGCCGGCGGCCATGGCTTCCCGCCAGCCTCGTGCCGCCATCGGCGTGCGCCAGAGCCCCGCGGCGCGCCCCGGCGCGCGCGCCGCACCGACCAGGGCTCAGCTCCTCCCAGCCGCGCCGGCGCCCCTGCCACGCGGCCTCCGCAGCCACGTCGCCCGCGGACACGCTGCCCCAGGTACGCTGCTGACACGGCGCGCGCCGCGGTGCATCGCCGCGCGCCGGCCCAGCGCCCCGCTCGCGCGCGTCCTCCACAGCGAGGGTCTAGTGTCGAGCGCCGCACTTGCCTCCGTGACGTCGAAGCATGTTTGACGCGTGGTAGATGCCGACCAGGAGTGGTTCTTGCCGCCAGACGCGAGCCAGGCAGTTTCGCGCCAAATCGTCGCCGAGGCGCGGCAACTCGACCTGCGGCAGCACGCGACGTCTCTGCAGGGCGCCGGGGCGTGGCGGCGCGGGCGAAGAAGGAGCGGGGCGTCTCCACGGGGTCCAAGGAGGGCATGGAGCCCTGGCTGATCGTCGACGGCGAGCCGATCGGGCAGCAGACGTGGTACAACCGTCTGTGGTGGGACTTTGGCATCTGGTTCCAAAACCACTGGCTCCTGCAGGCAATACCCCCCCCGAGCGCCGTTCCCTGCCCCTCCCGCCTCCGCATTCACTTCCCCGTCTCGAAGCGGGCGTTTTCCTGAACTTCACGCCCTCGCCGCGCCGTTGCGAGCCGCCTCAGTGCTGCGCGGCGCTCCAGGGGGCGCCTGGCGCGACGGTCCCGCGCCCGCCCGGGCCGTTTCGTGCAGTACACGGAAGGGCTGGACGAGCTCAAGTCCTCGGACGGGAAGAACCTCTACCTCATCGCGGCGAACCACCAGTCGCACCTCGACACCCCCACGTTGTACCTCGCCCTGCGCTCCAAGGGCATCCGCAAGTTCTACGCCCTGGGCGCGCGCGACTACTTCTTCAAGAATCCCTTCAAGCGCTGGTTCGTCACCCGCTGGATGAACGTCATCCCCATTTCGCGCAAGGGCTTCTCGCAGCGCGACATTGACAACCTGCTCGCGCTCAAGGAGATCTCCACGCCGGAGTCCCCCTCCGCGGTCATCATGTTCCCCGAGGGCACGCGGTCGACCTCGGGCGAGCTCGGCCGCTTCAAGACCGGCGTCGGGTACCTCGCCGCCAAGCTCAACGTTCCCGTAGTACCTACGTACGCTCACGGGACCATCGAGGCGCTCTCGAAGACGCGGATCGTGCCGATCCGCGCGCCGATGCGCGTGCGCTTCGGCGACATGATGGCGCCGCCGAAGGACGAGGAGGAGATCCTGCGGGCGATGCAGGCGGGCAAGGGGCTGGGCGGCGGCGCGGTGGTGGGCGCGTCGGCGGTGACGGACGCGGCGGGCGCGTCGGGCGACTGGGCGAGCGACGCGGACTCGGACACGGAGAGCGACGCGGCCACGTCGGCGCGCCGCGCGGCGAGCAAGGAGTTCAAGGCGGGACTGAAGGAGTTTGCTGCGAAGCTGCGGGAGCGAGTGGCGGAGCTGGGGGAGGCGGTGCGGGCGGAGGAGGAGGCGCTGTCCGGCGGGCCGGAGGTGTGGCGGGCGGACGTGGCGCGGCACATGCCGCTGCTGCAGATCATGGGGCGCGAGGGCTGGGCGGCGTGGGTGGCGCAGCGGATCGTGCTGAACCGGCGCACGAACGGGACGACGCTGCCGGCGGTGTCGATGCCGTTCGTGGTGGTGTTCACGTCGGTGTCGTTCGCGCTGCGGCTCACGGGGGACTTTTTCCGCCTGATTGGGGGGAGTGCCAAGAAAGACCTCCCGCCCAACGCGCCCTGACGTGGCGCCCGCACACCGCGATGTGACGGAGATTCTCACACCCGCCCGTCCGCACGCCCCTCGAACCGCTACGCGTCAACTACTACCAACTGCTACATTTGTACGATTTCAACTACCAACGAACCTGCGCTGCGCAGCGAGGCGCCCCTGCCAGCAAGCGCCCCTTGCCGCGCTACACTGCGTCATGCATCACGAGTTCCGTCGCGGCCGGCCGCGCGCACACATGCCTCACCAGGACACGTCCGTCAGCGCACGCGTGCTCACGCCGGCGGCACGGGAAGACACGGTCCGGGCCGCGTGTGTCCGCGCAGGCGGTGCACGAGGGCCACGGCGCAGTACATGCACTCGCGGCTCCAGTGCTCCTCGCCGGCGAAGCACATGCGGGCATACATGCGCCCGCAGAGCGTGCACGTCCACTCCGGCACCTCGACAGGCGACATCTCCCCGAACGTCGCGCCGCACCGCGGCACGGCCCGCTTGCCGCCCCCCTGCTCGGTCGCGCGCGCGCGGGCCGCTGCCGCGGCGGCGGCGGGCTCGGCGCTTTCGAGGCTGATCTCCTCCTGCAAGCCGTCGAGCAGGCTCGAGTCCTCCACGCAGTCCTGCACGGCGCCGACCAGCCGCGGCGACAGCCACGTGCAGGACGCCTCTTTGCAGGCCCACACCCACGCCCAAGCGCTCGACACGAGGTCGAGGGCGCTCCCGGCGCCCTCGACGGCGGCGAGCGCGGCACGCTGCGTGAGCAGCACCTCGATCTTGTCCACGACCTCCCTCGGCAGCACCGTGCCGCCTTTCGCGGCCTCGATCGCGCGGTTGCTGAGCGCTTCGTCGGACACGGGGGCGCCGGGCGGAGGCGCGATGCGCGCCGCAATCGCCGCGACGGCGCGCTCGAGCGACAGAGCCACCTTGGCCGCGCCCCACGCGCGGCTGCTGCGCATCTGGAGCGCCAGGTCGGACACACTGGACGTGAGCTTCGCCCTGCTCCGCGCGCCCAAGATGCCCTCCGCTGCCGTGCCGCCGAGCAGCTCCGCGGCGCTCGCCAGGCTGCGGACGATCTGCGACGCGCACGACGCCTCGGTTGCGGAGCTACCGCCGCCCCATTCGATCACGTCGAGGTAGATCAGCAGCGCAGCCTCGTATAGCAGCTGTGCTGGGAAAGAACCCTTGCGGCAGCGAACGATGCCCTTTCCGGCGACCGCGTCGCGCTCCTCGCGGTTCCGCAGCGTCGCGTCGATCGCATCGCCGATCATCGCGGCTGCGGCCAGCTGCGGGGCGTTGGTGCCGGCGCCGTACGTGCGGAACAGGCGCACTTGGCCGTCGTGCGGCGGGCCGATGGACCCTGACGCGGGCGGCCGGCCGTCTTCGAGGTCGCAGAGACCGGCGACGACGAGCCCGCACGGCGACAGCGCCGCGGACAGCACGGGCGCGACGGGCAACGACGCTGCCGCTGCCCCGTACAGCGGCTTGGGCGGGCGGCTGACGAAGCGCAGCGTCTCCGACTCAAACTCCCACAGCTTGATCGATCCGTCCTGCGACGCCGTCACGTACGAGTCGCACCCCGCGGCGTACCCGACGAACGTCAGGGGGAGGGCGTGGCAGTCGTCTTCGTGTCGCTCCCGCTGCCACTGGGCGGGGTCGTTGACGCCGTGCACGAGCGACGCGGGCGACCACCACGGCCGGATCCACGCCGTCATCCCGCCCGTCGCGAGCCCGACCGCGACCACCAACGCGTATTTGTCCTCATCGCTGTCCTCGGGGCTGTCGGCGTCGTCGCTGCCCCTGTCCAGGAGCGTCAGGTCCGTCCAGCGCGCGCACATGCACGTGATCGCGCGGCCGATCGGTGGCTGGATCTCCGCGGCGAGCCGCAGCCCCGCCGTGCCTCCGCCGTCACGGGCGGCGTGCCACCCAGTGCCGCCGCCCTCCGCCACCGCCCACACCCGCACAGATCCGTCCGCCGCGCCGCTGAGCAGCGTGGGGGCGCCGGACATGATGCCCTCGGCCCAACAGAGGCACGTGATGGCCGCGCCGTGCGCTCGAACACCCCCCTCGACGTCAAAACACCCCGCCTCCAATTTGACCAATTGGGCGGGCTCGGAGCTCCCCATCCGGTCCGGCGCGGCGTCCGCCCTCTGCCGCACCAGCACGACGTGCCCCGACTGCATCCCGACCGCGACCAGCGTCCCGAGGACACTCCCCCCCTCCCCAGCGTCGGCGCTGGGAAGCATCAGCGTTGGAGACCACGCCACCGCGCGTGCCGTGAACGCGAAGCTCCGCGTCTCGAACTCAGCCACCGCGGCCTGCGCGTCCTCCTCGTCCCCGGCGCTCTCCTCCGACGCGCCGGCCTTGTCGGCCGCAGAAGACCCCCCCCGCCCACGCCCGCGCCCGCGCCCGCGCCCGCGCCCGCGGCCCGAAGCACCCGCCCCGCGGCCCCGCCCGCGCCCGCGCCCTCTCCCCCTCCCTCTGCCCGACCCACCCGACACAGGCGTCCGCGGAAGCTCGTCCAGGTCCGGGAGGTTGAACGAATCTAAACCCTCCGCGTCAACAACTCGCCGCGAATGCTGATTCAAGGTCTGCCGCGCTGCTCGCATCACCTCTAGCGCCGTCGTGTTGGCGCGCTCCCACACGGCCGCGTCGAACGCCGCCTCCAGCTCCGCCTGTACGCGCACTTGCATCATCAGATCCATGCCGTAAATCTTCATGAAACGACCGGACCCGCGCCCCGCGATGTACGGCGTGAGGTCCTGCGGCTCCACGGCCTGACGCAGCGCCGCCACCCGCCGGATCGCAACGTCCGTCAGCAGCGCCGTCAGCGCCGCGCCCTCCGCTTCGTCGATGTTCTCCACCGCCGGCAGGTCCTCGCGAGAGAAGCCCGGCGGCACGCTGTACTGGTACGCCAGCCGGCCGCCCGACTTGTACGGGTACTTGCAGTAGTGCGCCACCACGAGCGGGTGCTGCTCGCCGAGTCCGAACTTATTCGTCGCCTCGCTCTCCAGGTCCTTGCACACCTTGTTCCACAGTTCCCGGATGCTCGCGCCGCCGCCGGACGTGCCCCCCGCCCTCAGCTTCGCGTCCAGGGCCGCCCCGTGCTTCCAGGCCAGCTCCTGGAAGGCCCGCCGCAGCAGCGGGTGGCTCGGCGCGGTGATGCGGCCTGACAGCACAGGGTTGGGTGTCATCTCTGCGGGGGCCGCGTCGGTCCAGATGAGCTCCCCCCTGTCCCCGGCTTCGACGATCAGCGCGCCGAGACGCGCGAGGACGCACAGCCGGGCCGCCTCGCCCGCGTCGACGTCCTCGCGGAGGTCCGGGACACCCCCGGGGTCAAAAGCGTCGTCCGGCTTGGGCGGCCCGGCGCCGAACGGGTCGGTCCAGTTCCTCGGAGGCGCGTCATCCCCCAGTCCCCGCCTGGCGGACTTGCCGTGCTTGGTCTTCCGCGCCTTGGCGGCTGGCTCGTCGCCGGCGCCGGCGTCGGCGTGGCGCTTGCGGGACGCCTCCGCTCCGAGCTCCGACTCCGACTCCGACGTTGCCTGCGACGACGTCGATCGCGACGGCCCGGTGCTCGCAAAGGCGTCCGGGCTGCGTCCGTCGTCACTCGGGGTGTCCCGCTCCGTCGTAGCAGGCTCCTCCTCCGAGCCCGCGGGCGCCGGTGCCCTGGGCTGCGCGACCAGCGCGGACCTCCTGGGCTTCGCGGGCGCGGCCGCGTCCGACGCAGACCGGCGCGGGACCTTGCGCGGCGTCGGTGCCTTGGCCGGGCTACGGGCCTTCTTCGCCGGGCTGCGCGGCCTCTTTGGCTCCTCCGGCGGCTCCGGCATCGCGTCCTCCCCCTCCGCCCGCAGCCTCTCCTCCTCGTCCCTCCCCGTTTGCTTCCACCAGCCCAAGTAGTACTTCGCCCACCACCTCTCGAACGGTGGGAGCTCATCCCAGTCGCCCGCCAGCTCGTACTGCTTCTTCCCGGCCCTGCGCTGATTCCACTGGTACGCCCGCCGCACGTCGCGCACCGCCACGCGCGCAAACACGTTGGTGCCCGTGGCGCCCGCGATGCGCACGGCCACGCTCTCGCGCCCCTCGGGGCCCTCGAGCAGCATCGCATTCCACCAGCCGTCCTGGCTCAGCACGTCCGCGGGGTCCCCCGCCCGCAGGCCCGCCACGTCCCCGCGCCGCGCAATCGTCGCAGGCATCGCCGGGCGCATCTTGAAGCCCGTTGACCGGTCCTGCACCTTGTGACGCTCCAGGAACGTCACCTCCTCGCCGTCCTCGTCCTCCTTGCTCGAGCGGCGGAGTTCGTCCGCTCCGAGTCTCGCGCCAGGCCACATAGGGAACCACTCTTTCAGGTTTGGGGCGTCATCGGCTTCGGACTCCTGCAGCGCCTCGTACTCGACCAGCCCGAACGACCCTGCGCGTGCCGCGGCGCCGGCGCGGTCGTGCGGGGCCGTGACGTGCGCTGCGAGGGCGTGCGTGCAACGCCGGGGCGGCGCGTGAACGTACCTGACGGCGTCAGGCGCAGAAGGCGGGCCTCGAACCACGCGTGCTCCAAGTCGGGCTCGTCGTTGCACACCTCGACCGCCTGCCCGGGCGACAGCGAGCTTTCGGCGGCGCCGCTGCCCCCGGCGCGCCCTCCGCCGCGCAGGCGGTTTGGCGGGGAGGTGCCTGGGGGCGTCGGGGCGGCGGCGTAGGCCGGGCGCCAGTCCTCGTCGGTGAGCCACGTGTATATCGGAACCGTCAGGTCGCACGCGAGGGCGTAGTCGTTCCGCATCTCGCCGGGCGGGAGGCAGAAGGCCAGGCACCGGAGGTCTTCCGTGCACGCCGCGATCATGCAAGAGCCTGCAGGGGCGGTCTCGGGCGGGACCGAGCTCGCTGAGGCGCGGCCTCGGCGCCGATCGCGGCCGTCCGCGCGGGCCGACGCGCGAGGCCAGGCACTGCTGGGAAAAGCACGCAAGTGCGTTGGCGAGCGCGGAACGCGGGTCCAGGAGGATTACCGGTCGCTGTGGCCCCCTGTGGGGACCAGGAGAGGCAGAGGGCGGCGTTTTCGTCGCCGTTTCTCCGCAGGAGGGCGTCCATGGCCGGGCAGGCGCCGCGCGGCACCCCGGGCACGCCCACGGGGATGTGGAGCGTCGTGTTCTGCCGCGGGAGCTGGGCGTAGTATCGAGGCGGAGCGTCGAGCTTCGTCGCGTCCAGCATTTCGATCGCTCGGCCTGCGCAGCGGCGGGGGCGCGGCGCCAACGGCTCTGCACGCCACCACGAACATCGGGCGCCCGCACCGACGCGCCGGCGCGGAAATTCCGGCCCCGACCCCCCCCGCGAGGTGGCAGCGGACGCTCCTCGACACGGGGCGACCGGAAAGGTCGGGAAAGCGCCGCTCGCGCCGCGTGCGGCCGCAGCACACACAGCGCTACCAGCGTGCACGAGCGCTGGGCGCCGCACCTCCGACCGCGAGCACGTTGTGTTCCGACCATTGCAGGCTTTGCGGGTGCAGGGGGCGGCTGTACACGCGCTGAACGGCTGCCTCCTCCATGGTCGCCTCCCGCCTGCTCCAGGTGTGGTGTGATGTCCCCTTCAGCTCCGGTGGGCCATGGTGGGCGGTCTGCGTGAGTTGAAGCTGCGAGGTCGGTCCGCGACAGTGGCGAGGACGGCTCGGGCGGGGCGGCGACGGCGGCCGGGGTGATTCGGGGCTGTCAGACGAGGGGGGGCGTGAGCAGCGGTGCTGGGGCTGGAGGAGAGGGGCGCCCATCGGCTCGCTGCGGCGCTTCGGCGGTCCATATCGCGCGAGTCCGACCGCTCAACGGGCCTGTGGCCGGTGTGGAGCGTGTCCGTGCGCTGAGAGTGCGGCGAGTGCGCGTGCCGACGCAAAACGTGTGGGGTGCATTCTGCCCCGCGAAATCGTCGTGTACTTGGCACGCACACGACCGTCCTGCGTCGGACATTGTCGAGAAAGAGTATTATGGGGGCTTGCCTGGCTACGCCGACGGTGCGTGACGCTCATGCGACGCTCTCCGCGGCTACTGCGCACCCCTCAGCGAGCGCCCCGCTCACTCGCCCCGCCTCCCCGGCGCTTGTTCCGCAGGGAGACGGCGCCTTGATTCCGTCGAATGTAGCGGAGAGGATCTTGGAGGACCGCCGCTTCCTGCAGTCGGTGACGCGCATGGAGAAGCTCAGGCACGGTCCCCCGAAGCCGCCTTCCTGCTCCCGCGAAGCGCGCCATTCGCGCAGGGACCGCACAACCCCCATGCCTCCTGTGCATGCCCGCGCGGCGGGTGACGGCGCTCGTCCCGCGCCCGCGCAATCCCGATGCGAGGGTTCCAGCTCGACACGCCCGTGGCAGCGCGCTCGCCCGGTCGATCGACACGGCGCGCGCCGCACACCGGAGCTCCCGCCAACCATGCACTTCAGCGCCGCGCCGCGTCGACGCAGGTCCGGACGCAAGGCGTTCGTCGAGCAAGGCAGTGAAGCCCTCCCGCCGGGGCGCAGCTCGCGCGCCCCGGGGGACGACGACGTCTCCTCGGACCACACCTGCTCCGACGCCATCCCGAAGATCGCCCAGCTGGCCACCAAGGTGAGCATCGCGACACCCACAGCTCGCCCACCACCCTTCATCTCTCATCCTGATCACAGGCGGCAGCGCCTCCTGCGTCCCGCTTCTCGCGCCGCGCACGCCGCGCCGGCCGCAAGACCCCATCCTGACGCCCGTCCGAAGGACCTCCCGCCCCTTCGCCGCAGGTGTCGATGCCGGAGGACATGACAGCTGGCAAGGAGCAGGGCCTCGTGCTGCCGCTGTGCGAGGCCACGCTCGAGGTGCTGCACTTCAACAACGTCGTCTCACAGCAGCTGCTGGCCTTCCCGAACAAGCCCGACTCCCCGGCCAACCCTCTCGGCTGGATCGTAAACCACGCCTCACACGCCAACCTCGCGGCCCTGGCCGCGGCGCCGGCGGCCAACATCATTGCGGACGGGCTCGACGGGTTCGACGAGGACCCGGGCCACACGCTCAGGAACGCGGACGCGAACCGGACCTGCCCGGGCGACGCGGAGGCCGCTCCCGCGCACAGGCGCTGTTCGGCCGACAGCGACCTCGTGCGCCTCGCGCGGGCGCACCAGTCCGTCTCCGTGACGCTCCAGAACAAGCGCGCGCAGGAGATGGCGCGGCAGCGCTGGGCGGAGCTCCAGGCCACCCTCCCGCAGCAGTGCGGCGGGCGGCCCGGGTGTCAGGTGCCGCCGCCTCCGGTGCGGTACTCGATCCACGACCCGCAGCCGATGGCGCACACGAACACGCCGGACGAGGACGACGCCGCCGAGCGCGCGGAGGCCGAGGAGGCCCCGCGGGACGACGCATGTGTGCTGTTGTAGCGCGTCCACGAGGCGCACGTGGACGCGCGCTCCAGCCTCGGACGCCCGCGGCGGCCCGGGCCGGCGTGCGGAGGGTCACGGGGGCGCGTTGCAGCGGCCAGCACAGCGACACTCCGCGCAAGAGAACAAACAACACGCAGGGGCCTCTCCAGCTGCGCGCACGCGCAGAAGAGCGACCCCGGGACCGTGCCTCCGCCGCGAAACACGCCGCGGAGGACACGCCGCACGGGCCGCCGGGAGCCAGGAGACTCGCTCCGCGAGCCCGCGAACACCGTCATGTGTGCGGCAGGATCATGAGCGCATTCCAATGGCATGGTGCTTGCAGGGTTTTGCCTCCCCAAACCTTTCCTCTCCCCCCCCACCCCCCCTCCTCTTGCTTCCTGCCGCGGTAGCACTGTCCGCAGTCAGTGCCACGCGTGCGTGAGCCTCCAGTGCACAGAGAGCGTTGAGCACGCGCCTGTCGAGGTTTCTTTCCTCCTCGAGGGTTATTCCCCCCTTCCTTCCCCCCCCCCCTCCACTTTCTTTCTTTTTTTTGCCCCCTCGCCCGCTCCCCCCTCCCGCCCCTCAAAGCCCTTAGAGGCGTTTTTTCGAAACGTTGCTCAACGTTTCAGGCAACGACGACGGCGGCATCTGCCCCGCATGCATGACCTGACGAAGGACAAGAAAATCAAGGCAGACAACCCCCGGGGTCCCTGGCCGCGGCCTGGAACACGACACACAGGCCGTCCGCACAACTTGAGCGGCCACACACGAAGCACGATCGTGTGTGCATGAGCGCCACACCCTTTTCCGTCGCACCGGACGAACACGTAACGCCACCAGTCCTGAGCGCTGCCGTGGACTCCTGGGCGCCGCAGCGGCTCCTGCACGGCAGCGCTGAGCACTCAAGGACTGTGCGAAGACTGCGACCGTACTGCCTGCCCAATCAGACACACCCCCCATGGTCCCCTTCCTCTCCCGCAATTCCCTCGAGGTTCGAGCGAGCAATGATACTGTCTAAGGCCCTTGCAGGGACCAACTTTTTTTCCGCGGACAACTTTTTGCATTACTGGCCTCGCTACGCGTGACGGCAGCAGCACAGGCGTCGGGCGACGAACAGACAAGCCCACCGTCAGCGAGAAGCGCCCCCACCACCCTCTTCACTCCCTGCCACCCGCCATCCCCCCCCGCCCCTCGCCCGTTGCCGCTATATACACTCATACAACATGCCAGCTGCGCACTCTGCTCAACCCCTCGGCTCCCCCGCGCTCCTCGAAATCGGCCGAACGATACGGCGCCAGCGAGGCTCTTTGCACGGAGGTATGTGAGCGAGGCACAGTGTAACGCGATATAACGAGGACAGTCGCGAGAAACACCCCCCGGCGGCGTTGCACGACCCGCAGCTCCGCGCCCGGACGAACCGGGCGTGTATCGTTCGCCCTCGCCCGGACGCGCGGGGCTCGGTCCGGCCTCGCGACGCCGCCAGGGTGCGTGGAAGCGTACTGTCAGTTGCTGCGTTTTACGTCGCTGACCTACAGGCACCGCACGCCACACGTGCGCGGGTCGCCGCGGCGCACCCTCGCAGCCGCGGCGGCGCGCAATCGAGTCTAGCTGCGCTGCCGTCGTCACAGCTGCGCTCGTCCACTGGCGCACCAGGCAACGTAGAGCACTGCGCCTTCACTGCGCCTTCTTGTCCTCAGTCTTCGGCGGCTCCGAGCTCTTCTTCGGCTTGCTGCTCCCGCCCGCGTTCATCTTGCGCGCGGAGGGGATCTTCGACATAACCTGCCCGCGCAGGCTGCTAGCCTGCTTCGTCACCTTGGACAGCAGCGCGTCCGCCTCCTTCTTGTTCATCTCGTACGCCTTCGGGACCGTCATCGCGAGCACGAAGGCCGCGAGCAGCAGCGTCGTGAGCGACACGGAGGCCAGGACGCGGCTGGTGAGGTACAGCCCGGTGCCCAGGAGCGCCGTGTCCTTGGTCGAGCCGCCCGAGTACACGTGCAACGCGTACGCCTTGGCCTTGTTGATCTGCGAGAACGCGCGGGACAGGCCGTTCGCGGCGCAGGGGCTGCTGCGGCGACGCGCGGCGCATCCGAACAGCTGCGCGCGTCAGTTGCCCTCTCCGCGGCCGCGAGGCGCCGGGCGAGGGCCGCGAGGCGAGGAGGCGCGGCGCGGCAGCGGCCTTGGAGGTAGTGCGAGGGGCACAGCGCGTCGGACGGCGTCAGGGGGGTGTGCGTGCGTGGAGGGGCGCGGTTGCAACAGACCTTCACCACGAGCTTCTCCGCGACACGTTTCGCGTCGGCCTCGTCCGACGGCTCCAGAAACTTGAGCTGAATCTGATGCCTGCGGGGTACAGCGCGCGCGCGGGGATCGGTGACGCGCCGCGCCGGAAGAGGGCGCGCCCACCTGCCCCGGCACCCCTAGGGGAGGTCGCACCCGCTCGCGGCCCGCAGCGTGCGCCCCGAGCAGCGACGTTGCGGGACGCGAGGCGGGACTGCGTGACGCAGGCGCTGGCGCGGCCGGCGGGGCGGAGCGGGCGGGACGGCGGGACGCGGGCGGTGGATCTGCGGCGCTGGGGGAGGTGCCGGACTCACTTGTGCAGGACCGGCACGGCCTTCGCGTACATGTAGCAGCCGACGACGACGATGCAGAGGAGCTTGGCGAAGTACGAAGCGAACTGCTTCTCGACGAGCTTGTAGAGGACGTACGTTCCGACTCCAGCTCCGAGGCACACTCCCGACTTCTTCACGTCCTTCCACAACAAAACGTCCGCCACTGCACCGAGATGGAAATCTTTCCTCCGCAACGTGAGCACGCAAACGCGCATTCGTGCCCGCACGGCGACGCACTCGACGTGACTACGTCCTCCAGAGCGGCAGCGTGCCTCCCACGGGCCCGCACGGCCCGCACGCCGCAGCCAGACAGCCGCGCCCCATCCCTCTCGCCCCAAGGCCCACACCACCGCGCTCCACGCCCGCCACACGCGCATCGCGACGTCAGGAGGCGGCCTCAAACGCACACTGTGCTGTGCCTGGGCGCGCGCCGGCCCGGGCGCGCGCCGGCGGCGCGTTCCGCGCGCGCGGGCCGCGCGTGCTGATGCGCACCTTCCTGGCTCACGTACGGCGTGAGGTCTAGCTTCTGAGCCATCGCGCCGCGCTTCCAACGTCGGCCGTTTCCAGCTCACTCACCAAGCGGGCGTCCGCCGCGGCTGGGGGGGCTGCGTCGCTCTGAAACAGACGAAAGGGCTGCAGCGGGTCGCGAGAAGAAGGCCGTCATCGGGTCTGCGCGCTGCGGCGGGGCCCCGCGGGCCGAAGACGACCGCCTGAGGACGGTGCCGGTTGAGACGCCCCTTTGAGGGTCCGGGGTGCCGCGGGCACGATGGGGCGTGCGCGCGCGGGTCGCCGCTGTCCGGACGTTTGGCGTGATATCTAGGCGGGGCGCTCGATTCGGCCCGAACGGAGCGCCGTGCGGCTCAGGAGCGCGATAGTTGGGCGAGGTCGAGAGAGACCCGAGCGCGCCGTTGCGCATTCGGGCCGCGTAGCGGCCGCGTCTGTAGCATGCCACACTTTACGATGGGCGACTGCCGCGCGCGATCCGTCCTCGCACCGTCTCGCGCGGCCCCCGTCGCGTCCCAGGCAGCCCCAGTGCTTCGCAGCAAGCTGAGCCATCGCTGCTGCCTCCGCCGGCCCCTGCGCGGGCCCCGCCCCGCGCACGCGTCCAGCGAGGCCACAGAGTCCCGAGACGAGGACAACACGCCCACTCCGGGGCTGGTAGAGAAGCTCATGAAGCCCCTCAGGTGCGTCTGCCACAGCCACGCCAGGCCGCACATCCGCGGCGTCCTCCCTTCGAGCACGCGCTCCTGTTCTCTGCGGCTCGGCGCCGGGCGACGCAGCTCGCGAGCGCGCCGTGGGGCCGCGCACGGGCCGCGCTTGGCCACCCGGACCACTCGCGCGCCCGTGCAGCGCCGCGCTGCGCCGCGAGCAGCACGCTCCGCGAACCCGCCGCCATCCTGGCCTCCTGAATCCCCCATCAGCGCGCACGAAGCGCAATGTGCAGCGCCCTGCCGCACCGGGGCGCCTCTCCCAGCCTCGGCACCCTCTCCCCGCCCCCGGCGCGCGCCCACACGCCCCCGAAGCCGGTCCGCGCCGGCTCACCCCACACCACCCCACCCACGCGCACCGCAGCGACTTCGGTCTCGGCCGGACGACCTTTTTCGAGGGCGGCGTCGGCCTCTTTCTCGCTACAGGGGCCGCTCTCTCGGCCACCGTCATCGCCTGGGCGACGGGCGCGCGGCTCAACAGCGGCGACCGCGGCTACCAGGCCGTCTTCGAGTTCCCCCTCGCCTGCGGCATCACCGTCGGCACGCCCGTCCGCATCCGCGGCGTCCAGGTCGGCCAAGTCCTCTCCGTCAAACCGTCCCTCGAGCGCGTCGACGTGCTCGTCGAAGTCAACGACTCCCGCTCCGTCATCCCCCGGAACGCCCTCATCCAGGCCAACCAGTCCGGCCTCATCGCCGAGCCCCTCGTCGACGTCACGCCGCAACTCCCAGTGCCGCCCTACACGGCGCTCCCGACGGACCCCGCGTGCGAGGACGAGGAGGCGCTGGTGTGCCACCGCGGCCGGATACAGGGCGAGCCCGGCGTCGCGCTCGACGACCTCGTGTACATCATGACGAAGCTCGCGCGGCAGGCGGACGCGGACGGCATGGACCGGATGTATGATGCGGCTGAGTCGGCGACGGCCGCGATCGAGGAGGCGCGGCCGCTGCTGCGGCGCGCGGTGGAGCTGTCGGACGAGGTCGTGCCGCTGCTGCAGGAGCTGCGGCAGGGCACGCTGCTGTCGTCGATCGAGAGTTTGACGGCGACGGCGGCGAGCGCCGCCGCGGACATCCACGCGCTGCAGCGCGACGTGCTGACGAAGGACAACGTCGGGAGCCTCAAGGAGAGCGTGCAGACGCTGACGAAGACGCTGCAGCACATCGAGGGGATCACCGGGGACATGGCGGGGCTGACCGGCGACAGGGGGGTGCAGTCAAACTTGAAGCAGCTCATCGAGGCGCTCTCGCGGCTGATCAGCGACTGAGGGGGCGCGGCGTGCGGCGGGCGGGCCGGCGCGAGCGCGGCCGCGCGCCGGGGGGCTGCGCGGGGCGTGTGAGGCCGCTGCTCGTGGATGGCGTGGGGGGGGTGTCGCGCTGGAGAGGCGCAGGCGGGTGCGGGGTGCGCGGCGGGGCGCGGGCGGCGTGCGGGGGCGCCGGGGGGGGCTGTCTGGGCTCCTGGCGCGGCCGCGGGGGGCGGGGGAGGGGTGGCGTGCGGTGATGGTGTGTTGCGGTCGTGCTGGTTTGTGAGCGTGGGGGCGCGATGTCGCGGTCGTGGGAGCCGGACTGCTTGCGTGGGGCCGGAGGTGCTCGGCGGTTGGCGGTATCGCGGGCGCACGGCCACGAGCTCGCGTCTTCCCTGCAGGCGTGACAGCTGAGGTCCCCCCAGGGCGACGGAACAGGCCGCCGGGGCCGTCTTCGGCGCGACGGGCCGCGTGCTCGTGGAAAATTGAGTAGTTTGAAGTGCGCGCCGGTCGCGCAGAGTGCCACGCAGGCGGATAGAGCGCCTGGCGAAACGCGAGGGCGAGTCCGGCCGGAACAATGCGACGCTGAACGATATCGAACCTTGCGCGCTGTCTTGTGTGCATTTGAGTTATGAATCCGGACATTGCCAGCTCCGCGGGGCACGCCCAGGTCCGCACGCCCCCGGCGCGCCTGCTCTGCCTCTTACTGCATTCACAAGGCCGCCGAAATTTGCGCACGTCACCGGCGCGAGCCCGTTCCGGTCGCCAGAGCACGTCTCCGGTTGCCGCGAACGCACGCCGCCACCGTTTGCCGTCCAGCGCCGCGGCTGCGACCCCCGGAGCCCGCCAGAGGCTATGCCGCGCACCTTCACCACTCGCACGCGCTCCCGGCGGGCAACATCTCCCCGAACATCCGCCCACACGCCACCGAGTACACCCACCTGGCCGCCCCGGACGCGCTTTGACGCATATTCCGCGCCATGCAACGCGGCCACGCGCAACGCTGGGCTCCGCTGCCAGTCCCCGCGTTCGCCTGGCGTTCCCGGGCGGCGCACACGGCCGCTTCGAACGCCCGGCGCGAGCACTCGCGAATGCGAACGAGCCCCGCCCGCCCTCCTCGATTTGTTCCGTCTCCACTCGACGCGCAGCGCCCCCAGTGCCCCTCTGTCCACCGTGGCACGACTTTTCCCGGCGCGCGCCGACCCGCGCGCGATACTTCCCCGCGACCCCCGCAGGCGCCACCCCCGGGAGATCGACCGCCGGCAGGCGTCGAAGCCGCGCCCGAAGCCCCCGCACAGGCGCCCACCGCCCCTCCTGTTCCCTCCCCAGGCCCCTCCGCGCCCGGGGGGAGCGCGGAGCAGCCGCCATGTGCTCCGCAAGCCACCCCGCCGCCAGATCAAGCCTCTGGCGCGCCACAGGCGCCCGCTCCCGCGCCCCAGCCGGCGCTGGACGCTCCGCCGCTCGCGCTGGGAGAACCCGCGCCATCTCCGGCTGCGCCGGTGCTCGCCGCCGCGGCTGCGGCGCTGCCGCAGCCGGTGCCCGCGGGCGCAGCGGCGGCCCCGCCCGCGGCGCAGCCCGCGAGCCCGCCCCCGCCGGTGCTCGCGCCGCTGCCGGGCGGGACTCCCCCCGGGGACTTGAAGATCGCGCCGGAGCTGATCCCGACGAGCATAGCGCCGTCTGACTTGCCGAAAGGCATGGTGCTGCACCCGGCGATCGCGAGCCTCGCGCAGGCGGCGCCGCCGGCGACGCCCGGGAGCACGAGCGGCGCGGCGGGCGCGACGACGGGCGGGCCGACTACGGCCGGCGCGACGACGGGCGGCGAGGACGACGCCGACATGGAGGACGACGACAACGACGGCGACAAGACCGCGGCGGGCAAGACGTCGGCGAGCGGCGCCGCGGCCAACGCGGAGGAGGAGGGGGGGTGTGCCGTGTGCGACGGCGGCCACGACCCCGAGAAGCTGCTCATGTGCGAGCTGTGCCCGCGGTACTACCACACGTACTGCCTGGACCCGCCGCTCAAGGGCATCCCCGAGGGCAACTGGTACTGCCCGCAGTGCTACAAAGATGGTGCGACACACGGAGGCCTTCTCCACAACACCCCCCCTCCCTTCGCACAGCCTCGCCCTTCCCTGCGCTGTCCGACTCGCGCGCGCGCCGCCCTTGGACGCCCGCGACGGCTCTCAGCGACGCCGCCCCCGCGCGCCGCCCATCCCCGCCCGCCCGTGGATGCGCAACGCAGGCACGGTCGTTGCGGCGCGCGCGGTGGAGAACATGGGCCTGTCGCTGCTCGACACGGAGAAGGTCGTAGCGGAGCGCACGCGCGACGGCGTCCGCGAGTTCCACGTCAAGTTCCAGCACCGGAGCTTCCTGCACACGCTCTGGATTCCTGCGACGCTGTACGACCACTTCATCACCACGCTGATCCAGGACAACGGCGCGGAGAAGTCGATGGCGCTCGGGCTGAAGAAGCGCGTGACGTGCTGGAACCGCAAGCAGCGCGTCCGCGAGCAGCGCCGCGCGGCGATGGTGGAGCGCGGGTACGAGGAGGTGCCCAGCAGCGACGACGAGGAGGGCGAGGGCGGCGCGGTCGCGGTCGAGGAGGACGGCGTGGACCCGAGCTGGCGGATGGTGCACCGCGTGCTCGCGCGCGACCGCGACCGGTCCAGCAAGCAGATGGTCTGCCTGGTCAAGTGGCAGAACCTCGACCACGAGTCGTGCACATGGGAGTTCGAGAGCGAGATGAACAAGCTCGAGGAGGGCCCGATGCTGATCGCGCGGTACGAGGCGACGTGCCGCCCGATCACCGCGGCGGGCCCCGGCCCGCACGCCAAGGGCAAGATTCTGAAGGTCCGCAAGGGGCAGGCGCAGCAGGACATCTTCCCGCGGACGCCGGAGTACCTGGCGGGCGGGAACCTGCACGACTACCAGCTCGTCGGGCTGAACTGGCTGTTCAGCGCGTGGATCATGCGGAAGCACGTGATCCTGGCCGACGAGATGGGGTTGGGGAAGACGATCCAGACCATCGCGTATCTGCGCGCGGTGATGGAGGAGGGCACGGGGCGGCCGCACATGGTCGTCGTGCCGCTCTCGACGCTCCCGAACTGGGAGCGCGAGTTCGAGCGCTGGGCGCCGGACATGAACGTGGTGTCGCTGCGCGGCAACCAGGCCTCGCGCAAGGTGATCCAGGACTACGAGCTTTTCTGCACGCCGACGCAGGCGTCGGCCGCGGGCGTGAAGACGCGGCCGGGGAAGAAGGGGCAGGTCGACCGCATCAAGTTCCACGTCCTGCTGACGACGTACGAGATGGCGATGAAGGAGCGGCGGATGCTGGAGCCCTTTGCGTGGGAGTGCCTGGTGGTGGACGAGGGGCACCGGCTCAAGTCGAGCGAGAGCAAGCTGTTCAAGGCGCTGCACGACTTCCGCACGGAGCAGCGCACGCTGCTGACGGGCACGCCGCTGCAGAACAACCTCGAGGAACTGTGGATCCTGATGCACTTTTTGGACGCGGAAAAGTTCTCGAACAAGCAGGGCGCGGGCTGGGGCGACTCGCTGGAGGACCTGAGCCAGGAGGACCAGGTCAAGCACCTGCACCGCACGCTCGCGCCCAACATGCTGCGCCGCGTGAAGAAGGACGTGCTCCAGGAGCTGCCGCCGAAGAAGGAGCAGATCGTGCGCGTGGAGCTCTCGGCGACGCAGAAGCGCTTCTACCGGCAGATCCTGCAGAAGAACTTCCCGAGCCTCGGGCTGGTGACGGGGAACCCGCAGGACCGCGCCCCCGCGCTCAAAAACGTGCTGATCGAGCTGCGCAAGTGCTGCAACCACCCGTGGCTGTTCGAGGAGCCGCCGATGGGCGTGGACCCGAAGGCGGAGCTCAACGCCATGCTCGCGATGTCCGGGAAGCTGCAGCTCCTGCAGCAGATGTGCGAGAAGCTCAAGGACCGGGGCCACCGCGTGCTGATTTACAGCCAGTTCACGACGCTGCTGGACCTGCTCGAGCGGTGGTGCGACTACAACGGGTGGGGCTTCCAGCGCATCGACGGGTCCGTGCCGTCGGTGCAGCGGCAGGCGTGCATCGACCGCTTCAATTCGGACCCGAAGCGGTTCTTCGTGTTCCTGCTGTCGACGCGCGCGGGCGGCCTGGGGATCAACCTGGCGACGGCGGACACGGTCATCATCTACGACAGCGACTGGAACCCGCACAACGACCTGCAGGCGCAGGCGCGCGCACACCGCATGGGGCAGAAGCGCGAGGTGATGATTTATCGCCTCGTGTCGCGGAAGACGGTCGAGGAGCGCATGATGCAGCGCGCGAAGAGCAAGATGGTCCTCGAGCACCTCGTCGTGCGGCGCATGGGCAAGGACGCGATGAAGCAGAAGGAGCTCGACGACATTCTGCGCTACGGCGCGCAGGACCTGTTCGAGGAGGACGACGGCGACGCGGGGGGCGCGGGGGACGACGGCGGCGACGAGGGCGCGCACGAGGGGCCGACGAAGCCCGGGGAGACGTACGAGGAGGGCAAGATACGCCGGGAGCTGCAGCGGCTCAAGGACGGGCGCATTTACCAGTATTCGTACAACGAGGGGATGCTGGCGAAGGAGCGGCGGAGGCAGCAGGAGGAGGAGCGGAAGGCGATCGTGTGGACGGACGACGCGATCGAGCGGCTGCTGAACCGGCAGCAGGCGTGGGAGGACGCGGAGGAGGAGGAGGCGGGCGCCGACGCGGGCGGGGGGGGGGAGTATTTGGACAACTTCAAGGTGGCGGACTTCTCGCTGCAGGAGAAGGCCGGGAACGACGCGCTCGTCGTCGACGAGGCCGGGCGGCCCGCGGACGCGGCGGCTGCGGCTGCGGGCGCGGCGGACGGCGCCGCTGCCAAGGAGACCCCGCCGGCGAACTTCTGGGCGTCGCTGCTCGGCAAGTCGCTCGAGGAGCTCCAGGCGGCCGTGAGCGCGCGCGAGGCGGCCGCGGAGCTCGCGATGGAGGGCCCGCGGAACACGCGCACCAAGGTGGACTTCAAGGCCATCTTTGAGCAGCAGGAGCGCGTGGACGAGGAGGACGACCCGAGCGACGAGGAGCTGGACGAGGAGGAGCTCGCGGCGCGCGAGGCGGCGCGGAAGCGCGCGAAGAAGGGCCGCGGCGTCGGGGTTGGGACCGGCGACACGTCGGACGAGGAGTTCAAGGCGGTGATCTACAAGCCGCGGGAGCCGAAGCCGGCGCAGATCGGGCCGGACGGGCAGCCGATCAAGCGGAAGCGCGGGCGGCCGAAGCGGGAGCGCGACGCGGCGTCGGAGCGCTCGGCGGGCGCGGCGGGGCCGGACAGCAGCGGGCCGTGGGCGCACGCGATCACGCGGCACGACGGCAAGGGGTACGAGATCCTGGGCTTCAGCAAGCTCCAGCGCGAGCAGTTCCTCAAGGCGCTCACGACCTTCGGCGTCAACTACGACCCCGACGTCGGCCGCAACGTGTGGACGAGTTTCCGCACGCGGTCGTCGCTGGTGCACAAGACGGACGCGGAGCTCGACGAGTACCTCGCGCTGGTCACGGAGCACCTCGACGCGCACGCCGAGGCCGAGCGCACGGCCAAGGAGGCCGGGGAGAAGGTGCCCAAGGACTTGGTGTTTGTCGGGGACATTCCCAAGGAGGTGACTTTGGGGAAGAAGAGCGGGACGGAGATCAAGAAGGCGGTCGCGGAGTTCGTGAAGATCCGCGAGGCCGTGCGCAAGTTCGACGGGAAGCCCGCGGAGGAGATCTCGTTTGGGCCGCTCCAGCCCAAGCGGCTGCCGCAGACCACGCACTGGACGCTGGTGCACGACATCGACCTGCTGAAGGCCGTGCTGCTCCACGGGGGGTCCAACTGGAAGACGCTGCTGAGCGAGGAGTCGCGGCTGCAGGAGACGGTGCGCAGGGAGTCGAGCCTGCCCAACCCGGAGAACGCGACGGAGGAGACGATCCGGGCGTCGTCGGCGTGGGAGGCCTTCGTGGTGAAGTGGCGCAAGGAGAAGGCGGACAAGGCGGCGGCGGAGGCGGCGGAGGCGGCGGCGGCGGCGGCGGCGGCGGGCGGCGAGACGCAGCCCAACGGCGAGGGCGCCGGGGCCGCAAAGCCCGCCGCCGCCGCGGCGGCGACGCCGCCGAAGCCCGCGGGCGACGCGCCCGCTGCGGGGGACGCCGCCCCGGCGACGGAGGGCGAGAACGGCGCGCCGTCCGGTCCGACGGTTGCGCCGCTCACTGAGGAGGAGGAGAGAGAGATTATGAAGCAGGCGCTCGAGGGCATTGGGACGCACGTGCGGAACCGCGAGACGTACTTCGTGACGACGCGCTTCAAGCACCTCAAGGAGTGCCTGATGTTCGAGGAGAGAGCGGAGGGCGGCGACGGCGGGAGCGGCAGCGGCGTGGGGGCGGCCGGGGCCGCGCCTGCCCCGCGGGCGGCGGGAGGTGGCGCGGCCGGGGCCGCGCCCGTGCCCATGGGCGGTGGTGCGGGGGCGCCGGCCGCGGTGGCGGCGCCCGCGGTGCGGCCGGCGGTGGTCGCGGTGGCGGACCCAGTGGGCACGCTGACGCGGCTGGTGGCGGAGCACCAGCGGATCAGCCACGCGCTCGGGAACAAGCTGAAGGAGTTCGAGGTGCTGACGAAGGCGCTGAACGACGCGGAGGCGGCGCCGTCACAGAGGTACGGCACGCGCGCCACATGCTGCGCCGCGCTGCGATGCTCCGGAGGCTTTGGCCTGTTGCTGCGCGAAGCGATCCGCGCGAGACCGAGCTGTCGGACTGCCGTGGGTGTTGCTCACGCGCTGCGGAATACCCCCCCCCCCGCTGACGCAGGACACAAAACACCAAGGAGTCGTCGCGCGTGCACGATGCCATGCTGTCGCTCTCGGCGCAGCTCCAGGAGGTGCACAAGCAGGCCATGGCGGTCATCCAGGCCTCGCCGGACGTCGTCGCGCAGGTCGAGGGCGCGGAGAAGCTCCTCCCGGTGCCAGGGGTGCAGGGTGCTGACATGGGCGGAGGAGGAGGACAGAAGCGGCCGCGCGAGGAGGAGGCCGCGGGCGAGGGCCCCACGAAGCGACAGGAGGTGTGAGATAGTCGCGGGGCGCGGCGGAGAGGGGTTTTGGGGGGGGTGAATCAACTTTGAGCCTTAAGATGCGTGCATGTGGAATGGTGGACGGACATGGCCGTCTGGCGGCGAAACGGCGCGTCGACGTCGCGTTGCCCGATCGCTCGGGACGTCCGAGCGAGCATGTGTGAAGAAACCACCCATCGAGGTCCCGTCATTCGCTGAACTGTGAGTGTGATTTTGCTTACAAGGATGGGTCCGAAAGGGGCGGTGCTTCAAGCCTGGACGCGGGCCCGCGCGGAGGGTGCAGCCCTGTGTCCGGCGCCGCGCGGGCGGCGCCAGCGCCCCTGCGGCTGGCCGCTGTGTGTCGGACGCGCCCATGTGCAGCCAGCTCAGGTGACACGAGCTGCAGCCACGCTGGCGCTCGTTGCGGCGTGGCGCGCACAGCGCCTGGAAGTGTTGTTTGACGACTCTGGACCGTTCGAGACGATACCACGCGTGGACGCGTCGAGAAGCCGTGGTTGTGCCGCTGCACGCGTCGCTTGTTGGGGCAAGCAAGTAGTGATATGCCGCCGGTCCGATTTTGATCCATCAAGGGGTTGCGGGTGCGGCTGTCAGGCGTAGCTAGCCAGTGCCGGGCTCGGGAGCGGCGAGGGGGGCGTAGGGTGTCGACGAGAGCGGCCGCGGGCGCTGCTTTTAGGGGCTGTGGGCGAGTGCTCGCAGGGCCACGTCCTGGCCGGCCTAGCGCACGTCGCGTGACAGGTGAGCGAGACAGCTGTCGCGGACCCGACGTGGTGCGAGAGCGGGGGCGTTCGTGCTCTGGAGACGCGGCCACGGGCAGCTTTGTCCATCACAGGCACCCCTCCGCAGCGGCGCGCGTGCCGAACGAGGCGACGCGTCAACATCGACACGACGTAGATACATCACGAAACACCCACTTGCTATGCGCCCAGTCGCGATCTGAGGGCTCACGGCGCACTCGCCGCCAGCTCCCTGCCTTTCCTTCACACCCGTGTGCCCGCCGGCGTCAATGCTTCCCCCTCGAGCTCCCCGGCGCCTCCTCTCACATGCCCCTCATATACACGTCCTGACGCGACGCCTCGCCCCCTCCACCTGCGTCGCAGAAGCATCGCCGTGCCCCACCACTGCGCACAAGCCGTGCCGACCCGCCCCGGCCCGCGCGCCCCGCGCTGCGCCGCCCGGGGCCCGCCGCAGCCGCACCGCGGCCGCCACGCCGCCCGCCGCCGCCGCGCGCGGCCAACACCCCCCCCCTGAGTCAGCCGGACGACATCGCAACATGACCTCCGGAGACCGCCCGGCGCCCGTGGCCGCGAAGCTAGGCGCCGCTGCGTACTACGGCCTGTCCTCCATGCTCGTGCAGTCGGCCACGAAGGCGCTGTTCACGTCCTACGGCTTCCCGAGTCACGTGGCAATGGCGGCGGCGCAAATGGCCTTCACAGCGACGGTCATGTACCTGGTCGTGCGGCCGCCGCTGAGCCTCGAGATCGCGCGCGAGGCGCTCCCCGTGTCGGCGGTCTACACGGTGAACATCCTGTCAGGTCTGGTGGGTACGGGGGGACTCAGCGTGCCGATGTTCATCGCGCTGCGGCGCTTCACGGTCGTGGTGTCGCTCGTGCTGGAGTACTTCGTGTACAAGAAGACGCGCAGCCGGGCGTCGATGGCCGCGGTGCTGCTCATGGTCGCGGGCTCGCTGTACGCTGCGCTCACCGACCTGACCTTCGACGCGTTCGGGTACGCCGCGGTGATGGTCAACAACGTGTGCTCGAGCTCCTTCATGTTCATGGTCAAGTACAATGCCGCGTCGAAGAAACTCGGAACGAACGGTGCGGGCCTCTGCTCCTCCCCCTTGTACTCTGCGACACCCCCCCCGCGCGCCACCGCGCTACGCTTGGCCTCAAACGCGACCTCGGGTCCGCGCGGCGCCCCTCACGCGCCGTGCGCGGCCCTGTCAGACCGTCCTCTTTCACACCCCCCCGTGGTGCAGGGTTGCTGTTCTACAACAGCCTCATGGGCGGCGTGAGCATGCTGACGCTGCTCTTCCTCAACGGCGACCTGGAGCGCCTGCGCGTCTTCCCGAACTTCTCCGGCGCGCTCTTCGCCCTCACGTTCCTCTGCGCGAACGTCATGGGCCTCCTCGTCAACCACTCGCTCCTGGTGTGCACGAAAGTGAACGACCCGATCGCCACCTCGGTCGTCGGGTCGTTCAAGAACATGATCATGACCATCATCGGCGCGTTCGCGTTCGGGGATTTCGTGTACTCGGCCTACAACGTCATAGGGCTGTCGGTGTCGATGTGTGGTGCCATCTGGTATGCCACGCTCGGAGCGCTCTCGGTGCGTACGCCCGCGCCACTCTGTGCACGACCCGGTCGCTGCGTGTCGACGTGTGTGCTGCGGGCGAGTGTCGCGCGCGGCGACTCCCCCCGGGGTGTGTTTCGCATTGATGCGATGCAGAAGGCGAAGGCGGATCAGGGCAAGCGGGAGGAGGGCGGCGGAGGGCAGGAGATGGTTGCGCGGCCGCAGAGGGACGAGGAGGCCGGCGTGGGCGGCGAGCGGGACGCCCTGCTGTCAGGACGAGACACCTCGGCGGGGGGAGAGAAGCTGACGACGGGCGCGCATCGGGGGAACAAAGGCACGGGCGGCGCGTCGAGCTAGCAGCGTGTCGGCTGTCGTCTGTGTGACGACGCAAGCTGTGCCAAAGGTATCAACACCTGCCGCAGGCGCACCTGTACAGATCGAGGCACCCGACGCCGGCGTATCGACACCGAGCTCAGTGCGCGACCGGCGGCGCAGAGTGCGACCCCTGCGCCGTCGCGCAGCGCTGTTGGCACGCACAGTTCGTCGCCAGAAAGCACCAGCAGGAGGGCTTCAAACCACGTCACGTGGTTTGGATGGACCTCTGCGGAGGACCGGGCGGGCTGGACAGCGGAGGGGGCGGGACGGAGCGCCGGGTTCGTGTGCCTCCCTGCCAGCACGCTGCAGGTGCGATTGCTTGGGGCGACGGTCAGGTGGCGACGACGCGAGTGAGAGAGGGGCGCACTGACAGGGGCGAGGCGGGGAGTGTGGAGCCGACGGTGTCACACTAGGCGCTGGAGCTGTCGGGTGGAAACGGGCGGGGTGGAAACGGGCGGGGGGTTAATGGCCTGTGAGAAAAAAAGAAGCGCTGTGTTGACGTGGCTCGTGATCGCGTGCGCGAGGGCTGTTTCGTGCCGTCTCAGAAGCGCAGCGACGAGGGCTCGGTGATCGAGGAGGGGCAAGCGGGAAGGGATCGTTGCGGCGCGCAGATGCCGTGGCTGTGCGAGCCGGGAGGCTTTGAATTGCGAATAGAGGTGGGAGGTTGGGGCGGGGGCGAGGGGAAAAGCGAGGCGGGGATGTTGGGCGGAGTCTGTTCCACGGGGCGAGGAAGGGGGAGCTCATGTTCGCCACGGCAGGCCCGGGCGTGTCGCAGCAAGGCTTGCGCAGGGGGGTGTGTAGGTCCACGGCGGACGCAGAGGGGCCGTGCGTCGCAGTGGACCAGGGCAGAGGCCGGTGGCGCGGCGTATGCTGCCGACATGCTCGCTCTCATTCGGCGGAAAAAGGATCCACGACGAAACAGCCATCAAATGATTCAATAGATCTCATGTGTAGTTGCGAGGGGGGTTAATAGGCCGAGGGCTGCCTCGCTGGGGTGGGTGGTTTGAGTGCAGCGTGATCTGTCTATCGAAGATGCGCGGCGGACATCGATCGCGCACTACGCGGGGCTGGAGGCGCCGGAGCAAGGCACGCTCAACGCCACCTTCTGCACGGCCCTGTCGAGGATGTCCGTCACCTCGAGGATCAGGTCGCGGTACCGGTGAACCCGCACCAGGTCCTCCGGGTGAACCCCCTGCTCCGGCGCGTCCTGCGCGGCCACCTGGTCGACCAGCGCCAGCCACTGTTGCACATACCGCCCGAGCAGGCGCAGCTTGACGTTGAACTCCAGGACCGTGAAGTCGTCGAATATCTGGAACCCCGGAGCTACGCTGTCCTGCACCTGCACTGCCTGTTCCGTCAGCCGGCTGTAGCGCTCGGCGATGTCCAGCTGCATCTCAACCATCGCCGGCCTCCAGTGCTCGTGGCCGAGCCTGTCCTTGGGAGACAGGTCGCTCAGGGTGGTGCTGCTTATCATGTGATGTCTCCGTGTCGTTCCGTGGGAGAACACGCGGACGTTGACGCGTCAAGCGGGCGCCTGCATCGGAGGTTGGAGTCTGTGCGAAATCCGTCGGAACGGGGGCAGCGGCGGAGAATGCGCCACGGATATCGACATACCCGAGAGCAAGCTATGCGGATGATGCGCGCTAAAAGGTCGAAAGCAACAGACGCGGCGCTGCGGGAGGCAGTTGCCGCTCTTCCTGCGACTGCCGCGCAGGCCTCGTCATCAAGCCCATTGTGAGCAACCATCGTCTGATCTCGCGTTACCGCATATGAATGTTGCTGTAATTGCGCGTATGGGCGGCTCGAGCCAGGCACGACGCGTGGCCACGGTGGGTGCACCTACCTTGCGCAACCAGAGAGTCGCCGGCACCGATGTGGGCCTCTCGCGGATGTTCGACGTGACGAACACCTCCTTCATGCACGATCAGGCGTGTGCAGTGCGGCTGTCGGCCCCGGAGCGGCCCAACGACCTCGGGCCGCCACGTTGGAGGTGCACAGCTCGGAGGCCCTCTCACCACGTGAGAGTGGCGGCGACCTCGCACGCCTCCTGACGCAGGTCAAGCTCCCCTCTCTTCCCCCCGCGCTTCAGCCTCTCACTTCCCATCCCCATGCGCCCCCCAGCGGGCCGTTTTTCCGCCGCAGGGCTGCTCCGGAGCCCTGTGCGACTGCCAGCTGCGTGTCGTGCCGCCAACGCTGACGTCCACGTCGACGTTCCCCGCGAGGCGCAGTTCACGTGCCATGTGTATGCACCGAGCCGTGATGCCCCTCGTGTGCGTGTGAGTGACGGTTCGAAGCCCCGGAGCGGCTCTCATGTTGCGTGTACTGCCAGGCCCGTGTTCGCAGGTGCGACCGCGAGTTCGCCGAGGCTTCGCGCTGCAGACACGCCCGGCACTGTCAGTGCGAGTAGGCACGCCGGGCCCCCAACTGGCTCGTCCCCCGGCGTGTCGCCCGTTGGCTGCCACGTGGTGCAAGTTGCAGCTGTCACCAAACCGCCTAGCGCAGGGGCTTCGCAGGACGGACACTCGCGCCGCGCCGTCCCGCAGCAAGGCGTGAGATCGCGTCACACGTATCTACATTCGCGGCTTTGATTGAAGCCGCGCTGGTCTGTCTGTGATGTCCCGCGTGACGGACCGCTGTGCGTGGGCGGCATGTCGCATCGTCCGCCCGCGGCGGCCGGCGGTGAGCGCGGGTGTGGTTGGAATGTTGGAGGCAGGAAATGCGACGTGGAAAATCCAACTCTAGCCTGGCGGAGCCGCTCCATGTTGCGGGAGGGCGTCTCGCGGTCGCGCGTCAGCGACTCGAAGTGCGCGGAAGTCGTCGAGGGCTCGAAAATTGTGGCGGGAGTGACGGGCGGCGATATGTGGGAAGATCTGGAGGGGGCGGTCGGGAGGGAAGGGGGGAGTTTTCGCTGTGCGCACAGCGCGTGGTACCACTACCACATGAGGGCAAACAGCCTCCTGCCAACGTGTCCGTACTGCGGTTCGAAGGCGCCGGTGTGGGCCTGGAGACCGGAGCGGTCTTTGGAGACGCTGGTGACAGCGTGAGGACCCGTGGGATGAGGATCGCGTGTGATTTCATGTCCAATGGCGCACAGGAGGGGGGGATGAAAAGGGGGGGAGTCGGGGAGCAGGAATGCCGCCGGAGCAACCGTGGGGCCGTGCCCGAGAGGAAGCCCGGGGGCCGTCCGTCACGCGCCGTGCAGGCCGAAGCAGGACGACCAGAACCCAACCTTGGCCTTTGGTGAGCTGCTCGCCTCGCGGCCGAGGCGCGCCACCGACGCCGGCTTCGCGACCCGCATCGACGTCTGCTTCGCGAGGAACTGCCGGTGGTCCGACAGCATGCTCCGCATCGAGCTCACCTCGCTCACGCGCGGGTGGGTGCCCGCGGGGCCCGCCTCCTCCGGGAGCGGCGGGGGGCGCAGGACGAAGCGCGCCTGGAGCCGCTCGAGCTTCTTCGCGCCGAACGCGCGGATCCGCGGCTGCGCGCCGAGCGCGGCGTGCTCGTCGAGCCTCCGTTGCAGATCGAACCAGCTCTCATAGTCGCCGTGCAGGACACGATTCGCGACGACCGCCTCGGCGACGTTGAGCCGGCCGTGCAGGTCCGCGAGCGCGGTCTTGATTTCGTGCACCGTGGCGACGTTCACGTCCGGCGGCGGCGGCGTCCCGGGGCGGTAGAGGATGAAGCGGCGTTGGAGCGCGAGGATCCGCGCCTCGTCGAGGACGCCGCACTTGCGGACGTGGGCCCAGGACTTGAAGGGGCCCCGCTTGCGCGCGGCCGCGAGCGCCACGGAGCTGCACTTGCTCACGACGCCGTGCACGTGGAAGTCGCGCGCGCTCCGCAGCTCGTTGAAGTTCGTCTTGTCCCGCCCGCCCTGGAACGACGTCTTCGGCGTGTCCACCGTGCTCGCGGACTGCAGGTACTCGGTGCAGCTCGAGTCCGTGCGGGCGCGCACGCGCGCCCCCATGTCACCCGCGGACGACCAAAGGCTGCCCGCCATCACCGCCTCTGCGCGCCACAGACACCGCACGCGCGCGATGAGGCGGATCCAAGAGCTCTCTCGAGCTACTGCGGCTGGGAAGGGATACACCAGGCACGGAGCGATCGGAAGACGCAGCGCGTGGCCGCCTAGGTGCCCTGTGTGCATGCAGGTGCCCGGGCGCCGCCGCCCCTGGGCCGGAACGGGATTTCCGCCCGCGGATCGATCGACGGAGGACAGTATGTGTCTTCGTGAGGGACACACGGCGCCCCGTTGCCGCGACGCGGATAGATCCTAGGCGCGGCGGTGGCCCCAGAAAGTATCTCGCGGCAGTGCCGAGGCAGCACGCCGGGCGCGGGGCCGAAGCACGCGCGCGGGGGCGGTCAGGAGCTGGGAAGCGCGGAAAGTGGCGCTGCTGGGCGGGCAGCCGCGTCCTGGCGCGCCGATCGCCGCCAGAGAGCACAGCACATCTGCCGCCGCACCGCGCCGGAAGCCGGTCGGCGCGACACGTGCGCTGCGGCATCCGCCCGGCCTAAGCTTGGCGATGTCGAGGGCGCCCGCGTCGGCGCGGTGCGCGGCGCCGGCGCAACACGTGGCGACACGCCCATACCCGCCCAGCACGGGAATCGCGCACCTGTCGACTCGCGGCCATGAGCCGGCATGCGGGCAGGTTGACCATCAACAGACGGGTGCGCAGGTCCAGGTCGCGCGGAATCGCGAGCCCAGGCGTCGCGTGCGGCCTGGGGACGGAGCGACCCTCTCACGCCTGGCTGCCTCACGCCTCCGTTGCCGCGGCCAGCAGTGTCTCGCAATCAGCTCTTCTTTGCGCGCAAGCTCGCCTTCGCTTCAGAACTACGCCGGACTCGTCACACGCACAGGCCTAGAGCGCCGCGCGGACCCGACGCTGGCAGTCCTCCTGTCGCACGCTCCGCACGTTTCGCCTCAGAGCCCCTCACCGCGCGTCTCCTGCCCCTCCCGCCGCCTCTCAATCACCACACACTCGTCCAACACAATGCGCCGCAGCGCGCAGCGCGGCAACGCGGCACACCAGCCCACGCGCCCCACGTGGCGCGCCCCAGCCATGCATTAGCTGCTGGCACCACACACGTCGTCGATCGTCCCGCACGGGGCTCACAGCCCGACACGGCCCCCTACCGCGCCCGCCGCGCCACGCACGCGCCCTACGCGCCGCGGCGCGAGCGCAGCATGACCTGCCCGCGCGGGACGTCGCTGACCATCTGCGCGGCATCCCGCGCGTCGCGCGTGTCGATCCCGCGCCGCTCGTCACGGCCTCCATCGCCCAGGTGCACGCGGCCGTGGACCCGCGCGGCCGCGCCCTGGAGCGCCCCCCCCGTCCGCGAACACCGCGGCGCTCGTCAGCAGTGGGACAGGGGACAGCGTCGCCGGTCACGGGGGGGGGTGTTGGGTTGCCGGCCGAGGGGCGGGGCGGGCTGGCTCGGACGGCTGCCTAGATGTCGCCCTCTGCGATCTCGCCGCCGAAGAGGTTGGCGTTGTGGACCCTGACGCAGTTGCCGAGGTAGTCCCAGGGGGTCATGGAGGAGTTTTGCAGGACCGACTTGAGGTTCATCGGGACGCCGACCTGCTGCTCGAGCATCTGCTCGAGCATCCTGTCGAACTTCTTCTTGTCTGCGCGACCGGGGGTGGACGGCGCGCCGGGGGTGTGATGCGTCCGCGCGGGGGCCTTCTGCGCTCCCGGCGCATGCACGGCGCGCGCGCCAGGCACTTGACCCGGCGGCGTGACAGACGCACACGATCCAGAGCGAGCCCACACCCAAATATCGCACGCAGATCGAGCAAACACGATTGAAAAATGCACACACGAAACACAGCATGCGCCAACCGCGTCCCCACGCGGCGGACGACGCGGCGCCGCAGGGAGCGCGCAGGGCGTACCTGTGCGCTTCGGGAACCGCTCGTCGCGGACCTTGAGCAGCTCGAGAAACGTGTCGATGTCCAGCCCCGTCTGCATGCGCTCCACGAAGTCGTCTCGCTCGTTCGCGGGCAGGATGCGCGCGCGCTTGACGATGCGGTTCGCCGCCCACTGCACGGCCATGAAGTTCTCCTTCACCGAGTGCCCCCCGCGCGACCACGGGAACACGTGATCGACGTCGAACTTGCACAGCGAGTTGTTGTCCGCGTACCGGCTCACCACGTTGCCGAACGGGTCGCACCGGAAGCGCTTCCGCCACTGCGCACGCACACGCACACGCACCGACGCCCCTCAGCGATCCCAGGTGCAAAGCATGCCGCAGCGTGCACATGCCTTGTCCTCCCCGCTGCGGCTCGCGCGGCGCCCGAGATCGCGGCGCGCAGGCGCATAGAGCACGTGAGGTCGGGGCGTGTGAGGTTGCTTGCCTGCGGTGGGATCCGGTCGTTCACTTCCAGGCGCAGGAGCTCGCGCCAACAGAAGTCGATGTTGTCGTCGTCGGACGTCGCCTTCGTGCGGTCCGCGACCGTCTCCTTGTGGTGCGGCTTCAGCATCGGGTACTGCGCCTCCCACCGCCGCCGCATCGCCTCCGCCTCTTCCGCGGTCACCGCGCGCCCGCCGATCTCGTACCCCGCGCCCACGCGCTCCAAGTACTCGAACTTGTGCTCGCCGTCGGCGTCCGCGAACTCAGGCGGGAACGGCTTCCCGCGGCCTGCAAAGAAGCGGCACTCGGGCGCCGTGGCAGCTCAGCGTGCACGCAGCACCAACGCGAGGGGTGCTGGTGCCTCGCGTGCGAGGCGGTGAGTGGAGCGCAGCAGGCCGGCGACGTCGCGACTTGCGCGCTGTGTCGGCACCTTCGTCGGTCTCCCACCACGGCACGAACTCCCCCCCTGACGTCGCCTTCAGGTCTGACACCGCGGTCTCGTCCTCGTCGCTCTCCGACGCCCCCTGCACCACCTCGGTCGTCGCCACCGCGCCGCCGTTGCCCGCGCTCGCGGCCGCCGCCACCGGCTCCGTCGCCGCCGAGAGCGTCGGCAGGACGTCCTGGAGCACCGCTGCAGGCGCGGGCGCACCAGGGGTGCGGATGACGAACCCGCGCTGCTCGAGCGCCGCGCGCCGCGCCGGCCCGAACCGGTGCCCGCGCGCCCGCATCCGCTCCGCCACGTCATCCCAGTCCCTGAACCCCCCCCCCGCGTTGCGCTCCGCCACCATCGCAGTTGCGTACTTCATCGACACGCCGCTCACCGACGCAATCGCCTCCGCGTCGCAGCGATTCAAGTTGACCTCGCCGCCGCCGGGGAGCTCCCCGCCGGACTCCGACTCCGCCCCCCCCGGGGCACCTGACTCAGACCCCCCCCCGCCCTCGTTCGCGAGCGCGGCTTGGATCGCGCGGCCGAGGAGGCCCACGGAGCCGGCGAGGACCTTCTGGAAGAACCCGCCGAGGCCGCGGCGACGCCGGGGCGCCGCAAGGAGGCCCTGGGCCTCGAGCTGTTTGATCTGCGCGCGGGTGCGCCTGGCGATCTCGCGGGCGATCTGGTCGGCCGTGGCGCCGGCGCCGCGCATGCGCTGGGCCTCGGCGACGACGGCGCCGGCCAGGGCTGCGGTCGTGGGCGGCGGGAGGGCGGTGTGAGGTGCCGCTGGGCGTGCTGCGGGCGCGGCGCGCAGTGCGGGGTGGCGTGGATCGAGGCGTGGCACGGAGAAGATAGCTCGAGGCGATGAGAGGCGGGCGTGGCGGTGAGAGGCGGATGTGCGGGCCGGTTTCGGGGGTTCTGCGGGCGAGAAGCATGACGGACAACCCCTCGCGCGTTTCGCCGCGCAGCGGCGGGGAAAGTCGACGCAGGACCGACCTGGATCGAGGCCCATCTCCACGAGATCCTCCACGTCCACCGCCTCGAGCATTTCCTGCTCGAACGCCGCCCCCTGCTGCTCCCGCGCCTCGGGCGCAGGCTGGCGCTTGTTGATCGTCCCGCCGCTCTTATTCAGCCGCCTGCGCTCCGGCTTGGCCGCCGCCGGCTTACTCCCATCTTCAGCTTGCTCGGGCAGCTGGAACCCCGCCTCTTTCAGGCGCGTGATCACGGAGGGACCGATCCCCTTGACACGCGCATCCAGGTCGCCCCAGCTCGCGTACGGCTGCGAGGCGACGATGCGCTCCGCGAGCTTCTCCCCCACGCGGTCCACGGGGAGGAGGTCCGCTACGGTGCACGTATTGAGGTCGGTCATGGCGCTGCGACGGCTCGCGGCACCTAGGAGTGCTGGTTGGGCCAGGGACGCAGGTAGGCCGAACGGCGCGGCCGAGGTTCGCGCAGGAGGCCGGGGAGGACTCGTGCAGGACTGTGATCGCGTCCGCGTCGAGGTTGCGGCCTTGTCGCGCCGCGGGCGGACTAGGGGGGTGTGGGAAGCTTGAGAGGGGTCTGTCGAGCCATCGGTCTTCTGGAGTGGTTGTGGGGGCCGGGGGTGTGAACGGGGCCTTGGGCAGGTGGGCGGGGCCGGTTCGAGTGTCGGAGCGGCGCGGTATCCGCGACGCTGGGATGATGTGTGAACATGCAGGGCAGGGGCTGTGTCTACGCGATGGGCGGGGGCGGCGCGCCGTTGCGCGCCGTTGCGGGGCGCAGCGCGTGCGGGGAACACCGAGCGAGGTCCGGAGGTCCTGGAAACTCCCGGGCTCGCATGACAAGGAACTGATTACATTCTCTTGCGTGCCGAAGCCACGTGTGCTGACGGTGGTGGAGGCTGGCTTGTTGCGCCTGTGACTCTCGGTGCGGTTCTCGTCGTTCCTGGATCAAACACACGTGGCGGTGCTCGACGACGTGAAGACGCGGGCGGCGGGCAGCGAATCTCCCAAAGCTCCCCGGGCGCGCAATTTGGGGCGCAAATCCCTCGAACGCTATCGCCTTCCTCGTCTGGTGTGCATATTGTCGATGTATCTCCGGCGTATCCGCACGCCAGGCCCTGCATTCGCCGCCTCGGCTGCATGCAGGCTCCGGGGCTCCGGCAGCGCCCGCGGGCCCTCGATGCCCCGCAACCCAATCTAGTCACACGCATCATCATTCAACATGGTTAGCCGCCGCTCCACGCGGCGGCTCGCCCTTTCGCGCCCCCGCGGCTCGCATCGGGCCGTTCGTGACGTGGCTGCAGCTGGAGGGGTCCCGCGCGCGCCCCTCCTGGCTCCGCCCGCTGCCCATTGCCCCGCCGCCGCCCCCGCAGCGCCAGTCCCTCTCCCACAGCTCCCCCTCAACCCCTCGCCACCCTCCCAACGCGTCGAGAACGCCCGCGAGAGGCACTCGTTGTTGCGCCAGCCCCAAGGAGCTCCCCCCTCCGCCGCAGCCCCCCCTGCGGCCAACAACGCCCCAGCCCGGGCCGAGCACCTCCACGCGCACCTCTGGCCCAGCCTCCGCGGACACCCGCCCCCGCACCTCGACAGCGAGGCCATGCACGCCCACGGCGCACTGTGCCAGCGGAGTCGCGGGCCGGTGTGCACGGCCACCGCACGGATACCACGGCCCCCGGGCCGCGCCGCCGCGCCGATGCAGCGCGGCGTGCGCGCGCGCGTCGCGCTGCGGCCCTCGGAGCAGCTCCCTACGCCCGACGTGATGGAGACGGTGCTCCCGGACAGCGGGGGCGCCGAGAAGGTGGCGAACGCCGTGAGGGAGCTCGCGCCGAAGAAGGGCGGCTCGGGGCCGTCGAAAGTGCGGTTCTGGGCCGCGTGGATGAAGCCCTGGGCGCTCCTGTATCCCGACCTCCCGCCTACCCTGCTCCCGTGGATGGTGGTGGCGCAGTGCTACCTCCTGCGCGCGCGCACGCTGCGCGCCGACTACTACCAGGGCGGCGAAACGAAGGCAATCGTGGGGAAGATGATGCAGGTGCGGCCCGCGGGCCCTCGTGTGCGGGCCCCGAGCGCACCTGTTGCTGGGCCGGGGGTCGCGTGCGCCGGTGCGGCGTCGCGGGGCGGCCTCCGCGGGCGTGCGTGGCCGCGGCGGCTCGGCTGCGGGGCAGATGGGCTCTGTGTCGTCGCGGACCGTGGTTTCGCCGCGGCCGCGGGGCGCGCCAGGCGCGATAGGGCAACGGCTGCCGAGGGCAGCCCTGCGCGCGCCGCGGGGCGAACGCTGGCAGCGGCGCGCGCAGAGCGTGGTGTTTTGGCTCAGAGATGGCGCGTGTGCGCGTTGCGTGACGTGCAGGGCGCCGTGGGCTTCGCGGCAGCGGACACAATCGCAACTCTGCTAGCCGGGGGGGCCGAGGACGCAGGAACGCTCGTGTACCGCGTCACCGCGACCGCGGTGTACGGCAGCGTCGTGGCGGGCCTCGCCGGGCACCACTGGAACAACTGGCTCGACAGGTGCGGACCGCTGCGGCCCCAGGCTGCCCTCGACGGTTGGCGGCCGTCGCCAGCCTGAAACCGGCGGGCCGCGTGCGCTCGCCGCAGCCGCATTCGTCCTCGAAACGCCCTCGCCGCGCGCACAGGCGCAAGCTGCGCGGGGCCCGCCATCGCCGCCGCCGCGCCATGCGCGCCCGCGGCCGGAAACGCCACCTCGATGTTGAAGTCTCCTGGCACCATGACTGCACTGCAGCTAGGCCGCGTCCGTCGCACCCGCGGCCGCGTCCCGCGCACCTCTCACCCGCGCGCGTTCCCACCGCGCCGCGCCCCCCGCAGGAACGTGTTCCCGCTCGAGCCCAAGTCGAACCGCGCTGTGGGCGCGAAGATTGCCCTGGACCAACTAACGTGGTCTCCCTTCTGGACGGCGGTCTTCCTGACCTTCCTGCGCATCCTCGGCGGCGCGGACGTGCAGTCCGCGTGGGCCTCGATCCAGTCCGCGTGGCTGCCGACCATGCTCATGTCGTACCGCGTCTGGCCGGCCGCCCAGCTCATCTGCTTCAAGTGGGTGCCTAACGGGCAGCGCGTGCTCTTCAACCAAGTCGTCTCGCTCCTCTGGGTCGTCTACGTGTCCTCCACGGTCACGACCGCCACCGCGAACGCGCCCCCGGCCCCGGAGGTCGCCGAGGGCGCCCCGCAGGAGGTCAACATCGAGGACCTGGGCGTGACGGGCGCGTATCCGTCGCCCATGAGCGACGCCGTCCTCGAGGGCCTGAACAGCGCGCTCGCGGACGCGCTCGCGACGACGATCGGCGAGGCGGTCGCGGAGGGCGCGCACGACGTCGAGGACGCCGTCAGCATCGCGGTGGGCGCGCTGTCGTCCGTGTCCGACCTGCACCTGCCGTGGGAGGAGGACCCGGACAACACCGTGGACTACGCCGGCACGACGGCGGCGTTCGCGGCCGTGATCGGGGAGGCCACCCCCGAGGAGGCGCTCGCGGCGGACGAGGCGGCGGCGCGCGCGGCGCGGATGAATGCGCTGTGCGGCGGGTGGCTCGTGCAGGCGCCGGACGCGGAGATCGAGGGGATCTCGTACAACGACGACTGAGTTGGGCGAACCTCGGAGCCCAGGTTGCGCTGTGCCGCAAGTGCACGTGCGCGGTGGGGCGCCGGGGAGGAGGACGCGATGCGTTTATTTTGTAGGAAAACGAAAGAAAAAAAACCGCTGCAGGAACAGACTCTGAAGACTGTCCATAGCTCGCACTGCGGCGAGCAAGACTCGCCAGTGTTCATAGACTCTTGAAACCGAGTGTTCGGAAACGAGGGGAGCGCCAGAAGCTCCGCTGTGAAATCCGTCGCGAAGGTTCGCGTCCGTCCGTCTTGTTGGCACGCCGGCCGTCTCGCGCAGGTGCGAGCGCCAGCTCAGTTTCTTCGAGCACCTCCCCTGACTCGCCGCGCCGGCCGTGGGCGCGCAAGTGCGGCGCGACGACGCCTGGGAGGACATTCAGATTTTTTCCCGCCGTGTGAACGAGGAACCTGCCCCGGACAACGCTCAAGGGGGGCATCAGCTGAGCACTCAACAAGTCTCATCGACCCGCCGATCGGACGCACGCGTCGCGCGTGCGCGACACTGGAAGCGGTCGGCGACTTCACGAACTCACCCACCCACGGCCCGGACACGCGTCCCACGTCGCCTGCCCGCCGTGGACACAGCTCTCGTGACACCCCTGGAAGCACGCGCGATCGCCGCAGGTAACCGACCCACTCAGCACGCCTACGCCCTCGTCAAATTTCAAATATCGTCTCCCGCTGTCAACGAGGCGGTGCACGGCGCCTGACGCACCGCACGCCGCGGCAACAGCATTATGTGGACCTCCCATGACGCGCCCCCGCGCGCGCGCGCACTCCCGCGCCCCCAATTCCCTCCCCACGGCTCCCCGGTACAGATTCCGGGAAGACTCGCGCCTTTCGAGGTTGCAAGATGCGGGCCCCTGGACGCGAGAGCCGCTGTGCCGCCTGCATGGTCGTGGCGTGTCTCCTGCTCGGCCTGGCGCTCGTTCCCGCCGCGGCGTTCGACTGCAGCTCCGCTGTGCGCGCGTGCAAGGCGCGCGGGAGCTTCTCGTTCGGCTGCGAGCAGTGCTGCTTTCAGACGACGCAGGCGTGCATGGCCGCGTGCGCCGACAACGACTTCACGGGCAGCGGGGACTGCGGGTGCCGCACATGCAAGGCCCGCTGCATCGACGGCTGCTTCTCCTGACGCACCACACCACACTGGACACAACCACCACACCACCTGCCGCGTCGCGTCACAGCGCCCCTCCGACCGCAGCCCGGCACGGACGGGCCCGCACGACCACGATGCTGTGAGCCGAATGCCAGGACCGCCCGGCCTGCCGTGGACGCGGCCCGGCACGAACACGCAGCGCGGTGACTCGCCACAGTCTCCTGTCGTCGCCAGCAGCTCACAGCGGCCCGCACGCGGCCCGTTTAGACGACGGGCATGGTGCGCGACACGGTGTAGACGCGGATCGCGCCGTCGGTGTACCCGGCGTACAGCGTCGCGCCGTCGATCGACCACTGCAGGCAGGTGCAGTAGTGCTGCTGGGCCTTCTTCCCCACGGGCGGCATCTCCGGGCGAACCTCGTCGACGATCGACTTGGTCTCGAGGTCCCAGATCTTGATGCACGACTGCGTGGCCGCGCACAGCCAGTAGCGGTTCGGCGAGAACGTGAGGGCGTAAATGATGTCGCCCGCGTCCAGCGAGTAGAGGCGCTTGCCCTCCGTGAGGTCCCAGAGCATCGCGACGCCGTCCTTGCCGCCCGAGGCGCACAGGGAGCCGTCGGGGGACACCGTGACGGTGTTCAGGTAGCCCGTGTGCCCGACCAGGTTGAACTTGAGCTTGCAGCTCTGGAGGTCCCAGACCTGCGGAGGCGGGGGGAAAGAGGGGCGGCGGCGCGTGGGAATGCGCTGGAAAAAAGTGGAAATGGTGGAACGGGGGTGTTTTGGGGGGGAGGGAGGCGGCGCGGGGCGTGGGGGCCCTCGGGAGGTTGCTTGGTGTCAACAGGGTGGTGTCTGCAGAGTCACCCGCAGTTTCAGTTCTCAAAGATTTCAAAAGACCTTCACCGGGCAAAACCAGCTCGCGCCGGCGCGCCGCTCCACGCGCCCGCGCGATCGAGCACACGCACAAGCAGCTCTCTCTCGCGCACGCCAACACGCGCGCGCAGCGACCCTCGGGAGCCCCGCGACCGCGTCGACGACCGCGGCGCCACGCAGCGCGCACGGCGCGCGGGGACGCCCGCGCTGCCGGCCGCTGACGCCGAAAACGTGCAACGCGCAGCAGGACGGGCGGCGCGGAGCAGGCCAGCGGGCACGTCGCGCCGCGGCGCAGCGGGCGGCGGTCCGTGCGTGTCTCTGTCTCACCTTGACGAGCTTGTCCCAGCCGGCCGACACGATCGTGGGGCTCGAGGGCACCGGCGAGAAGCGCACGCACGAGACCCAGTCCGTGTGGCCCTCGGGCTTGTCGATGGTGTACTTGCACTCGCCGAGGGTGTTCCACAGGCGGATGGTGCGGTCGCGCGACGCCGAAACGATCTGCGGGGGCGCGGGGGCGGGCGGGGCGGTTGGCGGGGTGCGGCGCTGCCGGTGGCGGCGTCGTGGGCGCGCGGGGCGCCGCTGCGGGTAGATGGCCTCGGATAAGAGGGACAGAACGTTGTCTTCAGAGAAAGTCAGTACAGATCTTGGTGTTTTAATTCTAGGACTCGTCATTGGCCGCAGCGGGTGCGCGCCGCGCAGTGGGTGCTCCAGGCGGGCCGCGGAGTCCCCGGGAACAGCGCGCTTAGGAAGCATGACGCACCTGGCGGTTGTCAACCGAGAACGCGACGGACAGGACGTCCTTTGAGTGCCCGATGAAGCGGCGCGTGGTGGCCCCCGTGTTGAGGTCCCACAGGCGCATGGTGCCGTCCCAGGCGCCGGTCAGGCAGAACTGGCCGTCCGAGGAGATCACGACGTCCTGCAGCGTCCGAGCGGGGCCGCGGGGCGCTGTGGGCGGCGCGGAGGTGCCGCGCAGGCAGCAGGGAGGGCTGGCGACGCGAGCGGGCGGCGAGCGGGCGGCTGAGGGGCGCCGGGGCGGGCACGTACCTCGACGTAGTGGGAGTGGCCCTGGAGAGAGCGGCGGGGGAAACCATAGTTGGTCTCCTCGCGGGTGAGTTCCCAGACAATCACTGTCTTGTCGCTGCGGGGCGGCGGGGGGGCGCGAGCGGCGCGGCGGTGGGCGGGGAGGGATGGCGCGGACGGGACGGGTGTCTGGGCGATAGCGGAGCGGCCGGACGGGCCGCGGGGGCGACGGTGGCGCGCGAGGCGGGCGGGAGCTGGTTGTGCGGGTCCTCTGCGCGAGGCGTGGGCTTCGCGGCGTCTCGTCGCGGACGGCGCGAGAGGGTGGATGATTCGGTTGCGTACGGCGCCGGCGCGGGCGCAGGCCGCGGCCGCAGCGAGTTGGGGGCAGCGCCGCAGCCGGCCGAGCGGGGCTCCGGGGGGCGCCGCTGCGGCGCTGCGGCGCCCGCGGCGCGCGGACGGGTTCGTTCGAAAAGCTCACCGCGAAGACGACAGGATGGTGTCCGAGTTGCGGTCGATGGGCGTCGCAATCGACGTCACCCAGCCAGTGTGGGCCTTCAGGGTCCCGCGGAGCGCCAGCGTCTCAGCCATGATGCCTGGTTCGATGCCTAACTGTTGTACGAAAGAGGGCGACCACCCGGCGCGCGCGGCGGCCTTGGCGCGCGCGCAGGGAGGCGGTAGGAGCTGCAAGAGTGCACTTTTGAGGACCCTCTCAGGAGACGCACGCGCGCGCGCGACCATTTGTTCCCGGATGCTCGCGTCCCTCGCGACTCGCGTCGACACCCATCGTGAGATGCTGCATCCTCTAGGTGCCTCATTTACATAGCGTGGTTCGGCGCATTCCTCGCATCAGTGCCGCGCAACCTCACCACCGCCTGCCCGCCGCGGCCCGCGGTCTCAGGCCATGCTCTGCGCGGCCGCGGTCCGCAGCACCCTGAGCAGCTACGTCGCCGCGCGGCAGGCGTCTCGTCACGCTCTCAGCGCCGCACACCCCCGCTGCCAGCACTGGCATCAACACCCGCGGCGCCAGCACGGCACCGCGACCCCCGCAATGTCCACCGAGCACGTCCAGCACGAGGCGAGGCTGCCGGCGGGCGTCGCGGAGCAGGTCGGCGCCATTCACGCCTCCGGAAAGAAGCTGTGCCTGTTCGTCACTGGCGGGGCCGCGCAGGCGATTTCGTGGCTGCTGTGTGTTCCGGGGGCGTCGAGCACGATCGTGGACGCACAGGTGCCCTACAGCCACGACGCCCTCGTCAAGGTCCTCGGGACGGAGCCGACAGACGGCTTCTCGAGCCGCGCGACCGCATCGGCTATGGCCCGGGCAGCGTACCTGCGCGCGGTGCGCCTTTCGCAGCCTGGGGACGCTCCGATCGGCGTCGGCGCGGCGTGCGCGCTCGTCTCGAGGTAGGTCTCTGCAGATACCCCGGAATCTCCGCTTGCCACCCACGGATTCGCGAATGCCGGGGCCTCGGAGCCTCAGGTCGTGCGCTGCCGCCCCGCCGCGCGGTCACACGCGGTGTGTTCGGCGAACGCGTCGGTGCCGCGCAGGGACGTGAAGAAGGGCGACCACCGCGCGTGGATAGCGACTTACGACGGCCGCCGTTCGCGCTCGTGTCGCGTCCAGTTGCAAAAGGGCCTCCGCAACCGCGTCGGCGAGGACGCCGCGGTGAGCGTACAGCTCCTCTCGATGGTCGCGGACGCATGCAACACGCCCGCGGCGGTCGCCCCGGGCCCCGGCGCGGAGATCCTCGACGCCGAGGAGACCACCATGTCGGACCCCATCGCCGCGCTGTTGTCAGGGGGGGTGTCCACCGTGGAGCTCTCCGGCGGGCAGGTCTACGTGGACGCGCCGCGCGAGGGCCTCGTGCTGCTCCCGGGGAGCTTCAATCCGCTGCACCAGGGCCACGAGGAGCTCCTGCGCGCGGCGGAGGCGGCGTGTGCTGCGCGGGGGGCGCAGCGCAGACCGTGCTTCGAGATCGCGGTGGCGAACGCGGACAAGGGCACGATCGCGCGGGCGGACCTCGAGGCGCGGCTGGAGCCGTTTTTGGACCGCGGGCTCCCTGTCGTGCTGACGCGGGCGCCTCTGTTCACGCAGAAGGCTGCGCTGTTCAAGAACACGACGTTCGTGGTGGGACACGACACGGCGGCGCGGCTGGTGATGACGAAGTACTACCGGAACAGCCACGAGGAGATGGTGCGGCAGTTCGTCGAGCTGGACCGAGCGGGGTGCAACTTTCTGGTGGGGGGGCGCGTGGCCGGCGACGACTGCTTCAAGACGCTGGACGACGTGGACGTGCCGAGCGAGTTCCGCGCGATGCGGATGTTCGAGGGGATCCCCGAGGACGCGTTCCGGGTCGACATCAGCAGCACCGAGCTGCGGCAGCAAGCGGAGGGCGACGCGTAGCCGATGCACCGCGCGTGCGGGCTGTGTGATTCGTGGCTCACTTGAGGCGTGTCGGGCACGCAGTGACTCGACGCCACGGGCGCCGCGAGGCCACTGCGACGTCAAAGCACCCCCGGGGTAGTCACAGTGCGTTGGCGGCGCCGCGTCAGATCGGCAGGGTCGCCAGCGCGGACCGCGGGAACGTCATCGGCGCCGTCGACAGCCACGCGTCCATCTCCTCGACGTAGCACTCCGCGCTGCGATGGATCTCCTCGTCAGTAGCGCTGCCGCCGACGACGTAGGCGCGGCCGGAGACCACCGCGGCCCCGAAGGAGCTCCGCGCGCAGGACATCGCGGTGAGGTTGTGCCAGCGGCCCTCGCGCGGGTCGAACGCCTCCACCGTGCTCAGGCGCTTGCGCTGCGCGTCCATGCCCCCGAGCGCCAGAATGCGCCCGCGCAGCGCGACGACCGAGTGGTACTTCCGGCCTGCGATGCGCACAGAGACGCGCCCATGTCAAGCACGCACAGCCATGTCGCAACAGACGGCACCATGGCGCCTCGCTGGCCTTGTACCAAACTCGCGGCATCTGATCATCTCAGCGCGCGGCCGGCCGGGCAGCCCCCAGCGCGCACGCCGCGCGTCGCACGGCCGCTGCGCCGCACCTGTTGCCATGCGGGCGTCCTCCACCACCCACCGTCCGCCATCGCTGGCGATGTCCAGCCACTCGACGGTGCGGTGGATCGCGCGCCCCGACTGCCCGCCCACCGCGTACGTCGCGCTGCCCAGCGCCGCAGCTCCGAGGGCGCTGCGCGCCTCCACCAGCGACGGCAGCTCGCGCCACTGCGGGTCTGCTTCGTGGGGGCACAGAGCCTCCACGCAGCGCCGCTCGACGCCCGCGCCGCAGCCGGAGCGGCCGCCCATCGCGAGCACGGCGCCGCCGCAGCCGGTGACGCCCATCTGGACGCGCGTGGTGGGCAGCGGTGCGAGAGGCACCCAGCGCCAGGCATCAGGAATGAAGCGCGCGACGTAGCTCGACACCGTGGAGCCGCCCACGACGATCGGCATCCCCATGACGCTCGCTGCGGAAGCGAGGACGGAGAGCGTGCGTTGGGGCTGGTTGGAGCTTCGCGGCGTAGTGTTTGGTGTCTGTCTACGGGTTTTGGGCGCGTGGGTGAGACATGCACGCCAGCGGCGCTGGGGAGGTGGGATTCTGCGTGGCGATGGTCGGGGCTCGTTGGACATTTGCGTGGGTTCCTCACCGGACGCGAGGAACGTGTGTGAGACTGGCAGGTCCGGGCCAGGTCGCCAGCTGTCCCGTGCAGCGTCATAGATCTCAGAAGACTTCAGCCCGCGAAAGCCAGCCTGCGCACAAGTCCACGGACACAGCATGTGACACCTCACCTCACCTCAGCGAGCGAGGCGTCAGGACCCCGCGAGCCGTCCCGAGACACCCCGCGAGCTGTCCCAAGACACCCCCGCGGTACAACGAGCGCCGTTCAGAACTCCCCCGTGCGCACCTCGAAGCCCCCCGTGACCATGAACCCCGACGCCACGCTGCACCGCGGCAGCGACCTGATCTCCGACAGCAGCGCGTCCACGTCGCACGTCCGCTGCGGCAGCCACCCCACCGAGTCCTCCGCCACCACATGCACATCCCCCCACCGCGTCGCGGGAGTCCCCCCCCCGTCCGCCGCAGACACCCGCAGGCCCGACCCGAGCACCGACGCCCCGCCCTCCGCGTCAGATCCGCGCAACACCGCCCCCGACGCCTCAGGTGCCCCGCCTGAAGGTGCCGTTGCACCGTCCGTGTGCTTCGACCACTTGGGCGCCGCAGCTGCCCATGTCTGCGACGCCGCCTGCGCGGACGACCCCCAGAGCTCGCCGCGCTCCTGCGCGGACGACCAGCTCTCCGCCCCCGCGCTGCCACGGCGGAGGCGGTCGGCGCTCTCGCGTCGGCTCGCGTCGCTCCGCCGGCCCTTGATTTCGATCGCCTGCGCCGGGGCTACCTTGCCCAGCACCGCGTGGGAGGACAGGGCGACTGTGGAGGGGGAGTAAAGCTTGCAGATCCCCCGTGACAGCACTGACTCGAGCAGCTGCGTCGCGTCAGGGGACTTGCGGACAGTGGCGTGGCACAGCATGGAGCGCTCGACCTCTTCGGGGCGCAGGAGCGGGAACCGGATGGTCGAGAGGAGCCCGGGAAGCTCGGCGAGCCGCGAGGCCTCGTCGCCGGACACCCACAGCACTGCTGCCAGGAAAATGTCCACTTCACTGCACGCGCACGAGGAGCGGCACAGAACGGTTGCGGGCGCGCGCATTCGCAGGCAGGCTTCACTGCGCGCACACAAGAGCGATTGCGGGGCGTCCGACCCACGCGGCGCACACACGCGGTCGTCAGCAACGCTGCGATGGCGACAGGCGCAAATTCGCGGCTCTGCGTGCGCTCGCGCGCCGTCCCGATCCCGCAGGCGCACCTGTTGAGGTTGAGGTCGTCGGACATGAGCAGCTCGCGCACTGCGTCCCGGTCCAGAGCTGCAAGCGCTGCGCTGCGCTCCGCGTCGTGCACGATGCTGGAGAACGCCCGCCTGGCGCGCAGGAGGCACTGCTCGCGGAGTGGCTCGAGGTGGTAGCGGCTCGCGAGCGCGAGCGACCACAGGCAGGTCGACTCGTCGAGCGTCTGCTGCAGGTGCCGCACGCTGGCCGCGAGGACAGGGGGGACGTCGAGCTGCGAGGCGACGTCGACGACGGCCTCGATGTTGTCGAGGGACAGCTCGATCTGGCCTTCGTAGATGGCTTCGACCACGACGCGGAGCCCCGCGGTGTCCACGCCCTGCGCCGCGAGTGCGGTGACTTGCGCCGGCTTGTAAGCAGTCAGCAGCGCGGCGGGCGGGCGCGGCGTGGCTCTCGGACGGGTTGCTGGGAGCGTCGCAGTGCGCGCGGAAGGGCGCACGGAGCGGGCGCGGCGGCGCGGAGACAGAAGATTGAGAGAGGTTGATTGTTTGCACCTTGAGTGAAATAGTGTTGTCCTGGGTTCTGCCCTCGACCATGGAGGCCCCCGCCCCGGCGAACATCGCGCGGAAGAATGGCGAGACGGCCGCGAGGATGATCTTGTGCGCCGGAACCACGCCGTCGTCCGCGGCCTGCATGAACGGACGACGCGATGCTGTTGACTCGAACCGGCGATTGCGTCGCGGTGCCGCGGCACCTCCGGCGCCGTGTGCCCGGAACAGGAAGCTCGCAATCAAAGGAGCAGTCGTGCGTCGAAGACGGCGGCGACGACCGGCCGTCGGCGCCACGCTGGACCCGCGCGCACAGAGCTCCAACGTGCTTCCGTTTGTCGTCCCGTGGAACGGCCCCAGTGCATCGTTCGCGCAGAGCATGGTACGGGGCGATCGATACGGTCGCGAGGAGGCGGTGCGGTGCCTTTTTGTGCCCGGAAACTCCCGTGAAGAGCCGGGGCACGCGCCAAGCGAGCCCAGGCTCTCCCACTCCCGCAGGCACGTTCACGACGCGGTGATGGTCCGCATGGCCGGTCTCACCTTCAGGAACACGTCGCAGAGAACGCCGTCGCGCCGCATCGCTGGCAGGTTGCCGCCGGACGCCAGCCCACGCACCGAGTACACCGCTGTCCCACCCACCTCGGTCGGCGCCTCGTGCGGGGCCGCAATGGGTTCGTCCTGCCGCGAGAAAGCGCGAGTAGCATCGCTGGTGTCGAGCCTGCCCGCCGCGTGCGCGGCCCAGCCCGCTGACATGGCGGGACACCCAGCCCCAACGAGTTCCCGCACAGATAGGGATCTCCTATCTAAATGGCGTCCTCTCTCCACGACTGCTATCAGGCGAAGGCCAGCACCTCCGTCCTGGCACCGCCCGCGACAGCGCCCCCGACGCGGTTCTGACGCGCCGCACCGCGCACCGCGACGATCACGCCGCCAAAACCTCGCGCGCGTCACGCGCACGGAACCAGGGGGGGGTATTAAAACCCCACATGACAAAAACACCTCCACGACCGCCAAGGCAATGCCCGATGTGCGCCGCTCGGCGCTCCCGGCGGCGCGGGCGCGTCCACACGGCCCAGCTGAGCGACGGAGCTCCGCCGCGGGGCGCCGGGGCAGGGGTGTTCCTGTGACAGGTTGACCGCTGTCATGGCGGGCGCGTCAGCGCGCGGGCTGGCTGCGACAGTGGGCCGTGCTGCTGCGGGTCGCGCGGTCGTGTGCGCCGCCCAGAAGGGCCGTCCGTGCCACTCGAAGTCGAGATTTCAGGTCTTGCGTGCGACGCAGGTCCTTGATTCGCGTCTCTGGCGATCGTGGCGGTATGGGCGACGCCGTGGCGGAGCCGCGCAGGTGTGCATCGTCGTGGCGCAGCGACGGCGTGCGATGTTTTGCGGGGGGGCGAGCGGGGGGGGTCGTGTGTGCGGCGTCAGCACCAGTGCAGGTCTGCCTATTTTGCGGGCGCTGGGGCGGCGCGCATGCACGGAATCGCAGACTCGAAGATGCAGGCGGTGAAGGTTTCCGCGCCGTGCGCACGCCCCGCGCCCGCGCTGCGCCAGCGCGCGGCCAGCGTGAATGCCCTGGGCGGTCGACCTGGGCGCTTCGGCGCGGCCCGGCCGAGCGTCGCCAAGCCGTTCACGGCGCCCCACAAGTTCCACCAGTTCAGCAAGACCGACGTGCCGAAGGAGCGCGAGTCGGTCGTCGCGAACTCGTCCTCCGAGACCCCGGCCCCGAAGGTACGAGCGTCGCCCGCACCGCCGCAGAGGCCCGCGACGCCGCGAACGTCGCACGCCGGACCTACTCCACATCGTTCCATGCATCCCGATCCGTCAAGGCCGGCGTTCTCGCCCTTCCGGCGCGCTGCGGCAACAAACCACTGCCGCTAGCTCGCCGTACCAGTCATCCCTCCCGCGGGCCCTGCGCCCGGTAACCAAGCCCGCACCGCGACTCACACAGTCGCGGAGCCCGCCCTCGCGCGACCGTGCGGCCCGCGTCCGTCGCAGCGCCCGCGGCGTGCTCGAATGCTGCCGGCGAATCCCACGCGCGCGCCCATTGGCTCCCGCCGCGATCCCCGCCCGCCGATGAGCCAGCCCGCGCGGTCCCTGCACCCACGCCGCCACGCGCTGCTCCACGCGCCCGCCCATCCCCACACACGCCCCCGCCCGCCCCACCTCGACGCTGTTGCCCTAGTGCCTGCTCTCTCACGCCGATTTCCGCGCGAGCGTCCCCAACCCGACTCCGTCCGCGCCGTCTCCGGGTCCCAGTGGGTCCGAACATGCCCCCGGACGCTCGAGCGCCGTGCTGTCCCCGTCGCACGGCCCTCAAACGCCCCGCGATGTCCCTGGTGTTGCGCAGACCGAGCCTCCCTTCACCTGGGGCGCCAACATGCCGATGCTGCTGGCGTCCTTCGCCGTCGGCATCATCACCTGGTTCCTCCCGCACCCCGTCGGCATCACGGACCAGGCCTGGCACATGCTGGCGATCTTCCTTGGTACGTAAACACACACGACGCAAACACAACACGGGCTCCGCGCTCGCCCGACGCTCGACGGCCCGGGCGCCAGCGAGCCCCACGACGCTGCTCGCGGTCCGCTCCCCCTCGCAGGCACCATCGTGGGCATCGTCACGAAGCCCATGCCGCTGGGTGCGGTGGCGCTGATGGGTCTCGGTGTTGCGCTGCTCACCAAGACGATGACCTTCGCGGCCGCCTTCTCCGCCTTCTCCTCCGAGATTCCGTGGCTCATCGGCGTCGCCTTCTGGCTCTCGCAGGCCTTCATCAAGTCCGGTACGACTCCCCCTCAACCACCAAACACCATCCAAGCTACCCCCCCCTCCCGCACCCACACCCCTCCTCCCACCCCGCCCTCCTCCTCGCAGGGCTCGGCAACCGCATCGCGTACGCCATCGTCGCGGCCTTCGGCAAGACCACCCTGGGTCTGACCTACTCCCTGGTCGCCGCTGAGGCGCTCCTCGCGCCGGCGATCCCGTCGCTCGCCGCGCGCGCGGGCGGCATCTTCTTCCCGCTCGCCAAGGGCCTGTGCGTGTCGTGCGGCTCGGACCCCGACGACGGCACGGAGAAGAAGCTCGGCGCATACATCATGAAGGTTTGCTTCCAGTGCACGTGCATCTCCTCGGCGATGTTCATCACGGCCATGGCGGCGAACCCGCTCGCGGTGAACCTCGCCGCGCAGGCCACGGGCCACACCATCACCTGGGGCCAGTGGGCGCTGGGCGGCATCGTGCCCGGCATCATTTGCCTGCTCGGGATCCCGCTGATCCTGTACGTGCTCTACCCGCCGGAGGTCAAGGACACGCCGGACGCGCCGGCGGTGGCGAAGCGCGAGCTCGCGGCGCTGGGGCCGATGTCGCGGGACGAGAAGATCACGGCGGCTTCGCTCGGCGCGACGGTGGTGATGTGGGTGGCGGGGTCGTCCGTCGGGATCAACGCGGTGGGCGCGGCGATCGCGGGCCTGTCCGTGCTGCTCATCACGAACGTGATCAACTGGAAGCAGTGCCTCAACATGAACGAGGCCTGGGACACGCTGACGTGGTTTGCCGCGCTGATCGGCATGGCGTCGTACCTGAACAAGTACGGCCTCATCGCGTGGTTCTCCGAGCAGGTCACGCAGGTGCGCTCGCCCCCGACCTCCGCACTTCGCCACGTCGCTCATGTCATGCGCCCATTTGTGCTTGGTTGTTTGCTTCTCCCCGGCCGCGCTTCCTTGGTCCGGGCCTGCCGCTCAGCGGGCACGTCCGCGGTGCTGGGCGCCATCCGCGCAGGTCGTGGCCAGCATGGGGCTGTCGTGGCAGGCGGCGTACCTGGCGATCATGCTCCTGTACTTCTACTCGCACTACGTGTTCGCGTCGTCGACGGCGCACATCGGCGCGATGTTCACGGCGATGCTCTCGGTGTGCGTGGCCTCGGGCGCGCCGTCGATGCTCTCGGCGCTCTCGCTGTGCTACCTCAGCAACATCATGGGCTGCCTGACCAACTACGGCATCGGGTCCGCGCCGTCGTACTTCGGGAGCCGGTACGTCGCGCAGGGGCCGTGGTACCTCTACGGCGGCATCCTCTCCGTGTTCTACCTCGTCGTGTGGCTCGGGCTCGGGCCCATCTGGTGGAAGGCGGTCGGCCTGATCTAAGCAGTGTAGAGCGGGGGGGGGTCTGAAGGATGACGTGGCGGACGTGCGTGCGTGCAACCGCAGCGAGCGTGCGCTGTGTGATCCTCTATCCCCGGGGTCTCGCGCGCGCTGCTTGCGGTTGCTCTGTGGGCGCTTCGCAGTTGTGTTCGGGAGCGGCGCTGATGCAACGCTGCATGGCGGCGCTTCGCAACGGCCCTGCGCGCGTGGCGCCGCCCAGTCGGGCCAGCTTGCAGCGTGCATGCAGCACGGGCGCGAACAATGACAGCGTCGTGAAGCCACGGGAGGGCGTCGTGAGTTTTCGCGACCCCCTCGGAGTCGCAGATGCCGCGCCTAACCGTTTTGGCATCGCAGTGTTTCTGGACGAGCTGACCGGTGCTCTCACATCCGTGCACGCCACCTGCGCTCGCCCGCGACTCGCCCTGACGTCAGCGCGACTTCTACCACCTCGCCCCGTTGTCCAACATCCCCTCCGGCCGCGTCAGGTCCGTCCTCCGCAGGTCCCACCGGCGCAGCCGGGCCGCAACGCCGACGTCGAGTTCGCCGCGCAGCTTCTGGCAGGACGCCACGTGCAGTTCCTCGAGAGCAGACATCGCGGGTGGAAGTCTCTGCACAGCGCTCTGGCCCGCATGCAGCACCCGAAGCCTGGCGCAGCGCGCAGGGAGCCAGCTGAGGTCCGCACAGCACGTCACGCTCAGCACCTCGAGCGCGGGCATCTCCTGAGGGAGGCACCGCACCGCGCTGCAATCCGCAAGCAACACGCGCAGCCGCTGCGCGCTCGACGCCGGCAGCCAGTCGTCCGCCAGGTCCGCGCAGCATCTCACGTTGAGCACCTCCAGCGAGCGCAGCCCCTCTGGGACCGCCTTGATAGAGCTTGAATTCGCCCGCAGCACCCGCAGACTCCCGCAGGACGTCGCAGGGAGCCAGTCAGGCCTCAGCGCGCTGCATAATCGCACGTCGAGCTCCTCTAGCGCCGGTAGAGTGTCCGGCAGCCGCTGTATGTACGTGAGGTTCGCGCGGAGCACCCGCACGTGGGCCGCGCTGGTCGCCGGCAGCCAACCCCCCGTCCCCTCGTCGTCCAGCGGGCAGTCCGACACGTCGAGCACCTCGAGCGAGCGCATCCGGTCCGGCACGCGCCTGAGGAGCGTCCTCCCGATCCTGAGCTCCGTGACGCCGGCGGCCACGCTCGGGGGCAGCCACTCCCCCCCCCACTGCTCCCTGACGTCGAAGCGCGCGAACGTCAGGTCGACACGCGTCAGCTGCGTCATGGCCGGCGTGATCACCGCCTCGACGTCCTTCTTGTCCTCGCTGTCCTGAACGCCCGGGCCCGCCGCAAGGCGCACCACCACCGACGCGCCGGCGGCCTCCGCCTTTGACGCAAACACCGCCCCCGCTCTCTGGTAGAGCATCCAGCTCCCGTCGTCCACCGACCACCCAATCGCCGCCTTCGTGGCCTCAGGGACCTTCCCCCGGAGCTTCCGTGACACGGCCTGCGCCAATTGCCGGTTGCTTGCGTGCCACGCTGAGCACGGAAAGCTCTCCATGACGCGCGCCAGCATGCTCGACGACGTTGCCGCGAGCTCCGCGCGCGACTCGGCGGGCAGCCGGCGAATCACGTTCGTGAGCGGGCCTCCGTCTCGGCCGCACTGAAGGTCCTCGAGCTGCTTTGGACCTTCCCCGCTCGACTGCGCTTCGGCGTGGCGCGCATCCGTCTCCGCGCGAGTGCGTGAGGCCGTGACGTTGCGCCGGCGCGGCGGCATCGTCGCTTGGTGGACGCTGCGCGTCGCCAGCTGCAGCACGAGCACCCCGGCCGGGCGGTTGAGACATGGGCCGGGAAACGCGGCGAATGAGCTCGCATTCGACGCTGTCGGGTGGAGCGCGCCTCGAACGCACACTGGAGGCAGGCGTGGGGCAGACAAAGAAAGACTTAGTGATCGCGCGGAGCGCTGCAAGAAGCCGCTGAGTCTCCAGCAGCACAACTCGGACGCATTTCCGGGAAAACGCCGTGAACTGTTTCGCACCGTGCGCGCTGCGTGTCACGTACCTAGGAATCTACGCACTCGATTTCGCCCTGCGAGGGCAGATATAGCGCCCCGATGAACAAAGGACGCCAAATGCAAGCACGCTGGCTTGGTTGGCTCCCGTACCACGTGAGAGCGTGTTCCGCGGGCTCTCGCGTCTGCGGCGGCGGCGCGACGAGGCAGGCACATGGGCGGCGGCGACCTGCCGAGTCCGAGTCGGACTCCGACTGACATGCAAGCGTGTGCCTGCCTGGGGGTGTCCAACACCCCCCCTCGTCCGCGCTGCGGGAGAAACGTGCCTGTCGCCCCGGTGCACGACTTGCTGCGTATAGGCACGCGTGTTCTGCGGCAGTGGCTTGTGTGCCGACCGCAGGGCTACGGTACAGTGTATCGTTGGCGACGCGTGCGTGTGGGCATTCAGGACCGACGCTTGCGACGCCGCACTCAGCGACGACAGCCGCATGTAGGTGAACGCACACCGGTGGAACAGGCGCCTTTGTCGACGCGCCCAGCAACTCCTCTGTGGAGTCTGCCGGACTGACAAAGAGGGGGTTGTTGTAGCGCCCGCGACGCTGCGCGGCGTCAGAACGTTGCGGCCCGCGGCCGCAGGGGCAGCGCAGATCAAGGAAGGGCAGCTTGGCTGCGAACCTCCCCCCCTGCCGCTGTGCTGCCGGAGACGCATCCTGGAGTAGGTGGCGGGCTTTGTAGCGGCCGCACGCGCACGGACGCGGCGACCGCGGAGCGTGAGGTGCGCGGTGCGACCCCTACTGGTCGCTCATGACGCGGCCGACCTGCAGCGTCGCCGAAGATCGCCCGCACCGCAGTGGGCGGGCCTGCGAGGCCGCGCACCGCCCATGCAGCGGGTCTGTGTCGCTTTTTCTGCATTCTCGCGGCACGCGAGGGACTGATATGTCGTTTGCGAGGCGTATTGCACTATGGACGTGGTTAGGAAGCTCCACAACGGCCGCGTCATGGCCGTGGATGCTCGCACGGCGCGTTTCGGTTTGTATCGTGCAGTGCGGCCCCTGCGCGCGACTCCCAGGGTCAAGCCGCGTATCTTGGGCGCGAGCGCGCATGTTCCTCGGGGTTCGTGGCCGCCCCGCTGAGGGACACGCGTCGCGCGGCCCGGAAAGCGCGGCGGCGCGGCTCTTAGCAGGAGCACTCTCAACGGGAGGCGCGCCGCCCGCTCGCAGGGACGAACCGCGGAGCCGGGCGCCCGCTCCGGCGCGACTGACTCGCGATGGCCATGGCGAGCAGCGCCGGGGCCGCCGCGGCGCCGGACCTGATCTACGTCAGGCGGAGCCATGGCCGCGAGGCCGACCACGCGACGTTCAAGCTCAGCGAAGCCCAGTACCGCACCATGCAGACGCTCTCAAAGGTAACCCGCCTCAATGCCTCCCGCTCGGGCAGACCTCGCGCCCCAATACTCCCCCCAGGGCGCCGTTACCCCCCCTTGTTCCTCCGAATCAGCACAAGCCCGCGCCCCCAATGCGCAGGCCTTCCGCAAGGAGGACGCGGGCGGGGCGGGCACCGTCGACATGCCCGCGTTCGAGCGCGTGATGCGCTCCGCAGCGCCGCACCTCGACGACGTCAACTTCTTGTTCAGCGCCATGGACACGCGGCGCGAGGGCGCGATCACGCTCGAGCAGATCGTGCGCAAGCTCTACCCGGACAGCGCCACCGGCCAGCTGCGCCCCGTCGACCGCGAGGACCGGCCGCTCATGCTCATACCTCTTCAACACCCCCCCAGCCCGCCCGCGGCCGCGACGGTCCCCGCGCCGCAGCGTGCGGCGCCGCAGGCCCCGCAGCAGGGGTCTGCGCCGAGCGACCGCGCCCTCGACGCCCCTGAGACCCCCCCCGTGGTAGAATCGCAGCCGCACATCACGCCCCCGTCTGACGACGCCGCGGGCGAACTGGCGGCGCCTGCGCCGCGGCCGGCCGCAGCGGAGCGCGCCCCGGACAGCCTGGTGTCTCCGAGCGACTCCGCGGTGCCGGTGCCGCCGAGCGACGCGAGGGATATTGGGTTGAGCAATCTGGCGTCTGCGCGGGAGCTGGCGCCCGTGCAGGTGCCGTCGGTGACGGTGCTGCGCAGCGAGGGCTCCGACTTCACCTTCCCGGAGATGGCCGCGGGCTCTGGGAGCCCTGCCGAGACGCCCAGCGCCGGCAAGGCCCTGACAGCAGGGGACCTAGAGTCCCCCCCGCCCGGGCCGCAAATGACGCCCAACCCCCTGTTCGGCGCGCCGGACTCGGCGCAGCCGTCGCCCACGCAGCTCCCGCCCGCGCAGGACGCCGACGACGACCTCCCCGCCCTCGAGCGCACCGACTCCCCCGACCTCTCCAAAAAGACCCCCCCCGGGCGGAAAAATCACCCCCCCGCGGCCCGAAAGCTCGCCACGACCGGGCCCGCCGAGCCCAAGTCCGCGAAGCGCAAGCACGGCCAGGCGGCGCCCGTTCTCATCGACGTGCAGCAGCTCATGCACGAAGCAACGCACTTGATCGACGAGGCGCACCAGAGGCTGGCGCGGCCGTCGGAGGGCGTGGAGGACCGCGAGACGGAGCTGGGCGTGCGTGCGGACGTCGACTTGACGCCGGAGGGGATCGTGCAGGCCGCGCGGAGGGTTGTGGAGGGGGCGCGCGCCCTGAGGAAGGCAGCGAAAGGGGCCGCGCGGGCGCAGACGGAGCGAGAGCGGCGGCTGGAGGCCACGTGTCGGGAGCTCGAGGAGCGGAAAAGGGACCTGCGGGACTTCGAGGAGAAGATGGAGGTGAGCGCGGTGACGGAAGACCTGGTCTGGTGTCTCCCGACGCGTCGCATGTAGAGGCTGTCTCGGGCCGCGTGCGAGCTCGGCCATGCAACCCGTGCTGGCCCGTGCATCGTCCGCCAGCACAATCTGATCCAATCGTGCTCGCGAAAAGAAACCGTGAGTCACGTTTTCGTGTCTTGTCTTGCGCGGAACGCGCCTCACAGTGCCGCCGCGGTCCTCGCGCCCCTGTGTGCAGGAACGCGAGCGCGGCATCGCCTCCGGCGCCCTCGTCCTCACCGCCGACGAGCTCACCGACCTGGCCCGCGCCCTGTCACTGCCAGCCGCGCCGCCGCCGACCGCCGCGGCGCTCACGCAGGCGGCGCGGGCCCTCGCGGCGCGCCACGCGGGTGCGCAGGTCCTCGGGTCGCCCGCGAGCGTCGCGACCCCCGCGGTCACCCCCCCACCCCACCCACATGATCAACAAATCAAATCCTGGGCATCCGCCGTTTCATCCGCGATGCGGTCGCCCGCGTCGTCCACGCCGGGCTCCGTGATCCTCGGGACGTCGCCCGGGCCGCCGGGCTTCACGCCGGGGTCGGGGGGTGCCCGCGCGGGGGACCAGTCAGGGCCTGACACCAGGGCAGACACCCCCGAGGGTCTCTCGGCGACGGAGGCCGCACACGCGCCCGCGGAGGGCGCGGACGCTGCACTCGCCGCGCGCGACGCGGAGATCGCGGACCTTCGGGCGCGCGTGGCGGCGCTGGACGAGGCCATCGCTGGCGCTGCGGCGAGGGCCGACGCAGCGACCACGGAGGCCGCGGAGGCGGAGGAGCGCCACCGCTCCGCGCTCGACGCCACCAAGGCGGAGCTGAGGGAGAAAGAGGAGCTCTGCGCGCGGCTTCAGGCGGACGTCGCTGCCACAGAGGACAAGGCGCGAGCACTGAGAGACGAGATTGACGCGGGCGCGGCGCGGCAGCAGAAGCTCGATGCGGACACGGAGAAGGAGAAGGAGGAGCTCGAGAGCAAGCTCGCGGAGGCGGTTCGGGACCTCGAGGCGGCGAGGGGGGAGCGTGACCGCGCACTGCATGATGCCGGCGAGGCAAGCGCGGCCCGGCAGCGGGAGCTCGAGGCGGACGTGGCGGCTGAGAAGGCGGCGAAGGAGGCGCTCGAAGGGAAGCTGGCGGCGGTCGAGCGGGACCTGGAAGCGGCAAGGGTAGAACGGGAGCGGACCGTGCAGGATCTCGAGTCGGACGTCGCGGCGGCGCAGAAGGCGACGGAGGAGCTCGAGACCAAGCTTGCGGATGCGGAGCGGGCCCTGGAAGCGGCCAAGGCAGAGCGCGAGAGTGCGCTGAGCGTGGCGGAGGCGGCGAGCGTGGAGCGGCGGCAGAAGCTCGAGTCGGACATCGCGGCAGCTGACAAGGCGAAGGAAGAGCTCGAGAGAAAGCGTGCGGAGGCGGAGCGGGACCTGGAGGCGGCGAAGGGCGAGGCGGAGGCGGCGTGGAGCGAGGCGAAGCGTCAGGAGGCGGCAGTGGCCGCGGCGCGCGACGAGGTGGCCGACAGGGTCGCGGGGCTTGAGAGGGACGTGGAGACGGCGCGGGCGGAGGCCGGGGAGCTCCGTGGCGAGGTGACGCGGGCGGAAGGTGCGGCGACGGCGGCACGTAATGAGCTGGAGCAGCTGCGGGCGACGAAGCCGGAGGAGGTGGCCGCGGCGGTGGCGGCGCGCGAGCAGGCGGAGGCGAAGGCGCTGCGGGTGGCGAAGGAGTACGGGGACACCAGTATGGAGCTGGCGCGCAAAGATAGGGAATTGGAGACTGTTCATGAACAGTTGGAGAAGGAACGGGCTGCGGCGCGCGAGGCGGCCGAGGCCGCGCGTGCCGAGGCGGAGGCAGCGGCGCGCGGGGCCGCGAGGGAGCTGCGGGACTTGAGGCGCATTTCGGACCGGCAGGAGAAGGAATTGGACGACTTGCGTTCGACAGTTGAGAAGGAGAGAGCAGCGGCGCGCGAGGAGGCCGCGGCGGCGCGTGGGCGCGCCGAGGACCTCCAGCGCGAGCTCGAGCGCGCGCGTGCGGACGCCGCGGCCGCGCGAGCGGAAGCAACGGAGCGTGCTGCCGCCGCAGAGCGCAGCCAGGGCGACGCGGGTGCCGCGGCGCAGCGGGTCGCGGAGCTCGAGAAGGCGCTCGCTGAGGCGGAGGCTGGGCGCGAGAGCGCGGCGCAGGTGGTCGCGAGCGCCATTCAGGACGAGAAGCGCGCGCGTGCTGCAGCGGAACGGCGCGCCGACGAGCTCGACGCCCAGGTCGCCGGTGCACGCGGAGACGCCGCGGCCGCGGAGGCCCGCGCGGCGGAGGCCGGACGCGCGGCTGCCGCGGCGCAGCAGGCCGCGGCTGCCGCGGAGCGGCGCGCCACGGACATGCAGCACGCACTGGAGGCGGCGTTGAGTGCCGCGGAGGCGGCGGAGCGACGCATCGCGGACGCGGAGCACGCGGTCGACGTTGCGCACCGTGCGCGGGACGCCGCGGAGCGGCGCGCGCGGGAGCTCGAGGCGGGTCTCGCTGCGGCAGCGGAGCGCGCCGATGACGCGCAGCGCGCGTTGGCGGCGAGGAGCGGGGAGCTCGCGGAGGAGCGCAGCCGCTCGGAGAAGGCGGTGCAGGCGACGCGGTGGCTCAGCGAGCAGCTCGGGGCCGCGAAGGGGGAGTCTGAGCGCGCCGCGGAGGCCCTGAGGGGGTCTATTGAGGAGCGTCAGGCGGCGGAGGCGCACGCCGCGGCGCTGCGGGGGCAGCTCGAGGAGCGCACGGCGAGACTCGGGGAGCTCCAGGGCGCGCATGACGCGCTGCATGCGAGCATCGAGGGCCTGCGGGCGGAGCTCGGGGTGCTGGCGGGGGACCGCGCACGCGCCGTTGCGAAGTGCGAGGAGCTGGACGCGGCGCTGCGGGCGGCGCGCGGGGAGCTGGAGCGGGCCGCGGCGGAGGCGCAGGAAGCGCAGGCGGCGGCGGAGCGGCGCCTGGCGGCCGCGCGGGAGGAGGCGGCGACGAGCGCACGCGAGGCGAGGGCGCTCGCGACGGCGCTGGAGGCGGCGCGGGGGGCGGCGGCAGCGGCGGAGGCCGTCGAGGCGGACGTCAAGGAGGACCGCGACCGGCTGCGCGAGGAGCACCGGGCCGCGAAAGCAGAAGTTCAGACGCTGTCGGCGACGGCGGGCGCGCTGGAGGCGGCGGTGGCGGCCGAGCGCGAGCGCAGCGCGGCGCTGCACGCGCACATCGAGAAGCAGGACGCCGAGATCGCGAAGGCGAAGGCGCGCGCGGACGAGCTGGAGTCTGGGCTGCGGAAAGCCGTTGATGGCATAGCCCGCGCTGAGCGCCGGGAGGGCGAGGCGGAGCGCGGGCGCGCGGCGCTGAGCGCGGAGCTCGCTGCGGCGGTGTCGCGGCTGCGCGAGGCGGAGGCGCGCGCGGGCCGGTGGGAGAAGGAGGCTCGCGGGTCGATGGCGGCGGCGCAGGACCTGGGGCGGAGCATGCAGCGGCTGCGCGAGCTGGAGGCGGCGCTGCGGCGCGCGGTGGAGCACATCCGCGAGCAGAAGGCGCGCGTGGCGGCCGCGGAGGCGGCGCTGGCGGCGGAGCGCGCGAAAGCGGGGGACGTTGCGGCGGCGCGGGAGGCCGCGGAACGCAGCGGGGGCGAGATCGCGGCCGCGTACGAGCTCGTGCGGGTGCTGGCGGGGGCGGCGGTCGCTGCGGTTGCGTCGGAGGGGGGTTACGGGAGTGATGTGGGTCAGGTGGGGGGGAGTGATGGGACGCCCGAGCCGCTCGGGCGGCTGGCGGGCCTCGCGGCCGCTCCGGCGCCCGGCACGCCGACGGATGTCGCGGAGGCCGTTGCTGCAGCGTCGAACGCGCTCGCGAGCGGGGTGCCGGCGCTGCACCGCGCGATTGCTGCGGCGCGCAAGGCGCGTGACGCGGCGGACGCGCAGGCCGACGAGGCGCGCGAGGACTCGCTGGGGCTGCTCCGGACCGTCCGGAACCGCGAGCGCGAGCTCACGGCGCTGCAGATCGAGAAAGAAAGACTCGAAGTGAAACTCTCGGCATTGACTGAGAAGGCCGAGCAGGTCGAGGGGGCGATCGGGGGCCTCACCGCGCGGCTGCAGGCGGCGAAGGAGGACGCCAAGGCTGCGCGGCAGGCGCGCGACGCGGCGCGCGCGGAGACGCAGCGCGTCCAAGGCCTGCTCGCGACTGCGCAGGAGCGTGCGTGCGAGCTGTCGGGGGAGCTCGGGGAGGCCGACGCGGCCCGTTCGCGGCTCGCAACGCTGCGGCGCGACCTCGAGCTCGCGCGGGAGGACGCGGGGCGGCAGCGTCCCGGCACGGGGTCTTCCCCATCGTCGCCGGAGCCTTGGGGGGAAGCGACGGCGGCGCGGGCGCTTGCGCAGTCCACGGCGGAGCGCCTGCGCGCTGTCGTCGCGGAGAAGCGCGCGCTGGAGGAGGATCTCGCGCTGAGCCGCTCGCGGCTGACGGCGGTGCGTGCGGAACTGGCGGCGAAAGAGCGGGAGTGCGACGAGGTGCGAGTGGCTGCGGAGGCGCTGCGGGCGGCGCTGGAGACGGCGCGCGGAGACGTGCGGGTGCTGCGGGAGCGCGTGATCAAGCAGGACGCGCGGGAGGGCTGGATGGTGGAAGCGGACGTGCGCGGGCGCGTGGAGGCGGCGGCGGGCGTGGAGGCGCGGGAGCTGCGGGCGGCGCTGCGCGCGCGCGAGGAGGAGCTCAGGTGGCAGACGGAGGAGGTCGCGAGGCTGTCGGCGCGGCTGCGGGAGGCGCGTGGAGGCGGGGCGGAGGCGGGGGGGGTCAAGCCGACAGGGGGGGACTTGATGGGCGTCGACGAGAAGCGCGACGTCGGAGACGTCGCGGCGGAGCCCGAGGGCGAGGACGCGCTCGCGACGCTCAAGCGGCGGCTGCGGGCGATGAAGCTGGACCTCGTCGCCGTGGGAACTGAGAACGCAAAGCTGAAGGGGTCGGAGCGGAGGCTGCGGAAACAGATCGCGGCGCTCGAGGTGCGCTGCGACGGGCGCGCGGGCGCTGGCGCGCGGATGGGCGCCCCCCTGCGGATCGCCTTGCCCGGGGCTGTGTTTGTTGGGCCTTGTTGCATTGCTGCTGAAGGGATGGTTGATGCGGGATGGTTTGTTGCGCCTGGAACAGAGCGCGGCTTGGCGGTGGATGGCCTTCCCTTGCGGCACAACGACCTGCTGATATATGTATTTACAAATATGTCTTTTTACTCCTGCTTCGCAGACTGCCAAGGACCGGCTCGAGTGGGTGGTCCAGTCGGACACCACGCGGCTGGCCAAGGCGCTCAAGACCATCGACCGCAACAACAACACCATCCGCAGTCTCGAGCTAGAGGTCTCGCACCTCAAATCGGAATCCCTGGCGTCGGCGCTGGGTCGAAGTGCCGGGACGGTGGACAGTGCGGGGCCCAGCCCCGTGCGCGCTGTCGAGGCGGACGCGGACCACAAGGCGGCCGCAGCGGCCGCTGCTGCCTCCGCGCAGGCCAGCAACCCGCTGGCCGAATGAACACCCGATACTGAATGTGCTGTTGACATATTATATATATGTCCGGTGCACAGATAGATAGGTTTTGGGTGGCAAGCGCAGGACGCGACCTTCGAGATCCCGCTCTTGTCGACGTGTCACCGCGGCTGTGATTGCGGTGCGGACTGCGACGCGTTCGTGTCGATTGAATCACGGGGGTTCCCTGTGTCACCGAATAGGTCAGCAAAGTGCGAACAATCAGGGCACGAGAGCTGACCGGCGCTGCCGTGCACCCAGCGCAGGGGGATGGTATGGCCTCGCCTCGCTTCCTTGTACTTCGCTGACCTACAAGCACCCTCACCGCGAGGACGCTTGAGCGACCGAAATGGTACGGCAGGCGAGAGCTTGCGTTCGCTGTGCAGCAAACGCCGCCGACAGGACGCTCCCTGCCTCTCCGTGCCGCGCTGCATCACATCACATGACATTGCAACTACCAGGATCTGCTCTCTCTCTGCCATTCATTCATTCCATGGCCGAGCCAACCTCAGCAACACGCCCGCCCCACCGACAACGACCTACGCGATCGCCTGCGGCTGCTGCGCCGCGCTCCGCGGCCGCCCCATCGCCAGCCCGCGCGCCGGCGACGCCCCACTGCGCCCGCTCACGGAACCCCCCCCCTCCGCGAGTACGTCGCCCTCGACGCGCCCGACTGCGCCGCCACCGACCCCGCGTCCCCCTCCGTCCCCGCCCGCAGCTCTCGTGCCATCTCCGCGCCCTCCAGCTCCCGCCGCGCCTCCTCGATCAACCCCCGCAACGTTCCCTCATCCGGCTTCTCCTCCAGCGCCGCCGCCCGCAGCTCCGTCACGCGCCGATCGATCTGCCGCTCCCGCTCCCTCGCCTCCTTCGCCGCGCGCCCCTCCGCCAGGTAATCCACGTACTTCTCGCCCCCGTTCGCGCCGTCGGCGGCGCTGGCGGCGACGCTGCGCGGCGGCGACGCGGCGAACCGCTCGCTGGCCGCGTCGCCGCTGAACGGGTCGACCGCGCTGCCCGGATCGCGCCCCGCGGCCACCGCGCGGTCCTGCGCGTACGTCGACAGCAGCTCGTCGATGTCCGCGATCGTGCGCGTGCCGGCGTTGGAGCCCGCTAGGACCGACGCGAACCGCAGGAGCTCGTACGGGCTCTGCATGACCTCGTCGAGCTTGTCGTCCTCGATCGCGAGCAGCCGCTCGACCAGCTCTTCCTCCTCCTGAGTCAGGGTGAACGCCCGACTCAGGACCGTCATGCGCGAGTTGTGCGAGAAGCCCGACAGGAGCGTCGCGCCGTCGTCGAAGTCCGTCGGCAGCGCGCCCGCGTCGCCCTCGCCCTCCCGCGCGCCCGCCGCCGCCCCGCCGTTCGCCTCCATGAGCCGCCGCAGCTGCGCCTCGCGGCGGCGGCGACGACGCTCGCGCCGGAGCTGCCGGAGCACGCGGTCGCGCCGGATCCGCGCCTTGCGCTTGTCCGCCTCGACGTACGCCTCCGGGAACGTCTGCCGGTCGACGCGCTCGTAGTTCGCCGTCGCCGCGTCCAGCTTTTGCGCCAGCGCAAGCATACGCTTGTACGCGTCTCTCACGCGCTCGTCCGGGTGCCGCTCGAGCGCGTTGTGCCGCAGCGCGCTCGACGTGATCGACCCCGCGCCGTCCGTCGTCGTCTTCTCCGTCACGATGTCCTCCAGCCGCGTCGCCATCAATTGTTGTACCATCTTCGTAAACTGCTCCGGTAGGAACTTCTGCGGGTCAGACTCCCCCTCCCCGTCCGCCCCGGCCGCGCCGCTGCTCCCGCCGCCGCCGCCGGGACCGACCACGCTGTCAACGAACCCCTGCAGCTCCTGTCGCTGCGCCTCCGTTGCCGACACATCGACTTCGGTCAAGAACGACCACTGGCGTCTCGTGCCGCTCGGGGGCCGCCCCGCGGCCTCGCTCGCCGCGTCGGCGTCGTCGGGCTCGGCCTCGGAGACCTTGATCTGGCCGCTGGCGGCCCGCCGGGCGACGGCGGCGGCCACGGCAGCGGCGCGCTCCGGCGGCGTCGCGCCGCCCGCGCGGCTCGAGGGCGCCTCGCTGTCGGACCCGCCGTCGCTGTCCGAGGCCGAGTCCACCGCGGCGGGGCCCGCGCGGAGGGCTGCGGGCATGTGGCGGCGCTGCAGCGCCAACATGGACTCTTCCAGCTTCTTCAACTCCTCCAGTGCGGCCTTGGAGGACTCCGTGAGCTCGACCTCGTCTGCCGGGGGGGCAGCCGGGGGATTGGTGGGGCCTGCAGGGGGCGCCGCGCGCTTGCCAGGGCCCGCGGGCGGCCGGTTTCCACGTGCTTTCGGTGCCCCGTTGCTGACCGGGGCCGGTGGCGCCTTCGCTGCCTTGCCGCTGCTGGTTTTCTTGACGCCTGCGCATCGCGAATCGATCGTGCATCGCTGAGGGATGCGGCATTTCGGTGTCGGGGCGCGGAAATCGCGGAACGGCGCCATGGTGAGGAGCACCACGGGCAGGCGCGGCCCGGCGCGTGGGCGCCGCATCCGTGCTGGCTCGCACGGTCCCGCGACACTGGCATCTGCGCGAGGCGCGGCGTCGCCGTTGCAGGCCGCGGGCGACGCCGCAGCGGCGCTGGTGTCGGGGAGCTCACCCGGTCGCTGCGTGGTGGGACGCGGGGCCTCGTTGCGCCGCCGGGCGTTGAGGCTGCTGGCGTCGCGCACCGGGGCGGCATCCCCTCCGGACATGGGCCGCGGAACGTAGGACCTGCGGGGCGGCGGGGCCGCACACGAGGCAGCGCGGTTCAAACAAGCATCGTCTGATCAGCGCAGCCCGAGTCGCGGTGCTTGCGGGCTCAGCGCGGCTCGAGCGTCGATACAGAGCGCCGCAGCGCGGAGCTCGAAGCAACAGCGTGCGATTCGGCGCGGCTCGGCCGGCGTTGAGCGTGCCAGGCGCCCGGCGAGGAGGCAGCGTAGACGACAAGCACGACGCTCCGCGTGCACTGCAGACACTCACCCTTCCGCGCTCTCCACCATGATGGGACACGCCTGTTCTAGAGACACCTGCTGGGGCGGTTTTCGTGCCCGGAAGGGCCCGCTCGGACGAGTACGACGCCCGGGATGTAACTTGCTGCTTCCTGGGGCGGTGCCCGCGCCGATTCTTGACCGGACTTTCGTGCGTTCGAGGCGCGTTCGCTTCCTCGGCTTCTGCGCGCGGCGCCCGCGCGCGCCCGCAACGTCGCCCGCGCGAGGGGGGGAGTAAGCGGCGTCCGAGCAAGTCGGGCGGGCGTGGCGCCCCCCCGGTTCGCGGCTGCGGCGTCGAGGGGCGGGGTGGGCGGCCGAGCGGGACACTAGCGAAGGCCTGGTCGTCTGGGGGTATCGGAATTCGCCCGGAGTGCGTTTCAGGCGGCTTGTGGCGGCTGTAGCGGCAGGCAGTGTGGCCGGGGTGGCTGCAGGCGGTGAGCGAGGCGGCGAGCGGCGCGGTAGGGACGGCGCGAGCGTCCGGGTGGGTCCGCAAGCATGGTGGCTGCTCCGAACTCGGACTTCTATGAGATTTTGGGGGTGAATCGGGACGCGGATGCCGCGAACATCCGGAAAGAATACCGCAGGCTGGCTCTGCAGTACCACCCTGACTGCGACGGTGCGCGCCACCTCCCCCACGCTGCACCACGACGCCTTTGATATTTCTCGTCGACGATTCGAGCGACGCGATGCGCGGGAGAACCCTCGCGCGGGGCGCTACGGCGGTTGGCCATGTTGCAGCCTCTCCCCCGCCAGCTGCCGCACCCGGCCCTCGCGACCCGGTTCGTCCGCGTCGGCGCCTTCTCTGCGATACGCCCGCGCGCGCCGTGCGCCCACATTGCCAAAACACCCCCCTGCGAGGAAACGGCGCACCTGTGTAGCCTCCACATGTCCTGCCCAAGCATCGCCCCCAGACGCACTGTGCAGCCAGCCTGGTCGACGTTTGCGGCCATGCCGGTCTTCTCCACATCGTAGGCTGCATATGGGTTGCATTTCTCGTTCGTTCGAAGGGCTGTGCGGGCTTGGCGAGACGCAGAGGGTCTTGTGCGGTGCTTGCAGGGAGCCCTGAGGGCAGCAAGCACTTCGTGGACGTGTGCCACGCGTACGACGTGCTGAGCAATCCGGAGAGGAAGGGCATCTATGACCTCTTCGGCTCCGCGGGCCTCACGGACGGCGTGTACTCCAACACAGGTGCCTTCCGCGCCCCACCGCTCTCCCGCACCGCGCCCCCCGGCCTCCGCTCACCCTGCGCTCCGCCAGCCACGCCACTCCAAGCCTGAACCTTCAGGAGCGTTGCAAGAAACCGTCGTTCATCCTTTGCACGCGCCACCGCAGGCGAAAAGAAGGGTGGGAATTACGTTTTCGACCCCGCGAGCGACCCGTTCAAGGTCTTCGCCAACTTCTTCGGCACGGCCAACCCCTTCCAGGCCCTGAACGACGTCTCCGCGGCGTTCGAGGACCTCGCGACCGTCCCGCAGCCCAAGCCCGGGAAGATCAAGACGGGCGAGGTGCTCGCCTCCCTCGAGGACGTCTTCCACGGGTGCCTCAAGAAGTTCGGGCACACGCGCCGGACGCTCCGCGAGGACGGCACGATCCAGGACAAGTTCGTCGAGCTCTGCGTCGACGTCAAGCCCGGCTCCCCGGAAGGCACGCGCTACGTCTTTGACGGCATGGGCAACAAGCTCCCAGGGCACAGCCCGGGCCCCGCGGTCTACGTCCTGAAGCTCGCGCCGCACGACCGCTTCGAGCGCGACGGCGACGACCTCGTCTACAAGGCGGTCATCCCGGTCAGCAAGGCGCTCTCCGGGTGCACCCTGGACATCCTACACCTGGACGGCCGGCAACTCGCGGTGCCGGTGTTGGACGTGGCGTACCCGGGGAAGCGCACGGTCATCAAGGGCGAGGGGCTGCCGAGGCGCGACGGGTCGGGCCGGGGGGACTTGGTGGTGGAGTTTGGTTCCAAGTTCCCGAGATACCTGACTCAGACGCAGAAGGACATCCTGCTCGCGGGGTTCCTGTGCCCGTCGGACGAGCGGCTGAGCGCGGAGCAGAAGAAGGCCGTGACGACGTTCTTGCGGGCGTTCCGCGACGACGTCAAGGGCTGGGCGCGGGCGCCGGCTCCGGCGGTGTGAGTGCGAGGTGTGCGTGCGGGTTGCGTGCGGGCGTGTCGATCGGGGTCGGGGGTCGGAGCTGAGCTCCCAGGCGTTCGGAACGGACTCAGGGGGGGGTTTTGTTCCTGGTGCGACTTGCTCGGCTAGCGTCAGGCGTGATCGCTGCGTTAGGGGCTCGGAGCGCGCGGGGCGGGTCAAGTGTGGCGCGGGTGTGTCGACCTGGCTCCTTCGAAGCGCTGCGCGCCGCGTCTCCGCCCAGGTCCGCGTCGTTTTTGCGGGGTGTCACGCTTTCCAAGGGTGACTCTGTTCCGAACCAGTCCGGACACCCTGAACCGCCTCGTCTGCGCTCAGACCTAGCGCAAACAAAAAAGGGACCGAGTCGTCCGCCAGCGAGGAGGAGCGAGCACGGCGGCATGCGTGCGTATCAAGCGCCGTCGTTCAGCGCAACGCCGTCTCCGTACGAGCACGGCGCGTTCGTGGGCCCCCCCGAGCCGTCCCCGTACAGCAGGCGCCGCGAACACATCTGGAACACGAAGCAGACGGGTACGTAAGCCTCGATCTTCGCGCGAAAGCTGCAGCTCCTATTTCCTTTCAGCGAGGAAAGCGCACGATCGCGAGGGCCGTGAGGCCCCTGCTCCGGCGATCCGGATCCACCAAAACGCATGAGAGATTATTGCACACGGATGTTGCACAGTTCGATGCTCTTGGCCCTTGAACAACGAAACTGAGCCCCGGCCTTCAGGTTTGATGATGCACGGGACCAAGGGCCAGGCGTTCACGGTCGCAGCCTGCGCGGTGGAATCCCTGTCGGGCTTCGTGCTGCTCTGCGTGTCCGCGGCGTCGTTCACGGCGTACACGCGGCTCTCCGCTGCTCTGATCGGCGCCCTCCTGTTCGGGCGGGGAATCGCGGGGTGGGCCGGCGTGACGCAGCGACGGCCCCACCTGCTCGCCCTGCACACCCTCGGAGGCGTCATCGTGGTGGTCCTGACGTTCTCGCTGCTGACTCAGGTCGCGCGGGACGTGCAAGTCGATTGCGCTATCGCAGAGCTGTACGTCAGGGGCCGACAGGCCGAGTCGATCCTGCGCAGCACCGCGCAAAACGAACTCCTCGCGTCCATGACGGCGCGCATGAACGAGCTCGAGGACACCCTGGGCCAGGTACGCCCGCACAGCGAATACCCCCCCCCTCCTCTCCCAACACCCCCCTCCCCGCCCACCGACCCGCACATCCTCTCCGCGCCACCGCAGCTGCACAGCGGCGCGCTCGCGGCCTCGCAGCTCAAGCTCGACCGCCACACGCTGCGTCTGTCCGACCGCGACTACATTCGCCGCAAGATCGCAACCCTCAAACGCCGCGCCGAGGAGGTCGTGTCCGACATGGTCGCGGGGCGCAGCAAGGGCGGCGGCGCGGACGCGGTCCGGCTCACGGACGCCGAGCGGGACGCGCTGTACAAGCGCTTCAAGCAAGCGGAGGCAATCATGGACCGCGCGGATGCGATACACACCGCGGACGACTCGGAGCTCAGCGCGGACGAGTACGAGGAGCTGCTGACGGCGCTGGGCGGGCTGTACGAGGAGCACACCGCGGACCTGCACCGCGCCGACGCGGAGGTGACACCCCCCTGGACCAAACAAAACTCCCCCGTGCTTGGTTTTGGTCGCCCCGAGGCGTTCAAGTCGGTCCAGGCTCTCGGGGTGCTCAAGTAGGTCATGCGCGTTGCTGTCGTCATCGGAACGGTGCGGATTCCGTGAGCTGCGCGAGCAGGTGCGCGGGCAGAGGGTTGCGGCGCTGGCGGACCTCAAGGGGGATGTCTCCGAGCTGAGTCAGGCCCGGGAGAAGATCGAGGGCTTGAGCGGGGGGCGGCACGCGGAGCTGCGCGTGGGCGACGCCGGCGCGAAGCTCGCGGCGCAGTTGCGCAAGCGTTCCAAGCGCCGCGCTGTGTGGCAGAAGCGCTTTCACGACCTGATGGGGAACGTGCGCGAGGAGGCGCTGGGAGGGGCGCGGGGGTCGCGGTTCGCGCCCGCGGAGGACATGCCGGAGCACTGCGTGCGGGAGCTGCGTGCGCGCCCGGCGCTGGTGTGGGGCGCGTGGGTGCTGCTTGTGGTGCAGCTGGCGGCGAATGTGGGCGTGCTGGGGCGCACGCTGAGCGGCGCCGTGGCGAGCAAGGCGGACTGACGGCGCGGTCGTGGCGGAGCAGGGCGTGGAGTGCGCGCATGGAGGCAGAGGAGCGCTGTAAATCCGACATTTCATCTCCCGTGTCCACGAGACTCACAGCGTCGTGACGGCACAGCAACGCGCCGTCGTCGTTCGGCCTTCTACTTCGCTCCCACGTCAGCCACCCACACCCCCCGGGCAATGGCCCCCTGCCGCATCGCCCACAGCGCCCACGCGTACGCCATCAGCGACACGGCGCCGACCCCGACGAAGGACAACGCGCCCGCAAACACCCCCCTGTACGCCGGACCGAACGCCCACGCCCCGAGCCACGTCAGCGCCTGGCACGCCCCGCAACACACCCCCCCCGCCACCGCCGACGCGCAAGCCACCCAGAGCGCCCCCAGCAGCATCCTCCGTCCCAGCCCGTCCCCGAGCGGCCCCAGCCGCGCCCGCAGCAGCCACGCCAGCGCGCACGCGCTCGCCGCGTTGCACGCCGCGGTCGCCACCACCAACGCGCTGGCCCCGAGTCCCACCGCCGGCCGCGTCAGCCACCAGTCGAGCGCCGCATTCAGCGCCACCATCGCCATCGACACCGCCGCGGGAGACCGCGCGTCGCCCCGCGCCAGATGCGCCCTCGCCAGAACATCTCGCACGAGATACGCTGGCGTGCCGCAGATCTGCACCGCCAGCAGCGACGCGACCGCCGCCGCCGCCGCGAGGTCCATCGCGCCGCGCTGCAGCAGCAGCTGCGCGGCCGGCAGCGCGAGCTGCGGGCCGACGGTCGCCAGCGGGCCCGCCAGCACCAGCGCGACGATGAGGCAGCGCGCGAGGGCGCTGTCGAGAGCCGCCGCGCCGCCCTGGGTCCACGCCGAGGACAGAGCGGGGAGCGTGGGGACGAGGATCGCGCTGGAGAGCACCCCGATCGGAGCCATCGCGATGAGGTTCGCGTAACCGAGGGCGGCGGCAGCGCCAGGGATGTACGATCCGAAGGCCATGTCGGTGGCGACGGCGAGCTGCATCACGCCGGCGCTCCAGAGCGAGGGCCCTGCGATGCGCGCGGCGCGCCGGACGGCCGCGGCGACGGCCTGCGCGTCGTCGCGGAGGCTCTGCGGCGTGTCGACGTCGACGGTGGCCGCGGCGGCTGGCGGCGCGGCGGCGCGGCTCAGCGCGCCGTCGCGCAGGGAGGCCGTCTGTAGGACGATCTGCGCGACGACGCCGGCGACGGCGCCGACGACGAGGGCTCCGCCGTCCGGTGCAGCGGCGCCGCGAGCGTGCGCCGCGGCGATGGCGAGGACGGTGCAGACGCTGCTCGCAGCGGGCATCAGCGTGGCCGCGAAGGACCGCCTGCGCAGGGCCTGGAGGCCCGAGAGCACGCCGGTCGCGCCTGACGCGAGCACGAGGAAGGACAGCCCCCGGAGGAGTTCCGCGGCGGCATTCAGTCCCCCCGGGGGGAGTCCCGGGGCCTGCACGGCCAGGAGCTGGCCCGGGACGAGCAGCACCGCCGCCGCGAGCGGCGCGACGGCGAGCGTCGCGAGGCCCGCGCAGGTACGCGCGAATGCCGCGTGGAGCCTCCGCGGCAGGTTCGCTGCGCCTGTGACGACGCCGCTGTGGATCGGGCCGTTGAGGCCGCCGACGACGACGAAGCAGAAGCCCGGGAGGATCACGGCGTGGTTGAACGCGTCGACGGCGGGGCCGACCCCGTACACGCCAGCGACGACAACCTCTCTCGCGAGCCCGAGCGCCTTGCTGAGGAGGGCGCCGGCCGCGGCGGCGGAGAGCGCGCCCAGGAAGCTCGGCAGCTGCTCGGGGGGGTCGGCCGGAGCCGCCGGGGCGGTCGCACCGCGCCGTGTGCGCGCCCTGGCGTGGTGGGGTTGTCTGGGAGCGCGCGTCGCGCCCAGAAGGCGTGACGTGCCGCTGCGGGCTGGCGGCGGTGTGCGAAAGTACGATCTTATGGCTTGGGCGCGCGTGGGGCGCTTGGAGTGTCGGCGCGGCGCCGCGCGCGAGGCAGTGGGGGTGCGCGCAGGCAGATGTGGCCGAGTACGCCGAATGTGCGCACTCGACGGCCGGCTCCGCGTGCCTCCTGCCATCTCCACTGCGCTAGTATCCAGTTGCGTTGAGCTATGTCTATGTTTCACCGCGGACCGGCGCGCGGTGCGGCGGTGGGCGGGAAGTGGGGGGGAGGCCGGCCGTAGAGGCTGGCCCTGGACGGTCAGCCGCCTCAGTACCCGCCGAAGCCATGGAGCCGGCCGCGGATCCGCCTGCGGGGCAACGAAACGACCGCTCCGGCGCTGTGAGCCCCCAACGGCCGGCCAACAAGTGCCCTGCATGCGTCAGCGGCCAGCACGGAGCCGCACACAGGCCGAAACGAACGCTATGCGGCGGGCCCGCAAAAATCGCGACAGTGACATGCATTGCGGTGCATTTTCAGGCACGCAGCGCGTCTGGGCGCGGCGGTACGGCGGGTGCACAGAAATGACGCGAGGGGGGAAGAGGGCACGCAGCCGCTCGTGCGGCCCCGCCGCGCCGCGTCGTTGCGCGTCCTTGCGTTTAAATGACACAAGCATCGCGAAAATCGTGCGGTTGCCGCACCTGGCCAGCTGCATGTCCCGGATCATGATGGTTACCCTCTTGGCATGGATGGCGCACAGGTTTGTGTCCTCGAACAGGCCGACCATGGCGGCCTCCGCCGCGTCCTGCAGCGCCAGCAGCGCCTCCGCTGTCCACCGGAGCGGCTCGGGGCTGCAGCGGTTGGAGATTTCGCGCACGAGGCGGGCGAAGGGCAGCTTGCGTATCAAGAGTTCCGTCGAGCGCTGGTATTTGCGGATCTCCCGCAGCGCCACCGTGCCTGGCCGGTATCTCCGCTTCGGCTTGTCCGGGTCGCGGCGCTCCTGCTTCTTTTTCGCGCCGCCCGTGCGGCGCGCTGGCGTCGCTTTCGGGGTGCGGGCCATCGCACGGTGCGGCCGCCGGCGCGTGAATCTCTCAGCGCTGACACGCCTGTGCGAGCGGATAGGACTGCGGCCGCGGCGAGGGACCTCGGGCCATCACCGCCGGCCGGGCCCGGGATGTGGACTTGAGTCAGACGTGGTTTGTGGGGGTGTCCGAGGGGGTGTCCGAGACCCCCGTCGACGTCAACGACCCGCGCGCACTGCTGCTGTTGCGGTCGTTCGACCGCGGCCTGGTGCATCTCAGGGGCGTCCGATCGCAGCGTCATGCATGCCGCGATTGCTCTCTGGAACGTGGCTTCTAGGGGGCTGACGGAGGAAGGCACTGCCCCCCTCCCCCCGGCGGGCTTCCTTCTTTGATAGCGGCGTCGGCGCGGAACGTCGAGCGCCCAGTCCGACGCGATGCGGTGCTTGTAGCCTTGTTTGGTGATTCAGATAGCATTGGCTCTGAGCTGACGTGCCACGCACACAGAGAAGGTAAGCACGGACGGCCCACGCCCTGCGCTCGCTCCGTCATCGTCTCGGACGTGCTCCTGGGCGGGGCGCGCGGCGGGGGTGGTGTTGTGCCGCATGACTGTCTCAGACACAGACAGGCTGTGCGCTCGCACGGGACGATCTAGGGGGGCGCCAGCCCGCACGGGGGCCGTTTGAGACCGGCATCGACGCGCGCGCGTGCGTTCTGTCTCGTCCGTGCCGTGAACGAGCGGGCTGTGTGCGTGTGAAGCCCACAAGGGGCTGAGAACCGCTGCGAGCCGCGGCGTGACCGGCCGCTTCGGACAGCCCTACGTCGACGCAGTTCTCACGGCATGCGGATGGCGTAACAGGTCGCGAAATGGTGCGTTGTCCGCCGCCCTGGACGCCTGTACTCCCTGCTGGGAAGGACAATGCGCGCGTCGCGGTGTCCCGTGCCGCGCAGACGGCCATTCTCCCCGCCAGCGATGTCCGACGCATTCCCTCTCATCGGCGCGCCTCGCAGGACATCAGGAACTTCTTCACGAAAAAGGGCGGGTCCGTCGGAGGCAGCGCGAAGCCCAAGGTGAGCACCACGGCCCGTTTCGGCCTGCTACGGCGCCCCCGATCCGTCAGCGAGTGCCTCAGCGATGAGACACGGTCTGTTTCACCCCTGGCTGCGCGCTCCGACCGTTTCGACCGCGTCGCGCAAAGCCCGCCACGATGGCACGAACAGCACGGCGATGCTCCGTGGGGGCTCCCACAGCCTCGCAGCGGCCGCTCAGGCCGCCTGCTTTCGGCAACGCCGTTCCATCGCTCCAGAGTCGCCCGGCCGATGCGAAGCACGCTGTTTCACGCAGCACCGGCGACGCGCGCGCGGCAAGCTCGTGTTGCACGCTCTTGGCGCGGCGGGCCCAGCACGCGCCGCTCCCGCGCCGTTTCGTGCAGGGACAGGACGATAACAAGCAAGATGAGAAGCCCGCAGTCGCCGCCGGCGCGAAGTCCAAAGCGCACGACGAGAAAAAGCCCCTGAAGAAAGGCAGCAAACCCGCCCCCGCTGCTACCGGCGCCGCGAAGTCTCCGCCGCGCCAGGCCGCGAAGAAGCGCCCCGCGGAGACCAAGTCGCCCAAGGAGAAGACTCCGCAGAAGAAGCAGGCCGCCGCGAGCCCGCGGTCGGGGCGCAAGGCGCGCCCTCAGGCGAGAGTGCTGGTCGTGGACTCGGACAGCGACGAGCCCGACGACGACGCCGACGAGGTGCGCGGCCGCGCCCGCTCTCCGCCGCGGCCCGCGCCGCGCCTGCTTGTCCAACGCGAGCGAGAAAATCACCACCAGTCTTGTTTCAACGACTGCTTTCATTCGAGGCCGCATCGCGCAGGACGTGTCGATGAAGGACCTGTCCGCGAGCAGCAGCAGCGACGGCGACGCCGGCGCGGCCGACTCCGACGCCAGCGCGGACTCCGACGTTGAGGTGACGGGCGCGCAGCGGGGCGCGAAGCGCGCCAAGGTGGACACCGCGCCGTCGCCCGCTGCGGCGACCCCGAAGCCGGCCCCGCGGCGGCAGGCGAAGAGCCCCGCGACGGGCCGGAAGAGCGCGGCGAAGAAGGGCCCGGAGTACAGCACGCCGAACGCGGAGGATGCCATCGCGCTCACCAAGACGGCCATCGACCGACTGCCGAAGTGAGTGCCCTGGCGCTCCTGCGGCGCGGCTGAGCTGGAGGATTGCGCGCGCGCGCGCGCTGTCGGGGGGAGGCGGGGCGCGGATCCTGGTTGTGGGTGCAGGGACCGCGTGTTTCGTGTTGTGTTTGTTGTGTTTGTTTGTTTGTTTGTGTGTTTGTTTGTTTGTTTGTTTGAGCGCGCGGTGACACTTGGTTCGATGCGGCGCGCGTGCAGGGACGAGGAGGTGGACTACACGATCGCGGACAACGCGACGTGGGGGGCGGACCGCCCCCCGCAGAAGCCTGGGCAGGCGGACCCCCCCCGGGGCCACCCAGACTGTCTGACCGGCCTGACGTTCGTGATCACGGGGTCGCTGGTCACGCTCACGCGCGAGGAGGCCGAGGACGTGATCAAGCGGCACGGCGGCCGCGTCACTGGCTCCGTCAGCGGCAAGACGTCCTTCCTTTTGGTCGGCAAGGACTGCGGGTCGAAGGTGGAGAAGGCAAAGGACAAGGGAACGCGCCTCATCGACGAGCCGGGGCTGTTCTCGCTGATCAAGGCGTCGGAGCACCTCAAGCCCGACGACGGGCCCGCGATCGGGCCCGCGGTGACGCTCGAGGCGCAGCCCCCGGCGCCGGCGGCCGGGCCCAGCGCGGCGCAGGCGGCGCTCAATGCGGAGGGCCGGCGGCGGCCGAGCGGCGCGGCGGGGAACAGGGCGGTCGGCGCGGAGCTGTGGGTCGAAAAGTACAAGCCGCGGACGGCCAAGGACCTCGTGGGCAACCCCGGCTGCGTCAACAACCTCCGCATCTGGCTCAAGGTGAGCTGCAATACCCCCCCTCCCTCGTCCTTTCCCGCTGTCCGACCGCTTGCGCCGAGCGGAGTCGTCCAGGGGCGGCTGTACGAGATTTCGTTCGCGGTGTACGGGGGCGGACACTCTCACAACATACGCGCGCCGCGTTTGCGCGCCGCACACCTGCGCGTGTCGTCTGTTGTGTTCACCCGCCCGCGCCGCGCCCCCCGACGCGCAGGCGTGGACGAACACGCACTTCCGCGGCCTCCCGCCCCCCACGCCCGCCGGCCAGAGCAAGAAGCTTGACATGAGCAAGAAGGCAGTGCTGCTGTCAGGCCCCCCCGGCATCGGGAAGACGACGACGGCGATGGTGGTGTGCCGCGAGCTCGGGATGGAGCCCGTGGAGGTGAACGCGTCGGACACGCGGTCCAAGTCGGACGCTGACGTGAAGAAAGGGATGGGGGGCAAGGCCAGCAACATCGTCAAGGAGCTATCGACGAACCTCTCGATCTTCCACGGGGCGCGCGCGGGCAGCGGGCTCGCGACGAACAAGGTCATCATCATGGACGAGGTCGACGGCATGTCCGCGGGCGACCGCGGCGGCGCGGCGGACCTGGTCAAGACCATCCAGGCGTCCAAGGTGCCCATCATCTGCATCTGCAACGACAAGTACTCGCAGAAGCTCAAGACGCTCAAGAACCACTGCCTCGAGCTCGAGTACCGGAAGCCCACGCGCCAGCAGGTCGCCAAGCGGCTCCTGGAGGTGTGCAGGGCCGAGGGCCTGAGCACCAACGTGGCGACGCTGGAGGAGCTGGGCGAGGCGACGAACGGCGACCTGCGGCTCGCGCTGGGCAGCCTGCAGATGATCCGGCTGCGCGCGACTACGCTCAGGTTCGATCAGGTCCGGAAGGGGGGTCTGTTGTCGGAAAAGGACTCCACGATGAGCCCGTTCGCGGCGTCGCAGCAGCTGCTGAGCGCGGACTCGAGCAAGCTGTCGATGAGTGAGTGCCCGGGCCGCGCGAGCGTCGCGCACCCTGCTTTGCTTCCCCGGGGGGGTGTATCCTGACGTGTCCGTGTGCGTGCCGTGCGCCGGCGCCCGTGCAGTGGACCGGATGGAGCTGGTGTTCCAGGACATGGACCTCGTCCCGCTGCTCCTGCAAGAGAACTACGTCAACCACCGGCCCGTGATTTGCGCCTCGGAGGCGCAGACGATGCGGTGCGTCGCCAAGGCCGCGGACGCGATCTCGTTCGGCGACCAGATCAACAACGCGATCCGCCGCTACCAGAACTGGGCGCTCATGCCGCTCGGCGCCATCATGAGCGGCGTGTACCCCTGTGCCTACATGCGCGGCCCCCGCGTGGCCTTCGGCGCGTACGACCCGGTGTGGGGGCGCTTCACGGCGTGGCTCGGGCAGAACTCGACCTTCGGGAAGCAGCGGCGGCTGCTGAGCGAGCTGCACACGCGCATGGTGGCGTCCGGCGCGTTCCAGGCGTCGGCGGCCGCGCTGCGGCAGGACTACCTCCCGCTGGTCAAGCAGCGGATCGTCGCGCCGCTGAAGGAGAGGGGGCAGGACGGGATCGAAGAGACGCTGCAGTACATGATGTGCGCGCGCCCGCGAGACACAACTGCACGTGCCTTGCTTGTGTTGGCTCGCGCGTGGATGTGTGCTCAGGGCGTTGGCTGCGCGCGCGCGCGCGTGCGTGCGTGCGTGTGTGCAGGGAGTACCACATCGCGCGCGACGACCTCGAGTTCGTGGCGGACATCACGAAGACCAAGTCGCAGGAGGCGTGGAGCAAGGACAGCGACATGATGAAGGGCGTGGAAACGAAGGTCAAGGCCGCCCTGACGCGCGCGTACAACAAGGGGCACGGCAAGGCCAAGGTCGCGACGGAGCTCGACGACCCGAAGCGGCTCCGCGGCGCCGGGAGCAAGAAGAAGAAGGCGGCCAAGCGCAGGGTGGGGGGGGGGTCGGGCTTGGGGGACGGTGGGCCGCTCGTGGAGGGCGAGGAGGAGCGGCAGGAGGTCGGGGCTGCGGACGCGGAGGAGGAGGAGGAGGGGGAGGAGGACGAGGTCGACCCGGGGGCGCTGGGCGTGGCGTTTGTCGCGCGTGGTGGCAAGGGGGCGCGTGGTGGCAAGGGGGGCGGGCGCGGGCGCGGGCGCGGGAAGAAGTGACGCGGGGTGAGTGAGACGCGGTGGGGTGGTGGGCCGGTGTCACATGTGGGGGGGGGTGTCCCTGCGTGGATGATGATGGCAGCTGTGGGAAAGGGAAAGGGGGGGGGTGAACTGGATGCAGGGGAGAGTGTCGTGGATACTGTGGACTTGGTTTCGAAAGGGACGCTCGGGGGTGGCGGGGGCGCCAGCGGGTGCAAAAAGCGGACTACCGGCGGCAAGCAAGCTGTGCGAAGGGGCAGGCCCTTTCGCGCGCACAGCAATCGAGGTTTCTCAATTGATTGTGATTTTCCAGCCCGAGGAGCACGACGCGACTCCTCTCTCTCTCTCCGAGCGGCACGACGGCCGCGGCCTCGCGCACGCGGCTAGATGCGCGCGGTGTTGTAGCTCCCGCAGTGCCCGCAGCCCATGCCGAGCACGTGCCACGCCACCTGCCCGCGCCACGCGCAGTCGTTGCACAGCACATGACACGTGGTGTTCCGGTACTCCTCCGGCATCGGCGTGGCCTCGATCTGCTGCCGCGTGAACTCCCAGTTCGCGACGAACATCGTGCGCTGGCACCACGGGCACCGGTAGTTGTTGCTCGCGCAGCACGCGTCGAAACACTCGCGGTGCATGACGTGGCCGCACACGAGCACGTGGAGGCTCTTCGTGCTGTCGAAGAGGTACTCGAGGCACACGGGGCAGTCCTGCTTCGTGGCCGACTCCACGCACTTGTGCTCCCCGCACCCGTTCTTCTCAAAGCACGCCTCGCACCGGTCGCAGTGCCAAAAGTGCTCCGCGCCGCCCACGCGGCAGATGCCGCACTTGTCGCAGTGGAACTGCTCCTTCGAGACGTCTGCGAGCAAACCGAGCGGCCGCGGGCGCGTCAGCGCCAAGCGCTCGCGGAAACCGGCCCGCGTGCCGCAACAACCACGCCAGGGCAGCAAGGAGCGCACCATCGTCGAAAAAGTTGCACTTCAGGCACGCGTAGCGCCCGAACGCGGCGCCGCAGCTGCGGCACGACGTCCCGACGGGCTGCTCGGTCCCGCAGAGCGCGCACTCGACGCTGCGCACGCGGTGGCGGTCGAGCGTGTGCCGCTTCCTCACGTCCGGTTCCTCGTCGTTCTTGGCCGCGTTGTGGCAGAAACGGCACCAGAAGAGCTCGTCGCAGTCCGGGCAACGCAGCTTGCACCGCCGGCGGTAGTGCTCGCAGCCGTGCTCGTCGCACCCGGCCGCCAGCCTCTCCTGGTGCAGGCAGTTGGGGGCCACGTCCGCCGCCTGGGGCGACACGCACAGGGCGGACTCGAAGCCCTCGGAGTGGGCGTCGTCGAAGCTGAAGCTGCCGTCCACGGACTTCGTCGGGCGCTCTTCCGCGCTGTGCTCGTGCGCGTGCGACGAGCCCTGCGCCGTGCACCCTGCCTCCGGCCCTGCGGCCCTGTCCTGCTCGTCCAGGGCGAGGATGCTGCCGTGGGAAGCGCACGACCGCATAGAGCACCCTGTGGCCGACGCGCGCCCGGGGTTGTCCAAGCCGCCACCCCACGGCGCTTCATTCAGGACAGGTGCCCTCCACATACCGCTCTCTCGTCGTTCCGGCGCTCAGGTGCCGCAACGACGCTCGCGGGGAGCCCCTCAGATCAGGAGGGGACCACGCTGGCGAGAAAACGGCGCTCGGACGCCTCAAACGCAAACGGGGTGCCGTCTAGGCGACTCCAGCCTGGATCTCTCTGCAGCTAGTGCCAGGAAGGCCGCTCCAGGTTCGGGACTACGGGCAAGCTGGCGTTTCGCGCTTCGAGGACGGTCCTCCAGCTGATGTGGCCGCGGCGCGCCCCGGGACGGCGCATTCAGTCCGCTAGCCGCGCCGCATCGCCCCCCTCCTGAGGTGGAGCTGCTGACGCCAGCTCCAGGAAATGGGGGCCCCCGCCGCCCGCGCAACGCCGCGCCGGCGGTCCTGGCGGGCGCACTGCCGCGGCGGCGGTCGTCCTGGCGAGTCCCTCGCTGCAGCGGGGACACGGGGGGAGTTCGCCCCGGGGCGCGCGGTGGGGGCGGAGGCGACTGGCGATGAGCTCAGAGGAGTGCGCGCAGTGCGGGGCGCGGGGGGGCGCGCTGCAGTGCTGCTCCATGTGCAGGGCGGTGTATTACTGCGGCCCGGAGTGCCAGGTACGGGTCGCGCGCCAGCGGAACGGCGTGTGCGGCGCTGCCGGGCGCAAACCGTTTCTGGAGGCTGTCTCTTCGTGCCGTTCGAACCACGCGTGCCACGTCACAGCGCGCTGCGCGCCGCGAACGCGCAGCACATCGCTCGCGTTTCGTGCTGACGCGTGTGCGGCGCAGAAGAAGCACTGGAAGGAGCACAGGAGCCACTGCAAGCAGGTCACTGCCATCACTGTCGAGGGGCACACGGTCGAGGAAGTCCGCGTCCCGGCGTCGAGCGTGCCGACTGCGAAACGCGTTCCGCGCGGCTGGGTCCGCTGCCCGGTGCCGCACATGCTCGGCGTGCCCCTATATATCAAGCGTGGCCTCGGACAACTATCGAAACAGGTCTTCCAGGAACAGGTCGTCTATATGATGGTCGACCCGGTCAGCGGGTTCGCGCCGCCGGACTGGCAGGGCGGGCCGGCGATGGGGTTCGTCGGCAAGTGCATGCTGGCGCGCGCGGACGGCGCCGACATGTCAAACAAGGTCTACCGCGAATTATTTGACTACATATGGTATCTGATGGACTTTTACACCGAGGGGCGCGGGGAGGAGGTGGCGAGGGAGATGCTGGACCCGGAGAGCTTCGCGGAGCACGTCGCGTCGCGTCGGGGCATGATTCGGTACGATTGCGAGAACGTCGACGTCGGAGACGACGCCAGCGACGACAGCGGCAGCACAAGCAGCGAGGCGGGCGGGAGCTGAGCGCGGAGGGCGTGGCGGGCGCCGGGGCGCGCGTGCGCGTGCGTGTGAGGCGGCACGGCGTCGCTGTGTGCGTGCGGTGTCGCTGCTGGCGTCGCGGGCGGGGACCGAGCTGGCCGACACGCCGCGCGAGTGCAGCGAGCCTGCGCGTGCCTGCATCGCCGCGCTCGAACAACGCTGGGCTCGCGCCGGCGGCGGGTAGCTTCTTCTGGATGCCGCGCTGTGTGTGAGCGTGCTCGGTGCACGGGGCGGTGCCCGGGGGGCGTGTCAGGCGCGACAGTGAAGGAGAGGCACTGCGTCGAGGTGCGTGTGCGCGGCGCAGCGTCTGGCGCGCGCAGTGCGTGGCTCAGCCTGCCATGCTGCCCTACGGCGGTCTCAGGTGCCGCCACAGCGTGGCGGGGGGGGGGTTGGTGCGTGGCAGTCTGCCAGGTAGAAAAAAGCAGCAGCTCGCCGATATCGGGGGTCCTGGGGGCGGAGCTGCCGCAGTTGAGCAGCGCTTGCTCCGCGCGGCGTGGCAGGCGTGGTGTAGATCCGAAGGGGTGTGTTGCGGCGGGCGTTTGCGCTGTGAGAGCGTGCTGCATAGCTGAGGGGCCGCTTCGCGGACCAGGAAGGTGGGGGCGGGCCCCGTGCGGTCAAGATGGGGAACAACGCGTCCGGAGGGATGGGGTTCCCGGGTGATGGGAAGGACGGGAAGAACAAGGTGCGCCGGAGACGGTGTTTTCCCGAACTCGGTGGTGCTGTTGAGTGTGGCCGCGGCGCGCAGGGCGCTGGCGGCCGCGAGGGGCGTTGCGGACCGCCCGTGCCGCTCAGATCTTGGCGGATGCGCGTGGTTGCGACGAGGAATCGATCCGGGCGGCGCCGCGCGTGCCTGTGGCGCGCTCGAGCTTGACTGGCACTGTGTAGACATCAGCCGGGAGACGCTCGTAGCGGGCTTAATCGGCACCGATGCGCGGCCCCGCACCCCGCTCCGTGCTCGTTCTCGGCGTCCGCGGCGCCAGACGCGGCGGAGTCCCCGCACATTGCGCGCTAGGCGCCTGGAGAGGCCCCAGAGCATCCTCGCGCGGTTTTTCCGCGCACAGCCTGCACGCAAGGCCCTCAGAGACCGCTCGCACGCCCCGTCGAGCCATGATCCTTGCAACTCCGCATCGACTCTCCTCGTTCTCGCGCCGCTCCGTCGGCCCCGGCCCCAAGTCCCTCTCACGCGAGCTTCCCAGTGCGAAACGAAGCGCCGCGGGCCGCCCGCCCCCCCGCATCGCCGCTGCAGGAGCAGAAGAAGAAGTGGGAGCCACCGGCGCCCCCACCGCGCGTCGGCAAGAAGCAGCGGCGCATGCGCGACGTGACGCACGGCCAGAAGCTCCCCGTCGTGACGCCCGCCGCGCGCTGCAAGCTCCGCCTGCTCCGCCTCGAGCGCCTGAAAGACTACCTCCTCCTCGAGGAGGAGTTCGTGCGCGAGCAGGAGCGCCTGCGCGGCGGGCCAGACCGCGAGGGCCGCGGCGAGGACGACCAGAGCAAGCTGGACGACCTGCGCGGGTCGCCGCTGAACGTGGGAACGCTCGAGGAGATCATCGACGAGAACCACGGCATCGTGTCCTCGTCCCTCGGGCCGGAGTACTACGTAGGGATCATGTCGTTCGTCGACAAGGCACAGCTGGAGCCGGGCTGCACGGTGCTGCTCCACAACAAGACGCTCTCCGTCGTCGGGCTGCTCCAGGACGAGGCGGACCCGATGGTGAGCGTCATGAAGGTCGAGAAGGCCCCGCTCGAGAGCTACGCCGACGTCGGGGGACTCGAGCAGCAGATCACGGAGATCAAAGAGGCCGTCGAGCTGCCGCTGACGCACCCGGAACTGTACGAAGAGATCGGGATCAAGCCGCCCAAGGTGAGTCCCGCGCCCGGGGCGGAACGGCCCGTGCGCGCGTGGGGCGCACCGGTGTGTTGCAGAGCGGCTAGCGACGCGCGCGGCTCCGCGTAGCGGCGAGCGCGTCCCACGCAGTCCGAGCGTGTCGTGCGCGCAGGGCGTCATCTTGTACGGCGAGCCCGGGACCGGCAAGACCCTGCTGGCCAAGGCGGTCGCAAACAGCACGTCCGCGACGTTCCTCCGCGTCGTCGGCTCGGAGCTCATCCAGAAGTACCTCGGCGACGGCCCGAAGCTCGTCCGCGAGCTCTTCCGGTGCGCCCCGGCCCCACCACCCACCGCACGCACCCACCCACTTCCAACACCCCTCCCCCGCGTCCGACTCGCGTATCCACACGGCGCCGCCCGGGCCGCGCGTGCGCGCAGGATCGCGGACGAGCAGGCCCCGACGATCGTGTTCATCGACGAGATCGACGCGGTGGGCACCAAGCGCTACGACGCGCACTCGGGCGGGGAGAAGGAGATCCAGCGGACGATGCTGGAGCTCCTGAACCAGCTCGACGGGTTCGACTCGATGGGCGAGGTCAAGGTCATCATGGCGACGAACCGCATCGAGTCGCTCGACCCCGCGCTCATCCGCCCCGGGCGCATTGACCGCAAGATTGAGTTCCCGCTGCCCGACCAGAAGACGCGGCGGCGCATCTTCCAGATCCACACGTCGCGCATGACGCTCGGCGCGGACGTGAACCTCGAGGAGTTCGTGATGAGCAAGGACGAGCTGTCGGGCGCCGACGTAAAGGCGGTGTGCACCGAGGCGGGGCTGCTGGCGCTGCGGGAGCGCCGGATGCGCGTGACGCACCAGGACTTCAAGGAGGCCAAGGAGAAGGTGCTGTACAAGAAGAAGGAGGGCATCCCCGAGGGGCTGTACATGTGAGGCGAGCACGTGGGCCACATGCGTGTGCGCGCGAGTGACGCCGAGGTTGGCCGACTGGCCGCGGCGCGGGGGGGTTGCGCGTGGTGCGTGGTGCGTGGTGCTTGTGGGTGGGGGAGCGTGGGCGGCGGGGCGGGGTAGTGGTGGTGTATGACGGCTTTTCGCATGACAGGCCACGCGGGGGACGGCGGTGACGAGGGGAGCTGAGTAGCGGTCGGCACGTCGCCACACAACGCGGACAATGCCGCGGACTCAGTCACCGCTGTCACCCAGCCGGCTGCCGACACCCCCTGGTACAAGCAGCCTAGGACGTCGACCAGCACTTCGGCGTGTCGGCTGGCGGGCGTCGTCCAGTACTCGCGCGGCTCGCCGCGTTGTTGCTGACGACGCCCGCCACTCACTCTAACTGATTGCAGGTCAGAGCCTTCCCTTGGCACATGATGGCACGCTCACATGGCATTTCGCGCGAGTACTCCTAGCACGCTGCCGCCTTGATCAGGACGATAGCACACCCGCATTTCGTTTCGTGCGCGGGTGATCAATTACTACTCTGTGTGGATGGGGAGCAGTGAGGGCAGGGGGGGGGGGTTTGGTTTGTTGATGAGGGTCGCGGGGGCGCTGTCAGGGGCCGGGCAGCAGCGGCGTTCGCCCGCGGATGGCGGGGGGTGCGGCTCGGCGTGGACCGGGGGAGTGTTGTTGCGCGTCAGACGGGAGCGGAAGGACTCCAGAACATGGCGGAGGTGTCCGGGGTGCCTTGGGCGGCCCACGCGCGGCTCTGGCGCGCATTCTCGCACACGCCTTCAGTGTTCGACATCACAGGAAGGTGTCGTACATTGCGGGAGGACGAACAGCTTGAATCTACCCGCGAGCGCTGCGTCGCAAGAAAGCCGGGCAAGGCTTGTGCGGGCCGTGCGCGGTGATGCGTCGCTGACACGCTTCGTTCCGCAACGTAGCGACATTCTCGTAGCATAAAGAGTCTAAGCCATCCGTGCATAGGGAGTGTCTTGCGCTACAGCGGCATGGCGGCAGCAGAGAAGGTGGCGAGTGCCATGCACGAGTTTCGCCACCAGGGCCGCGTGGTGTACCGGTGGAGGCAGACGGTCGAAGAGGTCGAGGTGTTCCTCGACACCCCGCCGGGCGTGCGCGCCGCCCACCTCGACGTCAGCATCAAGCCACGTCACCTGACAATAGGCATCAAGGGGAACCCCCCCTACCTTGACGTGAGTCGGCGGCGACGCCCGCCCGCACGCGCGCGGACTCCCTGCTGCACCGGCGGCCGACACAGGGCGCCGCGGCGTTCCTGCGAGGACGACCGCCCTCGCGATGATGATGTGTTGCCCTTTTACATTTGAGTGATTCTGGAGGAGATGCGCGACGGTCGGTTGTTCGTGTGTGCGCGTGTCGGTGCAGCACGAGCTCGGCGGGCAGGTGAACGTGTCGGAGAGCACGTGGACGCTCGACGGGGGGTGTTTGACGGTAGAACTGAGCAAGGTGCAGCTGGGCGTGTTGTGGCCGGCGGCGTTCCAGGGCCACCAGCTGGACGGCGCGGACCTCGAGGCGGACAAGAAGTCGCTGATGCTGCAGCGCTTCCAGATGGAGAACCCGGGGATGGACTTCAGCGGGGCCGCGTTCAACGGCGAAGTGCCTGACTCAGCAACCTTCATGGGGGGCATGCGGAGAAGCTGACGTCAGGCGCTGTGAGCCCCGGTGACGCGTCGCCGCGCAGTTCGCGCGCGAGGGGACTCGCCGGGGGTCCGCGCCTCGGGGCTGCGTCAGGGGGGGATCTTTTGCATGTTTTGGTGGTTTTACTTTCGTGTGGTCGGTGTTTTCGCCGCGTTCAGCGCCGGACGCGGCGCAGTGCGTGCTCGAGCGGGCGGACGGTCGGGCCTGCAAGGGCGCTGCGCGCGCGCGTCGTTCCGCCCACAATGGACGGGTGCATTGGAGGTGTGAGGGGGCGCGCTTGTGCCGCCGTGCACGCGCGACCTCCTGCCCAGTGCACTCGAGCGCGTGCACCACGCTTTCAGAGATGTTTTTCGATACCGAAACGGAGCGTTCGTCGCCCGAACGAGCCGCGGAGAGAGCAGGGACATCCGCTGCACAGAGCGATGGCCTCGTCGCCCGCAGCGCCGCGTACGGCCGACGTGGCGCACGCGAGCGCTCTTCTGGAGCCCCTGGATCTCGGGCCGGGAGTGCGGCTGGAGAGCCCGCTCATCCTCGCGCCGATGGCCGGCTACACGAGCTGGCCCCTCCGGCAGCTCTGCTTCGAGTACGGCGCAGAAATGTACGCACGGCGACCGCATCTGCGCACGTTGGTCCCGCTATATGCGATGCTGGGCGTGGACGTCCTACTCCAGGGGCAGGATGCGCACACCAGGCTGTTTTCACACTGCAACCTTTCTCCACGCATACCGTCCCCGCAACGCCCAGCAGCGAGCCCCACGCGTGCATGGCGAGGCGGCGCTGCTCCTCGAGGTTTCCGCACAGCGCCGCCAAGCCCCCATAACACCCATGCCGTCCGGGCGCGCCACGCCTGGTAGTTGCCGGCTCGCGCCGCTCTCGCGCTGCCGTGCCGCCAGACGCCCGCGCACCGCCGGCGCGGGCGACGCAAGCCAGAGCGGCGCGAGCCGGCAACTACCAGGCGTGGCGCGCCCGGACGGCATGGGTGTTGGGGGCTTGGCGGCGCTGTGCGGAAACCTCGAGGAGCAGCGCCGCCTCGCCGTGCACGTGGACTTGGGGGACAATGCCCCTGCCCATCACTCGCGACCAGCTCCACACCGTCCGTGATGCGACGGTGGGAGACCCGATGATCACGCTACGCATCCTGTACGATCTCGTTTATAACGAGAAGGATGAGATGCGTAGCACCATCATCGGGTCTCCCATCGTCGCATCACGGACGTTGTGCAACTGGTCGCGCGTGATGGGCAGGGTTCTTGCCACCAAGTTCACGTGCATGGCGAGGCGGCGCTGCTCCTCGAGGTTTCCGCACAGCGCCGCCAAGCCTCCATAACACGCAGCGTCCTTGCACGTTGCGTGTCCATGCCAGAATCTTCGCCTGGAAGAAACGTAGTGGTTCTTGCATCATCGATCGAGCTTTCCCAATGTGCAGGTGCACGTCGGAGATGATCATCGCCTCCACCCTCCTCGACCGCTCGCCGCGCGCCCAGCACCTCGCCCGCATGGGCCCGGACGAGCACCCGCGCTCCGTCCAGCTCTACGGCATCGACCCGGCGCGCATGCGCGACGCGGCGAAGCTCCTGGCCACGGAACACGGCGCGCAACACATTGACATCAACCTAGGTCCGGCGCCCAACACACACCGCCGCCGACGCACCCACCGCTTTCTCACGCATGCGGCGCACTGGCGGCAACGCGTCCGTGGCGCGGGACGTCCGCGTGATCGCGCGCTTGGCCCTCTGCAAACGTCGCATCCGCACGCAATAAGGTTCCGTTGGTGTTGCGGTGCGTGTTGCGGCGTGCAGGGTGTCCGGTGCGCAAGGTCACGGCGCGCGGCGGCGGCGCGGCTCTGACGGTCCGCTGGGGCCTCGTCGGGCGGCTCGTGGCCGCCACCGTCGCTGGCGCAGGCCCCGGCGTGGCGGTGACCATCAAGACGCGACTCGGCATTTCCGACGACTTGCTGACGTTCAAGGAGACGGCAGCGGCGGCGCGCGACGCGGGAGCGGCGGCGGTGACGCTCCACGCGCGGACGGCGGAGCAGCTCTACGCCCCCCCGGCGCGGTGGGGGGGTATTCGCGAGCTGCAGGACAGTTTGGGTCTGCCCGTGATTGGCAACGGGGACGTGCGCGGGGGGCACGACGCGGTGCGGATGGTGCAGGAGACGGGGTGCCGCGGGGTGATGGTCGGGCGTGCGGCGCTGGGGCGGCCGTGGGTGTTCCGGGAAGTAGCTGCGGCTCTGAGGTGAGTCGAGGGGAGCGCAGTCGAGGGCTTGGCAGTTGAGGCGTGCTCATGCATTGGTGACTCGGAGCGCTTTCCTTCCCGTTGGCGTGCACTGAGCACGCAACAGGACGCTGGCGACCTCGCGCTGCTGCTGCTCCGCCCGCCGCGTGTCCCGGAGGATCGTCGCCCGGGACGGCCGGAGCGGGCGTAGGCCTGGTCCATGTTGGGGAACAGGGCAGGTCCTCGAGGTCGTTGACGAGGCGCTTTCGATCATCGTCAACGACGTCGAGGACGCCCTGTTTCCCTACATGGGCCAGAGCTGCGACGTCTCCGGCCGGCCCGAGCGGATCCGGGCGGGCCCCGAGATCCAGGAGCGATGACGGGCATACACGGCGGCCGCAGGGCAGCCTGAGCTCTCCACGTGCCACACGATGCGCGTCGCGGCGACGCTTGCCCACTCCAGCCGACCGAGGTCGGTGCACGCAGCGTGCGAAGGGCTGGCTGGTGCGCACTGACGCGACTTCTGGTTTTGTGCCTCTGTGCGCGCAGGGGGCAGCCGGCACCCCCCCCTCCTGCGCTCGCAGAGGTGGTGGCAGTGGCGCAGCAGCACGTGCACGGGCTGGCGGACTGGGAGGGCGACGAGCTGACCTCGGTGCTGAAGATGCGGTCGCTCGTCCCGCTGTACCTCCTCGGGTTCCCCTCCGCCGCGGAGCTGCGCAAGCGGCTGCAAAAGGCCAACTCGCTCGGAGATTGGGAGGCTGCGATCGCCGTGCAAGACTGGGATCCAAAGGTATGACACGCCCGTGTCATGCATGGGCGGAGAGTCCGAGTGCGCGAGGCGAGGCTGGCCGTCGCCCGCCCCTGCGATGCGGAGAGATACACTACGCTTTTGGGTGTTTTATTGGTTTCTTGTCTTGGTTGTTACCGGCCGCTTGGTTGTGCCGGTGTGTCACCGGCGCGTGTGCTGTGCGATGGAGCGCAGGAGGCGCCGGATCCGGCGGCGGCGGCGGCTGCTCGTCTGAAGGGGAAGGAGCCTGAGGGGTACAAGAAGAAAGTGGCACTCCCCCCCGGGTGGCTGGACTCGTGGGGCGGCACGGAGGACGTCGAGGGCGGGACGGACGACGCGTGCGAGGGCTGACGGGCGCGGCTGCCTGCGCCTTCGCACCCGCGAGGCACGGGCCGTGATAGAATACGTATCATACCTGTCATCAGAGACGCTCAAGGCGCGCTGTGAAGCTTGGGCTGTGGCGACGCTCCCTTAAGTGCGTGCGCGACACGTGCAGCGGCGTGCGAGCGGATTCGCAGCACTCAACACCACAGCACTGCCGTGCGATCGCCTCAACAACAATCATTGATCTATTGCAAAGTGTACAGTCTGTATGCGTCTTGGTGGTGGGTGTCGCGAGCGCGGCAAGATCCCGTTCCCGAGGCAGCCTGGGTGCACGACTTCGGGCCACGCGAGCGACAGCCCTCACATGGTGCACATCGCGGCGCCACCGGCCAACGCCGACCGACCCCGCACTCGGCACCCTCGACGCCGCGGTGCGGGGTGCCCCGCCCCCGCCTGTGCCATCACCCGGCGTCCTCCCGTACTCCCTTCTTCTTTGCACTCCAAAACCCCCCCAGAGCAGTTCTGGGGCGCCGTACTCCCCCCGCGGCGCCCGCCAGCGGCGCGGCACGCTCTCCTCGCGGCCGCGGTCACCACTTGAACTTCACGATGACGCACGTCATGTTGTCGCAGCCCACGCCGCGCGTCTCCTTCGGGTCCTGCGCGAGGCACCGGTCGAGGAGCAGCGACGACACCTCGTCCGGGCTGTACACCCCGCCGCTGGGCTTCGGCTTCCCGAGCCGCTCCCGCACGAAATCGACCACCTGCTGGTTGTTGAGGACGTCCCACACGCCGTCGCAGGCCATGACGACGAACTCGTCCTGCCCGGGGCGGAGGGACTGGTGCTGGATGTCCGGCTCGGCCGTGATGATCTGGTCCTTCGGTGGGAGGTCCTTGTTGGTCTTGTACCGCAGGTCCCCGATCGCGCGGGACAGGTTAAGATTGGCGTTCACGCGCGCAACGCCGCCAATCTCGCTCACGAAGCCGCCTGCGCGTCCGGGGCGGCGCGGCGGCGTCGGGCGCGCGTGTCTGGTGCGTGGGCGGGGTGGCGCGCGCGGGGCACGGCGCGGGGCCGCGCCGCGGGGCGTGGCGGTGGTGCCAGGAGAGCAGGAAACACGCACCCGCATTGTAAATCCGGCTCTTCTCGCGATCTTGGCTGGGCTTGTGGTCGTGCGACATGGCGATGGCCTGCCCGCCGCGGCAGAGGACGGCTCGGGAGTCCCCCGCGTTCGCCACGTAGAGGTCATTGCCCTTTACCAGGACCACGACAGCAGTGCAGCCGGCCTGGACGTCGTTCGCCGGGTCCATCTCGGCGCCCGGGCCGTCGCCGTTCTCGTCTGCGCGTGGTGGAGGTGTGGCGGCGGCGTCGCGGGTGCGGGGGGCAGGGGAGCGCGGCGGAGGGGGGTACGCGCCTCGCCTGGCTGTTGACGCGTGCAACGCGTCGCGGGCGCCGCACGGGCGTGCCGGCCGGGACGGCGGGATCTTGCACGTTTCAGGCTTTGCGTGGGGCGCGGTCGATGTCGCGCTGGGCCGCCGGCGGCCGCGAAACGAGCCGTCCGGCTTTTCAGGTCGGGCCGGCCGCGCGGGGCGCGAGCGCGCGAGATACGCGCGCTTCCAAGCGAGGTCGTCGGGCGCAATGCACGCTCGGGGTAGGGGCTCACTGTTGTCGTTGCGCCGCGCCTCGAACCACTTCCTCAGCAGGTCGAGCGCATTGGGTTCCGAAGCCTCCCCGCCGCCGCCCTCCTCGCTGCCCTCGCCCTCTTCCCGCATACCCTTGAGTTCCTCGGCGAACGCCTTCTCCGCGAGCATTTCGTCGATGCGGTGGAAAGCCTGCGCAGCGAGCGCGCCACCTCGGCACTGCTCTTTAGACCGCCGCACCGCGCACACGCGCCAGGTATTCGCCACCTCGCGCACGACCCAGCCCCCACGCGCGCACCCGCAGCCGCGGCGGGCCGCCATGCGCCCGAAACAAGGCCCAGGCCGACGAACGCAGCGTAGGTCAGCGCCACCAGCGAGCAAGGGGCGCGGTTGCCGCGCGGCGGCACGCGAGCCGATCCCTCGAATCGCACGGGCTGCGAGATCGTACACGGCCCATGCGGCGGCCGCCCCCGGGGCGCGCCAGGCGCCCGCACGGCGCCCCGCGGGCGCTCACCTGCACCAGGGAGCCGCCCATGTCGCCCCTCTGGAACGGCTCGAGCTTCGTGACCTCGTCGGCCATGTACTTCTGGCAGAAGCGCGCGACCTCAGCGCCCCCGTGGCCGTCGAAAACGCCGAAAATCGCCGCGTCCTTGTCGCCAGCCAGGCTCGTCTTGGCCAAGTGTGCATCCTCCATCGTGCGTCTCCACCCCTGCATCGCGGAACCGCCGAACTCCAGCTTGCCGTCGCTGCCCCTAAACTCCTCCTTGTCCCGCACTGGTGCGGACAGGTACGCTCCCATCGTGACCTCCCCGCCCGCGACGACGCGTGGGACAGGCCCGCAACTCGGCTCCTCAGAAGCTACCTCGGGCTCCCCCCGCGCGCAACAAGGCGCCTTACTTGACGCGGACCTGCGACTGCCGGGCCGCAGTGAATTTACGCGAACGCTATGCCGAGCGGCGCCGCGCGCCGCGCCCCGACGAAGCCGCGGCGGGCCCTCGCCGGGATCAGTCGGCCGGTCTGACACCAACACGTGCCCCCGACGCCGCTCGCACGCCCGCGTTCGCGGCGCCCGCGAGACCCGCGACGCAGCCCCTGCTCGCTCTACCGCTTCGAGACGCGAAGCCAGCGCGGTTCGATGCCGACCGCGCGGCTGTGTGCGACACCCCTCCACAGGACCGCCACGGCCACGGAACCATCAAGCTGAGCACAGCAACGCGCCCGGACACGCCCCGCTCACGTGGTGCACGGGCGGGCCGATCGACGGAGCACGACCGCCGCGGCGCCTCGCGAAACGTGCCACAGTTGCTGCGCGCGACAGGGGGGGGCCGCTGGCGTCGTGCGCGCCGGCAGGCCCAGCCCGCGGCGCCGCTGGAGCAGCGGCGTGCACGTGGCCCCTGCGCGCGATCGGGCCACGCGTGCGTCCGAAACGCAGTGCGCAGCGATGGAGCAGCGCCACCGTCGCGCTTGCACTGCGTGCGGATCGGCTGCCAGCGATCGGCGCGGCCCGCGCTGCCGCCATGAGATATGTGCGATTTACGGGCTCTTCGGGACGAGCTCGCGTCCACAACGCGCGAGGTCCGGCCGAAGAACAGTCCGTCAAAGGTGCCGCTGTTGCCTGGTCGCTGGCGTCGGTGGCCTCGGCCGCGCCGGCGCCACAGCGAGGCTACGGGTCACAGTGCTTCAGAGCTCCTCGCGCGCGTGGTGCGATGCGGGGCTCCGGCGCTTCGCGGTCTTGTACAGCAACCCTCGCGTTTGCTCGCACACGTGCGTGTCGTCGTCGAACGGCGCCCCGTCGAAGCGCGTCTTGTACTCGTGCCGCCAGAACGTGACGTCCTGTGGGAAACACACCGAGTCGAGCACGTACCCTGCAGGGCGCTCGCCAGGCACACAAAGAGGGGGAGTGAAGTGGGTATGAGTGTCGGGACATGACGTCGACTGCGTGCGAAGCGGGGGCGCAATGTGGAGGCAGTGATGAGGGAGTGCTGTGGCGCACGCGCGCGCCGTCCCAGGCGGCGTCCCGACGGCCTGCAACGCGCATGCGCGGCGAGCGATCGCGCGCACCTCGCTTCCCCAGGGCCATCTTGTCGCACTCTCGGAAGATCGTCTTGTAGATGTCTATCGGCTTCGAGTCCCCCTCCTTGTGGCAGACCAGCCGGAACTGCACAGAGTACAACACCGTCAACGGCAACGGCTCAGAACCCCCCCATCAACACCCCCCCCCCTCACACCCCACGACGCTGGCGCCCGCCCTGATCGCGAGCGCACGAACCAGCACGGCGGTGGCAACGGTGCTGGCGGCGCTGAGGCGCGGACGCACGTTCTCTTCGCGGTCGTCGCCGCAGTTGACCACGTTCCACTGTTTTTCGCCGCGGGGGCACTTGAGCTCCTTCGCGCCCCCCGCCGCGTGGACACCCAGCGCCAGCAGGCCGAGCACCACGACCAGCAGGGCGCGCGCGGCGGCGGCTGGCATCGCGGCGCAGTGCTATAGCAATAGCAGCAGAGTGGTGTGTCGGGGTCCTGAAGGTGTGCCGCGCGACGACGATGGGTGTGCCTGCAGGGAATGAATCGTGGGAGCAGGCTGTGAGCGGGGTAGCGCAGCGCGATGCGGGAGGGCGCGGGCCCCGCGAGGTGAAGAAGTCCCCGCAGGAGATGACGGCCGACGCCGAGCATCAGCCGTGACCTGGCGCTCGACGTGCGGAACTCGATGTTCACGTGTGCGACGACTCAGCGCCGCTCGCGGCGACCGTATGGACGCAGCGTGCGAGCGCCAGAGGCTCGCCCTTCAGGCGAGGGCCCTGGCTCCGGTACGCACCTCGCGCGCACGACACGCGTCCCTTCTTGCCTCTGCCGTCAGCGGAGAATCTGGCGTGCCCGCGCAGGGCCCAACGCCGACGTGCGGTCTCCGCGCGCCCTTTATTGTTTTACAGCATGACACCAGTGAGGCCTGAGGTGGCCCCATAGCGCTGACGTCATGGCCTCGGCCCGCCCGCGGTGGCACGCAGTGCACGTTCCATGCGATCGGCGGCAGGTTCAGCTCGGTGTTCACGCGGCTGAGCAGCGACGGCCACGCCCCTCTGTAGCCAGGTTGTCTGCGCCCCTCCCGCAGCGGGAGAGGCACGCAGTGGCGTGTTATCCACGCCGTTTACACCGCATAGACTCAGTGAGGTCCGTTGCGTGGCTGATTTGGAGGATTCGAGGCGGTGTGCGCTGGTCCAGGGGCGTCTGGGCAGGCAGGGAGGATTGCGCTGGGGGAAAGAAGGGCGTAGAGGGGTGTCAGGGCTCTCAAAGCGCCTGTTGGCGCACTCTATTGCACAAATTAACACCTAAACTAGCTGGATTTTGGCAAGGAACGTGAGAAGAGAGACATCACGGTGGAGAAATGGCGGAGAAAGACAGCGCTGTCGCCCAGCTGGACGACGCCGCGTCGTTTCCGCTCTTCTCCGAGCTCCCGGAGAGCGTCCAGGCAAGCCCACGTCCTCTCCTTGCGACAAGATACGCCCGGCGGCTGCGAGGGCCCGGTCGCTGGCCGTGTCGCTCGAGATTCGCAGGGACCTGCGACAAGTCCTTCTCATCCTCGAATGTTCCGCTCTGGTGCCGCAGGCCTACGTCGCGTCCTTCGTGGAGGACGTGAAGGATCTGAAGAGCCTCGCGTGCACTTCACGCGCCATGCACCGCGTCACGGCGCACTACCGCGAGCGATGGCTGTGTTGCAAGGCCTGCGCCCGTCGCCTGTTCGCGGAGCGCGCCGTCATCGAAGAGTACCCCGGCTCCTCGAAACTCGGATTCCAGATACCGCGCGTCGGCGACGGCCCAAGCGTCCGCGTCGACGACGCCCGCCACTTCGCCACTGACGGTGCGCCATCGCTCGCACAGCCGTGTCATGCCCCTCGCCGGCGCCTCTGCACCCGCCCGCGCCCACCCGCCATCCCGCAGTCCGCGGCATGCAAGCCGCGTCGCTCGCTGTGCCGCCGCATCACAGTCCCCCCCCGAGCTGCGCCCCACTCCCCCCCCTGCTCTTCCCGCCCGCAGAGACCGCCCCAGCGGATCGGAACCTCATCTACTACTTCTTCGCCTTCCACGGGATGCGCTGGGCCATCGAGCCGTGGTTCAAGCCGCTCGTGCGCCGCCTGCGGTGTCCGAACTGCCGCTTATACCTCGGCATGGCCATCGACGAGATTCCCGACCCCCCCGAATACTCCCCCACCGGAAACGCTCTCTACTCGTCCTCCAGCGACGACAGCGACGGCGTGGGTCGTCCCAAGACCTGGAAGTGCCTGGAAGGCATCGTCCTCGTCGACAGGGACCTGCTAGAGCGGCGGCGGTGGGACGGCCGCCCCTGCACGGCCGCCTCGAACGCGCCGCTCCCGCGCGTGCCGCTCCTGTGTCGCGGCCCGCAGCCGCGACGCCCGGCGCCCGCGGGCGCCCCGGCCGCGGACACCACCCCCGCCCAGGACGCGAGTCAGGCTGACGGAGGCGCTCACGGCGCGACGCCCCCCGCGCGCGCGGCGGGCGGCGCCGCAGCGGCCGCCGCGCAGGAAGAGGCGCCGCGGTGCGGCAGCGTGCTGTTCCACAGGCACCAGGTGCTGTCGACGGGCCACGTGTGGGACGCGGGGTCGGGGGCGGAGCCTGCGTGGTACGTGAATGCGCCGCTGGCCGGTGCCGTGCGCGTGGGCCCGCGGCACGGCACGGAGCTGGCGCAGGGGCGCATGTCTGTGGCGGACGTGGAGTGCGCGAGGTGCGGGAGGTGTATTGGGTGGCGTTTCGGGCGGGATCTGGAGGCGTACGACAATGTGCGCTTCGAGGGCCGGTGGGGGTTCGTGGCGTCGGCGCTGGCGGAGGCAGACGGCGGGCGCGCGACGGGGGGCGTCGGCAGTGAGACGATGGGGGGGGGCGTGTCGAGCCGAAGCGGGGGGTCGTCGCCGCGATCGTCGGGGCGGATGGACGGCGGCGGCAGCGGAGGGTGAGGAGGCGCGAGGGACGTGGCGTGCTGTCAGACAGAACGATGTGAGGTGCGACATGGACGCGGGCAGCTGGGGACGGCGCAGGGCGTGAGAGCGGGAAGGCTGGCGCGCACGCGATGAGCGCCGCTCGTCGGGCGCAGGCGGGCTTTAGTGGGAGGCTCTCTCCGCAGAGGGAGGTCACTGTGAGATGGGGGGCACTTTTTGGAGGGCACACCCGCATTTCGTTTCGTGCGCGGGTGGTCAATTAACACTCTGTGTTGGTGAGTTCCGTCAATGAAACAAGTTTGGGATCACGATGTGTGAGGAGGTCTAGGGGCGCAGGGGCCGCTGCTGGAAGTAGCCGCGGGGTCGTGTGCGCTGCGGCACGCGCGCCGCGCCCACGCCGTTCTCTCGCGCGCCAGCTACGGTGTGCATGCCAGCGGTGCGGCGGCTAGGAGTTGACGAGCTCGGCCGCCTTGCCCGTTTTCTGGACCTTTGCGAGGATCTCCGCGGGGTCCAGGTTCGTGCCCTTGACCGTGACGCTGCACGCGGCGGGAGAGACGGTGACCGGTGGTGGTTGGCCTCGCAGGCTCTGTAATGGAGGCAATAGACGGCGCTGAGATGTTCTGAGGTTGGTCTCGGGTTCAGTGCACGCCGTGCAACAGAGATGGAGCGCTGCGCGCTCCTGCACGCGCAGCCGGGGCGCAAGTACACACAGCTGGCAAGAAACCTCCGCGCCGCGCGCTTCCCGCGATAGTTCTCGGACGTACGCCTCGCATGCCGATAGAGAACATACACAGCCTCGTATAACTGTACTGTAGTTCGCGAGAAGGGTTCTTTTGCGACTCCCCCACGCGAAAGAGCACAGGTGGTTGCAGGGGGCGCGTGCGGGCACACAGGGGCGCACAGCTGCGTGTCGAGGTCGGCGTCGACGGACGACACGTTCTCCATCTTGTTCAGCACCCGGGTGACGGCCCCCGAGCACCCGCTGCACGTCATCACCACCCTCAGCTGCACTTCACTGGCCATCGTAACTACCTCAGACCGTCCCGACCCCGGCGCGTTTCGCGAACTGTCCACGCGCCCAACGAACAAGGGCCGCTGTGCGGCGCGAGCGGCCCTACAGGCCAGCGCGAGCCCGACACAGCGTCTGACTGCCTGTCCGCGACTGACGGGCGCGTGAGGCCCGGCGCGCTCGGCCGCGACCCCGTGACAGGGCCAGGCGCCGCGCGGTGCGAGCGAGCGGCGCCTCACGACCCGCTGTCGGTCGCGTCACATGATGGTGCACTTTGCTTCAGGGAAGCCATGGTCCTTCAGCCAGGCCGACTTGCGCTCGCTCTCCATATCGCTGTACTTCTTCCGCGCCTTGGCCAGCTCCTCGCTCCGCAAACACTCCTGGTACCGCATGAAGAGCGGCCTGCAGACCTCCCGGTCCGGCTCCATCGCGCCCGCCTGGACCTGCACGGCACCGCGCGTGGCTCTCGATTCAACGCGCACGTCCCCCACATCGTAAGTAACACACCGCGGGGCCACGCAGCCGCTCGAAACCCCGAGAGACGTCCGCAGCGGCCCGCTTCTTACTACTTGTGCGTTGCGCTGGTAGGTATTGCCCGCTACGGCGCTCCTCGTTCAATACACGACCTTCCCCGCCAACCCTTTCGATACACAAAGATGTATACTGCCAGGACGGCCTGTGGGCCCGCGCTCACGACCCACCTGGCGCACGCTTGCTGCGTGCTTCAAGCGGCAGTCCGCGGCCTCTCTGCGCTCCTTCTCGCACGGCACCATCCCCTCCATGAGCGTGACCCCGTCGTACCGCTTCAGGTTGTCCCGGCTGCGCTTGCTCGTCCCACCCGCCGGCTCCGCCATCGCGCCGCCTGCGCACCGTTACCGTCACGCAACTGCAACTCCACACCACTGGCCTCGCACGACAGACACAGACGCACGCACGTGGCCTCCAGGACGAGTCTGCGCGGCGCCGCGCGGGCTGGCGGGTCTTGGCGCGCGCGACTTCGGGTCAGACAACGCGTGTCACACCCCGCGTTGATAGCTTCTACCGCCTACAGGCGTGGAAGTGGTTGATTGGTGTGGGGGCTGCGCGACGCCGTGCACTGCCGCCGCGAGGGTGGCGTGTCCGCGGTACCGCACTCACGCGCGAGGGCGTCGTTGCAGGCCGACTATCGCACTTTCTGGAGAGGGAGTCGCACTGGGCTTCGTTTGCTCGTTGGAGGGCTGCGCGCCCCGCAGGAGGGAGCGGGATGGACGATGAGCTCCTGAAGTTCCTCAGCGAGGTGAAGGAGGTGGAAAAACAGGTTGAGGCGCACGCGGGCGCCGAGGAAGGCAACGGTGAGTCCTTCGCCGCGCGCCACGCGCACATGCGCGCCCGTTCACTTCCGTTCCGGGCGCGACGAAGCGCCTCTGTCAACGACGGACAGCGTCCGCGCGGCGACTGTGTCCAGCACCCGGCGCACAAGCGCTGGCAAGGCCCGTAGACGCAGCACTGCGCCTTGTAGCCACCGCAGCGCCCGTGCTTTGCCCTGACAGACAGAATTCCCCGCGCACGGATATCTCCTGGTCGATTCCAACATCGTTCCGCGCAGCACGCGACGGCATCACACCCCCCTGACCTCGCCTCCCGGCCCCAACCACCACAACTTAACGTCCGCCCCCTGCAGGTGCAGCGGCCCCGCCCAAGGCGCCGCCGCCACCCGCGGCCCCTCCGAAGGCACCTCCGCCCGCAGCTCCGCCCAAGGCGCCACCGCCGGTGGCAGCCCCCCCTCAAGCCCCCCCCCTACCTCCGCTCCCCCCTCTCGACCCCCCCCCGCGTCCCAGGCGGCCGCGGCCCCGAAACCGCCCCCATGGGCCGTCGCCGCGGCCGCGCCAGCCCCGGCCACGTCCGTTCCGCGCCCCACCATCGCCGCCGCGCCGAGCAAGGGCCCCTCACAGCCCGCCGCGCCGCAGCACGCCTCGGGCCCCGCCAGGCCCCCGCCGCCGCCCGTCCTCGCCGGCGCCGGCGTCCCCGCGCCGGGCAGCATCCCGCCGCCGCCGATCGTGGCCGGAGCGAACCCGTACGGCGACGCGGTTGCGCGGCACCTGGCGAACAAAGCCGCCGCACCCATCCCGCTGGCAGCGCCCGCCGGCTCCACCGCGAAGCTCGCCGGCCCGTTCGCGGCCGCGCAGGCGGCCGCCGCGGGCGCGGGCGAGGCTGCGAGGCCCAAGGCCCCGAAGGTCGACAGCAAGGTCGTGCACAGAAAGGCGGCGGGTGAGACGTGGGTGGACGTCACACTGGCGGACTGGCCAGAGAACGATTTCCGGATCTTCGTGGGCGACCTCGCGCCCGACGTGACGGAGAAGGACCTCCAGCAAGCGTTCCAGCACTACGCGTCGTACGCGATGGCGCGCGTGGTGCGCGACAAGGTGTCCAAGCGGTCGCGGGGGTTCGGGTTCGTGTCGCTGCGCGACGCGAAGGAGGGGGCGCTGGCGCTGCGGGAGATGAACGGGAAGTACATCGGGAACCGGCCGTGCAAGCTGCGGAAGAGCACGTGGGACGAGCGCGTCGACAAGGACAAGACGAACAAGAAGAAGAGGAAGAAGGATCTTAATATCTCGACTATGCATGCCTCGAGGCGACGGAAGCACATCGGGGCGTTCGTGGAGGCGTCCCGCGGCCTGGACTAGCGGCGTGTGACGCCGCGACGCGCCCACGGTCCCACGACGCCGCCAATCACAACTCAGCAGCAGCAACAGACTTTCGACACGAATCGCTCTCGCCGTTTGACATGACTCCGTCCATGAGGATGTGCGGCACCGCCGCCCACATGTGCGGCGTTTCTGCCGATGCCGGCCTTTGCACACGTTCTAGGGCGCAGCCAGCCCCGTCGCAGCCAGGGAGAATACACAGCCGATACCGGGAGCGCACGACACTCGTCGCTGCCTCACAGGCGCACGGCCACAACACCGCCGCGCCGCGCCGTCACTGCACCTTGGCGTGCGCCTTGCGCTGCGCGTCGCCGCGCTCGTACACCTGATCGACCCACCCCCACGCAATGATGCTCACGCGCCCCTCGCCCGTCCGGCGCGCCTCCGGCAGCTGCGGCACGCCGTGCCGCCACTCCACGTTGACGTCGCGCCCGAACGCGTACGCCGACCCGTTGGGCTGCGGCACGGACACGGTGGCGCCGGACGCCGCATGCTCAAACGCACAGTCGCGCTCCCGCCCGAAGCTGACCGCGACGGTGCAGTTCTGGATCGTGGAGAAGCGCGGCTTGATCGCCGCGGCGTCGTGGTGGTACGGCTTCCACTCGGCGTCGTCGCGGTACCAGTTGAAGCGGGTGGCTTGCACGTGCATGTTGAAGTACGCCTCGATCTTCTGGACGACGGACTTGAAGGTGGGGCACTTGGACCAGTCGTAGAGGTTGTCGCTCGCGATGACGTGCGAGTCGCCGTGCCACGGCACGAAGAGCTCCCGGCCTTCTTTGCCTGCGGATGGCTGGCAGGTTGCTGCGACGTAGGTGACGTGACGTGCGGGGGACGGCGTGCGCGTGGAGGATACGCACGTGTCGTTGCGGACTCGCCTTGCTCCGTGATCTCCTTGAGCAGCTGGTCGTACGCGGTCTTGTCGTCCTCGTGGCAGAAGAAGTCCGGCACAAACACCACGTCGCGCCCCATGAACGGCCGGCCCAGCGTCTCGCGGTCGGGCCGCGCCACCACCACGCGCATGTCCGCGGGGCGCTGACTGCGCTCGGGGTCGAAGCTCTGCGTGTTCTTGCCCTTGGGCCCCCGCGCCAACCTCGGCCTGCGTTCCCACCCCAAGATAGAAAATCAGTCATGTTTCACCGAATCCCAGCAGTTCCGAGCAGAGAACGCGTCTCTCCAGCACAGCACGCGGCAGGCCGCAGCCGCTCCTCACCCGTACAGGTCGCGGTCCTCCTCAGGCACGCCGTCGGGCACGCGGGGGGCCGCACACACAAGCGCGTCATCGCGCCGCTGCCGACGCTCCTTCCCGCCGCGCCTGCGGTCGCCCCCGCGGCCGCCTGCGGCCCCGAACCGCTCCGCGCGCGCGGCACGGCGCTCCGCCTCTGTCAGCTGCTGCACCTGGTCCGCCGGGATAGGCCCAGCGCCTGCGGCGTTCGCGGCGGCCGGGGGGCGGTTCTCGCTGCCGTTGGTGTTGCTTCGTGGCGCGGCACTCGCGGGTCTGTGGCCGCCGGACCGCCCGGCGCGCCCACCCTTGCCGCGCCCACCCTTGCGGTGCTGGTTGCCGCCGTTGCTGTCGTTGAGAGTAGCGCCATTCGACGGACCTGCAGCGAGAAATCGATGGTTTTCTGTATGCCAACCAGGTATCCGCAGTTGTCTGCGGCTGTAAGGCATTTCCGGACGGGCAACGAGCGTTTCACGGCGTCAGGGTCGCGAGCGCGCCATAAGCGCGCTTGGGTTCGATCATCTCGTCTGCAGCGCCCCGTGATCACTCACGCGCTGGCCCAAGCCGCCACAACCGAATCATGCAACGACTCCTTCCCGCGGGGACGGTACGCAACGCCTCGTGTGCGCCCAGACCGCCGGAACGGCGCAGCAAACACAGGCGGGGCGTGCTGGGCCCAAAGGCACGCGGACAGCCCTTTTCGCAGCGTTCCGTGCAGTCTGCGACCTTCTCTCACCTGCAGCGGAGCCATCCGCGTGCGGAGTAGGCCGCGGAGCCGGTGCTACGGTCGCTTCGGCGGTCATTGTGCAGCGCTGCGAGCGGTTTCTGTCCGCGTGCGACCCGAAGATCTCGATCCCGCTCTACGACGACCCGCTCAGCCGCTCCCCAAACGTGCTCCCCCGCTGCGCACCGCCCCGACTCAACCTGAGTCAGTCGGACGGAGCATTCCGCATGACTCAGCAGCGGGCCTCAACCGCACTCCCCCCACGTCCCGACCCCGCACCCCCAGCACCGCAGCAACGTACTCAGCACGCACAACAGCGCGCTCACACCGAGGCACACCTCAATCGCCCCAGCAACGATGGGCTGCGCAGACGTGTGTGCTTACTGCACCGCATCAGATGAGGCCCTCCCGCTTGAGGTCCTCGAACGTCCGCTTGCTGTACACGTTGCCCTCTCCGTCCTCGTACTCCTCGTGCTCGTTCGGGTTGAACCCCCCGGCCTGACTCTTGCGCAGCGTGCTCCACAGCTCGAGCGCGTCCTTGATCCGCGTGACCTCGAAAAACTCCTTCGAGTTCGGAATGCCCAGCGAACGCATTCCCTGCTGGTGCCGCCACTCCGTGAAGTGCCGCTCGAACGCCCTGCGCACGGCAACGGCGATGCACGGAGCAGCTCAGGCTGGGCCAGAGAGCGGACCGGACCCGGGCCGCGCGCGCCGCGAGCGAAGCGGCGTGAACAAAAAGACACAGGTCAAGTGCGAGCGCGCTGCGCACCTGCGACCGCGGTACGAGAAGTTCCCGCAGATTTCGCACTCGAACTCCTGGTTGAGCCCATGCAGCTTGTACAGCCACACCGGGATCGGCTTCCCGTCCCACCCGAGCGGAATCTTCAGCGGGTTGTACAGCGAGTCGTCCTCCCCCTCCTCCCCGTCCCCCTCCGGCTCCTCCTCCTCCAGCGCTGCCGCCCGCTCCGCCTCCAGCTCCTCGTACGTCTGCACCTGCTTGCGCTCCGTCGCCTCCACCGTCGCCTCCGCTGCCGCCGCGAGCATGCTCCGCAGCTCCACGACCTTGCGCTCGAGCAGCGCCACCGCATACGCCGCCTTGCGAGCCTTCTCCGTCTGACTCGCAGGCCCGGGCCCGGCGCCCTTCGCGAACAGCTTGCGGTCGATCTCGTCGATCCTCCGGCCCTTCACGCTGAACAGGCGCTCCGCGCGCTGCTGCGGCGTGCCCCCGCACTTGAGCCCAAGCGCCTGGAGCGCGTCTTTCAGCGCGTCTGGGCCGAACTGCGCGACGTCGGCGGGGGAGTCCGCCTGGTGGAGGTCGCAGATGTGGGCGACCTTCGCGGCCGCGTCCTCGGAGCCGTGCGCGTCCTCGCGCGCCGCCCACTCCTCAGGAAACGTCTGCTCCAGGGCCGCCATGCGCTTCTCCACCTGCCCGAGCGGGTTCGTCCGCGTGTAGAAGCTCGAGAGGTACGCCAGGAGAGCCTGCGGGCGGCGCGCGGGGGCGTGGTCGGCGGCTGCGGCGCGCGCTGCGGGGCAGGAGAGGGCCCGTGAGGACAGAGGCGCGCACCTCGAGGTATTCGCGGTACTCCGCGCCGAGTTTCCGGCCCGGGGCGATGGCGGAGAAGTCGGAGAAGGTCCTGAGGTACTCGAGGTAGTCTGGATGTTTGCCGTCCGCGAAGGTCGCGTTGACGAAGCGAATGTGCAGCGCGTTGAGGTCCAGGTAGCGCCCCCCGGCCTCCGGCCCCGTGAACTCCACCTGCGCAACGCACCACGACGCAACGATCATGCGTGTCCCGCGGACGGCGAGCCACGCGGGCCGCGGCGCACCCCAGGGGCGCCCCACTTGCCTGTGCCTCGTCCACCAACGCTCCGAGGTTGTCCCCCTCCTCCGTGAGCTCGTCCTGCGCGAGCTTCCGGTGGTACTCACGCAGCTGTGCCACGCGCTCGAAGTACGCCTGCGTCGCGGTGCCCCTCCCGTCGCTGCGCGCCAAGCGAGCGATTTCCTCCCGCCGCAGCCCGTCGTCGTCCTCGTATATCTTCTGCAGCTTCGCCGCGCGCTGCTGCGCCGCCTCGAGCATCTTCCTCGCGCGGTGGTGCTTCGCCAGGCGGTCGCTGTGCGACGCCACGTCCTTCAGCTCGCCCACCACGCGCCGCTCGAGCCTCTCTAGATCCTCGTGGAGGCACCGCGCCCCCTCTGCCAGCGTTCCCGACATGGCTCCGAGCGCGCAGGCCCCGACCTGCCACGTTCGGCGCCCTCAGCGCGGTGATGCGGCCCGGGGCGCTGGGCACGCGGCGGACGGGCGGGGGCTGCAGACGGGCTGCTTGCGCGCCGTAGCCGCGGCGGCGCCTCCGAAATGACGTGTCGTGAGCCTGGGGGCGACGGTGGTGCCCCGAACGACTGCTGCGGCGGCGTTGCGGCCGCTGCAAAGTCCCGCAGCCGCCAGTCTGTCTCAGACAGTCTGAAGGACTTGAGCGAGGTAGTCCCGACACCCCCCACGGCGCGCCGCGAGGCGTGCGCCGGCGGGCGGGCAGTGCGGCCGCTGCCGTGACCGGGACCGCACCGGCACCGCGAGCTGCGACCCGCAGCTCTACTCGCCAGACGAAAACAAGGCTGTCCCGCTTGTCGAGTTGCTGGCACACCGAAACAGAGGTCGCGCTGCGACAGCCGCGCTGGGACAGGACGCGCAGATGCACCGGCGTCCGAGAGCGCGCGGCGTCGTGTGTCCTACTCTTTCACTCCCCCCCTTTCAAGCGAGGGCAGTTCCGCAGTCATGCGGCGACGCGCGCACGCAGGCGGCGCGGTCAGCGCGCACGCGCACCGCGTCCGGATCCCACGTTGAGTCACAGCCGGGCCGGCGCCGTGCCGCGCGGCCCCGCCGATCCCCCTCCGTCCTCAGCTGAGCGGTGCTACGCGCACAAGGCGCCTTAGATGGCCTTCATGGCGTCGCGCGCGGCCTCGATCGTCCGCTCGATGTCCTCGTCCGTGTGCGCGAGGCTCGTGAACCCCGCCTCGAACTGACTCGGCGCCAGGTACACCCCCCGCTCGAGCATGGCGCGGTGCCACCTCTTGAACTTGTCCAGGTCCGAGTTCTTCGCCTCCTCGAAGCACGTCACCGGGCCCGGGTTGAAGAAGAACCCAAACATGCCCGAGATGTGCCCGCCGCAGATCTCGTGCCCCGCGTCCCGCCCGGCCTCGAGGATGCCGTTGATCAGCTTGCCCGTGATCTTGTCGAGGTACTCGTACGTGCCCTCGCGGCCCAGGATCTCCAGCGTCTTGATGCCGGCCATCATCGCCAGCGGGTTGCCCGAGAGCGTGCCGGACTGGTACATGGGCCCCGCGGGGGCCACCGTCTCCATGATCTCGCGCTTGCCGCCGTACGCGCCGACGGGCAGGCCGCCGCCGATGACCTTGCCCATCGTGGTGATGTCCGGCGTGACGCCGAAGTAGCCCTGCGCGCTCGTCTTGGAGATGCGGAAGCCCGTCATGACCTCGTCAAAGCACAGGACCGCGCCCTCCTCGTCGCAGATGGTCCGGAGGCCCTCGAGGAACTCCTGCGTCGGCGGGATGAAGCCCGAGTTGCCCACGACGGGCTCGAGGATCACGCCGGCGATCTCGTCCTTGTTCGCCTCGAAGATGGAGCGCACCGAGTCCAGGTTGTTGTACGTCGCGGTCAGCGTGCGCGCGGCGACCTCGGCCGGCACGCCCGGGGAGTCCGGGAGGCCGAGCGTGAGCACGCCGGACCCCGCCGCGACCAGGAAGGGGTCGCCGTGGCCGTGGAAGCACCCGACGAACTTCAGAATCTTGTCGCGGCCCGTGTAGGCGCGCATGAGGCGGGCGGCGGAGATGCAGGCCTCGGTGCCGGAGTTGCAGAAGCGGACCATCTCGCAGCACGGCATGCGCTCGATCACCATCTTGGCCAGCTTGTTCTCGAGCTCGCAGGGCGCGCCAAAGGAAGTGCCCTTGGCGAGCTGCTCGACGAGGGCGGTGTTGACCTCCTCGTTCGCGTGGCCGCAGATCGCCGGGCCCCACGTGCCGACGTAGTCGATGTACTTGTTGCCTGCGGACCCGCGCGGCGAGCGGTGGTGGTGGGCGTGGGGGGCTAGAGGCGCAGTGGCGCGGAGAGGTTGGGGGTGCTGGCGAGCTGGCTGGGTTGATGGCAAGTTGGTGATGGTAGCGAGCGAGCAGCAGCGTCGCCGTGGACGGTGATGCTCCGGGGGTGGCGTGCGGGCCGGCCAAGCACAACCGGCATGGTGGCCGCGAGCGCCTTGGAATGGCAGCGGCGCGAGCGTTTTCGGCGACGGACGGCACGAGCATGTCTATGGCAATGCAACGAGGCGGAAGGGCGCCGGAGCGAGGCGCGGGACGGCCGCGGGGGCGCGCACCGTCGACGTCGTAGACGTACGGGCCCTTGACGTGATCGAAGACGATGGGCTGGCCGCCGACGGAGCTGAACGCACGCACGGGCGAGTTCACGCCGCCAGGCATCAGGTCCTTGGCCTCGTTGAAGATCTGCGGCGCGGCGCGGACCGACCAGCGCGTGAGACGACCAGGCGTGAGCATCGCGGTATTCGCGGCCCGGGACCGACCGCGGCGCGCAATGATGGCGCGCCAGAGCTAGCCTGTGCGTGTGGGAAGGCGCGAGCGGGAGAAACGCGGCGTTGCGCGGCGCACGCGCGCGCAGGGCGTTGGATGTGCTGCTGTGGATGAGCACGCTGCACCGGGGAGACGCGCGTGGCCGGGAAAAGGCCGCTTGCGCCGCGTGCGGCGCACGAGGACGATGTTCGCGAGCTGGTCGTGTCCTGAGAGGGACTGGAGCGCGGGTTGGACGCAGAGAGACGGCCGGAAGGGGCCCGGTGTGACCAGGGCTATCGCTCTGGAGGAGGGGGGCGAGGGGGGAGTTGAGAGGGGGGTGTGCGGGCCTTGCGGGCGCTCACCCTCTCCGACTCGGCGGTGTTGAGCCTCGGGGGCGCGGACACGGCCTGAGTGCGCACGGAGACCCTGCGGGAGACCGATGATGGTGGGTGGACGACATCCAGATCCGAGGCGGCGCGAGCATCGCACGATCGAGGCCGTGACCGCGAATAGAGGGTTGTAGAATTGCGGAATTCATGCCTCGAGGCGTCGCGAGAGCGGTGCAAGGCCCCACGGGGCGACAGCCGGGCATATCTGAGGACGACGCGAGCGAGCCCGTGCCGTGCGCTGGTCCACGCGCGTTGGCAGGCGGACCGATGCGGGCGGGCGAATGATGCGTGAGTGGGTGGGTGTTCGGGGAGGTCGCGCTGCGCGCACCTGCGGCCGCCGACCCGCCGGGCGGGCTGGGCAACAGCATTGCCCTGGAGCACAATCTTCTGCGTCGCGATCATCCTTGCACGGTCCGCCAGCTGAAGAAGCACAGAACTGACGCGGCGGCGCCGGCGTTGTCGCGCTTGTGCCCCGGACGGCGAGCTCCGAGGTCAACTTGACATCAGGTCCGGGGGTGTCCCGATGGGCGCGTGGGCGCGCGTGCGACGTCGTAAGCTCCGCTCCAGACACCGCCTGGCAAGTGCGAGAGCCGTTGCGCAACACATCATCGCAAGTGGACTTGACGCGCTGATCCGCCGAGCGCTCTTTGTGTCACCAGCTGAAGCTGCCGCCCAGCTGTCGCTGGACGTGAACGTCCGCCACCTCGCGGCGCGCGTACAGAACAACAGCAGACCATCACAGAACGCGCGTCATAACCGTTTCTGAAAGCGCAGAGGCGCGGTTCGAGCGCTCTGAGTGCTGCGCGGGCAGAGGTCTTCGCCTCTCGCGTCCAGGAGCGCTGGCCGGTGCATTACTCCGCGCCTGGTCGGAAGCGGGCGGTCACATGCGTCCCTTGCAGTTGGCGCGAGCGGCTGGTGAATGAGCACCAGACGCGTACGGACTCATGGACCTAAGTTTCCTGGGTGCAAGTGGCCTCAAGCGCAAAGCGCCGGCCGGCGATAGCGGTGCCGCCGACGGCAGTGCGCCACGCTCATCGAGCCATGCACGCGACAGCGCGGCTGGGGACGCGGCCGGGGCCGGCGCGGCCCAGCCAGCGGCCACAGCTCTGCGCCCCGCCCTCGCGATTCCGTCCATGCGCGACGTGATCCGGCAGGAGGCCGCTGCGCCGGCTCAGATGCCTCTTCTGATGCAGCGGTCCACGTCGGCCGCGTCGGCGGCCGCCCGACCACCTCCAGCAGGCGCCGCGAGGCCACCCGCTGCAAGCGCACGCGCGAGCGCGCCCGTTCCCGGCGCGGCACCGCGGCCCTCGCCAGCTCCCAGACCTCCAGCGACATCAACCGCGCCAGCGGCCTCATCAGACCCGTTCGCGGAGCAGACGGGAGCGCCCACGACGGCCACTTTCGCCGCAACGTTCGCGGCCGTGCCCCCGACCGAGCGCAACCAGCAGCGGCGCAAGGAGCTCGCCGAGGCGCAGCAGCGCGGCCAGGAGCGCGCCATGCTCCTCCCGCGAGCCGGTGCGTCCCCACCCACGCCAACACCCCCACCAACACCCCCCCGCATCACACGCACCGCTCTCAGCGCCGCGCGGCTCCCCCGGCACGCCCCACGCAGGCACAGGCCACGGCGTGATCCCCCCGGGCCACGCGAACAACGTCGCGGACCCCGTCGTGCAGCTGCCCGTTCCCACGGGGCACCTCCTCGTGCACCGTCGCCAGCAGGGCAACCCCGTCCTGAAGCACATCAAGGCGGTCAAGTGGCAGTTCTGCGACGGGATCGTGCCGGATTTCGTTGCCGGGCGCTCGACGTGCGCGCTCTTCCTCTCGCTGCGCTTCCACATGCTCCATCCGGAGTACATTAATTTGAGGATCCGAGAGTTGATGAAACTCTTCCGGCTCCGAGTGATTTTGTGCCACATGGACTCCGAGGACCCGGGGCGCGTGCTGAACGACATCACCAAGGCCGCGGTCGTCCAGGGCTGCACGCTCGTCTGCGCGTGGTCGCCGCAGGAGTGTGCACGGTGAGCACATGCAACGCGCACTGCGCATCCTGCGCCTGTGCGCCGCCCGCTTTGAACGCACGGGGCCGGCCGGAGCTGCGCGAGCAGCTGACGAAGCACGCACGCCGCGGGATCTGCGCTGCGCAGCGGGTTCCTGCTCGCATTGTTGACGCCGACTGGGGAAAACAGAACGGAGGAAACATCCTGACAGCGACGTTGGTGTGTGGTACCTGCAGGTACCTGGAGACGCTCAGGGCGTACGAGCTCAAGCCCGCGGACGCGATTCTCGAGCGGCTGGATCGGGACTACCTGTCGAGCCTGGCGTCCGCCCTCACGTCGGTCCGCACCGTCAACAAGCGCGACGCCGTCTGTCTCGGGCGCGGGCTCGGGACCGTGGCGCAAGTGTTCCAGGCCTCGGAGGTGCGTCGCGACGAGGCCACGCGCACTGTCGCGTGGTTCGTACCGCGAGCGAGGACGCCGCGCCAGCGCTGCATGCTGGCCGACGCCACGATCGCTTTCGTGCATCGCTGGACTGTTTTCTATCTCATCGTCGTGCAATTCTCGTCTTCGCAGAAGGACCTGGCTGGCGTGCCAGGCATCGGGCCCGCGAAGGTCAAGCGGCTCCTCGACGCCTTCCAGCAGCCGTTCCGGCGCCCGCCCGGCACCGACACGAGCGTTCCGCAGTCGCAGCCACCTCCGGCACCAGCAGCGGAGCCCGAGCCCGGGCCGGGCGCGGGCCGCGCCCCCGACGCCGGGGCGGGCAGCCCCTCGATTGATAGCTCGGGGACGTCATCGGAGGAGGAGGGCGACGGGGAGCCGGGCGCGGCGGGCGGTGCTGGCGAGGAGGGCGTGGGCGGGGCGGAGGTGGTGGGAGGGGTGGGCGCCGGGGGCGGCGACGTGGACTGGATGTATTTGGCGCGGACGCAGGAGGATCCAGCGGGCAACTACGGCGACGGCGAGGACGATTAGAGAAGCGCAGGCCTTGCTGCCGTCGTGAGAGGGCGGCAGCATCGCGAGAATCGATCGTCGGACTTCTTTGCGCACACATGTATATAGAAAGCAAGCAAAATGAACATCTTACATCATCATCGGGCCGCAGCGCCAGCAGAGCGTGGCCCAACGACCCGCGAGTCCCCGCTAGCTCCACCGATCGTCACAACCGAAGCGTCAAACCGCTGCAGCCCCGTATCAGAAGTAGCTGTGGCGACCACCGCGCGCGCTTCCAGGCCGACCGCCCCCGAACCCCGCACCTCCAGCCATGCCTCCGCCCCCGAACCCTGCTCCGCCCCCGTAACCCCCCTCCGACCCCATCACCGGCCCCCCGTGCCCATACCCCTCCCCCCCACCGCCATACCCCCCGCGCCGACCCCCGCGCCTCCCGCCCCGCCCGCGACCCCTCCCCTCCCCCACCACCTCCTCCCGTCCCTCCTCCTCGTCCAGCAGCGCCACCACCGCCCGCACAAGCGCCCCCGCCTCGCCGTCAATGTCCAGCCCAGGGTCCGCCACTTTGCGTGCCAGCACCGCCTGCAGCTGGCTGCGCAGGCGCACGATCAGGCGGTCGACCTCGGGCGCCGTGTTGAACCGGATGTACCCGCCGTGCATCGAGATGGTCCCGTCGGCCTCGTGCTTGAGCTCACCGCCCATGAGCAGCAGAGCATAGTCCGAGACCATTGTCGATGCGAGGAGGTAGATGCCTGACGTCATGACCTTGTCGGAGTACACGAGCCAGCGGTGCGGGAGGAACTCTTTCACGAGGACGGAGGACGGGTGCGGTTCGACCTTGCCGTCGTCGGTGGTGGCGAACTGCGTGTTCATGCGATGCTTCTGTCGAACGGACACGACGTTCGGGTACATGCCCGCGCAGATGACGGCCCGCAGCAGGTTGACGTTGTCTGCGCGAGGGTAGCGGCGGCGCGGGAGCTCGTCAGGCAAGGCGGGGAGAAAACAGACAGACACGATGCCCGTGGCTCGCACGGGGCGAGCGCTCAGGCCGTGCGCAGGACGGCGGCAATCGCACCTGCGTTGAACGAGTGCGCGTCGATGGCCTTCTCGAGCGCCGCGCGGCTCGGCTTCCCCGCGCCCCGCCCCTCGACGGGCAGAAACCCTACGTCAGCCAGCAGCTCCGCGAACTGCAGCCGGAGGTCCACCATCAGCTCCATCGTGTTCGACCGCATGTAGTTCCGCCAGCAGAAGTCCGACCGCTCCCGGTACCCCCCCGCGGCCCGCCACCCCTCGAACGCGTGCACGAGGGTGACGTGGTCGCTGCACGAGCCCCGCGAGAGCCGCTTCCGGCGCTCCGCGGCCTCCGCGCGGCGCTCCGGGGGCGGGAGAACGAAGGGGTCGCGGTGCGCCATGCCCGCGGCGATCGTCAGGATCGGCCCAACCACTCCGAACATGGCGCCCATGATTATCATTTTCCCGACTAGCGGGTCCACCGGCAGATGGGCGAGGTGCTGCCCGAGCGGCGTGAGCGCCTCCGCGGCCTGCTCGAGCGCGCCGATCGCCACGAGCAGCTCCTTCGCGTTGTGCACGGCGCGGGGCTCCGGGGGCTGCAGCGCGCGCGCCAGGAACGGTTCGATCTCGCCGAGGTCGAGAGACTTGATCTGGAGGCAGATCTCCTCGAGGGACGTGCGCGTCATCTCGGGGGCCTGGTACGGCGCCATCGCCTCGTCGTGCATCGCGCGGGGGTACAATTTGAAACACCTCCCGGGCTGCACGCGCCCCGCGCGGCCCCGGCGCTGCCGGGCGGCCGCCTGCGACGCCCACTGCGGGAGGAGCGAGGACAGCTTGTTGAGCGCAGAGTACCGCTTCTCCTTGATGAGCCCCGTGTCCACAACGTAGACGACGTCGTCGATGGTGATCGAGGTTTCCGCGATGTTTGTCGCCAGCACGACCTTGCGCACGCCGCTGGGGGGCCGGTCGAAGATCTCGCGCTGGTTGGCCGTCGGGAGGGAGCCGTGCAGCGGGTATATCTTGTTCCGGCTGCGGTCCAGTCGAGATTCCAGGTCTTTCTGCAAATTCGAGATCTCGGCCCACCCCGGCAGGAACACCAGCACCGCCCCCGCCGCCTCGTTGTTGCAAATGTGCTCCACGACGTGCTGCACGAGCCCGAGGTCCGGCGGCGGCGCCTGCGGCGCGTTCGACGACGCACTCTTCTCCTGACCCTCGTTAAACACCCCCGCCCACCTCGCCAGCGCGTCGCACGTGCCGCTCGAGTACCCCTGCGCTGCGAGGGCGCCCGCATCTGGCTCGTAGCGCCACTCGCGGTCGATGCACCCCTCCGCGTTCGGCTCCATCGTCGACGCAGGCGCGCCCGCGTTGCGATCCCTGTGCCGCCGCGGGCCGCCCTGCGACCGCGGGGGCTGCTGCGAGGCCGGCGGCGGGCCGGCGAGCTGCAGGACGTCCTCGAGGAAGAGGTCCTCGACCGGGTGCGTGAAGCCCGGGATGTGCGCGGTCGGGGCATGGCCGAAGTAGTTTGAGAAAAGGTCCGCGTTGAGCGTGGCGGACATGAGAATGACTCTGAGGTCGGGGCGGCGCGGGAGGAGGTCGCGGAGGACGATGAGGAGGAAGTCCTCGTTGATGCCGCGCTCGTGGATCTCGTCCACCACCACGTGCGTCACGCCGCGCAGGTCCTTGTCGGCCACGAGGCGCCGCAGGAGCACGCCCGTGGTGCAGAACAGCAGCCGCGTCTTGGAGGACCGGCGCGCCTCCAGGCGGATCTGCGGCCGCGGCGGAGACGCAGATCGGTCGCGCGCGTGCAGCGAGATGGCAGCAGGTGTGTGTGGGTTTGTGTGTTTGTGGGTGTGAGGCGCACCTGGTACCCGACGGTGTCGCCGATGGCCTCTCCGCGCTCGTCCGCGACGCGCTGCGCGACGCTCACCGCGCTGATCCGCCGCGGCTGCGTGCACACAATGTTGACGTCCCCGCCGCGCCCCGCCCCCACTGCGTCCTCGAGCACGAACTGCGGCAGCTGCGTCGTCTTCCCGCACCCCGTCTCGCCCGACACCACGACCACCTGGTGCCGCGCCACCGCCGCCAGCAGCTCCGCGCGCCGCGCCCACGCCGGGAGCCGTTCGCGGTGCTGTTGCATGCGCTGCCCGGCGCTCGACGCCGCCCACGCGCGCTGCGCGTCCTCCAGCGCCCGGCTGAGCGCCTCGCCGCCATCGGCGCCGAACTCCAAGTACCGGCTCGACGCCCCGGCCTTCGGGCGCTTCCCGGGCGGCTGCGGGGCAGCGCCGCGGCCACCACCCGCCGCCACGTTCGACTCCTCGAGCTCCGCGAGGGCCTGCGAGACCATGTGCTTGGCGTCGCGGCTCATGCCGACGTCGGCCTCCGTCGTGGCGCGCTCGTCGAGGTCCGGGCGGTACGCCGGCAGCGGCACGGTGCTGGCTACAAGGCGCGTCCTCGTCCCTTTGCCGTACGCGCGGAAATACAGGCCCATGCGCTGCGCGAGCTCCCCGAAGGCCTGCGCGCCGTCCCGGCCCAGCCGCTCCTCGACGACCAGCTCCTCCGCGCCGCCAACGCCCTCCCGCAGGTCGGTCAGGCGCCGCTGCCAGTGGGCTTCGTCGAAAGGGACGTCGTCGGGCCGCTCGGAGCGCATCTCCGCGAGCTTCGCCTTGCGCCACTCGGGGTCCCACCAGCGCTGCCCGCCGCCGCCGCCGCGCCCGCGCCCGCCGCCGCGCCCGCCCCGTCCACCGCCGTAGCCGTAGCCTCGAGCGCCGTCGCCGCGCCCGCCGCGGCCGTACGGCCCCCCCATCGCCTGCGTGCAGGGGAATGTCGTGAGAAGGCGTGAGGCGCACGGCATCGACGAGGCACGGACGTCGTCGTGTGCAAGTGGCGGGCAGACACCAGCGCGCAGCGTGAATGCTGCCGCAGCGGACGCTTGCGACGGAGGTGATGGTTGTTGCGCGGGGTGACAGCGGGTCTGGCTCGATGTAATCGAATTCTGAGCTCGAAGCGCAAAGTGTGGCTCGTGGAGCAGGGCGCAGCGCCACAACTGGCGCTCTTTCCTTGCCTTTGCGTTTCGTCGCGCGTGAGACCCTACAAGACCGTGATGTCGATCCGTGTCGCGAGCGCACGCAACGCTGATGCCGCCACGTCGGCAAGTCGAGCTGCCTAGCAACGCAGCAAGGCGCTGCAACCCGGGCCTGGAGACCGCCGACGATGCAGAGAGGAGCTCCGTGCAGCACGGCCTGAACATCCGGCGACAGGAGCGCGGGCCGCCGCGGATGTACAGGGCAGGGCCGCCCGGTCCGGCCAAGTGCCCTGGCGCGGCGCCACTGTGGCAAGCCACGCGCCCTGACGCCCCATCGACTACCCTGGAGGCGCGCGCGGCGCGCCACGGGGCGAAGCGGCGGGGACAGCGCCGCGGGCGCGCAGTTCTTGCGTCGTGCTGTGACTGCACGGCCGTCGTCTGAGGACTCGTGGGCTCCCGGCAGCCCGGCTGCTCGCTCTTGTGCATGGTACGCGCAGCGCAGGGCTGTTCCGAGGGCGTATCGCAGAGGAGAGCGTGCGTGGCGACGGGCGCGGCGCGCCGTGGTCCCAGCCGCGATGTCGCGGCGCGGTTTGCCGAAACTCGCCCCGGAAGGTGCGCTCTTTGAAACATGAGGCGCACACGCCAGCGCTGGTCACGCCTCGAATGGCTTGTGCCGGTTTCTACCCGGGCGCCGCGCCTGGCGTGGCGCTGCCTCATGCGAACACATGCGGCGTTGGACGGTTTCGAGAGAGAATGCCAGCTCACGGTGGACGTCAGGATGCAACGCAGTACTTACGGGTTACCCTCGCCTTCGTTCGAGCCCACGCCGCTGTGCAGGGGCGCTACTGCGCGGGGATGCGCGGCCGTTGCTAGCTGCTGCACTGAGCGACTCGCTCGGACCGTTGCGGCATCGAGCGCACGTCTCGGAGCGCGAAGGAGCGCCAACGAAGGTCGCGCGCCCTTCACTGCCGCATGATTCGTCAACGTGGTCCCCCTCGAGCGCCACCGTGCACCTCTCGGCCCTATCGAACGCTGTCTGCGAGGACTGCGTCGCTCCCGCGATCGCCAGCCTGCACGGAGGGCCCTCTCGGGCATGGGTGGCCAGCTCCACTGCAGCGACACGCCAATGGTCGCTCGCGGCCGCGGAGCCGGCCTCCGTCCGCCTGCTCCGCATCGCCTCTTCTCCTCGCAACACGGAGCGCAAGGAGCTCGACCCAGCCTCGCCCTCCACCACCGCACGTGCGCCCCCCAGCTCCAAACGCCAACCCCCCCCCACGCATTCCCGCGCTTGCTCCGCGTCGCGCACGGCCCGCAACCGTCCCACCGCGTAGCCCTCCGTGCGCGCTCTCCCGCAGTGCCCAACCTCGCCAACAGCAGCAACGCCTGTCAGGCGGACACCCTGAAGGTGGCAGACGCGGCGGCGTGCGACTCCGCGATGGAGGACCTGGACGAGCGCGCGAAGCGGTACGAGATGTTCGCGCGCGAGACGCCCCTGCACAAGAAGCTCAAGTCTGGCGCGAAGCAGGCTGCGCGGGCGGCAGTGGCGATGGCGCGCAACCTCCCGAGCAAGTTGGCGGCGCTGCGGGCGATGACGAGCGAGGACTGGGCCGAGTGGCGGCGCGGAGCGTGGCAGGCGACGAAGGAGGTCGCGCACCACTACTGGGTCGGGACGAAGCTGCTCTGGACGGACGTGCGCATCGCGCTGCGTCTGACGAGCAAGGTGCTGTCCGGGAAGCAGCTGTCGCGCCGGGAGCGCCGGCAGCTCACGAGGACCACCGCGGACGTCGTGCGGTACGTCGCGCGCGGGCGCCGCCCGCACACTCGCGCGCCCGGATCGCACAACAACAGATGCGCTGCGAAGATATGTTTTGGTGTCAGTTGATGAGGAGTTGTTCGATGATGAGCCTGTCCCCACACGCCGCAGAAGCCTGTGTCGGTTCGCGCGCTCGAACGCGCGGTCGGCACCTTTCTCGGCTTCGTGTGCTTCTTGGACTGAGACGCAGTCTTTGTTCGTTCGTGATCTCTGCAGGCTGGTTCCGATGATGGCGTTCGTCATCATCCCGTTCATGGAGCTGCTGCTGCCCGTGGCGCTCAAGCTGTTCCCGAACATGCTCCCGTCGCAGTACGAGGACAAGCTGAAGCGCGAGGAGGAGATGCGCAAGCAGCTCAAGGCGCGCATGCAGGTCGCCGCATTCCTCCAGGTGCGCAACAACCACGGGGAAGGGGAGGGGGTTGCACACCCTACAGATGCCCGCGTTCGGCTTTTATCGCACGCGTTCGGCGTCGCTCCGCACTGTTCCTGCCCGTCTTTGATTGACTGCGCCCACGCAAGCCCATCGACGCAGCTCCGCGCCGTGGAGTGAGTTGAACTTCGCGGTCCAGTGCGTCCGTCCTCCGCGCCGCGCAGGACACGTTGGTGGAGCTGGCGAAGGACCTGGAGCAGTCGCGCGACGGTGCGACGGCGGAGTCGGCGTCCGACCTGATCGAGTTCGTGTCCCGCGTGCGCGCGGGCGAGCGCGTGACGAACGAGGAGATCATGCGCTTCGCGCCCATCTTCAACGACGAGCTCACCCTCGACAACCTCGACCGGCTGCACCTGATCAATATGTGTCGATTCGTCGGCATCGCGCCGTACGGGTCCGACGCGTTCCTGCGGGCGCGGCTGCGGCAGCACATCATCAGTCTGAAGCGCGACGACATCGCGATCAGCCGGGAGGGCCTCGACGCGCTCACGGAAGGGGAGCTGCGTGAGGCGGCGCGGGCGCGTGGCATGCGCGCGCCCTTCGGGCCGCACGCGCGGCCGTACCTGATCCGCGACCTGCAGGACTGGCTCGACCTGTCGCTCAACCGAAGCGTGCCGTCGTCGCTCCTGGTGCGCGTCCCGCCCACGGACCGCAGCTGCGCAGCCAGAACAGCGATGCGTTCCCGCCGCGTCGTGCGCGCAGCTCCACGCTCCCGGCCTCGGACGCGTCCTCGGACACCCGCTTGCGCTGCCTCCGACCGCGCGTCGCAGGCCGGTCCGGCCTGCGTATGTCTAGACTGGGCTAACACACCCCCCCCTTCAGACAGGACCAAGTTTCTACCGTGCTCGCAGATCCTGTCCCGCGCGGTCACGCTGTCGCGTCCGGGCGCGCCGCGCGCGACGACGGACACGGGCGAGGTCTTGCGCGACGCCCTCGGCGCCATCCCCGACGACGCGGTGGAGGAGATCGAGGCGGCGTCCGCGCGCCTGGGGGTGGAGGTGACCGACCTGGCGGCGCGGACGCAGGCGATGGAGCGCAAGATCGAGGCGTTGCGGATGGAGGAGGAGGCTCTGCGGGAGGACGAGGCCGAGGAGGCGGACCGGCGCGCGAGCCTGGAGCACGCGCGGGCGTCGGCGGCGGCGAGCGGGGAGGGCGCGTCGGACGGCGCGACGCGCGGGCCGGAAGAGGTCGCGGCGGCCGCGACCGCGCGCGCGATCCTCGAGTCCGCGGCGACGGCCGTGGTGAGTCGCGCCTGCTCCCGCCACAGTGCCGCGCGCTGCCTGGCACGTGCGACCCGTCGCGGGCGCGGGCAGGGGCGTCGCGCCTGCTTCCGTGCGCCGTTCGGGGCGCATCCCTCGCTGGCTTCTGTTGAGCAGTCGAATACTCCCCCGTGGAGTGCGTGTTTCGCACCGCGCCGCTGCAGCTCACGGTGGGGCGTGGCCGCCGCTCGCGCGCAGGTCCAGAAGGAGCTCACGGCGTCGGGGGTGTCCCCGGAGGAGGTGCAGTACGAGGAGCTGGCGGAGCGGGAGCGGAAGCTGAAGGAGGTGGTCAGTGCGCTCTCGACGCTGGCGACGGGGACGCTGGAGGAGGAGCGCTCGAAGTTCGTCGAGCTCGTCAGGAAGGAGATGGACATCATCCAGGAGACGGTGCGGGCCCGGACCGGCGCGATCGCGCGCCCCCGCCACACACGACTCGACTCGGGTGCATTCTCAGTCTCGATTTCCCGATCTCCAGCCCTCTCGACCACACGCGGCCCGCCGCGCCAAATCAGGTCACCCGCGCGCCCCGCCGCTCACCCGCCGCGACCGCTCCGTCTCCCGCAGACCCCCGGAGACGCGGGGGTGTTGGAGTTCACGGGGGGGTCTCTCAAGTCCTCCACGGTGGTGCTCAAAGACCTCCAGTCCGGCGCGCTCGCCGCGAAGCTCAACAAGATGCTCTCGTCGATCGAGCGCGACATCGACCGCGTCGAGTCCCTCTCCGGCGAAGCCTTCAAGATCGTGCAGATGGGCCCCGACGGGGTCGTCCCGCAGGACGAGCTCGTGCGCGCGCTCAGCTTCCTGCGCTCGCGGCTCGGCGAGGACGAGACGCGCGTGCTGCTCGAGCGGCTCGCTGGCGAGGTGCGCGCGCCCCCCCGCGCGCGGCCAGTCGCCCGCCTAGACCGCAGCCAGGTGGCGCACTTGTGCAGCGCGCTCCCTCGCGCGGCGGTGCCGGCCGGCGGTTGTTCGGGCGCGAGAGGGGCGGCGGTGATCGGGAAATGCGCGGCGCGCGGCTGGCGGGCTCGCGGTGCGGTGACGTGGCGGGAGGCGCGGGGCGGTAGGGTTGCGGTCCTGACTGCATGTTCGTGGGCGCGTGCGTGCAGGACGGGGTGAACGTGGACGTGAAGAAGCTCATGTCGCTGGCGCAGGAGACGGAGTTCGCGGACTCGATGCTGCGGCCGCCATCGAACGCGCCGTGACGTGGTCCAGCGCACCCCTTGTGTGTGGGACTTGTAAGAGCGCGAGCGGTGAAGACCAGACTGGTTGACACGAGTGAGCGTCAATGGCCAACACCGAACGGCGAGAACTGGCCGCGCAGCAGGCCATGCGCGCGTGCTATGTGCCCGTGATGCCGCGGGTGCCGCGGAGGACCCGTCGCAGTGCCTGCCGAGCGCGTGAGAGCGCGACGTGAGGCTCTTCTGATGCCCCGTCGGCTCGGGGCGCGCCGACGCAGCGCCTGCTGCCACGCAAAGGCTTCCAGCGCTTAGCTGCATTCATTCGTGGGTTTTGAGCGCGCCGCCGCGGAAGGCCGAGCGAGCGCGGAAGAGATCCGCACATGGGGTTCATTGGCGGAGTGTGAATGCCTCGCTCCCCCCTCCGGCCGGGCCATCGTCCCGGGCTCCAAGGCCGCGACGTGCGGAAGTGATGGGTAGTCTGCAGCAGTGACGTTCGACACGACTGCTTTCGGCTCTCGGTTGCCGTGCATTCGCGCAACCGGCTACAAGCTTCACGAATCGCGTACAGCGTCCGCCTCCCGCGACAGCAAACGACAAGGTAAGCCCAGGGCCGAATTCACACTTTCATCGAACCGTTCGGCCGCGCGAAATCCGCGAAAGTGCTCACGGCGGCCGGGGCCGCCCACCAAGTGCCTGGGCACCACATCTGAAATCCCGGCTCGGAACCGCCGCATCTCTCGACGTTCCGGCGCATGCCTCGCCGTCGACGCTTCCGCATGGCGCTGCGCCGCGAGAAATCCCACTATGGCGCTGTTCGCGACCTCGGCGCACGACCATACCACTCACTGCTTTGGGCCCGCTCCCGCCGCGATGCAGGGCCAGGATGAAGGGCGAAGCGCCTGGCCGCGCAGGCCGGTCCATCTCCTTCGCGGCTCCGGAGCCTGAGAGGACGCGGTGGCAGAAGTGCAAGGACTGGGGCAAGGCGGTCCTCAAGGTGGACGCGTATGCCGTCGACGTCGTGCGCCCGGCCTGGCACTCCACGCTCGTCACCTTCCTCGTCTGGGCCTTCATGATCGCCTACATCATCCTGCTGGCCATCTCGCTGGCCCGCACCCCGGCTATCAAGACCGTTGGTCAGGAGGTGCGCATCCAGCCTCCGACACTCACGCCACGCAATTGCCGGCCGCAGAGGGACGCACTCGGTCCCCGCCCGCGCGCGAGCAGCTATTTGCGCATTGAGCAAGCCACACGCGCGCGGACGCGTGGCCCGCGGCGCTGCACGGCCCCGTGCCGCCGACTCGGGGACCGGTCAACTCATCGGCGGGTCATCTCACCGCTGCGGCGGCGCCTCGCGCGCGAATCCACGCGCCACGAAATAGCTCGTGCCCATTCCTGACGGCGCCGCGCTGCCCTCTCGCCGCAGTGGACGATCGGCACGGGCCCGTTCCCGGTCAAGGTGACGTGCAAGGCGACGCAGGGCTGCCTCATCAGCAACGTCATCTCCTCGGGCTTCACCATCGGCGTCAGCGAGGCCGTCTCCCCCACCGAGCGCTCGTGCGTCGAGATCGGCTTCAACGAGCAGACCACGGTCAACGTGGTGTTCTCCATCAACCCGCAGGAGGGCCCGAGCGTCGTGTGGCGCGACGGCGACGGCGACGCGGGCCTCCCCGGCGCCGGCATCACCCTCGAGAGCGAGATCCGCTGCCCGCCCGAGCGCGACGACGGCTCCTGCGTCGACCTGCTGAACATTCCGATCAAGCCTGGCACCATGCTGCTCCAGCACGTCGAGACGAAGAACCACACCGCGTCGGGCGCCGCGGCGTTCCGCCGCGAGTGGTTCTCCTTTTCGATTTCCGACATCGCCGCGATCGAGCAGGGCACGACGAACTGCGAGGTGCCCAACAACGGCGTCGGCTGGGTGCAGGCGCGCCTGCGCATCAACAGCATGTACAACCTGGTCGAGGTGGACCGCCGCATCCAGTGGCTGGACTCGCTCGGAGCCATCGGCGGCGCGTATGAGCTCGGGCTCAAGGTCGGCCTGCTCATCCTGCTGGCGCTGTCGTACTCGAAGCGCTCGGCCGTGACGACGCGCAACATCGCGCGGTCCGTGACGCTCGCGCGGTCCAGCCGGGCGGCGAGCCGCGCGAACAGCCGCGGCACGTCGGGCGCACAAACGCCCAAAGGCTTCTCCGACGTCGTGAAGCGCGAGCGCGACTACCACGCCACGGACGACGCGATCTACCCTGCCTCGGGCAAGGGGTCGTCGCCGCGGGACTCGCCGGCCCGCCCGGAGCGCGCGCACAACAGCCACACGTCTGAGGAGGCGCTGCCGGTTTGAGGCGCCGGGGGACGCGAGCGCCGCGAGCAGCCAGGCCGGCCGAAGTGTCATCGCTTGACCTCGACCTGGCTGCTCCTTTCCCCGCCCCGAGGCCCCCCTCCCTAATCTCAATGCCATCATCCGCAACGTTCATCCGCAACGTTCAACGTGCTTCCCCTCCCCCCGCCGTCCCGTATTTGCCACCTGCCCCTCTTTTCTGTACGCGTTGGGACCTGACTCTATTCACCCTCTTGCACGAGCCACTCGCTCGCGAGTGACTGTTTCGAGGGACTGGTTGATGAACTGCCACAAGATAAGTTAAATAGAAATGCCGCTCAGCGCTCGATCGAGCACAACTTTCCCATCTACTGCCAGTGTGCGCTAGATGCGGCGGCCACCTCCGCGGACGCCACGGTCCCAGACGGGCCGAGGGATGGTTCCGCATGGCTCTCAATTGCTGGCACTTCGGGCGAGCAGCAGACCTCGTCTGCCGCGAAAAGTACCCCTGGCGAGGCGCTCCGAACATCGTGATCTTCATCCGTATCTTTTTTGGCCGGATACCGAGGAGCTTTGCTCTCTTCGTCGCTGGAAGACTGCGTGCGTGCCCGACGCGCAGCGCTGCCAGCGACGCGGAGGATTATCGGGCTCAGGGCCTCCCGCGCCACCGCTCATGGTGCCGCCGCGGACATCCGAGCCCGGCGAGTTTTTAATCCCTTTCCCCGGGGCTGGTCACCTCTGTTCGACCTGTCCCGAGGTCACTGCTGCCATCGCGACCTTCGTGTCCCCTGAGGCACCGACTGAGGTGAGGTGTCACATTCTTCGCGTCGTCAGCCATAAGGCTTTGGGACCTGAAAAGATCATTCGACTAGGTGGCGAGTCATGCTAACCCCCCACCGTTATGGTAGCAACAGGTTCGGCAGCTGTGACAGAGTCAGCCTGGAGCAGGTCCTCGATGCCACGAGCAAAGATCGCCATGCCTCGCTGATTCGGCAGGTTCAGAAGATAACGCACTGCAGCGTTGGCAGCGGCTTCCGAGTCGAGTGTTGCAGCGCCGTACAGGTCCTCGAGGTGCTGGCGTAGCCGACGGTTGAGAGCGAAGCGGCGGCGCTGTCCAACAGTTGCCGTGGAAGACAGGGGCGCATCAGCAGCTGGCGGAAGTGGCAGCGTGAGCTGCCCAGACGAGTCCATGGCCAGGCCCGCTCGTTCCCGGAGAGAGCGTACCGCCGGGGCGCAGCAGTCCAACAGCAGGTGGCGGAGGTCCTCCGGGGCGGGCGATGCCGCCACGTCCACGCAGAAGCGGCAGACTTTCGATGGGTGCGACAGCGGTGTGTGTTGCCACTGCTGTTCCTGGTCCGCCATGGCCATCGTGGAGGTGCGCAGCCTCGTAGCTCCCACACGCAGGCGGGACAGGGCACGGCGGTCCGCGTGGTAGATCGCGGTGTCGAGCAGATGTGGAGGGATGGTGCGCGGTGGTGGCTGGCACCACCAGGCGTACCTGGCCCGTGTGCGGCCAAGCCCGTGCTGAGTGACCTCGGTCCGGGGATCCGGGGTTGCCGCGGGCTCGTGGTCCGGCAGCACGACCTGAGCGATCTTTCGTACCCTGCCCACAGCAGGTGCCGGGTGTGGCTGCTGCGGGGTCCCTGGCGTGCCGCCTATCTGAATGATGGCCGCCGCGATGTGCGCTGCCCACGGTAGCTCGCGTTTGCGGAGGCGGTGGGCTGCGGGTTCGGCGCGCCTTGTGCTCGTACGAGTTGTCGACGTCGTGCGTAGTCCCCGTCGGCCAGCGCCGCTCCTGCCTCCCCCCCGCCGCCCACGACCCCGTGACCGTCCGCCTCGCCCCCGTCCCCGGGTGCTCCGTGGCTGCGACCGCTGGCCCGGCTCATCCGAGTCCGTCAGGGACGTTGTTGAAGACGCAGTAGCGTCGTGCGACCCCTCGTATTCTGATTCGCTGTCGTCGCCAGTGGCAGCCGAGGAGTCCTCGCAGTAGTTCGGCCTCGGTGTAGCGCGGGATCCCCCTCGCGTGGTCCGGTCCAGCGTGCGAGCGGTCACGCGGTTCGATTCAGTGCTGCGGGACGCCGGTGGTGGCGAGGGCAGCGATCGAGATGGTGTGCGGCCGCCCCGTGCTGCGCGTCCCCTGCCTCGGGTGGCCCGAGCTCCGTGGTCTCGGCGGGCGGCGGCCCGTGCTCCTGCGTCGCGCCGGCCCGGCTGCATGTGCGAGGGGAGTTGGAGTTGTCGTAGTCGCCGCTGCTGGCCCTGCGGTGCATCTCCGTCGTCGTCGTCCGCGTCGTCCGACGGGTCAGGCTCGGCCGCACGAGGGCGGCCCATCCGTGCGGCGCTCGACGATGTCGCGTCGCCCTCCGCCGTGTCTCCTGCTGGAGGGTAGCTGACGAACGCGTCGGAGTCGGGCTCCGCCGCGAGCAGAAGCTGCGCGGTGAACGCCCGGACCGTCATGTGCGGGAAGTCGGGGGGCAGGGTCGGGTTCGTTCGCGCTGTGTACAACAGCTTCGTCAACGAGTCCCAAAAGTCGAAGTTACGGGCCCACAACGTCGACTGTGACTCGCACAGCACAAAGCCCGAGGCGCCGCGTCCGCCCGTGCGACGCATCACATCTGTTTCGCGCCGCTGGCCCGTTCTGCCTCACTCGCACTGCCAGGCGCGACACCACCGTGCGAGTAACGCACGCGCTCCCCCGGCACGAAACGGTACGGCCTCGCGTCCCCGCCGCTGCACCGGACGTACGCCGTGCTCATCGTCCCCACTCCGTTGTGGCCGCTCCCCAGGGCCTGCTGGTACGCACCCTCGAGCAGCACCGCCAGGAGGTACCGCTCCGCACCGACCTCGTGCAGCCACAACGACGTACCCGGAGCGGGCGCGGCGGGCGACGGCACGTACACCGGCAACTGTCCGTCTGAGTCGCATGTCTGCAAAAACAAATATGCACAAAGTAACAAATTGTTGCTATCACTTGCTCGAGGAAAGAGTGGCGTGGCTTGTCGCGGCGGCGTTGCGCGCGGCACGCTGGGAGCAGACGCAGGTGCGGGGCTGTTCTGCGCACCAGGTCGACAACGACGGCTTTCTGCGTCGGCGCTTCGTTCAGGCGCGTGACGGGGACCACGGGGAAGGCCTGCTGCAGCGCCCAGGCGTCCGGGAGCGACCGGAACACGGAGAAATTGCACATGTACACCTCTGTCGGATGGTCGAGCGCCTGCAAGCAGCAGAGCCGCGCACGTCGCGTCAGCGCTCGCGAGGCAACGCAGCGCATTCAACAGAAGCACCCAAAGCTCGTTCGCGCTCCTTCTCCGCGCGCGGTCCGCGGCCGGCGCGCACCTCGCTCCTTTCGTCGAACGCCTGGTCCGCCGCCGCCTCGATCTCCCCGCACAGCGCCTCAAGCTGCGCCCGCTGCCCCAGCGTCATCAACCCCAGCCCAAACATGCTCCGCCCCTCTTTCCGGAACTGCGCCGCGTCCGCCCGCGCCTCCCTCGCACGCGCCACGACGGCGCCGTCGCTGGCCCCGGACGCCACGACGCGCCGCAGGTCCTCCCGCACCTCCCGCAGCGTCGCGAGGAGGAACGCGCAGGCGTCGGTCGTGGCGTCGGACGCGCCGGGCGGGACGGACGCCGCGCGCGGGGCTTCGCGCCCGCGCACGCGTCGCCGCTCGACGACGTCGACGACGAGCAGCGAGGCCGGCGCGACGAGGTAGCGGCCGTGTTCAAGGTCGATGTGCGGAGGCGCGAGGTTGCGCCGCGTGCAGATGTCGGAGAGCGCGGCGACGACGTCGTTCGCGTAGGCCTGGACGTCGTAGTTGGGGGAGAGGGGCGCGGAGGCCGCCGGGGAGGCCGCGGCGGGCGTGGTGGGGGAGTGTGCTGCAAGACCCCCTGCTGGGAGCCCGCCGCCGACGTCGATCGACGAGATGGGCGCTCCCTGGCCGACGAGCTCCGCGAAATACTGGGAGGCTTCGCGCAGGGCGTCCTTGACCACCTGCACGTCGACAGCGAGCGCAGAGGCAACAGGTTGGGAGAGCGCTGCCATCGTGTGTCGCTGCTTGCCGCTGCTGCTGCGGGGCGCGCACCGCAATGTCCGGAATCTGGCTTCCGAGGTGGAAGTGCAGCAGGTCGAGCTTGTCCAGCACCCGCGCCCCCCTGACGATGTCCAGGACATGTGTCATACTGCAAGGACCGAGCCCGAACTTCGAAGACTCCCCCGAAGACACCCCCCAGTGCCCGTCGTGCGCGCTCGAGAGCTGTAGACGCACGCCCAGCGACACCCCCGGCACCTGCGCGGCAAGGCACGTGCGGCCATCACAGGTCCCAACACCACACTGTCGCAGGCGACGCAACGCGCACACCGCCGGGCGGCCCCGGGCCCGCTCTCACCTCGAGGATGCCGTGGCTGCACACGCGTGCGGCCTCCGACGCCGACTCGAGCACGACGCACACCCGCGCTCCGTTCCTCGCCGCCGCTGTCGCCGCATCAAGGTACGCATTGTCCTTCCATCCGTGGCAGACGATGCGGAACGGGCGGTCGCCGGCGCGCGCCGTCTGCGCTATCAGCTGGTCCGCGTACGCCAGCTCCGCCACCGAGCCCACCTCGAGCCCGGCGGCCCCTCCCGCGAGCAGCGCTCTTATAATCTCGTGGTCCGCGTTGCACTTGATCGGGTATATCACCGCCGCCCGCCCGTCGTAGCTGAACCTCTGCGGAAACGCCCAGGCCGGCGGTCGAACCGTTCGAGCTCCACGCGTGCAGCCGGCCGCTACATCCTATGCTTGCGTACCAAGAGCGGGCCACGGCGCACGCGTCGCGCGCAACGCGCGGTGCAGGCCGCGTGTGCGCGAGGCGCGTGCGTGGGCGGGCGACCGCGGGCCTGCCCTGTCGCGCGGGCCCGCAAACGGCCTCGCAATCGCCACGTCAAGTTCTCACACCTGACGTGCGTGGTCGAACGCGTCCAGGAGCTTCCGCATCTGCTGCACGGCGATGCTCGGCGCGCGCACGAGCAGCGGCGTCGTGCACCCGTGCGCCTCGGCCTCCGCGACCACCTCCCGCAGAGACACGGCGCAAATGCGCCCCGGGGGACCCGGCACGCGTAGCTGCAGCTCTCCCGTGGCCTCGCCGACGTCGAGCGTGCCTTCGTCCCACGACTCGATCGCGTAGAAAGCCTTCGCGTCGAACCGCGCGTGCGCACGCGTCGATGCGCGCCGCGCCCGCGCCCCGAGCTGACGTGGCTCGCGGCCGGCGTTGCACCCAGTGAGGTGCAATGGAGCCGCGCGTCGCAGCCGCGGCGCGGCGCACGGACGGAGCGCGGGACTCAGCCGGCCGGATGCATTCGACCGGGTGGGCCGGTGAGCCGCGTGGTGCGGTGTGCCGCGCGTGCGGAGGCTGGGTCTCTGGGGGAGGCCGGAGCACGGACACGGCCTGCCCATGGCCGGAGACGGCGAGCCTGGGGGACCGGACGCGACTGGCAGACGAGCGCCGCCCGTGCGGCCAATGCCGCGCGGCAACGTGTCGAGGGCTGGCTCAGGGACCTGTTGCACGTTCCTGGTTTCTTCTTTTCAGTCCTCCAGCGGCGGGCCCCGGCGCGCCTTCGGCCCGCCGCGCGCGGCCCGCGCACCATTGTTTTCCGAATTTTTCCGGAGCGGGTGAAAGACCCCGCATTCCTCCTCCACTCGGAGGCAGGCAACCCACCTGCGCCTCTCGGCGCAACCACCGCGGGAAACCCCCCCCGGCACGTCTCACGGCCGGTCGCGCCCCCCTCGACGTGCGTGCACTGCAGAGCGTGCCCGCTGCCTGCGCAGGATCGTCTGGAAGCGCCTGCGCGACGTGACGTGAGACCGGGAGGCTGCAGCTCTGACAACTGCGGTGGTGGGCTGCGCGTGCGACGGGCGAGCGCAACTCTTGCGCGCCCGGACATATCGGATCGTGTGCTTGCTGCGCAGGCGAGGAGAGGTGTTGGGGGTGCGCGGAGGCGAGGATGCGCGGGCCGGAACGAGGCGAGCTGGGAGGGCTCGCGGCGGGGCTGCACGCGCGGAACCTGGCCGCTCAGGCGCCTTGCTGTGATGTCAGAGTCTTCGTCGCCCGTTCGCGTCACTCTATCGGCTTGGCATGGCTATGTCAGGGGGCTAGAGCGCCTGGAAGGGCTGCGTGGTGGCGTCGCGCCGATTTCTGCGGCTGCACTGGCAGGTAGCGGCGGGACGGACGGCCGCCGGCCTCATCAGACTCTAGCGCACGCGGGGGCCGACGGCCTCGACCACTGGCTCTCGGCCAGGGTGATTCTGCGCGGCCCGCCTGGCACTGCTGCACAGCGGCAGACCCGACTCGCGCGCGCACGTCGCCCGTTGCCTGCTGAATCATCGCTGCCGCGGCACTCGCGTTGCGCGGCGCATTCTGCGATTGAGCAGCTGACAGAACCTGCTGGTCGGACACCATGAGGGCAGCGCGGAACGGCAGTTGACTTCCAGAGATTGGGACGGCCGCTTCTCAACGTCTGGCTCGTCTCGCGCCGTGAGGCCCGCTCCGTGAGCTGATCTAACAGCTCACGCGTGAGCGCACGCGGCGTCGGGGCTCAGGGAGCGCGCAGACGGCCGCTATGGCCGATCCGGGCCCCTCTGTCATAGAAGTGATCGGGCCGCAGCGCAGCAGTTGCGGCTACTGCAGCGGGCGGAAGACGAGCCGCACATTCGGCTGCTGGGCCGTGAGGCTCACCGTGTACGACTACCAGGTGCGCTGCCCGCCTGAGTCGGCCCCAGCGCCCTCCGCCAAGAGCTCTCTGCACCGCGCCGAGCCTGCGGACCGTCCGCGGCGCGCATTTCGCGCGCCGCGCATCGACCATCGAGCAACGAAACCACACGGCTGTCGCCGCGGCCCCAGCAGCGCTGACCACTGCGCGCGGCCCCACGAACCTGCAGGCGCTGATCGACCGCGGCTGGCGCCGCTCCGGCAGCTACATCTACAAGCCGGTGATGCGGCGCACGTGCTGTCCGCAGTACACCATCCGCCTGCGCGCCTCGGATTTCGTGCCGAGCAAGGAACAGCGCCGCGTGCAGCGCCGCTGGGACGCCTTCCTGCGGGGCGAGCGCTCTGCCGGGCGGACCGACGCGGCCCCGCCGCACTCGCCCAGCCCACGCAAGCAGCCGCAGCGCCCCGCCGCTTCGGCGAGCGACGCCGCGGCCCTCGCCGACGCGCTGCGGCACGCCATCGCCGCCGTGGTCGCTGCGGGCTCGCTGCCTCCGTGCGAGTACCGCCCCCCGGCGCTCAAGCCGCCCAGGGTGGGGAAGAAGGCCGCTGGCGCGGCGCTGTGCGCGCCCGTCGGACCGGCGCTGGTCGCGCAGGCGCGCAAGGCCGATCCGAGTGTCGCGGCGTCGGCGGAATCTGTCGCGGCCGCCGTGGCGGCGGAGCTCTCCACGCGGCTCGCGGCGACGTCGATGCAGCGCGCGGAGGCGGCGGGCGGGTTCGTCAATCTGTTCACCGCGCCTGGCCCCGCCGGGGCGGCAGCTGGGGACGCACGTGCAGCGGGGGAGGGGCCGCACGGAGGGCAGGCGTGCGGCGGGGCCGCGGAGGGCGCTGCGCATGCGCAGAGGGAGGGGGAGACGGGCGGGGGCGCGAGCGAGCGTCCGGAGCGGAGCGGGGGGGGTGTCCAAGCGGGCAAGCGCAAGCAGGCAGAGCCTCAGCGTCTGGCGGGGGCGTCTGGGCGGGAGCAGCAGCTCGAGGTGACGCTGGTGAGTGCGCACGTCGTCGCTCGCTCGTTCTAGCAGAGGAACGCTCCCGGCGCGCGCCCGCGACGTCTTCCCTCGCGACGCACGCGCTCGTGACGGTCTCGCGATGTGCAGGTTCCGTCGCGGTTCGACGAGGAGGAGTACCAGCTGTACAAGCGGTACCAGATGGCCGTGCACGGCGACAGCGAGTCCGAGTGCGGGCGCTCGCAGTACAAGCGCTTCTTGTGCACCGCGCCCTTCGCGCACGTGCCTCCCACGGCCGACCCGCAGGCGCCGGCGTGCGGCTTCGGCGCCTTCCACCAGCAGTACCGCGTCGACGGGCAGCTCGTGGCGGTCGGCGTCGTCGACGTCCTCCCGCGCTGCCTGTCGAGCAAGTACTTTTTTTGGGACCCTGATCTGGCAAGCCTGTCCCTGGGCAAGGTGGGCGCGCTGACGGAGATCCAGTGGGTCCGCGACGCCGCGGCGGGCCTCCCGCGGGACTCCCCGCTGCAGTACTACTACCTGGGGTACTATATCCACTCCTGTCCGAAGATGAAGTACAAGGCGGATTACTCCCCCTCGGAGCTGCTCGACCCGTTCGAGTACACGTGGCACCGCTACGACGCGGTCCGGCCGCTCCTGGACGCGCGCGCGGGGCGGTTCGTGCCCCTCAGCGACGCCCTGCGCGGCGGGAGCGACGCGGGGGGTGCCGGCGCTGCGCCGCAGACGGACGGCGACGACGAGGACCCCGGACGGGAGGGCTGGGCCGGGGAGGAGGGCAGCATCCTGCGGCAGGTGGTGTCGCTGGCCAGCAACAAGGTGCACATGCCGCTGGAGGCGCTCGCGAAGCAGTTCCAACTCAGCGGGGAGGTGAGGGTCCCTTTGCGCACGTGCGCGCCCCCGTCGCTGCGTGCGCGCCCCCCCCGCAGCTCTGGGGCGTCGGGCAGGGTCCGGTGTGCGTGCGGCCGGCGTGCGACGTCTGTGCGCGGGTGTCGGCGCCTGCAGGGAGTGCAAGGTGGCGGCGGTGTGGTCGAGGCTCTCAGCGGGGTGGTGCGCGAGTGGCAGGCGTGGGCGGGCCCGGCGGGGGTCAGCATGGCGCTGTGCTTGGGCTGAGGCGCCGCGGCGCGCACTGCGTTGCGCGCCACTGGAACTAGTCACTACTGGTGGCAGTGCACGCTGTGACGTCGCGCTCGCGCATCCGTGTCGTGGGTGCGTCGGGCCGGACGCCTCTTCGGGAAGGCGCGAAACGTTGCCCAGGTGCGAACGTTGCCCGCGGCCTCCGCGGCTGTCCGGCGGCCGACGTGGCTGGTGTGACCATCGTGGGTACGCCGACGTCGGACGCGAGGGTCCCCGACGCGTCTTCGCGGCCTTTGCCGCACGGCGCGTTGGCGCGCTCGAATTCTCTCAGACGCGACAGCAAGAGGGCTGCCTGCGCGACAGCTTGCCCAGGTGGAGGACGACGACGGGCCAGCGGTTTTGATCGCCCATAGCTTCTCGTAGGCGGCGCTTCGACGGGGAGCGCGGCCGCGTCGCGACACCTGCCTCTCAAGGTTGCGTTTGCGGTGCAGCTGGGGACGAATGAGCTGAGACCGGCCCCCCCTTGCGGCCCCAGGCGACCTCGAGGTCCACCGCCGCTGCGACAGCAGTCGTTCGGCCGGGCGAACGAGTGAGATGTCGACGCGAGATCCACTCTTGCCTGCGTCGGCAGGTGCGCGCCCCGCCCTGCCCCGCATTCGCCGAGGCGGGCTCCTCCGCGATGTCGCACACCAGCGCCCGAGCGCGCCGCGCCGCGCCGCGCCGCCCGAGCGGGCCGGGGAAGCTGTTTTCGAACTCCCCCCGCGTCGCACGCATTCTCGCGCGCGCTGCCTCGGCGAGGTTCCGACCCACTCCCGGCCCAATACTAGCTCGCCCAAGCGCTGACTGCTGCCTGTCCGGACCCCCCCGGCGAGGCGCTCCCCAGAGCCCCCATGTGGCCTCCCTCGCAGCCCCCCTCGCGCACAGCTGCGCCCGCACGGACCTTGGCAGCCTCCGCCCGCCTAGTCCTGGGCCCGTGGTGATCCGGCCGCGTCCGCGCGCACCGCGGCCCGGGGACGCCCTGCAAACCGCACCGCCGCCACACCCCGGTCACTGCAGGCGAGGAGCGGGGCGCGAAGGCGCCCGGAGCGCCGGAAACCGGCGGGAACGTCGCATTGCATCTAGGACGGAGGAGGTCGCACGAGCCGGGTCGCACGGCCGACCGCGCGGGCTCCGGCGACGGCGCCGTCAGCGAGTCCGACGTACGTGCTCCCGAACCCCGTGCGCGTCGCTCGGGCGGGCGCGCGCTGCCGCACGGAACGACCTTTCGGGCGCCCGGAGTGCACAGCTCGCTCCCTCCTGGTGCTCCGCCACGCCCCCACGCCGCGCCTCACGCCGTTTCCCGTCGCCCGCCGCCCCCCCGCAGGTCTCCACGTCCGGCGCGTGGCACCACTCGGGCCACCAGAGCCAGCACGGCGAGGCGGACCCGGCCGGACCCGAGCCGCGGTCGAATCTGTCCTCCGCCACGTCCTCGTCGCCGCGCAACAGCCCCTTCTTCTCCACGCAGGAGGTCGTCCAGGGCTTCGGGGCCCTCGACGACCTCCTGCGCGTCCTCGAGCAGCTCGGGTCGCAACCGTCCACCCGCAGCTCTGAAGGGTCCGTGCAGCCCGAGGCCCGTGCGTCCGGCTCCGGCTCCGCGGCGGGCTCCGCGAGCGCCGTCCCGGTGCCCAAGGGCTCCAAGGGCGCCGCGGGAAAGAACCTCGCCCAGCGCATGATCCACAAGCAGCGGTCCAACCGCCGCGCCATCATGCTCACCGACGCCCAGCAGCGCCTCACGCTCGAGCTGGAGCTCTTCAAGCACCAGGTCGAGCGCGGCCTGCGGAGCCGCGAGGGCGCCGGCGTGGGCGCGTCGGAGCACGGCGCGGGCGCGGCGCTCGCGCGCTCGCGCACGGAGCACGCCAACGTCCTCGACGCGCTGGCGGGCGACTCCGAGGATGACGAGGCCGCGCGGCGGCAGCTGCAGCGCACGGCGACGCAGCACGTGCCGTCCGGGACGGGCAACTCGGACCGGCGGGGCCCCTCGGCGCGGGCCCGTCGCAAGTCGATGACGGCTGGCGCAAAGACGAGCGACGGGAGCCCGCTGCCGTCGCGGTTCTCGTCGCGGCGGCCGTCGCTGCAGGAGAGCTCGCCGCACCACTCGTCGGTGCCGGGGAGCTCGCCGCACGTGTCGCGGCGCACGAACACGACGGGCGCGAGCAGCCACGCGCACCACCTGAGCAGCAGCCACGCGGGCGGGTCGGCGCACGGCCTCGACGGCGACCGCTACGGCGGCGCGCTCGCGGCCGCGGACGTGCTGTCCGGGGCCGCGGTGGCGCGGGAGCGCCACGAGAGCGCGCGGACGAGCCAGCGGCACAGCGGGCGCGTCAGCGGACGTGCGTCCTGCGCGGGCCTCCCCGCGGCCTACTGCGCGGAGATGGCGGCGCGGCCGGCGCCGGTGCGCGGGCACGCGTCGGGCGGGGGCGAGGCCGCGGAGGAGTCGGCGCACTCGGGGAGCGAGCACTCGTCGCGGGAGTCGGCGCAGGGCCCCGACGACGGCGCGGGCGTGCTCGAGACGCTGATGGAGATTGCCGACGCCGTGCTGCAGATGGACGTCGCGACGTTCGAGCAGCAGTACCGCGGGCTCGTGAGCCGGCTCGAGAAGCTCCGCCGCGTGTGCCTGGAGCGGCCGAACCGCCTGCTGACGACGAAGCTGCTGGTGATTCTGACGGGGTTCTCTAGGTTTATATCTCTGGGCAAGGCGGACGGGACGGTGAGCCCCGGCGGCGTGGCGCGGGGCTCCGGCGACGGCACCAGCGAGCAGGCGGCGCCGCGGCACCGGCTGGCGCGTGGGAGCGGGATGGCGGCGGGCGGGGTGCAGCGGATGGCGACGGCGTCCGACAGCAGCATGCGGCGGGAGCGCGCGGCGAGCGCGGGGCGGAAGCACGCGGCCGCGGCGACGGCGGCGGTGCGCTGGGCCTCGGGCGAGGGCGCGCAGCTGTCGACTGCGTCGTCGTTCGGCCCCATGGCGGAGGCGGAGCGAGGGAGCTTGACGGAGGCGGAGCGCACGGGGCACCGCGTGATCATCGAGGACCGGTTCATTCTGTCGCCGAAGGCCGGGGCGCTCGGCGGCTCGCGGTCGGAGATCGCGGAGGGCACGGCCTCGCGGCCCGAGCCTGGGCGGAGCCGCAGTCAGGCCACGTCGGGCGGGTCGGACGGGCTGGACGGGGAGGAGGCGACGGGGCGGGCGAGCGCGGGCGACTCCGCGGCGCCGCAGAGCGGCTTCCTGGTGCGCATCTCCACGTGGCTGAAGCACAGGAAGGAGACGAAGGCTGCCAAGAAGGAGGTGAAGGAGCGGGAGAAGCGGGACAGGAGGGAGGCGAGGGAGCGTCGGCACGGGTCGGCGTCGTCGGCGGCGACGGGGGACTTGTCGCGCGGGTCGTTCTCGGGGCGCGCGCAGGAGGCGTCGCGGCACCGCACCACGGCGCGGCTGCGGCTGGACACGGTGGGCGAGGGCGCGGCGCTGAAGGTGTCGGAGGCGGACCCGGCGCTGGACGAGGACCGGACAGGCGTGCAGGGCGTCGCGGACGGGCACGTGGAGCCGGAGCCGGACTCGTTCAGCGTCGCGCGCACGCGGCTGTCGCTGGACATCAACCGAGTGCCCATGTCGATGATGGAGGTGGTGTGCCGGATCTGCGAGAAGCTGGTGCCGGTGTCGATCATCTCGGAGCACTCGCGCGTGTGCGCCGTGGTGGAGGCGGCGGTCGGGCAGCACGACGCGGCGCGGGCCGCAGACGTCGACCTGGTGCTGGCGCGGTTCGCGATGGCGCTGGAGAACAAGGAGCTGCCGCGGATGAAGCGCGCGCAGGGCAGCTTGTACCGCACGAGCCAGCTGAAGCAGCTCGTCGCCATGGCGCGCACGGCGTCGTCGCTGCAGCCCGACGGCACAGTGCGCCCGCAGCAGCGCCTGGACGAGATCCTGGGCCTGCTGAGCCACTTCGGGGCGCCTGCGGCGCAGCCCGTGCAGCCCGACCGGCGGCGCAGCGTGTCGTCCTGGAGCGGCGGCGCGCCGCCCAAGAACGAGGACACCACCGTCACCATCTGGGCGCAGAAGCTCATCGAGCTGCTGCACAGCAAGGCGGACGACCTCAAGTCCGTCGCGCGCGTCGACGAGCGCGAGAGCAAGCAGCGCGCCCGCCCGGAGTCGGCCCAGGCCGCGGATTACCTGTCGATCAAGGACTTCGAGATTATCAAGCCGATCAGCCGCGGGGCGCACGGGCGCGTGTACCTCGCGCGGAAGCGCAAGACGGGGGACTACTTCGCGATCAAGACGATGCGGAAGAAGGACCTCCTGCGGAAGAACCTGGTCGAGAACGTGCACAACGAGCGCAACATCCTGGCCACGACGGACAACCCGTTCGTCGTCCGGTTCTTCTACTCGTTCCAGTCCAAGGAGAACGTCTACCTCGTGATGGAGTACCTCTCCGGCGGGGACCTCTTCTCGCTCCTGCGCAACATTGGCGCTCTCGAGGAGGACGTGGCGAAGATGTACATCGCGGAGACGGTCCTCGCGCTCGAGTACTGCCACGCGAACGGCGTGATCCACCGCGACGTCAAGCCGGACAACCTCCTGATCGGCCCGGACGGCCACATCAAGCTGACGGACTTTGGGCTGTCCACGCGCGGCGCGTCGGCCTGGGACGCGCTCACCGGGGAGGCGGGCGAGGGCGGCGACCCGGCCGCGTCGGGGCGCGCCGGCGAGGGCGGCGACCCGGCCGCGTCGGGGCGCGCCGGCGACGCCACCACGCTGTCGAGCCTGAACGAGAACGCGGAGAGCGCGCACAGCGGCGCGGGGGCGTCGAACGGGTCGGACAAGGGCATTGGCCCGCACGGGCGCACCGGGCACGCGGACGGCGAGCGCAAGGTCGGCACGCCGGACTACGTCGCGCCGGAGATCCTCCTCGGGCACCCGCACGGCGTGGAGGTGGACTGGTGGGCGGTGGGCGTGATGGTGTACGAGCTGGTGGTGGGCGTGCCGCCGTTCAACGCGGACACGCCCGAGGAGATCTTCGACAACATCCTGGAGCGGGACATCGAGTGGCCCGGCGAGGACGGCGACGAGGAGGACCCGATCAGCCCCGCGTGCCGCGACCTCATCGAGAGGCTGCTGTGCATGAACCCGGCGGAGCGGCTGGGGCACAACGGCGCGGGGGAGATCAAGATGCACCCGTGGTTCGCCGACGTGCACTGGTCGCAGCTGAGCAAGACGAAGGCGGCGTTCGTCCCGCAGACGTCCTCGATCGAGGACACGTCGTACTTTTTCAACAAGCCCGTGTCGCAGATGTCCATGGTGGCCGACCTCGAGCCCTCGGAGGTGCGGGACGTCGCGCGCCCGAGCTCGAGCAAGCGGCGGAAGTCCTCGCTCAGCACGGGGTCGTCCTCCGTGATGCGCTCGCGCGGCCCGGGGCAGTCCCAGGAGGAGGCGCGCGAGCTGGCGGCCGTGACGAGCATGACGTCGGGGCCGTCGGACACCTCCACCGCGGGGCCGAACACGGGTCTCACGCCGAGCGCGGCCGCCGCGGCGGAGGCGGCGGCGGTCGCCGCGGCCGAAGCCGGACTGACGCACGCCACGGACTCGCACGGGCGCAAGGGCAGCGCGAGCACGGCCGGGCAGCCGGGCGGGCACGGGCAGCGCCGGAAGTCGCTCTCCGTTCGGCGGAGCGTCGCGGCGCAGGGCGGCGACGAGGCCCTGCGCGACCACCTGACGGAGAACCTCCTCCGAAGGTACCGCGAGCAACGCGGGTCGATGGACAGCGCCCGCTCGTCCGCGTGGGGCGTGCAGGGGCAGGCGTCGCTCGACTCGAGGTCCTCGCTGGACTCGCGGATCGCGCTCGCGCACGCCTCCTCGATCCCGCGGCCCGCGGAGGTGCCCAGGCCGATGACGTCCGCCGTGCACGAGTCGCACTGGGCCGCGGCAGGCGGGCCCGCGGCGGCCCGCACGTCCGCGTCCGGCAGCGGCAGCGCCGGCGCCGGCGATAACGCCGCGTTTTTCTCCAGTCTGACTGGCGAGGCGATCACCGTCGGGCGCGCCAGCCGCCGCCAGCGCACCACGGGTCGCCTGTCGACGGACCGCCCCACCGACCCGGGCTCGGGCCCGCCGCCGCGACCGTCCGGACGCGCGCTCTCGGGGCGCCAGTCCTCGGCGGGCGAGGCGTCCCGCAAGGCCTCGAGTTCGGGCATGCCGCCGTCGCCCAGCAGCATCACCACGCCGAACGCGCCCCTGACGGCGTCGCGGATGTCGCGCGAAGTCAACGTGCGCCTCTCGGACGAGCACGACCAGCGCGGGGCGGCGCCCACGCTCGCGACGCTCCTCGGCGCGGGCAGCCCGCACGGCGTCTCTCAGCCCAGCCGCCTGTCGCGCAAGGCCCTCCGCGCGTCCCAGGTGTCCGAGGAGCACCCCGCCGAGCCCCCGAGCGCCAAGGCCAGCATGTGCAGCGACGGTCCCGGCAGCGCCCCGCGCACCCCCGGCCCAGCGAGCTCCATGGGGTGCTCCCACGACTCGGCCCAGCAGGCGCATGGCACGAGGTCGCCTGACGGGCCCCAGGGCTCCGTGCCGCGGCGGCCGCACAGCTTGCAGATCTCGTCGCACGCGGAGTCGTCGTTCGCGTCGTCGCCGTCCTCGCGCGGCGTGGCCGGCGACGGCAGCGTGCTGGACTCGCGGCCGAACAGCGCGCACCCGGGCGCGACGGTGCGCTCGAACACGTCGCGCCGCAGCCTCGCGATCGACCGCCGGCAGAACCCGAGCTGGTCCGCGCGGCACCGCGCCGCCGTGGGGTTCGTGGCGGGCGACCAGGGCCCGCGCCTGCTGCCGCCACAGGAGGGCGTCGAGCGCCAGCCGTCGGACGGCACCGAGGGCGGGGCGCGCGGGTCCGGCAGCGACGACCCGTTCCTGCGCAACGAGGGCTCGATGGGCGACGAGCGCTCGAGCGACAGCACCGAGGAGTCGTCCGGCGGGGACGCACACGGCGCGTTCTCGGGCTTCTCGTTCCGCAACGTGACGCAGCTGGCGAACCGCACCATCGAGCAGGTCGCCGTGAGCGGGCACAACTCGCCGCGCTCGACGGGCTCGCGCGGCCTCGCGCCGACGGCCAGCGGGAGCCACCACGACACGGGTTCGCCCCAGCGGCGTGGGTCTGTCCAGGACCTCCCGCAGGACAGCTCCGCGGGCCGCAAAGGGCCCGGGGTGACGCGGATGGGCTCGCAGACGAAGCGGCGCGGCAGCGTGGGCGGGCCCGCGACGCGCCTCGACCAGATGACGACGAACGAGGCCGTGGGACCGTCGTCGATGGCAACGGCGCTGGAGGCGCTGGGCTCGTTCGAGCTCGACTTGGACGATTCGGGTCGCGCGAGCAAGTGAAGTCACACGCGCGCACCGACCCGTTGATCCCGAAACTACTCTACCAGCACCGGCGCGCACGCACGACGCTGTGCGGGCCTGACCTATGTTGAGTGGGAAGGCAGCGCGGGCTGGCGCGCGTGTGGGGACCGGGCCTGAGATGCCCGGCCCGCAGCGGCGCCGGCGGTCGGCGCTTTCTTTCCTGCCTTGCACGTAGAGAACTCTTGATATCGCGCCCGCAATGTGCAACCGTGACAAGCAGGCTGTGGCCGACCAGGGTCGGCCACGCGCAGAGGCGGCAGGGACTGCATGTGAGCCTTTCTTCGACGGTCACGCGCGCGCGTCTCGCTCTCACCCTATCGCGGCCGCCGGGCATCCAAAGCCGCCGAAACAGCCTCGCGGCGAGGGTGCTTGTAGGTCAGCGAAGTACTAGCCTCGGTGGTCACCGCCCCTGGCGCGCTCGCTGGAAGTGGGCGAGGTGAGAGACGCGGAGCGCAACCGCGCGGCGCGTGGCCTGCACGAGCGCGCTGAAGCCCGTGCGCCGGACCTGACGCGGGGCCGGGCCTGACGCAACACCAAGAACGGAGTCAGTCCTATCAACACGCACCCCGTCAGTCACGTGCACTGTGAGCCCGACTGTGAGCTGGTTCCGCGGCACGAGCGCAGAGCGCGGCGCGCGCCTGCACCACTATCGTCTGCGGCGCGTTGGCCCCTCGTCCGCAGCGCAGCGAGCCCCCTTCTCAGCTGCGCGGCCACAGTCTTGAGTCACTGTCTGCGGAGAAGCGCGTTCGGTCTATCTGTGGGTAGGGGGTCCCGGGGCGTCTGAACAGCGGGGCACTGGGGCGGGCGAGCCATCATGGGCCCGACGCGGGCGTCCCGCAAGGGCAAGAAGGCGTGGAGGAAGAACATCGACGATGGTGCTGTGGTGGACGCGCTGGCGCAGGAAACGCTCGAGGAGCGCCGGGCGGGGCCTGCCGTGGAGACTCTGGCGGACGAGAAGCTCTTCACGGTCGACAGGAAGCCGGCGGCGAAGCCCGAGGTGAAGACGAAGAAGCAGCGGATGCTGGAGGCGCGCTCGAAGCTCACCAGGCAAGAGGGCTGGCCTCCCGGGACCCCGCCCGAGCACACGCTCCTTCGCTCAGAGATTCGCTCGCGCCGTGATCTCCCCGCTATGGGGCCCGATCACACGGCCGCTTCGTCGCTGTTGCCCGGCGGGGGGGTTTGGGCTCGGATGGTTGCTGGAGCGCGGGCCGGCGGCTCCGTCGCACGCGGCGCCTGCGCTACCGCGGACCGCGCAGCCCACGTCGTCCGCCGCATGACGTCGCTCGCAGGGCTGAGGCGATCATTCAGCAGGCTTCTCAGGCAAAACCGGTCTTGCGGACCCCGAAGCCGAAGCCGAAGTCGGCACTGCCAGCGCCGCTGCAGGAGCGCGACGCGCTGAAGCAGCGCAGCGAGGTGAGCCGCCCGCCGCCGCGAACCACGATCCGCGCATCGTACGGGCGTAGTTGTTGCGTTTCCGGTGGTAGAGGTGTGCGGACCGCGTCGTGGTCGCCGCGCAAAGCAAGCTCGGCATATTCCGGGCACATTGTTTCCCTTCTCCGCGCGATTTCGGCGCTCAAAATCACACGGCCCGCGCCCCTGCGTGTCGCTTGGACGCAGGAGGAGCGGAGGCGCGACGCGGAGGCCAAGGAGCGGCGGCAAAAGGAGCTCGCCAAGGACTACGACGTCTTCCAGGAGAGCCCGAAGGCCGACCGCGAGGACAAACAGCGCGCCCTGATCAAGGAGCAGTACGGCACCGCGAAGCGCCGCCGGAAAGCGACCATCGCCCCGATCCCCGCAGGTGACGCTTCTTCTGTACACAACAACCCAATTGCTGCACATCCCAGGTCCCGAACCGGCCCGAAACACGCGCACGCTCGCTCCGCACGCTGCCCCACGGCCACGGACCTCGCCCCGGACCGCGCCGACAGCCGTCATCAATACTCCCCCCCGCCCCCGCAGTGGAGGTCGACATCCCCGGGTGCTCGTACAACCCCACGTACGACGACCACCAGGACGCCGTGGCGCTCGCGGTGGCGCACGAGATGAACAAGGTCATCGCGGCGGACCTCGCGCCCACGGCGCCCCCGCGCGTGCTCCCCGCGGACGCCCCCGCCGACCCGCAACAAGACCCGCTGGCGCTGCTCCAGCACGACGCCGAGGCGAGCGACAGCGAGCCCGAGGACGCCGGGTCGGAGGGCGAGGACGTCGCGCCGCAGAAGCGCCCCGAGAAGAAGACGCGCGCGCAGCGCAACAAGGAGCGGCGCGTCGCGGAGGAGGCGGCGCGTCTGGCGGCGAGGCGCGCCTTGAAGAAGCAGCGGCGCGAGATCGACGGGCTCGGGCGGACGCGGCGGGAGCTCGAGGAGGAGGAGGCGGACCGCGAGGTGCTCCGGGCGCGGCGGGAGGCGATGTTGGCGGAGCGCGCGCTGCAGGAGCCGCCGCGCCTGGGCAGGCACAAGTTCGAGCCTGCGCCGGTCGAGGTGTTGCCGACGGACGAGCTGCCGGGGTCGATGCGGGGCGCGGGGAAGGGGCGGGGCGCGGCCGCGGCGCTGCGCGACCGGTTCAGCTCGCTGCAGAAGCGCGGGCGGCTGGAGGTGCGCAAAGTGGTGGAGAAGCAGAAGGTGCGGAAGCGGAGGACGTACGTGCACGGGGCGAAGGCGGACGCGGAGCGGGAGCGGATGGCCGAGATCTGGGCGCTGCAGGCGCGCAACCGGGACCGGAAAAAGGCCGCCGTCGCGCAGGCGGCGATCGAGGAACTGTGATGGATGGTGGCCGGTATCTATATGTGTGTTGATATGTGTGCGAGTCTGGTGTCCTGGAGCTGGGCTTGGGTGGCCGAGCAGTGTGCGAGGGGGGGGCGGCTGGGAGAAGGGTGGTGGGGCTCCGCGGGGGGGGTTCCGGCTGGTCCGCGGCGTGCGGAGGGGCAGCGGTGGCATCAGGAGGGGGGCAGAGGTAGAACGCGGCGGTACGGGCACTCTGGGGCGCGGGGCGGCAGTGGTGTGGCAGTTGTCGTGAGGATTTCCCCTTGTGGCAGTGAGCCGGTGTGACCGTTGCGCTGCGGCGGCGGAGCGCACTGTTTGGAGCACCGGACAAGTGGCGCGCGCTGCAAGATCGAGGACGCGGCGAGACTGCGGCCGCGCCCCAGGGCCGGCGGAAGTGGAGGTGCTGATTGGATCCGGGGCGCCTGGGGCAGGCTGGGGGCTGGATTCGCGGAACAGAGGACCAGGGGCGGTGCGGGCACCATGGTGGGCAAAGCCGGACACCATGTGTCGTTCGCGGGGTGGATGTCGCTCATAGTGATGGTCGTAAAGACGACGGTCATCGTCATCATGCTGCGGCATGCACGAACCTCCCTCGAGAAGCCCTTCAACGTGCGTCCCTCTCCCTCTCTGGTAGCGCGGGCTTGCTTCGGCGCTGGACGGTCCCAGAACCTTGTTTGACCATGCGACCTGCATGGTCGAAGATCTGTGCGCCGTCGGGCCAGCGGCCGTGCGTCCGCGGGGCGGTGCAGCACGCTCGCGGCCCCGCACACGCCTGCGCACCTGCTCCCGAGCGCGCCCGGCGAAATCCGCGGAATCGCGGCGTCCGCACGCCACCGTGCGCCTCTCGCGCCCTCTTGAACGTCGTCCGCATGCGCGTCACGCCATGTGCGCCTCCCTGCACGCTCGCACCGCGACGGCATCCTACAAGACCGGCACGGATGCAGGTGTCGGTGGTGGTGGCGTCGTCGGAGGTGGTGAAGTTCATCGCGTCGCTCGTCGCCGTGCTGTTCTTCAGCAAGGCGGTGCCGCCCGCGTTCCGCGTCCCGGGCGACATGAGCACGCAGCTCCCACACCGCGTGGGGCTGTTGCAGAAGAGCGCGCTGCCGATGGTGCTCCCCGCGACGCTCTACCTCTTCCAGAACATCATCCTCTTCGTCGCCGCGGGCCAGCTGTCCGCGCTCGTCTTCCAGGTCGCACAGGTATGACGAATATGCCGAAACACACCCCCACGCGCTTCAAGGCTCTTCGCGCCATCCCCAGCTCCCTCCGGCCGCGTCCGTGAACGCCTCGCGTCCCTCTTTGCCGGCCCCGCAGGGTTCGAAGATCTTCTTCACCGCGGTGTTCACGTCGACGCTCCTGGGGCGCTCCCTCAAGGTCCACCAGTGGGTGGCGCAGCCGATGCTGGCGGCGGGCATGGTGCTGCTGTCGCTGCGCGGCGGCAACATCTCCTCGCAGCCGTCCGACAACCTCCCCGTCGGCCTCGCGCTGATGACCGTGGGGTGCTGCGTGTCGTCGTTCACTGGCGTCATCGTCGAGAAGTATCTCAAGAGCGACACGGTGCGGCCGCCGGACCGCGCGCGTGCGCTGCGATGCGGCGGCCTGCCGCGGGGGCGTGAGGCTGAGGCGAGCCGCTGTTGCGGTGTTGTCAGTCCTTGATTCTCGATTGATTGATTGTGGTTGTGTTATGTGGGGATGAGTGCGTGCAGGATCCTGGGCTGTGGGTGCGGAACTGCCAGCTGTCGTTCTACTCGTCGTGGCTCGGGTTCGCGTACGCGGTGTTCGTCTCCGGCGCCAGCGCGCAGCCGGACGGCATGTGGCAAGGGTTTGATCACGCCATCGTGGTGGGGACAGTGTTCGTGCAGGCGCTGTCGGGCATCACGATCGCGTTCGTGCTCAAGTACGCAGACAACATCCTGAAGAACTTCGCCTCCGCGGCGTCGGCGATCCTCACCGCGGTGACGGCGTACTTTGCCTTTGGGGAGGTCCCGGGGGTGTTGGCGGGCCTCGGGGCCGGGGCGGTGATGTTCGCGGTGCTGACGTACAGCGGCGTGCTGCAGGAGATCGCGGCGAGCAAGGAATAGCGAACCCTGTGAGGCCCCGCACGCGAGGAAGCGCCGAACAGGCGACGAGAGTACCTGCGCAAGACATTTATGGGACGATGGTTTCCGAGAACCGCCAGCCGCCCCGTCTGATCGCTACTGTCGCCGAGACCTCGCAGAGCGGCGCGACGTTCGACGCCACGTCGCTGACAAAGAGAACTGTCGTCGCGTTACAAAAACCAGGGCTGCGGTGGCACACCACCTGTAGAGTCCCCGTCACGTCGTAGCAAGCGACGGCATGACGTCGTGCAGCGCCTGCTCCACGTGGCACATCCGCACGTGCGTGTCCGACGCAGCCAGCGCGTGCATCGCCGCCTGCCGCGCCACCCCGGCCAGATCCGCCCCTGCAGGAACCCCACCCACAAATCAAATCAAATCAAATCAAATCTAGCCTCACGGCCCCCACATGGCGCAAACGACGTCATCCCGGGGTCATGAGCGCCGGCCACGCACCTGTGTAGCCCTCCGAGAGCTCGGCGACGTCCGAGAGCCGCACGTCGTCCGCCACGGGCATCTTGCGCATGTGGGCCTGTAAGATCTCGAGACGCGCGTCGCGCTCCGGAGGACCGACGTACAGCAGCCGGTCGATGCGCCCTGGACGGAGGAGCGCGGGGTCGACGTGGTCCGGGCGGTTCGTCGCGGCCAGCACCACGACGTCGCCGCGCGAGAGTCCCCCATCTAGCTCTACCAGCAGCTGACTCACGACGCGCGACCCCGCGGCGCCGGCGTCCCCGCCCGCGGCGTCGAGGGCGGCCTCGGTCGCGCGGCCGTGCGTGAGGCCGTCGATCTCGTCGAAGAAGATGATCGCTGGCGCCGCGCGACGCGCGCGCGCGAAGAGCGCCGACAGGGCCTTCTCGCTCTCGCCCACGTACCTGCGCGAGTCGGCGGGTGCGTGGAGAGATTCGAGGGCGTCCTGGGCGCCGCTTCGAGCATCTGTGGCTCGTTGGACGCGCAGCCCGGCGTCGGAACCGCCTCGTATCTGAAGCAGAGCGCCGGGAACCACGAAAGTGAGATCTCCGGGGGTTCGTACTTGCTGAGCAGCTCCGGTCCTTTGATGCTGATGAAGTTCAGACCCGCCTCCCCCGCCACGGCCCGCGCCAGCGTCGTCTTCGAGCACCCGGGCGGCCCGTACAGCAGCACTCCTGCAACGCACCCAGTCGCCGCGGAACGAAATCATCCTTCCAGCCCGATCCAAGACATGCAACGCCACCGCACAGCGCTGCAACCTCGGGGCCTCGCACCTGCCGGCGGGGACGCCCCGATCCTCTCCAGGGCGTCCTTCTTTGTGTAGGGCCAGTCGACCATCTCCCGCAGGCGCTGCTTGACGTCGCCAAGGCCCCCTATGTCAGACCAGGACACCTTGGGGACCTCGACGTCGACCGAGCGCATCGCCGTCGGCCGCACGCGCGCCTTGGCCGCGAGAAAGTCCTCCGCGGTGATCGTCGGCGGCGGCGCATCGCACGCGCCGCCAGCGCCGCCAGACTCCCGCACCCACCGGCTCAGCGCGGTCATCGCGGCCTCGGTCGCCAGCGCCGAGACGTCCGCGGGCACGAACCCGTGCGCCGACTCCGCCACGTCAGCAACGACCGCGTCAGGCACCTGGTGCCGGAACCCCCGCAGCTGCGTGCGGAGCATGCTCAGGCGCTCGCGCGCGTTCGGGGGCTGCACGTCGATCTCGCGGTCGAGGCGCCCGGGCCGGCGCAGCGACTGATGGATGTCCTCGGAACGGTTGCTCGCGCACACGGTCACGACCGGGTGCCGCCCCTGGCGGACCGAGTCCAGCTCGCTGAGGAGCGAGGAGACGAGGCGCGCGCCGCCCGCTGCCGCGTTCTTCGGCGCCATGGAGTCGACCTCGTCCAGGAAGACCACCGCCGGCGCCACCGCCTTGGCTACACAAGTACCACCGGAGAAGCAATACACGGGGGATCGGCGAGAAGGACAATGTACCGCTAGGTCAGGCATCGAATCGGGCGTCCGTCGCGGCCTTGCGCCGCCCAGACGGCCAGAATTCGCGTTCGAGTGACAGGATGTATCTCTTATTTTCAAGCGGCATCTTGTGGAGGCTTACCGGCGGCGTACACTCCCCGAAGGGCCTGGCTGGCTTCTCCGACGTGGTCCGACACGATGTCCGGCCCGCTCACGCACGCCAGCGGCACGCCCGCCTCCCCCGCGACCGCCCGCGCCAGTACCGTTTTGCCCGAGCCTGGTGGGCCGCAAATGAGCACCCCCGCGCCGCCGCGATGCGCCGACGCCGCTGCGGCCCGCAGCGCCGGGACGACGGTCATCCGCAGCTCGTCAGTCACCTGACTCATGCCCTCCAGGTCCGACAGCTTCACGGACGCCCCCCTCCTGCCCGCGTCGAACGCCGCCCCCGCGGCCCGCGCGCCGGCCTCCCCGCCAGCGTCGCGCCCCGCGGCCTCGATCTTGGCCCCGAGCGCGGCGCCGTCCGTCAGACACCCCCCCGCTGTGTCCGGCCCCACCACCTCGACGTCGACGCGTACGTCGCTGCAGCACCACAGCGCGTCCGCGTCGCCAACCGCGCGGTCCGCAGCCTCGCAGACCATCTCGAGGACGCGCAGGAGCACCGCGTGCCCCATGACGTGCACGCGCAGAACCTGACGCAGCATTACTGGCCTGCCTGACAGCAGCCGGGACAGGAGCAGTCTGACGACCCGCGACGAGTTCCCCTTGGCTGCGCCGCTGTCGTGGAGGGTGTCCAAGAGCCACGGCGGTGCGTCGGTCGCGGACAGCCGCACCGACGTGCAGCGGTGCTCCGGCAACAGCGAGGCGTGCGCGGCGGCATCGAGCGCGCTTGCGGCGCCCGCGGCCGCGCGGACGGCCAGGCGCGCGCCGGCAGCGGGGAGGTGGAGGTCCGTGCTGCCCTGCGCGTCGACGGCGGCCTCGCCCGGTGCGACGCGCGGGGACGCGTGCACTTCCAATGGCGCGAATAGATCCGCGCGGGACAGCGCCGAGTGGCTGGGCTCGGCCGGGTCGCCCGCCGCGGAACTGTCTCGCAGCGGCGACGCGCCCTTGTTGCGCTTCGCTGCCCGCTTCCCGCGGCCGCCCGGCGACGGACTGTCCGTCTGTGGCGCTCCGGGAGCAACGACCGACACCTGCGCGCACGTCGCGAACCAGGGCTTCGTATTGGACGAGGGAGATGGCGTACCGAGATTGCTTCGAGCTTTCGGTGAATGATCGGATGTGACGCACCGTGCAGAGCGTCCCGGGCCCGCCAAGCAAGCGCAAGTCGTCTGCGTGTACAAGCAGCCGCCCCGCCCCGCCCACAGCCGCGTGCTGCTCCTCGGACACATGAGAGAGCTCTAGATGGACCAAGGAACCTCCGTCAGCGCTCCTCATGACCTCAGAACTGTTATTCTCCCCAGGACCGCGCAGAAGCTCCGAGCCGGCAGGTGCACCGCCTGCCTATTTGGCTGCTCAGGCAGTGGGCTTGCAGACGAGATGGTCCGCGCTACGACATCCGGATGCAAGTGCCGCCGATGCCGCTCGCCGACGCCCTCGGCCACGCAGCCGCGCGAGAGCCGCTTCAACACCCCCCCTGTCTCAGTGGGGGTGTTTTCACCTCCGCACCCGCAAGCGAGCGCGCGCACACGGCCTCAGCTCAAGCACCGAGCCGTGGCAAGCCGCCCCGCTTCCTTCCGGCCCCGCAAACCTCTCCTTCGATGGTCATAGTCACAACACAAGCACATAGTCGTTCCTATCATGCGTCATTTGCCACGCCCGCGGTCACGCGGCCCTCAGGAGTCGCCGGACGCGACGGGCGTCCACGTGCTCGTGCCCGCCTTGGCGACGACCCACACGGTGGCGCCCAGGCACCCGAGCAGGCCGCCCACCAGGATCAGCCACCGCGCGGCGTGGCCGGTGCCGCCCCCGAGCGTCGTGCGCGCGGGCGGCTGGATCTTGGTCTTCTCCGGGAGCGCGAACGCGTGCAGCATCTCCTCCTTGGTCGTGCACAGGTACGACTGCGTGCGCTTCGCCTTGTCCGACACCACCGCCAGGCGGCGGTCGCCAAGCCACTTCACGCCCTCGACGTTGCAGTACTGCACCTCGCAGTGCTCGGGCGTGCGCGGGAAGTGCAGCACCTCGGAGTCCTCGTCGACGAACTCGAACTTGTCCAGGTCGATGCGCCCCAGCCACAGCTCGGAGTCGGCCTGCGACGCCACGACCACGCGCTTGATCGGGCCCGGGTCGTCGAACTGGATGGCCATCGCCGAGTAGTCCGTGAAGAACGCGGTCGCCGGCAGGTCCACGGTCTTGACCACGGTCATGACGCAGGTCTCGTAGTCGTCCCCGAACTCCAGGAGCACCGCTTTGCCGTTGCCCTTCTCCATGCCTTTCTCGCCGCCCTCGCAGTGGTTGCCCTCGCAGAGCGCGAGGAACCACTCGTGGCCGTCCCACTCGATGTACTGCATGCCCTCGAACCCCTTGTTCGACGCGTTGACTTCGAAGTCGACGCTGCACTCCTCCAGGATCTTATACGTCTCGTGCTTGTCGTCGATCTCGACCTCGTGCAGCACGGGGCGGTACTTGTTGTCGTCGTGCTCGATGGCCTCCTGCACGAGGATGAAGCGCTTCGTGCGCGCCCGGTACACCACGGCCTCGTACTGGGAGTCGTCCTCGCGGTCCTCCTCGTTCTCTAGGAGCACGTTGTTGCTGCTGCGGAAGCGGAAGCGGTTGTCCACGCGGCCGAGGGAGTGCAGGGAGTCGAACACGACGTAGTACTGGTCGTGCACGCGCTCGATCCCGGATGCCTCGAACTTGCCGTGGCCCTTCAGGTCCCCGAAAAGGCCCGAAAAGGGCATCTCCTTCAGCAGCTTGAGCTGGCGCTTCCGCCAGGAGTGCTTCTCGCACTCGGACTTGCCGACGTCGGGCTGCGGGCGGGGCGGGCGCGGCGTGTGAGCGTGCGTGTGCGGGAGCGGGGTGGCCGTGTGGCGCGGTGGGTGGGGCAGGGGCCGTACCACGTCATCCTGCACGTCGCCGAGGTCTGAGAGGAAGCGCGAGACCTTGTCGGAGCCGGCGAGGGCGCTCGGCGCGACCAGGAGGGCGAACAAGAGCACCGCGAAGACGCTGATGGTCCGCACGGGCTGGGCGGCGGGGAAGCCCGCACGCGCCCACATCGCACCCGGGTCTGCGAGCATCGTCGACGGAGCATTCCGGAGATGAGTGACCGGGGGCGTGCCGCGCCGGAGCGGCGCGAGGCGACGGTGAAGACGCGCCAGAGACAGCGCGGCCGTCGACGGTCGTGGGCGGCCTCTGCCGCGATTTCAGCGGCTCGCGTGTGTGGCGAGCGAGCCAGCGATCAGCGGCGTCGCCGCGTCCGGGCGGAACGGCGCCCCCACGGACCGCACGACGCCGGACGTGGCGCCAAGCGGTTGCCCGCACAGCAGCGTCGCCTGGCCGCGGGAGGAAACCAGCGCGGAACGGGGGCGCCTGGCACGGACGGCACGGTAGGGCTGCTTGCTGCGGAAGCCCGGCGTACCTGGTCCGGCCGCGCGCGACGGTTCCAGCCGGGCAGGAAGAGAGCTGGCTGTGGAGCGGCTCTGCGGGATCCGACGCGGCCGAGACTGATGTATGATGGGAGGAACAGAGAGAGTGCAGGTGTGACATGCCGGCCCTGGCCCGTTGGGGCCGTTGCGCGGCGCGTGGACGCCCTGCGGACCTCCCCTGGAGCCCTCTCGCCCATGCTCGGCGGTCGCTTGGGCTCGCGCGGGCGCGGGGCGGCGGGAGATCGCGCGCAGGGCTAGGATTGCGAGGTGGCAAGATGTTGTCTCAAGCGGGCCGCCGCGTGCGCGGCCTGGCGCTGCCGGGCCCGCTGCGAATGATGTCGGTCGTTTCCGAGAGCGCTATTGACCGCTCGCGGATCGGACCGATGGACTCCATGCTCGGCAGCGCCCACGTTGCGCCAAAGGAGGCCCACCCCGCGACCCGCCCCGCCCCGAAGGTTACCACGCTCGCCAACGGAGCGAGGGTCGCAGCCGAAGACACACCGAACCCGAACGCAGCCCTGGCCCTCGTAGTCAACGCCGGCTCCTGCTACGAGACCCCGGCGTCCTACGGCGCCTCCCAGACCCTCCAGCACCTCGCGTTCCGGTGCACCAAGCACCGCATGCACCTCTCCACGGTGCGCACCCTGCCCTTGCAACCACCCCGCAACGCGGCAGCGCAGGCCGCGCCCGCCGACGCCCGCCCGCGCACGCCTTCCTGCCCGTCCGAGCATCTCGCGCGGCGCGCACCGGGCCCTGAAACCGCGTGTGCAGTGCGCGGCGGCGCCAGAAGCGCGCCCCAAACAGCTCCTGTTGCCTCGCGCGCGCTCCCGCGCCCCCCGCGCCCCGGCAGCCCCGCCGAGCGCCACCCGCGCGCGGATCACCGCCGCGTCGCCGCTCACAGCCATCCCAATTCCCGCACCGCGCGCTCCCCGCGCCGCAGCCCGCCCCCTAGTGGCGAGCGCGCCGCCCTACCGACCCTTCTCTGCCGCCGTCCCGCTCCACCGCGCGGCCTGGCGGCTTCCGAGCCCCCCCGCGGCCTCCCGCACCTCTCATACATCGCGCGAGCGCCGCGCTCCTCCCCGGCCCGCCCCCACACCCCGCGCAACACGCCCTTGCACCACCTCCCCCGCCGGCATGCAACCAACCGGCCCCGCTCCGCGTCCCCGCGCGCTCACCAGCTCCCTCCTCGCCCCCACCGCCTCCGCCCTGTCGCGTCCCCTCCGCAGGTCCGCGAGATGGAGGCGATCGGCGCCCGCACGTCGTGCGCGGCCACCCGGGAGCACCTGGTCTACATGGTCGAGGCGCCCCGGCCGTTCGTGCGCGAGGCCATGGAGCTCCTGTGCGACACCGCGATGAACCCGGACTTCTCCTCGGCCGTCGCGCGCTCGGACGCCACCGCGATGATGACGCGCGAGGTCGACGCCGTGAAGGGCGACGCACGCATGCAGATCATGGAGGAGCTCCAGGTGCGCGACGAGACGGACCGACGGCGACGCGCAAGTAATTGCAAGTCGGTGTACTCGCACGTCGCCTCTCTGCGCACGCCGCACGTGTCACGCCTGAGATTCCCCCCCCAACCCCCCCCCCTCCTGCTCTCCGCAGCGCCGCGCGTTCCGCGGCCCCCTGGGCAACCCGATGTACACGGGCATGGTCCCCACGGCCCAGGCGCTCGAGGCGTTCCACGCGCAGCTCTTCACGGCGGGCTCCGTCGTGGTCGGCGGGTCGGGCGTCGCGCAGGACGAGATCGTCACGGCCGCGGAGCCCATGCTCGCGGCGCTCCCGCAGGCCCCGCCGCCGGCGCTCCCGCCCTCGACCTACGTGGGGGGGGACTATTCGCAGTTCTCCGCGGCCCCCGAGGCCCACGTGTTCGTCGGGCTGGGCATCGAGGGCGGCTGGCGCAACCTCGAGCGCGCGGTGAAGCAGACGGTGATCTCGCACCTCATGGGCTCGGGCGCGTCGTTCAGCTCGGGCGGCCCCGGGAAGGGCATGCACTCGCGCCTCTACCGCAACGTGCTCGAGGGCGCGGCGCACCTCGGCGTGTCGTCGGCGTCGTACGAGATGGCCTGCCACGACGACATGGGCTTCGCGGGCGTGTACGTCGCGGGCGCGTCGGTCAACGCGGACAAGCTGGCGGACATTGCCGTCAAGGAGATGCTCGCGCTCGGGTCGGGCGTGACCGAGGAGGAGCTGGAGCGCGCGAAGCGCATGGCGCTGTCGACGACGAAGATGATGCTGGAGACGCCGGCGGTGGTGGCCGAGGACGTGGCGAAGAACCTGGCGACGTGGGGCCGCATCCCGGAGGTCAAGGAGTACGAGGACATGATCAACAAGCTGACGCTCAAGGACATCGCGGCCGAGCTCAAGGCCATGTCGGCCACCCCGCTCACATACAGCGCCGTCGGCCCGCTCTCGAGCTTCCCGTCGTACACGCAGGTGGCCAAGGCGTTCAGCAAGTGAGCCGGGCCGGTGCGGGCGGACGCGCGAGACTCCCACCCACGGCGCGCGCACGTGTAAACTCTGAATCCACCGCGACACGTGGCTGCGCGGCATATAGGGACACAGCAGCGGGCCAGGGCTGCCTCTCGAGAGAGAGCACCGTGCGCGCACGGAGACGCGCGCGGAGACGCGAACGGCGGCCAGCGCGCGCCCCGTCCACAACGTCCCCTACGCAGCCTCCTGCAGCGTTCATCGCACTCCTGCTGCTCCCTGGGGCGCTCAACCGCGACACGGTGGCGTCTGCGGCGTCCCTCAACGTCTAGGGCGCGCAGCCTTGCGCGGTCGACCGTGCAATCACCCCCAGCTTCTCCAGGCCGCTGCGCCGACAGAAGAGGACTATCGGCCCGTCAGCCCCCTCGCGGCGCCTCTGCGCGGTTTGTACAGACCGCACGGCGACGTCGGGGGGAGAGGCTCGGGGGCCGGTGGCACGAGTGACACCGGGGCCCCCCCGCCCGGGAACGGTGCGAACCACGTCCGTGCGGTGGGTCCCGGACGCGAGCCGGGGGCAACCGGGGTGAGCGGGGGCGCCACGCCGAACCGGCGGTGCGCGCGGTTCCCCGGCGCATTTCGACCACTTGGCATGTTCACAGTGCCCATGGGCATGCTGCGCGAACCGAGCGTGACCGAGCGAGCGACGCGTGCAGATTGCCGGCGCGCGGCCCGAGCCGCGACACGTGATTCACAGTGCGGCGCGACGGAGCGCGCGAGCGGACGACGGACGCGGCACGATGTCGGGCAGCGTAGCGCGTTCGCGCTGGCAGCTCAGTCAGTCAGTCAGTCAGATTTCACAGTCCGCATTCCGCGGAGGCGCCACAGTTTACACCGCTACCCGCATCCGGGCGACCAGAAGACCGGGCAACAGTGGCATGTGACTGGGTTGTTATCATCAAACAGCCCGATGTCCACGTGGGGATGAACGCGCGAGGTAGCGCCCAGGTCTCCAAGCACGCGACCGGGGACTCGAGGGCGCGGGCAGGGAGCGCGTCCACCGCATGTACAGGGCATGGACAGCATGTGGAGGGCGGGGGACGCCCTTGAGTGCCGCGTCGCTGCGGAAGACGGCGCATGTGCCTCGTGCCGCGGGACGCCATCAGGCGCCCGCGACTCCGTCGGACTTCGTGGTGCACGGTTGCCTGCGACTGCACGCGACGGCCTTGCTAACCGTGCGGCGTTGTTGTCGTGCCGTCACGGCGCTGGCGCACCTGACGGCATGGAGAGCGGGTGGCGAGGCCGCTCCGGCGTGGCGCGAGGTCCGAGACGGTGCCGGGCTCCCGCGCGATGAGGGGCCGGCGCATGCAGATCCTCGGGTCCAGCGTGAGTGCCTGTGCCCCCTGGTGCCTCCGTGTGCGCCGCAGCTACGGCGGGGCGGACGCCGTCCGTGCGCACCTGCACGCCTGGGAGGGGGAGGAGCGCCGCGCAGGGGACAGAGAGCACCGGCGGGGGCGGGCGCGGGCTGGGACGGGGCGGCCGGGGCGCGGGCACGGCGGGAGCGCGGGCACGGTGGCGCCGGGCGCGCCACACCGCGGTGCAGCGGGTGCACGCGGGGGCCGGGGCGCGTGTGAGATGCGCGGGGAGCACGGATGTCGCGCGGGGCGATGAGAGCGGGGCGCGCGAGGCAAAGGGGGGTGAACAAAATTGACCGCCCGGTGCGGCCGCGCGCGCGAGCGGGGCCGCATTGGCCTCGCTGCGACGGGCAGCGGGCCGTAGACCGCCCCCCGCGCGAGGCGCGCGGCTGCAGCGGGGGCTGCCGGCCGGGGCGCGGCACGGCGGGAGCGCGGGCACGGTGGCGCCGGGCGCGCCACAGCAAAATTGACCGCCCGGTGCGGCCGCGCGCGCGAGGGCCTCATTGGCCTCGCTGCGACGGGCAGTTCGGCAGGCGCGCGTGAGACGCTGGTGAGACGGAGCGTTGGGGCAGTGTTCCGCGTGGGTAGCGTCGAGAGACGCTGACGGTGGACGCACGAGGCTGGAGTGCAATGCCAGGCGCATCCCGAGCTCCCGACTACGCAAGCATAGCCTTGTTGGTCGCTCCCGTGCAAAAATACAGTTATATCTTATGGGATCAATGATCCCATATCAGATATTAAACTGATAAGAACAGATACTACACTTGATCTTAGCCTGCACAAACACGCGGCACGCGGCACGGGGGGGAGTTGAGTTGCGGAGCTGATGAGCTGGCGATCGCGCTCGCGGCGGCAGGTCAGGTAGGGGGCGACGCACCAAATGGCCGAGAAAGAACTGACATGTACGGCTGCCAGAGTCGTATTTGTAGTACGCTGCCGGCGCCAGCGATGGCGCCAAAAATACTAAACGTGGTTCTGCCTCCGGGCGCGTCTCCTGTCGTCTCCGCGCGGTGAAAAGCGCAAATGCGTGTCGTCGCGCGTCACAGATAATCGAAACGTGGATGAACGAACGCCAAAAGCGGACGCGGTGTAGTCTGCATGCGGAAAACGCGGCTCCCAGCACCTGATACACCATCTTGGCGGGAAGCTCGTCCCGTGGGCCTGTTGAAACGACGTCGGTGGACGATAGTCCCTATCATCGTCCGGATAGCGCGTCTGCATTGTATTTTGGGGGCCCGGCGGCAGCCGCGCTCTGAGTCGTCCACGCTTGATAGTTGGGGCCTGGGCCCGCGGGCGTCCGCGACACACGACATACCGCCCGCGGCAGGAGCAACAAACCCACCTTGACCTTGCCCCGAGGCATCGTCCTCTTTTGTTCAAGGAAACTAGCCCTCCTCGATCCAAGCTGGGAACGGTGCCTGGGTGTCCTCTGCGGAGGCACGCCGTCACACCGGCCCGGCACCCGGGCCCACACGGCCGCGGACTGCGCCGCTACGGATCATCAAAGATTGACTTCCGAGACTTTTGTGCCCCTCCCTACCTCTCCCTGGCGCGTTAGTAGCCTAGCACCTGATACACCATCTTGGCGCCGGCGCGGTCTCGTTTGCGCCAGCAACCGCCACGTCACCGTCGGTGGCCGCGTGTGGATGATGTTTGGGGCGGGGGCGTTCCCGGAAACGCCGCACGGGAGCCGGAAGTGTCCTGTAAGGAACCTCGACACAAGGCAGTGCGCCCGCGAAGCGACTCAGCGCGAGTCGGGGCGTCCCCGCGACCAACGCATGAGGTTTCAGACATGGCACCAAGTCATCAGGCAACTGCGCCGCGCGTTGATCGCGTGGCGCAGGGCTCTGCGGGCCCTGCATGCATCGCCGCCCCCCCCGGACGCGGGGGGGCGATTAGGAACGAGATCGCTCGCACTTGTACGGCTCCAGCGCGCCGAGAGTGTACGAACGCGGCCTCACGCACTGCTTGCCTTCCGCGCCTCCCCGGTCACCAGCGACCTCGCGTGGGGCGTGTGATGCACGACGTCAGCAAAGCGGTCGTGCGTCAATGTGACATCATTGGCGTCAAAACCTCCGCAGCTGCGCCCTACTTTCGAGGAAGATCCGTGGGCACTTTCGTCGCGTGGGCGCGGCGTCCGTCCGGACGCGCGGTGGTGCACTTAGAGCTGTAGCAGGGACTGAAAGAGTCCCAAAGGATCAAAAGCACCAGACTAGGCAGGCGGAGGTGAAGACACTAGGCAATTCAAAACCATCCGGCGGCGTTGCGAAGCCGGAACGCCCCGTGATGCGGAGCCAGGTGCGCGAGAAGCAGGCTGAAGTTCCGACCGGGCGCAGTTGGGGGTCCGCGACCTCGGTGCCCCCGAAACATAGGCCCGAGCCCGGGACTGAAAGTGAAGGACGCGCCGGCTGCGTAGATGCGGCGAAATCATGTCATGAGACGCACTCGCGTCCTTCCCTCGGGTGTCGCATCGGGCTTTGCAAGCGGTCCTGTCGGGAGCGCACACGCGACCGAAAGTTGTTCGTTTCGCGCGCACATTGGTCCCCTGTACGGTGAACGCATATTGGGGTTGCGTACAGCACTTCTTCTTCGAGCGCGACTCGCGCCCGGCATCCGGCCCAGGTCTTACACCACACTCCACCACCGTGCAGAGGCTCGCGGGGTCGAAGCGGCGGCTGCCGAGCGGCGCGCTGGACTCTGGGAGCGACGAACCCGGAGAAGATGCACATCTTCCGGGCTTCCTCCCCGTACGGGATGCCCGACAACAGAAGAGGGCAACAGGGGAGGCTCGCGGGCTCCGAGGCGATGCCCCCGGCGCTTCCAGGCCGGAATCGCCGGACCCTCGGCATGTCGAAGGGCGTTTTCTGCCTCCGCGGCGCGATGCGTCCCCACGCATCCAGGCCTCGGAGGCTCAGGCAGAGGCCCTGGGCCTGAAGCAAGTACAGAAACCCCTCCCGTCAGGTGTGCGACCCCCCGCCACTACGTCTCCGCTCATGTTCTCGCGGTTCGCGCCGACAATCGCCGCGCACGCTCACCCAGCGCCCCGCGAGGCCTGTCTTCCACACTGCAGCATGTGGACTCGCCGGCGGGCTCGGCGCAGCCGGCCAGCCGCCCCTGGAAGCCGAAAGGCCCAGTGGATCCGGTCTGAAGCCTGGCAACGTGTGCGCCACGGGCCTGCCGCCCACACCGCTCCAGCGCTCGCCCTCTCGCGAGCCCATCCTCTCCAGGGGCGAGAACGTGCTCCGCGCGGGGACCGACCGTGTGCCAGGACGCGAGTCGCCGGGACGTGGCGCACGCAGGACGTCTGCTGTCGCTGCGAGGGAGCTTGGAGAGGACGACGAGGACGAGCACGACGTGAGCAGCCCCCGCCCGCACACACGCACACACGCACGCCCTCCTACCACTGCACGCGTCGCACCGGACCGCCAGCGCCGGGCTTCCGGACGCCGGGTGTCGCGCACGCTCCCCTGGCGCGCCCGGCGCGCGTGCATGCGGGCGTGGCTGCGTCGCGCTCGTGCGACTGATCGCGTGCGCCGCCTTGTGACGCAGGCGGAGCGGGAGGCAGTGTGCGCGGAGGCGCCCGCGCGCACGCAGAGCTCGTACCGGGGGGTGTGCTGGCATGCGAGGGACCGTCTGTGGTGCTCGCAGATTTGTGTGGCCCGCGACACCATCCACCTGGGGCACTTCAAGGACGAGATCGACGCTGCCAAGGCCTACGACGCCGCCTGCCGCCTCGTGGGCCAGCCGCCGCCCAACTTCCCCAACGAGCGCCGCGGTCAGGAGTGCATCAAGTGCTCCACGGCGCCGAAGCGGCTGCGGGCGGCGGCTGAGCGCCTACGCGTGGCGCCCCCGGACCACGACGGCGAGGTCCCCACGGGATCCCCCGGGTGCGTGTACGCACATCTCCTCGGCCTCGCTCGTGAGGGGAGCGACGCAGGGTTAGGCGAGGTGCGTGCAAGGTGCAGCATGCTGCGCACGCTCCGCATCGCCGTCATGCACACGTCGGCATGGAAGCGCACGCCAGCTCCCCACGTGAAACCCATCTCTGTGTCTCGTCGCCACGTCGCAGGCGAAGGACCTACAGGACACCCTCAGCAAGGACTACGGCGTCGAACTGGTCGCCCCTAAGAGCCCCGGGATCTCGGCGAACGGCGAAGCTGCGCGCGAACCACCAGCTCGCATGGACGCGATCCCGCACGCCTGGAAGGTCTTCCTCTTCCTTTGCAGCTTCGGGCAGTTTCTGGGCTGCTACGAGCGGGTCCAGAAGCCAGGCCGCGGTGAGCGTCGGTTCGATATCGGCGAGGAGGTCCGGGACGGTCTGCGACGCCCGGGCGTGTACGTCGGCCTGCAGTTTGTCGGGAACGGAGGAGTCGTCCCGTTCTATCTCGGAATGTCGGACGCGGACGTACTGCGCCGCACGGAGTCGATCGCTCACGGGACGCTCAGCAAGTTCGCGAGGTGCCTGGTGAGGAGCCGCTGTCCCGCTGTCGCTTGTGCACTGCTGCTGCGTCGGTCGTCAGCTGCTCCTGTGCGACGCAGACCCGCCTAGTGCTCCGACACGAGTGCGCGGTGCAGGTGGTCTTCATCGGCATGCCTCATGCGTGGCTGCGCCGGTACTTCCTCGCCAGCGACTTGGAGCGCGCAGGCCTGTGGCTGTTTAACTTCACGCACAACCATCATGACAACGGTGGGAGCGAGGAGAAGAAGAAGAAGAAGAAGAAGAAGGACGAGTTGCCGTCGGCTCCTGTCGTAGATCCGGTGGAGTACGTCTCGCTCGGGCCGCCGCAGGACGCGATGAAGGCGTTCCGCGAGGCGGTGCTCGAGCGCGAGAAGAAAGCCCTCGAGACGCTGTACGCGCGCCCGCAGCGCCGGCGCTTCGAGTCGCTGTCGCCGGAGCAGCTCGCGAAGGCACGTGCACTCACGGGCAAGCGCCGCCGCGTGGCGCCCCCCGACCACGACGGCGAGCACAACGCGAGCAGCCCCCGCCCGCACACACGCACACACGCACGCCCTCCTACCACTGCACGCGTCGCACCGGACCGCCAGCGCCGGGCTTCCGGACGCCGGGTGTCGCGCACGCTCCCCTGGCGCGCCCGGCGCGCGTGCATGCGGGCGTGGCTGCGTCGCGCTCGTGCGACTGATCGCGTGCGCCGCCTTGTGACGCAGGCGGAGCGGGAGGCAGTGTGCGCGGAGGCGCCCGCGCGCACGCAGAGCTCGTACCGGGGGGTGTGCTGGTATGCGCACAGCCGTCTGTGGCGCTCGAGGATCTGTGTGGCCGGCGAATGCATCGACCTGGGGTGCTTCAAGGATGACACGGACGCGGCGAGGGCCTACGACGCCGCCTGCCGCCTCGTGGGCCAGCCGCCGCTCAACTTCCCCAACGAGCACCATGGTCAGGAGTGCATCAAGTGCTCCACGGCGCCGAAGCGGCTGCGGGCGGCGGCTACGCGCAAGGTGCGCGCGAAGGTGGCTAAGCGCCGCCGCGTGGCGCCCCCCGACCACGACGGCGAGCCGCGCGCTCGCAGCCCCCGCCCGCACACACGCACACACGCACGCCCTCCTACCACTGCACGCGTCGCACCGGACCGCCAGCGCCGGGCTTCCGGACGCCGGGTGTCGCGCACGCTCCCCTGGCGCGCCCGGCGCGCGTGCTGCGGGCGTGGCTGCATCGCGCTCGTGCGACTGATTGTCGCGCCGCCTTGTAACGCAGGCGCAGCGAGAGGAGGTCCCCGTCGCGATCAGGGACCGCGGCGCGGTGCAACGGACAGCACCCAGGGCCATGCACCCGTTCCAGCCTTGGATGCTCGGCTTGAGGTGAGGTGTCACATTCTTCGCGTCGTCAGCCATAAGGCTTTGGGACCTGAAAAGATCATTCGACTAGGTGGCGAGTCATGCTAACCCCCCACCGTTATGGTAGCAACAGGTTCGGCAGCTGTGACAGAGTCAGCCTGGAGCAGATCCTCGATGCCACGAGCAAAGCTGTGAGGCGGTGATGATGATACCAAGTCAACCATGAGGGGGTTACTGTCACTAGCGGAGGCCGAGCGGCCGTTGCGTGCGCGTCCTGCGGTCCACCGCGCTCCGGTCTCTCGGGCAGGCGCGCGAACAACGCGAGGCTCTGCCGCCGAGGGCTGCGACGGGCGCGTCACTGCAGCAGTTCCTCACCGGAGTCGTGCGGCACGGGCTAACCGGCGCGTGCGGGCACGCGACGCCGCAGACGGCGTCCCTGGACGACGAACGAGCGTCGGGGCCGACAAGATGCATGTGTCGTCCGGAGGTGGAGGTGCGTGGGCGACCGTGGGCACGCCGGGCAGCGCGGACTCCCGAGTCGTGGGCGTGCCGAGATCGGCGACGGCGTGCGCGATCCCACCGCGCTGGCAGCTTCGCCCGCTCGCACCGCCAGACCCCGCACCTCCTGCGCACCCGCTCTGGCCGCGCCGATGGGCCGAAGGCAGGGCAGGGGGTGTGCAGGAGGGTTCTCGCGCCACAGGCCCCCTTGGCGGTCGCAGGGCGGAAAGGACGGTGTTCGCGCACTCCACGCGTATTGTGGGGCATGACGCGGACGACAGCCTGGCCGAGTGGCCCCGTGCGGCACGCTTGGAGCGCTTCATGTGCCGCGCGACGCGGGATGTGCGGACCCGCGACGCGGTCACGCGACGGAGATGCCCGGTTCGCATCGCGCGGGATCAGGACGGATCACGACGCGGCGTGCAGGGGCGGTGCGGCCCACTCGTCCACCCCCCGAGGAGCGCTGTGGACAGGCAAGGTGAGCCCAGGTCTCTCGTCCCGTCCCATCCCGGCCGCGGGCAGCGGAGACTGGCCCCTACATGTGACTGTGTCTTCCGAGCCCCTAGCGTCACGTTGTCAACGTCGCGTCCCCTGCCGCGGCTGCGGGCGGTGGAGTAGCTCCTGGGGAGGGAACGCGTGTGCCTGCGGCGGTGATGCCCGTCCGCGCTCACAAGCGGTATTCAGGACCGGCGGCATCGTGCGCGGCGGTCTGTCGGGCACACAGCCGCGGCAGATGGTGTGTGTCAGCCGCGGCCTGCCCTGGCAGGCCGTCTGCAGACGTCCCACGCTGATGACAGACTGGCGTGCCGGCCGCACGCCGCGCAGGCCGCACGTCGACGTTGTGGGCGCGTCACGGCAGATGTGCCGCGTACAAACCGCACAGGGGCGCCACGGGGGGGCTGATGGGCCGATATCTGCTCGGGCCCGTGCATCATCTCGACCCACGAACATAAAAGCGCGTCGCTGCCGACGACGGCCCTTCAGGCGGCAGGCGGCGTCGTTGGAAAGGTGTGGCTAGCGCGACACTCGATCCTGGGCCACCAGGGCGCTGGTCTGGGCATTACACCTGTGCAGAGGCTGCCTGGCAGGCCGGAATACGCCCCTGCGGGACACGACATGGCGATATACTGGACAATCTGAGCTTGTGCTACACCATGGAGGGAGACAAGGGCGTCACGAAGCGCAAGAAGCGCCGGTTGGAGCAGCTAGAGGCCAGCCTTGCCAGCCGGCCGTCCCAGGGCCCGCCCGGGCGACCTGCGGGGGCGGCACAGAAGCGCAGCGGGTCCAAGGCGAAGAAGCGCGCGAAGCAGGGCGATGGCGCCGAGACCGACCCCGCGAAGCCCCCGGCACGCCCCCAGAGAGGCAGCGCGCAGCATCCCACGTCCGCGCCGCCGCCAGACGCGCCCGGCGCGGGCCCTCCCCCGCCGCACACCGACATCGTCTACCGCGCGCTCCCTCCGAGCGTCCTCCCCGGCCCGCTGAGGAACACCCTCGGCCTCAGCCCCCCAGGCAAGCCCGCCATCACCAACGCCGCCTCCGCCGCCCACAACCACCGTCCGGCCGCATCCGCCCACGCCACACCGCTGCGCTGGCCTCGCTCTTGCAGATCGGGATCCGTCCGCCGCGGTGTCGTCGTTCCTCGAGTCCCTGATGGCGCGCAACCTCAGCGCCGCCGAAGCCCGCGCCGCCGTCGGCTCCAAGGTCGCGGAGCGCCAGCTCCTCCTCGACAACCCCACGGCTGGGCTCCGGCGCCCGCAGACGACGCGGTTCGCGCGGCACGTCCGCGCCAAGCCCCTCAGCGCCGCGGCAGCGCGCAAGCTGCGCGTGCTGCCGTCGCAGCAGCCGGCCGGCGCGGTGCCCGCCGAGGCGGTGACGGCCCTGCGCGAGGCGTGGCAGATCTACATCGCGCGGCTGCTCGACGGCGTGCAGGCCCCCGGCGCACGCCTCGCGAAAGCCAGCCTGTGTGGAGCTGACGTCAGGGTGGAGGGGTCGCGCGACGCACAGCGGGTCGGGGTGGCGGGGACGGTGGTGCGGGAGTCGCGGAGCGCGCTGAGCGTGGTGGACGCGGACGGGCGCGTGCGGTGCGTGCCGCTGCGCGGGTCGACGCTGCTGGTGAGGCTCGCGCGCGGGCGGACGGCGCGGGTGCACGGGGACGCGCTGGAGGCGCTGCGGAGCGGCAAGGCGAAGAGGTGAGGAGGACGGACGGCCGCGTGAGGCGCAGTTCACAGCGTTGTAGCGCAGGGAGAGGGAACAATCAGGCGGGAATATGTACATATGATTCTTCCATGTGTGTGATGTTTCTTCAATCTATCGACCAAGCATCGTGCCTTCAGGGACACGAGCCCTTCTTGGCCGAGCTCCGCGCGTGGTTCGCGACGCGGACCGCGCTCAGCGACGGACCACCGCGCCCTGCAGGCGCCCACCAGCGCCGTTCACGCCCGCGCGCCTGTCGTGCTCGGCCATCGCCTTCTCGTGCTCCATGGCGTCCTCCTCCAGCGCCACACTGCACGCACGCACGTCCCCGCGCGACCACCGTCACTCCCCCCCTCTCCAACACGCACCAGCGCTCCTCCAACGAACGCACACAGCCCACCGTCCGCATCCCCGCGTCAAACCACGCCGCGCGCGCGCACCTGTCGTACTCGGACCGGTCGTACTGCGGCCCGTAGTCGATGTACAGCTCCTCCCCCGGCATGATGTCCCGCATCGCCTCGAACGTGACCTCGAGCGTGTCGGGGTTCTCCTCCACGTGGATGTTGCAGCCCGCCGTGGGGCCCACGAGGCCGCCCGGCGGCTCGTTGATGTACGCGAGCGTCACGTCGATCAATCGCCCTCCGCGCGCCGTCCCCTATCAACGACTTGCCCGAGCGCCCGCCCGCCATCCCCTCCACAACCAGCCCGCTCTGCAGCGACGCTCCAGCACGCTGCGCGCCGTGCGGCCGACCGAGGACCCCGCACGTCGCACCCCGCGGTCCGTGCGCCCCGGCATCGCGGGCACTGACAGTATCATACCGGAGGAGTGGAAATGGCCAACGCCGTGCGACTGCGGCGCCGAAACACCCCCCTCCGTGTGCGCGGAGCTCCCTGGTATGGCGGGCAGCGCCACGGTCGCCCCGCCGGCGCGCCCCCCGAGCGCCACCGAGTCCTGAGCGCTGCCTCCTGCGCTGGCCGCGGCGGTCGGTTCGGCGCGGCCCGCGCTCCCCCCGGTGGGTCGCGCGCGCGTGCGGAAGGCGATGCAGTCAGTCGTGAGGCGACCCGTGGGGAGAAGCGATTCAGACTGCCCGCGAATAGCGGATGCGGCCGGTGAGGTGCTCCCGCAGCGGTAGAGCGAAGATGTGACTCAGCGCGAGTCGGGGCGTCCCCGCGACCAACGCATGAGGTTGCAGACATGGCACCAAGTCATCAGGCAACTGCGCCGCGGATCGCTCAGCGTTGCGGATCGCGTGGCGCAGGGCTCTGCGGGCCCTGCATCGCCGCACCCTCCCTCCCTCCGCGCGCCCGTGACGCCAAACAGGCGTGGTCTTCCGACCCGTGCGTGGATACATTCGTGGTAACACTGCCTTTCCGGGACACAAGTCTCCTCGAAGGCGCGGCGGGGCGCCACAAAGAGTCCAGCTGGAACATCCCGTCCCCCGCGGGACACACCGCCGCAGCGCGAGTGGTTTTCCCCGTGGCGCGGTCCTCCTGTATCGTAGCCTAGATGCGCGCAACGCCTTCTGCCGTGGGGCACTGCTCGCATCCCTACGATGCGCCTTGCCATGGCAGTGGAAACCCGCGACTCGCGCGTGCCCATCAATTGAAAGCAGTAATTCGCGCTGAGATCCATCTGATCCGGATGCGTGTCGTCCGCTGCACATGTGTGAAGGTCGCATCTGGCCCTCCACCCCGCAGCATGTCGCCGGTCACCTGCACACCCACAGGTTTGCGCCGACCGCGAGGCGCGCGCGTGGTCCCGGACGCTCGGGAGCCCGCCTGCACGCGTGTGACCAATGACCCTCGATTGCCGGCTAGAAGACCGCAGCGACACCGCGGGGCCGGCCCCTGGGCCGGCCCCTTTGCAACACACCCCCGGGCGCAGTGCGGGGAGGCGCTCCTCGCAGCGCGTAGCGTGGGCGACAACACCACCTGCGCGCGCTCCCGCATTGACCGCGGCGAACACTGCCGTGTCGCCCAGGGGCGCGCCGGTGCGCGGCGGGTCATTAATACAGTGTTAAACAACACGATGAGATCAGTCTCTTCGTTCATGCACGCCGCCTGACTTCAGTCAGTCAGTCTCACAGTCCGCTTACACCTGCACGATGGCCATGGCGGACCAGGAACAGCAGTGGCAACACACACCGCTGTCGCACCCATCGAAAGTCTGCCGTTTCTGCGCGGACGTGGCGGTCTCACCCGCCCCGGAGGACCTCCGTCGCCTGCTCCTGGACTGCTGCGCCACGGCGGTACGATCTCTCCGGGAACGCGCGGGTTTGGCCGTGGACTCGTCTGGGCAGCTCATGCTACCACCTCCGCCCGCTGCCGCTGACGACG